GATTAAACTGCTACCGTATAAATTCTCTTTCCTTTCCTTCAACTTCTTTTTTCTGTCATAACACATCACTAACGCACACCACTATCATACAGAAACCTATTTTCTCTCCATGCCTCTCACGTTTCTTTTACAAGGACAAAAGACATACGTCATGGGTCCTTTCTTTCTTTTTCGTTTTCTCGTGTCCAGCTTACGTGTAACTACTAACCGTTGATTTTATTGTCTATGCAGTATTGTTACACGAATAAAGCTTTGTTACCAAAAAAAAAAATGTAAACATCGTCTTCTTCATTCGCACATCAAATCATGCGTTGGATATTTGTGTTAGCACTTCTTATTTGTTTACTTGGTACATCGCCTGTTTCAAACAAAGATCTGAATGTCTTTAGATCAAAACGATTTTTTGCTCAGTCTTCGTGCAAAAAAATGCATCGTCCATGTGAATATCATTACGATTGTTGTCCACCCTTACGATGTAGTTTCATCGATGAGACGTGTCAACCACGATAAATGAAGTTTTTGTTGTAAATATCATGTGATTAGAGAAATAAAAGTTGTTCAATGTAGTACGAAAAATTCAATCTTTTATTCAGTAAAATATGAAACTAGCGAGTGTCAGTTGTGGTTCTTTCAAATGATTCAGCGGGTAGCGAAATTCTCTCACCACGACGGTCCTCGACCAAACGAAAATACCGAGTGGGAATACATCCATTTTCGTTACCAGGGGAAAGGATGACATTGTTACTAGATACAAAAAACTTTAAACCATCTAGAAAAGAAAGTTTCTGTTGCATAGTTAAGAAAAAGATTTGAATAAATCTCACCATTCAAAGCTTTCTCCATATCAATATAGATGTATAAATCTGCACTAGCTCGCATACCTTGTAGAGAAACAATTTAGTAGAGAAATTCTCATACGAACGACAGAGATTACTCACCACTGACCACACCAGCTCCTTTGGGTAATCCTGGTGCAAAATGAACATGTTGTCGGCCCATTTTTGATAAACCCTACGAATATCAGATGAAAATCACCGAGTACCAAGCGTTCAGTCCTACTTTATTACAGATCGAAGACCAATGCTTTCTATAAGTGCCATGTAAAACAGTAGGGAATTCTTTCGGGTCTGTGATTTCTCTCATATCGATGTCTAAATCCTGTATTGAATGTCCTTGATGTGCACGAATCATTTCTTTTCCGGTGATTTCATCCGTTTTCAGTCCAAAACGTTTCTTCTCATTCTTTTCGACGCATTCATGAACATCGTCGATGGTATATTTGGTAAATGACGGGTGTCGAAGAATATCATCGACAAAAACATAACCGTCAGCTTGAAATTGCAAACCTTCTTTAACTACAGCATGACGAAGTAGCCATGACAAAGCTTTGGACAGCTCAACAACTTTTCCCGTACCAGCGCGAGATCCGCTTCCATAAAATCGCTGAACATTTCTAGCTGCCATTTGAGTTCAAATGCAAACAGGTGTTATTAATGATGACTTTTCATATGAAAATGCGACATAAATACGATGATGACGACTAATATTATTGCACAACACACATTACGAAGAAAGGAAAAGGAAATGACGTCTGTTTCGCATGCAGTCCATAGAACGAAAAGCAAAAGTCTCTGTCAGTAGTATATGCACGAATTGCGCAACGATTGCCATTCGTGTTAGACTAATGACAAATAAAACAGAACAATATTTAAATAAGTTTATTGCCCAATATGCGTGTTTTTTTATTTAGAGTAAAACAATAAAATGTTTTTCATTTTCTTTTCAAGAAAATAAATAACAAAGTTAAAATCATTCCAAAAATGTTAATTGCAAGACACCCTTGGCAAATAAGACGATCTCTTGTCCACCCAATTTCGATTCACCGTAAATTCGATCCACGAAAATAATCGGAACTTCAGCGATGCGTAAGTTCGCATTCACAGCGCGAACAATCATTTCCATTTGAAAAACGTATCCTTTCGAGGTGCACTGACTAACTAACCGATCGAAATGAGATTTGCGATATAAACGAAACGAACCAGTGACGTCAGATATCGGTGGGCGAAGAAGTAATTGAGTTAAATAGTTTGCACCACAAGAGATGATCTTACGTTTAAGATTCCATCCGGCAACGCCACCACCTGGCAAATAACGACTACCGGTTACAATGTCATAATCACCTTCGCGTTGTCTTTCGATAAATGTTGGAATGTACCGTGGATGGTGGGATAAATCGACATCCATTATGATCAGGAAATCGCCGCGTGCGTATTGCGAGCCGTGGACATAAGCAGAGCCTAAGCCCAGTTTGCCCGAACGTGGCTTGAGAATGATGCGTTCAGGGCCTAACTGATGTTGTAGAGCAGTAGCGACTTCCTGTGTTCCATCAGGTGAGTTATCATCGATAATAATGATTTCATGTGGAATATCACGTAAGTATTGTTCTATCATAGCAACAACAACAGGTAAATTGTCTCGTTCATTATAAGTCGGAAGAAGTATGGAGTAGAAGGGTGATTTCGACATGATGTTTCTCGTTTTCTCAATCGTCTATCTAAATGATAATTCTGGAAATTTATTTCAATGCAAATGGTTGTTTCAATTACAAGAAAAATAAAGACAAAGAATTCAGCTTTCCGAAGCTGAGATTAACAATCCATCATCTCGTGATTTATTTTCTCTTTAAACTTTTATATTCCGGATTGTTCAGGAGAAGAATTTTTGGTTTCTAAAGACACCCACATGCGCACACACATACACACGTACAATAAAGAATAAATACATCAGTATATTCATACGACTGACCAAATGTAAGGTCCGAAATCGAAAAGATGAGCATCGATATGAAAAACGAATGTTTAGTTGCTTTTTCGATACTTTTCACCTGGTAATTTGTACAAAAGAAACGACGAAGAAAGAAAATATAATGAACGAAAGAAAAGAACGCTGAAGTTACAATGTATTGTAGATAAGATGGAAAATAAATAATTAGAATAATGTACAACATCGATTCGTTTTCCTAGCCTAAACAGAAGAGGAAATTTGAGGGTGTACGAAGATGATTTTCTCTTACCGTTTTGTAAAATGCTTTGGCTTCGAAACTTAAATCATTTGATCGAGCGACGAGATCATCGATTTTCTCGCCACGTTCGAGAACGTTGACCAAGGTGTTTTTCTAAACGAAATCATTCAGATGAGTTTCATCAGGATAGTAAAACTTACAAGAATGTCTTTCGTATCATCAAGGTCTTTTTGTAAACGCATTAATGGGTCAGCTTCTTGAGGATTCTAAATAGCAACGAGGTGTTCGAATATCGAGAAGCATCGATTAAATCTCTTACCTGGTATTTTCTCAAAGTTTCACCCAACGATGCCATTTTACCAGATCTAAATCAATTGGATTATTATTTCCACGTGATTCTAGAGTCGAATGGCTTACTGTTCAGCCATGCCCGCCCAGGTTGAAGGTGGATTAACATTGGTAAAGTCATCCATAACCTAAACGGAAGCAAATATGGCAGATGAACCTTGTCTCATAGTGCAGAGCAATAAGTAACTAACTTTACTCAACAGAGTGTGTGCAACTCGTTGCGGGTATTCACCATCGGAGACAATCACTGATGCTAAACCATCCGAACGAACATAAACATGAACCATAGCTGAAATTAAACAAAAACTTAGAACCGCATCGTTTTCTTTCGTCGATTCTTCTTACCATTAACGTTTTGATCAGCTTCAACAGATTGTCTGGTGTTTACGGCTGTACGTTCAGTGACAGTTCTTGCTGAGAAGACAAGTAATGGTTGTACACTGTAAAAGAGAAAGTTTGACAGCGAATTCGTTCACCGATGCATCTTACCTGCGACGTTCAAAATAACCAAAACTGTCGAGATTGAATTCATCCTGAAGTATTTTGACTTTCTTATCACCTTCTTTATGTAAAACAAATATTGCCAATAACTTCATCGTTGAACTTAGATTTGGAGTTTATTAATAAGGAATAATTCAGCAAAAAAACGTAACAAATATCTGAAATTAGAATATATCTAAGTACACGTTGGACTTCTAGTGTATATTCAAGATGCTAACAGAAGAATTTATTTGAATGTAGTGCTGACGTCAACGAACGGCGAAGGTTATTTTTCCATTTTTCTGACTCACTTTTGGATGATATGGCACATAGGAACCAATCGACAGTTCCACTTGAAAGCAGATGTCGCTTCTATATAAACAAAATCGGAGTCATTCTCGACGGAAAATGAGTCACAGCGATTAAAACCCGAACGTTGTAAAAGTTTCGTCAGAATGAACAGGCGATAAAGACGTACCCGCCAAAGAGTGAGTCAATCGCCTTTCAGAACGCGTATATTTATTTTCACAATGAACAATAGAAAATGCAAACATGAAAACAGTAAAGAGAACAAAAATGGATTTTGTTATTTTTTCTGTGGAATGGTTCCGAGTCGTTCATTTTTCCCAAACAGAATCAGATCTGGGTGAAGCGATTTACTCTTCATGGCATCGACGATCTTCTTCGCAACATCATATCGCATCTTGTGGTATAAATGAAAATGATTCTGCATTGATGGCAATGTCAATCGCTTTTTCGAACATGGTATATGTAATAGTGTCGAGACTGTTGCGTTTGCACCGTAGATATTCGTTGGATCGGTTAACGGACAGTCAGCATGATATTCTTGGTTCTCGAAATGAAAACAGAGTTTAGAATACTGAATTATGTGTATTACTTACGAATAGAACTTCTGTATTGGAGAATAATTTCGTTTCAGGAGGCAATCTATCGTCGACAATCGCATTGCGTAATCGAAGCGCACATTCCGGTATCATTCGATGATAGTATTCGAAATGTTTAACTATGGTGTACTTCAGATGGTACGCGCCATCGCAATCGAAACGAATCTTGTGTTCAGATGTGATACCGAACACGTTGGGTTTGGTTAGAGGACATTGAAACATTTTCGAATCGAGCGTATCCAATGGATGCCTAAAACATAGATGCTAATTAGCATCGGAAAAGGAAATCATGAGATTACTTACGGAATGAAAGGTTTTTCGTCTTGTTTATTGATCGTGAAATTTTTTATTTCGACTGCATAGATGTTGATTTGTTCAACATCGTGCTGAGCAAACGTCGATTTGGCTAGTAGACTTTCTTTATCTTTTATAAACGCATCTGCCTCTTCAGTAAATGCCAATCGCTTTCGAAGAGTCCGCTGCTGTTCATCATATACACGATTTATACGACTAATGTCACACTGGTGACGTTCAGTAATCTATTTGAAGACTTTACTTTTGTTTTCCATTGAACAAATTTATTTTCACTCACCGCCGTTGCCGTGTCTGTCGTTGCTTGCGCCAAACAAGATACTGCCTTATCTAATCGATCCATTAGATCAGTGAAATCGTGTAAGAAAGCGTCTCCGTGTTCAATCAAATGTTCCAAACACACATTCTTTTTACAATGATTTGTACATATTGAAAAGATATTCGACGAACAACAAGGATGTTCACATGTCATACTGATTCTCTTATCTAAAAGGAAAACGATCTATCAAGCACGCTGTTTTATTTATTCTAATTTTCAAATTTTGTTGATTTCACTACTTCTTGGATTTGCGCTGCTCGAAGATGATGAACAATTTTAAGATGAACAGGCAAATATCGTTTGGAGACTAAAAATGAACACGGTGTACTATGAATTCCACGGCTGACTGAAGCATCCTGGAACGGGCATGGGTATTTTTTGTGCACGTCAGTGATGACGGCATCTGCTGGGAAGAGTACAGTTTTCTTTGGATCGAGATTATCCAAAACAGCATTCTGTAATATATTAGCGTAGTCTTTCGTTAACTGATGATAGTATCGAAAGTGATTGTAAAGGTCACGGCTTCTCTTCTGATGTGTACATAGCCGAACGTTGTGTGAGGCGCGTAAACCGTATACATTTAAACTCTTTAACGGGCAGTTGTTTGATTGAACTTGTTTTTCTGGTAGGGAAATGTCGAAATCTAAAACATTCATTAGAATAGTTCATTAATTTAGAAGTGAAACAACCTGTTGGCAGAGTTTTGTGTTGATTTATTTCTTGAATTAACTTATCCACCTTTTGAAAATCATCTTGCGTCAAATTACTTTCGTTATTTTTGATTTTAGCAAGATGTTCAGACATTTGAGTATGTTGAATTTGTAATCGACTGATGGCTATTAATCTCTGATCGAATTTTTGAATTTGATTTTGATGAGAACGTTCAAGAAGATCAAATTCATGCTGTTGATCTTTAGCCATATTTTCCTTGGCTTGTTCAACAGATTTCGATAACATATTAGTCGGTTTGATTAGATCCTGTACGACTTGCTCAAATTCATTGATGAGAATTGTTCGATGTTCACCTAGATGTTGTGAACAAAGTGACCAGAAACAATGGTTTGAGCATATCGAATGTATCGGAAGGGAGCAACGGGGATGTTGACATGTCATCTAAAACAAGGAAAGTTTATTCATAGAATAAGAGGACACAAAACAAAGGCAATCAGATCAATCAAAATCAACATGTTGCTGTTTCTTGATGATCTGTGAAATAAACGTGAAAAATTCGATTAGGTTGAATGTCTCTCATTTCAATTCATCTTTATCCAGTTCAAGATGGGTTAGACCTTCATCGGCTTTCACTGCCTGAAGAATTTTACTCGTTGTTTTTAATGTTAATTGATGAACATTGATTAGATGCTGTTTCAATCCCGTTTGATAAAGTTTACTTTTACAGTTAGCGACTTTCATCGTTTTCAACGGGCATTCCATTAATTCACAGCGTATATCGGATAACTTGTGTTCGGATGAGAAAATGCGTGTTGTTCGTGGATTTAAACCATGGCGAACAGCTTTTGTTAATCGGTAGGCTATTGATGCTGTTAGATGATGATAGTTCTGTAAATGCGCAAGTAATTGTCGATCACCGCGGTTCTTCTCTGTTGAACACAGACGAACGCCGTGCTTTTCTTCGAATCCAAATACACCAAGTTGAGTCAAAGGACAAAAATCATGGTACAATATCGTTTTAACCGATTCGTTCCTCGGCTTTTTTTGCGAAGGGCCAAAATCATCATCATCATCATCATCATCATCATCATCATCATCGTTGTCGTCGTCGTCGTCGTCGTCACCATTGCCCTCCTCGTCATCATCTTCATCTTCCATGCGTTCTCTTTGATCGACATTCAAATTGGTTGACGCCCTTTCAATCCTATAAAAGAACATTCTTTTGTGAGAAATCAAATCGATCGTGCTACTTTTTAACAATAACTTCTTCTTTTAGAGGATATTGTCGAAGTTTACGTAAATACAACTTCATTTGTTCGATATCATGTTGATTTACCATGGCCTTATCATGTTTCATATCGGTTAATAATTGAACTTTAGTTTCGATTAGTTTTTGCACAGACTGTACCAGTCGAGATTTTTCGTCGGTTTCAACTCGTTTTGTTCGGTAATTTTCATCGATTAAGTCACGTTGTTTTTGATAATTTGAATTTAAGTTGGCCTTTTGTTCGTCGATCAACTTGATCAATTCGGTGAATGATTTTCCAATGTGACTAAACGATTTTTCATATTGAACAAGAAACAGATTCCTATGTTCAGTGAAATGTTCTTCACATAGGTCCAATTGGCAATGATTCGAGCATTTTTGCAAGGCAGTACGAGTACAAGATGGATGCTCACACGATTCTGACATGTCTGAACGGTTTAAGAACAGATTTTGATTTTGAGCGAGGGTTAAATGAGAAAGAACAAGATACATACTTCATTTCGATTGAACCAGATAGAGGTCACTAGTTCTACAACACTCGCATTGTGAGGCTATATACAAAAGACAGACACGAAGGACTTCGTTAATTAGAATTGGTGATTAATTGTAAATCGGCACAATGAATCAACAAGATGACAATGACTTACATTCAAAATCGACGTTTTCTGCACATCGAATCAATGCCGGAATTACGTATCTTCCATTACCGGAACTGCGTTTACAACTAGCAAAACCTCAGCAAACTCTAGATTACAAACATCAAATCGAGCAAGATTTCTACATACGTTATCGGCATATGAACGAGAATGAGTTCGATGAGATCTTGGGAAATATTAATGAATATCGAGCTCGTCACTATAAGAGTAGTTATCGACGTTTGTATGAAAATTTGCTTTTATCAATTCTAAGAAGTGTTGATTTCGATGACGAAATTCTTAAAATAAAACATGCACTATTGTATAACAGCGAACTTTTACCTATTCTCAACCATAATCATAAACTAGCAAAACGAGAGAAACGAATCTTATATAATTTAACAACAAAAACCTGGCAGAAATTCGATGAATGTATTCAGAGTGAAATTCACATGCAATATCAATTAAAGCAATGTAAACAAGAACATGAAAGTTTACTGGAAATGAAAATCAAACAAGAGCAACATCAGAAATTCGCTTTGGAATTACAAGAGATGAGTATCGAGTTAATCTACCTAAAAAAAGGTTTTTTTCTGTTCAAATGAACATTCTCTTCCTAACAACAAACTTCCTTCTCTCTAGAAATTCAACAACTACACGATGTGAAATGTACGTACAAATGAAAAGACTACTCGTTCATAAAACCAACGTTTTCATAGATCAACTAGAAATGGAGCTGCATGAAACTCGTGCTCGTTGCTCCCATTATCTAATTCATTTAAATTATCTTCAAACCAACATTCACCGATCGCATACTATCGAATTGAATAACCTTCAACTCGAACGAGATTCGATAATAACCCAAACCGAATTGATCAAATATAATCTCTTCGAACAGATGCAGCAATACCATTCTCTACTGCACGATTATCGTGCAAGTCTAGACACGTTTCGTTCGACATTGAGTGAACTCGAACAACAATTGAAACAACAAACTGATCGGGAATTTAGCTCGATGGAAATCTTCAGTTCATTCCAACGGCAAACAACAACGAATGACACTCAACAGTTGATCTACATCTTCGAGAATAAAATTGACGAGAAGAAATCGCTTAACAGACAATTAGAGCGAACAATCGAAAGTCTTCAAGAGAAAATCTATAAATTAAAACAAAACTTCGTCAAGAAAGATAATGATTATCAAACCATGCTGCACAATGAACAGCAATTCAATGAAGATATCAAAGTTAGAACTGATGAATGTCTCGTCTATACATCGTTAATCAGATTTCTTTTGTAGATCCATCGAGAAATCTATATTCAACTCAAAGTTTTTCCTTTTCTTTTTTCAAACATCTCATCGTGTCCTTCCTTTTCATTTAGACTGAGCGTCGTTCACTCGAACATCAGTTGGCAACCAAACTAAAACAATATTCCGCTGATGATCGTCTTCATCATACACTTGCTCAGCAACACGATTCATTCTTAGCTCGAAAGAAATTAGAGCAAATACGCATTAACACATCAACTGAACAATTGCATTCGCTGCTCGATGAAAATAATTATCTAGAAACATTCGTCAATCAACTCTATCAACAATATACTCAGACTAACCCGAATAGTTTATCGAACCTACAAATGGAAATTGAGCGTTTGAAGCAATCGCGTCAGATCTTCATCCAACACAAGATTCGCGACCGGCAAACGTATACGAAGTATAAAACTCAAGATGAACAATTACAAATCAAAAACAATAGAATTGCCAATCGGATTCGGCAGATTCTCAATCGTGTCAAACAAATTGACATCGCTTTTAAAGCAAACAAAGAACATCTTCATACATTAGGTAAATGCCATTCGCGTAAAATGATCATTCAACATATCTTTTTCTAGAAAATCAACTTATACAAGAGCAGAACTACTATTTACAATCAAATTATCTATTAACTCGAATGAAAAATCGTTCGGAAGTATATCGAACGAGACAGCATGCCATAAAAATGCAAATCCAAATTGCAATCAATAGTATCAAGTAATTCACACGAGATTCTTACCTATTTATCATTATTTTCGTATTTCAGACATTCGCAGCATTATCGAGAAACATTTGCAGATCAGTTATCTATTTGTAAGAATGATTTACTCGTTCAACAAGTCTCGTTGAATAAACTGCGTGAATTTCATACTGCTCTTCAAGAGCAACTCGAAGTGAATGCGAGGAAACTGGTTACTATCCATGCACACGTCGCAAGCCTTAGTAATCAATACAAAAACTCAGTTCAATCTCTTGAAAGAATACGAGAGGATGTGAAAAACTGTTTGTATATCCGATCGAGTCTCGGTCGAATGATTGTTCGCCGTATTGATTTGTGCCAATTACTTTACAAGAAATTAGCTCGATACGATCATCACATTCATCAACGGGATCGATCTGTTCAAATCATCACCAAATGTATCTACTCTCTGAAAAGCGAAATTCATCAGCTGCGACGTAGCAATCAAAAATTTCTCGAGAAGAAAGATCACATGCAACTCGAAGTAAAACAGTTTCAACTTTGCATAAACTTGCAACAAAATTCCCCGTGTAGACTGTTAAAGTTCATATGGAAAAACTACTCGATCAGTCGTATACAAAGCAACAAACACTGACAAAACAAATCTTTCAACGACGTGTTTATACAAAACGTTCACGTTAGTCGCTATTCGGCGTTGGCCAATCGTTGTAGATTTTCCTTTCATTTAGTCGATCGTCTACCATCCGAAGATCTCACATATCTGAAAACGAAGTTTTACATGTTAAAAACTCGTTATATTAAAATTATCTGTCGAGATATTCTTTGTAATTTCGTTCTCGTTGCAATTCAACAGGAATATTTCAATTATCTGAGATATTACACATGCGAAACGCGTCGAGATGATCTTGCTAATTTGAATCTCTTACGAAGAAATCTTTGTCAATTGATGAAACAATTAAAAGCAAAAACGGCTGAAAATAATATCTTAATTAACTACTACGATTGGATTCAATGGATTCGAATTGACGTTATTCAACAGATCGTGCGATGGAATGACAATTCACATTAAACTTCATCATTCACTTTGACATTCTGAATATGTTGACTGTAGATGACAGTAGCTACGAATGCAACAGTACGGTTGTGATGATTATCATCTAGATTGATGTTGTTTGCCTTAAAAGAATATCTGACTATAGCTTACAAGAATTACTCGTTCATCTTGACGGTAAAAAACCATTCTATTCTATTTGTAACACAATCATCCAATGAAATCTGACGCATATTAAATTTCGATTCGACATATGTGTTTTCGATAAAAAACAACTGATGTTCCTTTCTTTTTTCGTTGATTTTCATTTTTCTTATTATTAGTATTCGATCTTCACTAATGGCATCATCTATCCCAACTGGTGCTATTCAACGATCAACAGAACTGTGCCGGTACAAACACCAGCCGCTTCACTCATTTCGTTTCGAGTACTCTGCTCTGTTTATTTAGATATTTTCTTTCAAATCAATGTCGTTATGGCGATAAATGCTTCTATTCACATGATCGATCAAATAATCAATCAAATAATGCCTGCCGATATTATCTGAGGGGCAAATGCATGTACGGGGATCGATGCAGGTACAAGAATAACTTCATTTGTATTCTATGATAAGATATTCTTTATTTCCTTAGATATGATCATGTAAGACCTAAACCACAACTGGCGCTTCGCTCTATCGATCCGATATCCGAGCTTTTCGATGGTCAATCTCAATCCTTTTGTGAAACGAACAATGAAGGTAAATGTTCAAGACGAATGTGTTCTATTTGTTAGTACAGTGAAGAAAACATATGTAAAAGTATCTTCGCTGGTATTCACAACGCATACTTGAATCATTTCGCATACTAACATACCATTTATTATAACATTCCCTACCTACGTACTAGGTTTCGTTTGCGTGATTTAGTTCTCTATCAACCGTCAAATTCTAATGAAGAACAACAAAGCAATGAGGCTCCTAACTTTACTATTTCCACATTTTGTCCATATGCTGAAAAAAATGGTCTATGCGAAGCGTTAGACGCAGGACGGTTTTGTCCGTATCTTCATGGTGATGCATGTGATTTTTGTAATTTGCCTGTCTTAGATCCAACGGACGACAAACAACGAGAAGAACATCGTTTAGTGAGAAGTTGCCTAAAAAAATCGAATGCAATCATTGTCTATTTCTTTCGAGTAGGAATGCTTGAAAAAACATGAAGCTGAGTGTGAAGAAGCGTTTGCTATTCAACGTAGTCAAGAGAAGAAATGTGGTATTTGTTTGGAGAAAGTCTGGGATCGCGACGGTGATAAACGATTTGGTTTGTTGGAAAATTGTGATCATATATTTTGTTTGGAGTGTATACGAAAATGGCGATCATCATCGAACTATGAACATAAAGTTGTAAAAGCCTGGTTAGATATGAAATCAATAACATTCATGATGGCGCTTATCTTTGACATTTCCATACTTTAGTCCGGAATGTCGAACAAAGTCGGATTTCGTTACTCCAACGAAGTATTGGCCGGAAAATGATCAAGCGAAGAATAACGCTATTCAAGCGTACAAGGAAAATCTTCAGTAAGAAAGACTCAGATTTGTAAGTCAAGATGACTCTGCTGGTTGTTTTAGGAAAATACATTGTAAATTCTTTAAACGTGGTGATGGCGTGTGCCCATTTGGCTCGAAATGTTTCTATTTACATGTGGATAAACGTGGACAGTACGTTCAATTAGGTCCACCACGGCGTCGACGACGAATGAATACACAAGGCGAATTTGAAAGTTTATCCGATATTCTAATGGTTTCGATCTTTTCATCGATGGACGTTGGACGATTCTTCGATGAGTAAGCTTATCGACAAACTGCATGAATGATTTGATTGAATCTTGGCATGCTTCTTTCTTTTCAGACTCGATTATTTATTCAACGATGATGATGATGATGATGATGACATGGAATCGTATGGATCGTATTTGACTAATGAAGATGATTTTCAATTTGCTGAGGAACATGATCTCACTGATAATGAGGAAGAATTTCGATCATGGCATTGAGAGAGAATTCTGCGAAGAAGGAAATCTGAATGTTTATATATGTATTTATGTGTGTATGTTAGTTGAAGTTGAATAACAGTATAAAGCTATAAACCTTCTTTTCTTTGTGTACATGATATAAACAAAATGAGTTGTATTCTATGGAATTTTGGTGATTTTTCTTTGTTAATCTTATATAGAAATTCGAATAAATCTTAACCTATTCTCTGCCATCTTCTGTCCGATGTATTCTTTGCGACGAAACTACAAGAAGAACAAATCAATCGTTTTTCGTCTTTTTTCAAAATCCGAATGTCAACAGAAATTAATGACAGTGATACGAATGCGCTTTCCTCAAATTATCCTTGAATCAAACTCCTACGCCGACGTATTTAGCATCATATCCGTAACGTTATCGCCACCGTACTGTTTTGAGAAACGGGATGAATATGTATCACACATACCGTTCATTCTATCCTCTCAGAAGTAAATTTTTTCTCAAGGGAGGTTAAGTTTTGTATTCTTATGATTTTAAACAGGTCATATGTACTTATTTCGTAATCGAAATTTATCAATGTAGGAAAAGGCTTAACAATTTTCTGAGATTCATCTTTTTTTTCGTCTTAATCGCTTTGTACGCCTCGTGATAAGGAAAGCCTCATCATTCCATTACTCGACAAAGAAGAAAAGTATGAAGTCTCACTATGACAATGTCAATATTGTTGTAATTTGATAACATTTTTTTTTCGATGATTCTATCTATAAAGTATCTAAGTATATCGCTAGGAGATGAAAAGAACGTTTTAATTATTAAAACAAGCGCGAAAAAAAATAGTGTTCTCGAAATCGAATATTCTTTTTTCGAACCAATGATCATCAAGGTCGCACGATTCCAGCGAATGAAATAGCTAGAACAATTAGATGTCTTACAAAATGAAAAGTGTAATGCTTACAGTAATTTCGATTCAGTTTTCTAAATTAATATTTAATTTCTTCAATTTCACAAATATTTTGCGCTGTATCGCGTTACTTATCTTTATGCTAATACGCCTAACCCCTGTCTTGCCCTCTACCTGTCCCATTCCTATATAATAACCGATGATATCTTTCATTATTTCAAAAACCGAATAATTCATCAAATGTGGACAGGAATTTGCACTATCGTTCTTATTGCTTCCATCGTGCAAGCCAAGCCACGAACAGATGTGACTGTTTCAGGCATATCTGCCGGTGGCTCAATGGCCACTCAATTACATTTGGCTTTTTCGTCGGAAATTAGTGGATGTGGTGTCGTTGCCGGTCCACCCTACTACTGTGCCCAAGGTGCTATGATGACAGCCATTGGTGCATGTATGAGAGGTCCAGCTACTTCAGTGTCTGCCAACACCCTTCAGAACAAATTGAAGTCTTACGTCTCATCTGGTAGTGCTGATCCAATCGCCAATGTCAAAAATGATCCTGTCTATATCTTTACCGGTCAAAAAGATGGAACAGTCATTCCTGGTGTTGTCAAAGTGAACGAACAGATCTATTCAGCATTGGGTGCTAATATCAAAACAAAGTACGATCTAGCGGCTAATCACGGTTTTCCAACAGAAAACTTTGGCGGAAAATGTGACGTTCTCTATTCAGCTAATTACATCAATAACTGGTGAGTTGTACATTCGTATCAGCAATTGACAAAAGTTTTCAAATCTTTTAATTTTTTCAATAGCAATTTCAATTTGGCTTATGACATGTTAAATCACATATTTGGCGGTAGTCTTGTTCAACCACCAAGTGGCACAACAGTTCCACTCACTGGACAACTCATCACATTCGACCAAGCAGCTTTTATGAATCCGCAAGCTGTGGTTAGATCTGAATCTCGAGCTACAGACATCTTTTCATTATGGTCAAGCTGGATGCAAACAACCATGGCTTTATACAATCCATTGAATTATTTACCATCGTTCGACTTGTCATCATTAACGTTGCCAAGTATCAATCTTCCTGGTACAGGCGGTGTGACTGGGGCATCATCCAATGCTGCATTCGGCTTTGACTCGCAAGGTTATGTTTACTTCCCAGCAGCTTGTAGCAAAGGAAAGAAGTGTCCAATTCACGTTGCTCTTCACGGCTGTAAACAAGGTAGAATTGCTTTGTTCGTTTTCTTTCCTAGGATTTACATGTTTCATATTTGTATTTAGGTAAATCATTCATTGGTGATGTCTTCGCTAAAAAGGCTGGTTACTTGGAAGTTGCTGAACTTAACGACATCATTGTTTTGTTCCCACAAATTCTTCAATCAACACTCAACCCTCAAAATCCAAATGGCTGCTTCGATTGGTGGGGTTATGGCTCTGCTAATTATGCTAACAAATTGGGTCCACAAATGGTTGGTGTTAAGAAAATGATTGATACTGTTCGTAGTATCAACACTGCTTCAGCTGCTAAATGATGACTTTTGGAATTTTTCGTGAGAATTTTAAATAAATCAGCAACTAAACGCCTTCAATCCTGTAATCGCGTTTTTTGTGAAAAAAAAAAGAAAAGTCCCGCGAACCGGAGTCGAACCAGTGACCTAAAGATTACAGTTGTTATTCATCTACAGTCTTCCGCTCTACCAACTGAGCTATCGCGGGTTGATGAAATCTCTTCGACAGACTGAACGACCCACAGACTGTTTTTCCAATTCGACTTACAATGCTTCTCAGACCTGTTATATAATTGCTCGCTCACGCACTAGATAACATTCAGATTCATATGTGCCATTGTTGACATAGATCCCAAATACATAGGTACGTCGATGTCAATAATAATAAGGTTATAAAATATTAATAAAACATAAAAGATGATTTTATTAATTTTATGACATACTTCATCTGTGATTTTGCGTATGGATTATTATCTATGTGTGTATCATTTTTCTCTTCTGTTTTGTTTTTCACAACACCCATCCATAGGAAAACATGCCCATGAACAGTGCAACAAATCTTTCCTGTTCGGACGAGGATATTCGTTTCGTTTTAACAGTCGCATTAATTGTCGGTGGATGGTCATCCATCGTCACATGTGTCTTAGGCCTATTAGCGAATACATTTTCAATCATCATACTCGCTCAACAACGCATGAGATCCTTGTCAACGAATATATATCTGATCGCTTTAGCTGTCGTTAATTTCCTATGGTTAGTTTTCTTTCTTATTTTTTACGCACTTCGATTAACTATCATTCTCCCGTCATACATTTCGGCAAATGATCAACAAATTTTCAGTGTGTACAATCAAATGTTTCATCGGTAAGACTCGACTATTGAGAACTTTGTGTTTATCTACATCTCTCAATAGATTATCACCATACATAATTCCGTCGATGAATACTTTACAGTTATGCATTATTTACTATACTGTTGCCGTATCGGTCGATCGGTACTTATATATTTCAATGGGCTTAAATGTGAGTCAGTATTGTACGATCCGTAATGCGTTACGAATTATTTTCTCGTTAACTATATTCGCTATTCTATTTATCTTACCGTATTGGTTTAAATACCGTGCGGTGACCTATTTGGATTATCAAAATCGAACACATTATGAAGTATCTCGTAAGTCTTCATCATATGTTTTTCTTTTTGAAATCTGATCGACCAATTTCTAGACACAAAACTCGGCCAACAGAAAATCTTTCAACAAGTAATCAATGTCTACATCTACGTTCCTGTTGTTCATGTTATTCCATTGATAACACTGTTGCTCATCAATATTTTGACTGTTCGTCGATTGATCCAGTATCATGATGAACACCGCCGTTTACTATGTCAATCGATTCGACAGATGACGATGATGCAAACAAAAGTCCTTTATTCTCGACGGCACTTTCATGTCTCTATTATGCTTATTGCTGTTGTTGTGTTGTTCCTCCTTTGCCGCCTTCCGATGCTGATGAACAATCTCTACGAAGTTCACAATTCGACCAAGAACAATCGATTAACTGAAGATAATCTGTACTTTCAATGTCGAATATTGTTGACGTTCAACACATTTGCGAACTTCATGCAGACGATCAATTCCAATGGAAACCTAATCATTTATATACTTTGTTGTCAGAATTTTCGCGAAACAACCCGAGAAGTCTTCGATAAACTCATGAATTTCTTTCGATTACAGTCTAACGAAGGTCTATTATCAATGATACACATACGTTCGAGAACAAGCACACGTTCAACTGTCACATGAATCAAGTCTAATGTTTGGACATTAGAAAATTCGAACACCTAGTTAATGTTTGATGTTGTTTGTTGACTTCTTATCGAATTATTAGAACGTCACGTGCTTGTTGAGTTTACAACTCGTATCTTCAGATTCTTCAAGCGTGGATATAAAAGATCAAATAATTAATCACATAGCAACATACATGTCTTGCCAATATAAGAAACATAAATGTTTGAGAGCGCATTTTACTGCCTAAAAGATTCGCAATAAAACGTAAGTACATTTGAGAGGCAGTCTGCAATTGATAAATATGTCAAATGCAAACATGTCACACTCTTAGCACTCGTCTTTTTCGTGGAAACTACGTTCATGTTAACAGATCGTAAGCATAGTTGTTTTCAGCGTTTCATTGTTAATGGATGGATGAATTTCTTGTAAACTTGTATGAGACAACATATTGATTTACTTACGAATGAGATGTAAATAGAAAATCATTCCAACTTCCTCTCAGCCAGTGAAGTATTAGTTGATTTTGTCTTAATATTAATGATAATATTCTATAAATCAATACGGAACTTTGGAATTCATCATTACTGGCAAACAATCAGTAAGAGACGCCGCGTAAAGCAAAATCGATCGCGCTATAGTTGTCGTCAATTCTGACAAAAAACGTTACCGAGATAGAACACAAAGAGAAAAGTCAATAATTGCATAAAACTTTGATATTTGATAAGAGAATGACTTATTAAAAAAAATGTATAAATCAACTCATAATCGCACGTATTCTATTTGTTCTGTAAAGCGATATATTTGAATGTGTAGGTTCGAACTATTGATGGTATTGCGAGCTCTATTGCAAAGTATAACCGATTAAATAGAACGTCCCATCGTAGATCCTTTTTGTTCTGTATGATTTCTTTTAAATACTTTAGTAACTTTAGACACTATATGAACTGAGCAAATTGCCGTGTCTGAATTCAGTGATGAGGAGGACGTGCTAAATCTCAAATTGTAACCAGGTTTGAAAAAATTGCTTATAAGATCTCTCGTTTCCAGTCGGAAATTTACCTAGGCACACTAAAAAAATAGGAGAAACTCGATGAAATCAGCAATCTACTTTTAATGTCCAAAATTTTCAATTTCTTCCGTTACAATAAGAGAGCCTTGTACAAATATGCTGAAACCTCATAGTTTAGAAGAGAAGTAGAAATGAGAGATTTTTTTTCATGCTGAAAACTTTGAATTCTTCTGTGATTTCGAACGAATTTTTCATTTATGCAATGGTTGTAACGAACAACAGACAGAATATACAAGCGAGAAAGGGAAGAATTTCATTTGTGAGCGAAATCACACTGACCAATAGCGAAATATTCAATCATTTAGAAGCTAGGACATCATTCCATTTATACGTCAGTTCTGTTTCTTCATGGCTTCTACTTTCTCCTGTGCACTGAAGTCATTGAATAAACGATGACAGTGTCTGCGGACAGTACAAAAAATTTCATATAAGACTAGATTTCTAATTCCTACGTTCCTGCTCATCATTGAATTTACTGCATAAATTATTTAAAAAAATGAATAAAAGCATTGGATAATTTTGAAAATTTGCATGCATTTGATATTTGCCCCCATGATGATGAGATCATATTTTTTCCTTTACTTATAATATAAAGCGATACGATTAACAGCAGGTGAGACATACTCCCAAAAGAACGTTTTACCAAGGAATATTATCCCGCTTACTCCGAAACGTTGCAACCTTCGTCAATATTCAAATATACACTGAAATTTTAGACGTGCCTGCTACCAAAAATTCCTCGTGACACTCATCTCAAAAGGCATGAAACACTATATTTAATCCCAAAATACACTTTGATCACTTTGAAATATTCTTGTTTTGAATCCATATGTTGCACGATGATTTACTCGCCAAAGGTGCTTTTATCATACGTTCTGAAAAAGAAATTGCTCATGATCGCAATGTTGGTCGCGATTTATTTATATTCCCATCGTCCAGCGATATTTGATCAGACGAACAACAGCCAAGCCGTCCCGTTAATTTTACTATTTACACGTAATCATTCGGCGAAAACACGTGCAAATATCTGTCAAGGTACTCGCAACGGCGGACATGTCGTTAATTTTCATTCCTGTCCAGTGAAATGTGAATTTTCCTGTCGAATAAACGATTTTAAGCAACGTTCACCACATGCTGTTCTCTTCTTTGGCGAGGATTTTGCTTGGCCATTTCAGATAACTAATCGAAATCGAACATCGTTCGATCAACGATGGATCTTTTGGTAATGGGAAGCCCCGATTCACCATCCAGAGTATACTCGATCTGGTTTAATATTCAACTGGTATGAAACCAGATCGACTCTTTCAAAACTTATCTCTTTTCATTTAGGACAATGACCTACCGACAGGACTCGGATATTGTTCATTCCTATGGTTGGTATATCGCACGTAATATGTCCTATGCTATTCACGACATGCAAGCAATCGATTTTTATTTATCTCCGAACGATAATCAGTCTCTCTATGATATTGAGAACGAATTTCAGCAACGGAAAAATAAAACTCTATGGTTTGTATCAAACTGTCATGCCCGATCGCGACGGTATAACATCGCTCAGAACTTATCGAAATATTTTCCAACTGATCAATATGGTCAATGCTTGAAAAAGAACGAATACTTATCAAAGGAAGAGTTTCATAAGACACTTTTTCGATATAAATTTTATTTAGCTTTCGAAAACGCACATTGTCAAGATTATATCACAGAGAAAGCTTTTTTTAATGCATTGGCACATGGAAGTATACCGATTGTGCTCGGACCCGGAAAAAAGAATTATCAGCAAATTTTACCGCCGAATTCTTTTATTCACATCGATGATTTCCAAAATGTCACCGAACTTACTGATGAACTCATACTGATCAGCAAGAATCTACAACGATTCGCATTTTATCATCAGTGGCGTCAGGATTATCGTTTAATTACATGGCCATCCAACTATTTCATCGACGATCTTTTCTGTAATCTTTGCCGAAAATTACATCAAGATACAGAACCAAAAATATATAGTAACTTCTCCCAATGGTTAAATAAATGCAAACAATAAATATGAAAAACAAGGGTCTCATGGTTATTTCATCTCTGTATTATATTCGAAAAATATTTACTTACAAGGAAATGAATGTTAACTCAGATTTCGATTACATTTATCATCATTTATTGAAAGGAAGCCAAGAAAATTGTCCTGCCCATGTAATCTTATACGTATTTACTTTCCATGTATGTCCTGTCTGTGAATATGATACTCAACATAGTGCAGTATTATTCAATTGTATTTATGTATGATTCACTTTCAGATGTTGAATCTAATGCATGAGGAAGTTTGTTAACGTTAAATTGTGTATTGGATTGGTTCCGGGTAGTCAAATAAATATTCATTTTTAGCTTTCCTGTTCCTGGAACTATTAGGGGAAAATAACCTATTATCCGAGATTTAATTCTCATGCAAAACTTGATAATTATATAAATTGTGCGATTGCACATACTCAGTTCATTTTAATGATGGCCACGAAGGAGAAACAAGAAAGCGCTGTTATTAACAAACAAACGTTCAAACAGGTGAATAGGAAACTTTTGCTGTTCATTGTTTTAGTTATTCTTTTCTTTTTCAGCCAGGAGCATCTTCAAAAAAGAAAACTATCAATGCAATAAAAACTCCGAGAATTGCACCAAAACTACTACCATATGTCCCACCCGACGCTCTTATGTATCAACTATTCAACGCTATTGAATGCAAGGCGTGGTCAGAAGCAAAAACACTCTGCTATGAGCTGGTTCTATGTGATCCGTGGAGAAAGAATTATCGTGATCTTTACGAACGGATTGAACGAGTTATCAAAATAAAAAATGAACGTCGTCGTCCTCGACAGTATATCAAGAGAACCGTCACTGCCAATAGTGATAGCAGTGAACGAGTAACAACGAATCGACGATAATCATGTGGACACACTTCGCTATGCAAATTTTGGTAAACACCATCTGACACATGCTGTTTCTTGTCATAAAATTAATAAACATGTATGCCAATTAGACTCTGTAAAATCATTTCAAGGCAATCTGCTTTGCAGTGGTACTTTCGAAAGACGTAATTTTTCGATAATTTTATGAGTACGCAGTTAAAAGTTGTTCTTTTTCTATATTGATCAAAAGGAATAGTAGCGTACTCAATGACATTATAAACACATGATTCTATGGTTACTTTTATCAAGAAGGATGAGAACTGCGCAAAAGAGAAAAGAATTCCATTCGTTCTCTTCGATTCTATGTTCTTTCGACTCGTTGTAACTCTGCTACTGAATGCACCGCCCGAGTTGGCACAGCAGTAGTTAGAGAGAGAGAGAGATACGAAAGGAAAAAGAAAAATAAGAATTGACTATATATAGCACAAATTTCTGACCTCATCCCATTCTTCTACATTACTTGAATACATACACTCTATTCTTCTTTCTACTCCAACAAAGTTTTACAATATGTCGGACAAAGGACAAACTGAAGGACACTGGGAGTCACATTCCTATGCTTCTCGAACAACACAAGTTGGTGACAGTCCGGCGATTACCGTTGGCAAAGAAGCTTCGGCACAAGGAACATTCGATGTACGACAAATAGTTTATCTCTGTACGATTTATTCTCTCTATTTTTATTTATAGCATGGTAAACCAGTAGTGACTGAATCTCATGCAACCTCATTTTCTGATAAAGGCCATCCAGGAACACTTGAATATAAAGATGCAAATGCTGATCAACAAAAAAGCATTCAATAAAATCAACAAATGCCACACTTTGCTTGCATGTTTTAGATCGGTTATTCAGATTTAATTATACATATGTTAATTAACTTTTTTCTCCGCTGTCTGTAGATGTTCAATGTATTCAATAAAATGATATTTTCTTCAAAAAATCAGGAGTTATAGTGTTCAATATTTCGACACAAACTGTGAAGATTTACATGGAAAACGTTGTGTTCTGTATGCCTATCGTAGTATCGTTATAGTCGTTTTAAAAAAATTTGTTTTTTTTTCTCGTAACGAGGTGAATAATCAACATAGGTAAAACATGATATGCCTATCATGTATGTCGTGTTTCTTCCGAAATAATTTATTTACATATCGATACTTTCATGTAAGAAAAAAAAACAGCAATACGTCAGAGACTACACTATGGCGATCAGTAATCGAACAAAAATCTATAGATCTATTTATCCGATTGCATCAGTAGAGGTAGGTGGAAGGATATTTTCTTTGGCTGCGTCTGCCTCTGCATTGACTGTATCTTTCAAATTGTCTGATACGCTTGGCTTATCTTGTACTGCCGATAGCTCAACATTGGTTTTTTCAGGTTTAGCGACATGAGACAATGTGCTATTGTAAGAGCCTGCAGCTGGACTCGGTGTTCGACAGACATTGTAAAGCACAATCGGTGGTTTTATATTTTTCAATGCAGCGACGATATCATCAACTAGAGGAGCATCACTTTGTTTTGCATTGAAATACAAATACATAGTTGAGAACACAATTGATCGCTGACCAGTAGCATTTGCTGGAGCTTCACATTTATGCTCAGCAGTAATCGTTGTCGTACTCTTATCAGAGAGAGCGGTTGTAGTAGTTTGAGTAGAAGTGCTACTAATACTGGTTGTAGTTCGTAATGTCGGGTTAGTTGGTGATGTTTGATTGGGTCCAGAATAGCAGTGATGTGGTATTCTTAGTGTAATATTGCCATCGCAATTGATAATGTCCTGTGTTTCATTCGTGCATTGGTACACTGGTATTGTCTGATTGACGCATTCTAATATATTGCCTAGGAAATCTGTGCAATTATCAATTCTGAAGTGTATGGGCGGACAATTTTTGTTGTCCCAGGATTCAATCGTACAATTTATTATGTCGACGTCTATTTTGCAGTCGTGATTACTCTGCCGGCCTTCTATTTCTGCAACATTGTGTGTTCTGAGATTAATGGCACTGCTTTCCACACCAGAAGCTGCGCTTTTCGCATCCCGTGGGCTAGTTTTAGAATCGTTCAGTGTGACATTCGGTGTTGCTGAAAATGTTACAATTTCTACGTTCACAAACTTGTCGCCATATTTCTCTCGCAAAACTTCTTTTACACTATCAGCTAATTCGAGCATTGTTTCAACCGCATCATAAAACAATGGTACTTCGGAAGGTCCAATGTACCTATTGACGGCAATTCCTGCTGATGACTTGAAGACTGTAGTAGATTCGCGTAAAAACCCTTGTTGTTGTGCAGCGATCACACCGACGGTGATGCCAGCACTTATCACGCCCACTCCTGTAGCAGCCGTTACTGCCATCAAAACAAACCGTAACACCAGCGTTGGATCAAACATGATGAATCTCGGCCGTTTGAATCGGCTGATTTAGAATCGTAACGTAATATTTATACAAAAAAAACAATCTGGCAGAATAGACGATGTTCTATGAGTACATATATACTTCTCGCTTGATTACTAATTAATAGGAAAATATATACGTGGATGACGAAATTATATCATGATTGAAAGGAAGCAATTTAATCGGACGTCAGTCTTGTGAGCAATAGAAAGGCCATAGGTAAATTTTAAAAAATATTTATCTCGACTACAACTATCATATTTTTTATCTACCTGCGAAACTACACAGGCGTTTACTTAACGATATATGATTTACGACTGTTTCACACGCTCTATGAATGACGGATTTATTTAAGTAAAACACAAAGGTAGTCAGGTTTAGTCTTTGTCTACATAGCTTTTCATCAATATCATAGCATATTGTCGATAAAAATCATGTAAAATGCATTGTTTCTAATAATATTCAACCTTACTTTGCTTTTTCGAAATCACGTATTTAGGATGTACGTAAACCAGGCGCACGATAAATTATTGCGTAGTTCATGTTAGCCATCTAGTCGGAGAGTACGGTAAGTATCACTAAACGTATTTAGGAAACTCTATGCGAGAGCAAAAGTAGCGCTGACTAGATTTAGAATTCATTTAGATTTAAGTTAAATACTGTTATTATCTGAAAAAATCCTGACTAGAATCCATACAAAAGAAAAACAGAAGAAAACACATTAAATGTAAAGTAATTGCTGTAGTTCATTATCTGACGGAGTTGATTGATATGAATCCATATTGGTTGTTAATTCCGATGAGTTTCGTTTTGCTACATGTTCACATAAACTATACGATAAAGAAAAGAATCATATTTACCTCTCGTTGAACGACGTGTATTTCGACGGAGTAGTTGATAAACAATACGATTTGTCATACGCGAAACCTGAGAAGAAGAAGGCAAGTGAACATAACAAATCTTGGTATCCAGATTCTAGGAAAAGAATCGTACTGTGGTTGGAAAACGAGATAATCTGAATTTGATCGTCGAAGTAATTGATCGAAACGAATGTTCGTGTAAATTCGGCATGGCACGTTCGAATAAATTCATCGTATCCACAGGGAGAAGAAGACGATCTGTATATTTATACGGGTATGTAGAACGTAGGTACCAGTATAGATCAGTGAATAACTCCTCTGTAGGACGTGGTCGAATGACTGATAAACGAACGAAAGAGTCAATGTTGCTTAAAAAAGATGATCGATGACTACTAACGTCCTCTCGTTCTTTCCAACTTCAAACAAGGACATCCATTATAGTATCAAGAATTCACATACCGAACAAACCAGCTGTCTCATACTGTGCTTTATAGAACATGTCAAGCACTTCTATGTCTAATAAACCTTGTATTTTTTCAATGAGAGTATGCTGGTTCTTGTTAAAAGAGATGACGTTGGTGCTGATCAATTGTTAGTATCGAAATTGTGTGATTCTCGAATACAGATAACATCTTCAACGAATGAAATTGAGTTTGGACGAAAAAGTTTAGCATCGAAAAAAGGTAGATGCTTCTTTTTTCTTTTTAAAGAGATTAGAATGTGTTATCTTTGATTTATATTAGCAATTATATAAACACGATTCAAATCAATCTCCACGAAATTTGAACGAACCCGGAGTCGTTTGTGGAACTTATCCCGGATGATTGTAAAATTCCAACGTGCACGAGTGAATCTTCAATTGTTTACAGTAAATGATATACCATATTTATTGATAAAGAATTAAAAAACGACAGCTTATCTTTGTTCGATGTCTTTAAGTTTTTCATCGATGCTCTTCTTTGAGAAATCCCACCATTCTTGCGCTAGTTGATCATCTCTGGCGTACTTATGATAAGGTGGTGTCACGCGGCAGTCTGAGTGATATTCGCCCGGGTGAGCATCGTTTGACAAAGCGCAATAGAGAGTTGTTTGTATGCCTTCAAACGGTGATTTGAAGATTAGATATCTGATTGGCCTTACTAATTGTTTGGCTATGCCATTCATGTCCATATGTCGATCTAATTCAGTATTGACAGTACCAGGATGCAAGGAATAAGCACGGATATTATTAGTGGAAGAATAACGTCGTTGGAGTTCGCGTGTGAATAAAATATTCGCCGTTTTACTCAATGAATACGCAGAAAACGAATGATATGTATTCGGATTGCACATTTGATTGTAATGAATAGCGTCACATGGCACACGCCAGAGGAAATGCGCTGCTGATGCAACATTAACAATACGCGCTGAGTGAAGACGAGGAATAAGTAGTTGGGTGAAATAGAAATGACCGAAATGATTTGTACCCATTTGTAATTCAAATCCGTCTTTAGTTTTGCCGTAAGGACATGCCATAATTCCGGCATTATTGATTAATGCAGTAATTTTCATTTTCCTAAATAGATCATTTATGTCAAAGATTTACATTAGAATAAAGATTTCTTACTGATCTTCATTGGCCAAGAATGTACGTACACAATCTCTTATTGATTGTAAATCAGCTAGGTCTAAGCCGTAACCAGTAACGTTATTTGGTGTGGAAGCAAATTTTTTCACGTAATTTATTGCATCAGATAATTTGGAAGGGCGAGCAAAAAGTATCACTCGAGCATTTCGTTTCGCAAGTTCTACAGCTGTTTTCTGTCCAATACCACCAGCAGCACCCGTAATTAGAAATGTTTGTCCGTTTAGATTTGTTGTCTGAATCTCTGCGCATTGTCCACCTTGAGCGAACCATCTGGTAAGTGCAAGAAATGAAGCAAAATAAAGTATGATCAATATGAAACTAGATGAAATCCATGACCAAATGAAATGTGGTGAAAGAATTAAAATAAGAATCGACGAAATCAAGCATAATATTGATTGTACTTCAGCTAGACGAAATAGTCGTAAGGGTAACATTTTGAGACACAAAAAAAATTGTGTTAACAATGAGAGTCGAATTGAGTGTCGTTTTTGATAACTATTGGAGAAACTCAAAACCAGTTACTATATTGTTACTAAAGTCTTTTCGAGGTGACATCTATTCGTTACTAGTGTCGTTGAACAAGAGAATGAAATTCGAAAGTACACTACGTTGTAGTTTTATTCTAACAATATTAATAAAACGAAAAGTACAAAGAGCAGTAAATAACATTCAACACAGTGAATACATGTGAATGTTTGTGTGTGTATCTTTAATATTCTGGTTTAGTCATTTCTAGTGAAGTGCACATGTCAGTAGACCTATTGAGGTCATAATCGTGGTATATTTCAGTATTTATGCCAAAAATGTGTATTTTCAGAAAAGAGCCGAGATCTCACATTTCACTTCCACTCGCGTCCTTCGTTCTGAGTTGTCGTTTGAACATTTTATTATATTTTCGAGATTCTTTAATACAGAAAAAGATCAACCGATTATATTCGTACGCATGTTCACAATTATTGTTCTTATTTTATAGATATATGCTTTACAGTGACATGTTCATCTTTCTGACCCATTCCGAATGGTAACTCAGAAAATGATACACGTGTTATCGCAGTCTTGCTGTTAGACATCTTTTGTGTTGAATCGAGTACTTTATGCTCAGTTGTTCTTGTTGGGATATTACGAACAGGAGTTTGACGTCTTGTCGACTGATCTGCAGAATTGTCAGTTGTCATCTGAGATTGAGCTTTATTTCCATGAGATACACAAACAGTTCCAGTACTTTTCCGTCTTGAAAGTGCACTTAACTGCGAGAACCTCAATTCCGTATTTAAACTATGTAAACTAGCACGATTGACGCGAGATATTTTGACATGTTTATCAAAGATAAATTGCTTGCTGTCATCATTGAACTTTATGGAACTCTTCTCATTAGCCGTTTCCACTGGATCAGGAATTAGTGCATTTTCTTTCGCAACTACTGCGATTATTTCCGTACAGATCTCATCCGATGAGTGCTGTCCAGTTGAAGGTGTCTGTCGATCGTCATCGGTTATAAGTGAATCATCATCCATATTTTCCTCAGTAAGATTCAAGACAAACTGCGCTTGAAAATGTCGACTGATAACGCTTCGATTGGTGACGGAATGAAGAAACAAGTCAGAAAGAGGTGTCTCTCATGCATTCGATCGAATTATGTAAATTCGTCAGTCAGACTTGCTCGTTCTATTTTTACTTTCAATTGTTTCATCAAAATCCCTAAAAATGAATTTCGTTTGTTTGATTCATGAATTTTTAATGAGCTTGCACGAAGGACACAAGTCCCATTTGACGAACATAATTTATTATCGAGAAATTAGCTATGTATACAAGTCAGTGGATAGCTTTTCCTTGTTCACAAGGTAACGTTTTCAGTCTGGAAAGAGAATTTGCTTTTCAATTTAATTTAATCTACTTACTAAACATTGCCGACGTCGTCAACACAATATGTTCAATTGAGTGCATCGAAATTTCATTGTTCTAGATGTAGGCGAGATGATTTGCCTATCGTACGAACTAAATTTCAACTGAAGATGTTGACAATGCTGAAATTGAATTAACGCTCCAAGAGAAAGGACGCGTTCTTCTTCTCATTTCTTCTGCCGTTATATTTCTAACTTGATCATGTTTACAACCACAGAAAATCTTAATGTCGTCAAGAGTAACGATTGATCGCTCCTAACTCATCGCACGTTGGCAATTACAGCTGATTAATAGTTTTCCGTAAGTTTCCTCATCTACTAACTTCATAGAAGTCTGCCAAACGACAGAGACGGTGCATGCTTTTATCAAAGAATCATTCGTGTCTTATGATCATCGTTCTTTTCTCTTGTGATAATGCATTCTATTAGTAGATTATCTATATTTATCGACGTTATTCGAAATACCCACGAGTACAAAATAATAGATATTTACTTGATTGATCGATGACTATATTTTCGAAATGGATGTTCGTTTTATGACAATTACATATGTTTGAATGATTGATAAAAATATGAATTGTTGCTAAATATCTCGGTAACAGCTGGTTAGAGGATTGAAATGTCAAACATATGTTCTTCTTCCTTGCGAAAACTCGCTACATTTTCTTCTCGTAATGGATTTAAATACTCCTAACGCTGTTATACCCCATAATAAAAAGAAATAAATGTCGACTATTTTTAGGAATACTCACAGGAAAGATTAGATTCCCACAATGACTTCTCGCTCGTATTCTTTCAAAGAAATTGTTTTTTTAAACTTCTTCTCAATCTACATAAAGCCATGTTTGTCAGTGGCCCTGGCTTCTTCAAAACGTGGTAATCGACGAGCTGAATGAAGACTACTGGAATCTGGAATCATATGTGAATAATACAATCAAAAACGAATGTCTTCATTTCTATTTGCTTGATCAATCATTCATAAAACTAATGAATTTTAGTTCTAGCTTATTAGTTATTCATCATATTCCTTCTCAGTATCCTTGCTTCTTCACTCAGATCGTTCTATTGAGTCTATTAACAAAATAGGAAATTAATTTCGTATTTTCATGCATATGCCTTGTGAAACCATCTTTGACGACGAGCGTACGTCTGTTGCTTCTAATCAGGCCTAATCATGTTTCCAGTTTGTTCATTACGAGGCTATTTCCGATCAGGTACATCGATGATAGATAGTCACGAAAGTTATTCACGACTGATCGGATTCAAGCGACGTTTTATAAAAACAGCAAATGATGCACTTTCGATATTTGTATTTTCAATGTCCTCACGAGGATAATATCCGGTTTGATCGACTTGTGCCTCTCTCTGTCATCGCAACACAGTTACATTTACAAACATCAAGACGTTTTTACTCCTTTTTCTCCAGAATTATAGCCTGCAGCTAATCAGACGCTCTCTCGTTTGCATTATCTGACTGATTGAACATTAGTGCGTTTCGAAATACTAATGGATAAATGGTAAACATATTGCGAGAAGATAAAAAAAGACTATTAATGTATATTTCGTCCTGAAAACGTTCACAACAACCTCAGACATTTTCATGCGAGAACTACCCGCATTTAAATACAAGTAATAGCAAACTATTGGGAGAAAGGATTTAAAGATTTGTCAAAAAATTTTAGTAAGGAAAGTTTTCCCCTGACGTAGATATAAATTTTTTATTTTTTTGTCGCAAGAAATAGAATATCTCGTTTCCTTACAAGTTGTATTTCGACATTACAAATTCAATATGAGAAAAGACGAGACCTCGAAAGAGAGACACAGAGAGAAAGTCAGAAAGGGAAGGAAAAGAAGGAAGAGATAGACAAAGAAGAAGCAGAAGAGAAGAACGTGAGAAAAACAACAAAAACGTCTTCCTTCTTTCCGTGATTACTTCTTTTACAGGCAATCTGCGACGAACATATTCTCTGTTAATTTCTTACTCTACTACTTTTTGCCAAAAATTTCTCACAGCGAATTTTTCAAACCAACTTTTCACCATGTCATCCGGTAGGTTTGTTTTTTTTTATAGATTGACATCGTCTCCTTGCGTCGCATGTTCGTTTAGCGTTTGTATGTATGGATGATCGTGATACGTTCAGTTCGTTAGGATGATTATTGCGTAGTTAAATGCATCTCAGTGTGAAAGGAGAAACCGTCACGAATGTGGGCAGTAGGAGTTTGTTGTTGATAAAACGACCGATTCATTCGTGGATAATTATTTCTATGGAAGAATAGAAGATAAATGATATTTTTAACGAGCAGAACAATATATCATGTCGCATGGGTGACAGTTCTTTCTTTTGTTTCAAGCCCAACTGATTTAACGACATGTTATTCAGATATCGATTCCGTTAATGTTTTAACATACAGTCTGGACTGTTTTTCGTGCCTAGAGATCATCCTATTAAATAGCGATTAGTCTTCAAGATCATTTAAACATCCTTTTGTTGTTTATCAACTAATCGTAATTGATTGGTGACACGATTTCTGTGTATGAAGACGAGAAATTCTTTAATTTAATAACGACCATCGCACGAATCTTTCGATAAGAATTCATATGATATACTATTGTTCTTGCTCTTGTGCATCAACTGTTGAAAATGTTAGTGCTGATTGCATTATCATGTTTACTTCATTTTTGTATACATTTCCAACCATTACCTCCTAATTGATATATATGATCATAGGTCTACTGAGTACATAGCTTCTCCGTTTTTCATCTGTATGCTCGTCGATTGTTTATTAAATTTAGAATATACTTCAATGAGACGGAATTTCCGCCGAACGTCAATAAGAATGCTAATAATAACAAGAGCAATAGGACTGATTTTGATTTATTAAATTGTTTGTTATCTTTTCAATTAGAAGACAATATGATGTTTATTGCATCTATTCTCATTCGTCAAATAGTAAAAATTTGACTCATGTTTTCATAATTGAATCGGAACTGTCCCATTTCTACATGCGAATTCTTTGAATACAAAACGCACGCACAGGTTCAAACAGTCGAATTAATCATCTATATGTATACTGATCTACTGTGCTTGATTATGATTCTGAAGGACAGTCGGTTTTTGACATTGTTCAATAGAAGAACAGTCAGAGAAAACATATTTCTTTATGTACGTGTCGCATCATATCTTTGTAGTTAACAATCAATCGAATAGTACTTGACTACACTTGTAAACGACGGACACATCAATAGAAAGCGATAAAAAGCAAAACAAAGCGGAATCGAGTATGAACGACGATAAGACATGTATAGAAGAAGAAGAAGGACAACAACAACAACAACAAAAAGATGAATATCCGTTTTCGATTCTAATAAAAAAAAAACCTTTATTAACGATATGTACCCTTATATTTCGGAGTATAACGAGGTACACAAAAAGAAACGTCGTGATTACGATTTGACTTTTCTCGAAGTTATTTGTGTGTTTCCGTACGATTGATTGGATTGATTTCATTTTCTTTTCAAAGGATTTCTCTCCTGTTTTGTCTTTGGCCATGTTTGGCGAGATCGATTATTCTCTACCAAATCCACATGGTTCAACATCTGATTCCCTCCAATCGATCCATTCGTCGATAAACTTCAATTGGCACTACTATTCAGTTGATTTCTTTCTCAATAATCTTAGCATTATGCCGGCATTCGTCGCCAACGAATCAATACTTGCAAGTACAAATCTCTCCCTCAACGCCTCGGCTAATACTTACAACAAAACGTCATCCCATGATGAAGCATCCGATTATCTTCTTTACCTAATCATTCCACTTTATTCTCTTGTTTTCGTCATCGGAACCATTGGTAACATCCTAGTCATCTTAACAGTTGTTACTGTCAAACAAATGCATAATACTACAAATGCACTAATTCTACATCTAGCAATTGCGAATCTCTCGTTTGTCCTCATGTGTATTCCGCATACGATCTATGTTTATGTTGTTGAATCTTATGATTTTCCTCGACTTCTCTGCAAGACAGCGAATACCTTGATGTATCTGAGTGCATATGTTAGCATCTATATTCTTGTTTTGATGTCTGTCGACCGATTTCTCGGCGTGGTTTTTGCCGTGAAGTCAACCAGATATCGAACTGAACGCAATGCACATTTAGCGGTCATCTTCGTCTGGCTTGTTGGCATCATCTTCTCCTCACCTAATATGTAAGTGACGGATTATCGACTCATTTCCAAATCTGAACATTGTGATATTATAGGGTTTACTATGATGTTCTACTCGCCAGTTCTGTTCATAATATTCGTGTCTGTTTATTTCGTGAAGATAATCCTGTTTTAAACACCACCCGACATATAACTGCCTATTGTTTTACTCTTTTCGGTTTAATTGTCCCATTACTTATCATTGCAATCCTCTACGGCTTGATTATCAAAGTTCTACGTCAAAATTCAGCTGGCAAGCAAGTTGCTAAAGGCAAAAAGCGTGTCACAAAGATGGTCTCAGCTGTTATCTCATCCTTTGTCATCTGTTGGACACCGATGCAAATTAACCTGATGTATACACATCAAAAACAAGTGAATATCTCCTTCGCAATCATCTCACAGAGTCTTGTCTACATCTCAGCATGTGTCAATCCGATTCTCTACGCATTTCTCTCAGAACCATTTCGAAAAACTTTCCAGCAGTTCCTGACATGCTCGAAAATCTTATCAACGAACTTACTGTCCAACCAAGATGGACCGTCGAACACTGCACGAAAAAGTTCGGCTTATCGTTTAGTGCAACAGCAATCACTGACAAGAAAAAGTTCATCAGCTCCCGCAAATAATGATATTCAGAATAGTCGTAAGTCATCGAATAATGTTCAATATAAACTTAGTGAAGTTACACTAGAGTCGAATGTAGAAACAAAAACAACAGAACCTATTAAATACCAGCGATTATCAAACACACCTCCTAATCACACGAACAATTAAAATATCTAATTTTTCTTTTTTTCGGTGCTGTTTTTCTCGAATTGTCATTTTCTCTTTCTCTCTCTCTCTTTGTCTGTTTTTCAAATCAATACTCACCTAACTATTTATTTATTTAATAAAGTTTAGTCTAAGCTGTGTAGAGAATAACTTCTGAATTAAGATAATGCAAAGCTATTCTTGAGATATGAGTTCTGTGTCTATTGAGAATCAACACTGACTAATTGGCTGTCGCAAAAAACAAGAACGACATGGTCTTGATGCTTCTAATCTTAAAGTAGGTTGCTCAAGGTATATATGCGCTCGATTTTTATAAGATCAAACAAACCAATAATGTTTTACCAATTCTCATTTATTCATCATTCGATCATGTTACGAAAACAAAGAGTTTTACTTTTAAAAAAGACTCTATTGACTAACAGGATTCATCTTATCGACTACTGTTAGACAGTACATCGAAATCCGATTTGTAGCCTTGAACACTTTATAGAAATAATCCACTTATTTCCAATTGTTAACTTCGTACACAGAACTCTCTACCGTACATGAAATCATTTCCGTATATGAGTGGTCTAAATCAAGATGAAAACGTAAAATATTTGTCAAATGTAACTCTTAGATTATCTGATAGACTAAATATATCGAATAAGATTTTATTTTGATCCGATTTTTGAGGAGAGAAATTAACTGCAGTTTTTAATAACAGGTGTCTGTTGAGTGTATTTCGTCAACGACTAAGCTAATTGTAGAGCATACTGGTTTATATTCCAATACAAAACTTCTGTCAGCTGTAAGTACGATTTTTCCGAAGTGACGATATGAAATTCTTCCACAACACATACACTTTGACTTCAAACGCATTGCAAAACGACATCTCTTCTCGTATATATTTTCAAAGAGCGAATTTGATCCATTCGATTGTTTGTAATAATCATCAGCCATATTCATTAAATATTTCGCACACTTCGAATTTGCAATTCTCATTAGTCTGTTAGCTCTTCCCAATTTCATTCTAACTATTAAAGTTTCGTTCAACATCTTCAACTATAGTGGTACCTGCATCCAAAAAGCAAACTTACCGCCAGCCACCTCCAAACGATAAATTTACTCGTTGTCTGTTACATGCCGAGAAAGCTTTTAACAAACTCTCCTTACCCTGGTTTCTTGCCTTTGGTAGCGCACTAATGTATCATCGCTCGAATAATTTCATTTCCGATGATATTGCTATCGGTATTTTTTATAATTATTTGAATGCAACGTGTCCCTCGTCGAAGCAATTGATCCCTACTTTGCGAACATTCCGTTTTCGGTCATTCTTTACGTATGGCCAACTAAATCATGGTCAACAATGGACATTTCGATGTCCGAGTTCGAAAGTTCATTTCGAAATATTCATTTTCTATGAAGCCAACTTAAAACAACGAACAACGCAAGCGTGTGAATGCCTTACCAAAAATGTCGATGAGACTTTTCTCGGATTCAATTAGAGAAATTTCGTATGTATGGAAAGACATTCCAAATTGTTTCAAAGCAATTTCTCGTCGATCAGTGTGATTTACAATGGGCTGTCCCACGTAACTATAATTATAACCAATCAATCAAAATCATGACGGATTGAGTTGGCAAACAGAGGTCTTCGTTGAATAGCACAAGAACTGGAATATGAACAGAAAGTTCAAGACAGGTTTTTACGTTATAGAGCTTATGAAAAAGACCTTAGAATTGCCGGCATCTGTATCAGCAATCACAAACTTCAGCTTTTTCTCACTATTGAAATTATTACGAAGAACGAAGCACGGAAGGGCACTCGAGCTATTTCGTGTGCGAATTCTCCTCTCGTTTTTAATTACTTCGCAGGACGCAATTCTATAATGATTTGTTTAAATTCAAAACGAATCACACATTGCCAAGAATCTAATCTCTCATGACACATTTTCCCGTTGAAACCGTATACATATGTACATAGTAATACATTATAATCTGTAAAGAAGTCGTGAGCATCAAAGCAAAAGTCACCTTCGAATGTGCCAGAGGGGCGTTACCAGATCGTATCGAATATTGATTCTCTTCCAAAAGAGAAACATCAGAGAAACACCCTACCGCTTGACTGTTTTGTTACCGATTAATCACGATAGTCTCATACATTATGAATATCAGTTGTCAGAAAGAAAATTTTTCTCGACAAATCAGAGAACTAATGAAATTAATTTCAACTAGCTTTATTCTGATTGTTTGTTCAGTAGGACGACTGCTNCGCTTGACTGTTTTGTTACCGATTAATCACGATAGTCTCATACATTATGAATATCAGTTGTCAGAAAGAAAATTTTTCTCGACAAATCAGAGAACTAATGAAATTAATTTCAACTAGCTTTATTCTGATTGTTTGTTCAGTAGGACGACTGCTTTCTTCACTAGTTTTATCTGTTTTCTTTCGTTACTTTTTATCTTCGATACAATATAGTATTCCAACACTGATTGATCGATAACGCTTATGATCTGTCGAAATTGACCTTTTCCTAGTGGTGAACATATCTCTCCGATATACGTCGACGAACGAAATGATCTTCTCATGTCCATGATAGATTATTCAAATTGTACGTCATTTGTGTAGCCTAGGTAGAGCGAAACTGGACGTCATCCAGTCACATGTACAATTCCAAACTATGACCTTTATCGTATCTTGTATTAGGTAGCAATTACATTAGTCTAAAGAAAGAAATTTGTCATTTTTTATGCGTATTTGAGTCCAGTCAACGAAAATAGACTATTGTTTTCGATCGCTTAAAACGTATTTAAAGGTGCGTAAGTGGATACCGCCGTGATCATAGATATTGAGAAGAGGAAAATAAAGCGATAGTGAACGTGTGCCCTTCGATTGCCACTAATACCACCCGCTAGTTGATATGTGTTTCATGTATGTCGCTTTTCTTCTCTTCACGAACAATTACTGTCGTTTAAACATCTGTTTCATTGAAAAGAACTTCTTCTTTTGTCATTATTGCATAAGATAACCAACAAGAAACAGATGTGGAAGAGTAAAACTGATCGAGGCGGAGCGCCTATTGATTAGAATCGAATGAAATGACATTTCATATTCTAAACTACAACCACCACATCGTGTTCTCCTATCATGCAGCGATAACTATAACATCAATACTCACTGTCCAGCTTAGTCTTTCTCTCTACAAATAATAGTCAGAATAGCGATACAACGTAGATGACTGTCAATCAAAGAAAACATTTATCTGGTTACCAATGATTGAGATAAGAGTATGAGGAAACCTTGAGCTAGAATGAGAGCTTAATTGTGAATCTGCTTGTCTCTTCGAGTTCAACGAGAGATGATGAACATTTGCAGATGTGTATGTGTGTGCACATCATGAACCGTAGAAGATTGAAATAACAAACTGGACAGGATCGTATGCGTGTCATCACCAACAACACATGATTAGGAATGTAAATTAATTTTGGCATCTACATGCGACTATCTCGTTCGATCGAGGAGCGAGAGAGAGAGAGAGAGAAAGAAAGAAAGAAAGAGGAAAGAGAGATTTGTGAATCTTCATTTGTTCTATTTCTTTCCTCACTCAGTGATGATAACAAGAAAGTTAATGGTTGTCGAGAAATAATGTGCTCTGCTGTTAGGCGTGAAATCCTTTCTGTGTGTGTGTGTGTGTGTGTGTGTGTGTTCATGGTCCCTATTTAAAACAAATAATCAGGTATGTTTTAATCGTTGAAGTTTATTCATACATAAGTCAACAATCAGCCAAAACAAATGAAAGAACTCAATATTTCGTTGCGGATTAATAGATCGAACGAAGAATGTGACATACAGAACGTGAACTAACACTTCGATCACTATCGATGAATCTCATCTTTGACACCTAGTATTCAATCTTGACAAGAATTTCAACACCTTGATCACTTCGTACGAATGCATTGTCTTTTCCTTTTCATTCTATACAATTGATTTTATCACTAACTCTTATACAGTTTCGCCACTTTAACTTTCAATTATCATCAGCATCATTATTTCGTCGAATCATGTCTACGACTTCTACTAAGTATACATGCGCACATTGATTCAGACAGCAAGATGTAGATTCTTCGATGTGTGCGACGTTTCGTTCTCTCACCCCTTGCCTTTCTGTTGTTGTTGCTGTTGTATTCAAGTAACAATAGACTAAACAATTGAAAAGTAAAATTGTCATTGTCTGGACGATATCAGAAGAAGCGAAACGGCTCATGAGGGTCGTCGAATCACAAGAGATTAGTAGCAATGAGTTACATGAATAACTTCGTCGTTTTGATCGGAAAATGCCACAATCAAATGACGTGTTGAATGTAAATAGAAGAATTCTCTTCAGCATGATTGAATAGACGTCATCATCTTCATTTAGGCTCTGACAGTGATTGAAAATCCATTTAGCGCCTGTCGATATAATTCATTTATTGTTTCGTGATTTGTCTAACGTTACACATGAATTCGTCTTTTGCTCTCGTTCTAGATGAGACAGTTTTTCAATTAGTATCGCTATTTCTAGGAAGCGAATGCTACTGTCGGCTGTTTTGATGAGTAAAGTCGATTGAGAAGGTTAATTGTAAAGCAATGAAAAATGATCTTCGCTTGTTTCCATTCTCCATAAATAATGAATTGGATACTTTCTCTCCTCCTCCTCTCTCTCTCTCTTCTTCTATTTGTTCGACGAGAATTCATTTTCACGTTCTCTCTCTCCCTCTTTCGCCCATTCGTTTATTTGTCATTTTATAATCATTTGCTGCATTGCATCGTGTGTATGAAACAAGCGCAAGTTTGTCCTTCACTCTCTCGCATGTATCTTTCTTCAAATGAAAGGAACTAAGGTAGGGAACAGTCTTCCGCTTAATTTATTCATGTAACAATGAATATGGAAGATCATCAATGAGTGAATAAGATAAAGAACACATGGGAGACTTTTAACATACAATACCTTGACGTGTAAAATTAATAAGAAAGCGGCGTTTTTTTTTCTGAACATATGCACGACACGTAGGAAAGGTGTTGATGATGTTTTAAGTTAACACATTAATATATATCTATCGCAATCGCATCTATTCTCTCATTTACTTCAATTTGTTTAATTCATGACATAACAAACGTTGCGTTGAACTTCAAAAGTTTATCTTTGTCGAGAGGAAGTGTTCTTTAATATTAATAGATGTACATAGTTACAGTAGGTAGCATTTTCATCGTTTTTAACTGAGTGTTCGATGGAGAAGGAATTCTCCATAGAATTAATTATCGTTTCTTATCCGATGCTTTATTTGTATATATAAAATATGATGTAATCATCATTAGCCTATTCGAATGCTTGTAGAGAGAATCATAACATAAATTTGTTCTTTTCAGATCATGTATTTCAAACTTTTCTTATTTACATTCATTACTCGTTCATACTCGTTAAATCTTCTCGATATATGTCAATCAGGTATTCGTGATGATGGAATGAATTATGTTCATTGCGCACGAAAATCACTTACTGACATACCTCGCTTCTCGTCGAATCGCTTATTCAATTTAGCATTCGATGAACTCATCCTCTCGGATAATCCCATCACACATATTCATGCGAATGCGTTTCTTGGTTTACGTATAAAACGCTTAATCATGTCCGGAACTCGTTTGAAGTCAATCGATCAACACGCGTTTCGTGAATTGGAAAATTATCTCGAAGAGATCACTTTAGAGTTTGATTCAAGCGTTGTCGATCGAATTCCACAAGCTATTCAAACGAATCTTCTTAATATCAAAAGCTTAACTCTCATCGGCTTGAATCTCCGAATCCTCCCATCGAATGTCTTCAATCAAATGAAAAAATTAGAATATCTCAATCTGAAATCTTGTCATATTCAGCAAATAGAAGTCGATGTATTTCAACCGATTGTAAATCAACTGCGATATTTATACCTTGATTATAACCAATTAACAAAACATGTCTTCGGGGAAATCAAGCATTTGATTTACTTAGAAAAATTATCGTTATCACATAACAATATTCAAGAATTCGATGCTAGATTGCCGAATAAACATTTAACTTATCTCGATTTATCGTACAATTACTTGAAGAGTTTAGTTTTGATCAATTTGACGAATCTGCAAACACTAAATTTACAAAACAATCTTCTCACTTCCGAGCAAATCACCGGTTTGATACCAAAAAAATTAAAAGAACTAAATCTGGATTTCAATTCGATTCATTTCCTCGATAAACAGCGGATACCCAGAGAGAATTCTTTAGAAATCTTATCTATACAAAGCAACGATTTCCTGTTGGCCGATGCGAACATTTTTCAGTATTTAACTCAATTGAAAAAGCTAAATCTAGCAAGAAATAATATTCAAATCATACCGAAAGGTAATGATGATTTCATCATCAATTGTTTAGATAACATCTCCCAGAAAGAATAAACAGAAGCATTCGATTGATTAACAGAAATAATGATGGCATTATTCATGAGTGATTTGTTATCAGAAGAAGAGATCAGTTCTTGTATGTTATTTGCATGATATAATGTTCTCGATTTTATCGATATTTGACGTCTCAGGTCGAACGATTCAGATCGGATTGTTACGGTAGATGCGCAGAAGGTCATCTATCTTAGTCAGTCTTCGTTTCCTCGATCGTATCAAATGAATATTTTATAATATGTATACTTTTAGGTTTATTCAATTGGACACGATCGTTGCAATGTTTAACAATGGATCGTAATCCATTATTAATGTTATCACCAGATACATTTTTTGGTCTTGAACACTCTCTAGTTAATATAAGTTTACAATCATGTTCGTTAACATCAGAATCGCTAGAGTCTTTATTGCCTTTGGAAAATCTCGAACGTGTTAAGCTCCAGTCGAACTTTTTAACAACAATTTTACCAGCGAATCTGTTCTTTTCAATGTCAAAGTTACTTGTTCTCGATCTGCAACGCAATCAATTAATAGAAATCCCGTCGAAGTTTCCACCGTCGTTACGAGAATTAGATTTGGGAAATAATCGTCTCTCCATTCTTCCGTTTACTAACCATACGTTTGGACAATTATCTCAACTCGTAACTCTGGATCTTAGTTCCAATCCACTTCAATGTGATTGTCGAGTAAAACCATTATATTATTGGTTATTGACACATTTTCAACCCGAACTTGTCCCATACGTGCAATGGATCTGTTCGACGCCGAAAGTTTTAGCTGGAAAGCAATTAGGAACTCTTTCTAATCAACAATTCATCTGTGTAGAAAAACAGTAAATATTAAAAAATGTCGACAATTGTTTTAAGCACTTCCCATTTTGTTTTAGGTTATTGTCATTCAATGTTTGGCCGAAAGATTCCAAAACAGCTTTATTAGAATGGACGACGACCTTCTCGGGATCGCCTATAGAACTACTAGTGGTTGAAAATGATATTCCATTACCGAAACTTCAAATGAATGATACACAGAATTACTTTTTCCTCGAGAATTTAAAACCTTCTACTTATTATTCCTTATGTTTACAAACAGATGACCAAATTCAATGCCGAAATCTAACAACAAAATCCCAACAGATCGTTTCTCTGACATCCTCCTCCTCCTCCTCTTCATCATCGTCACCAATGTCGTTGTTTACGATTGATATTCAATATTTAACTATTGGCATTTCATTTAGCATCTGTATTGTCCTACTAATCCTTTTCTTTCTCATACTAACCTTAATCAAACATCGTATTAAATATCCCCCTTCATCGAAAACAACAGCAGCAACAATTGAATCTTACTATCAAACAGGAGGATCGGATACGACTCAAACGGCAATCTGCAGTAAATCTCTTGAAGAACATTCAGTCAATAGTCTTCAATACCATCGATCAACTCCAATGTTCTGCTACTGCCAATTGCCGTCAAATTATTGCCCGGATCAGCAATCGTATCATTTCTATCATGAAATTCCTCTGTCCAAACCTGCTGTACTCATTTAGCTCGTTTTATGAACAGTTCCGTTTTCTTTTATAACTAGTCAGATATTTTTTGTTCTTTTTTTGTGAATATAAATGAAATGATATGTGTATAGAAAAAATGATTTGAAATAAAGTCTTGATTAGAGTCATCATGAATCACTCCGAGTCGCTGTGTGACGTACCAGGTGATCTGAATGTTTATTCTCTTTAAAAATAGAATGCACTTACGTATTTATTTGCTGGAAAAAATTCGTTCCGGTTTTTGTACTGCTTGCAAGAAACAAGTCTCCTAGGTAACTTTAATAGATTTGTTATCGAAAAATATGGCAAACAGAACACCTAGAGGGGTGTCCTATAGTTTCTTAGGAATATTTTTCTGTTGATGAAACAAATTATGCTTCATAATCGAAAATAAAATGTGAAAATTACATTTTCAGATGTAAAGGGTTAAGCAAATACTTAAAGTAATTATTCTCGTGTCAACAAATATAGGTGTGGTATAAAAGGGCTTATGTAACTGGCAAGATCATCAGTACCGTATTCGCATTCGGCAATGATGAAAGTTACTTTTCTTCTGTGCCTTACCTTGTTGAATTTTCCAAGTTCAAGTAAGAATATTATAGAAAAAAACTATCGAATCTATGTAATACCTTTTTTCTCTCGTTTGAAGCACCATGCGTAGTTACGTATGGACAATGTGGTGGTCTTAATTACAACGGTGCAACAGATTGTTGTGCTCCGTCAACATGCCAATATAACAATGATTGGTATTCACAATGTTTACCTGGAGCAAGCCAATCATCATCCACAACAAAAGCGTCGTCAAGCTCAACTAAAGCATCCAATCGTACGTATAGATGATCGCTGTTTCCCTGTACTAGCTTCTCTATCTCTTCAGAAGGATGTAGTGCTGTTTATGGACAATGTGGCGGAACAGGATGGACAGGTGCAACTCAATGCTGTGCTGGTTCTACATGTGTCTACAAAGAACAGTATTATTCACAATGTTTACCAACATCTACAGCGTCGACAGCTTCCTCGAGCACAGCTAAATCATCCAGCTCGTCCAGTACTACAGTCAAATCGACCACAGCATCTAGCACTACAGCGAAAACAACAACAGCTGGTAACGATGGTCGACAAAATGGCGTTACAACTCGTTATTGGGATTGTTGCAAAGCAAGTTGTGGTTGGTCGGGCAAAGCCAGTGTAACAAATCCAGTAAAAACATGCGCAAAAGACGGTATTACAGCTGTTGATGTTAACACTCAATCAGGTTGCAATGGTGGTACTGCGTATATGTGTAACAATCAACAACCATGGAATGTCAGCTCCACCCTCTCCTACGGTTATGCTGCTGCTTATATTGCCGTAAGAAATTTTGCTTTAACGACAAAAAATACCTTCCTAAATTTTTTATAATAGAACCAAAGAGAATCCGATTGGTGTTGTGCCTGCTATTCATTAGTGTTCACAAGTGGATCCGTTGCTGGCAAGGAATTGATCGTTCAAGTAACAAACACAGGCGGTGACCTCGGCAACAACCACTTCGATCTCCAAATGCCCGGTGGTGGCGTTGGTATTTTCGACGGCTGTTCAAGTCAATTTCCTAGTGTGAGTAAAAGTTCGTGGGGACAACAATATGGTGGTATCAGTTCCCGATCCGACTGTGATAAATTACCAGCCGTTCTTCGATCTGGCTGTTTATGGCGCTTCGATTGGTTCATGAATGCCGATAATCCACAAATGCGCTTCAAACAAGTAACATGCCCAGCAGTTCTTACTGCAAACACTCAATGCGTTCGAAAATAAATAGCAACCAAAAATATGAACACTATTTCCACACTCCCTCTTTTCTTCTATTTTATCACAACATTCACTTCTAACTCAAAACCATGTAGAACCTTTTTAGTCACTCAATTCCAATAAACTGATCTATTCCCACACTTGTTGATTTCGATTTCGAAGCTAGAGCATATACATTTGATATATATTCTTATGTTAGTTTTACAGTAAAATACACGCTTGTGATTTCGAACTGTTATTATTATCCGTCGTTCGATTCGATCTAATCGTTAGCATCGTTTCGTCTCGCGGTAGTTTTTGCCGTTTCACTTGTGACATTGCATCGATTGGTGATTGACTATAAGGTGTATTTGCCGGTGACAAATGTCGTTTGAAAATACTCTTCAATTCGTTATCATCTTCCAAATCATTTATCATGCCAATAATATCGAAACATTCCAATTCTTCTGCTCGTGATCGAAACGAAACGCAGCGCGAATTTGTACTATTAATTGACTTTGTTATATACATTCGACCAGTTAATGGCAAACCCAATTCGATCAAGCATTGAATCGCTGTGACCGAGCGATGTTCTAATGCAACAAATATCAACGGAACATAACGTTGCCCTCGAATCCAATCGTTTAGATACGAATTTGGATCGAAATCTGCGAGGTAAAATCCCATTTGATTCATTGTGTTATTAAGTGCCATTAAGTCGTTGATCGAATTGGTTTCAATAGAGTTTTTTAACGGAAAATAGAATGCAATTTTCAAATAATCGCTTATTTCAGGTAGTTCTTTCTCAAGTGCATTCTTAGGAAACCCTTGAGCGTAGAATTCCTCACAGCATAGGTCGAAATTCTTCTGATAATCATCCGGCAACAAATCAAAACAATCACGCGTCTAAATTACATTTTAAGTCATTAAAAAATGTGTAATTTCGACAGGAAAGTTCATACTTTTTTCGCCTTGGCTTGTTGCAGAATACTGATTGCCGTGTCGTCGTGCATTATACATGCGTAATGCAGTGCCGTTCGATTGAGATTATCTTTCATATTGATAAGACTAACATGATTTTCACAGATAAAACTAAAGACAAAACTTCCGAGTTGACATATTTCGAAACAAGGAAAGATTTATACTCACCTTAGAATTCTTCGGCATCGGTGAAGAACAGCTAAGTGCAGACAAGTTCTTCCTGACCAATCTTTTGCTAAGTGGATATTCGCTCGTGCTTTTAACAAATGTTGAACTTGTCCGAAATTATCGTTGCTTATTCCTTGAACGAGTTCATACATCGATGCTACTAAACCTTGCCGCACTTTCAATGGACATAAGAGATCATTTACAGGTTTAGGCAACTGTACATCGTCGTCATTAAACAACAGTAATAGATGATACCCAAAGCCGTTTAAGATACAACGTTCCATAAAAAGATTATTCCTCATTTGATTGATCAAAGTGTTCTTAATAATCTCATAGAAAACGCGAAACTTATTGTAGGACAACGTTGGTGTTAATTCAATCTCCTCAACAACTGTTCGTCCTCTTTCATTCCGTACTGTTAGCAAAATCGGTTGGTTCAGAAGGATTTCTTCGAACGTAGTTACCAATTGTTGATTCTCATTTCGATCGTATAGATGAACCAAATGGAAAAGAAATGTTTCGCCTTTGCACGATTTGACACCGAAATTCGCATTCGTGAGGATTTGTTTGTGTATGTCGTCGGATATCCATTTATCAAACATATGAAAGAAGAACGGTAAACCATCAGTACACATGATATTAACATCGATTTTTGATGCTAATGTCGTTGAATTTAATATTAACTCAAACGGTTCGGAGGATTTCGAATCAATGCAAAACTCGAGTAACGGCTTCGAATAAGTTCGATTCGTTGCACGAGTCCATGTGAACGTATGAATGGAATCGGAAACATTCACTTTTATAAATTGGCCTTCGAATTGATGAACCAGCGTTGCACGATCCCAATCGCAGGCAATAATCGAATGAACAAATTCAATTGTCACTTGATAATCAGCAAGGATACGAATGATTTCTGTACAATTGATCTCACGAGCTTTATCCAATAATGTCTGACTACTATTATGCTTACAATTGATTTTGATGAAGCCTTTCACTAATCGTTCAGTTTCTTGGATATTGCTTGTTTCAATTGCGTTCCAAATTCCTTCGCCATAGCCACCGTAGAGTGCGTTCAATTGTGGATTGTCATCAAGATAAGCATCGGCGACTTTTCCTTCCTTATTTACAATACGCTGATCGACACCGATACGGAACAATGCCTGGAAAACATTGGTAAAGTTGAACATGAGTTTACCGACAAGAGATACCTTACCTGGATGAAATCAAAACCAGTTTCCAAATATCCACGGATAAGCACCTCATGTAGCGGTGTATTTCCTTTCGCGTCGACAACGTTCGGATCGGCGCCGGCATTGCTCAATGCGTACACCATTCGATATGCAACACTAAATTGATACCGTGATTGTTATTCATTCGTACTTCACCATTTTTTCTTACTTTTCTTGTTCGCTCGACTTTCGACAGAGAATGTGTAGGTAAGAACCGTCAATTGGGTGGTACAGTGCAGCTAATTCTGGTTGCTTGTGAAGAATCGAGTTCAATTCTTGTAAAACTTCATCCGAATACACCGTTTGCTTAGTTAACAGTTCGTAAAGCTCATTGTCATAGAATAATTCAGGATTTTTCGACATGATGAAAAAGATGCAGCCGAACGTGACACTTCACAACACACGATTGTTCCGATCGGGCGGAATTTTTAATATTTGAATGATAAATATTTGTTCTCGCGGAGAGTACGAAAGTTTATTCCGTTTGAAGAATTGTCAGGAAAAGGAGAAAGTGAGAAAAAATTCATTTCCTCTTCTTTTACTGAGCGTAACTAGAGTTTTTCTTTGAACGCCATTGGAAATTATAATTTAATAAGGTTTTTTCTTCACAATGGAAAAAGCAACGGTGATACTTTTATGTCAGCTGTTATTTTCTTCATTTGATTAAAAATGTTACTTGCATAAGCGACGCCTGGCATTCAAAGATGACAATCAGACCCTTTTTCTGTTCATGTCTAATAAATGTACTTTGAAGTTTTGAAGAAAATGTGTCTCCGTAGAAAAACAAATACTCGTGATGTGAGGATTTTATCGTAATGAACTTTTACAATATTGAGAGTGTTTACTCTTTTAAGAACGCAATTTATTCATGAGATTGAAAGAAAATTGAAGATGTAGATTCACAAATCATTCTTTTCCGTATCGCCTTTTGATTGTTTGTTTTCGTCTGATGGGGTGTACACTTCTCGAAGACAGGAAGCATCGTGATTCTTCAGTGCGCGATCTTCACAAATGTATTTTTCCAGTGTAGCTTCGTTTCGTGTTTTTTTATCAAAATACCATTGCTCAATGCTTTCTTCTTGCTCTTCAAGCATCTCTTCACACTAAATGGAAGAAAAGAAAAATGAAAGTTGCTCTAGAGCGCTTGAGCAAACTAAATAACGAACGTATTTCTTCAATTGAGTAATTTCAGCTGATGGTGCATCCCAAAGATTATCAGGAACATCGAGAACGACTTTAACTCCTTTGTTTCTATAAGAAAGTTCCAGCCGAATAAGTACATCGAGATGAACTTTCACTTTACCGTAAATTCCATAAGGTATCCATAGTTTGCGATCGGCCACGAGCATATCGTAACGATCCAGGACGTTCAGCATGAACATTGTAGTGAAGAAATCGTTCGCAAACATTTTCCAGCGTTTCAATCAAACGCGTCTCTCTAAAAACAAGGATTTAGCAAAAAAAACCATTTAAGATGATACGTACGAATCACTATATTTTATCTTTTTCGGTTGTTTAGCATCAAGTGAATAGCTGGTTTCGATCACACTAGGGCTATTATGCTCCTGGAAGCTTTCAGTCAACTCCTGAGCAAGTAACTTGCATACTAAATAACGAGAATGTCTCATAGTCTGTTTTGACCCTTGAAATAAATATACCTTCACATTTCGTTGGTAATCGATTCGGATCATCCGCAAAATTTATTGTAAATAGACAGAAAGGGATCAATATGAAAGATAGAAACATCGATTATATCTAGAAAAAACATTCAGCCGGTATATATTTCCGTGTTAGAAATAAATAGAAAAAAAAGAAGGAAGAAATATTTTAATGTGATTTCGAATGGACTCTCGGTTTCGTGTATTGATATGCCCACCAAATTAAAACTAATTGCAATGGAAGACGAACTAATGCCATATATTTATATGAATGATTGTTCGCCCAAAAGTCTTGTGCCATTTGAATATTCGCTGGCGCTAAAACAAACAAAACAACCGATCTTACGTGAAAAATCATCTCCGACATTAACTTACAAACAGCGATTAGTAGAGCAATGGTCAGCCAAGCACCTAACCGACGTGTTGATTCAAAGAATAACATCAAACCACATATAATTTCAGCTACACCGGATAGATATATAAGTTCAAGGTGATACGGTAAGTAACGTGGCATGATCGGAAGATAAAAGTTTGGATTAATGAAATGAAGAGTACCTGCAATGATATATATCAAAGCCATGAAATTCTTGAGCGAGAGCGACATTGCGATTGATTTCGACCAGCAAATCTGAAAGACTGTTCCGTGAGTTACAATTTCCGTGCAATTCGACTCGAGTCTACAAAAGTTCGTACTCTTTTATCATCCGAATATACAAATAGATAACAGAGATATGACAAAGGACTCGTTGTTTTCTTTTTCGAACGACCGAGTGTCTTATCAGCTAGTCCGATGTTCATTCGACTAAAGACTACGTTATTATTGATTTGTTTATCTCTTTGTATGGAACAACAAATGAACAAGAACGAGAAGATCACAATGAATTTATTTTTTCTATACACATACATGAAGAATACAGAAAGTTCCTGTAGACATTATTGTCTAACTACATACATATTCGCTGGGATTGTTTTATAATGCATATTTGTCAATATCTTGAATTTCGAATTTTATGATTGATTTCAGTAAAAAGTCACTTGTGACGTATTTTGTAGTCGGCACATTATATGGAATGTATTTTTCTTTGATTTTCGCCAAGTTTTTCTCATTGGTGTCACATAGGACAATTAATGTATCAATGATTTGATCATGATCATATAATTGCGCACCACTCAATTCAATTAACTCAACGAGTTCGTTGCGATTGATCGAACCCTGACATTGCCGACATTCGATAGCAAATGCGTGTTTGGATGTAAACAAATACTGATTGTGATTTTGGAAATTTTGTACAGACGAACGTAGTGTTGTATGAGAATCACTTAGAATTTCAAAAGGATGCTCGTCGAGAAACGTATGCGTGTGAAGACAATCACGTATCCAACGTGCGGAGATGATAAATATATGACGACGAACAGCTGCTTGAACGATCTTCTTGGTTATTGTACAATGTAGAGATTTTTCGCTATCGTCTACTAGTAGATGTGTAGTATGATCATTAACGACTAAGTTTGTTGACAGTTGGACTTGAGGAAACTGACGAATCATGGTTAGAATATCGTTCTAGAAGAGTTAGATTGTCAGATGAGAAATTCAGTTGGAAAAGCGGTTTTACCCATTGTTCATCAATGAGAGTAGTTGTTGAGAGAACAATCTGAAAGCGAAAAAGATGAATATTGAGAAATTTTGAGGAGTGGTGTTACATTTCTCGGTGAATTCGAAGATTTATTCAATGATTTTGATATAGAATTTTGAGAATCGTATTTACGTCGTTTTGTCGTTGGTTCAATTAACAGTTGACGGGACAGTTCGTTCGTATTGTTATGCTAAGAAGACACGAATAGACTATCGTTATTGTATAACATCGACTTACATTGATATTCATTTCGCCTAAGCCATTCTCTTCTAAAATAAGTCAGAAGGTGATGATAGATTTTAAGATAAAAACTGACCTTTAGCATTCTCTCGTGCTCTGTTGACACATGCCGTTATGAATGCCGAAATACTTGAACATTGTTGACTTTCAAATTCACGTTGATGTCTATGGAAAGAGTGTATCATCTGTATATTAGTGAAATCGATATTTACCGTCGACAAAATGTTTCTGCTTGTCGATGAACTCGACTACGGCAGATTGGAATCGAACAGAGAAAACGGATTCGACCTGATGCATCACGAAACGATCGTTTGGTTCCCGGCCGTTCTTGTGCCTACTTACAAGCATGCAAACACTCGTCAATTCAATTCTCTGTTCTACTTTTTCGGGCGATTCATATTCTTCCGAGTGATTTCCATTTGTACCATTTTGCGTAGTTGATGTTATGGTATTATTCAAAAGTGGAGGATTTTCTTTCGGTTGATCCGATGTAACAGGAGCTGAGTAGCGTGTCTTCTTCACCCGACCTGTTTCTTCGTTAATACTACTATTGTTTTCACCGTCTTCAATGCCATCGTTCATGTTGTGTCTAAAATAAGTTGAGGTATTAGTCGAAATTTCGTATTCAGTAGACAGATTACGCTCGACAGAAAATATCCGTTTGACGTTTGAGCATATTTGTGCAATTTGCTTCGGCACATAAGAGTCGACGACGTCCAGAACTATCACGAAAACTACGTGCACCTGTGGCATCATCTACTTCAACAGCGCGATTCGACTAAAATAATCGACAAAGAAGCATTTCATGTTGTTATGAGCTAGTTGATTTACTTTGACTCTTTGTCTTGTTGGCTGTGCTAATGTTTCATTACCATTTTCGTGAACTTCATTTTCCGTCATTGAATCTAAATCTAATTGAGAGTATTTTCGTCTTGAATCAATCTTTCCGCTTACTGTCATGTTCAATTTCATGACCATTTTCATGTTCTTCCATATTCGCCTCAGATTCTTCCTTTAACGAATCCTGAAGAAAAGAATTAGTTTATTTAATACTTGTATGTTTGCTCTCTTACTTGAGATGGCATATCCTCATCGGCGATTTCGCTATGATCATTCAGAATGCTTTCGTCAGCTAGAGAAAAAAGCTCAGTTTAAATGCAATGAAAATCGCAGTCTGTCTATTTACCATCATCCAATTTGGTTGATACATCATGTTCATTGTCAGCAGTTTTGAGTTCTGAGTGACTACGAAAAAGTCTGAAATCCAAATTTTCAACCATGTCAATGACAACTTACGCTCGACAAAAAAAATCCGACTCCCGAGTAACACGTGCTTCACAATCTGGTCTTGAACAAACATAATATCGTCGACCACCTGGCCGTGATGAAGATCGAACAACAAAATATCGTCGACCCGATGCGTCTGCTGTAATGATCGTTTTTTTTACAACTGGTTTCATCTGAAAGAAAGAAATCACAAGCTGTCATATGTCGCAGCCCATTACACGTATTCACGAGAAGAATCAATTCGAATTATGAATTGCACAAGAACGTCGGAGATCGCTACTCGGTACTTTCTAAGTGAAAATTTAGGCGCCTCGATTTTTATCTCAGTATACATTGGATTGTACGGAATAAGTCTGATTATCTACTTTGCGTATCAGCTGATGGATGACACTGCATTTGATCAGGAGAATGGTCTCTCCCAGGAATTCTTCTCCACATTTCATCAAATTAACGAACGAGAAGAAATCTACAGTAAGAAGGAAAGGAAACTCGTATCAAATCTGTTTCTATATTTAGATAGATTAACGAATAGAGAATGGGTCAAAGAAGTTTACAAGATCTACTATTCAAGTGAAGCAGAGAAATGCGACGTTATCGAAGAAAAAGCCGAACAGTGCTCGAGAAAATATCAAGAAAAAATGCAAAATCTTCGTTCGAAGCACACATACTATGTGACTGATGTATTGACATCATCGCCATTGATTACTACTGTCTAAATATCTTCTAATCAATCAAATACGAACATAACGCAAACCAAATGTATGATTTATCCACAAAAAGTACTTTTTTGACAAGTAAGTAAATGAACGAATCGATTGGTGTTTCTTCTCAAACTAATGAGTGTTTACCGAATGAAAAATGAAGTTCGCCTACTCGAGAGATTCTGCAGATTACATTGAAGTCTTAACAATTGAAGTCACCGGTTTTCTTACCGTCGAAGTTCGATGATTATGATCGCATTCTTTTCAAAAAGACTACTGTGTTGAAAAAACGAAGGAACGTCTCAAAGAAAGACACGACAAGCCAATCAAATGAAGTTTTTATCTAATTTTCTTCTTCCATCTCCACCAATCCGCATCTTGATTTCATTCTGAACTTTTCAAGAAAATAACTCAAATTTATTCTCAATTTACTTATCTGCACATTCATTATACATTTTAACGTAATCTTTTACTGTTTCGAACATAAGCATAGATGGCAATAGTGGTCAGTGATGAATACTTTTGTTTTGATCATATGCTAAAGAAGAACAAATTTGTCATTAGCTTTTATTGTGTTAACAATTCATTGTAGAAAATTTCGACAAGCTTTTTAAAACTGAAACGGCTGGGCGTTGTTATTAGAGGAATTTTCATTCGAGTTTCCAAATGAAAATTCAGTATTTAGATTCGCTGACAGCATATCGTCATCGTCCTAAAGGAGAATCAAAGAATTTCATGAGAAAAAAGCGCTGTTTGGAATCATACCGAATCGTTTGGGAAGAATTTATCAATAATATCGTATGATTGTTGGTAGATATCTTTATTCGGGTGGATTTGCAGTGCTTCGATCTTATCAAGACCGCCACATTCTTCAATCTCCATGATAACAGTTTCCAGATCATCATCCGGTGTTTGTTTGAGTATATTATGTAGAGCATCGAGACAAACTTGCAACATTTGAACATCTTGTTTTTGTAATAGATTACTATGGAATGGAAAGAAGATCATAAGAAAAAAAGAACAAGGAGAAATTTTACCAGAGAGGAGCTACAACATGTTGGCTGACGATGTACTGAATTTGTTCTTTCGTGCCACTTAGTGTTAAGTTTGATATACACCAAACTGCTTCTTTTTGTATAGAAAGTTCACTCTGCAAAGAACCGAATGGTTATCAATGAGGAAGGATTGACTTCTGAGATACGAACGTTCTGTAAATGATGAATGACATCGGGAATCAACTGTGCGTTAATCACAGCTTGTACTTGTTCTTTATTACCAGCAGTTATGTTCGATAGAAACCAAACAGCTTCCTAAAACAATATCTGATACTGAATGACGTTTTCGCCCAAAGGATGTTACGTACTTTCTTTATTTTTTCTCTCGGATGTTGTAACAATTTCGGAAAATAAGCAAGTACTCCATGATTGAGAACCAACTGCGTTTGCTCATCAGTACCGGTTACAATATTTCCAATCGCTCTGAGTGCTAAATTAGTTTAAAGTAAGTGTTGGTTTCACTGTAAAAGAAAACATTCATACCAGGTGTGACAATTCGAACTTCTGTGTGAGCTAACAATTTGATTATATCGGGTAAAACGCCCGAATCAAGAACAATCTAAAAGTATTGTCTGAATTACAATTCGGACTTTGATGTGATGGTATCTACTTGAATCATAGCATTCCCACAGTCGAGAAGATACGCTAATGCCCATGTTGAATCAATCAGAATCTAGACAAAAGGAATATGCACAGAAAACGGAATATTTCAGCGACATACAGCCATATCAGTGTATTTTAGCACATATTTTATCGCTGGCAGAATCTCTTCTACAGCGTGGAACGCCAGCGGAGGATCTTTGTGACGACAGAGATTAACAATAACCCACGTAACATTTCGAAGAAAAATAACAGGAATATCCTTTTGAATAAATTTCAATAATGGCTGAATAATACCTAAATCAACGGCATTGTCACGTAGTGTCGGACCATCACCTAAACAAAAGGTAGTCAAAATATCAGTCGATTCCGACTTGATTTCTAAGATTTTGTTTTACCAATAAGATTTCCTATGGCCCAAACTGCTTGTTCGCAAACATTGTCACGTGGTGATTGCAGAAGACGTAATAAATATGGCAAAGCATTAGCATCAGCTACAGCTTGTGTTTGTTGTGAATCACCGGATGCGATATTTGTCAATGCCCAAGCAGATTCGAATTGTAGATCGGGATATTGATCGAATGTTAAATAGCGAACAAACAGAGACAGAAAATCCATTTGAATCACTTCATTGATTGGCGGATGGTGACCCATCGAGAGGAGTTTTCGCACTGCATGTATCGCTTCAAAACGTACTGTTGGATCTTCGCTTCTAGCTCGAATAGCAAGGTCGTTGAGATCCTTTGTTTGATTGGATTTCTCATCGTTATCAGATTCATCTGTCATACTCTCTTCAGCAGGCAAATTTCGTTTGACTTGAATTTGTTCCTCGCGTTGTTTCTAAAGCGAGAAAAAAAACACGATATGATGATTTTCGTGTTCCGTGCAATTTTTCGTTAGATCGAAACAAACTTTGCGAAGTGTAATATTTGATTGGGTTCGTTGACGTCGAAGTTCGCTGAGATCTTTCCCATGGTGTTTATAGGAATTCATCCGCGTAGAAGTTGTTTTCGATGAAGATGCATCCATGACAAACACAACAAACAGACAAATAATGTGCTTGTATAGCTTACTTTCGGTTTTTCACAGGAAAACTCAATTACGATGACTCATCTATCATTTCCTCGAATCAAATTCTTTAGCATAGCTATGCACTCTGTCATGCGCACGTGCTACTCAAAATACAGAACGCTTCTTTCATAGTGTAAAACTCATGAAAACAATGTAGGATATACATCTTTCGTCTTATTTCGGCTATGCAGCAATTGAAGATGTAATTTGTAGAAAAAAAGTTCAAAAGTACATTTCTGGATGTGAGTTCGGAATAAATTCTGGATAATTTCAATGAAAACCAAATATGATATCTTATCGGCAACATATTTCTAGTAGAATGGAATTGTTGAAACATGTGTAGTGCGATCCTTTTTATTGATTTAGGAACCAGATTTTTGAAGTCAGTTAGCCGACAAAAGAAGAAAATATTAGTACCTAAGGATGAATATTCAACAGGTAATAGACCTGAGAGGAGCGCCACACAATCCGTTCAAGTCACAGTGTAAGTCAGAAACAAATCATCACCGGTTGTTATTCTCTCTATATATAGAAATGATTCAAGGTACTGCTTTAAATAGTTCACCTTGCAATTGACAGAAATCATTTCACGATTAACCACACCCATTCGATAACTATACCATCACCGCTGACTCTTAAATTACTCTTTAAATAATGATACACTTTCATGTCTGAAAATCACTCAAAGCTTATTCATTCTCTCTATGTCACTTCATTCTCCCTCCAATCCTCAGCGAGATCACGGTGTAAGCCAAGAGCCGCTCTCGAATAAATGCTCCACTTCAAACCTTCTCACAAATAAACAACTAAAACTGACGTTTACATTTGTCCACCTTATATCTCTGTTAATCTTATTAGTCTTGAGACATATACAGAGTAATTTATATACGATTAAACGATCTACTTCGTTGGATTAACATCATAAATACATTGATAATCGATATCTATAAACACACACACGTATACAAATGCAGCTAGTCCTCGTGTCATATAACACATTATTGTGCATGCATGTGTACTTGTCAAATAGAATGTAGGCGTGTAATACTTATGTATATATAAATGTATTTTCAAAAAAAGAAATCTCGATACATTGTGTCAAGGTTTTTTTTTCTGTACAAACGTAATCCGATGTGAAAGTGACATTCAAATAAATGAAGTTCTTTTAATCTTTTCTATATGTATGCATATTATATAAGAATTTAAAACAAAAAAAAAACGAGAGAACATTTTTCTTCTGACATGTGCGATGATTGATGAGAATTTTTTTATTAAAAGATAACTTTGAAAATAATCAAGCCGAATGACAAACATGATCATAGTATATCATTGTCTCTACTACCTCGAAGTAATATGATTGAGAGAGATAAGATATCCTTGATGGATAACAATTACACTCAATCAGTATGTGTTTGTCAGTAGGTGACATGTGTTCGCCCAACTGATTAATAATCAATGAAACACTCACACTTGTCGCTCTCCACTGGCCTTGTTCTCGTGCATAAATACATGTATCGATACAGGTGCTTGTCATTACGGTTAAACAGATATCTTTACATAAACTAGTCAACTAACATTTACGAAATAATGTTTCCTCTGTCCTAATATATATGCATAAAAGGATTGTTTTTCGATAACATAGACCGCCGAATTCGTTGTAAGAGGTATACTCAAGCATAAGTGAAAGAGTAAGTTTGCATATCGAATTCAACTCTTTTCATGTAGAAAATTATATATCGAAGAATTTGTATGTCTCCATATTTCTTTTCAAAGTATATTTATTTATATGTCACAATTTTCTTTTTTCTCGTCGCCATCGTCTTCGCTGCAAACAGAAAGCAATAGAAGGATGAGGGAAAAAAACGAGAGAGAGAAAGAGAAGATTCTCTGTTTTCCTTTTTTTCTGTCGTCCTGGTTCCTTGTCGGTTTCTAAGTGAAGAAAATTCTCTGCTCATACCAATTGTTTTCCTTTCTTTAACGTTCAGACGTTCCCTTATTATTGTTCAGTATTAGATAGATGAATGCATTAAATCGGTTGAAAATATGCAATTAAGTCTATGAATTATATTCAAAATTTTCGGCTCGATAACGACGGTAACAAATGCTCCATTTTTCTCTCATTTTTATATGCAAGTTGTAGCAGCATAGAGAGAGCGAGTAAAAGAACATAAAGAAAGAAAAGGAGAACATATATATACATATTCATAGGCATATACATATATACATATATGAAATAGGCAACAATCCAACTTATTCCTATATGTATTCATCATCTTCACCTGTGCGTTCGCCAACATTTGGGGTAGGATCGACAAATTATCAACAACAACCTTCGACTCGAATGAACTCTACTCCTTATCAAACAATGGACGACGCTGGCAGTTCATCTTTGCGTGGTTTCAATACAGGATATTCAAACAGTGCCTCATCAGTAACATCGATTCCAATACGGTCAACAACACCATCGAGAAAATATACAAATGACATCAACACAAATAAATACCAAACAAATCCCTATCGGTCCTATACTGTTGACAGTGATATTTACCGTTCAAACAATTCAGTTGGTAATCAACGTACCACTTCTTATGATGATCTGCTGAACGGCCAAAATCAAACATATCGATCTCAATCATCGATTTATAATTCTTCGACACGTATTGGCGCGAATAACAATGATCGTCCATACACGCCAAATCCGCCCACTCATTACATTCGTCGTTCTGAGTATGATGATGATTTAATCGTTAAATCAACTGATCTCTCAGCTGCAAATGAACAAGAAATGCTCGAATTAGTTCGTCTATCGCTTCGTAAATTCGACATCAACAATCAACGTGAATTAGCTGGTTTCCTCAAACGATCTGCCGACAAAGCCTTCTCATCCTGTTGGCATTGTATCGTCGGTAGACAATTTAGTTCGTATGTCACTCACGAAATGAACGGATTCATATATTTAACCAAGGGTCCATTGTCAATTTTGTTGTTCAAAAGTGGAACATAGAGATTGACCCATTCGTTTATGACATATGCTTTGTCTGTATATGGAAAACTCTTAGTATTTATTTTTATTTTCGTTCGTTTTACCTTAGACGTTTGACAAAAATAAATCGTAAACAACATCATGTAAATGTCTATGCAAATCTTGCGGTTGTTATTTTTTCGCTTTATTTCACGCGCAGAAGTAGGAGAAAAAAATACATTTTACCTTTGATTATCTTCAAGTAGTCTTTTTCTTCCGCGGTGAAAAACAAAAACAGCGAAATATGTAAAGAGGAATTAACAAGTAGGATCAATCATTCGATTAAAGAAAGATATCGCTTTATTTTAGTTTAGAAAAAAAAATACGCGCAGCAAAATGACATGATATTTACAAAATAAAAACCGAATACAATACCGAAGGAAAAAAAATACAAAACCTACCAGAAGGGACACCATCCAATATAAGATCTAGAAGAAGAAAAAAACAATCATATGAACATTGTTTTCCATGATAGAAAACTAATACGTACTGGCAAAGGTTTTCATGACTTGTTGCCTGTTTGATAAGTAATTCGACTTGTGTGGGAATATCGATAGGTTGTTCGCGGTGAAAATCATTTCCTGTAAGTTTCTCTCGCACACGATTCATAATTTCTACAGCACGCATCGTGCGCCCAGGTTGAGCAACTTGATTCTGCTGTTGAGGGTTCTGCTGCTGAGTAGTACCAGCAATGGTACTCTCATGTTCGTTATCTTCTTCATTAACAGTTGATAAGTGCGGTTGATAGTGCACCTGCGGCGGTTGGGCTGTTTGGGGCGATTTGTTGCTGGTACCTGATACACCAACGGTTTGTTCATTTGTATTATTCTCTAACAGACGCCAATTGAGCAAAGGATCATGAACGAATGCTTCCAATACGGCCATAAGGCTGTCGCGGTTCTTTCTTAAGACATCCATGACATGTTCACATGTCATTCGAAATGTGCCGTCGATGCCTGTGACTTCCATAGCTTTGCGCAGCATTCGAGTTAACCGGAATGGGATTTTCTCTGGAAATTTCTCTCTCGTCATAGCAACTTCGAAACAATCGCCAAAATCGATATGAACGACTTTTCCACTTGCGCGGTCGAGCATCAAATTGGACGGATGGCGATCGCCCAAACCTAATATATAGCCAACCTACAAAAGAAAAATAGTTATTGCCAGACGAGATTCTCGTACATTTCATAACTATTCATCGAAGGTTGCTGATTCCTATTAGTTTGATATCCTACTGCGAACTTAATAGAAATCAATGGCCATTAGAAGACTATTGAATTTCTTTTTTTCTCTTCTATTTCATTTTCTTTCATCAGCATTTATAAACTAAGTTTAGACTACACATCTATTCTAAGGTTTTAATCATTCTTTCGCAATTTTAACTTGTAGCTAGTCGCTTTCATCGCTTACCATTGACATGACTGCCAAGGATCTTGTATAATTCGATCTTCTATCTAGCCATATTTCTGCACTTGAGCTCTTATGCCAGAGAATCTTTGCTAAATCATCTCCCTCCAATAAGTTCAAGGCATATTCAAAGACTTCAACTTTATTTATTAACGGTAATTGATCGTAATGCGGTGCTTTTCCTTGCATATACCGATGTTCGGCATTGAGCAAGATGCGTGCTTTCTCACGATGTTCTTTGATTAATGCATGAAATGTATCACATTGAGCTACCCATCCAAGTAAACCGTTATTCGGTGCTAAAGGTATAACAGGATAACGTTGTATAATAAAATTACGACGACGTGTTTCGTCATTGGCTGAAAGAAACTCATTGACTAAACCAAACAATTGCATAACCCGTTCATCTTGTCGTAAATCTTCGTGTCCTTTCAATAAGAAGACATATTCATATCCATCGGAACCTGTTATACTGATTTTCCTTGGTCGTTGTTTCGATGTGATTACTGTTATACGAGAATGAACACTTCGGATCGTAATGGGTGTTTTATGTGGTTCGTAGGTACCTGGAACGGCTAATTCCAAGTCACGACAATGTGTAGCAAGTCCTAGAAATAAAAATCAGACAGTGATTACATTCAAATGAATCGATGATGATCATTCTCGGTTGTCTTACGTGGAGAAACATAATCTAATTCCAGTGATGTTATATTTGGTAATTGAGCATGGATACGCTTGAACACTTGATGGTAAAGATCCCATGCTTGATGCAGTTCACGTTGATCTTTCGATCGTTGAAAACGACGAATACATTCATGCGCTTGTGATAAGTCATTACTGTACGAATCAAGGAATGTTCGTTCGTTCAGCGTATTACTGCCGCGCTCAATTGTTGCATGCAATGGTTCCAATGTATCAATCATACCTTGTATGCTTCTCTCGCCGAAATATTGTCTAGATGCTTCTTCTAAGCCTTCATGCCATTTTTCATGCCACAATATTGATATTCTTATGAGTTCCTCACTAACAACTAAAGCTTGTTGCACCAGTGTATGACTGTGTTCTCTCATATTGTTTAGAACGCGATTGGCAGCTACTTCACGTTCATAAACAACTGACTTCGACGCTACGACTAATGGATAGATTAAAGCTTGTGGATGTTGTCGACCAACATCGATAAGTAGATGTCGTATCAATTGATGTACTAACGGTCTTGGAGAATCAATACGTGCAATCAATTGTGGTAAAACTTGTAGCCAGACTTCGACAGGCACAGTACGAATGCCTTCGACAAGTGTTTCATGTACTTCACGGTATTGTCCATATTCGAACCAAAGCGTTAACAGACGGAGAGTATCTTGTAAGCAATGCTTGGCTTTCGATAGAACGATGGATTTCAGTAGACCTTTCACGGCTGGAATCGTACAATGTATCATTCTTGCCGTTAGTTGTCGGTAAGCATCATTGGATCCGTCGAGTGCTGCCTGTTGCGAAGGTACTGAAGGTGGTGGCGTTTGTGGTGGTTGCTGCTGGGATCGCTGTTGTTGCTGACGAGCTGGTGATGTCGATGGATCGTTACTGAGTACTGGTGGAGATGGTGGTGGTTGTTGCTGCTGTTGTTGTTGAGTATTTTTCGATAGATCTTGTATACGTTGTTTAAAATGATTAACCGCATCATAGTTAAGTACAGCATAGGCATTCCACGCTTTATAATTCGAATCGTCATATGTCCAAGCGTATTCATAGTTTTTCATAATTTCATTCAATGTCGAATCATCAGTCATGCCAAATAGTTCATGCTGCCATGTACCAATGCGTAGGTAACATTTGGAAATTAGTTGACGAAGACGTTGCTCGCGTTGATTAATTGGCTGCGATGGTGTGGATAACGACGTACTGGTTATGAGAGAAAATGCAGTAGAATTCAATGGTGGTGTAGCTGCGGTTGTAGTGATAGACAATCCCTTAAGACAAGAAAGAAGAGTTTCACTAGAACAATGCGTTAAATCTCGAATCTTACAGCTAATTGTGATGTTGCGCCAATAGTTTGTGTTGCACCACCTAAAATAGTTCCGACAACAGCTGGTGTAGTTCCGCCACTACTAGCCATCATATTCGGTTGTTGAACAGCGCCTACGGTTGTCGTTGCTGCTTGCTTTCTCAAATGTTCCAATGCTGGCATGCATGTTTTATGAACCATTTCTTTCATCTCCTCGATTAATTTTAACTGTTCTTGACGATTTTGTTCTATTTTATTGTTAGTATTCTCCATGTTGGCTGATATTGCTGATGGAATGCTTGACATTGATGCGGATGATGTTAGCGGTACGTGATTGTTATCCATCATTGAGTTATTTTCACTGTTTAAAACTTGTTTACGATTTTGTTTCTCAAGTAGAAGACGTTCTCGTGTAGCAAGTAAACAGTGCCAATCATACTTAGCTTTCTCATATTTAACCAATTGCTGATCAATTAATGTCGGATGATAATAGGCTTGCTGTGATTGGAGTGAGAATGCTGGTGTGGTTGTTGTTTGAACGTTGAAATGATGCGAGGTTTGAGTTTGATATGTATTGGTATTGAGAATCGATATATCACGATTCAAACCGGATTGATCAGTTAGGACTGTGTGAGCTAATTCTTTGAATATGAAATCGGCCATAGTCAAACGATTTGATTTACGACAGAGGTTAGCTAGCTTAATCCAAGACTGTAGATCTTGAGCCATTGGTAAGCAAAGCGAATGAGTGAGTAGCAGACGATGGTAATCGTCGATAATTGGTTGATTGCCTTGCATGCGTTTTTGCCAAATATCACAAATAGATTGCCGACGTTCAGGTAGAATTTTGTAGTACCAGGCCTCTTCAAGTTCAGATAGTAATTGAGCGTTGATCATAGCTGAATATGCTCGGTTGTAACTTTCGTTTGATAATGTAGTTAATTCCACATCCAATAGTTCTCGTGCTAAATCAATTGAATCTTGTGCTTGTCGATAGTTATCATTTCGAATTGCATCTACAGCGCGATAGTATGCTCCTTCAAATTTTGTATCTGGTATATGGATATAGTATTTCTCCATGTCACTCATATCACCAAGACTCCATGCAGAACGTGTCGCCATCGGCGCAATCTTTTGCTGAAGAATCTTCTTCAACTCTCGTCCATTGATGATTCCTTGCGGAGATGCCAATGGTGCCGTCGAAGAGTTCCTCTCAATTAAACTTGTTGAAAATGGTAACGTTGTTACTGGTTGCTCATCACGTATCTGCTCTGTTAAATCCCACACGTGACAAGCTAGATCTTTCAGATCAGCCCATGAGCCCAGCGCTTGCATACATCTCATGCGACCCAAGTGTATATCCATATTTGTCGGATCGTTCGTTTTCAGAAACTCGTAATTTCTCAATGCTCGTTCCCATTGATTCAATTTCTCATACCAAAGGCCTTTGATTTTAATATTATGATGCTTAGCATACTGCAGTGCGCCGTATGCTGCTTCTGATTGCTGTAATTCATGATTGATACTGATCAGCGACTCCACAATGTCAGAGGTAACAGCCGCTTGACTCGATGATTTTGCTGAATTGTGTTGTCGTTGAAATTCTTCTTCTTTGTATCGCAAAGCTTTGGCATATGCTCGAACGGAGAACGCTTTCTCACTCAACAAATGTATATTAATCAATGATCTTTCAGCATCTTCATCGTTATCAACGTTATGCTCTCTACGATTTGTACCATCTTCATTCGTATCGTTTAGGTTGGCGTCGTCATTGCGTCGGTTGCTCTTCTGTTGCCGCTCTAATTTCAATTTCAGATCACAATGATTGCGAAATTCTGCCAAGTTCAAAATAATCTGTATCACATCGGGTTTATCACATACGGATAGAACGTATGTTAAAGCGACTGTTAAACTTGAACGATCGCTGGCATTTAATTCACTCCAACACGATATAAACGATGCGTTGAACAAATCACGCGGTATCGATGGCGAGACTTGCGCTAAACAAGTTCCCATCGCTCGTAACGGATACACAGGTGATTGTTCTAAGACTAGCTGTTGAAATTTATTCAACCACATTGGTAAATCTTTAGCATTGCGTTGCATCGCCTGTTGCCAATGTTGTCGCAATTGTTCCGTACGAATTGTATATAAGACCTTGTCATCGGGTTTCTTCACATGTTCATTCGATGCTTGATTGAGATTTTGATTCGAACTGCTGACAATTTCTGTTTGTACATCAACAAACGAGGAATCTTTTAGTTTTGATATGTATAATTCATATTTCGAATGCTGTAATTTCTTCTCATCCATGGTTTGCGAGACGAGTGAGCTGAAGACGAGAAAATGTTTACCCATTTGTTGTGCTATGATCAAGATGATGTCCAAGCATTTAATTTGTAATTGCGTCGTATTACGGATAATACGCAAGAGTATTTGTAAAATAGCTGAAACGTAATCACTTAGAAAGACTTTGTCAGCTAATTGTTCGATGGTATCCAAAGCTTCTTGTCTCAATTTCATTGGATACATATGCGTTGAAGCAATGTCTAAGATAGATGGTAGAACGACATTAAAATGCGGTTTTAGTGTTTTGCCGAATTTATTCAATGTTGAGAACATTTGCGACAAGATTAATTGTCTATCTTGCGTTTGACTGGGTGATAGATTTATTAAACTGATATTATTTGAATCAATGCGAAAGATTTTCATCACGAATGGTAATAATAAGTGAATATAATGACGAAATTCACTATCTAAAGCAGCTGCTAACGATTCAATGGTTTGGATAAGTAAAATTTGTAGATCGTTATGCGTATCCCAGTAATCACGGATTAATTGTACGACATCATTCACGTACGGCGTAATGGAACTCTTAATTGAAATGATAATAATGTTGATTTGTCGTACATAGGGAACTAAGTTTCGATCATCTGTATTGCGCACGACAGATAATAAGCGCGGTAAGACAAGTGAAACGTATTGAGTACAAATGCTACCTAACCATTGAAGTATGATTGAAATAGCTTGAACAGCTTTCAGGTGTAATTGTGGACTATTTGGATCTTTAAGCACACGAAGGCAAACGTAGATAGCCATGGATGTGTAGAAATCATGTAAAGATTGAGCGCCAGATGCAACTAGGAGTTCATTGGAAGAGATTTCTATCGGATCTGGTTCACCCCGAACACGATGTGTTAAGGTAATGTCATTGACATCGAAGGATAGTGAACGCAGAGGATCATTACTTGACCGTACATGGTATGGATCGATGGCACCGAGAAAGCCCAGTACTCGAATTGTTTCTCGACGAAACGGTGTTTCTTCAGACTTCAAAAATTGGAGGAGAACATCGAGTAAAATCGGATATTTTTGCAATGGTTCTATGACATAACAGCAACTTTCAACGATTTGTCCGATTGTCCATAGAGCGACTTCACGTTTACGATAATTTGATGTGTCTTGCATCATATTGATTAGAATCGGAAAAAGGTCATGAATACGTTGATCGAGATCAATACCGCAAACTTGTGCTTGCTCACCAACAGTTCGAACTAAGGCAATCAATACATTCGAATGTTGTTCATGCTGTTTTATCAATGGTAACAGTGCCTAGAGGAAAAACGCGAAATTCATCAAACGACAATCAAACAAATTCAGACTAACTTGTGTGATGGATTGCATGTATGGTCGGACTATTCTCGGTGTATTGGCAATTAATTGTCCCAATAATCTCGATGCTTGTTCTTTTCCACTTAACGAACAGCCAATTTCTAATTCAGTTAACAATTGTAATAGAAGATGTCTTAATGGAGGCAAAACATATGCCGGATTAATATTTGATAAACGTCCAATTAAACTCAATGCTAACTCTCTGATTTCATGACATTCATCATGTACAGAGAAGAATAACAACTCTAATGCTTCGGATTTGGCAAGAAATTGTTTAAAATCATCTTGTAAAGTAAGAAATACGTTGTAGCGCACGTCAGGATCTAAATCAGTTACACCAATAGTTAGGATTCGTTGTGTTATCGAACCAATTTTAATTCGTAGTTTGTTCGCTGCTATCAGTGAACTTGTTGTGTTCGCACAGAGACTAGTTTGCGATGGTGGTACTAATAATTTTCTTAGCAGATGAGTTATCGTAATGATAGATTCAATTCTAATTCGAACATTTTCATGTTCAATAAATCGTGAGTTCAATGTGTCGATAAAAAACGGTTCGATCGCTTGTGCTTCAAAATCGAATATTCTTAATGTTTGTAAAGCGATTAATATTGTATCATTTTGTTCATTCGTTAAAGTGGAACTATATGCGACAGGATTACATAAAATTGATCGAAGATTTTCTAATAAACCTTGATGAATTTTACGTTTTGTCTCTGTTAGTATCAACGGCATGGAGCATAATTTGTCTAAACAGAATAGTAATGAATGATTTAAACCACAATGTAGTAGATATTCTAATAAAGTATCTAGACATTTTGATGCTTCAGGACCCGCTTCACCAATCATCGTTATACAAGCGAAAACGCTTGAATCAGGCGATGTATAACGACATGGCAATAAACTATTCATAGATGATGGTTGTTGCGATTGCGATGAAGCTGTGGATAATTGATTTGAATTATTACGGCGATGAGAATGTGTCGACGCTATGGAAGTGTTCGTTGATGAAATAGGAATAAACGTTTGTTTTATACATTCGAAAATCTTTGACATATCTCTCGTTAGTGGCGTTGTCGTTATTAACAAATCTGTATCAGTAGTTCGACTTGCTTTATCCGACAGAATCATTAAACCTAGCGCATGAAAGGCTAATTGTCGTTCTTTAAATTCGCGTGAATTGATACGTTCGAATATGAAAGTCATTGTCGCATCGACATACGGCTGATGGGAGAATAGCTTGTAGTTTAACGATGCTAGACGAGGTAAGATGCGAATTAAAACATTGGCAATCATCGATTTCGGTTGTTGACGATACTGGAATACTTGATTGCATATGGGAAGAAAGTTTTCTAACATTATTGAGCGCATTAGAGATGATTGTACTTGAATTTGTGATTGCTCTGGATTGTCGATGATATCCATTGGAGACAAGGGACCAGTGCGTTCAAATGTTAATGCAACACGAGAACGATGCACATCCTATATGATAACTATCTACGTTCATTCCTGCGATATTACTTGCTCTTTTTCGTCTCCGACGACTCATCGTCACGCGTAACAACAAAAACAGACGAAAAAAGAAGATCTTACTTTATAAGAAATCGGTTTGGGTTTAGGTGCGCTATATGGTTGAATTAAATCTTGACAAATATTCTGAAAAAATGCAAGCATTGATTGGGAAATTTGTGAATATGAGCTGTCTCACTTCGAATTTGACATCCGATACGCGTAGCAGTTCATTTAATAGTAGAAGTCCTCCATGGATACGATCTTCCTTCTGTGTACTTTTGCTTTTGGATGAATCAACTGCCAAGCATTTCATAGCTTCTCTAAAAGCCATCTAAACAAGCAAAATTATGAACATTAAGCAATCTTTCTCATTCGTCACAAACATAGTATGCTTTCAGAAATGTATTTGATTCGGGATTAATCTGATTGTTCGCATTACTACTGGCTAGTTCTTGTCCTGTTGCCATTTCACTGGTATTATTCTTTTGTTCTTCACGTTCACGGTCGATTAAAACAACTAAAGTTGCTTGCATTGTTTCAGCAAATGCTTCACGAATATATTGCTGAAAAATAAATATCGAACATTTTGCTTCTCTCCTTTCCTCTCTTCAATGCGATTTACTTTTGGATCTGTCATTGTACCAAAAAGTTGTTCGAAAAATTGTTCCACCGGTGTTATCAAATGGTAGTATCGGGATGGGGCAGCAAGTGCGATTTCTTTCAATATTGTTATGCCACTGTAACGTCTTGTTTCGTGTTTTTCATCTTTTGATATTCGCTCAAGGGCTTTGGGCACATCCAAGGAAAACTGGTCCATACTCATACGACCACAACCCTAGAAGTGTTATGTTTGATTTGATTAAGGGAAACGAGAGAGGAAAAGATGAAAATGAATTTACTTTAACTAGAATACAAGTGAGCTTGACGACAAGTTCGCATAAATTCGCGTCGACTGACATCTGTTTATAGCCGCGCAAGGTGGGTTCTAATTTATTGCTTAGTTCGGTATAAAAATTCTGACCGGCACATACAAAACATACTGCAAATAGATCGATTACAGTTTAACGAATGATTCAATGATGAGAATACATACGAATAACAAGAAGTGCAGCACGATTTTCATTGATATCATTTGGATTACTCATTTTCTTACGAACAAACTCTTGCACGTGCTCTGCAATACTTGTTACAACATCCGAAGGTGCCTAAATCATTATTTCTGATGTTCACATTTTCCAGCAACAAGAATTTCTACTTACATCAGCATATTGGGCTATGATACTCTCATACAGTTCATCGGTTGCTCGCCGTCGTGTTTCTTCATTTGAGCTCTGTAGACCTTCGACATAGTGATCCAAGAAGGTAGAGAAACGGTTATCTGCCACAGACATATTTATCTGAAGAAACAAACTTGTATAGTACCTTTTTTTCTACTACCAACAATATAGATTGTTAGAATAGCTTTTTTTTTCTTGTTATCAAAAACACACATTACACTAAGTTCATAATAAACAGCAAACGAAAGAAAACAAACGAAAAGCTATGCTTGTGTGAGCAATGTGTATGAATAGCCTAAAGAAATTTTCATTGGACAATTATTGACGATTCGCACGTTCCCATGGACTTTGTTCTTGTGTTGGATTTTCTTCATTCGTTGAACGAGTTCGTCTTGGTGATTGTGTGGCATTGACATCATCTTCGGCAGCTCGTGGTGATCCACTCGAACGTTGAGATATTGATGTTGCGCTTCCACTACGCCGTGGGGATGGAAAATCATCATTGTTACGGTTTAAACGTTCGAACGATTGATTTTGTTGTTGGCGGCGACCATCTTGTCGGGAGAGATCATTGAACGACGATGTTCGATTACGAGATGGAAAACGATCATTGTTGTTATTACGTTGATAACCATCTACGTAAGAATTTTGGGAGCTAAACTCAAGAATGTAATCGATTGTCATAGTTGAAAGATACGACATACCGACGATCGTAGCCGTAATCTTGTCTTTGGAATCTGTTATCCCCAGATCGGTTTTGTCGGGAAAATCCACCCATATCTCCTTGTCTGAAATTGTTAAATCCTTGGTTGAATCCTCCGCGATCACGCTAAAAAATAACATTTCAAATATACGAATATTTGATGGTTTTTATCGATCATTACGAAATTTCCGACTGTTCTTTGGAAACTATTACGGATATTTTGTGTCGAATTGAATCGGTTTTGACCAGTTCGACGACTATAGTATATAAATGAGACACTATTTTGTGTATTATAAAGAATCGACTTACTTGATTGGCTCACTGAGATATTCAGGTAAATCGACGGTTGATAGACGATTGTTCTTCAAGACAGATTTCGATAATTCTTCGAATCGGTTCAAAAGACTTTCATCCTTCGTTTTCTCTACCGCTGTTCGAATATGTCTCATCTAGTGTGCGAACCAAACCGAAATCGATTTCTTTTTCTGGCATCAAATACTCACCACAAGTGGAAAAACGCGTCGTCGATCATTGATAGCTGGCGTTTGTTCAGCAAGTAAGTGAACAACATTAATTGCTTCTTCCACTCGACCCATGTCAGCGTAGCAAATAGCCTGAAAAACAGCGAGTAGACGATGCGAAAACTCGATCTCAAATCCTACTCGAATATTTTGTACTGTAGCTAAGTTTTGTGCTCGGATAGTGCCTAACACTTCCATGGCAAATGATGGATCACCTTGTTGAATACCCAACAAAGCCGTCATCGTTGCTGCACGTGAATTTATGTTTGTATCACGTTCCTTTACTTTGGAAATTAATTCTTTCGCTTTGGCCAACGATTGTTGGGTGTTCTAAAGTTTCAGTAAATAAAATATGGAATTGACAACGTCGGATGAATCTTACTTGACGGTATAATCCTTCAATAGCTAACATGACAACATCGGATGGAAAAGCTCGTCCGCTGCTTGTGTTAAAACCTCGTTGTGAACCGTATTCAAAGACTTTGATGGCATCATCGTAACGTTTGTCTTCAATTAACTTGTTCATCAATACAAGTGCTGATGCCGAGTCATTGAAAACGTTTTTTAAACTCTATTCATATAGAAACGAATCGATGAATTTTCCATGAGAAGAAAAGAAAACAGATGTTTGTCTTACCTCATCCAAGTATAATTGTAAAGCAAGATCAGTTTTATTCTGTGTATAGAGTAAACGCATAACAGGTGAACCAAAATGATAATCACTGAATTTAGTTTTATTTGTGCTGTATCTATATCACAATCACGAATTCAAATAGAAAAGTTTCTCAAATCAGTATGTGTCTCACTTTTTCAATGCTTGAATGACACCATTGATCTCATCATCATTGTTAGCAGTCATAATCATATTACGTAAATCTTCAGTAAACACCTGAGAATCTGCTTGACCAATTGATTCAAGGAAACGTTTTTTGAATCCATCTAAATTTCATCCGAATGAAAACTACCAGAACACAAAAAAAAACAAATTACCAAGCGATGGTGCATAACGAGAAGCATGCTGTTCGCGAGATGATTTGAAACTGTCAATACCAATGCCTGAACTGGAAAATATCGTTCGCAATTGCATGTGAAGATTTCCACATGATGCACCTAGGCGAAGAGAAATAAACTGAGTAGCAAAATATCATCAGACTGGATTTAATGTATAGACACGATTTGCTATTTAAGTTGTCTTGTCATGTTAGAATGGATGGATTCTATATTTGATCGAAACTTACGATTAGCAGTGAGTAGAGCAACGCGTCGAATGATATCAGCCATCTAGAATAGAAAATGAAATGCTTGCACTGATTATCTAATCTTCATCAATGAATCATGAAGATAATAGAATAGAAATATTCCATGTTCTAATTGAAAAACCGAACTAAATCGTTGTTATTCAATGAGATAAGAGATCAGTTGGTGGAAGATGTGAATTGAGTTTTACAAAATACGAGATCATCGCTCGAAATGATAGATTAGAATAGAAGTCGACATATTTATTGTAGAAAATAAGAAAAACAATTCCGATATAGATGCAGAATTTTATGGATTAGAAAAAGCGTTTTTTATTGGAGAGAGGCGCTCATCTAGTTGCTCAATATTTACCGTTGACTATTTCAGAGAAAATTCCAAATGGTAAAAACAGAGTTAATAGACAAGACTTTTCTTGTAAACAATTACGTACTTCATAAAAATGCTTATAGATGTCGCTTTTCGGTTCAGAATCAATAAATGAATGGGTTCGTTCGTGATGCAATACGCAAGAGCCTATTGGAAAATAGACTGCAGCTGAATATCTTCCTATCTGCTCAGTGGCATCCTAGTAATGGCATTGTCAATTATTTGTTTGATAAGTTCGTCGTTTTTGTGTGTTGATTTATTAAAAATCGGAAGGGGAACAAACATCGAGGATGAACATGCATAGCGGATCTGTTCTACTAGGAAAGCAAAGTTTAGAAAAAAGGATAGCAACTTTCTCATTCTAATCAAATATGAAGTGCAAAAGATTCAGGGAAGCACTAATTATGACTGTTGTTTTCCGTCTGTCGTCGTCACGTTCTGTTTATCGCCAAAAGGGGTAGAGAACGCTGTCGTCTGACCACTTGTTGGTTCAAATGAACAAATATTGCCCGAGCTACCCGATTGGTGTAGAACATCAGGTGCAGAGAAATCTTGTTGAGTTGATATGGATGCTTTTCGGTCCATGTGAGGCTCTTGCCTTTGACCATCATGTGCATCACTGAATGCGCCATGGTCGGGCAAACCGAAGTCGACTTTTTCATCAACTTTCTTCGTTGGATTTGCAGGCGGTGCAGTTGGTTGGTTTTCTTTTCCAAGAGTGATTTGGCTGACTTCATCATCAGCGGCAGATGTTAAAGTTGGCTCATCATCAGCAGCAGCTGAGGCATTGGCAGCGGCAACAGCGGCTGCTCGAAACTGTTTGTCCAAGGAAAGATGAGTGGCCGATGCCGGACGAGGAAATGATGGTCGATATGTTTGATCATTGACTTTCTAACGAGAGAAAAGACACAAAATGAAGATGTGAAAATTCATCCTGAGTAAGGAAACTTACTTGATCAGTGGATGTTTGTGGTGTTTGATGTTCCTCATCTTCATCACTACCTTCATCGTCATGATCAGGAGGTGCAGGAGTTGATGAACGAGATACAGCCGGAGTTGATTGATTGGACAATGATTCATTTGTCTAAAAATGATTGTTCTATTGCAACATTGATCTCATAAAAGAAAGAATTTTTCTATACAAATCTAAGCATTTCATCTTCGATTTCAGGGTGAATTCGTGTTAAAGCCATTTGACGAGCACGATGATAATACTAGAAAAGGAATTATACAAAAAAACTGAGATATGTTGTTTCCCTTGAAACTTACGATTCCCAATGTATTCCAATCCAATAGTTCACTCAATCTTTCTGTACGGTTTCGTAAAATGATTCGCTGCCGTCTTGTTAATCTCGTAAAATCAAACATATACTAAAACATGTCAAGAATTTTCCTGGAGATTAGCTTCGTGATTCTTCGCAACTCAGTTCTACCTGTGCCAGCTGTCGAACTGATTCCTCTGCACTTTTGAATCTTCGATCAACAACATATATACCGTATGTTTGCGGCTCATTAACATGTTCTTCCATAAAGCAACCGAAACCACTTAAATTGGTCGAAATATTAGGCACACCCAGAACTGTGCATTCAGCTGGCGTATAACCCCAAGGTTCATAGTAGGATGGAAACACACCCAAATGACATCCACGGACAAATTCTTCGTAATCAAGTGGTAGCAATGGACTTGTTGAACGTAAAAATTCTGGATGAAAAATTACTTTAACACGATCCCAACGGTCGTTGAATAATCGGCAACGACGTAAAGCATTTAGAATCGGATCGCGATTGTCATCGTTAACGTTATGTGTACAAATGGGTGGTAAAGCTGACCGCTACAATGACGAAAAGATTGACTTGGGAGAAGAAAAACACTCGAAAGTATACTTGTGAAGCGTAAATACACTTCTTAAGTTCAATGATGTCTCCAGGTTGTAAAATTTGTTCTCCCTTTGGAAGTTGACCTCTAAATGTACCCAAAACAATGACTAATCGTTACCATAAAGAACTCTTCTCGGATTACCTGAGACATATTTCATACAGTCGTTTGCCGATGTCACTTTGTACATTCTGAACAGTGTCGCGAAGCATTTTAGCGACTGATTGGCCTCGCAAAGATTCAATATTGAAGTTATTGGTCGATGTCGGAAAGATTAGAAATGCAACAATAGTCATATCCGAACCCGCCGCCTAAGAAAAACATCCAATCGATCACTGTAAAGAACGCATTCGCTTACTTTTAGCATGTGATTCAATCGAGCTAACGATTCAATGAACATATCAGCGCCTTTATTAGAAAATTCATATCGACCAGCAATAAAAAAGTACAATGTCTTGTCCAAATCAAAATCATAATGTCTAAAATGCATACTGAAGTTTATTAGAAAATTAAATCGAATAACATACCCATAGAAATGGCCACGAACAAATGCATTGAGTTTTTCCTTATTCTGGGCGTGTAAGTTTTGAAATTCATGCAAAGCAGCAAAGACTTGAACGTTAAGCCCATTAGGAGTCAAGACATCTGATAAGATTCCTTTCGATATCGATACGCATGAAGATAGTGTAGTTTACCTGGTTTTTTTCGTAGAAGATGCTCTGATTCTATGCCAGTAATTTTCGATACAGTTGTAAACACATGAGCACATGATGCAGCAGCACGTTCGATACAGTACCGATGGTAGATCTGACGATCTCCAGCTTCTTTATCTAGATTAAACTAAACATAAAACGAATGACGAAGATAATGACGTATGAGATCTCTTCGTATGCATACGTAAGGTAAATGATTATAGAAATCTGTTGATCCAGCACATAAGTATCTTCCCAGAAGTGTTGCATGGGTCGTGAATATTAAAGCACAATCGTAACCACGAAGACGAGTCATTATTAAGCCAATACCAGTCAACCATTCATGAAAATGTGCAATAACGTAACTCTTCTGTCTTTGTTTAACTTTATCGATGAACTAAACGAAAATATTCATAACATTTCGATGATATTTTGCCTAGATCTTACAATTCCAATGAACCAAAACACGCAGAAACCGAAGATCAAGGCATCATTCGATTCTCTATCATGATATGGTATGCCAATACGTGCGTGCTCAAAGAAGTCTCCTTTCCAACCGTCTAATCGAGAAGCCGCTGATCCGATATCGAAAAGAACGACTTGTGGAAAACCTTCAATCAGCCAATTTCCAGTGATAACCTAAAAATAAACGAAAAGCACAATAGCAGTGATATTTCACAAAATAGCTCGACTTTACATGAACACCATACTGTCTCATTTCATTGGCAGCTTCTCTAACAACATCGATTTTCGATTCACCAACTTCCACTTCAGTTTTCACAAATGAATCATTGTATGGACCCAGACAAATATAATTATTTCCATATTCTTTTTTAGTTATCGGTACTTTCGAACGAATGACCGTATAAATTCCTCCAACTAGACAAACAAATGAAGAGTTTCATTTTGAATATCATGCAAAAAGTACCTTTATTTGCTACTTCCCATGAAACTTCTAGAAGCCATTTGTTCAATTGATCAGCCATTTCTCCATTATCCAGGTATTGATCAAAGTGAATGCCTTGGGAAGTTTTCAAGGATTTCGCAGCATTTTTTATCTTCGATTTTGACATCTTTCGATCAAGAAAAACACCGGGTTATGAATAAATATATCTATCAACTGATAATAAAATAAATAGACGACAAAAACGTTTTTTGATATGCGTGTGAAAATATAATTTCACCTAGGTGAAACCTGTCGATATTCTACGGCGCGGCCGATGGTAAAAATGCAAAACAGGCAAAGGTAGATTCGAAATGAAAGTACATTCGACGATTCTACGCTACTAGTATTTCAGGGGTTATGAGTGCGTTTGTTTACTAGCTTAGCTGTGTACGCCCAGATTGAATGTAGGTGGCGCCATGTGCTGTTTATCAAGTTTATCTATTATTTACCGTCTGTATAAAAATAGCTATCTTGTTCCTAAGAGGCGTGTTTAAAGTTAAATAAATCGTACAATGGCATAATTATTCGAATGAAATATTCATTGCAAATCTAATTTTGAGACAAAAGATGCTTTTGACAGAAATAGAATGATGTTACAGTTCTGTTCCAGATACTTGTAAATCGATTTTGAAGTTTGAAAAACGGATATTTATATGACACCCACAGATACAAACAGAACTAGATCCAGAATTCGTATTACGGAATAAAATACTGTCGTCGTCGATTGCATTTCATTAATTGACGGATCAAACGGCGAAATATCGGACGATATTTCGGTGATAATATCACAAAGATCAGTGGCAACAACGATGATGAGTACGCGATAAACTAGAGACAAATTTGTCAATTCGATCGAATGTAAGTCGAAGAAAGCATCAATACTAGTCGCGGTACATCAACTAAAACAAGAAAATAACAGGCAACGATAATATGTTGGTAGGCGCAAAGAACATAATTCAAATGTATGTAGACGGAATGATTTCGTTTCAACGTCATTCGGTGTTTTGTCAACGCGGTTATCCATATGAATGGCGAACAGAAATTGATCAGAAACGGTAGAAGAAATGAAATAAGATCTGTTAGACGTTCGTATTGATGCATGCATAAAGTCTTAGAAGTAATTATACAATAATTACGATGCCAAATATATTCCAATTGACGATGAAATGGATAGTGAATCAAACGGATAGCATGATAGAATATTAAACACCCTCAACGAATTTCGCGACGCATTTACTCCCGATTTTATTGAATGATACGCCTTGTAAGATGACGATTGTTCGTTCTAACGTCACACATGCTGTTAACGATTCTTACAGCGAAGGAAGAACGATTTGAAAGTATTCTGAGAATATACAACTGCTTTCGATATGTTGTTGAGTCATTTCGAAGAAAACATGGCAGATGATTATGGTCAAATTCAGCTGACCGATAAGTGATATCCATAAACGATAAATTCCACTTCCCATTTCGCGAACATTTGCTTGACAGAATGTTCCGAAGAAGAGAAGATTTAATAGAGTGCCAAGAAGGTATACACATAAGTGAATATTAAATGGTATCGAACCAATTAAACATAAAAATATTTGGTAGGATGAGACCGTCGAATATTGACAAATCGATCTATAGGAACAGAGCGAAAGATTCGAATGTTGAAAGGAATTAATTAAGCAGTCAGTCATTGTGATGAACTTCTTGCAGCGTTTGGAGAAAGACAGACTATGAATAGATTCACCAAGCATCGGATTTTATTTAGTCTCATAAGAAAAAAGCGACGACAATGGAAGAAACTTAATTTAAAACAATATTTGAAAAGGAGGGAACTATAGGTTTATTGCGGTCGACTAATAAAAAGAAATTACTAGACGTAATTATCTATGAATGTATTCAATGCTATCAATTAGTAATCGTAATTTATAAAAAAAAGAAATATTCTGAATGATTCAAAATTTAGCAGGACAGTATTAGGGGGTAAAATGACCGAGATGTAGCGAGAAGATGTGATCAGGCCTTTTTGCATCTTTTGTTGAACACATTCGTGATATTCCTCGATCATCTTATACTTGTTCAAGATGAATACACGATCTGAAATATTCATTTGATTTAAATGCACTATTCGATTTCACTTGATCGAGTTTTGCACGTTTAGGTGTGGAATATCTGTTTTCTCTCGGGTACAAACGGCGTCACATGTAGATGACCCACGAGAATAACACTGGACAAGCAACAGATTTCTGATGAGACAAGCTCCAAGTAGAAGTCTTGTTGATTTAAACGATAATCGAATACACAATGCTCATTCCTATGACATGCTCCTGACTTAGAAACCGAATAAACATGGAAATTTAATCTGTCAATATCCCAGCAAAAATAACGCGTTCGTCTTATTATTTATTTGACTTTGTATCACTGCAAACCCGCTTCAAGACATATAAATATTCCTTCAAAGCTCACATTTCGTAGTTAATTATGTGACGTATAATGAAATGTTTGACGGTGTTGATTTATCCATACGACCTCGGTCAATATTTTCTTGGTATAACAGCAGATTAATGAAAAACATGTACGTCAATTGACTAGTCAAAAGTCGATATAATGTTTTACCAATGAGAATTCATTTCTTTTTGATAAATATCACACATTTCTATCGAACGCTAAACGATGAAACTTTGGCATCAAGTACGATGTTTGTTTTTATTGACTATTGTCGTAGAATCTAAACACTTTGCATGTGAAAAGAAACATTCGTGTGGGTGTGGTCACTCCAATGTCGAAATCAATACTCGAATTATCAATGGTGAAGAAGCTGTACCATTTAGTTGGTCCATGGTTGTTTCGATACGTTATGATTTGATTCACAATGGAAATTCATTGATGCATGTGTGCGGTGGAACTATCTTAACCGAATCGTTTATTCTAACTGCAGCCAATTGTTTAGACGAACTAAAAGGTAGCGTTATAAATGCCAATGTGACGATTGCTGCTGGGATACATCGACGATCTCAGCCGAGACAGATCATTCGAAGTGTAGATCAAGTTATTATTCATCCGAATTGGACTGGATCATGGAATCAATACGAAAATGATATTGCCCTACTGCATCTATCGCAACCAATTGACTTTTCTCGGAATTCGTTGATTACGCGAACATGTTTGCCAGAACAATTGAGCACCGATGAGGAATTATTGCAGTATCCGGTACCGGGTTTGAATTTGGTTGTTGTTGGATGGGGCCGACGTGTTTTTCATGGTGATGATTCTGATATTTTACAACAACTACCAGTTACAACACTCAATAACAACCATACAATATGTAAAAATATGATCAGTGATCCACTGAGTCAATTCTGTGCTAAACTACACGATGCAAGCGGAAGTAAGAATATATTGTTATCATTGATTTAAATGAATAGCTTCACGTATTTTGATATATAGGTCCCTGTTATGGTATGAAATTGAATGTTGTCATTTTTTCTTGATGTTTTGCAGCGATTTCCTAGGCGATTTCGGCGGGCCAATACTTCGATGGCTGCAAGATCGATGGGAACAAGTCGGTATCGCATCATTCACACCAGACGGATGTGAAGAAAACTCTGCTACTGGATATACTCGATTAGCATATCATCGTGAATGGATTGACGAACAAATAAAAGATAAGGATGAATCGACTGACTATCCATTGCTAACGACCGTTACTGATGAAGTTATTCCTGAACCATCTTCAAACAACTATCAATGCGACAGAAACGAAGTTCCGTGTGGTTGCGGTCGTCGACATGTTCAATTCTCTCCATCAAAGATCATGAACAATAATCATGAGGCCGTTCCATATAGTTGGTCAATGATAGTTTCTATACGTTCAAAGAACAAAAATAAACATTTATGTAGTGGATCTATTCTAAGTGAATTCTACATACTGACATCAGCATCGTGTATAGAGAATTTGTCTACCTATGGTTTAATGGTGTTAGCCGGTATCCATAATCGATCCGAGGCAGCTGGAATATATCGAAAGGTCGATCGAATCTTTATGCATCCTAATTATGCAGGTCATTTAGATAATTACGCAAATGATCTTGCTATTCTGCATGTATCTGAACCATTCTATTTCGAATCTAGTATGTTTATCAGTCGAACATGCTTGATGGAAAAGGATTCTTGGACCACTAATCCTGTATTTTATCCATCAGCAGGTTCAAAGTTAGCTGTTGTAGGATGGGGTTTGATGAATTGTCAAAATAAAAGTAGAGAACAAGATTTACTGCAGCAGATTGAAGTTTATTCAACGGATCAATTGGAAAAAACGTGCTACATCTTGGATAAACACCAAAATTTTCAGTTCTGTGCAGGATTAGCCAACATGCAAGGGGAAGGTTAGAAGTGCTATTTTAAAGGTATTTGTAATGTGGATTCTCTCTCTTTTTAGTTCCATGCGTTGGTATGTAAACTAAAACTTTTTAAAAACTTCTTATTCCTATCTTCACTTATCTAACAGGTGATCCAGGCAGTCCTGTTTTCTTATGGCTCCGTGACCATTGGGTACAAGTCGGCATCGGATCATATATATTCGATTATGGTGCCTTCCGAAATTTAGGAATTTACACGCGAACTATCGAGTATAACGAGTGGATACAACAGATTATCGGTAATTGTTCCTCTAAGGATCCGTTGTGGACGACAACAACTACAACGCCTGTCCCTCATACTACGGTACAACCAATCTCATATCCATGCAATCGATCGGCAACTTGTGGTTGTGGTCCTGTCTCTGTGAGCTTGACACCACCACGTATCGTCGGTGGCGAAAATGCTTTATCATACAGCTGGCCAATGATGGTCTCTATACGTTTTTCGTTTCCAGCTCGTCATTGGTGTGGCGGAAGTATATTATCAGATTCTTATATCCTCACTGCTGCGCATTGTCTCTCTCTATATGTATTAAACCCACCAGCTAACATTACTATCTCAGCTAGTTTAACGAATCTCTCGGATCCGAATCAAATTCTTCGAAGGGTTGACCACATTTATATCCATCCTGAATATATAGGCCATCAAGATAATTATCGTCATGATATTGCTGTCCTGCATTTAAATGAATCATTAGCTATAGAAAACCATTCGCTTTTGACTAGAACTTGTGTACATCGTGTTGAACCACCAGCCTTAAGTAAAGACTATATAAAAACTGGAACTCCTCTGGCTGTTATTGGTTGGGGTCGAGCGCGACCTAATTCCCCCTTTGAATCTACAATTCTCCAACAAGTTGAAGTATACGCCATTGACAATGACGATCCGGTCTGTCAAGATATAACAAATAACACCGAAATACAATTTTGTGCCGGGCTACATCGCGGCGGTAAAGGTAAAAACTGAATGCGGTTTTGAGTTAAATCTGATGTTCTTCTTCGAGTTTAGATGCATGCCAAGGTAAAGTCCATAGTACTCTCAAACTTCTTTTTTTTGTTGATGTTCATCAAATTTTATTGTCATAGGAGATTCGGGTGGACCCATCTTTCAATGGAGAGATAGTTATTGGGAACAGGTAGGCATTGTTTCTTATGGAAAAGGTTGCGCAGAACCTAACAAACCCGGTGTTTATACTCGACTGTCGTACTATTATGATTGGATTAGTGATATCCTTAAAAACAGTAGTGAACACTTGGAGCCAAAAGTGACATTCGAGACGACTTCATCAACATCAGTAGAATTTACGGTGACTGCTAATGTAAGTTTGAACGACACGACGACAGCATTGGCAGAAAACAAGACAACACAATTTGTAAAAAATATTGCTCCTGCTAGTCGTGAAAGTAAATTTCTTTTCATGGCAATTGGATTTGTACTGGTGATTTCCTTCGAGTGAAACATTAAACAAAAATTTTGTCTGTTCTGCTTTTTCTTCGAAGTATTACGAATAAAAATAATCGATACTCAAGAAGAAATACGAGAGAGGCTTTTCATCAGTCGCACTTGAAAAATCCCGTTTATGTACTTTTGTAACATAGTCACCTCTGATGAATAATATAACCTATCCAACTCAAGAGAAGAACAAATAACAATAACAACAATACAACATACGTATATAATTGTTATACAAAACGACAACTACAAGAGAAATTCAGACGCAATTTGATATTCTCCGTTGTATTCATTCATTCAATCATATCTTCTTCGTATGCATATGAACGGCATAACAATCTTACTTGTTTTGTATTTTTTGGCCTTGGATAAGTACGATGTTGTCACATAAGTAATCATTTCTACGCAATAATCATAATGCACAGACGTCATTTAATGAAAAACACGAAAATACAATGGCAGTAACAGTGTATATAAATCATTGATACATTCTATTGTATTCAATTGATTTCATCCACAATGATAGTATCATTTATCGTTACATACTTGTTCCTGTTTTCGTACACGCATGGTGATGATCATTTTCGACAAATGATAAGAAATCGATTAGCCAGAGATGTTCCAGCAAACAAATTCTTCGGCCCCGGTTTCAATTGGTGGCGTTCAACTACGAGCAGATCGACACGGCCTACAAGTTCAAATACACCAGCTGCGATTTCATCCACAGCACAGACAGTTGTTACATCATCTGTAATGCCAAGCAGTACAACAAGCTCATCTTCACCATTCACAACTTTCCAAAATGAAGTGTTGGCTCAAACAAACAAATATCGTGCAATGCACTGCGCGCCTAATTTGAAACTCAATGCTACACTCAATAGTATTGCTCAAGCCTATGCTGTTAAGTTAACTACACTCAAAACCTTAACACACAGTAACAACAAACTGGGAGAAAATTTGTACATGACTTCATTGACATCAACAATGGATGTCAATTCGGTCAAAGGTACCTACTTTTCTTTTATGAAATTTGCATCGATCGAAACTAAGCTATTGCTTTATTAGGTTCACAACCCGTTGATTTGTGGTACGCTGAAGTCAAAGATTACAATTGGTCATCGCCTGGTTTCACATCCGGAGCAGGACATTTTACTCAACTGGTATGGATATCATCGACCGACCTGGGTGTTGGCATTGCTTGTGCGAATGATGTCAGAGCTTGCTACGTTGTGGCAAATTACTCGCCAGCGGGTAATGTCTTCGGTCAATTTCCTGCGAATGTAAAGAAAGGATCACCATGCACTTAATGCTCTAGTCCAAAACGCACTATCAACGGTTTTTTTCTCTTTTCTTTCATCGTTTTCTTACTACTAAATTTCCAACAGTGCAAGTTCATAAATAAAGCAATCGTTGAACAAAGATGTCTCCCTTCGCAGTTATATTTGCATAGAGAAAAGTCTGTCTTTGTTCTATTGGTTTTCTTTCATAATGACGGTTTCCTAGGAGGACAAAAGTAGTAGTCATTCATTTTCACCTATAGCATCAAGCGTGTATTTTAATTATCCTAATGGCAAGTTTCCTATCTCGTTATTTAAAATATATCTCATTCTTCGTTCTGATCGTCGCTATCCTATACAAATATGAAATACCTGTCAGTCCGTCGAATAGTAAAACACTGCTGATAAAGAAGAATTCGTTACTTCCATATGATAAAGTACAAGTGTATCAACTGATTACAAATATTGATAAATTTACCGGGGTTTGTTCTCCTTCTTCATCTTCTTTTGCTGGAAAAATCTCGTCTTGTCTCTGTTAGTGGTATCCAAACGTTGCTCGTGTTGAACATATGAAAGCTACTGCACCACGAGCAAAGAAACCCGAAGGCGAAAAATATCGACTGATCACCAAAATTCCTTTGATTGGTTTGTAGACTTGTTACGTTCTATTGAGAAAGAAAACGATACTCTGTCTAGGCGAAATATCATCGGAATTAACTATTCAAAAAACCAATCGTCCTGAACAGTTTATTTACTCGGTAAATTCCTGGTTACTTGAAACAAATTTCATTGAACTGAAGAGTAACTTGAAAAATAAAAATTCAACTGATATCGAATGGACAGTCTACACAAAACGGCGTAGTGCTCTTTTTCAAGTAAATCGAAAGAAATTCTTTCGTAGAATAATGCATGCATCTATTCTTCTTTTCTAGTATGTCATTCTCCCATTTGCGAAATTTTACAAGAATCAACTTGTTCGTGAAGCATTATTCTCCTTGATGATTCATTTCCGTAATCTTTAAACTGTGATATTCTTCAGACGTATCTCAATGTCGTAGTCATTTTTGTTTTTTTTTCCGTGATATAATAAATCCATTGCTGGGGAAACTCATTCATTTTTAGACAAAAACTACCACTAGCTTTTTGTATTTACCGAAGAAAAATAAATATGTCGACACATCGTGTGTAATAATCAATATTGACTTGAGAATATAGGAAAAAATTTTTCAGCTGTGGTAAGAATTTATACTTGATTGGTATACCTTCAATTTCAATTCGAATACTAATACAACTCTTCTCCAAAAGAGCTAAATATTACTTGTTTACTAATCGCTAGTATTACATATGTCGGTCGATTTAGCTGAAGGACAGCCGACATATCTGCTCGGAGTATAGGTCACAAATGTTCATCATACAGACACAGCAAGCTATTGATTGTCCTAATGATCCTCAATTTCTGGTTGACTCTTAGTGATATAGAAAATGTCAGTCAAATATCAACATGGCCATGAAGTAATTGACTGTATATGTCAAAAGTTTGTCACTATGTATCACAATGAATAGCCTTGCAGTTGATATAAATTTCATGAATAGGATTATCGTCTTGACATACAAGCGTAGGTCGGTTGATTCGAGAATGGAAGACGAACTTGTGTGTTTGAGAATCTTTTATTCAATCATGACAACACAAATAAACACTACATAAATATTCTCACTGTCTAATACTGCACAGCTAAACCACAACTTCATACACTGTTTTTTTATTTGAAGAATCGTTTTTCATCGGTGTTGAGTAAACACCATCATTGTCATCTCTATCATTGTTTTCGTAGTATGGAAAACCATAGGTGATGTTTTCTGGTGGACAATTAGTAGTTTGATTTTGCGTTAGGGATTGATTGAGATCGGCTACAGTCAATTGATCACTGTTCGATAGGATTGATTTCTGTTCACTTGAAGTATTCGAGAGTTTTCCTTAAGACAAAAGAGATTTGTTGATGTGTGCTTCTGGTTTGAGAAAGAATGTGAAGTACCTGGAAATGGATCAAGATTTAAATAAGATGGTGGTATTTGTTGCTGTTCGGGATAAGTGATGTTCGAAAAGAATTTCGTTGAACTAGAATAGTTCGATAATCAAAAAGCGAAAGAGCTCTTATAGATCAGTTCTACTTTGGTGTAACTGGTTCGAGGATCACGGGATGTTGACAAGATTTTTTATTCGAAATGGTAACTAAATGCAATAGACAGTTTACTTCACAATTCGTACAGGCAAACTTCTTACTCAGACTATGAGTAGGGTTTCGCCGTCGTTTTCTCCGTTTCAGTATGAAACAGAATATGCACAGACCGATCAGAATGAGTAGCGTAACAGTAATCACCGACGAGACGATGATGAAAATCCAATTGAATGTTGTCTCACGTTCTAAAATTCATAATGTTTCATTCTCTGGTGAAATTCGAAGGAAAATTTTCATTTACTTATTTGCACTGGAAATATTTCTCCACAAAAGTTTTCATACTGATCGAGACAGATCGATGTGTTGACTACGCGATTCAAAAAAGCTTTGTCCAATTTGATCATGCCACTCGATGTGACCAGACGTTGACAAGTGTGTGTATAGTTTGAGACTTCGATGCGTATGCAGAGCGGTACTTTGAGTGATGTGAAAACGGAATCATTGATGCGATAATGGATCGATCTCTCCGAAACATGCAATGACGAATATTCCAGATGTGGAAGCTCTGTAAACGAAAGAATAGATTGCGACTATCCGAATGAGAACAAACCTTCTTTGCCTATCGGCAGATCTTTTGTTTGGACACGAAGAAAAGCACTCTTGGCACTTTGACCCAATTGATTATGAGCTCGAACGGTAATATTGTAATGTTCGAGATGTTGAAGTTCTACAAGCAAAAGAGGATTTCAAATGGATGATTGTATAACTAAATATCGGAAAATGACTTGTAAATGTAAATTGTGTTTGATTTGTTTCTTTCCACAAAGAATTATCCAATGAAATCCAAAATGATTGCGGCCATCCACCATCGAATCCCGGCTTCCACTGGACGCTGATTGCTGAATAGCCGACATTTGTTACATTGAAATCTCTTGGTGAATCAGGTACATCTAAACATAAAAGAATGACTTGTTTATTTAGATCGAACAAATGAAGAGCAGCTGTCAGAAATCTGATTGATTGATTGATAAGCTATTAATCGAGGGAAAATTCCATCCTGTGAACGCTTGGAAGTATATGTCTACGTGATATGATAATGATCGAGAAAAGAGCAAACACAGTAGGCGATGAGAATCGAACTTACAAGTAAAGTGTATGTCAACATACCTTTTGATCTCAGTTGGATATTTGTCGAATTATATCCTAGCTTATTTGTTGCATTACATGAATAGAAACCGTAATCTATAGTTGACTCGATTTGGTGAAGAATTAAATACGAGGACGAATTCTTTTGTAGAATCGAATATTTTGTTGAGTTGAGTAGAATTCGATTTTCGAATTTCCAACTAATTGTTGCTTCGGGATAAGTATCGATTTGACAATGTAATTCAATATTAGTTTCTTGAAGATCAACAGCAACGATCGTATGCTCAGCGTGAACTTTAGGAACATCTAGAGACAGAGAACAGCAACGCGTTCGATCAGATTATCAAAGGCGAAGTATTCTTACATTGAACGAGAACTTTGATTTGAGTTTTATTGAACCGTTCGATTGCACTTCCATTGGAATATTTTAGTGTATTCTTCACTAAACATACATAGTTTCCTGCATCTTCTTTTGAAACTTTCTCGATAACGATTGATGATGTCAAAGCACTTGTATTGAGCCTTTCATTATTTTTATACCATTGATAATAATCGATCAACGGATAGGAATTGACATTACATGATAGCACTAATCGTTCATTCTCAGTCTTGATCCCACCACCAATCAATTCTATCAGAGGCGAATCTATAAGAAAAATATGATAATTTATACACTAAAGAAGAGAACACTCTGTTTCAAATCTACATTGAACCCGAATGTTGACTGATGATTGACTTTGACCAATTGCGTTCGTTGATGAACATGTATATTCTCCGTCATCCGCACGTTTTATGGATCGTAATACCAACGATGGTGAAGTATTACCTGGAATCAAACAGTCAGATGATTCTCTTCACAGAAGACATCACAAACCAGGTATGAGAACTCCATTTTTCAACCAAATAATTGGTTTGATCAATGACGGGTTGGAATCGATTTGACAGTCGATTGTTAGATGATCATTTTCCGTGACGAGTAAATTGAGATTCGAAACCACTGATCGGTTCGAATGCAAACTCACCTCAGGTTTATCTATTCAAAATAAATAACAAACAGTTCACACTTTGGATACAATCGTATCGGTTTTACATTGAATATTCAACGTAAATGATGCCTGCAATGGTTTATCTAACGCTTGATTGTGTATCTGACAAGTCAGTATTGCATTATGGAAACGTTTCTCCAATGGTAGATGTAATTCACTGTAGGATTGTCGTGTATTTGGATAGATGTGATAGAGTGATCTAATGGAAAATTTCTCACATGTAAATATTTTTTTAGTGATCAACTCACTCGTTTAATTGAATATCATTCAATAACCACTGAAATGTTGGTAGAGGATTGCCACCTTTTGTTACACAAAGAAATCTTCCGATTTGATGTTCAACTAAACTTCGATTCGTTTGTTGAAGATCCGGTTGAGATGGTCGAGCTAAAAACGCAAACCCGAAATGTTACATCAACATTATTGAGACGATCCAAACGAAAAAGATATATTAACCCTGTTAATCCTAATTAGAAACAATTATCGAACAATCGTACATCCGTCATTTGTACTATCAATCTCAAGGTAAAACTATCCAACTGTTTAAATGTCATCGACTTACTTAAAACAGTTAAGTGAACATTAATCGATAAAGCTTGATCGAAGTTTTGACATAAATATCTTCCGCTATCTTGTCCGACAACGGATTTGATAATTAAATTATATTGATCAGTGATTTCGTATTTTCTCTTATCACCAGATATCTCCGTGTTAACTGAGAGAACAACATCATCCTTTGACCTATGCGATTCACCAAACAATCAAAGAAACATGCACACATCGTTTTCACTACTGACCACATAACACGATCGCGTTCTTGTAATCGTTCAAATCGACATTTAAGTATAACATCACGTCCTTGTTTTTCTGTAACTGTTCGCGTATCGACTATTCTGGATGTATGTATCCATTGAACAATGAGAAGTACGAGGAAAACTAGATTAATCATTTGCAATCGAAGTAGAGTAAAATAGAAGGAAAATGAATCATCAGTGTGTTAAATCTTACCGACGATTGTTATTTGATACATTTTGTTCGAATGAATTGAATACGTTAATCTGAATGTGAAGTGTAACGATGAAATTTTATTATGTTACGTCAAGTTAAAGTTCAACATAAGATTGTTCGATGTGTACACCGTTGCTTCATATCCTTCGAGTCACCGAATAGAAATGAATTTGTAAATAAACTAGATGACGAGCAAAAAAGGATCAAGTCGATTGAAAGAGGATAGAAATAATTATGATTTCTTCGCCTTCTATACCAATGATGAGTAAATAGACATTCGCTTGATAAAAGAAATGAATGAACGGACACTACATCTTTCTCCTCCTCGTCGCTTGTTCTTGTTCTTGTTCTTCTTCCTCCTTTCTCTCCTCCTCTTCCCCTTCTCTCTCTCTCTCTCTCTCTCTCCATCAACAGAGAAAACAGGAACAAAGTATACAGATACGTCGATTATCTATGTGCAGAACTCTTTAATTCCATTTTTATAGTTGTACAAGACATATAGTCACTCGTACTACTAACCAATAATTTTCGTCGAACGATCCATTTGATTCCAAGCACGAGAGTTGTTAATCTTAGGCCAGTTATATCACACCTTTGTCTAAGAACTTTTTAACGTGCATATGTATAGCACAGTATGTGGCTTCATCATGTCTGAAGAAAAGGCATTCTTCGTCTTGATGACTTTTAATTATAGTCTGTAGAATTGTTTAAACATTTCTTGATCATCATCATATCCGGATTCGTCTTTGTCTTTTCTAACTCTTACGAAGGCGCCGGCAGATGAGTGATTGAGATGGTGTCATTTCCTTGTGCAATCTTCTACTTATAGATTTCTCCTTCTTCTCCTATCGATATGAAATAAAAAGGAAAAGAGGCAACGGATTAGAATGAGTATATGATAGATGTTTATTTATGTTCATCAAGGGCAGTTAATACGATTGCGTCAATTTTCTTCTTCTTGTTTATTTTTTCATTCGAATATTGATACGAAGAGTGAACCTGTACTGTTCAATGTAGCTCATGTCTTATGAATATCAATTAACTGTATTGTATATGTATACAGTGCGATCTAATATGATTTCCTCGAGATATTCAACACCAGAGATTTGTTTCACATGAGTATGTTCCGTTGAATCGTTGTTTCTTTCTGATTTGATTAGTAATAAGATTATCTTTGATGTAATCATATATATTATGATAGATGTCAAAGTTCAATGTCTATTCTTTTGAGATTTTCTAATAGCATTAGATCTGCATAAGATCAACTTGAATGATAGTCACCAGTAACTGAAATAATAATTGAGCATGCAACGTGCATGTCTTGAAAGAGAAGAAAACCTCAAAATTGATTGCACTGTGTTGATTGGTATTCAGAAGAAGACTTTTGTGTCAGATCGTCTGCACCTTGAAATAGTGATAATAGAGATGCAATCGATCATACAATAACTAATCTTGACACAAGCTTTTATGAAAATTGTTCCATTCTATATCCGAGAGAAATCGCCTGAAACCATATGAATTACAATGAAAGTTTCTTTTCCTTTATCTTCGATTTAGAAACGAAAACAGTTAGTTTATTTACTTTGAATAAACTAGACATAACATAAGTACGAAAACATGCAAGAAATAATTTGAGAATGTAATTCCCGAAGAAGTGGTCTTATGTGACAACGGTTGTTGTGATTTGTTGTTTTAATTGATGAGCAAGGCGAGCTAAATGTTCGTTGCGTTCACGCAAGTAACGAATTAGATCAGCTTGTTTTTCCAGAACATTTTCGGTGTAAGTTTCATCACTAAAACAAAAAATAAGCAACATCAAGGTCAAATTCATGAAGTATCGACAAACCGGAAGCCAATTTCATTGGCCGATGTCTGTGGTGTGACGAAACTCGACAGGATATCGTCTTGTGCCGCATCTGGATATGCACGTTCTTTATTGAATTTGATTGTAATAACTTCAAACAAAAATATGTTCGTATTTTTTCACGTTGCACAATAAACCTTACCGAGATACCATATGAGAACAGTTAAGATGATAATGACTTCGAGTGTTGTTAAAATGGCAAGACAATGCCAAGGCTGAACCGGTAATATTGACAATTGATAATCTTCGAGCAGTTTGATCATAGCAACGAGAAGTGCGTTACCTGGACAAGAGCTCGAACTTATCTCAAAAGCAAAATTTAGTTTTCTCACCTGTTGAGATAACAATCAATGGTGTACGTCGTAGATTTCTTGTTCGACGGTAGAATTCCAGATAACCGTTTCGACGAGATAAATCTTGATAATAATGATACAAACTAAACGCATCAGTATTCGAAATTTTAGATAATATCCAACCTGTTCAACTCACCGATCGAATATGACACAAACGATGTAATTACCAGCATGTACATACAATGCAATATTGTACGGTGAATGATTATCACATATTTGGTGGATATTCCGATCGTAACATAGATATGGAAATAGAACAATAACAGTTTCGAATAGAAGCTACGGTGGAATTGAATAAATTGTGGATAGAACTTGCTTTTCATGTCTTACTGTAAGTAAAATATGAATAATGATAAATGCTGTCGTTGGTATTCGTCGATAGGTTTGTTCTGTTCGTACGATCAAAGGTAAATTGTCTTGTGTTGTGTCTTCATTGACATTTATTGAACGATCTTCGAAAGTCATTCCCTGAAAATGAAAGAGGTTCATTCAGAAACGAAGACGAACAATTTCACATACTCCGCCATGCCGTCCTTGTTGGTTATTTAAACTGACCATCTGAAAAACATGAGCAAAACAAGAAAAAAATTGTTCATGGAAATAAAACATTCTGTCATTTAAAAATTTTTCTTGTCGAGTGTATCAATCCCAACCTGAATCCCACGAATTCTCTGATTTATTTTCAATCTCTTTCAATGGTGGATCATCATATGGATTTCGTTCGACGTACTCCACTACCGTTCCATTCCATTCTAATAAACCTCTTAGCCATTTTCTCAAATGTCCATTGACATCTAACGTGTCATCTTCGTATATACGTATATTATGATTGTCATCGTATAATTCAAATAATTTCCACGTTCGAGGATGGATCGCTGTGTGAATCGGATTGTCACGAACTTTTAACTTATTGTCATCGATTAATAAGGTATGATCGGTTAGTTGAACATCACTTGGTTGATTAATTAGCCAACGCTCATTAATGTCAACTGTATCCCAAACCGATGTAAGACGTTTGTAGAATGATTTCATCTTTTTCGGATCGGTTGCTGTTGGATCTTCTTCCACGAAGCAATTGTCTTGATTCCACCAGAACAATAATCGATCACGTTCATGTTCATCGGGAAACAAAGATTCCACAATAGGAGCTATATTATGTTGCAAGACGGATGACCAGATAGCCACATGGAAATGTTCGAGTAACCAATCGAGAAATGATTTGACATGTGGACGAAACCATACAGCGAAATTACCTTTCGGCTCGGGACGTGCTAGATGTCCGAGACGGTACTCGTCTTCGAAGAGACGTTTATTTTTAACATAATCACTTTTATAAAGCCGATGAATGAGAAGACCATTGAGATCAAGAATTATTAAACGTTTTACTTTTGACATCTCTGGGAAGAATAAATAATAATATTAATCTTACAAACGTGAGTGAGATTTTTTTTTACTATGAATCATAGCTGAGCTTTCTATTGGTTGGAACAATGGACCAGTCACATGAATGGTAGTATTAGTTTTGTAGATGAGAATATTACGATGGAATATTGCTGATCAATCGATTTGAAATAATTTTTGTTGGGTGATTTTAAATTTGGTCTCATATGAAGATAAAACAAGAATATGATCAGTTGTTTCAGTGACTAATGACGAAAATATCTGTTATCATCATTACTTCTGTTCTTTTTTTTTCATTTTCGAGATCTTTGAGCTTTAGGCAAAGAGAATGGAGGACTCAACAGCTATTAACAGTGAACGTGATCGATTAGTTACGACACCAGCATCAACAACGGGAGTACTCAATCCACGTGGACCGTATTTAAAATGGGTTGCTGTATTTTTCATGTGCTTTTTATCATTTGGTAAAATCATCCGTCATTCTGTTTAGAAAAGTGGCGTAATAAAGAAAATATTCTTTTTGCTTAGGTTCATATTATTGCTATGATAATCCAGCGGGTTTACAAGATGTCATGAAAGATGATTTGAAGATTTCGTCGTCGACTTTTACATCTTTCTATTCATGGTATTCGTGGCCTAATGTCGTGTATGTTTAAGAATTGAGTATTGTGCTTGATTTGGTTTATTAATGAAACTTTTTGGTAGACTGGCAGCTGTTGGTGGTATTTTGATTGATAAATGGCTTGGTGTTGCTCGTGGTGCGACTGTCTTTTGCGCTTTTATTCTTGTTGGACAAGTCATTTTTGGTCTCGGCGGTTACTGGCGTTTAATCTGGCTGATGAATACCGGTCGATTCATCTTTGGTATTGGCGGTGAATCACTTTCAAGCGCACAGAATGCATATGCGGTCGCGTGGTTCTTCGGCAAACAACTGAACTTCGTCTTCGGCCTTCAACTTTCATTTGCTCGAGTGGTATGTTATACATTGAAAGACTATTTTAACTGATCTTTTTATTTTCTTCAAGGGAAGTTTGGTCAATATGAATACAATCCATCGTATCTATGATTCACTTGATCCAAGTTTAACTGGCCCACATCGTATTGGTACGACACTTTTAATTGCTGTATCAACTTGCGTGGTCTCGCTGGCATGTGCATTGATCCTTTGGGTGTTGGATATCCGACGACGTAAAGTTATTCAAGAAGACAATCCACCAGATCCAAGTTTGTCTTGTTTCTCTATTCCTTCATGCTATTCTAATTCAACTTCTCTTCTAGATGACGAATTTCATATTCGAGGTATAAAACTGAAGTAATCCACATTTGACATGGTCTTTTCTCGCACACTCGTTTTTAGACATTCGACATTTCTCCGCCTCCCTCTACTGTGTATTTATCATTTGTGTCTTCTATTATGTTGCTATCTTTCCATTCATTGCTGCAGCACAATTACTTTTCGAATCGAAATACAATCTATCACCGGCTTGGTCCAACGCATGCAACAGTTTAGTTTACTTCATGTATGCTTATAAAAAATACAAGATTGCGTTAGACAACTATCGATTTTTCAGGTCAGCTATACTTTCACCAATTCTCGGCTATGTCGTTGATCGAACCGGTAGAAATCTTTATTGGTTAATGGGCAGTATAACAACAACTATTATTGCACATGCACTTCTTGCATTTCTTTTCATTCATCCGGTGGTTCCTTTGGTTCTCATGGGTATTTCATACTCGATTTTAGCTGCATCTCTATGGCCTATGGTCGCCTTTCTTGTCCCCAAGAAAATGTTAGGTACAGCTTATGGCTTCATGCAATCGATTCAAAATCTCGGTCTGGCCGTTATGTACGTTTTCGTCTTGTGTGAATTCTATTCGTATCGCATTCCTTAATTCTCCTTTAGGAACATCTTTACCGGTTTAATTCTCGATAGTTACGGTTATTTCATGTTGGAAATCTTCTTTATCATCTGTCTCGAAATCGCTTTGTTAGCAGCTGCGTTTCTCTACGTCTATAATTCGGTTAAGAAAGGTATGCTCAATGATTCTCCAACTGTTCGTCGTGTTAAACAAGCGGAAATCGATGCGAAAACAAATACAACCATAAACAATATCGGTGAATCCCTCGCATCATCCGAAGATGACAATAAAGTTTCTTATACTTAACAATTTCTATTGAAAATCGATTCGAAATGTCTTTCAAAACTTTAATTTAACTTTTTCTTCTTTTTCTGTGATTTATTTTAAACATTTGATTATCTAGTGAAAAAAAAACGCAATGAAGCATTCGTAACAAAGTTTTCAATGATTTTCATATACATACATATGTTTTTCTACAAAAAAAAACCTACATGATTTCAGATTGATCAAAGTGAGAGATGCTTCTCTCCATGTTACGATTAAGACCACTCGTTCAGAGATGTTGGTCTATTCCTCATACAATATCACGTTTTGAACAACAAACATTGAAGTTAAATCACCGAACATTGACATTTTCTGCACTGTGTTTACAAAAACCGCCATCAACTTTGAATGAAAAATCAACGCAAAAAGTCTCGTCGTTGGTGGGTGAGAATGAAAATAAGACTCCTTTCATATTTTCCAAAACTTCAACTGATCCGAAGTACACAAAAACAGCAACCGATGAAGAAAAACGTGAACAGGCTGCGAGAGCCGCATGGGATGTGCGAATGTTGAAGTATACCGGTTATTTCCTTGGTATATGGTTAATCTCAACAGTTGGTTACATTATTCTTGTTTGGGGTGCACCACAAATCGATCAAGAAGGCAATCTGATTCATGACCAATATTCTGACTTGCCCTCATGGCAAGCATACTTACAACGATCATTTCATGGTATTATAGATTATTGGCAAACAATTAAAGATCCTACAAGTGATAAACTTCTGCCTGAACCACTGCCAGCACCTTACCAACCATTATATACATTAGTTATCGAAATGTCAGGTGTGCTATTACATCCCGAATGGGCTTACAATACTGGCTGGCGATATAAGAAACGACCGGGATTGGATTATTTCATTAAAGAAGTTGGATATCCTGTTTATGAAGTTGTTATCTATACGAAAGAAACACCATGGGTATGAACCATTCAATCTCATACGGCAGGATAAGATGAGTTTGTTGTAATCAAACAGTATCGAGCAGAGAAGGTGTTTGTGTGTAAGATAAGATAAGTTGACTTGTTCTCGTTGCATATCTTCTATCTGGTCAAGTAAATTTCGATAAAATAAAATGACATAAACATATTGTTTGTCTTGAGAGATGATGCGTCTTCTTTCTAGGCTGCTGAATCCGTTATTCAAAATATGGACAAAGACCATCGTATAATGTATCGTTTGTATCGTGAAAATACTCGTTACATTAATGGAGCGCATATTAAAGTAATGAACTCGCCAGTCTATGCTGCTTTCTTTAATCATATGAAGCTACCTTTGTCTAGGATCTTTCGTGTCTGAATCGAGATATCAAGAAAATCATTTTCTTGGATTGGGATGAGAAATCTTATCAGTTACAACCACGAAATGCATTACATCGTTTGAAAAAATGGGATGGAAATGATGATGATCGACAATTGCTTCATCTCGCTGCATTTCTACGAAGTTCGTGCATTGTATATCGACTTTTCTTAGTCATTCTCGCTGTTCTTCTGTCTTTTAGTGGTTGCAGCCAGCGGTGTCGATGATGTTCGTGATGTCCTCGATCATTACAATCAAGAATCTGATCCAATCGAAGCCTTTCTATTTCGTCAACAAAAACTGCTAGTATGATCATAAATGCCTTCGATTTTTCCGTACACTTCTTGTTTTTTTTTCGTCTCATTTAGGAAGCTGAAGAACAAAAACGACAAGCCGCAGCACAATCAACTGTGAAACAATCCAAAGGCCTATTTAGCAATTGGACAAAACGATTTTGAACAATCGTCTCTTCATGTTACTTCTTTTCCTTGTCTCTCATTTTGTTTCTCTACTATTTCAAAATAGATTTCTCGTTCTGTTATTGTGTTTAATTCTAGATAAGTATGAGTGTTCTAGAAATTCATCACGAATTTTTCGACACTGACACACGAAACACTGAACATTTATATCAAGCTTTTTGTAATCACGTCTACTTGGCTCAATGGGAGCTGGCGCGAGTATGTTTACAAGCTTTATTTCATAAGCGATTAGAACTGAATCCAAATCTCGAAGAATTGCTGATTGATATCATTCGAAATCCGACCACTTACTGGTTTGAAAATCAAAAATATTGATCATTAATCACTTAAAAGTGCTTGTTTTTTCCTTTGATTAGCACGGGATCGAAATCAATACCGACGCCATTTCATTTCGCACTACTCTTAGTCGAAGAATGTCGACTGAAACAATATCTGGATGCTGTAAGTAGCTCTAAAACCATCTACAATTCACATATTCACCTACAAACTTCTAGACAATTCTCGATTCATTGAAATCCTATGCGAATTTTAAATTTCTCTTGGCCGTCGGCGATATTCAGCCAAGCGCTCAAGTTGCTCAAGTAAACTCTAATCACTAGAAATTCGTTTTCTATGAGATAATACCATCGTAGGAATTCGACCGTCTCCATACTGACACTGATACTCTTCCGTTGAGTCTAGTCACTGACTCCATGGCTGATTTTCTAGTTGATCTATGGTTACATGAAATACCCCGTGTGTATACTCTCGTTCGTTCATATCTTTATGCATCTATTCCTTCGATACACATCTGGCTGATTCATATTCATAAACGTGCTCTGGACTTATGCTTGCAGCAAATCAAAAGTGTGAATAATGAACAGCAGAAAACGACCCTCACCGATTTACTTCTATCGCTACATTTCTACGCTTGTGATAGCAATGAATTTCGTAGAACCATGCGTGATACGCTGAAAAAAATCGTTATTTATGCAACCGAGGGCAATGATAATCACGGTCAATTGTTTAATTTGAAAACGCTCTATCGTTCGGTTTTGAATAACGAGCATTTAGCACGATTTATCAGTGAATTAGAAAGTATCTACCGACGTGAATTACTGAATAATGAAACGGTGATTATGCATTTTTTAAAGAAGCATTCTTTTGACAAGGAGGATTTCTTTTGGAAAGAACTTTACTTGTATCTCATCGAAAATAAATTAGATTTAACAACGTGCGTTCTCGTAAGTTTAACTTTCATGACTTCCAGAAATCAAAAAGAATCTGCTTGATTTAGAATGATGGAATAACAATGATCCAGAATCGTGATTATTCATCATTAGATCAACTGTTAAACATTAAACAATTGTCATCCTTGCATTTGTATGTTTTTCTTCTTGCATGGACACATGTTCGCACAATCAATGATGCATTAGTTTTACACGGCTCAATCGATTTGATCAAAGGTAGAAATCCAACCTTGAACAAATGTCTGCAATTATTCCTATCGCATATTGAATTTGTCGCCTGGTTATATAACGTTCGAAAGTAAGTCGTCATTATTCGTCTTCTGAGATCTGTCTAATTGATGTTTGTTCATTCGAGTAGAATTGATCCGTAAGTATTGATTGTTTTTTCGCTGATCGCACACGACTTTCATGTATGAGATCGAATTTTGAAGTGCTATTTCATTCGTAGGTATCATGATGGTATATCACCTTTGCCAAACATGTCAGATCTGTTAGCGTTGTTACAAACGAGTTCACCATTGTCGTTGATACATCGGTTTTTGGATATACAAACGATCGAGTCAGCGACAATTCTGGAGAAAATCGGGAAAACATGGGTCAATCTTGATGATGATAATGAAAAAACGGAAAAACGTAAGGAATTCTTCAGCAATTGAAATAATTCACATTCTTCTGGTTCAGGCGTTCACTTTGAGGATGATCCAATACATCTATTAGAAGGTGTTGGTTCACCACAGATAACTGCCTCAATGATATTTCTCGGTTATCTGGCAATCAACAGCGTGGCACAACGTATCCTATCAACTGATAATCAAACTGATACATCAGACTTGTTTTCCACAACAAAATCGTATCTGAGTAAAATCTATCCGTTACGCTTCCGTCTAGAAATACTGGAAAACGTGTTCTCGTTGGTCTTTATTCAACAAAGTGAACTGAAAATCGACGAAAGCATTGAAATCATTGAGCAGTCGACCAATACACATACGTCGTCATTAACAACCTCGGATAGATTTCTATCATCATTACAAAGTAACTTGACGAATGACAGTTTTCATACGTCAACAAATGCTAGCATCAAAACACAATTATCAACAAGGAAATTCGATAATGAACTAGACGAGAATACAGATGATAATGTTTCTGCTTGCAGTAGTTCGATGAGTTCTGTTGGTGCATCGCATCACCATCATTCTATGTATCGAACCGGCTTATTAATCAATCAAGAAGTACTCCATCAGCTATTAACATTCATATGCGATCAACTGGATGAAGCTCGGACACTTTATCAAAAAATCAAAGATAAAGCTATTGATCGTGGAACTGTCGATGTAGAAAAAGCTTTAGATAAATGGTTTCTTAACTGTTCTATCACTACCAGCGAGCAATTTGCCAATCGAGCCTCGAAATTGAGTAATATTGTTCGAGAAGCTGTGTGGAGGTATCAACTATTAACAACGGATACGAAGCAATCGGCAACGGAAGAAACTAAAATTGATGGACAAGAAAAAGAACTCGATTTAGTGTATAATCCAACCATAAAAAAACAGATCCTTCCTATACGTAAGTACATATTGGAGATAAGTTTTGAGAAATGTCGAGTTTTTCGTTTAGCTGTCCATAAACATTCGCGTCGGCGAAAACGTCGTTCGCGACTCTCGGAATCGAGTGTATCAAGGTAAGGTTTATTCGAATAGTATCTAAAACGAAATCGTTTTTCCTGTTATTAGTGCATCATCTTATTATGGAAATAGTTTAACGAAAGCAGGGTCAACGTTGGTTTCCCAAATATTATCAACACGCGACAACCTACTGGCTATTTGTCTACGAGAAGGCAAAATCACCGAAGCAAATGAAGTTATTCGAGTAGATTGAACTTTCTTTGTTTGCTTTTCTGATTACAATCTGTTGTCCTTCTAGTTATTCAATATGCAGGATCATCCACTAGCTGTCGAAGCGAAATATAGTAAATTATTTCATGATACTGTTATTCAATTAGCAAAAAATTCTCCATCTTCGAATCCACCGGTAGAATCCTCGACAGCCAATCTATCCCTAGCAGGCTTAGCCGCATTCGCATCTAATGCTCTCGGTCATTCCTCGGTTCAAAATGATATTCAGCCCTTATTGGAAGCTGCTCAATCGACCGCTGTTTCATCCACATTACCAACATCGAATTACTTCGATCATGAACATTTTCTTTCGTTAACTCTCTTCGATCTTGCAATCAATGCACCAACGATGTCGATCAGCAAAACATTGCTCGACATGGCACAACATCATTTACCCATTCCTCGGCAACTTTTCTCATCAAATTCTTCGGCGTATAACAATCAAACGAATAAAAATTCTTCGCCAAGAATCAAAAACTTGAACGATATGATTAACAACTATACACAACTGGCCAATTCCTCGAATAGGTCATTCCATGATTTGTTACTTGATGTAACTATACCACTAGATGGAAATAAAGCAACCAAAACGATTCAGTATTATAAAAGACTTGACGAACATTGCCGACAGTATTACATCAATGAAGAAAACGCTTTGCCAATCGAAGAACAAGTGAAAATCACAGGTGAATTCTTCGAAAATGATCCACAAGCGAAAGTGGATTTAATTGCCTTCGTTAGGTAAATCTCCAATCTAGCATTCTTATCAATTAAAAGAGACGATCTATTTCCCTTTAGAAATAAATCCAATCCGCCCAAACTATCTTCATCATCTTATGTTAACTATTTTGCCATTTTTCATACCTATTTACAAAACTTCCGCATACTCTTAGAAAAATTTCCCATTCAAGACATATCTGGTGATGTTGATCTATCCAAACATTCGCCACTGTCATTAATCCATCGGATCGTAGCACGATCAACGGATATTGATCTCACACAATTACAGTTGATGACATCGAAATTAAACATCGATATATCACTCGCCGTTAGCTTGAATATCATCCGTCCTTTATTCACCGATAAAACCATTACGACCTCAACGCTATCCTCGAATCGACGTACGACGCTGCTAAATCAGCAATCAATTGACATATTCACTTATCGGCAACGGTCGATCCAACAGCAACAATCGCAAACAATATCGAATGAAGTCTCGGTGGAGAGTGCTAAAAAACAAATAAGGAAGTCATCGACGTTTCTCAAGCGTCTAACGAGTAAATTAGATGAGTTTCAGAATGAACCTCGATCATTTAATGAAAATCCCGAGAAATTTATACGAACGTTACTTATTAAATTATTAGATTCTATTCGAAGTAAGTGTCATTAAAAATCACAAATACCAATCTTCGTTTTCTTCGTAGAAATCATACAAGAATCCAATCATACTCATATGAACATTGAACACGTCGACAAATTACTGGCGATTGAAGATTATGATGATATTCTCAATGCATTACCTTTACTAAGTTATCTCGATCTCGGTACTCTAATGAGCAATGAAGAACGTATATGTTTCTTCGCAAATTTGTACAATTTTCTAATCATCGTTTCACATATTGAACTGATTCGAACGACTCTCACACAAATATCAATGAAAAAAACCACGAGCGTCTTTCGTAATGATTTAGAACGTCTCCTATTTCTCTTAAATACACGTATTGATATTGGCCAACTCAAGCAGATCTCCTTGTATGACATTCGACATCACATCTTGAAACAAAATATTCTAAATGATGGTCTAAAGTTTGAGATCGATCCCAATGGACCATACCATCATTATGCTCCGGTCATTTCCAATGATCAACATATTAAAATTGGTTTGATACTGAATGATTGCATATTTTCATCAGCACCGTTTCTGATTCTAACACCCGAATTGCTCAACGAACAATTACAACGGTCTATACGAGATTTCATTGACAAATGTGTAACAATAAAAACGAGTGAAACGGATCAAGCACTCGTGATTGTTCTACCACACGTTCTTCAGAGTCAATTCGATCAGACAAAAGATGATATGATCAAATTCATTGATGAGTATTCATCGAACAACGAAATACTATGTGCGATGAATGGTAGGATGATTAAGTAGCAAGTTATTGATAAACGACTTTCTCATTTTTTAGAAAAGCGCACGATAACAACTGAAGTCATTTTAAATCGAACAGATTTCGCTGTAAATTTCGAATACCATTCCTATTCACATGATTATGACAGACAAAAACGTCGTCGTCGTACGAGTTCACTACCATCTTCAACGTCGATAACAACCATATCATCTTCATTAGATTTTCTTCCTTCAACTACAACACTACCCAATCATCTTATCGATTCTCGCACGATATCCTTCGTACAAGAGAAGTCACCTGCACTAGGCCAGATTCTTCAAATATATGTTCAATCGGTTGTCCACAATCAAGCCATTGAAAACGATAAGACACCTTTGAAAAGTTACTTCACAAGTCTTCTATTATCTCCAACACTAATTCAGTCGACTTCATCGATTGGTGATGAATGGTTTCGTTCCATTGTCTTAAACGATTTAACATATCAACACGATCTTCTTCTCTACCTTTGTTCCTTATTATGGAACGACGCGCGCTATTTGGAAATTGTCGAACTATTCGATTCATTATTACCATCATTCATCGTCCATTCCTCATATTGTCAAATCTTACGTGATCTAGCTTTATTGACATTGACCAAACAAACACCTGAGCCCGATCGCGCTTATCACTATCTACGCAAAATTCACGACTGTCATCTATTAGTTCACGCAACTATAACCTATCTACCGCGATTTGATGGCCCAACATGTCTGAACGTGCTTCAATTATGTTTAACATCGTGTAAAAAATCCCATCCGGACTATATCAGTTGGATACAAGGACGATTGAATAATATGTACGTTTATAAGACACTTTGTCTTGGTGCATTGGCACAATTCAACAAATATATGGAAAAGATTTCTAAAGACGATAATCAATTGAATATTTCGATCGATGACATGACGATCAAGGTCACTACGTCGAAATGTCTGACATGGCAACGAGCAGAAGAGCATTCGAAACGCGATCCATTAGCCGTTGTGAATATGTTCATCTACGAAAAACAATTCGATATGGGACACAAATGGCTAATGTTGTTAAACAACCACGTTGATGAAAGCTTGATTGACAGTGTTCGATTAAAATTAGTTGAAGAACATATTCAGTGGTTATTAAGAGAGGAGAACATTGGCAGTGGCAATCGAATTCTACAAATTATTGACACGATTACAAAGACCGATGATAAATGGCATTTATGTACAGAGTTAATCACGGATTTGTCCAAACAAAAACTAGTCACATATACGAAATCGATTCCATTTTCGAGATTATTCATCAAATTTCGTGTGATACAATATATGCTAGCACACTTTGATGAGAAGTCGAATTATTTCCAAGGACAATATGATCGGTCGAAATTATGCATTCTGGCTGTTGGTTTAGCTATCTTTTTCAATTGTATTCCATTGGAACAAACCGATTCCTATGTACAATTGGTTGGACAGCCATTGCTTATATTGGAGCAGTTATTGATGAATAGTTCGACGGATATAGCGAAGATAACGATTGATACATTCAAAGTTTTGATTGAAAAGTATGCAATGAAGGAGAAAATTAACGTTAAGCAAATCGATCAATTGATTGAAGTCTATACGAAGAAGAGCGTCCGGCTAAATGTTGTACAACAGAAGGAAGAAACAACAGTACCTGAGAATAAGTAAGCATAGTTAAATTTCTAGAAGAATAGCTCCAAAGAATACCTGACTAATACCCATTTCTAGATCGGTTCCTCTGCCATCAACAAATCTACAGCATGACCGCCGTCGTACATCTCTAGTACCTTCTCTCAATGCCAATCGTCGCAAGAGCTCTCAAGATCTATCACCATTAGGCCGTCGTAATCAAAGTAGTGGTGCAAGCAATTTCTTCAGCACCATACGCCATCGCATGTCACCGAAAACATCGATATCTTCTCCAATTGCACCCGATAGTGACGCACATTTATCCTCGCCATCTACAATTGCGTCGTCACCAAACACGAATAGTCCGCCAACATCAAGTTCAATTCCAATCAAACAACCACCAACATCTACATCATCCGTTTTTGATTATCTATCATCATCATTCACCAATAAGAGTTCTATCAGTGAAAATACAGTAAAACCATCTCAAACAACTGATTACACCGTACCATTGGCTGTTCCGACACGAAAATTATGGATATCTGATGACGACGTATCTGTCTGTATGTGTTGTAACGAAGCACGATTTTCCATGTTCAATCGTCGACATCACTGCCGACGTTGTGGTCGCGTCGTATGCAAACCATGTTCTCAACACACAACGGTAATTAACGAACGTCCTGAACGGACATGCAAAGATTGTTATCAATACATGCAAAATAATCCGCAGCCATTAACTAATGCACGACCCGAAACGAACAACCCGGCGAAGAAGATCGATAATCTTCGCTCGTAAGTAATTTAAGTGATTTCTATTGAAAACTAAGAGAATTCTGCTCTAGTTTATCGCGACCGATCAGTTCGTTCAAGAGACAATCGATTACTCAACTCTATCTATCAAATCAGCATGGCTATGAAGGTAAATCCAGTCAACTTCTATTGGGTACATCATTAGCTAATGACACTCCAAGTATTCTCGAAGAAAATTGTTTGATGCTCAGTGCGAGTTTTTCAACCGCTAGTCCATTATTAAAAAATAGTAAACTCACCGGTCCATCTGGGCTTGATTCTCCGCAAAAACAAGATCAAGCTGCAGATATGCCAGCCATTCCTATCATTAGTGATCAAGTTCAATATCAGCTCACCGGTACAGCGAGTGACGAAAGTTTACGTCATGATTTTCACTACGATCAATCTCCAAGTATATCTTTATGTTTATCATTAATCGAATTGCATTCCAATCAATATGAATGCGGCAAATTATTACTGAAACTTTGCGAATATTTATCTGAACAGTTATCAAGTAAACAACGCAACAGCGAAATTGATTATGGCCTAGTTTTGAATATCATCAAAAATCTTCTATTCACAGCAAAAATGAAACTAATGACTGCACATGTTGATGATGAACAAATAGGTGAACAGCAAAAATTATTGGCGTCGTGTGACATGTATAATAACTCAGTCGATATTTTGAATCGATTGAATATGGCAAACTGTTCATTACCAGCTTTGAATGATCTTTTGCAACAGGATACATTGCGGAAAATTCGTAATCAGTTATTGGACGACGAACGATATCAATTAGCGATGGATATATCTACACGATGTAACTTAGACACGCAAACGATCTGGTTTCGTTGGGGAATGGGTATGACTACATAATCTGACGAAAGAAATCGATCTCTACGAGTAAATTTTGTGTTTTAGCTTACCTTCACATTGGCCAATTCGGTGAAGCTCGTGATAAATTCGAAAAATGTCTCCAAAAGACCAACGAAACAAGTGATCTGATAACTAAACAACAACAACGTGGTGTCGTTAGTCAAGAGAAACTAGTTAACGATATCGTTTCTTACTTGGAATCATTCCGTCCGTTGAGATATTCCATGAAATGTCAATATCTTGCCGAACAACAAATTCGACAAACCGGCCAAGCACGTACTAGCTTGAAATACCTCAATAGTCTTTCAACAATACCTCGACTACCTGATAAACCAACAACAGGTTTGAATTCTTTCTAAATCTTTTATAAAATACAATCTTCTCCATTGCTTATAGCGATCGACAGCGAAATTTTATTCTATCTGACAACTTATAGCGACGACGCCCATATTTTGAATTACTACATTCGTCACGAAGATTACAGACGCGCATTTGAATATAAATGTTCCTTGATATCATTTCGTGATCACATTTATCTTCCATTATTGAAACGTAATCATCTGACACATCTATTCAACTACATATCTTCGCATAATAACACATCGTTAGCGCATCATTTGAAATTTGTATGTACGTATTTGAAAGAACAGAACATGTATCACTCGTTACAACAATTACAAATCTTCTTGAACGATTTTAACAATGCCGGATTTACAGCAATCAAGATCTTTACTGCGAATCGAACGAACTATGTGGATCTATATGAGAAACGGGTGAAATATCTACAACAAGGTTTAGAATGTTTCCAACAAGCAAAGGGAGATACTGAACAAACAACAAACAAAATCCAAAGGTAAATTATCATTTTATTGAATTCATCTGTATCCTTTTCCTTTGGTTAGTGCACGAAGTAAAATCGAACTTCAACTTGATTTAACTCGACATATCTATACACAACTGAAACGTTTGAATACGAATGGCGCAGCGGTGCTACCGAACTGTCCGACAGTGTTCGATGGAAAAGACGCGATAATAAAGCTTATTCTCGGCCTGTTAATGGTATCAGACACAATGTCAGTTACATTTAGTTTAATTAATAAAATAATCAACGTAAGAGTCGAAGTTTTGCGTTCTATCTTTTATATGTTTTCTTTAAGGAAATGAACGTTTCAATCAATGAAGTATTCCTTCCGTGTGCCGAAGAAATAGGTAAACGTCGAGATTATCGTATTCTCCAGCAGTTACTGCAAGCAATGCGAGAGAATGGGTACAATGACATGAAACTTCACGATGAGATTATCGAAGTGTGCATCAGAGAAAGCGGTTCTGATGTTCAACAAGTAAAATACATATATGTGCGCTCGATTCGCTTTCAATTATTGATGCTTTTAGAGCAAAGAACAAGACATTCTCATTCAAATGATTAAAAACGATGACACTCGAATCAACGTTTATATTGCTGTTGGTAAATTACGTGCTGCTTACTTAATCGCCATTCGTCTTGGCAGAGAAGATAAGGTTCGTTTGATTCGCGACGATGCATTGAAGAGCGGACAAACAGCTGTCTACGACATATGCAAGAAATGGTTGGAAAACCGTACCAGTGAACAATGAACATTCGAAACAAATCTCTAGTCTTTCTTCGTTCAAACTGCAATGAATATGTTCTTTTAATCTTTTATTTCTGCCTGTGATTATAGTATTTTTAATAGGTGATTCTTTTTCCTCTCGAAAGAAATAAAATTCACGGCTTGTCTTCTAGTTTATGTAATTGATTTCGATTGTCGTATTCTCTTTTTTAGATATGCTAGCGGATTTCCTAGAGAAAAATGAGATAAAGACGTATAATGGTAAGTGTTAACGACGGATCGGTTTGTCCATCTACAGAGTGAAGTTAATGACGTTTTTTTTAGAGTCGATCACGTCCGATCAAATAAACTTGTTGAAGTTAAGTCTTAAACAAGAAATTGAAGATAAACAAAATCAGATTCATCAGTTTTATACGACAAAACTTCAAGATATCACCAAGATCGATGAACAGACGGAAAAGCTCATTGGACAATGCGAACAGTTAGAATTGAAACGAAAAGAATTGATTGAGAAAATCGATGATTACTCGAAGCTTGAAAACCATGCGCGACATGTCAATTCGAATTATCATCAAGTTCAACATTTAAATCATTTCATCGACGGGATCAAACAATTGATCGATCTACAAACTCAACTAAAAGGTAGAATCAGTGTGCAAAACTCTTTTCGGAGATCATTCTGCTCTTCAAATAGAATGTCGACAATTCTGTAAGAATGGTGAGTTAAATCAAGCAAAGATTTCTTACACAACCATTGAATCTCTTCTGAACGATGAATATCTATTCCCGACGAAAACACCACACCCGAATTCGCCATTATACGACACATTGCAAAGATCTGCCCGGCAATTACGCTCTGATATCTGTCAAACCCATCACACTCTATGGAATGATGGTGTTGATCGTACAGGAAAAAATGAATTGAGACTCAATTTGAAGTATGTTGATCAATTATTTCAATGTACATTTCATGAAGACAAAGGAGAGAAGACTTTGATGGAGAAAAATATTCAATCATTTGCAAATTACTGTTTCCAGCGAATCATTCAAGTTCTACTCGAGAAAAACATGAAATTAAACGTCGATGTAGAACAAACGAATGTCACTATTCGATTAGAAGCCAACGAAGATTCTGATAGAAATGACATTGAACAATTGAATATGACGTTACGCGATATAAAAAAGTTCTTCGAAGTGTTGAATACGTATGTTTTATCCAGAGTAATGAATGTGCAAACATCAAAAGAAGAGTAAGCACGGAAATCTCTTGTTACTGGTTTTCCAAAAGTGATTTGATCTGTTTCAGATCGGTGGAAACTATTTCAATAATGGCAATATTTTCTTCGGCGATTGCAAATGATTTTGTCGAAGGTGTACGTGAACAGATCTTAAACGTAATTCCAAATGATTTCGAATACACCGATGTGTTTCGTACATTATTAGACACTGTTAAAGATTTAGAAAATTATTTGATCCGAATGAAATTCTTGGTAGCGAAAAAGACTTCGAATATTCTCTCCTCAGTTGTGGGAAATATCGAAGAATCGATTATAAAAAGTCGATGTCGAGCGTATCTTAACGAATGTCGACAGTTGTTACAATCGAATGCAAATCTTAATACGTCGTTCAAAACGATTGAAGTTGGAGACAATGAACAGTTATTTCAACAAACGCAGCAGGAAAAAGAACGATACCAAAGTCAAACATCAACGAATATTTTATCCACAACTATCAGCCTGGATGAACTCGACGCAAACATGTTTCGATTTCCTCGTACAATGATTGTGTAAGATGTGAATTTCAGTGGGACGATTCTTATAGAATTCGTTTTTTTCCTTCTTAAGAGAACATGTGTATGAGTATATGGCGTTTGTTCGAAAGATTTTACAAGAAGCTGATCAATTAGAAAATTACGGTGCGCATCTTTGTGCAACAGCGAGGAACATGATGGAATTATTTCATGTCATGTACGCTAATCTACATGAGAAGAAAGCTCAAGAATTTCCATATTTAACTGGTAAGAAGTTAAAGAGCGAAAGATCCTTGTCCTGGAGTTTGGATTTCTTGTCTAACTTAGAGTCTTTTTTTTTCTTCTAATTTTGAATTTTAGCTTTGCATTTTAATACGTATATGTATGTGGGACATGAATGTCTTCTTTTGGGCGAAGAGTATTACCATTTGAAGACGAAGACCGGAGATGGTCAACCAATAACATTTGTTGATTATGTTGCGATATTTCGTAATCAAGCAGCGAATCTGCTTAAAACACAGTTGGACTCACAAAGAGATTTGTTAACATCATTTATTAAAGAAGTTGGAGGTTTGAGCGAAAAAAAAACACAATTTGATCTAACCAGTTGTTGTTGCTTTTATAGCTTTTCATAACATCGCTGACGAAGCAGAGAATCATGATCTTCTGAAGCGGACAATTAACAAATGTATAATACAGATGGAAAATCTTTCACATAACTGGCGGAATGTCTTCTCCGCTCATGTTTATTTTAAAGTTCTTGGTAAAGACATTCATTGCCTATGCATTTTTTTATTTGTTCGATTCATTTAGCGTATTTATGCGATCATGTTAGTCAACTTCTTCTCAAAGAAACTTTATCACTCGAAGATATACCTGAACAGGAATGTGGAATTATGGTCAATGGATTTACACAATGGTCGACATTCTTACAAAATACACTTGTGAAAGACGAGATTAGTCCTGGTTTGAACGTTCTTGCACGACTCGCGCCTAATCTGACACGATTCAGTGAACTGTGCCTAGTGTTGAACAGCTCATTGCAAACAATTGTAGATCGATGGTTTAATGGCCAAGGACCGTTGGCGAGCCAATTCACTGCGATGGAAGTGAAACAATTGATTCGAGCACTTTTTCAAACGTCCGACCGGCGAACAGCGGCGCTTGCTAAAATTCAATAAAATATTTTCTCTTTTTTCATTTCTTTTCTTATGTACTTAGTTGTTTGCTTTGGGGAAGAATGATCTTATGTCTTATATTTTCATAGAAGTATCCTTTTTAAGATAATCCATGGGCGGCGAACATTCGACAACTCGACATAAAAAAGGCGTGGTCTATTCGAAGAAAACTGGTGAGATCGTTGAGTGTTTATTTTGTCGCATCGTACGTGGAGAGTCACCAGCAAATCAACTATGGTATGCTGACGATCACTGTGCAGTTTTCATTCCGCGAGGACCAGTCGCGCGATTACATTTATTAGTTGTACCATTAGAACACATTCAAAATATTTCAACACTCACTGAAGAACATCGCCCACTGTTAGAACACATGAGAAAAGTAAAGCACATGAAAGAAAATGACGAATGTAAATCCGTTATTTTAGGTAGCAATCGAACAGCTTCGTGTTCATTCTCAGTACATCGGATCTAGTGAATCTCCATTGGTACCACTTGCACCTCCTCCATCTCATTATGCATTTAATCGAGGAAATTTGTCGATTTTAAATCCAGATATCGTGTCTTACAAAGATGAGAAAACTTCAAGGGATGATTCATTTGACTTTTGTTTTCATCGTCCACCTTACAATTCGATTGATCATCTTCATTTGCATGCGATTCAAGTACCTTTTCGAAATTTGGGCAATCATTTGATGTTTGCGAAAGCATTCCGCTGGCATGCATCGTTTGATAGCGTCTTACATAGTCTAGCGTCGCCGAAAGCGAAATTGTGATCTTTCTATTTATTTATTTTTGTTAAAATAAATGTTTTTAATGAGTTTTATCAGGTGAAAGAAACCAATTGCTATTATTTTCCTCTCATTCAGTTGACTCGCGGACGATTGATGATCTCACGAATCCATTCGATATACGAAGCTGTTTTAGTAAAAACTGTCGGAAAAGCTTGTTGACCACATCCAATAGCATAACTAACAACACCAGCTGCATACCAGCGACCATTCTTGAAATAGAGTAAACCACCACCACTATCTCCCTGGCAAGATCTAAACAAGAATCATTGACTATCTAAAAAGAAAATAACAATGCGAGCAGCATACCCATGGTCTCTATCAGCAGGTCCAGTATGGGCAGTACACACTTGGCTTTTCGCTTCATAAGCAAAATACATGGAGCAATCGGAAATAACACGTAGACGAGCTTGAAGAAGAACTGGACTCGAACTATTCCACATTTGATGTGCAGTGTTACCCCAACCAACGACATAGACAGTGCTATCCAGTGGTGGTTCGGCAGCCTAGTCGAATAGTGCAAGACAAACTACTCTCATGAAAACTGGAGTAAACTTACATTATCAACCAGACAAATTGGTTGTACATCTTGAGAGAATGTGATTGGTGAAGCTAATCGAATAATTCCAATATCATCTGTTGAACGTGGCTCATTATAAGTTGGATGTAGAACTAACTCAGCGATAGGCATAAGTTGTCCTGATGAGAAACGATTATGTGCACCAACACGAGCGAAATAATTGCCAAGATCTTCCGAGTAGTCTAAACAATGTGCGGCAGTTAGTATATGCCATTGATCAATGATCACACCGCCGCAGTCATGTACATTTTTGTACTGCAACGAAACAGCCCATGGGAATGAGTGTGGCACAGCTTCGAAGCCGTTCACAATTCGAAGTGGAGAATTCGTATGTGGTTGACGAAAGGTTTCGCCACATTGAGGTTGAGGTTCTTGTTGACTTGGACAACAAAAACGAACACGATAATCAGGACAACGTGATGCTGCTGAACCCATACAGAAAACACCATTATTATTGATTAATGTCTGATAAAGTGATGTTTCATTGTGAGATTTGCCCACGACTGAATATTCAACGTTTAAAACTGTATCACATCGCGCTGCGTCAGGGTCAAGTTTTCGAATAACTGATATATCTTCTATGTCATTTCCATTCGTAGTTGTTCGAGGATTTTGTGTATTGAACCACGATGTCCATGATGCTGTTTTCGGATCACATTCGTCGTCATTAGGTGATGAAAGTTCTTGCTGAGCAAAACTCTTTGATGAAAACAATAGAAAAGCAAATAAAAGCAGATATGATGCCATCAGTATATATGATAACTGCTTTCTATACCAAACCCTATTTGTCTATAGATTGATATAGAACGTAGCAGTAGTTTATATAGGTAAGTTTATTAAAGTACTAAAGTATTTATTCATTCTTTTCGAGATTATCATTGGAAGTATTTGATTGTTTTTGTCAGCAGATCTATGAAATTTGATATTGTAGTATTTATTAATAGACAAAATCGCAATTAGTAAGATAAAATGAAATCGTTACTTTGGAGGCTGGTATGTATCAAACAGCAATCTCGTCAGAATGAAAATCATTTATCGTTCGGTGTTCTTCGGAGCAAAGAAACCTGACTATTCTGATAAATTATGTTTTCTTTTCGTCATCATACTCGATCGAGTAGGAACATTGGCGAAAGCCAATGAGCAAAAACGATCATAGATTCTTTAAAGATTAAAATACCTGACGGATGAGTGCACAATAAACGATTTTGGGGTATTCAAATCACGATGCTCTCATATTTGCTCACGAATGTATGAATATTTTTATCATCGTTACCACAATTGCACTTCACATATTTTCGACTTGACGAAAGATAATTACGCGCAGAGAATGTCTCTACTGATTTCATCTATTTGACTATCTGATAAAAATGAGTAAAACTAGGTGTCTCGAAGACCAACTTCGGGAATTTTCATGGCCAATCAGAACCTTTCATATACCGATCTGACGAAATTCAAATTACAAGCTGAATCACGGAAATGATCTATGCAAAATACCATTGGTTGGTTGATTGATGGTTTCTACCGGTCGAGTTATTAATGACATTATCATTGTGAGAAAAATCATCGACCTACATCGATTTAGTGATGAAATGCACTATAACAGTGAAGATGATTCATATATCCATTCGCTGTTATCTACACATTTCTCTATTTCCGAGTAATCTCCATATAATATAAACGAAAATGATTGTTTTTACTGTATTTGTTCTCGTTATCGGACGACAGTATTGATGTTTGATTTCGATGCTGAAGACTATCGTTTTTTTCCTCTTTATCTCGTATTGGTATGAGTGTGAGGCATGTTGTTTCACAGCATAACTGTCAGCAAAAAAATATTTTCTAGTCATTTATGTGTCATATCTCAAATCAATTGTGTAATTACACACAGTCTAATTTTTGTATGCTAATTTATAACCTTGTTTTTTGCTATTGACTGTTTCATACGTATAAATAATATTTGACTCAGGATGACATTCGAGAAAGGAAAGGTAAGACGAAAGGGCGCTGCGAAACTGTAATTATCTACGAGTAGTTTTTTTAAGGGAAAAGAAATGTTGGTAAATTTACTGAGCAGAACAAATGAAAATTTCTTCGCAAAACTTGCGCTTCAGTTTGAGTATGAGTCATTATTATGTTGTTAAACCGATGCAAAAAAGAAAGAACAGAACACACGAGAATATTTCTCTCTCTGCATATATAAAAGAGATGAAAAACATTGTATTACTGGTTTGCTGCTGACTCATTATTAACATAGTTTTTCATGTTAAATAATAGAGCAGACAGATTAGAAAGAATTTATCTGCCGTAGTCATCGTGACATATTTGAAATTGATTTCAAACAAAGCGAAAGTAATGTTTGCTGTTTTATCTTTGAATTCACAAATCATGACGAATATGTACTTATACATTCAAGTGGCCAGTCACTCTTCTTCTAAGATGATGAATAATCCATATACTTTTTTTTCTTTCTATTTCTATCTTCTAGATCACACATTTTCATTCGTTCATGGCTACATGTATGGTTGAAGACAGCAGACTAACAGCGATACATTGTCAAAGCATAAACTCCATGGAACAAGCATCGACATCAGCGTTGGAATCGATCAGTCAACGATATGAATTGAGTTTTCAAATAGATTCGACTACAATAATGAAGAATCAAGATTTGATCAAAAGACGACAATTTCATCGAAGTTTGACCTTTACAACAACGAGCGATCGAACACCGATACTAACAGACAACAGCTGTCTTTCACAAGCTGTTTCAACAAATAATAAGAATGAAAGTATGAAAATGGATATATTTAGATTATCTTCTACTTGATTTTCTATGCCTAGCTGCAATCAATCGACCAAAGCTTCTGCTTCTAAATCCACCAACACCACTACTCCGAACGTGTCTAAGTTATCCCGCAACATCACCACATGAATTCTTTGCAATCGAGGATGACAAATTTTCTTCATTACCTAGTCTGACATCTCCACCAGCGAAACGCCTACGACCTCAGACCTTGATATTCACACCAACAGAACAATCAGCGCCTGTCCTATCAACAACAAACTCTTCTCCATCGATTCATTACCTTGATTCATTGGATTTTTCTACGAAATTAAAATCGAACTGTTCAATGATCATCTTCGATTGTGGCTCACCTATTCGTTTCAGTGAGAACAGTATCTGTAATTCGTTGCTTCTTCGCGTGTCGGATAAAATTTCACGCAAACGATTCAAAACCAATCCAACACAACATCTACCAGTGGAAATCCAACATCTAAACGAATGCGATGCCATCCTATTATACGATGATTACAAGAAGACAAATGAAACCGAACTATCAGCAGGAATTAAATGCGTATGTGAAGAAATTCAGCGATGTTTGACAACAAAATCTGTTTCAATACTTATTCTGAAAGACTCTTTTGAATATTTCGCCAGTCTATATCCAAATCTATGCATGCTATGCCAAGCCGCAGCTGACAACACACCATTGATAGCACCACAACTAATTACTCCAGATATTGAACAGATAGATTGTCCAATGACGCATATCATGGACGGTGTCTACGTGGGAAATGAATCCAATGCAAAAAATCTCGACGAACTATCGGCGGAAAACATTCGATATATCGTTAATGTAACATCTCATGTGCCCCTATATCATTCCGATCGCCTGCATTACTATCACATCTCCGCTGATGATACTCAAAAACAGAATTTATTGAATTACTTTGACGAAGCTTATGAATTCATTCATCAAGCGATTACAAGGCATGAAAAAGTTCTTGTTCATTGTGTTGCTGGTATAAGTCGTTCGCCAGCGATAGTAATTAGCTTTTTAATGCGTTATGCCCAAATGAATTTGAATGATGCTTATAATTATGTGAAAATGAAACGTTCAATTGTTTCGCCGAATCTGAATTTTATGGGACAATTACTTCAATATGAAAAGCAATTGTTAGAACAAAGCTGAGTCACTATGAAAAGAAAACAAACAAAAAAAAAGAGAAGTAGCCGATATTTATCTTTTTTTTTTAAATTTATTTATGGATATTGTTTATATTTTTCTTTTCTTGTTAAAATTTCTTGTTTCAGTTCTTTTCTTTCTTATTTACACAAAGATTCAGCGAAGAAATAGTTAACTTACAGAACAATTCTCTCTCTGTCGGTCGATAGCCTACTGCGTAATTACTTTTAGTCATCGGAAGGAAGATGATGTAACACATTACGTTCGAAAGTTACATTTTATCGAAAGCTATGTACTGAGAAGTCGCATCACATGACGCTGACTTTCAATAGGTTATGAAAAGAAGAAAACTCGGATTCATCGATATGATTCATGATATACTTTGAGTGCCTTATAAAAGAATTAAGGAAGTGCGAGTCACGTACTAATGCAATTCAATTCTTTCAGATTTAAAAAGTGAAAGTAATTGTGTTAAAAGAGCATGCTACTTGTTAATGTGGAAAAGAAGGCTCGAAAGCGTCGATTTTAAATTTGTCCTTGATAGTGCAGAAAAGGCATTCGACTATATGCGTATATTGGTTGTTTTTTTTTATGACAAATGTTTAAATATTAACTGTTCGTGATTATCGGCAAGAAACTCGAGCTAACTCAATGCTGTTTTTGTTGCCGTTGCTTATAGATGCATATAACGAATGACGACGATGTTTCACTATAAATTTTTCATTGACATTAACGTAATTACGAAAGTTTGACTTTTAAGGTCAGTTGTTCGTTTCGAATGAGACATACACATGTGTGTGTCGATATCTGTGTTTCATATTTCTTTTGAAATTTCAAATCAACGTCATACAAAGTAAAAAAAAGAGAAAGAGACAATTAGAATTTTTCATATCAGGATTTCACCGAAAGAAACAAGATTAGTCTCATATTCACCAGATGTTTCTGCTTGATTTATTTATCGATTTTCATTTCGTAGTACCAACACTTGACCCGCATGGGTGATATTGAAAGCAGAAGAATCGGGTATATAGAATGGTTCACCGTCCATTTGTGCAGTCATTGGACCGAATGATTCAATACGTAAATGATTGCATTGTGCAATACGTATGCCACGAAAGCCGATATGAATTGTAGCCATATGTGTTGTACTCAAGCCGACGACTTCGATTTTCTTGTCGCCAAAATCTTGCCGTTCAAAGCGAGTGGCAGTATTATTCATCGTTGATATTAAGGTTGACGATGATGCGTTTATTTGATCATTTGAGCATTCATTCAATGCGATGACTTCGTAGACATCATGTGCATTTGGTGGGATGTCAGCCAGCTCGACTGAACTAGTGGAAATTTGTTCGAATGAGTCCGAATCCTTTTGTATCATAGTCGGAGGTGATGAACAGGAATTGTTCGATGATTTGCCCCATGGATTTGTTCCCGAAGCATAACCGGGTATATTTAACACGAGTAATGTATGGCAGTTTTTAATGAAGTCCGTCAGATCTTCGCCATCACATTTCAAACGCATGTAGGAACTTAGATTCCATAATTTCGATCGTGCAAAATCGTTTAGATATTTACAACTTTCATTTAGATACATCAATTTGTTTTTCAATGGCGAAGAAAATTTTCGTGGATTACGTGTGCGTCGATGATGGAATTCTAAAGCGATAGCAGCGTCTAAACCAAAACTCATATAATTGATAAACCGACTATTTGGTAATGTGCGGTGATTTTGATAGGAGGCACGTGTGGTATCACGAATAAATTTTGGGTGTGAAATGAATGATAAGAATGTACGCGTAGTCGAATTCTGAGCTGTAGTTATGTTAGAATTACTTGATTCGATCGGCTCGAGCGTCACTTGCCAACGGTCTAGAGCAATGGATTTGGCACGTGGGATTTGAATTAAAGTTGATAATAAACGTTTTGGATCGTATTGTTCACCCCAGGATAAGACACGTGATAGATCATTACCTGTTCCTAACGGGCAAATACATACCGGTGGATTATTCAACGGCGGGTATATTTCTGCCAAACGACTTAACACCCAGCCGACTGTTCCATCGCCACCAAATACGCAAATACGTATATTTGGTAGAGACGAATAGATATTTATGGCATTAACAATAGTCTGATCGTTTTCCAGTAGAAATACTTGGCGGGGATTGAGCAGACGTAACAGTTTACGATAGATTTTTTCTCCGCTCTGTCCACCGGAACGTTTATTGATGAAAAGCAGTAGAGGTGTGTAGATCGTTTCATGATCATTATCTGTTGGATATTGTGCGCGAAAAAGTGGAGTACTGCCTGGTAAACGGCGAATCCACTGTGGTCGAACAATGATGTGTCTAGAAAGAAAACAAAGTGATAGAAATATAGATTCGATGCACTTTCATTGATATACCTGAATACGCCATAATCACATCTATTTCGATCTTCATGAGTGAATACTTGTTCCCAACATCGTCGATGATAACCACGTGTGCACCACAGACATTGTAGACCGCCTGCTGCTGTTGACGGTTTCGGACTATCAGGTATTGGACTTTTCGAATAGCTTACACCTTTAGTCATAATGTCTAATGTAGGCATTGTCGATGGTCGATTAGCCCCACTGAAGATCGGATTCGACATTGATTTACGTTTGCAAAAGGCGCAAGGTTTAGAAAGTGCAGTTATAGGCGACCAGAAATGACGATCTGGTCGGTTCTGTTCATCTTCATCGTGAAATGATGGACGACATGCGGGCATTGAACTACTTCTAACTGCTGAGAGATTTGATAGATGATGTGTATGTACAATGAGAAAACACGATTCGCATTGAACAAGTGCGAGAAGAATTGGTGGCCTGGGATTTTTACACGAGAAAAATGAACATGGTGGCGATGAGGTCGGATCAGTAGGAGTAAATGGAAACCAACAATGTGCGGTCGGATACGCTCGATCTGTCCAGTCGGTACCATAGGAGATTGGAATGTTAGCTTCCGACAATGCAGAAGCAGTTGGCGGAGACGATGGCATACTAGTGAACGGAAAATACATATTATTTGTTCTCTAGTAAACAAACGGAAAGAATCTGTGTAGCAATAGATATATATCCATTATTTTGTTATCATCTTCTCCTGCTCTTTGACAAATATTGCCTTTACATTACAAATTCAATAATATTAATTGATCTGTCAATTTATTCTTCTCATCAAGACAACTGTTTTGTTAGTTTATTCCTCCAAGTTTGACAGTCAATTTTCTTTCTATTTACTTCTCTAATACGTACACGCATATATTATATATATAATGCCAGAATACATCGAAAAAGGGACGAGTAAATAGCATGTCAAACAAATATTTTGGCGATATATGTACATTGATTATTATTAGTCGTGAAAGACAGAAAAAAGCTGCATGCTAATGAATTTGATATTTACCTTTTCGAATCCGGTTGCGATTCATCTAGTATTGGATCAGTCACAGCAGTCATATAATCAGTCGATGATGTACGATGATATTGTTGTTCATCGTCATCTCGATCGTCGTCATCGTCGTCATCGTCATCATCATCATCGTCATCATCATCATCATCGTCGTCCGAATGAGTCGTCGCCGGTTGGCCTAATAATATTGAATGATGAAATTTCGAAGATAGGTGTTCGGTAGGTGTTGCTGGTAATGAAATCGATTCGGTGCGATCCAATTTTTTGGTTTGTATGTTCATGACACGTTTATTGGTATCAATGTCTATTCGTCGAAGATCACGTTCGAGTATTCGATGATTGTTTCCGTGTCGATTGGCCAACGCATCACAATCACGTGCTTGACTGATGGAATCAAAACTTGAATGAGCATTTACGTCTCCACATGTTGATATTGGCGTTGCTAATGACATAGCTGTGTCAATACATGATGTATATTCAAGAAGTTTGTGAGATGAACGAATTAACGTCGGTGATGTTGACTCGGCCATTCTTTCAATAACGAAACAAAGAGACTAAAATATGTGCGGAATACATATGAGTGTTTTTTTGTTTGAGTAGATGAGAAGACAAAGAAGAAAATATGTCAACGACACAAAAAAGAGCGATCAAAATTTATCGGAACTCTGTGCTTGTCAGTCGCTCTTCTTTCATCAGTGTTTCTCGATAGTTATACGGCTATAGTATTCTACTCGTCAACAGTCTGAACATCTTCATCGAATATGACAGTTATTTCTTTTCTTCGTTTTTTTTTGCCTCATTTGTTTCTCTTTTGCTCCAGCATGGTGTCTGCTATGTCACCAACATAGCTAGTTTACGTTCGTGTCGACGATCGATGAAGATGATGATATAGAACGACTGGCACATTTGTTTTTGACAAGAAAAAGACAATAATAACGTTGTCTTTATTGTCTCAATCTCATTTCCACTCCTACTGTGTCGAGATCTGAGCTCGCGCGCGCGCGTGTGTGTGTTATATGCATATTAGGCACGCCAATGAGATAAATCGATGAAGTCTATTGTCAGCTTTGTTTTGACAATGAATTCATCTAATCAATTTATCAGATCTGAGCAGGCAATGTGCGAAAAAACTTATTGCTGTTTTTCCTCTTCGATTTCTTTGAAGTCAGCCGATGTACAAACAGTACGAAGGAAAGTCATGCGCACGTAATTTACTTACCTGTACGGTAAATGTTGAAAGTTCGTCTCATCAATAAACTCATAACAGTTATCTCATGAATTGTAACGATATGTTCGTATAAACGAGCATGAATAAAAGCCAGAAGTTTGCTGTTATTTTTTTGACAGACACGCAGCACCCAAACACACGCACGCACGCGAAGACAAAGCGAGAAAGAAGAAAAAAAACGATGTTATCAAACGGAGCTGAAGGATTTCTTTCTTTCTTTTTCTTCTTCTTCTTCTTTTTGAGGGTGAGGGTGCTGTCAAGACGGAATGCATATTGTGTTATGTTTTGACATACATTAAAAGAAGAGGAAAAAAAGTAGGAAGAAGGTGCATGAATGTTGATGGAACTTGAATATGACAAAACACGCAACTAAAAACAAAATCTTGTTCTTTTCTTCGAGATATGTACTTGTTTTTCTTTTCAATGCTCTCGTTCGAAATGAAAATAATGAATACGTTGTCGTTTCACCTGATAAAAAGCTCACTTCATGATCTCCGACAATGCTGATTTTGTTAGATATCTAATACGTAAATATCTGAGGAAATAAAATATTAACAAAATATGTCATTCATACTCCCAAAAGGATTATTAGTCACAGATTAAATCTCGTTTTTTTTTATTACATTTTTCTTTATTACACATGAAAAAAAAACACATAGAAAAATCATGAACTTGCTGCATGTTGTGCCATTTTTCTGAAGACCATGGCTTCGTAGTCTTCTAAATCAGGTTTCGTTAAATCAACAACACTAGCTGGTTCGGTCGTTGTTGCTGACGATGTGTCTCCTCGTTTCTGGAGTTTAACCGAGGCGAACGGTCGCTCAGGAAAACCTTTTTCACTTTCAATCAGTTTCGAAATGTGACTTTCATTGAATTCAATCAATGCACGTTTGGGAGGTAGATTAACAATAGTTGTAATGTGACCATATTTTCCAAAAATGTCTCGCAACTCGCCGTCAGTGTAGAATACCGTCGTAGGAGAATATTTGATGATCAAATTTCGATGATGAGCGCAAGTTTTTTCCTTCTCGATGATTTTATGAAGATTTTCGAGTTCTTCATCGACTAAACGATTTCCTTCGCGTCTCAAGCGTTCAACTTCTGCATGTAATCGATCAGTAGTGAATTTGTCGTTAGTTGATTTGGCTGGTTGAGTCACGGATTGCTCTCTTCGGTCGAGATCTTCTTTGAACTTTTTCCGTTTTGCATCCATGCTGGACAAACGTTCTTGCTGAACCTTTTGCTGTCGTCGCGATGCATCGTAGGCCAACCGTGCTTGCTTATCAGTTAATAATTCCAATGCTCTTTTGATCAACAAAAATTGTTCTTTTTTCTCATCGTCGTCAGGAAATTTATCTGGATGACATTTCAAAGCTTTCTTTCGAAATGCTGTGGTTAATTCCTGATCTGTACATGTTTCAGGAAGGTCGAATAGTTGATACAGATCCATTTTCGTTAGGTCGGCCATGGTTCTATCTGAAAAAGAAAATAAATATGTATATATGGTTTGCTTCACGTAAAGAAAAATGGAATGATTAATTTATTTTTACGAACGAAAAGAAAAAGAAATGTTTTGTATCTTGGCGTTTGTGTTATCATTCAATACCAAAACCTTCACAGTTTTCAATAGCAAGTAGTAATTTCTCTTTGAGAATTTCACGGGTTGGATAAGGCGGTAAGAGCAGTTGATTGAAGCTAAAATGCAATGAAATGAACACACCGCAAACAAATCTTCAGGTTTACATACCACGTGTGTGACATGGGCAATCTAGAAAAGAAGAAGATATGTTAGCAGTTGTCAAGCGCGACTGAATTTCACTTACAGTTCATTGACATTGCAACTTTTTGAAGCGACTCTGCCGATTTTAAACGTCATTTCACTTAAGCCTCCAATAGGCATTCGATCACTACCGGTAACAAATAATAGTAAACGTCGTTGTTTCTCTGGTGACATTTCTTCTACGACTTGCCAAAACCATCTGAAATGAAATCGGCCTGGATCACTTCGATAGCAAAAAAAGTCGGCGAATTACTTGATGAAGTCTTCATCTCGACGACAATTTTCATATTTGGTAATTTTAGCCAAATCGCTTAAGTTGCATTGTTGCATTCCACAAATGAGCATTTCTAACTCTTCAGGTACAAGCAGAAGAAGTGCATTGGAGGAGCAAACGCTATGAAATCCACAGTAGAACGCTTCAAATTGTTTAGCAATATGCTTGTTGAGGTAAAAATCGATTAATAGTTCAACATATTCAGCACGATTATCATTTGTAACATTGATTTCTGAACCGTTTTCTTTCAATGGAAAAATCAACGTGGCATCAAACTGTGCAACCGATACCTACCGAATGGAATTCAATAGTAACAGAGAAAACTAAATCTGCATGTTGATCTTACCTCAAATGTAAGTCCGAAATCATCTTCGACGTTACCATCATAATCGAGTAAATATTGAAGACTCTTGGCAATGTCCTATGAAAGATGAATATCGAATGAAATTAATGATATGGACGAGGGCTCTACCGGCCGGATGGTTCTGAAATCAGCCAATGTTGGTTTGATAAGACCCACTTTGAGTTTTGATAAATTCGACACAGGCTCCTTTATAAAAGCTGGCGTCAAAAGTTTCTTGTAACATACTAATGGAAATCGTATGTCAAGTATGATAGCATTGTAAACCGCTAAGCCCATCAGAATTCCGACTAAATTGTATTCACGAATATTATCAGTTGATGCCCCATTGAACCAAAATATGCTCGATGATTCATAGAATACGAACATGCCTGAAACATGGATTGAAATTTGCTTTTTGTTTTTATTGAAAATCATCGTTAGCAACTGACCGTAATCAGGTTGGAAGATCTGCCGAAGTAAAAGAAGAAACCATTCTTTAGTTAGCCCACCCATATCAAGACCATTTTCGCCAACAAACGTAACGCGTAGTTTTTTCTTCAAATCCTCGTGTTTTCTTGTTACCTGATGGTGAGAAAATAACAAATACTACATAACTTTTCTCAAGTAAACAAACATACTTCAGCAAGAGAATCGGCCACGAGGTGCGCTCGTCGTATGTAGAGATTTAAGAACAGCATGTTCAAATTCGGTGCTTGTCGATTTTGAAATTTTTCGATCATGCTACGCTGAAAATGAACAACAGGATGCGAGCCAGAAAGGAATTGAGTCGAACTTACTCGTGCATTGACAATCATTTGTTGTTCGGAATCTCGTTTCAATATTGTTCGTTTAGCATTGACACTCAATACAAACGGGTATTGGCAAAATGTAAACCTAGAAGAAAAACAATCAAGTTAGTTTCTGCTTTCATTTTCAAAGTAAAGAAAACAATAAAAGCTACGGCACGAAGAGATTTTCAACAACGACATTGACTTGGTACAATTTGTATCTAACCCTCCTATTATTCCATGTGATTGCCGATGTTTCCATTCGAAATAATCACGTTCTCCATCGATACTATTCAGTATCTCGATGGCCATTTCTTGTAAAGGAACAACTCGACCATTTCCTCTTTCATTAGCACGATCTGTTCATACAACAGATAGAAAACAAGTCAATACATACGAAGCAAAATGAATGCAAAAGAATATCGTTTCGTCGAAACTACCCTGTCGATCCTTTAATCCAAAGATAATACTCGAATTCAATATCAATACCATCGAGCAAATCAATGATGAATTCATTATAGTTCATAAATCTTCGAGCCAATTGTTCATTAGTTACGTCTTTCATTGAATGAATACATCTTTTGCCCCTATTCTCGACTCCCAATGTACTTACTGAATAATGCCAATGTTCGAATGCCGCATGGAATCCACCAACCGTTGACTAGTGCCGATGTCGAGTTTTCCACACGCGACGGAAACACATTCAGAGAAATAAATGTTTGTAGTCGACGAACAGCAGATCGAAACATATCATCTGGTAACCTAAAAAAAAAGTAGTAAAGCTGAAAAGGTCTTTTCTAGAAAAGAGAAACTTACGTTTTCAAAATCGAAACAATTTCTTGATGCTCACGATCATTGAAATGCGCAACACGACGTAAGACATGAGCGAAGATATGAGTATTCGATACTTCATCAAAAACCGGTGCCTATACGAATCATTTCATACACAGTTCCATCAAAAACGAACGTAAAATTTCCATACCAGTATAAGAATTACATAACCTTTAAGAGTACTCTCGCCGGCACTAGAATAAACAAGCAAACAGCACTTGATTGCTTTTCTTCATATTCCAAGATAAATAACTATATCAATAAACCGTATGCTGGACAGAATTGTCATGGTAAACAATGTTTACTTTCAGAATGTTTAATACTTTTAAGAAAAGAACGTTCACATCTATCGGTTGTGATTGAGTTGCTAATCAAAACCGGACGTTTTCATCAAAGCCCACGATAATAAATAATACACTTCTTTTAGGGATTTGCTTACCGAACTTCTCTTATGCAGCAGGAAGCGATTGTTTTGAGAACAAGACGAAATGATTTGTGCACATCTTTGAGAATGAAATCGTGAATCAGTTGAAGATACTTCCAATCAATTTCTTTGGTGTTACTAGCCTAAACGAAGAAAGTTAAATTGAATCAATCCTTACTATCCACATTACCAGTGTTAATGTTTGCAGCATGTAATCAAAATTAATATAAAATCTTGAAAAGAATGCATAAATTTGATCTTTAGTAGAATTGCTGTCATCCATCAAGTTTCTATGACATAATTAGGATGAGAATTGTTATTGATATTTGAGAAAATCACTCACTGAAAGTCCTCACGACCATAAATTTTCACTTGTGTCACGGTTGTTGCCTGTATTACTGATGTTGTCACAATATTCTCCTTGTTCATCTATGTAAACACATTCTTCATCGAGATATGTCCAATATTCACACTTACTTGTTCATTTGCTTGTTGTTGTTTGTTTCCGATGAGTGGCATTTTAACACTCTGGTGTACCTTATTGTTGCTAGGATTGGTTGTCACTTCGTTATTATCACTATTGTTGCTAAGATCTGGTCTTCGTAGAATAACCCGATTGAATGTCCGACTAAAGCGTGAACGAAGACTTGCATTATCTTGGTTGCTATCATCCCTCGCTCGTTTCTATACGAACAAAAATCGATATTTCAAATAGTATAAGTTAATCATACCTGAAGGTCTTTTTTCAATTGCTGTATATCGGGGAGGTTCGATCCGGTGAGAAATTCTCCACAAAATGGACAGAGAATTCTCAGTCGTCCGTTACATTGTGGATCAGACTCAATATCAAGTTGACATCGATGACAATGAGAAGTCACAGTCGGTATCAGAGCGGATGAACTTCGACGGAATGAATTTGCCATAATCAAATTCACTCTTTCATAATAACAAAATGACACTATATACACTTAATGCGTCATGCTCACGTCTTCTTTTTTTCGTTTTGTCTCATTGGTTTACATCGATAGCCAATGATATGTTTACAGAAATGACAATAATACTTTCTTCTTCTTCTTTTTCTTCTTTTCACGTATTTTTTATTATCAGCGTTCCTATCGATACACGAGTCAAAAGAAAAAAGGTGTCTTCGTTCATTTGGATCAATGCCACAAGCGGTTTTAGTGAAAGCACAATACTTAATCTTATTTAGTTTTTTGTTAACATTTTTTGTTATAACAAATGCCTTCTACACCAAAAGGCAATTTTATCCATCAGTTGTCTATTTAACCAAATCGAACACAAGTCTTGCTGTGAGCACCACGCTTTCGTTCATTTCGACTTCAATAAATGAGTATTTCTCGTTTAGGTACTGTATGTGCAAGCATTTGTCTTTGTTGTTCTTTTTGGAAAACTTGCTCAACGAATATTTCTTGGACAACTGCGTGCTATTGAGGCTGAGGTTAGTGAGAAAGGCTAGTTTCAATCTGTATTGAATTCGCTTGTTTCTTTTCAAGCATTTATACGACCGTGTATGGTTTTCAGTCACAGAAACATGTTTAGCGTTTACTGTATTTCGAGAGGAATTCAGTTCACACTTTGTGGCATTATTTGCAGTTTTACTCTTTCTCAAATGTTTTCATTGGTTAGCAGAAGATCGTGTGGATTATGTAAGTCAATGTTCATGTTCTTTCCATGAAAAGAAAGTCAAGTTTTATGTAGATGGAACAAAGTCCTGTGCTGGGTGCGATATTTCATGCGAGAATTATCGGTAAGACCAGATATGTGGAAACTGTGATCGTCACAAAATTGGTTTGATACTTCCTAGGTCTTCTTAGTACATTATTTGTCTTTGATTATCTATTTTTGTCATCGGCATATACGTACACATTAGCAAAAGGTGCTTCTGTCCAGATCGTTTTTGGTTTTGAGGTATGAAACAGAGAAAAGCGAAGAATTTAGTTGTTTATTGACATGTCGATCTTCTTCTAGTACGCTATTCTAATGGTATCGGTTATAGCTACTGGAATTAAATATATCCTTCATTTCATTGAAATTCGTGCCGGTGAGCAGTGGGAAAACAAAGGAGTCTGTATGCTCTACTCCGATTTAATTCTCGGATTCATTCGGCTTACATTGTACATGCTGTTTATCATCGTTATGATGAGAATTCATACATTTCCATTGTTTGCTATTCGACCAATGTTTATGGCCATGAGGTAATTTGGATTTCGTAAAAGTACGATATTGATAATGTCGATGATATAGAGCGTTTCGAAAATCTTGTACTGATGTTCTGGAATCGCGACGTGCTATTCAAAATTTGAATACTATGTATCCAGATTTAACAGCTGACGAACTTGCCAATGTTGCCGATACAACGTGTATTATCTGCCGGGAAGACATGCAAGTACAACAAAGTATCAAACGCTTAGCTTGTCAACATATATTTCATAAAAATTGTTTACGTTCATGGTTCCAACGTCAGCAGACTTGTATGTATCATCCATAGAACTTTTCTTTTGAATCTTGGATATATTCCGTCATAGGTCCTATCTGTCGTACAACTGTATTACGAGCACCAAATCCTCCTCGAGCTGCTGCAAATAATGCTCAACCTGCCGCAGCAGCGGCAGCGGCAGCACCGCCACCAGCTGCAAATACTCCACCGTCACCACCACCGTCCTCATCTTCCTCTGCTACTTCGGCTTCGCCGCCAAGAAATGCGACAACTGCTCAAACAACATTTTCAACTGCCACTGCAACTGGTGGCACTGGAGTATTTTCACAAATGCCAATAGGTTCCTTTCCTATGGTATTACCACCTTTCGGTATAACATACTCTGTAAATGGACAAGATCTTTTAAATTCATGTGTGTTTGAACATTTAGCTTTTCCTCCTCCGCCTTTACCGCCTGCAAATTTTACTGGTATGTCTGAAGAAAATATTCGCGCTATGGAAGGGGCAGAACTATCTCACGTTCAAGCACGTATACAATGCTTACGTAACGTTAGAACACTACTAGATGCATCAATGATACAAATGCAACAGTACATGAATATTGTCTTAACACAAAGGTTCGTTTATTTCGTACGATCGTCTACTATTTCATACAACTCTATCTGTATTTCTTAATAGTAATATGGAAAATAGTAATCGTTTGTTACAGAATCTTGGCTCTGATCTTGATCAAGTATTTCCATTATCTGACAGATCAAATATGACTACCAATGGTAGAGTCTTTGTTATTGTTCATATCAATAATTCGAATGTATATTTAGATGTGAATGTAAACGATCCTGATATGCTACGTCGCCGACGGTTAAATCACTATGGACATCGATTATCACCAACGAGTGTTGATCAAAATGATAAGCAGAGTTAAACTCCTATTCATCACAAACATCGCTGAATTCACTCGTCGCATCTTTTTCTGTTCATTCATTCATCGTATTATGTACAGACAAGAGTTCTTTTCCGTAATAAGTTATCCATATAATAATCGCTCATATTGAAATTCTCATTTATTTCACAAATAACAACCTTTCTACACATATTTATCACTGTTAGATAACATTCGACACAAGAAAAAAAGTTACAAAACAGTCTTTTTACTGTTGGTTTCTCAGAAGTCTTGTTCATATGCTTCGAATGGCTGCAGTGCGAATTGTACAATTGATTCGAGTATCCATTCTGGACCGAGAAAATGAACACCGTTGGAGCGAGATAGTTCAAACAATTGTTGCTCATTTGAAGATTGAAATCGAAATAAATCAGTACAGAGCACAATCGTCAACATTGAACTCTCGATCGATGAAGTCAAAGGAAATGTATTCAGGATAGAACCGTGACATAATTGTATCAATGACGCTAGTTCAACTTTCGACTAAAACAAAAAATTGAAATTTTAATTGAAAAGCTATTCACTTTGAATTACCATTTTATCTTGACAACCATCGCATAGAAGAAAGAATTGACAATTGTGGAATAATTTCATTTGTTTTGCTAAGCGACTCTTTCGCATACCATCGTGATATTCTCCGAAAGGAATGTCACCGCGAATTTCATACTTCATTTCATTCAGAATCTGATTGTGTTGCAAACATTCGTTAATCCATTGATAACTCATGATGAATAAATGACGAGCAATTGCTTGAAATAGTTTCATCGTTAGTGGACACAAAAGTGGTTGTTCTTCATTTCCGATGATTAAATGTGTTGTACAATTGTCAACTTGTTCGCATAATGCCACTTGATCCGAATGATTCATAGCAAAACGTTGAAGATTTGTCTGAAATGCATCGGAATTTCTGTTAGAGTACTATCTTTCTAAGTTGTTTTCACTTACAATTTGTTCGCTATTGAGACAAGAATATGCAATACAGATACGTTTATCGTTCGAATGTGTTGAATCACTTGTTTCATCTTCAGATGAGAACGATAAATCAAGAATCTTCTTCAATTCGTGTAGATCGTCTTTTTCGTTCTTCTTTTGTCGCTTTCCATTTATTTTCACTGGTAATTTGTGTTCTTTACGCATTTTCACACGAGCATTTGTAAACCAGATGGTGATTTGCGCCGAAGTCATTTTCGTTTTGGTCATCAGCATTTGTTTTTCACTCTCTGTCGGATCTGAAAATACTCATATGAGCGAGAAACGATAGGAAACAGAATACTTACATGGATGATCCTGATGTTCGTACAACCATTGTTTCAATGGACCAGTAGAATTTCGTTCGCGACCGGTTGTACTGAACAATGTTGATAATTTGCTATTTTCCGTATCCATCATTGACTCGATCGACACTACAGGACTGTTGAGATACTGTACTGCTGTTACCGTATTCAGCTGATCAGTCGTTTCGCAGGATTGTTGACTGAGTATGTCCATTAATGAAGACCCAGCTGACGCTATTGCGATACTGATCAATGAATTATTCGACGCAACTTCCGATGGCATTTTATCAATAGAATACTTGTGCTTTGAATTTCTCAGGCAAGATGCGTATATAAAATTAGCAAATGCATTTGCATCAGATATATACTCTTCAGGTGAACAATGAAATGCCGACCGCAGCGAAAAAGTCGGTCATCGACAGATATGCTCGACGGCTATGATCACAGATTCGCATTGTTTCCTATGAAGACGCATATGGACGATTGATGACCGTTGGAAATGCTACTAGCAACGATTATGCATATCAATTTTTCATTCGAAGCAGCAATCCTGTACGTTCAGATCCGAGTTCACTTCTCTTACACTATTCACTGAATGAGATAAGATGAAAGGGAGAGCTAATTGGTTCATCTACTTCACTTATTCACAATAGAACAGAACACGACTCTGATTACTGTTTCATAAACATAACAAGATGATCTATTCTAATTTAAATTGGCTTTTCCTTATCAGAATAATAAAAGTATGCCAAAATAATTCGTTTTCATTCACAAAATCAACATGCCTCGCTCACACCATTCTCGCAAACGTCATCATTCTTCGTCTTTCATCAAATTCGTTGCCCGCATTCAGCACACATTTTCTTCGAAAAATCTCAAATCATCAACTCCAGTTGTTTCACAAATGCCACCAATGCATCCTGTGAATTCAACTCCTGTAAGTTTCATCCACTGAAAACAAGTTCGCATTTCGTCAATCCATTCTCTTCTGCAGGTACCGATATTTCCATCGTTTCCAAATCATCCACGTTGTCGATTGTCACAAATTCTCTACGATCCATTGCATCAAGTGGAATACTTAAGCGAAATAGAAGAAAAGACCAATTCTGATATTTCCGATCAATCACTCGCTGTTGACGACAACGACTCGTGTTATGATTCCATGAGTGAACATCGCAACGATCGATTTAATCTATCGCAAATGAACGTGAGCATGGATCAAGTCGACAATCATTCTACTGAAATAATCAAACTGCCCAAATTACCTTGCTCATTGGAGAATGCTCGCTTTCATTCGACTGCAATCAATGATACTGGAAATTTTTGAATTGTATACTTCACTGTTTTTTTTTGTCTAATTTCTTGTGATATGTATTAATTTATAATAAATTATTCTTTGATCCTCAGGGTCGATTAATTAGAAGAGAGAAAAATTTTGTTTGGAGAAAGAAATATTGCTACGCGTGCACACTATTCTACTCTCATAGACAGGACTGTTGTTCAAAGTGAACTGTCTTCGAGAAATGAACATGGGAAGAATTAGGTCTTAGTACTGCTCTTTGTTGATATCAATTTCATTTTCTGTATCGTTGATGTGGTGCATCATCTTTGCTAACGAGCAGTGCACTAGTCCTTGCATTGAATTACAATCATTCCGATTTTGTGCCATATAGTGGATGCATGTGTCTGACAACTAGTGACATACGATACTGATTGGTTCTAATCATAGAAACCAATGACTCATTGCTATTAGTACAGAGTTGTTCTGTCAGTATGGTATACAACTCAATTCCTGTCAGATCAATGGACGAGTATGTTGCTGATGAAGAGGACAAGGTCGATTGTTCCACATCAACGCAATCGCTAAATTTTCTCACTTCAGTATACGATGTGACTCGTGGAATATTTCGTCATCTACCTATTCGGTCAGTGGATTCTTGTTCATTAGTTTGTCAGTCGTGGGCAGAGATATCACGTTTTACCAAAGCACATCGTCACGCAATTCATGCGTTGACTTACCCGTCAGATCCACTCTCATCAACAACGATATGTTCAAATCTCCTACACGATTTCGATCAATTCATAACCTCTTATATAAACAATAGTCTATGGTCCATTCCCACATTAGCTTTAGTTGTATCAACGAATATTTTAGCAAGTAAAGGTTTTTATTCGTCTCCTCACTCTCCACCACCGTCAAAGTATACCGAAACAAACAATTTAACACGAATCACTGAACGATTCGATATTTCTCAGGCTTTGCTGAGACATTTGAACAAATCATGTAAAATGTTAACGATCGCTGCTGATGGAATCATTGCTTCCACGGAGAATCACCAATCGAATGAAATTGAATCAGGTAATTTTTATTTATAGATTATGCTCGTTTGATTCAACTCTTTTTTCTCTGTCAAGATGATGCAATTGGTATTTTATTTCTGCCACATTTTCCTCCTGATGTTCTCGGCGTCTATCCATTTGAAATACCATCCAATGCGCAAATAGCATCGGATATGTCTCGTACTGACTTACATCGTTTTCTCGGCTCCGTACCCAACGATGTCTCAATTCGATGTGTTATATTCTTCTTCGTTCAGCGCCAATCCTATGCAGTTGGTTGTATAAAAAAATTACTCGAATATTATCCATCCGAAATTGCCATTATCGGTGGTTTTGTCGATAAAATTAGTTACGACGATCGACAAATTCATCCCACACGAACATCATACGACGCATGTGGAATTGTCATCACAGGCGATAAAAAACGCTTGCATATTGGAGAGATACTTTTGGAAAATCACATACGTACACGTGAACAAATACGTGATAAATTAATGAAATTGAAAGATCTTGAATGCGATCATTCGATCTCATTTGCGATCCAAATTAGTTGTATTGCTCGTGGTTCAAATTACTATAATGATGAACAGAATGTTGAATGTTCAGAATTTCGAAAACTCTTTCCGAACACGCCGCTCATCGGTGTGTTTGGCAATGGTGAACTTGGACATGACTATTTACCGAATGAAAAACAGATAATTACCAAGCAACAAGCTGGCAAGAATTTATTTCGCGGCTATTCATCCGTGTTTACACTGATCTCTCTACATCTTTGAACAGTATTTTTATAGCAGATTATATATATATATAATTTACATGATTGAATTTTGTTTGCTTTCTTCAATTATATAGTAGCAATATAATCAAAATAATCTTTTGTTCTCTTTTAGATACATGAATTCCGGTACTCCGGTGAGGAACAACAAGCGTACACATAAACATCTGAATTACATTCCATGGGAACCCAATCGAGCAGCAGTATCGAGAGTAGAGCAGACTAAGCTTATGCACTCGGTGCCTGAACAAGCAATTTCCACGCAATTGTATCGATATCAGAATACCAGTAAATCACCATCACCGATAACCGTGATGGGAAAAGACACAATCAATGCAGGAAATAAAGTCAAGCCGACGGCGACTGTCGAACCATTTCAAGCATCAATTAACGTCGATGAGATTCTTTATGGCGCTAGGTGAGAGACAAGTACTTTTCCTGTTTTCAACATTTGTTGCATATTTTCGTCTCTGAAATATTACGCAGTTGTAGTTGTAATAAGAATGACTATAAAAGAACAGTTGTTACCAGAGATAATCGATTCGATTTGATCTATAATTAGATCGTCGACTCCACCTAATTACTTATCTACGGATCTGAATTTGTCCAGCGATCAACAGGAACTGAAAAACGAACTGGAAAAGACTCAAGAAGAAAACGCCGCACTCAAACAACAACTCGAAATTCAAACTCAGGTATTGAAGTCAGTTCATTCAGTAGCGCACGTCTTTTATGCTCGATCTAGGTTAATGCGGAATTGAAAAAACTATTAGTTGCATCAGTTGGCACAGATTTTCAATATCGACTGGAACGACTTCTTCGGTAAATTTCTTGATATTCTTTTTTATTACAATGATGGAAATCATTCATTTAGTGATAAGTATCGTTATGAACTGGAAATTCAAGTTTTGACAACAAAAATCAATGATCTACTCGAAGATATCGAAAAACTGACCATTCAATGTGACATTCATCAAAGTAAAGCAGCAGCAAGCAGGTAGATTTACATAAAAAATCTCCACCGCATACAATCTTCCTTATTGCTCTGTTTTGTAGAGTTCTGATTGATGAACTTGGCATGCATAAGAATTTACTCAGTGTTCAATACAATGATTGTTCAAACGTTATCCAACGTTTGCTTGCTGAGCGCTCGAAAATAGCGAAAGAATTGATTCAAACTCATAGGTAAACACACATGTTTACGCATAAAAGAAAATTATCGGTATACCCATTGAACTCTAGCTATTTATCATTACTCAATGAAGTGTCTTTGAAAAATACTCACAAACATCTCTCTCTGACTCCTAAGTTCGATCTAATTCAACTCTCGTCCTACTTACAAAACTTAGCATCGTCATTGTATACTTATTTGAAACAAACGGTCTTTCACGGGCAAATAAATCAACGGCAAATGAGTATACAACTCGAACTAACCGAAACAGAAACTTGTGCACTTGAAGTGAGTATTTCTGTTGCTTTTCGTGACAAAAGTAAAACTTCTGGCTTGATCGATATATTTAGATTTTACAAAGTCATACATTGGTATCGTCATTGCAAACATCGGACAATTCCATTGAGAAGAGTTTTAACAACATCGAGCAATTAGAGTCGATGATCAATCGTTTGAAGTTAGTGAACCAGAAAAAATCTCATGAACGCTTTCATCCAACCACACGTTATGAAAATTTAACCTTAAATTGTTGTCGTGATTGTTCAGGAGAAATCCATATCGTTTAGTCGACTTTGTCTTTGTCTTATGGTGAATTATTTAACTTAAAATAAATGTGTCTTTCCTATGTTCACTTTCTTTTAATCAGAAAATCATTGCACAGAAATCATTCGTTTAGCTTTTCATATATTGCGTAGTCAATCCGCATCAGCTACTTTAAGTTGACAAATACATTTATTTTCATAGCTAACACTGTTTTTACAATCGAATATATCATAAAATCATACATAAACTCTTTCATATCTAAATGCACACTAGACGAAAACACAGACTAAAAAAAACACATGAACTGTGTTCCTTTTTTCGATCATTATTCAATGTCTCTTTAGAATTCTCGATATCGAAGATGATGATTTGGGTGCATAAACAGACGATGTCGAGTTGTTCTCTGCGAGAAATTTTCGATTTTCAAGTTCTATTACATACCAATCATAGATTTTCGATAGGAGAGAATTAGTTCACGAATTCGAGGTCATGTTGAATAATTTAAAACGCCATTTGATTGGCATCGGTGCTGGTACTGTTGTTGTTTTATCCAGCAGTGATTCTTCTTCTGGGAGATTCGCTTGTGATGACTGCTCGAGAAGACTTTGTACTTGTGCAGGACTTGATCTTTGTTCAGGAAGTTTCTCTTCATCGTCCGTATTGGATAAGTGGCCAAATTTTCTTGCTAACATATCAATTTTGGCTTTCAGGATCTGATTTTCAGTGCTTAATTGTGTTAGTTTTGTTTCCAGAACTAAGTCATTCATTCGCCGTTTAACGCGTGAGCGTTTCGCTGACAGATTGTTCTTCGATCGTTGACACCAATAGACTGGATCTTTTTTCTCATCTGGGATGAAAGCCCGTTTTTTCCGACGTGATTTATTGTTCAGTAAGACATATTCTTTTTGCTGTAGATCAGGACTAGAACATGATGATGACGTTGATACTGATGAGAGAGACGATGGTGATGTTGCAAGAATATCTGAATACGAAGGTGTTTTATTCGAAGTATTCCATGTTGAAGATGGTGGTGGGGGTGGTGAAGAAGACGCCGACATATATCGAAGTTATTCGAACAATTTTAATTGATGATATACTAGTCATAAAAACGAGCAAGAGATCTCAAGACGAGAACGACGACAAGCTGCCCGTCCGACCGTTCAATAGTTCGTCGTCTGTCTGGACATTGAGTATTGCTCTTTCTTTTTTTTCTTCTATTCTTTTACAATGACCAGACAGTGATGGAGAATGTCTACCTTGAGTGAGTGAACGCGGGCCAAACAGAGCGCAAGAGAGGGAGGGCAGCAGACACATACATAGACAGAATGAATTGATGGCGAGACGATCGTGTCATAACAAACACATACACACATAGTTTGCACTCGATAGAGCGAAAGCAAGAGAGAGAGAGAAAAAGGTCAAGTATAGATTTGTCTCTTGTTGTTTCTTTCTTTCAATCAATCAATGGTTAATGAATTGTTCATAATTTCAGATCTGAAAAAGGAAACAAAATCTCAATAAAAAAGAAAAAAAGAAAGAAAGAATGTTATCAACAATAGAACAAAAAATGCAAACACTACTAGTACAACAAAAAATGAGCACTCTGGACGAAGAAGGAAGATTGAGACAGGTATCAATCATTGATATCACTTAATTACTATTTATAACGTGAAAAAAAGATCTTGATTCGTATATATATATATATATTTCGAATAAAAAGAAAACCTGAAATGATTGATTTGTATCTTCTTTTCTTTCTATAATTAGTTTGATATACGTGAAGATCCTGAACAGAAAGCTAAATGCGATCAGACAATGGAATTGCTGTTAGCCGCTGGCTATTTTCGTGTGCGGATCAAAGGCTTGTCTGAATTTGATAAAGTAGTCTTTCGATTTCTTATGTCTATATACACATACACATACTCATCCTTTTCATATAGGTGGTCGGCGGTCTTGCCTGGAGCATTCAAGCTTGTAATTTCACTGTTGATATAGATGTTCTTTATCAAGAGAATGCGAGTCTTGGACAAAAAATGTATAAACATGTACATATTTGAGATTCACAATGTCTTTGTTTTTGTTTGTTATTAGAGCATTGACAGAACGTATCGTTCTAGTTTTATCTCGCATGAAATGTCCACATGCAATCGAACCTCATCAGATACAAGGCGGAGATTTTATTCATATATTTCCAGTTGTCCAATGGCTCGTTAAACGAGTCTTTGATCGACGTGCAGAAATCGGTGATTTCAATCGAGCTTACGCGTTAAGTCAATATGAAAAGCAATTCGGTGAAGTAAAAGTTCAACAGCAACAGCCATCATCATTTACACACAATATTGAATCAATCCGAGTAAGACAATTGCCAATTTGGACAGTTTATCTAAGAGTTCTTGTGTAGATTCGTCATCGACCGAAACGTCGTTATCGATGTTTGGATAAGAAGCCAAAACGTTTAACGAGCCTTGATGAACGCCATAAGTGTATTCATTCTACGCTTGTCGAATTCGGTCAGATACATCAATTACTTCCATCTTCGGACGAAAAGGATAAACCTCAGCAAGACATGGCTGCACTTATCAAAAACATGGTCGATGAAAAAGTATTATTGATTTCTTTTCCTTCTCAAAATGTAAATTTCTTTTGCAAATTTTAGTCGAAAATTCCCACTCAAATTGTACACACATTAGTCAATCAACAACAAGATACTTTGCGTGAAATTATCGAAGATTTTGAAGAAAAAGTAGATAATCTATTTTGAAAATCGAACTAGCTGTTTTTACTCTTGAAAGGAGAAACAACGTCTGCAAGAAGCACTTCTATCTGAAAGTGGTCAACAGCAATTAGCTATTCGTACATATAAAATACAGCTAAGTAAACAAAGTGAAAGAATGCACACATTGCAAATTGAAATTGAACGAGCAAAAAAAGAGAAAGAAGAAAAAAAATATCAAGCTTTGGAAGTAAATACTAAATTTCCATCAATCTCATATCGTATTTTTCTCTTTCTTAGATTAAACAGCAACATGAACAATTAAATGAAGAACTTGAACAAATTGCAGTTCAGACAACAGAAATCGATCCTGAGTAAGTTTGATTGAAATGTTCAAATCGAATCTTAACAATTATTTACTTCAGATCGTTGAAACGCGTAGAAGTCTTAGTAGATGAATACGAAACAGTTAAAAAACAAGAAAGTGAACGACGCGCAATGTATAAAAATGAGAAGAATCAATTGGAACAAGAAATTGAACAACTAGAAACGCGTTTACAAACACCAGAAGACACAGACACAGCCGAAACTGAAAAATTCGCACAAATCGAAGAGCAACATAAATTAATATCTGATCGATTGCAAAAGCAACGAATTGTTCTAGTAAATAGGGTCAAATGTGATCTCAGGATTTGCAATAAAGTCACTTTTTAGGCCAAAAAGAATCGTGAGATATCCGCCATTAGTCGTCAAATCGATGATATTCCAACTCCAATCGAGTTAGCACAATACCGTCAAGCATTTTTTCACTTATACAATCAAAGTGCCGTTCTCTATCGGCAAACCAAACAAAATTATACATTATACAACACATTTACCGATATGATCGATTACATGACAAAGGAAATTACGCTGATTGAGTCGATTTACCAAGGTTATCCATTGTAAGTAAAAGGCAAAACATCCTGGAAATCATCTATTAACTGAATCTAGAGCGATCCAATCTCAGACAGGCAAAGAACATTTTCTTAAACAATTAGAAGGTATTGTCGAAAGTGTTCGTCATAATCGTATCAAAATCGATCGACGTCAGCAAGAAGAAAAGTTCAAACGTGATGGTTTAAATGTTCAATTAGCTCAACTAGTTGACAAAGCGCGGCAATATGCGAAGGTGTACAAAGATTTTCAAGAAGTAATTCAATTGTACTTTTCCCAATCTTTTATTGCTTTTATTTCTACTCTAGGCAATCCAAGAACATGAGTATCTTCTTACAAATGTCTGATTAGCATATATTTTAAGCAAATAAATCTATAAATTAACTATTTCTTCAACCACTGTTTGCTTCTTTTTCATATCTTGAGCAAGTGCAAATGTGATGGTAATCGCCGGTATTAAAATAACCACGTGTATAATGTCGAAAAGAATAATAATCAGGCGATAATGTAAGAGTATGCGGACAATTACATCGAACATTGTATAGAGCAGTTTTCCAATCAGAACATGGCCAGATACTTGAATAACTTGCCAGACAACTCGTTTCTTACATAGGATAATGCAAGACCAAAGTAAAACACCAAGAATCAGAAGACAATAGCCACACCAATAGATTGTGAAAGCAATTTGCGATCGTCGTGGAAATGCATTGAATGAAAGATTTGCGATATGGATGACTAGATGAGGAATATAACTTAATGAACTGCATATATGTAAGAAAATCAAACTGATACGATGAAGATCCATGATGAAAAGCTTGGATTACGTGTTGTTGGGTTCTTCGAGGAAATAACTAAATAAATGTCAAGAAAAATAATGGTTATATATTATCCCGCATATCCTTCATGTTTCTAATTAGCGAACGTCAATTAGGAGAAGAACATTGGAGGAAATGGAGCTTTCTTTCGTATACACATATCATTAGTATGGAACTACTCTTGTAAAACCATGTCCGAGATATACCAATGACCTTTTGAATGAAGTTCTTTTCATGGTAATTGCAACTGGAGATGAATTCATCTAGTCAGTTTGTCACTACTTTTATAGTAGGCGAGTCGATATTTATGGAAATAGTGATTAAAGCAGACCTTTGACGTGTTTCTCCGCGATTTAAATAAACCTTTTTTGTTCTTCCCACACATTGACATCATTCCCTCTAATATAACCAACAGTTTATTACTGGAAGACAAAAAAAGAAACAATTTCAAACAAGTGCAAGTTCTCTGCCGTCGAGTATGTCGTCACTGACTGATGTGGAGAGCAATTGTAAATGCAGTAGATCTTTCTCTTGTTTGGAAATCTTCCTCGCTAATCGAAATGTAAGATAAAGTGCGGCCGCAAATGTCCACACATGAACCACATCCAGAAAAACTTCTTCGGCTGAGACCGAATGTGTTCGAATGCCGTGTTGGATAGTCACAGTGACAACTTGAAATACTTCTCCAATTAATAATATACCCGTGACACGAATGATACGAGCACCATATTGTTGACTATACCAAAGAACAAATATACATGTTGAATGATAAAGAGCGATCGAAAACGAATGATTTATGTATGCAATCGTGACCGAATCATGCTGTTCAGTTTTACAAGATTCTGTGTTTGATGATGGATGAGGATGAAGATTATAGATAAGTAAAATTGTGATGAAAATATGTATGATGATAAGTACAAAACGTTCCTTTTCCATTGAAGTAATTTCTGATCTGTTTCGTTTCTCTTCTCACATATTTATAATGTGAAGACGAAGTATCTTATCTTCGAACGAAAGAAGAATAGAAGTCAAACATAAATTACATTCCACTGGAAGTTTAGAAGTAAAATCCAGCCCAAAAGTATCCATCATTCGTCTGGTCGAAGACGTGCAAACGATAAGATGATTCACGAGAAATTGTATCTAAGAAAAAAAATCATACACGATTTACTAATGATATTTTGATATTAAATCAAACGAACTGAATCTATTTGCATCTTATTTTTGTGTTCATATTAAAAATTGATTGTTACAATTCTTCTTTTACATCATCCATCGATTGATACCAACACACACACGAATATTAAGGTGCGATATCGACTAATGCGTGATGAAATACATATGCATTTCATTCCTTTCAATTTGTTAAGAAGCGTTCGTATTGATTGTATGTAATAAAAACATCAAGATACATATCTTTAACGTGACAATCGATAGATTTGACGAAAACGTCCGATGTTTTAATTGGACACTAGACATCTCACGCTGATAATGATAGAGAGATGTGTGCATTTTCATTAATATCATTATTGAGTATAAAGCGATATGAAATTCTTGGTCAATGAATCAGCATATCCTTTATACGAACAAGAACAAATGGAATTTCTTCATCGAACTCCTTCCACTGATGACAAAGGTAAGCAAGAGCATCGTAGATTATTGTCACCGTCCTTTTTTTCTTTTTCATTTAGAACATTCCTCGTCAATTGAAACTCTTGAAAATGTTCTTGCTAATCGCTTTTTTTCTCCGAAGAAATCCAGTAACATTCTAAGCAATTATCTTAATACTTCTCTTAATGAAAAACAATTCAATCAGTTTTGTTCGTCATTATCAAAGAGAATACGAACATGTTCTCTTTCCAAGCACACAACCATGGCTATAACAGCAATAGCAAGTTTTTCAGAAGAACAAACCAATAGTGTCGAATGCGACAATACTTATTTGTCTTCTGACGAAACCAGTCGATTAGATGATTTGTCCTCATTGACGACAATCACATCTAATCTACCTAAAGAAAGAAGTAGTTTAGAACAAAATACCAGTATTTATGCTGATACGACCTTCTTCAACTCAGATATCGATGATATCTCCGACGAGATGATCTCCTATGAAAAGTTAGATAATGCCATGGAAATAAATTTTGGTTTACGGTAAGTCAAATATGTAACACATTCGAGATTTAGATCGAAGAATTCAATATCAATTTTTTTGCCTCTTGCTTTCGAAATATTTCTCACTGTGACATTTTCTGTCAATCTCATTTACATAGTGAATAACGAGGGATATTGTATTATGCAATCTGTGTCAATAATGTGAATACTGAGAAGGTTTCGTCATATTTCGCTATCAAAGACAGAAAACATAGAATTAATTGGCATCAATCACTAGAGTGCAACTGAACGATAAACTTCTTCTTTTCAGGGTCATCTGAGCAAGAAATACCTTCGTAAGACACATCTAAGCCGTTATTAGGAGCTTTATTCGCATCTACATACAAAGACATGTTTTGCATTTGTGTTTCTTCTTAGAAATTCCAATGATCAACCCAACAACGAAGAGATTACTCCAATACCAGATGATTTCCATTTCGCAAATTCGAACTTTGACGGTTTAGTTCATGCGATAAAATATACTGTCATCTCAGAGAAAGAAGAAGAAGAACAACAAGCTGATGATGATGATAATCAACAAACACTCTCCGACTATGACAACGTTAGTCACTCTTCTGATGCTAATAAAAAGATAAGATCAAATGTAGACATTGTCTCGGCCAATCTATCGATGACATCGACTATGCAACACAATTATTGTTCAACGATATGTTTCGGTGAACAACTAAACAAACAAGTGAAAACGATTATAAGTGAACATAATGACAGCGATGATGATGATTATATTATCGTCGATCAACGAAAACCAGTTGTTCAAATGACGACAATGACTTATGAAAGTGAATTTGGAACAGATGATGAATTCGATCAAAACTTTCAATCGGCGAACTTATTTGATAATGAGCCATTGTCAGCAAGTCTGTCTGATATTTCTCAAGATTTCGATAATCTCGGGTGAGTGCGATTTTGATTAGAAAACTACAATGAAACTGCTCTTTCTCATCACTCGTTCTTAAAAAATCAAGGTTAAAGAAACAATCAGACTTTTTTTCAAAGTATCTATCTCTCTTCTAACGCCATTAGAAGAAATCCTTGACCAGCAATTAAAGTCTTTCTATTCAATCTCAACAGTCTTATGACCGGAGCAAAAATGCACGGACTTGAATCGTTTTCTTCTTTAAAAATTAAAGAGTTGCTTTTTGATATACATACGTTCAGTTGAACCATATATATCGATGATTCTCTACTTACTTACGCAAACGACAGCATCAGTCTTCGTTCTTCTCTCTTTTATCTTGGTACACATCTATAGAAAGTAAGCGACATAATACGAGCGTCTTCGTTTCTTTTTCTTCTTTCATACTGGTAGAACCACAGTTGAGAATGATGTAAGAAGTCGAATAGAACTGTTTCTTTCTTTTTTTTTCTTTACACCTCTTCTCTTGACATGTTATTACAGGTGTTAACAAGCGAAGCAGAGACATCGATGTTTTATTCTTAATACATTAACATAGGAAGATGACCATCTGCGTTCGAGTAGAAATCTGACCGCTTTATCTTTTCCAGAAAAAAAAAAGAAAAGACGCACAATAGGTCAGTAGTAACAAAAAATAGAGAAGATGATGATGGTGAAAGTGAGAAGGAATAGATCAGGTCATCGTTTTCTTCTTTGTTTGAACTCTTCGGTGTACCCCAACAGTGTACTTTTGCTTGTCAATACATCGAGCATCAAGATTTGATTGCGTCTCGAGAAGATATCCGTGTATTATAAAAATCAGTCAGTTCATTTTACAATTCTCTATTGGAATTTAAGTGAAGCTTGGCGAGTCGGATCGAGCGTCTCTCTTTTGATCTGAAATGAATCGTATCTGTAAGCAATATTTATCTTTTTAATCGATTGTATCAAAAGTCAACACTAGTCGGATATCTTTTTTTTTCAATTTCTCGCCATAAAAGTTCATTTGTTTGTACAGATATTCGTCAGATGCAATACAAAGTGATCACGCCAACGACGATCTCAATGACACAAATGCGCACCTACGCGAAGAAGCTCTTTCATTGACGAAAGTTCGTTGTAAACCACGGCAATCTTGGATTCAATCGTCGACATCCTTGGAAGATAATTCATTAAATCTTAGCAAATCATTTGTACCAAAACCTTCAGGTGAGAAGTAAAGAAAATAAATGTCCATTTCTACAAATGGTTATTATAAGACATCCATTAGTTTCTAATAGAACACACTTAAATGTATACGTGCACGTTCGTTTCTCTTTCTCTCTTTCTCTTAACTATTTGATTCAATTTTGAACTGTACTTTACGAAAGAAGAAGAAGAGAAGAACGAATTTTCAATTTATCGATTACTATCATTTCAGTTGGTGGAAGCGGCGACGGTTCAAATGTAATTGTGAACACAACTATATGTACAAAAACACCAGCTGCAATGCCATTACAAAAGAATTCGATCGAGTACGTATCAACTTTTTTTGCCTATCTCATCCTATGAGACTCATAATATGACTCGTCTGTCAGAATGACTCATACTCGTTGTGTTTTACGACTTATACATAAATTAACTAACTTCTTTTTTTTATTACAGTTGTAATAAATCTGAGAAAAGACATGCCGAAACACCTCCCTACGGTTTCCTTCAACTGAATCATGATCTTCGGTCGATCAAAACGGATGACTCAACATTGTCACCAATTTCAAAGACAAATAACATTCCTGATAAAGGTATAATAGTATAAAAAAGAATCTTTTGTGTGTCGCAGCAGTAATAGTAGCAGCAGCAGCACTTTCTTTTCTTCCTTCTATTTGACGGGCAAAATGCAAAAGACCATGACGACGGCCGTCCTCTTACATCGTTAGTCGACAGTCGTGATCTCACTCACTCTCTCTCTCCCCGTTTTTTTTTTCAACAAAAAAAAAATACGAAGAAAAAGAATGAATACCATAAGAATAAGAAAAAAAAACAATCAATCTATATAGTTGGTGTTGTTGTCCGCACATATATATATTATTTTTTTAAGGTAAAAAAAATCCAAGGTGTATTTAATTTCCCTTCTTTTATGTTTATGTAAATAGACATCTATACTTCTCTATATTTATGGCAAAATCTAATCTACGTATATTGATTGAGAAGAAAACACGCGCTGAATGTAAAAAAAACACAGACGGATTTCTTTTTTTTCTTTTCCTTTTCATTGCCATTCTTTGTGAGTAATCGCAATCGATATTTATTCAGTTTCAAAACACCTGTCTATTCTTTTTTTTTTTATCCTTCGTATTAATATGTCTGTCGATGAGTCGCCTCAAACAAATTGACACGTCTTTGAAATGTTTAGCCAATTAATAAGCAACTTATCGAACTCTCTGACACGGATAATATCATTTCGATACAGTCGTATTTGATATACAAATAATGAATTGCCTCGTCGCTTTTTCTCTCTTTCGCGTTCGCTGTATTTGAATTAAGTAGATGCACGTCTTTTTCCCTTCTTCTTGTAGACATCTATTGACCTGTACTTGAATATTAATCATTTGATTTTAGATGTGCTATCAGCAAGCAAAAAGACCGACAATTTCTACCTAATCCATCATCAATCATCGTTAATTCCAATAAAAGATTTATTAAATCAAAAAAATCTCAATACAAATATCGAAATCATTCAAATGGATGAGCAAGAATGCATTTTAGAAATCGTCGATGGTGTTATCAAGTTAGTCCCAAAGGACAAATCGCATTTATCATCGCCGAACACCGATGATGATAAATCTGATGCCAAACAAAAAAGTTCGATTGAATATGAAACAAGTAATAATTACGGTAAGGAAGTAGAGAAAAAAAATTGAGGACATCTGTTCAACAAGAAGATGTATGTGAACAGATGTAGACGAAAATTCAAATAAAACTATTAAAAGATAAGAAGGATTATATTACCTATTTTCTCGTATTTAATTCAATACGAACGAAATTCGAATCGAAGGTTTGTTTTTTCTTCTCGGACTTAGATTCACCGGAACGCACCGAACGATCATCGTCAGTGGCATCATCGATTTCGACACCACCACTGTCCGAACATGAGCACGAATCAGAAGATAAACTATCGGTAGCGTCCGTATCAAACAAAGACGATGATCATGAAGAAAATCAAGAACCATTTATTCTCTGCCGTGATATTCCATCAAAAACCCCTCCACTTCAGTCTCAATTCGATCAATCTGTTGACTTATTGGATTTATTTTCTACTCCGCCTGTCCCGCAATCGCATTCGAACACCGATAACAATAAATATGTGAAAAATTTACTTGACGATTCCTTATCATCTGCTTCATCCTATGAACAGAATGGCGCCGATAAAGATTCCATTTCGCATTCGTCTGAACAACAAAAAGAACGTTCACCATCGCCAGTGGGTCAACCACTATCCAAATCTTCATCATCGACATCAATATCTATGAAAGGTAAAATGTCAAAATCATCGAAACTTTACTGATTTTGTTTTGTCACAATAAGAAAAAGCATAATATTTTTCTAAGTACGCAATGAATTCGAACTAGGCATGTCTAGAGATTCGTCAATATTTGACTAAAAACTCGTTATTTCTCATGAAAAATAACCTTCATTGGTGTTGTGATCAGCCACAAGTGAGCTACACGACAGTTTCACTGACGAGATTTCGTGAGACGTACTTCTATGTCTAACCGGATTTCCAATCACTCTGGTGAATATTCCGAGTTTTTTTTTCATTAATAAGAATATTGTTTCATTGGATCGATACTTTCTCTTCTTGTAGGAAAAGATCTTGAAACGCTTAGAGCTACAAGGAAGTTTCTTTTGTTTCATAAAGGTTGTTCCTTCTTTCATTGTTTTCTCTTTTGTTTTATCCGATGTAACACTTTTAATTGTCGTTCGCTGTTTATTTAATCTTTCGGCCTCGCATTGACATTCTTTCTTTTCTCCTAAGTATCAAGAATATAAATGAAGAGGAAGTTCGATTGCGTTAATAGTACAATTCGTTTCGGAAGGCAAACTACTCTAGCAAATCTTTTGTTTATTAAACAATTTCTTTTCGTTATTTTGTTGTTCTTGCTGGTATTTTAATCTCTTATGTATGTGTGTCGAGAGAACGCAAGAGATTGTTCATTGGGCTATTTTCTGTCTATTACAAAGACTGCTGACCTAACTAGTGGACAATTTGGTAGGTGTTAACTTAATTGTGTCATTGTCCTATTCAGCTTTTCTTTCTCTCGATCGAGTACAGACATTCAATAGAATATTATACACAGCTTGAGACATTATATTTGATGGTATTGAGCTAAGCTTTTTGTGTTTTGATTTGTTTAGACGATAACTCTTCTGTATCGCCGACAAATCAAGTTTCGGAACTTGTTAAATCAATTCCCGTGATCGAAAAACCTTCGTTAATTGACGAACCTGAACTTGAGTATCCACTGCCGAAAAGTGAACCTCCACCGACTGCTAAGCCGATCAATAAAGCTCGTATAAACGAATTCGCATCTCTTCTCTCTTCATCTGTTCATTTGACTCAACTGCAAGCAATTAAGAAGCCAGACGTTTCCAAAGAAACTCCCGTTAACAACCGTCCGCCGCCATCTCCATTACGTTCTGACGAGCAGAGCTATTCTTCGATACGTTCTGTGGTAGCAAGTGATCGCGACCAACGCGAATCTTATCAAACAGTGAAATCAAATAACACTTCTCAAGAAGAACAAACGAAAAAGCCAATCGATGCACGTTATAATGAAAAAATCGATGATCGATCATCGATACAAATAAACACATCAAATATCAAAGCATTATTCGAACAAAAAATCTCAGATACGAATAAACTCTTATCCCAATCGAACGAACATTTGCTACATTCGAACGAAGCCAAACAACAGCATAAGAAAGTACCAATTAGTTACGGAAGTTTAAAGCGAAACTTGCCAATTAATCCAGTCCAAACAAATCAAGTTTCTACTCGACGACAATCCTATCAAGACATGTCGAGTACGAATAAATATGCCGAGCACATTGCCGGCGCTAAGGATGTGGTTATTGAAGACAAACAGGTAATAAAATACACGAGTACACAAGTAACGATTTCTTGATTAGACGTCAATAAGATTTCTTCAGAAATCCAAAAACTTATTTGTTTTCTATATTTTTAATAAAAAGAAAGCAGAAGTGTTTAAATAGTCAGAGAGACAAAACAACATCTATCGCGAGGAGTTAATCAGTTCTTGAGAGTATAGATGAGGGAAGAACAGAATAGTAAGGGAATTCTCTGGTGGTGGGGTTGTAAATATATCCAGGTGGGTATAGGAAGAACAATAGTAGACAATTATGACTTGTTTCTTTGCTTTTTCTAGCCTGAACATGGTCATCAAACTGCACAATATGGCAACGGTATACGTCGACACAATACAGAAGAAATCATTCGTCCAGGAATAGTGTCTTCGAGAGCATCGCCTGATTCGACATCTAGTAACAATCGATCAGAATCTTTAATAGCTCGTGAAATTCGTGAAACACAAGAGAAAGAAGAAGAATTAAGACGGCAACGCCGCAGCTGTGGCCTACCAGAAGATCTATCCAGTTTATCAATATTAGCAAATAGCGATCCAATCAAACCCGATGCTTCATCGTCAACATCTACTAAGGCGCCAGTTAAAAGCAGTTCATTTCTATCTAATCTAGATTTTTTTACCTCGAAAGAAAACACTGGCACAAATAGCACTTTTCCATCTCGTCGTTCAACAACAACAATCCCAAATATTGCCTATGATTCTCAAGGGTCATCAACAAATAACGAGTCCAAACCAATAACAAATATTGTCGCGCAAGAACTGAGCCGATTCAATGGAAACGGTATCCCAATCATCCGTACAAGTTCGTCAAACAATTATATTCAACGTTCATCGTCAAACCAGAACATTTTCACCGCACAAAATACGAACAATGTCATCCAACGCGAAATAGAAGCAATTCGTACCAAGGAAGCCGAGCTACGTGAATTAGGTCGAATACAGCATACAAGCGATGAACATTCAGATCCAAGAAAATATCAAGAATATATATCAACATTGCCGAAAAGTCAATCCAATACGACATTATCGATGGGAAAAGCTAAACGAGATACAGAACGTATGCATCGGCCAATAATTGCAACATCCAATGGATTTCTTCAATCTAAACCAATCAGTAACACGTCATGTAAGATTTGATTTTCATTCTTTTAATCAAGAACTCGGGCTTTCCTTTAGCATTGTCATCATTACGTGGTCGATTTCCAAGTCCCAATCCAACGGCGCCGATAATTAGTTCATCCAATAAATCAACTGATTATTCGAAATTGTCATCAACAGATCGACTCGAGCTAGAAAAACGGGAATGTCAAGAGCGAGAACAAGAATTACGGTAAATATTTTTCGAATAGAAAACTTCGACAACGATTCTTTCTATAGAAAACAACGTCATTCAGTCAACGGTGATTCAGGCAATGGATCGCAAGATGAACATGACGACGATCAAGAGCGTTATTCCGACAAAATTGAACGATTGAAACGAAAAGAAAATGAAGTACGATACTTTCTTTTGACTTGAGCAAACAAAATTAATCTGTCCTGTATTTTTAGAAAGCTCAAGCACCATTGGTTCGACCAACAAAAAAACTGGATATGTGCCAAAGATGGGAACAGATGTTAACGAATAAAAATGCTCAACAAACAGTTGGTGATGAACATAATGATGATGATTAAACAACATGCTAAAACGTTTTTTTCCTGCTACATATATATATATATATATTTAAATATACGGGTGCTCTTGTTGAAGACAAACGTTCTTATAGTCATTCCATTGATTGCTTTTGTTTGTTGGTTTGTTTTTTCTCTTCTTCTCTTAGTTTGAAATTCGTTTTTTTCCTTTCACTGTATATTCCTATTCGCTATTAAACTTGTAATCAACATAATAACTTATAGTTATATATCTGCAGCAGGAAAATTACTCTGACGCTCAGAAGAATTTGTTGTTGTTGTTGTATGGTATCAAGTGTTTTTCTTTATGACTCGATAATATATTTTTTCGCTTTAATAAGGCTTTGTTTTGCAAAACACTTATTTGTGGAATAGACAGATTGAAACGCACGTCTGTCCTATGTGAGAATTGCTACGTCGAGTAGGAGAACAAACGAAAACATGTATGATATCACGAGAGACATACAAACTGTTACTCACTCGAGAATTTCTGTGAGTCGAGAGTTGATTAAACAAGTCAGATCATGATATTCATACTAAAAGATAACATTCACCTTTGTTTCATTACAATGGAATCAAGAGGTATTGAATGAAGACAAACTATTTGAACTGAAGCGGACATTACATTGTTATGAATATTCATTTTTGTTGTCTTTGATAAAACTACCAATGACTGACCGTACATAGATTGAATAATAGATCAATATCGATCTACGACATTGTTTGTCGAAGACAGTAAATAGACATCTATTGATCTTTTTGAAAGACACAAAAACACATTTTCGACATTCATTTCTTATTATTTTAGTTGATAGGAAAGAATGTTCAAGATAAAAGAATTTTTGATGGTCTTGATATCTGTTTCCGCTATTCTTGCTGATCGAACCATTCGTCGCTTAACGTATAAGCTCGATAGTGATATAACTGGATTTGTCGGCGATAATATCGTTAATTATGATCTGACGCGTATTGATTCCAGTAGTCCAATGTCAACACTGGAAATTGAAACTGAACAATGGGTGCATGATTGTTGCTTTCTGATCACTTCTCAACCTGTTCTTCGTATTCGTTTGAAACAAGACAATAATTATCCGAAGATTACTGCTTATTTGCGTCTTCGTACACCATTATCATCCCTTGTAATGACAGGTACAGGCACACTGACAACTACCAATACGATACAATCTGATTCATTGATGATCGAGATCTCGGGTACTTGTAAAGCACAGATGCAAGTAGAAATAGCATCCAAGCTTGATCTGATCATTTCTGGTACAGGCCAAGTTACAATGACTGGCAATGTGAAAGGTAATGGATACATTCGGCTGACCGGTATCGGTGAGTTCGATGGTCGAGCATGTCCGATGGATACCGTCACTGTCGATGTTGCCAGCATCGGGACAGCATACGTCGTGGGCAATGAAGCTGTAGACGTTGCTGTCGGTGGAGTGGGTCTTGTATACTATCATGGGCCATTAAGAAATCAACGTGTGAATGGTTACGGATCGATCAACACATTGACGAATATCGATGGTAAATTATCACGATCATCGACTATTACAATCTATACACCGGTAAACTATTTCTTAATACTATTCTATTATTTGGGCTTGACACATTTTCTACTATAGTGACTTGTTTTTCCTTTTGTAAATATGACTTGTAACATAGAAATCTTGCTTTCGATCATATATTTGTTTCATATACAGTACACAAAACTCGATCATGTTTTAATATACATATTATTCGAGAAATAAAACGAAAATATTTTCAAGCTTTTTTTCGTAAACGACTACGCCAATTCTTCGATGCACTGCTATCTTGATTTTCATCCTTCACCTCAATAATTGATGATGATAAGTTCTCCAATCGATGAAAACCTAAACAAGAATATATGTAAAATTCCTAAAGAACTGTTGTGATAGTTACGTTTAGAAAAACGAGTGCTATATTGCTTGGATGCAGCGACGTCGGGTAGCAATGGTGATCTCTTAATTGATGCGTGTTTTTCTAAAGGATAAAAACAGTTTAATTTGCTGTCATCATGCACGAAAACGTGAACTTACTCTTTGTACTCTTAGTTTTCCGTGTTTTGTTCTCATTCTCAATAATGACTACGGATTTTTGCTTGCGCAAAATAGCTGTTGTTTGAACACTCGTTGATGCTGATCGATTTTTCGTTCGATCGATAGACTGAGAATCTCTTGTAACAGTAGAGCGCGTTCGGAGTCTGGGTGTTGGTTCCAGATTTGCATCAGGATTTCTACGATAAACAAAAAGATAACGATATGGTCTTATTCAATACGATCATACCGTGAATAGAACTTCGATTGAATATCGAAACGTTCAATATCATCCTCATTCAAATGTTGAAGAAGTAATGTACGATTGATTCGATCCAGTGGTATCATTGGATCGCACGACTCGAATGACTCCTCTTTTTCATCGAATGGCGCATGAATGGCACCAGTTAGTTCGGATGGTTCATTCTGGAGGATTGATGGTGAGAAATAAAGTTGTTCTGGAAATTTCGGCTGGGTAAACACGGGTGATACTGCTTGGTGTTCATTCGGCAATGGTAGAGAAGACAAATCAATTGATTCTTCCATTTTAACATCACAAGTATCAATGGATGGATATCCATAATCAGATTTTTCCGGAGAAAACACTACTTCTGGCCACTCTTGTTTTATCGTTGGTAATAAGGCGTCATTCTAAAAGAAAACAAAAGATTTTTTTCTATTATAAATATTGAGTAGGTATTATTTACCGGTATTCCACAGTAATGATTCTCTTTCGACGTTATTACAGAGTAGATGTCTTTCCAATATTCGTTTTCTTCATTCAACGTATTCTCAATGATGTTGCATTGCTCTTTGACAACCGTATGTATTTTCTCCATACGCTAAAAAGAAATGGCATCGATTCGAAACTTCTAGCAAATATACGAATAAGATTTTTACTTGACTGAAATGATTCGATAAAGATTCCGAACCAATTCCAATCAGATTATCCAACGTCTGAAGTTTTCGCTCGTGCTTTGCTATGTTTCCATTTAGATAAGACATTGCGGATTTGATCTGGCTATTTTGAGCACTAAGATCTTTTACTCGCTTTTCCAATTGTGCTAAAAGCAGACATTCAACACTGAATCAACCTCATATGTAACAACAATACCGTTAATACTAATTTCGATTAGTTTTCGAGCACGACGATACTTCGTACGAATGGCATTAAAACGAGCTCGATTCCACCTTATTGGTACATCAAACACTGTTCGACTAGTACAAGGAAGCATTGAAACTGCAGAATCTCGTAGTTGGCGATTGTGATGATGAGAACGTTCTTAATGAAACAAAGACATCTCTGGAAAAAATTCCCATTCCCGTCAATCAATGGGCTGATGACCAATAAAGTGTTACTGAAAGATAGATGTCAGGCATGGTTTTCGAGAGGATAGATAGAACAGCAAAAAATTTTCTATTAAAAGCTCATTCTCTTTTGATGTGAGCATCAAAGGGCAAAAAGACACCATCACCCTCATTATATATTTCTGGCTGGTATCATGAAACAGTTGGCAGTATCATAAAAGTATAACTGTGTGGATACGTTAAGAGCCATAAGCTATAAGTCTGAGCTACGGTTTACAGCAGGGATGACGTTAATTTGAACATTTAAAGTTAAGTTAAATTGCCACCCCTAAGATACATATCTGTTTTTCGTGTTTGAAGAGTGAGTTAGAACATTCACCATCTTTTACATAAATAGAATAATAGCTTCCTCATCGAGGTGCTCTAACAATTTATTGTAAATTCACTTTGATGAATTAATTAACTCCATGGTATTTTAATAAACAAAAAACCGTGAAAATCCTTCGAACAAGCAATCATTATCGATTCTCCTAGGAAACTTGACGTTTAGCTTATTGGAAAAGTTCCCAGGTCAACAAATCTGATGCTGGATCCGACTGAAACGATTCAATCGGTTATTGCAAATTTTATGAGCTATCTTTTTAGCTATATTCTATGATGACCCTTATAAAACCCGTGTTTCGAATCCGAGTATGGGACTCATCGACCTGGGTATGGCATCAGTGTATATAATCTCACTATATTGCTATTTGGATAATTGTTACTCGAAATATTTCAATGTGGATTTTTACCTGATTTAGTCTATTATATATCATTATGGTATCATCAAAAAGAGCAAGCTATTCGACTGAACTACTTTTGGCCATTGTCAGTACTTGCTGGCGCATTTGGTAGTCTGACTGCTTATGCTATCGCTCAAATTCATCATTCCACTGTAGATACACGTACATCTCATGAACATTCATTTTTAAGTTTACAAGTTTTTCATTATACTTCATAGAAGCGATTCAACAGCAATAATGGAAGCCGCTTCTATACTGAGGACGTTCTCTGGATATTGTCCAAGCAAGTGATGAAATAATTACATGCTTACGTAGAATGGAGTCAAGAATGAGTACGTCGCTGATAAAAATAAACTGCAAGGATAAAGTGTCTCATTATCTTATTCACGACTCTACCTACTAATACTGAGAATTGATAATTATGTTTCCAGTAATGCAATGTACAACAATATCGACGATAGTTGTTTCTGTTAGAATAACTGACGTAATATATTAAAAGAGATTTGGCAAGTATTACTCGTCAATTCTGATAATTTAATTTTTTTTACTAAGGACATCTAGACTTATGAGTACGAATTTGTTATTGACATCAGCCAATTATTCATGTGAAATACGAAAAAAAACCTTACCGAAAAAAGGTGTTTACACATGTAAAGCATCGTTAACTCAGCAGTCACTTTCAGTCACCAATTTTTGATACTACCATCGTCTCATTCGCTTTTTCTGTACCTCTGAAACTTCCGTTTTGCTTGTCTTTTTATATTTTACTCCTGAATGTGACTGAGTATGAAATGATCGGATCATCAAAACGTGCTTTAATCTTCCTATTCACGATGCATATTCGTGATGAATATTTTCATTTCATGCTTATTTAGTTATTTCCTCCTTCGTGTGATATGATAATTATTGATGCATAACATCATCACCCTGTGTTAAACTGTATCCAAAACAAAATCGATAGAATATACAACCGTTGATGAACTGTTTGATCTAAGATTCGTTTTAGATTATGGATAGTTTATCGACTTCCGACATGAATAATAATACAGTATCGCACTCAAAGAAAGTCAAGTCAAACCCGGTGAACGAAACGAAGAAATTATTTGGTGTTGGCCAGATTAAACAACTTCATTTGCTCAACTTTTTGTGTCATCAAAACTTTTCCATTGAATTTCATCCAAATCATTTACAATTGATCAACGGTGCTAATGGGTCAGGGAAGTCCACTATAGCAAACGCCATTGGATTATGTCTAGGAGCGCAAGCAAGAAGTACCGGACGAACAGCGAATATTCAGTCATTTATTCGACAAGGAGAAACGTAAGTACTCCATAAGACGCTCATCAGTTAAATATACATAGTAGTCTATTTTATTTTCCTCTAATCTTGTCTTTCAATAGATCAGCTCAAATAGCGATTACTTTAGCGAATGAGGGACCTGAAGCATACAAACCCCACCTATACGGTGAAGAGATTCAAATTGTTCGAAAAATTGGCTTGCGACAATCTAGTTATGCAATCCTGAGTAAATTCCACCAACTATCTTCTATTCTATTAAATTTCCAATGAAACATTTAGATGTCAATGGGGACATAATCAGTAGACATAAAAGCGACATAGAGGAGATCCTACAAGCTTTGTCTATATCACCAGCAAACCCATTGTGCATTCTACATCAAGATATAGCCAAAAAATTTCTCGTACATAGTGATTCGAAGAAAAGGTTTCAAGTAAATTCATTATCTTGCTCTATTCTCTGACCCACAGTCGTCGTTTTAGTTCTTTATGAATGTATCACAATTAGATCAGATGAAGCAAGCATATGAACAAAGTATTTACACTGTGGATTTGTTAGTCCAATGTGTTGATGCTATGAAAGAGGTTGAAACATTATTCGTTATTTTTCGTTTCTAGAAAATCCTTTTTTATTAGAAACATCGGAATATGTTGAGAGCTCTAGAGCCATTAGAACAACAAGTGAAAAGAATCGAACTTCGGCGCGATTATGAAGCAAAACGATGTGCATTAAGTAAAGAACTGAAATCAGTGCGTAATGACAAGATTCGACAGGTTTGGATTACAAAAATCTAATACCAACAAAGTAGCTGATTTGATTTCTCTTTTGCAGAAAATCTTCGAACTCCAACAGAAATTAGACGAGACAGAAACTCGAAAAAATGAGATCGATGTCGAAATCAATAAAAAGACGGTAAACAGGTTTATCACAATAGAATCTGCATGTCTGATCATTTTAGAAAGAAATGAATGCGATCAAGCAAAAATTAAAACTCTACTCAACGGAAAAAAGCGATTTAGAACAGGATATGCACGGTCTTGAACAACTGATAGCCCATCTATCTAAGCAAAAGCATCATATTCAATGTTTAGTCCATTCGTTCAGCTTAGACTGTGAAAATTACCGTCGGATTCTGACAGAAATCGAACTTAAACAAATTTATTTACAGAGGCAAATTGTACGTTCTCCTGCCCTTCGATATAGAAGCGATTGAAATATTATTTTTGACAGGATCAATGTGAAGATCAACGACATGTGCAAATCGAGGAGGAACTATCAGTGAAGCAGAAAAACCAGTTCCAATACGAACAATCAATTCGCAAACTGATCGAGGATCGAGATCAAAGCGATAATGAAATTCATAGCCAACAGTCAACACTTCACTTTCTACGAAATGAACTACAGGAAAAGCAACGAGATTTGAAGTTATTAACACAGATTACTCAAGATAAAATGAATGCGTATGGTCTATGGATGCCAGATTGCCTAAAAGAGATCGAAAATGATCAGCGATTTTGTACGAAACCTATCGGACCCATAGGTTATTACATTCAATGCCTCGATCCGTATTGGATCTATCCAGTGGAAAAGCATCTCACATCGATTATGTCCGCATTTATTTGCTCCAGTAGTACAGACGAACAGATTTTACTTGAAATCTTCTCATCATATACTTCCGAAAATCGCCCACCCATCTATGTTCGAACATTTTCCATTCGAACTCCTGACATCTCAAGCACCTTAGGACATGTTCGGAGAGCAAATCTACTCTCTGTCTACGATGTTTTGAAGATCGATCATCCAATAGTTGAATCTGTCTTGATCGATTTCCGACAAATTGAAAGCACGATCCTAGTTGAGAATATCGATGAAGTTCGACGGATCAGACAAGATGGGTCACTGAATTGGCACGAAGTTGATCAAAGGGTGAAACGAGTGGTTGAAGCTTGGACTCATGACGGCACAAATATCAAACTGAATGAGACGTTTCGAATATATGCAAACGAAAAACAGTCTGTTAAATATTTATCAACAGATAATGAACAATCAGTATCGATTGCGGAATTGCAAAAGGACATCGACTATTTTCATGAACATATTCAAGAAATTAGTGAATCTCTGGATCGAATGAAACTTAACCGAGAAACAACTGTAGATCAATTGAATAAAATGACAAAAACGAGTGCAGATAATGGAAATAAAATCAGCGAATTAAAACAGGTAGGCAGCGGACTTCATCTAGGAAACAGTTACCAGAAATTCTTTGTACAGTGAGATGTTGAGTGAATTTGTCGTCTTCTAGAAGCTGGATTACCTCAATTCTGTACTTCTGCTAGCTCCTGACTGTTCACTTGAGGAACTACGAGAAGAATCTCAACAACATGATGCGCTTTATACAGATAACATTGAGAAATATGACCGAATCAAAGAACAGTATGATGAACATCGTCAGCATCTGCTACACATTACAGAGAGTTATGCAAATGTAACAAAAAAGCTCGAAATGAAAACTTATCAATATAATCTGATCATTGAACATCATCAGATTGAACAGACCAATAGTGACGACTTGCAAAGACGACTGGAGAATCTAAAGAAAACATCTGTTCGATTGAATGAAAGCATTCTTCAATACGAAGCAAAATTGAAGCAATTGACTCAACAACGATCGAAAGTAAACACACGTTTTTTGTTTGTCTGCAACCTTCTTTCATGTCCGATTAGAAAGTGCAAAAAACCAATTGCGTTCTTCGATCGATTCACGAGATTGAACATGAGATTAACGCCATTACGACATTTCTCACAGCAAATGAAGACACGTTCGTTGTAGAAGCAGAGTGAACCGTAGCCTATTCGAACGCACTCTGTATTTTAGTAAAGAAGAACGTCAAAGTATCATTAATCAATATCGCACTCGGCGAGATGCTGCAAGACAGTACAAGCAAACCTACGAACGATGTTACCGACAAATCGATGTAAGTCGAAAAAACCATTCCTTCATGCAAAATGTTTCGTTTTCTCCAAGCATTTGAAGCAATTTGTTACTAAACGTCAAGATAACTTTCTGGCTATTGCCAATCGTTATGAATATTATCTCCAGAGTCAGTTTCAAAGGCTGATGGAAAAATACGGCTTTGATGATTGTGACATCAAAATCGACCACAAGAAAGAAGAATTAGAAATTCTAGTACGAAACAGCGAATCTGTACAGTGCTTAAATGAAAGCTTCTCATTTAGGTCAAGAAAAGTCAGCCAGATTTAACGACCTTATCCGGTGGTGAACGATCTATATCAACATTTTGCTTTCTACTAGCACTTTGCCAGTCGGTCTATCTGCCATTCCAGATATTCGATGAAATTGATATTTATATGGTAAATAGTTAATGGATTTTTCCTTATTTTGAGAATGGAGCCTTTCTTTTCAGGACAATGAAAACCTGAGTTCATCGCTGAAAATTCTCTATGAAAATACTCGACATTATTCCACATCTCAACATATTGTTTTCACATCACAAGCGATCGATTCGCAACTGTGGACTCATTTAGGTGTACCCATGACTCACATGCCGACGCCGAAGCGCGCCTACGAATCATAGGCGACATCCGTTTTATTTTTCAAAATGAAATCGTTATTTAATTTTCTATTTGAATAAATTTCTTGTCATATATAAATCGATAATACCTAAGGACATCTTTCTTCTCTGTTAAATCACTCCTCGTTATTGGTCGTGCGTTTTACGAATGTGATGCTATTCTCATATCTATATTAATCTATCTGTTTTCGATCCGATTCCACGCCCACTATTTTATTTTAACTCTTTCCCGAAATCAAAAACTTCAAAACCATTCCAATGTCGACTCTACCCCGAGCGTTATTGCGTCATGCAACTAAATTGTCTTCCATTCGTCAATTTCATATAACACCACGCGTATTCCAAGAACGTTATTACACGAAAAAGCATGAATGGGTACAAATACTCGATAATAAGAAAGAGGTTCGAATCGGTATTAGTGACTTCGCTCAAAATGCACTGGGTGATGTGGTCTATTGCGAGCTACCTGCTATTGGTGCAAAATTCAAACGTGAAGAAACATTCGCAACATTGGAGTCGGTCAAAGCTGTTGCCGATTGCTTCATGCCGGTGGATGGTGAAATTTCCAGTGTCAATGAGCAGTTGAAAACTCAGGCTGATTTAATCAATAAAAGTCCATATGATAATGGTTGGCTCGTTCAAGCTAAGGTGGATGAGAAAGATCAGAAAAATATTGGCAATAGTTTGATGAATGAGAAAAAATATAAAGAATACGTAGATAAACAGAAGGAAGGTGGTGATCATTAGAAGAATGAATGCCGTTTTTTTTAGTAATGATTTTGATTCAGTGATTTTTTTTGTTCCTCTTTCTGATTACGGTGGGGTTTTCCTCTTAAAGATTTAGCTAGAATAAATCATCTCGGTTGATTAATTTTAGATGAATAAAACTACACAGGAACATCTCTTGGATGAAGGCGATAGTGGAGGAGCAGGAGAGTGTAAGAGAAATGTTTTTTTGGGGAAAAAAACCGAAGAAACATTGGCGGTATTTTTAGCTTCTCAGCAAGTGACCACGATGAAGTATGCTGAGAAACCACCACCACCAAGGAATGAAACTAACCTATCTGGATTAAAAAACCAAGGAGCTACTTGGTAAGTTGCCATTTTGATTTTCTTTCAAATGATTCCCATACTGATTTTTAGTTATTTAAATGTACTGATCCAAACATTACTTTATACACCAGAATTTCGTGGTATGGATTTTCGTATTGAAATATACGATGGGATCGTGGGATTTTGACTGAGTTTTGCTATCTTAGAACCTCTCTTTCGACTAACTCCTAAAGATCTTAACCTTCCTGCGAATTACAATGATCAAAATGCATCAACAACAAATGGAAACAATAATCCGAAGGTAAATCGTCTTCCACCACATCTACTCGCAGTTTTAATCCTTACAAAAAATAATTTAGATTCGCAAAATCATTGTCGAATTGCAACGTCTTTTTGCTGAAATGCTATTATTGAATCAGCAATCATGTTCATCTATACCATTGACCAATAGTTTCGGTTGGCAGTCCAACGAAGTAAATACATCAATGACAATAGAGAAGAATATCATTGTATTGGTTTTTTTTGTAGGCTATTGATCATCAAGATGTTCATGAATTGAACCGTTTACTGTTTGATGCAATTCACAAATCGCTACAAGGAACGAAACAAGCCAATTTGATCCGGTTGTGTTATGAAGGATCAACGATAAACTATACCCAATGTAAACAATGTCAAAATACATTTAAACGATCTGTAAAAGAAATCGTCTAGTTGACTTTCTAAGAAAAGCATTTGTTTTCTAGGAAGATTACCAAGATTTGCCACTAGTTGTCCAAGACAGTCCTGGTTTGCAAACATCTCTAGCAAATATATTTACCATTTCCGAACAGTTGATCGGCGATAACCAGTATCGATGTTCAACATGTGCAAATAATCTATGCGATGCGGAAAAAGTATGTGGATCGAACAATATTTTCCAGTGAGGACATTTATATTTTTAATTTAGTGGGCGAAGATTAGTAAATTACCACCAATATTGACTTTGCCGCTTCAACGCTTTGTTTATGACATTAAAACTGGCAATCGACAAAAGAAGACCACTCGCTATGAATTTCCATTCGAAATTGATCTACGAGAATATTGTGAAGTAAACAGATTCAACGAACAACCGAACCATTTGATAATCTTTCTTTTCGCGATAGGAATCAGTTGCCAAGACAAACTACGAGCTGTTCGCCGTTGTTATTCATCGAGGAACATGCTATTCAGGACATTACTATGGATACATCAAAGATATTGATCAAATCGGAACATGGGTACGTCCACCACCGAAATCACCGTTGGTAAGTATAATAGAGTATATAACTGATCGTCGAAGTCTTGCCAATTGTCTTCTGTGGAATATTTTTATTTATTTTTTTAAGATGAAGACATCACAGAAAGCGAAATCTTCGAATGCGGCTAATACTTCATCAAATTCGAATGAATCTCATGAAAGTTCGGAGGAAAAGATGAGAAAACTGGATTTAGTTAAAACATTACTATTATCATGTGATGATTGGATAACAATCGAAGATCTTTTGAAAGTTTGTTTCTCCAAGATTTCCTTTCAAGGAATCGTCTTTTGTTCTATCTCATAGGGTTATCGTGAAAATACAACAACATCATGGAGTCGCACTCGTGGTGCGCATGGAACATTCAGCAAAGTAACTTTTGATTGTTTGAGAAAGTTTTTCTGATAGATGTTTTTCGTTGTTGGCTAGTTTCTTCGAAGCCATCCCGAAGTGTTCGAAGTAGACAACAATCGTGTGCGATTAGTTGAACAAAATTATTCGATGGAGATCGATAACAATGACACTGACGAGATGGAATATGAATCATCACAAAATGAAGCTCTTGATGAAAATGCCGAACACTGGTTCTGTTTTGATGATTCGATTGTCACTTGTGTAACCCGAGAAAATATCAAAAAGCATTATGAACAAAATGAATGTGCTTATATGCTGTTCTATCGACAGAAAGATCGAAGTAAATCAAAAGATGATTCGGCAAACAGTACGCCCTTTTCAATACCACAATGGTTATTTGATGAAGTTGTCGAAAAGAATCGACTTTTACAAGAAGCGCGGTAAATTTCTTTGAGTTTATCGGGCAGAATAAGGAAATCGTTTTTTTTTCTTTTAGAGAAAATTACGATAAATATCAAAACCAATTCTCAGTGACAATTTATCCAAGTGATTGGTTCGAAATCGTCGATGATTGCCGCTTGAATTTAAATAACAAAAATCAAGTATTATTTCCAGATGGTTACGGTGAACATGTCTTTGATAAACGGATGAAAATCAATGAATTCCTTTCGAAGCTCGAGGTGAGACGACTAGCTAATCCTTCGCAGAATGTTTTAACCGTTCTCAACCTATTTAGAGTAAATACGGCAATGAAAATCACTTCTATGTTGCGAAAAAACTTCGTTCCGGTCAGCTGCATGTGATAAGCGAATTGACCTATTCGACGAATGACAAAACCTTAGATCGCAACGATCTTGCCACGTATCGAAATGTCATTATTTACAAATACCCATCTTCGTTGCCAGATACAGTTCTACAAGGTGAAGAATTCGAGCCAGTCATGCTTAATATTGTGTATGGCTTCCCTGACGCTCGTATTCGTGCGCCGAATTTACAGTCAACGAGATATGTAGCTAAAAATACGACCCTGGCAGAATTGAAAGAACGGCTTACGCATGACTATTATCGAAATGCTAATCCTCAACAATTGAGACAAATTCGAATGGGTAAATTAAATCTCGAAGAAAAAAACAATCGTAAATCACGTCGAGAATACAAATCCGAGGATGAAAAGCAAACTTTGGCACAATTGCATTTACAGGATGGTGATACTCTAGGAATTGATGATAAAAACTCATTGTAAGACATTTTCACTGCGCCATTCATGTCGAAGACTAATCTTTTTCTCCTTAGCGTATCGAATTGGAGAGATGTATCGTCAAACAATACGAATCTTGGCAAGACTCAATTGTCTCTAACAGTTAAAAACACTATCGATCCAAATTATACCAAACCGATGACTTATAGTTGTGAAAGCACAACCGTGAGTTTCTGCTGCCGGTAGAGGGCAAAACCCTATTTCCTTTCATTTAGTCAATCGGAGAAGTGAAATTAATGGCGATTGAAGCATTCGGTTTATCATTAGAGCCAGATATGTGTCGTCTATTCATTGACAATCATCCCGACGTTGCACATATCCCTCGTATGTTAACTTTTGTTTCCCAAGGAATATCTCAGTTGACAATTAACTTTTCTTCTGCGTAGTCTACGATCATGACAATGTTGGTGAAATCAATTTCAAAGATAATAATACCCAACTGTGTTTGAAATTTGGTCAGGCATTACACGAGAATGATCTCCTATTGTACATTTTATCAGATCGTGAACCGAGTTCATTGGAATTAGTTGTTGATCAAAATATGACGTTAACGGATTTATGGCTTTTAATCAAACAAGAGTTGAAAATGGATTGTAAGTACGATAGGCTTTTGTTCAAAGTCCTTTCGTTCTCAACAAGTCATTCTGTTTTCGTTCGTAGTGGATGACAATGAGTATCATTTACGTGAAGTTGTATCATCATCCGAAGATGACGGAGCACCATTGAATGATTTTCATCAAACGCTAACTAACAATGGGCTTAGTAATGGAGCACAACTGACAATGAGACCTGGAAGTGTACCAACAAAGAATCATGTCCGACTAAAAGTCTTTCAAATACTCGGCAAGACCTATAAACAACCTGAAGCCAGTAGGACTACATTAATTTATTTATGACACGCAAAAATTTTGATTCTTTTGTTTCAGTCCATACAGCACCGCTTTATGAAATGGTTCCATTTGATAACGTTTTCGAGTTACCAGTGATATCTCCATTCAATGTTCTACGTGAACGAATTGCTCAAACCATTGAATTCAAAGTTCCACCTAACTATGCACGCGACACTAAACCATTCGAATTTATTCGTCTTTATGAAATGGACGATGATCAACCAGTCTCCATTATTCATGAACCAGTTTTAACTACACTCAAGTAAATATTCGTTTGAATATACACATACAGCAACCCTCTTTGACTCTTTTCAGACAAGCTAAAGTTCAAGATCTCAGTTGTTTTGCATTTGAATTATTATCTCATCCGGAGTCCTTAGGAAAAAAAGATTTACTTCTCAATATCGTCTATGATAAGAACGAATATGGAAGTGATTTTCAGCATCAATTTGAAGTCCATTGGCCGTTGAAAGAAAATATTATAGCTAAATACGAATATTTGGAACAACATGTTTTAACGCGCTTGACATCATTTATAACCGATCATTTACATTTTAAAAATGTTTCGAAACGAGCGCTTAAAGTCACTCTAGCACGTTATTTTCCTGATCGTGCTCAGTGGTTAATCATTGATCCGCGTTCGGCAACGAGTTCAAGTCAACCAACGAGTAAAAAGAACAAGACATCCAACAATACACCGACGAAATCTAATCTCAAGCTTGAACCGTACAAATTAGATGATCTAACTGTTATCGGCGTACTTGAAGGTGAACAATTAACAGTAGAAGATTTCGATACTCCATATGATCAGAAAATGAGACGACAGCTCGAACGGGAAACGGAACAACAACGGCTTACTCGCGAAAAAACTCGAACAGAAAATGACCAGAATAAAACAAATGGATCTAGTGGACGGCGAAGATCACCGCAGAATACGATGAGAATTGATGTTGACGACTTTGATGCTTGATCGTATTGGCGCTTATAAATATACTTATACATATTTTTATATATACATAAACTAGATTCATTCCAGAATATGTATTGGCCTTTTCATGTGTTTTTTTAATACAACAGCTAATGTGATAAAGTTTCTCGAAGTGTTTGTAATTTTGTTCTGTTTGTCTTCTATTGAAATGGTTCTACTTCGCTTAGAACAGCATTACAATTCGAACAATAGTGAGTTGTTTTTTTACATGATGGAAAACAAAACGGAATAATAGATAGACAACAGCAGAGTGCGAAGAGAATAACGGCAATCACATAGGTAAGGAGAGTGCTCTCTGTCTCGGCGCGTGTGTGACCAGTTGCACCACATACTGGACAGACAGCATTTGTTGAAAATCGTGGCCACCGATAATCAGGATGGAAAGAGACGGGTGGCCGACCTAGGGAAGCGTCTTAATGGAAAAATAATAGTTTACAACTATATGGATTGAAAGAAAAGCATCTACTTTGCAGAATATCGTCATCTATTGGTTTTGGTTGTTCGAGTTGAACCGAATTCGATGATGATTTATAAACATCTGTTTCATAGGGTGGGGGTAATATTTCTGAAATTTGTTGAAACGGTGTTGAATATTGTTGATCAAGAGATGTGTGATGTGCATGCTCAGATGTATCTTGAATTGTTGCGCGACTATCCTGCTGAGATAGTATTCCATTTTGAGCAGTTTCCTCTGATCCTTTGTGCATTTCGGTACGATAACTGTTATGAATGATAGTACAAAACGACAATCAGATGGAAAGATACACAAAGTCCCATTTATCTCCCCTCCTATTTATGTTTATCAATTGCATAAATTAATCAACCGAAACGAACAGTGATTTACGTCATTCGAAAAGAAAAAATGACGTGCGATATGACATTTGATAAAGAATCAGGGATTATCTTTGGATTACTCATTTGATGAGTGCTAAGCACATTTTCATTAGAACACCAACGAAAAAAAGATAATTCCGACGCCGGGAATCGAACCCGGGCCTCCTGCGTGAAAGGCAGAAATCCTAACCACTAGACCACGTCGGATGGTGATAGTTACGGCAGTATACAAAACTGCCTCAATGTTTATAGAGCACGCATAGAGAAAAAAAAGAGTTATTGTGCGTACAAAAAAAGAAAGTTCCGACGCCGGGAATCGAACCCGGGCCTCCTGCGTGAAAGGCAGAAATCCTAACCACTAGACCACGTCGGATGGTGATAGTTACGGCAGTATACAAAACTGTCTCAATGTTTATAGAGCACGCATAGAGAGAAAAAAGAGTTATTGTGCGTACAAAAAAGGAGAGTTCCGACGCCGGGAATCGAACCCGGGCCTCCTGCGTGAAAGGCAGAAATCCTAACCACTAGACCACGTCGGACTGTTATAAATAGAAGTCACTAGTATGCTTTTATGCCTTACGCAACAGAAAGTGCGCAAAGGCAGACAAATGAAGAGGATCCAAAAAGAGATTCCGACGCCGGGAATCGAACCCGGGCCTCCTGCGTGAAAGGCAGAAATCCTAACCACTAGACCACGTCGGATCGATCTTTGAAGTAAGCTTATCGTTTCAGAACAATCTTCCCATCCTTTTAACTATTCCTCAAAACTACATAGCTGATACGCAACTTGAATATAATTTATTCACGAAAGAAAAAAAAAACATCAGTCTATTTAATAAGTTAACGGCTCCACGACATAATCCAAACGTACGTAAGCCAGTTCAACTTCAGGTAGGTTTTCCAATTTGCATTTTAAAGAATCTCCAATGTCATGTGCCTCCTTCAATGACATAGATTCCGGTAGAATAAGTTCGACTTCAACTAGAAATGATATGCCAAAATGAAATGCTCGCACTGTATCAATCTTTTGGATTAATGGCGAATGGTTTAATGTTATCCATGTGATTTTCTGTAGAAATTCAGGCTCGGCAGCATAACCTGTCAAATTTCTAACTTGTTCGCGAAGTTGTTTAAGCCAACAGAATATAATATAAAGTGATATGAGTAGAGCACCAATTGGATCGACTACCACTGCTTCTTTCGCTTTTATCGTACCATCAAGCGCTTTGGAAGCTAGAAATATTTTATCGTACAAAGAATCGAAGTCTTTTCTCGCACATTTGCTTACCAACGATACCACAAGCAAGTGCAATAATATTTGAGAAGACATCGTTGAGATGATCTTGACCAACTGCTCTCATTGTTGGATTAGATACTTGGAAGCAAAGAAATGATAGAATAGCTTTGCAAACTATAATTATCAATAGAACATGTGCAAAAATCAAGTAGAAAAACAAACATATTAACAGAGTAGTACATACCAATAGTTACACACATGACAGTAATAGGTAATGGGCCCATATCGATTTTACGCAAATTAGTTGAATTACTATGAAATTCGTTTACATCGCTCATCAATGATTCGACTGATTCATAGATAACTTGAACAGATGCCGATACCATTATCACTGATAGTATGACGATAATTATAGGTTCTAATCGAGTACGACCTATAATAAACAAGAGGTATTCCAAAATTGTCGTCGATTCAAATTTTCATTTTGTGCGTTTCGCTTACCTCCAGGATACGTGTATGGATCTCGTTTTTTGATTGCGCGCACTGCCCAAAACAGTAGACACGCTGACGCTGAATCTACAGCCGAATCGACTACCGACGAAATGATCGACAGAGATTTGGAAAAAACGGCAGCTACAATTTTGGCAACTAATAACGTCTGAAAGTAGATTTTTGCACAAGTCGTATCCTGCTCTTTTCAAAAGCAATAGATGTACATACACAATTAACAACCAATGTCGCCTTAATAAGTAAATCCATGCGTCGTTTTTGTTTCTCTAAGGTACCATTTACAGATGATGCAGATGGATCCAAATATTGTTTATGAACCTCTTCAAATGAATCGATAATTTCATCTTGCTGTTTATAGAATTTTCGAACACGTCCACTTAATTTATCGTCTTCATCAGGACTTCCTGAATTACAATAATTTACAGATTAGCGCTCACAATATTCAATAACCTACCACGTCGTTTGCTTAATATTGAGATCAAAGAATAAGGTTCTGGCTCTTTTCAAAATAAAACGAACTAATGACAGACAGCAGCATATCTGCAGCTTACCTTCGTCAAGTTGTTTATAACCTTTTTGTGGTTTATAAGTGACCGAGGGAAGCGTTGAATCACTAATACTTCGTTCGAAGGTTGCTGCGACTGGTCTTTGTTGTTCATCGATCGTTGTTGTCACTCGACGCGAAAGGGGCTCCGTAGCTGCTGCATGTAATTGTCGTGTTTCGAGTGAATTATTCTGTGATTCACGACGTCGAGGGTTTCCAAAAAAGCCTTCATGTTGTTTCAGTGATTTAACGGTCAAATATTGATGACCAAGGGCAGCTGCTCTCATTTAGTATTGAACTGGATTCGAAGTGTACGACTATATTTATAGTCGTTTTCTTTCTTTTCTTTGCAATGCATGCGCTTCTACTCACCTTAAATAGGGCTAAAGTATGTGACAATATGCGTGTAACGCATGATTGCTTCGGAAACGAGATTCGGTAGAACACCAAATCATTAAATGACGTTATTGCTTATATTTGCACTTCACAAACGCATTAATTTGGCTCGCGTATCGATTTAACGAATCGAATCATACTTGCTCAACCCATTATCTACTCAAAATATAGTTTTTTTTAATCAAGAGATAATTAATGCAATATCTATTTTTGGTTTTCGAAAATACGATTAGCATTGCGAGTAAATTTATTTTGATATTCATTTTGAAAAAGAAGAAATTTTAAGATAAATTATTCGTCTTCGCACACATACAAACATATAGAAATGACTTTGATCAATCACTTGACATTATAACGACACAAAAAGAAGGTAGTCTATCAAAACGAGTTTGCTTAACTACGAAGAATTTTGAGGGTGATTTCTCGAATAATTTCGATAACCTTTTGGCGATAGTCACATCGTGACAGTTGAAGCTTGTCGCCATTTTGAGCCGTTTTAGTAAGCCATTTAGGATGTACAAGTACATTGAATTTAAAGCAGTTCTCTTCTTCGTTATCTTTTCCACAATAGCCAAAGCCGCTGGAAAATATATACATGCCATAATCCTCCAATAAACATCGACAAATCTTTGTATAGAGACGAAACAGTTCTAAGTTTGTCAGCTTTTTATTGAGGTCAAAGTCTTCCAAGGGTAGGATGACTTTTGTTTCATAATTCGGCATGCCAAATATAATCATCGATTCAGGCGATGAGCGTCCACCACGACGAATGTTCCAATCACGTTGTTTTAAACAGCCATCCTTCGTCACAAATAGATCTCCGGCATAAATTCCGTTTGCATAGCCAAGCTCCAACGATTCATGCTTAACCATCAGCGAATAAAGATGAAACATACGTTGCCAATACAGTGGCGAATCTTGCAAATCAGTAGAAGATGATGAGGTCCACTAGAAAAATACGAGAAGAACAATTTTTACTCTTTCATCTTGTTAGTTTACCTGTTCAACATAACTTCCATCAACTGTTCCGCATAGATTAATCGAGGTAGGAAAAAATATTCCTCCCAGAACAAAACCACAAACAGTATAATCTGCATCGATATCTCCCGCGCGTTTTTGTGGTTGAATAAATTCTTCGACAACAGCTAAGAGTGGGAGATAGTCGCCGACAACTCGTGCTTTCATATATTCACACAGATATTGAATACGTTCTTCTTGATTTCCTCTCCAATTGTAGATTAATGAATGTTTCTCGGGACTCATACACGACCAGCCAGCTGCCCCACTGGCATCTAATTTAACGAAAGCTGAAACATGATACTGGTTGTATAATCGATCAATGGCTTGAATGACTCCTCGCGAAAACTTTTCGATGTTTTCCCATGTGTTTTCCGTTGAAACCAAATTGATATTCTCAATCGCTTGTACATAATCTTGATAATTATCGATTAATTTTCCATCAGTTGAAACAGCGATGAGAATGGGTAAAGAATTAAAGCCTTTCGATTTTAAAAGTAAACTGTGTTTAGCTTTATCATTAATTGGTAAATCAGGTAAGCTTAAACGATCAGAATAGACCTGCAATTGACTTTGATGGTATTCAGTCATTTCGTAAGGAAAGACAAATGAATGACGAGAATTTTTGGTTATTTCATTCAGATGCGTTTGCAACATATCAATATGATACTCAGGATAGAATCCATCGGAGGGTTGTTGAGCAAATTGTTCACAGAGCTCAGCGTATTTCATGCTATTTGTCTCGAAAATATTGATCAGTTCGTGTAAATGACCAGTTGAGTCTTGATAGAGAATACGAATTTGTATCGTACGTTGAAGACGATCTTCGATGATCTTTTTCAATTTCAAGTACGTTTCGATTTCTACTGGATTCGGTGGCGAATAGACAAGTATACATCCTCCTTGACGAAATCCGGTTGATAGCCATAGAGCAGGCAATAATGATCGATCGCAGCCACGTAAATCATGAAAACCTGCACGTTCAGATTCGGGAACAACAAGTCCAACGTCATCCATAAGAATGATTTGATCAGCATTGTTAAACGTCAATGCTATTCGACGAGCTAATTCGACACGATAACTCAAATCAGCTGGGTGATCAGTACCCCAAGCAGCTAAGGCTTCCGAACAAAGGCCGGGCAGATTCAATTCGCGCGACGACGGTTGACTACCATGATGACGAAGATTTGGAATGCATTTAAGAACTGTATTGACGAGTATTGGTGTCATAGATAGATCTAAAGAGTAAACTAGATATGAATTTCACAGGGAAAACTAACGAATTCGATCACAATGACTAGGGATGTCTATGCATACACGATATATCATTGTCTGCACAAGAAGAAAAGAATGATTCGATCTATTTAGACATACATAGCATGACGTGAATGTCTGATATAGTTTACGAATGATGTAGAACTGTATCAATGGAAGTAAACTTTTCCTCGATGAAAAACTGTTGACACATTCCACCTGTTACTAATGCTATTTTCAGCTATACAAGGGTACAAAACACATAACTAGGGTTGTGTTCACTGGTTAACGATCGACTGATAATGAACAACGCTTACTCGGTCAATTATCCGGATGTGTATTATATGCACTAGATAACATCGCGTTATATATATATACAATTGTATGAGACGACACAAAGAATGGTTTGTGTCCTTCACACATAAGAAAAAATGCATCGTCTCTATTGGCTTTGTTAACAGAACAGCTGGATAGGAAAGGCGAATGAACGGAAAGAAGAAGAACTATATCTATTGCCCCATCTTCTCGACATAGAAAGATGAGACTGTGACAAGGTTAAAGTCAAGAGCAGATAGAATCTATATGCAAGATCCTTGAACGGCCAAAGGGTTGATGAAGTCGTATATATACTGTCGTTGACACTGCTGGGAGCGAATGATTTACACACGATGACTATTAACGAGAGTAAAGCAGAAAAATGCCTACAGATTAACATGTACTTATGTCTTTCTTTTGAGCCAGATACCAGGTCTTAAACATTTGTATCGAAACAATATTATTATAGGAAACACAATTTCGTGACAATTAAATATTATATTAAAAAATAAAAGTGATAAATATGTGTATTTATATTTTTACGTTAACATACAAAAAAAAATATGTTGACACTATTTCTTCTTGTCTTCATCGAACGCTCGTGATACATTCGAAGTTGACGACGTTTTTATTGGTGGTAATGGTGGAGTTGCTTGTCGAGTATCACCACCAGCTGCATCGTTCAACGTTATAGGATTAGTTCCTATAATATATGAGCAAATATACTTTTAACAAAAAAGTATCAATTCGAAGAACAATTACCTGATAGAGCTGATATTTCCGTGCTTAAAACAGGATTTTTCAAATCAACTGATTTTCTACTTCCACTAATACTTGATCGTGACAGCGGCACATACGTACGTAAACTGCCTGATGTATCATTGGTATTTGTTGTTAACAATGGGACACTATTTTGAGATACAGACATTATTGGACGTTGAATATCGAATTCTTGTAGGCGAGATAGTTCAGTTATTGGTTTATATCCGTCGGCGGTTTCCGTCATCTGATTAGATTGTAAATCTGCTGATGTTCGGTTTGCAGTAGTGAAACTTTGATCAGTCTTTGAATAATACATACATATTTATACTACAATGTCAAAAACTCAAAACAGTGTTTACATGAAATAGTTGTTGTTCTTTGTCGGTTGGCGTGGTGGAACTATGATCAGTTCTTGAAATTGTCTCGGAACTTTTTCTCTTCGGTTGCAGCTCTTTGAATTGAGGATTTTCATTCTCCATGAACGCTTGAACCCCACTTCTACATATTTCAAAACTAGATGGTTGTCATCGATAACTGAAGTCTTTACCGTCCTTGAGAGGAATATACAGGTCGAATCAAAAATATGTTACTATCATGTTCGAGATGTCCGAATGTGTCGGTTAATTTTCTTGCCAATGTTGATCGATGTTGACGAATACTAGCGATGTGTTCACTGATTTGCCCCGAACGTCGTTCGTAATAAGTGCTCATCTTTTGCATGCCGTTCTTTGTTTCGTTATCGAGTGTTTCATTTTGAGCACGACCTTTTTTAAACAAAGAACTAAGATACTTCAAAAAGAGCGCACCTCTCCAATGTACTTTTCAAATTATTGGCTTTTCGATGTTGAATATATCGTTTGACAATGTTACTAAACTGTTGACGCGGTAAACTGACGTAATCTTGCATTGTATCTTTGATATTCTAGAAAGAAAGGGTAAAGTTCGATATTGTTGTCGTCGAAGCGATCGAAATTTACATCGAGCGTTGATTCGGACATTTTGCCGTTGTCGACAGTTTGTTTCAGGATTTGTTCGTTTCTTTCCGCATCTAGACGAGTGAACACGATACGCGGCTGAGCAATTTCTTCATTTTCAATCGTCGATAAACGCCCTTGGAGACGCATCAATTCCCGCTGATAGTTCTGAATGAGTTTCTGTTGATTATCAATCGTCTTTTCATTTTCTCTAGAAATGTAAGAAAGAAATCGTTTTCGAAAACACCTTGCAATGTTATACACTAGATCCTCTTGAAATTTTCTTTGATTTTCTGTCAAAACTTCGGTTGCTTGTTGATATTTCTGACTTAGATCATTGATGATTGATTCTTTTTGTTGAATAATTGCCAAAGATTGATTTTCATCAGTTTTCGTTTCAACCTCTTTGCGTGCGAGTTGACTATGTTTTTCCTCGTTTTGATCGATGGTTGTTGTCAATGTTGTCAAACACGTTTGTAAGATCTTCACCGTATCTTGAAGTGCACGTTCGGAATTATCGACAAAGTCCGTAGCTGGGTTTTGATCGCCCGTGGAAGATAATTGTCTGATCAGATCAGCTCGGTCAGCGAGTGGTAGAAACTTGTTTTGTTCGAGTAAATTCATGATCGAATGGCGGAAGTTATAGATAGTTTCATATAAATGAAAGAATGGAATTTTGTACTGATCAGTTTGAATCATTCGGGGAGAAGCCGGCGATCTGCAACAATTAACAAGATCACTTTTAGTTTATGTAGAGAGAATAATTAGCATCTTACTTCTTTCGTCCTGTTGTAGGGCGGGAATTTGCCAGTGAAGTTTGTTGTTGATGATCATGTTTTAAAGCTATGAAATTAAATTATGGTGAAATATGAGAATTTAAGAGATTTTACTTGAAAAATTGTCTTTAATAGTATTCGCCAGACCAGCACCACTGCTACTCAATGGAGAAGACGATGAATGTTGTTTGTGAAAGCCTTAAAAATCAATATAATGAAAAATCTCTTCTTCGGATGAATAAATCGATGACTGTACTATGTTCTAATGATTCTGTTGCTTTTCTTTCTCTTGTTGATGTTGTTGGTCTTGATAGAGTCACATCGGCTTGTTGTTTGAGATCGTCAAGTTCGTGTTTTTTCTCTTCTAATAATGACATATATTTCTCTCGTAGCGAAGTACGACTTTTCACAGATGTTCGTCGGTAATTTTCTAATGCTTCAATTTCTTCGCTGACAAGCTAGAAAAACATCCAATACATATGCCAGAAAACGAACGAAGATAGTGCATACCGTTGTTAGAACCCGTTCCAAGTCTTCAGCACGGACAGGCGATCGATTCAAAGCTATGGACACGCGACGCGATTGTGCGGCAGATGCGTGATACGATCGTTCTCCACTCGAAGACTTGTCTTGTTCTTTTTGAGCAGGATTGATCGAATTGGATCGTGTTAATGATCGCGATTGCATTGACGATGTACGCTCATATGCTTGTGGCGTAGCTACTTTAGCTGCTGAAGTCGCATCATCGTTTATGGCCATGCTGATGCGACGTGACAAAGAAGGAGATCGATCATTGTTTTGTGGAGTAGGCTGCTCGATAGATGACTTTTTACGCAATAATTCTTGCGTGGTTTTACGTAGCAACGGTGTCCCAGGCTTTTGTTGCTGTTGTTGTTCAATAGAATTCGACCGTTGAGATTTTGTTTGTAACGGTGGTGTTTTTCGCGTCGTCGATGACATTCGTTTCAAAGTTTGAGCAGTTTCAAACATAGTTGGTTTTGGTTCATCCATGGAAGCTTGCTTCGACGATGCGTTACTCATAGCTGTTAGTTTTTTCCATGAATTTTGCGACAGTGTAGAACGCTAAAGTAGATGAAATCTGCTACAAGTCACCACTACAAAGATTTCATATAGAATACCTTAGGATTTGGCGATAAACGATCATTGATCAGTTCTTCGACTGGCTCCACATGTTCAGGTGGAGCTATATTAGAACCAGTCATATTGTTAACTACAACCGAGTGACGATGTACGAGTTCAGTTTGACGAACAACATCTTGTTGATCCTAGAAATGTGAAAAATAGAATATCACCGCTTGCAAATGTTTGAATAGGAGGATTACTAATTTTTCCTGTTCGACCATGAATAATTCCAAGTGATTCAATGCTTCTTCCGCTGTTTTCTGTGCTTTCATTTGTAACTTATGCGCATTATCCGCCTTTTCCGCTAATGCATTTTGTTCCTAGAAGATTATATTCGAGAGAAATCGGAAGAACAAGTATGGTCTTACTTCTTGCAAAGTATTTTCATCTGGATTAAGAGTAAGAAAGTACAGCAAACGTTCCTAAACACGAAGAAAATAAAATTGTTGTTTCTTGTTCATGATTAGATTTTCCTACTTACTTTCTCATATGTTGTTTTATGCTCAACAAATTCTTGTTTTAAAACTTGTACTGTCTCCTTGTTTGCTGATTCTTTAGTTTCGAGATCTTTTAACAATTCTCGCACACGAGCAATGGCCTAATAAGCAAAGACACAAACCATTCTCTGTTTTGCTATTAATGAATGAGAACATACGAATTTCCGTAGATTTGTGAATGCCGTTGGTAGATTATCAATTGTAACATTATTCAGATCGACTCCTCGTGTTGGTTTGAATAAAGTGTTGAGATCGGGAGCGTTTTCACTCTTGTCAGCTAATAACGATTCGAGCAATTGTTGACTACGGCGATAGATTTCACCAGGATCTTCAGCATTATTTTGATTTGCAGCTTCTTTCTTCGAACGAAATGATGATCGCCGTTTATCCTACATGAATGACAACGATTCAGTGAATATACAGAAGAATGAACAGTTCGCATACTCGGGTTTTAGATTTCTTCGTCTAAAAATAGAAGAGGAAATTTCGTTACTCATTCCCAAGATAAAATGTGTTCCTTACAGATTTGGACGCGGCTGGTGGTGGAGGGGGAGCGGGCGCTGCTGGTGTTGGTTTTGCTGCATTCTAAAAACTGACTTCGGAAATGTACAAGTTTAAAAAACGATTACTAACATTAGCTGTTCCATCCGTAGTAGCTGCTGGAGCATTTGTTGCTTGACCTGTTTCTTTGCCTGTTCGACTCGAAATACTTTCCCTTTCGTATCGACTTTCAGTCTCATCAATCGTTTCCACTACAATTAAATATAAAAGAATTTGTACATATGATTACAGCGCGCATTACGATTCATTCTTGATGCATCATCAGCGTCCTAAAAAAATAAAACGCATAGATAATAACAGAGAGCTTTGCCAGCATCATGTTTTCTTTGTGAACACGCGGAGGTAAGAAGAGATTTTTTATGTTGTTGTTAATGAACTTTAGGTCGAACTAAGAAATGCAAACGATCTGTTCTGTGCATCTCACTTACATCTGCCTCTGATTGACTTGTTGCGGATGCATATCCAGATACATCTCCTATTTGATTTCGATATCGACTAACAACATCTTCTAATTCATTTGTTCTTCGTTTGTAAAATTTGATTTCTGTTTCGCGTTTTTTAAGTTCATCTTGTATTTTTTTCTAAAATCCGACATCAATTCGTTATTTGACATATTCATGTTTCTTTTTCCTACTTGATTCTCTTCAGTTGTTTTAACTTCGGCGCGCGCTGTTTCAATATCTTTGCCAAGTGCTTGAATAGCTGCATCTTTCGCCATCATTCCTTGGAAAACAATTTCCGTAATTAAGCAAAAGATTTCCGCTTTCAAACCAAGAGAACTTTATTTACCTGCATTAGCGATTTCTAACTTTGATTGTAGTTCTGCTAGCTGTTCTTTGGCTTCTTTTGTTACTTGTGCCAATTTCCGTTTTCCTCTACAATTAAATGTAAGTTGGATCATAAGAAATAACATATCAAGTACCTTTCAACCATGACTCTGAAACAGACAAATAAAACAAAAGATTAAGGATGCAAAAGGTCCAATGGAATCTGTGTACTTCGTTTGTTTAGTGCCGGTATTTTGTATAAGAAATTGAATAATCTCTTCGTTTAATTCATTGATTCGACTACCTAAAGATTTCACATGTCCATAACAATCTTTCACGTCGAATGATTGCAGCGTTGTTTCGATCTCGTCGACTGTTTCACCGGTATCATCGTAGTCGTTGAATTCTGCTGCATTGAAGTTTTGTTTTTGATCGACAAAAAACTATAAACACACAAGAATAGATTGAGTGATATACCCAAGCCTTTTTTTGGACACAACCTGTCCAACTTGTTGAAGTAGTTTAGCTTTCTCACTGGCATGTTCGGTTTGTCCAACAATAAAAACCATCAAGCGTTGTTTATACTAAAAACACACACACAACAGTTATAATTTTAGAGAAACAACAAGGAGTTTTCCGTTTACCCGTTGTTTTGCCAAGCTATCATTTAGTAAGTATTCTAATTCACGAATATCGGCAACGTGTTCCACACTGTTAACTTCTTCGCGTGTCATACCATGTTGAATTAATGTTGATTGAACTGCATAGTCATAATTATACAGTGTCTAAAATAACAAATCATCGTCTCTATGATGAATACTCTCCTATTTCGTTAGTACGTTATCAACACGTTTTAAGACTCGATCAAGTTCTTCTTTTGTATTCTCTGCTTGTCGTTTCGCGCGCTCACGTTCGTAGCGTTCGATAGTCAAACTGCCGGGATCCAGATCGATGCGCTCAGTTTCATGGCTACGATCATCCTTCGTCGAACTTCTATCGGTATCGTTTGGAATGTATCGAACCACGCCAATCTAAATGGAAAAAAACCGTTGATTTTCTTGATAAATTAGGGGAATTGAAATTCATACTCCATAGGGTTGTTGGGTCACATCCTGCAGAAGTTTTAATCGCCGAGGTTTGGCTATTGGAGGGAAGCGTTGTTGCTGCTGCTGCTGCTGTTGTTGTCGGGGCTGAAGCATGTTGCTGAGCAATATTGATTGTGTTGACTATCTAACAATTGTTATTGTCAACTAACGTCACTTTCTTTTTTCCTATTTTCTCTCCTCTCTTGTTTTACCGTCTTTTCAATAGTAGCGATCGAGTCTTCCGTTCATAATTTAATTCTTTATAAGAGGACGACCAAGAGAGAGAATGTGAACGGTATGCGTGTGTGTATTTTCTCTTGAATTTCTTTAAAGATTTAGCGCACCCACTCAATTACATGTGCACGAACTATCGTCAAATAATAATTTATTTCTTAACAAAAAGAAAAAAAACGATGAATAACCATACGATCGCTCATTTCTATCTCTAGGAAAGAAAGTTAGAAAAATATGCCAATAAACTTTGTTCTAATTATGAATCTTAGTTTTTGTCTATCCAATTTTTATATGTAGTAGCTGAAAAAAGGAGAGGAATCTAAAATCACTTATTTTCTCATAAAAAATACATGTTAATTTTACTCGTTCATCATGAAACGAAGAAGACGATTCTCGCAGAACATATTGGCACGTATTTTATTATAGTGATTGTCAATATACTTCACTTTTTATTGAAAAGAAAAAAAGTAGAAGACATTTCGATAGAAATTCAATGGATATCATGTTTCGAAGAAAGCAAATCAATAAGATGTTCTCCTTCGCTTGAAACTCATAACAACACTTCGAATCTCACAATCCCAATACTCTGCGCTACTTGATATCGTACATATTTCTGCTTATTATATGATTAATTTATTATGAAAATTCAAAAAATAGCACAGCTAGTGAAAGCAATAATGGTATTTGAACCTTAGAAGAATAAATGAAACGTTCAAGCATAGTTTCCTGTTTAATTGAGATGAGTAATGTACTCCATGTATGAATATATAAAGCGAGCAGAAATGTTTTTTAATAATTGAACAAAATGATAGCAATCACTATTGAGAGATATTTGATGATGATTGAAATTTGGCTCAGAGCAGACGCTGCAGAGCTGCACAGAACATACGAAGTGCCTGTTTGTGTGAGCAATGAGGCGTCTTTCAATAAACGACGAAGTTTATTGGCAGTAAATTTATTATTACACATTGGTTTGTCACACGTGTAAGAAAAAGTTGCTTCACTGTCGTCACCCGGACATATCGCTTGAGCCCTTATAGCAACTTTTACGGTTCTATTACAAGAAGTTCGTTCACACGAATGAATAAATCCAGATTTGCCATCACTTTGCACTGAGCAACAACCGAGCGAGCAAAAAATTTCTTGATCGTTGTTATTAGAACAAGTCAGATGACTATTATCATCAGAAGCACTTAACAATTCATTTCCAAGCTCTTGTAAAAGTTTTGTCCGATTTAACTTCATGCCTAGAAGAAAAATGAATATTGCATATCAAATTAATAACAGCCTCCATGATTTGCATTGTTCAGTGTTGTTCGATAGACTCGGCAGGAGCTTCCATGAAAAGCTTTTGTCTCATCAACTTACTTGCTTCATAGATGTTTTTGGCATCTTCTGAACACGAATCATTTCTAGGACAGTACAGTGTGATATTACGTTTGATTTCAGTGGAAGCCGGATAAATCCGAATGTCTACCATGTGGTGAATCGTAATCTTATCTTTCGATTTGTTTGCATAATCACTCCGCTCGTCACCAAACTGAACTTTTACACAATCTGGATTGTAGTCGAAGATTAATTCAGTAGTACATACACCACTTGAATTTAAATTCGATTCGTAGTGCGTTGTATTAAGTGACTCCAAAGAGAAACAAGACTGGTTTAGTATAGGCGAACGACAAACCAAAGACGAATTCGTCATAAGCAATCGACCAAAGATGACGGAAAGAATTGCAAGCCAAAACATTGTTTCACCAAAAATTTGTAAAACTCCCAAAACTGTTTTATTTTAATTATGTACCTGCCTATATATATACGTACGACATACTAAGATTAAGAAACAGATCAGATGGCATTATTTTTCCCTTGAATGTATACAGATTTGCATCGGAAATATGAGATGCAGTATTTTTGCCATGATATTTTTATTGATTGGAATGAATTCACAGATTTATACAGTATTAGACTCAGCCAGGTATTTAATGGCAAGAAGAGAACGATTACTCATCTCCACTCTTACTAATATTAATACAAGTGTGTTTCTGCTTTGAATAAAGTATTAGCGAGATTTCGGTTTCATTTTATGTATCTAAAGTCTGTCAATACTGTCTAAAATCAGAGACAAACTGGTACGTGATCGACTTTCATCGAAGACATGACAGACAATTAGGTGCACTTTACATACAAAGAAAGTTCTTGAAGGTTTCTTCGATGATTTCGAGCTATAGTTAGTCTTTTATGCGATAGAAGTAGATATTGAAACACTACAGTTCCATTACATTAATATCGAAAAAACTTGCACTTTGCACCGATTTCTTTCAGTGCACCTGTTTACTTATCAATTTCCCAGACAGAAACCGTTCTGCGTCGCAACACCTGATGCATCATATTACCTCGATCTGTTTATAAATGACTTTATTGTTTTATTGCATACCGGTTCCACTATTTCATGTTTTCTTTTCTTGTTGCACTTGTAAATAAATCTTGGAATAACAGTGTTTTACCGATGAAAGAAAAGAGGAACTTATGCGAATAAAATGAGATTTTCCATAGAAAATGTTCAACTCATTCGTGACTCATTATGCACGTCATTGAAGAATACTTCCCTCTTATTACATTCGATGTTACAAGAAATAAGTCGTTCTCAGTTGCTATGGATCACAAAGTATAGCGAAAAACACTCGCTTTTGTGAGGACTAATAAACGAAGAAAAAGTATAACAATGTCGATTCATTATTGAACAAAAACATTACGCACCTTATATGATTTAAACGTTAGAAGAAGAAGAGGAAAATTTTGTTTAGTGTGCTGTGTCTCAAGTTAGAAAAGACAAAGGTTTTGACTAGACCAGTTAGACAATTAGCTTTCTCATTCTCCTGATTGTTTTTTCTGCTTCACTACGTTACAGTTTATGAACATATTTGCATAATCCACGCAATTATCTATTCGAAATCAACTTCTGTTTCAGATCAAAATGCCACGTTGTTGCGGTCGTTGTTTCAATCTTTGCAAAGAATTTAAAGCGTACGTATCGAGAATATCCATGGAAATTGCAAACTAATGTTTTGTTTGATGATAGATTTGCCCTACGAGGCAATATGTTCGATTTAGCATTAGGTATTATTATTGGTACCGCATTCTCCGGTGTCGTTCAATCACTCGTCGATGATATCATCACTCCTCCACTTGGTCTCCTCATCGGCGGTGTTGATTTAGTTAACTTAACTGCTTCGATTCCGAATTTTGTCTATCAAAATCAACCGCCAGTTCTCATTCGCTACGGAAGATTCATCCAAAAAGTCATCAACTTATTACTTGTCGCTTTGGCATTGTTCGTCGTTGTAAAACTAATTAACAAATTGCATCGGCTGGCGATGAAAGCCAAAGCAGATGTGGAAAAGACAGCCGTTAAAGAGATCAGCGAAGAAGTCAAAATTCTCCAACAAATCCGCGATTTATTATCACTAAAAACAGTTCATATCCATCAACAATAGGATCGAAGATTAAATATTTGATTTTGTTGAAAGGAAAAAAAAGACAATAGTTTGCACAAGTTTGATGTCAGTGATCGAGGTGATAATTATGTTCTTTTTCGAAATTTTTTTAACATTGTATCTTTATCGTACCATGTTGAAGCTCACAATTCGTTTTCGATTTTGCCGATCGTTCTTCTCTCGGTTCACAAAATAAGGCATCAGATGCCGAAAGAAAATCATTATTCAATTCATTTCTTTTTTGACCCAATAGAAATAAAATCACCGTTCTGGAATTTTGAACGAATGCGTTTTTTGTTAATGAGAAATAGAAACTGGATTGCAGATCAAATGACAACCCCCAATGTAAAATGAGTATTTACAAATACTACTTTTGCATTTCTATATTGAGAGTCTCATTCATTTTGTCAATCTTTGATTCCCAGTAGTCAAATACGAATAAGAAGACTTCTATGCTATTCTTCAGATGAAGATTCAGAAACTGTGCTTTTTCGGTAGATCGTTTTGCCGAGAATTTAAATCGTATGTTGCATTTTTCTGTTGAGTAGTATATCTAGTGATCTGTTTTCGAATAGATTTGCTCTACAAGGTAACGTATTTGATTTGGCTATTGGCATCATTATTGGTACTGCCTTTACTAATGTTGTCAAGTCGCTTGTCGAAGATATTATCACTCCCCCATTCGGGTTCCTCTTGGGCGGAGTTGATTTCGCTAATCTAACAATTAAAATGCGCAATTTTATCTATACTGACCAACCACCCGTGGTAATACGCTATGGAAAATTTATTCAAGAGATTCTCTATTTATTAATCATGGCGTTGGTGCTGTTCTTTATTGTAAAAGGCATCAATAAGATTCATGATCTCACAAAGAAACGGTTAATGGAGGAGGGAAGTAAAAAAGCGAAAGAATTAAGTGACGAAGTGAAAGTTTTAACCGAAATACGGGATTTATTGGCAAAGCAAAATCCACAGATTGAAGAAATCATGTTATGAAGAAAAAAACAGTTATAATTTGTATTTATTCAATAAAAAAGCCTCAATGGCGCTCGTAGTGTGTAACTAGGATCAGTGAATTCATTCGCTTTTGATTTTTCTTGTAATACACACATGTCGAATCGATCTATGGACGAAGAAATCGAACGAATTTTCAATGGGAAAATAGAAATTACAAAAGAAAAACTAAAACAAACTTTAGAAGAACTCCTTAACAAGTACAATAGTCTCAGGCGGAGTCACAGTGCCATACATCGTGCTGCTCCGTTGCATAACGAAATGAAACAAGAACCAAATCAACTTTTAGAATCTGAGCTGGACAAAATCACTTCGAATACAATCTCTAAGGAGCACGCAAAATCGATCTTATCAGCATTGAGAACCCAGATGAAAGATCAATGGCATGCCCACATCGACAGTTACATTCAAACATCTATCAAGGATGAAATGAAGAAGCTCAATGTTCATGAAGTCAATGTCAGTCAAGCACATGATCTACTCCGAACCATTTGTCATCGAATGAAGCCAAGTCATGATGGTACACCTGCAGTACTAGATGACAGTGTTAAAAATGATTTTTTGAATGAATTCAAGTCCAAACATGGCTCGAACAAGATCAGTGCTGAGGAAGTTTGGGAAATAGTGAAGGATTTCGATAAGAAGCAGCACGATAAGATGGGGTGCTGTGAAAAAAATTCCCAATGGGACAGCCAACGCGAGAAAAAATGGGATGAAATCTTTCATGAACAATATAAAGAATTATTCGGTGAGAAAAACAATTCAAAGGTTAATGAACAGCAATTGGAAGAATTAGCCAAGAGGTTAAAAGAGAAATTTCAACAAGAATGTCCACAACACCCCGGCAAACGTTTTTGTCAGCACTGAATAGAACTTGAAATCCTTTGAAAGGAAGACTTTTTTCTCTCACGATAATGATTACAATCAGTATCGCGCATATATTTTTTTTATCATAGAGAATAAAAGAACAAATAAAGAAGAAAAACGACAACGTGTCTACAAGATATGTTACTCTTTCGAATCAAAAAAAATGTACAATGAACAATCTTTCTTTCAAAAAGTTGACTCATTTGAACAAGAATGTCTTTTGTTTTCTTAAGTTCTGAATTATATATAGGGAAAGAATTACATGACTAGGTTTTTTACGAGAGAAGTTATGAGAATGCAAGAAAATAAATATAAAATATCGTTGAAGATCATATATTTATCCCATTCCAAGTGGTGATGCAGGTTGGGCTTGTTGAGAGACGATATTATTGCCTGATGTTCCTTGTTGAGAGTTGCTAGCATTTGCGGTAACCGGTGTTTCGAGATTGAGTAATAATTGCGATAACCATTTTTTTGTTGATTGATCTTCTTTGAGAATAGCATCCTAGAATGAGAAAAGCGTCTAGAAATGAATAGAAATAATGAACAGCTTCATTTACAAATGTATGATCTTTGAGACAATCTGGAAGACATGAACGGAGCGCTTCACGTGCACGAGCATTATCCGATAAACGTAAATAACAGCGGATGATATGCTTCAGTAATCTTCCACTTGCTTCTTTTTGCTAATCGAAAAAGCAAACAAAGTATGAAAAAAGAAAATCTGTCGCGAAGATTTACTTGTTGTAAGACCATTCGTCCTAAGACCATGGCCACGTGCGAAAAGCGATCGAATGTTTGACAGATGTAATTCAGACCGCAATCATCGGCGAGAATTTTTTGTAAGATGAATGTCGCCACTGTTTTGGATAATTCACTACCGGATTGCATAATACGTAATGAGAGAGGAATGATTTCCGTTGTTAATAAGAAATTGATCACTTCTGTTTCGTCAGTTTTAACCAGTGCACCGATGACACCTAAGGATGTTAAACGAAGATATTCGAATGGTCGTGTCGATGATTTGGTGTTTAAGAATGGATACAGAAAAAGTGGAATATTCGCTTGAATAAAAAGTGAACGAGTTTCAGGATGAGATGCTATACATTGAAGTAATGCTAGAGCATTGCACACGCGATTGGATTGTTGAGCTGTTAATGTTGGAGGTGTTATATATGGGTAGACCGAACTAAGAAGAATAGGATTATAAGCGATTGTTTAAATCGTCGAAATTGATATTACTTACATCACTTCGTGTAAGAGAACAGCAACAGATCCAAATGAATGCCAAAGTAAAACAGCTAAGTCGACAACTTTTTCTCTCTTACGACTTAATTCCATGAGAGCATTTTCACGTGTTGTTGATGACAACAATTCTGTTATCCAAGAAGCAATACGTTCAGAAGATACAGGCGTGTCATTTGCTGGATTATTTGCGCCTGATGTTTGTTGTTGACCTGCATTTGCACTCGAATTGTTTGATGTTTGACCACTGGCACCAGCGGATGGTGGACCACTGCCGCCTCCGCTACCATTCGATGTCACAATTGGATTCGGAGACGGCGTTGATGATGTCGACGATGCCATGTTCATGTTTAAGAATATACAAAATGTTTCAATGGAACTATTGTTTACTTGTTGCTTTCTTCGTCTGAATCTTGATTTGTTAACTTGACTGATTGTTTTTCTAACTAATAACAACTACTGACCAACTCTGATGAACCAATGGAATACGCTGCCACGAGCGACATCTGTTTGGAAATTTTTATGATGCATTGATGAGTTCAATCTTATAGAAAGCAGTGACCAGCCGCTTACTCAGAAGTGGATCTCAAGATCTATTCCGCATGAATTTTAATTCCTTATTGAATTATACAATCTGACACGAATAAATATTCACAAAAAACGATAAGATGAAAAGAATTAAATGGACAAGCGCATTGAAAGGTTATTAGTTTCGATTAACTAGCAATTCCAATTTGATCCAAAACGCCGACATCTTTGAACCAAGCGATGAGTTCGTTGAAATTAATACTTCCATCATGTCCACGGTCGATTTCTTCGAATTGACAAGCTTGATGTTCACGTTCGTCAATGATGCGATGACGAATTAGATCCTTTTTCATTTTATCAAATTCTTTCTTATTCAAAACACCATGATTATGTTTGTCATACGAACGAAAGATTTCCGCAATGTGGCAGATCAGTTGACTTTGATAATGATTAATGCGAAGATGTTCGAAGCGAGATGATGTTCGCCACCACTCAGTGAATTCTTTATAATCAATTTTACCATTTCCATCCTTATCAATTAACGTCAAAGCCCATTGAAGTTCCTCATCAGATAAGTAATAGCCCATATCATAGCAAAGTGAACGAAGTTCATCTCGCGAAATCGAACCTGAACAAAAAACACAGGATTAGTTTTCGAACAAGGCGAAATATATGAACATACCATTTTTATCCGAATCATATTTGTTGAACATTAATTCAGATATAGGTTTTGTGCTTCCACCAAATGCGAACGGTGTATGTTGTCTTGAATCGATCATGTCCATTGTTTAATAGAAAGAAAAATAAGTCGAGTGAATGTGTATCTGTAGAGAGTGTGATGGGCAATTCTTTCCTTTCTTACCCATCGGATCGAGTACATGCACTTTATAGTGATTGGTCAACATGGAATAACACCCAAATCTAGACAAATAAAAGAAAGAACGAAAGAATACGTACGTTGTTCATTCGCCCCCGACGTGCTTGTACGTCGTGAGATAAACATGAGGACAAGTTGAGAAGATTCATGATAGTAATAGTAGAGAGTGATGAAAGAATATGAGATGGATTTATTAAAAACATGATCGATTTCGAAAGACGGCGTAAATAGAGTATGAAAGCTGATTATAGATATGTACGATTTAATGATCGAGCAGTGATGGTAGTTTATTGATTTGTAAAATCATGTTTCACAGAAGGAAAATTTGACTAGTCACACTATACAATCCGTTACTCATTTCCGATGAGGATTCATCATGTTCGCAAACATCGTGACAGAGAAGTTTGTCACTACATAATAAGAACAAATCGCCTTTATCGATCGGTGAATGGCACGTTTGAAAAAGAGATAGAATCGAATTGTTTGTTTGCTAAAAGGGCAGATGAGTGTCATACACTTAAACGAGCCTCAAATTTCGTATACTCAAACCTGTGTTTCTTGTTCATTATTCGAATAAGCAAAATTCATGTTTGGTGTTTGATTATCACATGTCGTATGAAGGTAATTGTCTACATCATTGTCCTTGCTGTCTCCAGCTATGAAATGAACACATATCTAGATGTATACACTCATTATCAAGAAATAAGTTCACCGTTTTGCTGAAGATCGTCAAATGATATGATAAGTCGACTTTTCCGAACACGAAAGGTTCGCTGTTTGATGGCCTTCGACATCCGTAGCTCATTTGAGTTAATAGAAAGATCGGACGAAGTATTGGCTGAAGTCGAGGGTAATTTTCGATTTTGAGGATCAAATGGTGTTTGTTTAAACGATGAATTTCGATCTTCGGATTGAAGTATTGGAAGGTTCGATCGAATAAGATCAGGAAAATAATTGGATTTCGATGAATAGTTCGGCCAATCTGTTTGTTCATTTTTATAAGCGAACGAATGTTGCTAATAAAGAGAAGAACTACCACTCTGGCAAAGTAAACTACAACTATACCTTCAAAATGAACATTCTATTGCTTTTCCGTTCATCTCTCGTGGGTATATTTTCGAATTGTTCAACCGTCGATATTGACACGTGATTATCAAATGAAGTTTCGTCATCATCGAGCTCCTCATCGCCATTGATCGCCACCAATGAAGTTTTTGTTGGCACTCGTGGCATGCTAGAATTTAGAGTTAGAACGTTAACGCAATTTGGATGATGAATTTGTAATCCTGTTGAATCTTCAGCTTCATTTGGAATCGTTTCGGAACGGTTTTTCATCGCGTTTATGTCGATGTAACTCGAGCCCTGCAAATGTACGTTTTGCGTCGTGAATACCAGTGGAGAAACATCAATTGTTCCGTAAGTCTTGATTGGATGGAGATTATGTACTAGTTCTGAAAAGATCTTTTCTGTTGAAAGTATGTGGTGATGGGCGAAAGTCTTTCTCCACCTGATCGGTGTTCGTTTCGGGCCGTCCTGATAACTTCTGTGAGATTTTGTGTAAGTATTTTAATAACATTGTGCTCTTCGATTGACAAATCTTCTGATTTTGGTGTAGAGTTTACTTTCAAAAGTAGAACATCTTCATGCAATACTTCGATCATATGACGAACGTCATTTGCTAGTTCAATAATATCTACAAAACTCGTCAAGATTTGTACTTAGGCAATGAACGCCTCGATTCTACCATCGACTGTGTATTTAATAGGAACAGTGGATGCACTAGAAGGATCCATGAAGCATCGAGGATGGCAATCAATAGATTGGCCAGCATCTGATCTATTCTGTCTGTTAACAATCGTGTAAATCGGCCCATAATAACCTTGATGATCAAAATCATTTTAATCATTTCAATTTGGCGAAACCTACCCGGCTGAGAAGCCGAATGAAGTAGCGAAAATACTGGCTGATCATCATTCGATTCTTTATTCGATGGTTTTACCAGTTGATCATCGCAATCTATTGACATCGAAATAATCCAAACAAAAGTATTTTAAAAATGTAGAAGAGATACTATCAACGTCGAAGAACTCATCGTCTAATGTTGCGCTAAACTCCAATTCTGTAAAGGACGCATGATCTACTTCGTGAGAACTCCAGATATTCAATTACCTCGTGTGAGTGGTTCTCGTTTCTCCAATCGAGATGTGAAAACATTTGTGTTATTATACATCCAATAGATGATAAAAAAGCTGGAAAGAATTATCATGCACAGCTTAATTGTACTATACAAAAGAACTGTGGTAAAACATAGAATAATCCAGATAAAGATTTCTTCGATTGGAAACAAATACGAGCAACAACAATGGCAATGATCTAACGAGAAGATAGCATCGTATACGTAACATATTGAATTATGAATGTTCATGTTTCTTAGCCATTTTTCATTTCGATTGGCTTGTGACAAGAAAAGGGGGATTGCTTTGAAAACATCGATCGTAATAGATTGGTAAAATATTCATATGTACGAAACGCGCGTAATGTTCATTTCACGACCAAGATTATTTTAAAGTTCAAGTAGTTGAAATTTTGGTTTGTCTCAGGTTTTCTTTTCTTGTGAATTTATTCCAAGGATGGTAAAACAAAGTTTAGCATAAAAGAGAGCGAGAAAGAGAGACAGTGGTAGAGGAGACAAATGATTCTGTTGATGTTAATATATTTTTTTCTCGAGCGAAAAAAACATGTCTAGGACTAACAAGACCGATAGACTACTGGTGAAATATAACGGAATCAAGGATGGGTAGAAAAAAAAAGAGAAGATCACCTAAATGTTCTTGTACGTATAGGAAGTAGATAGAAGAGAAAATCATCATCAGTGTTCTAAAAGGCAAATAATAACATAAAAGCCATCATCAGACAAAAGAGACCCATGGCCTCAGACAGGGCAAAACCCAAGATGGCGTAAGAGAAGAGTTGTTGTTTTAAACTTGGATTTCTTGCATAGGCTACAACAAGTGAACCGAATACTGTTCCAATACCTATGGAATGAAAATCATCGATTGGAATTCTTGTCATATATATGCAAATCGAAAGACAAACCTGCACCGGCACCAGCTACACCAACAGTGGCAGCTCCAGCTCCGATATATTTAGCTGCTGAATCAATATCTCGACGAACAGGTGTGGTCATGATTGATCGTTGCTGGGTAGCGGACGGAATTATCATTGAAGGTAAGTGTTGGTGGATAAGACCTGCATTACGATTCACTAATAAACGACATAATGCCGATGTTGATGCTAATGACAAACGAGTTATTGATGCCATTGATTATTGTTTAGAAGAATTGGCTTGATTGCCTATGCAAATCTAGAAAAAAAACAATTTCCAATTAAATACCAAGAACATCAGATCTTTGGCTTTTTTTTTATTGTTTTTTGTTGTTGTCGGTTTTTTTCTCTTCTCCTACCGTCTTATTATTCTGTAAACGATATCCATCTTGAAAGATAGAATCGTTTACCACTACAATGAATTTCTTCATAACAACAAATAAAACCTTTAATGAATCCGATGCTTTTTCAGAATAAAGCATTTACTTGTTCAATATCCTACGAAATTTTTCCTTTAATTTCCCTAATGATATGCGACAAATGTAGACATCCTAGAGGGCGCTCGTTACTTAGTAGAAATCTCTCACTTATTACGCATTACTGATTTGTGTACACTGGATTTCGAGCGACTGGCTGCGTGTCGATCTATCTATGCTTTGTTTTCTGAAATAAGAAAAGAACGAGTCGAGTGAAACTCTTGTCGTGCATCATTTCTACTTTGCAGATTAAATATGTTCAGTTTTGGGATTTTACTCATTCTTTTGCCATGTATAGCGATGGGAAAACACTTACAGGTCTTTCCTACCAAACTCTTTATACCTAAACCAATTCGTATATTTGTCGCTGATCTTCCAGCTCCGTATCATACAGATTCCATCCAAAAGCCACCAATTGTCGTTTCGATACCTGAAAATGCCACATTCTATCTTCCGGATTCCAAATTTCGTGTATCTGTCTATTGCGACCATATGGAATCTCCACGGAAAATGATCTATACACCAAAAGGTGATATACTCGTCACAGAGATGCGTGGTAATCAAATATTAATTCTTACTCACAATGGCACTCGAAAATCAGTCTTCGCTGATCAGTCAAATGGCATTTCACAAGCATTCGGCATGATTTTCGTGAAAGTATACGCACGGCGTTTGCTTACATGACACGAACTGATCTTTTGCTTCTTTGTCTTAAGGGTTGGTTTTATGTTGCTAATGCAGGTAGTCTTCGTCGATATCCATACAGATTCAACGATAAACGATTGTATGGAACTGGAGAGATTTTAATGACATATGAAAGTTCATACCATTGGACTCGCAATTTAATCGTTTCACCAAATCAAGATCATTTATATATTACAATTGGTTCGGGTAGTAATGTCGATATTGAATATCCGCCTCGAGCATCAATACAAATAACAAACTTAGATGGATCCGATAATCAAACACTTGCATGGGGTTTACGTAATCCTGTTGGTATTGATTTTCATCCAAAGACAGCCGATTTATATGTAACTGTTCAAGAACGTGACCATCTCGGTGATGATCTTGTCCCGGATTATTTTACTCGAGTACAAAAAGATGATTTTTACGGATGGCCATTCGGTACAGTGCTGCGAGCTGTTTGCCAGCCGTTTGATGACTTTCTTTTCTTCTAGCGTATTTATCTTCAAAAAATATCGATCCACATCGCCGATTTTTAAACGGTTCAAGTGAACGGCCAGATTTAGTCGCTCGTACACGTACACCCGATGTTCTTTTTCAAGCTCACTCATCCGTACTTGATATGAAATTCTACCGTGGGAAACAGTTCCCAAAATACTATCAAAATGGTGCATTTGCTGCTTTTCATGGCTCGTGGAATCGAGATATAGGTGTTGGATTCAACCTAGTTTTTATTCCATTCGGAAACGATAATCGTCCAAAAGGACACTATGAAGAATTTCTCCGAGGTTTTATGGTTGATTCCAAAGGTCCAAAAACATTCGGCAGACCAGTTGGCTTGTTGGAAATGCAAGATGGAAGTTTGTTATTTAGCGAAGACGGACATGGTCGTCTATATCGGATTGAATATTTGAAAGACGAAACAAAGTTTTTGGCAATGACATCCAATGGAGCAACAAGCTTGTTTATCAATAAGATTTTATTATTAGTTTTACTTTTATGGAAATTGTTTTTCTAAGATGAATGTGGGGTGACGACTACAACATAGCCTTGATGAATGAATAATGTTTTCTTCATTTACAAGTCAGAATCATGTCTGACCTTGAATTGTCACAACATAGATGAGAATGAAAACGATCTCAATAATGTCAATTCATGGCATCAATTAGTTCGATGTGTGCATATATATATATACACATATCTCAATATTTGAATAGTACAGGGTGATGACGGAATCATCACATCTATCGATTGAGTAAGTCNCACCACGTATTATTACAGCAAAACTATCAAGTAATGATCTATCAAAAGATCAAGATGAAGGTTGGCTCAGTTGTGAAGAATTAGAAACAATTGAAAAACGTTTTAATGATTTGCTACAAGAGCCCAAACAGAAAAAGTCAATTCTTATCAATAAAATCCAACAGTGTCAAGATCAACGAGCCAAAAGTTGTGATCGATTGGCTATCAGTGATGAAAATTCCAATAGACCATTAATGTGCAGTAAGTTAAAACACTTTGTCTTGAGAAGAAAATTCGAGCATGCAACTTTTCAGCTCCTCGACAATCGTCTAGGAATAAAACAGAAGATGAGGCGTCACAGAAATGCTCACTAATCTATGATAATAATACTACTCGTCCTCGTCCACAAACTCCACGCCAAATTCATTCTTCGTCATCAACACGAACAGTTCTAACGGCAAATGATATTTTAAAAGTCGAATCATCCTATCGTAGCATTGGCACTCAAGTATTCGCATGCCATTGTCTATGTGATCTTTTTATAACGACAGCCGATCGATTAGCAAAACTCGAAGATTGGATTCGTTTTCAACATGGTCTACCGGTATGGCTACTCAACTCAGGTACTGACCTCAAACGAACGTCACGCTTTTCATTAATCATTGCTGAACACGGTTCGGGTTTTCCGATTTGGGAAGATACTATCAATGGCTTTAGTGATGTTAAACAAGCTCGCGCCCAGCATATCACGTTTCGTTTATCGGATCAGAAGACACTTGCTGTACTTCGCTTTCATGACTTAACAGCATCCAAAGATTTCTATTCGTATTATAAATCAATTCGATGTGACACTCGTTATGAACATCTCTTTTCAACGGAAGCCTTGAATAAACATCATCGTAGTTCGTCATGTGGCTCTCTCCTACGCAAGCGTCGAAAGAATCACAAGTCAATTAACAAATCTTCCATTTCGAATCCATGTCAATTTCAACACATAACCTGTTTACAAGTCAAAGATCGTGTTCGTTTAATAACACTTGATCAATGTTTGATACCATGTCACAATTATTCGAATGAACAGATCTAAAGAGAGAACAATAAACATAAAGAAAGAACAGAAATCAAACGGACTCAAAAAGTAAAAGAGACAGATGATAAGAACATTTTATTGGTTAATTTTATTGTTGTTTTCTTTCTTTGATCATATAAATATGGACAGTATGAAGTGGAAAGATAAGTAGTTGATTGAACTTAGAACAATAATAAAAGCGAAACGAAACGAAAGTTTAGAGATTAACTATGCACGATAGTTGTCTTAGTAGAGAGACCTTGTATGTACGATATTGATTGATTGGGAGTACGGATTCAGTGTGGAGGAAGGCGAAACCTGTTGTATCGTGTTCGACAAGTTTTAAACAAAAGATAAAATTAAAAAACGCTTTCTCCTTTTTCTTGTAATCATGGTCACAAGGATATTATGTAATGATGTTTCCTTCAAAGTATTGATTATTATCGAGCATATCCTTTTGTATGCATATCTGCTGACAAAAGGATAGACAGCAGTTATCAAGGCATTTTCTTTCTGTTGAATAAGTACTACGTGAGATGTAAAGATGAACATCAACGATAGCGTCTGTTGATTAACTTGAAAGGTTTAGATTCTGATAATGATTTATTGCATAAAATAAAACCGACTTATATTTGCTTGCCTGTATCTCTTGATCAATTCTTCGAGAGTATAATGTAAAGCTGATCTGAACTACCGACGGTTCAAGTTCTCATTTATAGAAAAAAGATTCATATTATTCGTAGTCACTTTGTCGAGAGAACGGCATTCGTATTTAGGACACATCAATGGAACAGAAACACATTTATTTTGACTCATTGGTGTCATGCGCCAGATGTCCGACACATAAAATAAGATGTCTAACGCGATAATTAGAGGAGGAGATGATCTCAAAGAAGCGGCTAACACCTTTGCCTTCTTAGAGTAGCTACTGGAGTATGAACATAAACACTCGCACGTTATGAATTTCACGTGTCTACACATTTGATAAGTATAATATTGATGATCACTTAGCAAAATTCTTATGATATGATCGATTAGAAGTATTCGATTCTTTCCTTTCAACTCATTTTTGATAATGTATCAATATGCATGTGAGGGAAAATACCCAATTTGTTTTCTCGCCTTCTTCACTTTTATTTTCTTCTTTGCCACGCTTAATGATAATTCATTCTTTCTTTTCTTCTACAACTATATATGTATATATCTAAGCTGGAATTTATACCCAAAAAGTCGTGAAGAATATTTTTCATTCGCTATTTCACGACGTGACTTTCACTTTTGTTTTTCTCTTCTCTTCAGAATAGATCATTTGCTTATTATACATCAGTCGGCGACACATTGATTATACGGACAGGAAAACACTAGTTTTTGAATTTACACAAGTAAAAATCTCATTTTATCATATTGAGCAACATGTCGGCGTGGGGAAAGAGACAAGGTAAACTAAACTTGTACCGTTGCCATTTCTAAATTTTCCATCGAATAGCTCGGGTTGACACTAAACCAATCGCAGATACTGCAACTGCAAACAACAGCACGACGAATGGTTCAGCAGCTCCAAAAAAATCTGCTTGGGGTGCTCCACCAGGAGCTGCTCCTGCTGTCACGGCTCCCGCCGAACGCTCATCAAGTGCATTCCCTACACCACGTGAAGCGATGGAAAAGCTTTCATTAGAACCTTCTACTGCACAAACGCACGTACGTTCTCAAAGTGCTCGTCCAACAAATCGACGTTCTCACCTACAATCTGCTGTTCCTGAATCAGCTGTCCTGACTCCCGTCCGTCGACCGGATGCAGGTGGCAAAGTTGGCAAAGTCATCGATGTTTACACAAATCATTTTCCGGTTCATGTTGATGATGCTATTATAAACCAATATGATATTGAGATTTTTATGATCGGCCGTGATGGAAGACCCCGATTAGCCCGTAAAGATGAACGTTGGGAAACCGTTCAGCGTATTGCTAAACGTGAAAAGAATTTTCCAATCATCTGGTACGACGAAGGTAAAACGATTTACACCCGGGAGTTGCTAACGGATTTTACTAAACCATTGCAAATCAAATTTTCAATTAACAACGAGGAAAAAACTTTCCAATTTCAAGTGCTCAATCTTGTCCGACAAGAGAAAATTCGGGACATGTTTGACTTCATTGAAAAGAAAACCTCCGTTCGGCCACGAGATTCCATTCGAATCCTCGAGACACTTTTCAAACAACGAGCAAGAAACGATCTCATTAGTTTCCGAAATCAATTTTATGATCGAAAACAAAAACTCGACGATCTCGGTAAGTACGAACTTGTGTATGCGATACGAAAAGCATATCGAAAATATGTAGGCGACGGTCGTGGTATGGCAAATGGATTCTATCAAGCATTGTTCCTTACTCAAGGTGGTCCAACATTGAATATCAATCTTGCGTTCACTTGTTTCTACATGCCTTTAAATTTCATTGAATTCGCCACGAAATATCTTCGCAAAGATATCACTAAAGGTTTAACAGAGCTCGAATTACAAGGTTTTCGACGTATTGTTCGCAACTTGTTGAGTATGTTAGGTAGAAAACGCTTCGTGATTAGCTAGACGTATTTTGTTCTAGTTGAAACTCTTCATACTGGTCGCGATATCCGTTATCGTCTTCGCGGTTTCGGTTTGCCAGCCAATCAAATAATGTTCGTACGCGGCGGAAATGATGATGCTGGCGAGGCATCCTTAGGTGAAAAGATCAGTGTAGCAGATTTCTTTGCTGAAAAATATCAAAGATTGAAGTACCCACATTTACCATGCATCGATGGAATGAGTGGTAATCAAAAACGAGCGAATTGGTTACCGATGGAAGTTGTTAAAGTAAGTTACGTGCGACAAAGCAGATACTGATGAAACTGATCTTCTCCTAGCTTGTACCATGGGAACGTTCGTTAAAACCATTGGACAGTGTTCAGCGGGCATTGGTGACGAAGAAATCTGTAATTAAACCTGAGCAACGTTATGATCAAATCATGAATGTTGTAAATAATCGTCAATTTGATACGGATCCATATTTAAAAGAATTGAATATTAAAGTCAATTCAAAAGAAATGCTTCAAATCAAAGCACGGATTTTACCACCACCTGAAGTGAAATATCGTGGTCAAGGTTCTTCGGAAGTCGCCGAGCGCGTCAATTTCGGTAAATGGACTATTCGTAATCGATTCTACACAACACGTGATGTCAATAAGTGGGGCATGCTTTACTTTGGCTCCAAACCGACCGATGATGTGATTCAAACACTAAAAGATTTTGAAACTCGTCTACCACCTGTAACTGTCAACTCTCAACTAAACAAGAAGTTTACCAGCTTTTTTTTTGTTCTTTAGTTATTACAACGCTACGGCATCACGATTAAATCTAAGCCAATAACTATCGCTAAACCAGCAACAAAGGAAGAAATCGAAAAGACAATCAATAATGCTAGTAAAGATGGTTGGCAGTTGACTATGGTAGTTTTGAATAACACAAGTGATAATGTTTATGATTATATTAAACAATGTGGTAATCAACGATATGGTCTAGTAACACAGTGTGTTAGTTATCAATCATTGGAACGAAATATCGGCAAACTTGATATGTGTAAGAGTTAGAAATTGATCTATAGAAAAAATGGAATTTGATCGAAGACTTTATTTTTAGACGTGCAAAATTTAAGCCAGAAGATCAATGCGAAAATGGGCTGTATCAATGGAGTTGTTAACCTCAAAGCGGCATTGAGTCGACCATCGAACGAAGATCTTTTTATGTTTTTTGGTGCCGATGTCACGCATACAACTTGTTCAGCTGAACGTCCATCAATTGCAGCTGTTGTTGGATCACGCGATCCAACCAATTCACTCTATGCAGCTCGTCTTTGTGAACGTATGTCCATTGAAATGAGAAGCTATTGATGGACGTCATTTTTTTTCTTTTAGAATACCCGAAATTGGGTCGTTGTTCGATGGAAATCATTAAGGATTTGGATAAGATGGTTATTGATCTTCTTCAACTATTTGCTAAATCATGCGGCAATCGGCTACCCAACAAGATCGTCTTCTATCGTGATGGTGTCGATGATGGTCAATATCAAAAAGTTCTTGACAATGAAGTTGCGAAAATCAAACACGCATTTCGAAGTAAAGAAATCTTCTCGAAAGAGAAATAAACAAGATAAGTGATTTTCTTTCTTTTTCAGCAATCTATGTCAATCGACAACCACCGAAACTAACGTTTATTATTGTTAAGAAACGACACAATACGCGATTCTTTGCCTACGACGGACAAATGACGAAAAATGTCGAAGCAGGAACAATTATTGATCAACATGTCACGCATCCATCGCAGTTCGACTTTTATTTATGTTCACAGGCAGCACTGTAAGTTTGTTTGAACAAAGAAATGGTCATTCTACTTGCTCATTGTAGTATGGGTACATCTCGTCCAGCGCTCTATCATGTCCTTCATGATGAAATCGGTTTTACTAGCGATGAAGTTGAACAATTAACCTACTGGGTAAAATCCTTTCATATTTGTTGGACAAACATGCATTAATTTCACTACTATGTAGCTTTGCCATACGGATGCTCGTTGTTCGAAAGCAGTTTCAATTCCAGCACCGGTTCACTACGCGCATTTGGCTGCTTACGCATCTCGCACATTTGACTTCGATGATAATGTCGATCAAAATAGTGGTACTGGTGATGACGATGGCTTCGTTGAAAACGTCGAGAATGTCTCTATCGACGATATTAAAACAAAACTTATGGTACTCGATCCAAAGATCGCTAATAATATGTGGTTTGTATAAATCTAAGGATCTTTATGTTACTTTTTTCTTTCTCTCGCATGTGTGTGTTGATGGAGATTGTTGTTATGAGCATTATCTAATTTAGAGATCTACTTTTTTTTCTTTCTAGTTTCTCATACGCATAGCATTTGTTAGATGCAAGTTTTTTTTCCTCATCATATCTATTCCTTCATTATGTGTGATATTGAGAAAAGAAATCAGTTATGAAATATTCTGGGTTTTTCTTTTCCTTTATTTCACTAGTGTTATGATTTTTTTGCATTGAAAAAAAGAATAAAGTACATAGTTATTTACAGTCGTAGCAGACTGAAAACTCGGTACTTCCCAATTCAAGTCATACCGAACTTCCTACAAATCTTTGTGTTACAAGCTTATTCTAATTGTATAGTATGTATTTATTACGCGGGGTTTTGTAACAAGAAAAAGCTGGTAAAAATCAACATGGTATTTAGCCTGCATGAATTGTTGTTGAAAACTATGCTATGTTCGAAGAAAATAAGACTATGCTTTCACTTCTGCTATCGTAGCATGATTTAAGTCAGGTCGTCTGTAACTTAATGTTATTGTTGGTCCAACAGTGGCCGCTTGCGTGACTTTGTTATGTCGAACAGCGAGCTTAGTATAGAGGATGGTCTTGACATCTTTGTTGACAAAGAATATGGCTGCGCACTCGATGGCGGTTGCTGATGCAATGAATAAAATCGATATCGAATAGAAAGGCCAAGGAATTGAGCCGAATTTATTGACAATCATGCTTGCAGTATATGGAGTTCCACCGATGATGATGATACATAAAACTCGAAGAATGTTTTGGTACACTTTCAGGTCTCGTTGGTTCTTTTTTCTAGTATTAATATTCGATTGGATGTGATGGACACGCGTTGTATGTCGCAAAATAAGAACGTATAAAATAATAACTGTGTTCATAGGAATAAAGAATACAACAGACATTGTTGAGAATGATGTGTGAAAAACTTTACTTGACATAAGGCACATTCGAGACTCGTCTTCGTACTGAAATGCTGTTGATGAAATCAACACTGCACATCCGATAAATATGCCCACTATCCAACTGAGACCGACCATGATTGCGTTGGCGCCATAGGTTAAGAGTTGCCTATGCTGGTGAAGAACAATGATAAAATATCGCGAAATAGCATGAACGGTATACGAGAGCATTTTAATAATGCAAATAACTAGAAAGAAACATCCACGAAATCGACACCACGTCGAGAACGGATTGTTAGCGTCTTGTTCGTTATTTTGAAACAGCGATGGAACTTGAATTAATAGGGAAATAACGAAAAGAATGTAACATATGCATGAGTTCACCGTAAGAAAATTTGATACGGATTTGCAGCGTGAACGCCAATTACAGATAATGATAATTGTAATTGTTGACGAAAAGAAGAATGCAATCAGAAGGGTAATTATGAAGGCGATGCCAACAGCATAGTAGAAGATATCTCGAGTACTCATTTTGCTCTAAAATTTCATAATGCGTCAAATAGAATATCGATCACAAAAAACAACTTTCGTCGATTTTTCTTGAGCCTCTTGGCAAAGAAAGTTAAAATCTACTTTGGGAAAAATTTTGAAAAAAAGTCTATTTCACATTAATAATGGCAAGGCGTATATTACATTAGTCTCTGTCTGAAAGTGCCGGAAATAATGAATTTCAAGTACTTTCATGAGTTGATTTTCCCAGCATGCAGTACTCGATGATGAGATAAATAATTCTGGAATACGAGTAGACGTTGGATACATACAATCAACACTAAGTGCAAGGAGTAGAGTTCGCAGTTGCGAAGTACCTTCACGACTCATTTGAGATGCTTCAAGTCGGGTTCGGCTAACGTAGATCTATCAGTGAAAGAGACTGTCAAACTTAGCATCTATAAGAGCCGGCGAGCGAGCTTCTGAAGGTACTTTTTCTCTTTTGACTCACAATACTTGAAAAATAAGAATTCGGAGACATGATCAGGAAATACAGTTGTTCTAAATACCTGCTTTGCGTGAACAAATTTGAAAAGATGATGTTTTTATGTAGCTCACGATCTACGACGTCAGTCTAGTGAAACTCTAGTTGAAATAATGAGATGTGCCGATGCGAAATGAAAGTAGATAAATGCATTCTATGACAAACAGCGGATCTCTTCAGTACTCATTACACTCTCAAAAATGGATCTTTAAAGATTGAATGAGCTCAGCATTAATTATATTATTTTGAAGCGACGAAGCTTAACTCGGTAGAAATTGAAGCATGAAAATGGAATGGCAGATACCATTGTTTTTTTAAATAGTCTAATCGCGTAAGTGATTTAACGTCACAGAAATAAATGTCAATCCAAAAGTACGCTTCCTGTCCATATCAAGACAAATTAAGGACATTGGACGAAGCGTTTTTTGTACTTTCGATACATGATGTTTAGACACTAATCATCGTGGATGGCACATAAATTTCATTGTTATAATCTTTCGGTATTTTATAGAATAATTTACGCTATGCAACATAATGAGTAAAAAGATTATATTACTCTAAACAATGGTGCTTTTCTCAGATATCTGTCATATCGATAGAACATGTTCGCTAAAATTCACTTTTCTGTTTACTATATCAAGCAAATTGAACGATATATTTGAGATGAGCAGAAAACGTCACATTAGATCGACTACCTCCATCCGAAGAGGACTTTCTCACAGGTTATCTTTGAACTGTCTCAAACCTATTCGGTGGAATTGTTTCAATTATATACACAGACTTAACTTTAGAGTAAGTCGCTGTTAGAGAAACAAAATCATCCTTGGTGACTATTTGCAAAATAATATACTATTTTAATGATAGGTACTTATATAAAGCAATGAAGTTCGCCGCTGATTGGCATAGAAAAATTTTGCAACGATGAACGTGGTTCAAATAGTCTGTGGTTGACACTCAGAAAAGAATTTTATTGAAACGAAATCGAAAAAAGATAGACCAGTATATGTTCTCAATAATGGCCGGTGGTAATTTCATAGGATCCTACTTGTATTGAGTATGTGTCATTGCTTGAATTTCTCATTTGATTATTCAAAGAAAACTGAGCAACGAAATTCCAATAAGCTGGCATCAGCGTCCGTCCATTGATCAGACTGAAAGTGTATACAATTTCTGTACCAGTATCGTTGATCACATTTGTCATAGATCCTAGCGTGGTGTCATAAGATCTTGGATTATACAAACCTGATGCCTCCTGTACCGTGATGGTAATAGTTAAATTAGACAAGACTACTGAGTTTTGAAATGAAACAACTTCTTCTTGAAAATACTGACCACCTGTTGTTGACGCGGAAACATAATTGAAGAATGAAGAAAGCGATATTGTCGACGCTATTGTTGATGCGATTGCATTCAGCTGAAAAACATCTTTATTTGTTTGTTAATCTGGAGTACTTCGTACAAAGATTTCCTCTCACCGTTGATGATGAATTAATAAAACAAACTATCGAATTGATCTTCACACGCATATTTGATATTGATACATCACTTGTAAGTATATAACATGAATTCGTCGATTGATCATATTGAAAACCACGTGATGCATTCAATGCAGTACTTGAACATCGACAAAATCCAAATGTTGCATTATTGTAAAGGACAGTACTCCTTGGGAGAATCACATCGGCATTCGGATAACAATATAGACGAATACTAATACTAGATGATATAAGACAAAATGCAAATATGACAAAACCGCTGGTAAAGTAAAACATCATTAAACTGTTGAGTTAGAAACTGAACTCGAGTTTTTAAAGCGTACATTGAGCATGACATTTCCAGAATTTTTCTTTCATCGCGATTGACATGCAATGTGCCTTTCTTTTGATGAATATTGAATATGCTTTTCGACAAAAACTTCCCACTGTAGACGTTTTTGAGTATGAATACAATTCAACTTTTCCGCTGCTTAACTTTGATATTGACTATTTAATCTAATGTACATAAGATTGACGACGTAATTGTAGGAAGAACCTTTGAGAGAAAAAAAAGCTGCGCATAAACATTCGATTAGAATAAATAGTTAGATCCTCAAATAAATATTTTTCGATTGAATGCATTTCACTTGAAAGTATACTGCAGAGAAGAAAAACATTGATTGTGATATATTATTCTATCACCGAAGTATATAAATACAGAATCGATTGAAACAGATCGAAGAATACTATTTTGACTTGAAAAATGCTTCATTTAAATACAAATGATTCTAAAATCATAGATCATTGTCTATTCGGTTTCTGTTTGTATTCAAAAGAATACTTTCTCAATCAATATTACACAATTCGTTCAAATGCTTTCACTCTTCCATTCATCGGAGCAATTTATTATGATCTGCCATCGTTGCAGTATGTATATATGTCCATACTTATCGTTCTAATTCTCATTGGTTTACTAAACAACATTGTTTCTCTAATGACATTTCTTCAAGATCGAATTCGTTACACTATCAGCGGAACTTATCTTATTATGTATTCAATATGTAGTCTCATCTTGATGCTCGTGCTTTTTACTAATATTGCCGTTGTTGTGTATTACGATGAGTATTTCCTACGATTATGGGCATGTCATGGCTACCCGTATTTATCATTAACAATGGTTTATACAGGTATATTGATTAGTACTGCTATTGCAATCGAAAATGTACTGGTGGAAAGCTTCAAATCTGAAAAATATCGTTCACGAAAAAGTGCGATTTGCAGTATGATTGGCTTTCTTTTCGTCGCTTCTATATCCAATCTCGATAAAATCTTTGCACGGTATCTAATTGCTGATCGATCAGGTGAATTGTATTGTGTACATGAACGACAGTTGTTTAAATCTTGGTCGACACTGTTATTTTGCGTTTATATACTTCTACCTTGTTTAGTCCATGTTATATGCATTTTATACGTGCTTTCCATCAAAGTCAAGCTAAATTGGATACATAAAATTGTTCGGTATCAGCATCATCTTGTTCCATCACTTGTAATGGTTTTATGCTTGTGTCTCAACGGGTTTTATCGATATTCATCGAATTTCTCTTTACAGACTTCATCGAATTATCTCATTCGTTTCCATTTTGCTTTTCTTCTATTTATTTACATTCCACAAATGTTGACATTTATGACTTATGTAACAACCAATGATTTTTATATCAAAGAATTCTATCAAATATGGTTCTATCGACGATTATGCTGTTGTTTTTATAATCGAAAACGTCACGTGCAAGAGTTTGAAGTCATACACAAATTATGGCAGCGCCGAACGTCGTTAGAAACAATAAAAACCATATCAAACCTTGATGACACATGTAATGAAAGTGAATTTTATCGGAAATAATCAGAATGAACCATTCAATTCGTTATGCAGCTTTATTGTCGATCTAGGAAACATGTTTATCAAATTACAAGGGATTTCATTTCATTCTCTCGCTACATAACCATGAACTGAATGATCTTTTCAAATGAATGTCAGGACAAATAAGAGAAAGACGCATTATATGAATTGAGAACATTTTACTTCCTCACCCTAAGAGCTGCTCTAATTGTCATGTTAAATATTTAATTAAGGATCAGTCCAGAACTACTTGCTTTTCTTTTTATCAGTCGTTTGGTAGAAATAAAATCTTAACCAAACAAACGAGTCAGAGATTCTACTATTACAATATACCATTTGATGTATTTATGAAAGAAATTATTGGTATCGCTAATCAAGAACTGTTAACCAAGAAATACAATCATCTATTTTTCGGAAGGATGTCCTAAATGATCACAGTGGACGGAAAACCGTTTACTAAACTAAGAGGATTAAGAGTAGACAGAGATATTTACGTAAAAAAACACGACTGTTCATCGTCTGATACCATTTAAATTGTTTCATTCATTGGCACCGTTTCTTCTTCGCTCAATGCTTCATCTTGTTTCGCAATAGTAGTAGCCGCTTGCATCTTAGCCCATTTTCGTGGAATAGCTGAACCAAATAGAAGATAAACGATACCACCGATTACATAAACACTACCGAATATAATATATAAAATTCTCCATTGTGCTAACACCGGCTGTTTAACAATTTTGCCGGCAATTATGTTGCCAATAAAACCAGCGAGGGATGCAAATGTATTTGCAATACCGAAGATAACACCTGAGTAAGCTGGAACAATATCTGCGAAATTAACGATGTAACCGCTGCCATAGCCGAGACCTTGAAGAGTATGTTAAGTTATGTACGTGAATAGACAGATGGAAAAGCGAAATCTTACCAGAACTAGCCAAGAATACAAGTGTAGTAATAATGCCTAATAGTTTTTGTGTGTGATCACAAAAATAGAATGATAACATGCAGAGAGCTGGCAGAAATGATGTTAGAGAATTGAACAGTTTTCTGGCACTTGTTAAACTTAGAGTTTTCGCGCGAACGAGATGATCGGTTGCAATACCTGAAAAGTAGCAATTTTGTTAGACCAGCGATTTTTCATTGGTTAAGCCTCACCTGATGTTAAACTGCTTAACAATGTTAGAAAGAAGCCAAATGCTAAGATATAACCAGCGAGCTGTGCTGGCAGTCCCAAAAGTTGAGTGAGAATTTTACCGAAATTGGTCAGGAAGAAAAATAAACCGAATAGATTAGCTATGTGCGTTACCATTAAAGCCATGAGAGGTTTTGACGTAACGATATTTTTCCATGGAATCGATGCTAAGGACATAGTTCGTTTCTTTCCTGTACTGCCAGTGAGACTGCATATATAATCACGTTCGTGAGCGCTAATTGTTTTATGGTGATTCGGGGCGTCAGCTGTTAACCAAATCCACAAAACGAGCCAAGTGAAGCCGAGAAAAGCAGACATAGAAAACAAGTACATCCATCCGGAATTCAAATATCGGCAGAGCAAACCACCAGTTAACATGGTAATAGATGTGCCAAGATGAGTACCACAGAATCCGATCGATGCCAACGTACTTCTTTCTTGTGGTACTGCCCATAAGGACCATAAGGCAACTGTGGCGGGAAAAAGGACACCATGCGCGAGGCCAATGATAAAGCGGAGAATAAAAATAAGGATAACATGTGTATTTGGCATGGTATACATTATGGTCAAAGCCATGGTAGCTAATGAGCTGGTACCAAGAGAAGTTGCATAGACCCATTTAGCGCCTAGAACTGTTGCTAACCAACCACCTAATGGTAAAGGTGAAGAGATAAGAGACTAAGTACAATCGAAAAGAAAGCATCTATATAGTCACCTGGCACTTGTGTAAATATGTATCCGGCCCAATAACCACCTAGAAGATCTTGTTGTTGTTCTTCATTCCAAAAGAATTGTTTTTTCTCGAAAAGGCCATTTATCATCTGGGTGTTACCAGATTGTTTTCCTTTTGATGAATCATCAATATTATTCGATACACGGTCTGGAAGATTTCCTTTCGTATCAACCAGTTGTACCCGATGATTACTTGGAACGGTACGATTAACCATGCATACGATGGCAATTGGCAAATTCACACGCTGCGAGTATTGGACAACAAAAGCGAAGAAAACGAGTAACGCCAAGGTGAAACGCGTTGACGGAACAAAACGCGGCGGAGTTTGGCCATCAACATAACCTGCTGTTCTTTCTGTAACCATCTTCAAATAACAAACTAAAAACTTCAAAAATATCTTTTCATTGCATCTACATATCTACAGAACGTTATCTGAATACAGACATACACACGCACAATGTATGATTCTTAAATGCCATAAAGATGGAAATATAACGTGTTATTATATTCTCTCTTTCTTTTCTACTTTCTTCTATTCATCATGACCCTATGTGTTCTTTCCTCTTTTTTTCTCTATGACATCCTTGTCTTTTCCCGAGCAAAAAAAAAAAGAACAGGAATCGATGACATTGTTCGACACCAGGATTACTAAAAATATATCGATTATATGCTACTAGTAAGAATGAAAATGTAGACTCTGCAAGTTTTTTCTTCAGTTTGTCTTTTTTTTCTTTTATTCTCGATTGTTTTACTCGCCAAATATATTCACGAGAGGACGTAGCGTATTCTATTCAAACATTAACAGCCTTCAAACTAACATATGTCGCTATTTCAACACTGAAATTCCATTTTGTAAGATGATTGAGCAATAAACTGAGACACTTCTCGGCAGTATTTATTTCAAAAACGTGATTTTACATTTTTCAAGTGCAAATTGTTTGATACGCTACCACGTTGCTTGACGTCACTAACCATGTTTTGCTGGGCCAATCAAATGCAGACAACATATTCGTCCATCATACAAGAGAGAGAATACGTACGTATTGCTGCAGTATTCGCTAGCTCACATAAATACTGCGGCTTTTCTTCGTTATTGTCATTCGATAACAAATCGTAGATCCGTTAAATATGAAGATATTCACTGCTCTCGCTCTTATCGCGCTTACTACTATTTTCACTTTCTCTTTGGCCGCTGAGGACGCCAAAAAAGGTAAGTCTCCTTCTGATTTCGCATAAAGTATATCTATTCGTATTTGAACGATTAGATGTTGGAACTGTCATTGGTATTGATCTCGGTACCACATATTCCTGCGTGGGAATATTCAAAAACGGTCGTGTAGAAATCATTGCTAATGATCAAGGTAATCGAATTACACCATCGTACGTTGCATTCACTGCCGAAGGTGAACGATTAATTGGTGATGCAGCTAAGAATCAACTGACATCAAATCCTGAAAGTAAGTTTCGCATTAAAACTATTGAATCTAATCATGATGTGCGTCTTATTAGATACGGTATTTGATGCAAAACGTTTAATCGGTCGAGAATTTAGTGACCCAAGTGTTCAACAAGATATCAAACATTTCCCATTCAAAGTTATAGAAAAGAATTCGAAACCAGCCATTCAAATTAACACTGGCAAAGAACAAAAAATCTTTACTCCCGAGGAAATTTCCGCTATGGTTCTTGGAAAAATGCGTGAAATAGCCGTAAGTTCATTCATTGTGTAATGAAGTATTGAAAATTGTTGTTTTTTCTCTCTTGAATAGGAAGCATACCTCGGCAAGAAGGTAACACACGCTGTTGTTACAGTACCCGCCTATTTCAATGATGCCCAACGTCAAGCAACAAAAGATGCCGGAACCATTTCTGGTTTGAATGTTTTACGTATCATCAACGAACCAACGGCAGCTGCTATCGCTTATGGATTAGACAAGAAAGAAGGTGAAAAGAACATTCTTGTCTTCGACTTGGGCGGTGGTACTTTCGATGTCTCATTGTTAACCATTGACAATGGTGTATTTGAAGTCGTCGCAACCAACGGCGATACACATTTGGGCGGTGAAGATTTCGATCAACGTGTTATGGAACATTTCATCAAATTATTCAAAAAGAAAACCGGCAAAGATGTCCGAAAAGATAACCGTGCTGTACAAAAACTCCGACGTGAAGTTGAAAAAGCCAAACGAACATTATCTTCACAGCATCAAACCAAGATTGAAATCGAATCATTTTTCGATAATGAAGATTTCAGCGAAACATTGACCCGTGCCAAATTCGAAGAACTCAACATGGATCTCTTCCGATCAACAATGAAACCTGTTCAAAAAGTAATGGAAGATGCTGATTTGAAGAAGAGTGATATTGCTGAAGTCGTTCTCGTTGGTGGTTCAACACGTATTCCAAAAGTTCAACAATTAGTGAAAGAATTCTTCGATGGTAAAGAACCATCACGTGGTATTAACCCAGATGAAGCTGTTGGTAAGTTGAAAATATTGAGTCCTCATTTCCAAATTTCATGCCTTCGTTTCTTCTAGCTTACGGTGCTGCTGTTCAAGCAGGTGTGTTGTCTGGTGAGGAAAGTACTGGTGATATCGTCTTGTTAGATGTCAACCCATTGACCATGGGTATTGAAACTGTCGGTGGTGTTATGACAAAGATTATTCCACGAAACACAGTTATCCCAACAAAGAAAAGTCAAGTGTTTTCAACCGCCGCTGACAACCAACCCACAGTTACCATACAAGTTTTTGAAGGTGAACGTCCAATGACCAAAGATAACCATGTCTTAGGCAAATTCGATTTAACCGGAATTCCACCTGCACCACGTGGTGTCCCACAAATTGAAGTTACATTCGAAATTGACGTCAATGGTATTCTCAAAGTAACTGCTGAAGATAAAGGCACAGGCAACAAGAATAATATCGTCATCAACTCAAATACAAATCGCCTATCGCCCGATGAAATCGATCGTATGATCAAAGAGTCCGAAAAATTCGCTGATGAAGATCGAAAAGTCAAAGAACGTGTCGATGCCAAGAACGAACTCGAATCGTAAGTTCGAAAACATTTTTCTCTCTACTTCATTATTTCTATTTTAAATAGATATGCTTATTCATTAAAAACACAATTGGCTGACAAAGAAAAACTTGGTGGAAAACTATCCAGCGACGACAAAGAAACGATTGAAAAAGCTGTCGAAGAACAAATCAAATGGTTAGAATCTAATCAAGGTGCTGAAGTCGATGAATTGAAAGATCACAAAAAACAATTAGAAGAAATCGTGACGCCAATCATGACAAAATTATATGGACAAGGTGGCGCGGGTGCTGGTGCTGGTCCCAATGATGTTCCACCACCACCACCACATGGACATGATGATGATAGTTTATAAAGCGAGCAATTAGTTTCAATAACGCTAGAAAAGAATGTCAGATTTGTCCATATTTATCGTTGAATATCATTTTGCTCATTTCGTGCGTTAATATTTTTATGAAAAGTCACCAAGCACGAATACTTGCGCGTTGATTTTCTTGTTTGTTTCTTATTTTTATTGTTCTTAATGTGTGACACTGTTTTCTCCCGAAATATATGCATGGATACAAAAACCAAATACTTCCGTTCGTTCATCAACAGATCGTCAAAAGACAGCGGCGTTCTTTTTTTTCAGAACTTTGAATTTCAGATAGATATATTTATTCAATTATTTGAAGAACGAAAAAATGAAGAAATACAAAATATAAAATATAGACGACAATAGATATATAGACAACCATTGAATATACACATTCTCAATATAAATTGTGTATACGAGTATAAGCATATACACCAGACAACAAGAGAAAGAGAGAGAGAGAGAAAAATAGACTTGTGCGCGTATTTTCTACTACCTCTAGTGAACAAAAGTAATGCCAAACAAGCAAAAATTGCACGAAAAAAAAACAAATAAACCAAAAGAGGCAGCAGCGATGGCGGCGGCAGCGAAAAGAAAAATGACTAGAAGACGAAGATAGGTAATAGAATAAAATTAACTCGACAGATAATGGCACGCACAAAGACAAAAACAACAGTTAAATGACTAGAATTTCATAAAGAGAAAGAGAAACGAATTATGCGTTAGGCAATGTTTTACATATCGGTTTGATCTGTTGTCGAACGATTCATACTAGATGATTTATTATTTATCATTGATTTCGCTTGAGCATTTGTCGTTGACGAAGAATTCGATGATGGCATGGAATTTAATTGAACTGGTGCTGTGGCTGAGTTATGTTTTGTTTCCATATGTGGAATCGGCGTATGATCTGTTTTGACAACCGTTATAGTAGATGATACGGTTTCATTTGTTGCGGATTGATGCGATAAGATAGGTGTCATCGGTAACGGTTGTTTTAAGTTAATGGCTAAATCATCTCGTAATGCGCGTCGACCATCATTAGCATCATCTTTCGGCATTTCACCACGTTCTAAGCAACGCCAATCAGGATTTTGATATGAAAATTCTTTGAATTCATCTTGATTTATTGCTTTGACAATGACAGATTCGATCGGTGTAAATGCGACTGGCATGTTGGTAAAATCTTTATCAAAATTACTTGTATCGCGTGGATTAACCTGAAAATAAACGTAGAATAGAAGATAGAAAAGATGAAAGTTGATATCACTTACCACTTTTGGTTTGAATGGCGGTTTGATTTGACGTCGTTCTAAAGCTTCCCAATCAATTTTACCAACAAAAAATGCATGACGTTTAATTGCGTCTTCACCACCTTGTGCAGCAACGCAACCAAGACGTTTAGCTGGATTTTTCGTCATAAACTAAAACGTACACGATATTCAGTTTTCCATAAGATCATACAAAAAAGAATCTTTGTTTCCTTACAGATTTAAGAATATGTACAGCTTCTTTTGATAACCAAACAGGATATAGAACTTCATCGCGTAGAATCGATTCAAATAAACTATCTTCATCATCTGCTTCGAACGGTGGTTGACCGGCCATCATTTCATACATCAATACTCCTAATGCCCACCAATCAACGGAAAATGAATAATCTAACTCTTGAAGGATTTCAGGCGCAATATAATCTAGAAATGTACACATTCAACGTGAACAGTTCGTCGAAGACATCATTCCTAAGGACGTACCAGGTGTACCACAAAAAGTTGATGTCAGTTTGCCATCGAATATACCTTCTTTACACATACCAAAGCTGAAATCAACGATAGAGAACGGTTTATGTACATTCACGAAATTCGTTAACAGGCGTTCAACGACACTCTGATCAATATTCTCTCGTGTTCACAGGAACGCGATAGGGAAAGGCTTATTCTCATGAACAAATATTACAACCTATCACTCATTATAGGTCATCATATTTCAACATGAATTATCTTGACCTATAAAAATCAAATTGTCCTTTAATGATCAATGAAACAAGCATCTTTCGTTTGTTTCAACGAGTGTAGATATGCTATCAATTTGTTATTCTAAATATAGGACTTACTCGGCAATTTTACAATGTCCTTCGGCATCAAGTAGAATGTTGTCGAGTTTGAGATCGCTAAATGAAGAAAACGATTGATATTTACATAAACATGTTCAAAAAGGTGAATGACTCTCTTACCGATAGATAACACCATGTCGATGTAAGAACATTAATGCTAATGTCACTTCTGACGCATAGAAACGTGCGCGAACTTCATCAAATTTACGCGAACGTTGAATTTGAAACATTAAATCTCCACCATTCACATATTCCATAATTAAAAATAAGCGCTCCTACAAAACGAAAACGCAAGTGCATCGGAAAGCAGCATTGACATAATTTACCTTCGTTTGGAAACTACAGTACAATCCGGTTAAGAATGGATGTCGTGCGGCTAAGGCTAAGATTCGTCGTTCAGTCATTGTACATTCGACATCATCATTTTGAATAATTGCATCTTTATTGAGCACTTTTATAGCAAAAACTTCACCAGATGCTTTGTGTTCACCTAACATTACCTTAAATGCAAGGAAAAAAACAATCAAATTAATTATTTATGACTTTCATGTGCAAAGAAGGTTATTTTACTTTTCCAAACGATCCTTTTCCTAACATTTTCATGAAATTAAAGTCGTCAATAGAATAGTGATGTTTTCGTTTGGTCGCGATATCTTCGAACGATGCCGGCGGAGGTGTTGCATGTTTTGTTGTTGTTGATGAAGCTTGATTAGCAGATGATGCTAAAAAAAGAAGCTCTCGGATTTCATCGACATTCTTCAGTAATCCAATACATACTATCTACTTCACTTGGTGGATTTGTCTAAATGGAGGTTGATAGGGGGAAAAAAGCGAAAGAATTTTATGTAGATATATGAAATCGAGTACAGAATCAGCTCGTTACCATCTTTTGTGGTTCAGTGTTGATATTGAGATCGGCGAGAACTGACGCAAGTTTCTTCTTGTCTAAACCACAATCATTGGCGACATTGCGCGTACAACGTTTATGGACATTCAATTTGCATTCTAAATGTATATAAAAGATATTTTCAAAAAAAGCAGAGTTCAGCACCAGAACAATCGTTGAAGGAAAAGAAACTACATTGTCTTCCGATCTCGTTACGGCCTATGACAAGTCTTGACCAGAAATAACATACCTCGACATTGCATTCCTTGATTCCACGCTCCCCATAAGAGTGATCCACAATGATCACAAAAAGTAAATAATCGATATGTATGTGCAACAAATCGATGTGGAACGTTAATTTTAAAACGTTTTTCACGGTACTAGAACAGGCACACAAGAGAATTCCTCGATAGTCAAAGAAGTAATATATTCTACTTCAAAACATGTTCGAATTCCTGGACAAGTTGTCACTACCGATGCCTTACAACGTTTATGTATCACACATGTACACACTAAAAAAGAAACAGAAACAAATAAGTTTCAGTCATTCTCGAGAAAATCTCGACATGCGCCGCACACAACGGTCTCTCTTCGTTGATCAACCGTATTCCACAAAACAAGCACAAGTGATTCACTTGAAGAATACAATAGTGATCGGGAAGCAACATCCATTCTTACCTTGACATTGATAACCTTGTGTACGAAAGATACCCCTGGAAAAAGGTGTGTTAGTTAGTTCATCTCAACTTTCAGACGATATGTCTCTCCTACGATGATTCCCTTGTCTGTTATTCAATAGAAATCTTACCAGATAAATTCAGAACATATTGAGCAGAATGTTGGTTGACGAAAAAACGTGGCCATAAATTTATGTCCATTGATCTCATACACACGACGCACGACAGCGAAACGTCGTTGGGCAAAAGCTCGTTTGTTTTGTTTAAAATGTCGTTCATTACTGACAGCTAGAAAGCAACAGAAGTCAGTTGAAAATCCAACGCAGCTCATGTCAAACTTACAATCAGTAAATTGTCCTTGTAGTTCGATTGCGATATGAATTCGTCCAGCTGGTTCGAGATCGACCCAAATGTCACTCTTCTTATCATGAATTTTCTCAAATTTCACCGTGCAATCGGCAACGAACTCATCCGGCGGTAAAGCAGCATCATGAAAAATCGTGAAATGTAACTGTTGACCGCTATGTACATCTCGGATAAACTCTTCATTGAACACGGGCGACGTCGTCTTCTCTTTTGTATGAGTACGACCTAATGGCAGATCATCGATATCAATCGAGATATATGGACTAAGGAAAGCAGTCGAAGGATTTGCAGGAAAATAACGCGTTGAATGTTGTGTTGCACGGAGATCGTCAGCTTCGATGAGTTTTAAAATCATTTTACCATTGAAAACAACCATGCTTGCCTTTTCATGAGCTTTTGAAATAGTTAAGAGACTAAGAACATTTTTCAGCTGTTATTGACAAGAGAAAAAAAAATAAACGGCAAGAATGCAAGGAAAACAGAATATTGGCAGCCATTTTATTTTACTCATGGAAATACTCAAGACACGATGGTAAATGACTCTTCCGGTTGTGACTTCAAAAGATTTTTTAGGAAATTATGTCGTGAAAAGTTAAAATTTTCTATAGAAAATTATTATTCTATCGATACATTTTCGTAGATCATCGATTTCGAATAATCGGCATAGATGTCGCTAGTTTGTTGTTAATTAAACATGGTGTGAATATACATATTAATATCGCCATTCAAACGATAATATTTTGAACCAATGTCTTTTTCGTGTAGTACATCGAAAATGGTATCAAGAGTATCATTCGTATATAAGAAGAGAAGACATATCGAAAGATAGAATTTATTTACCTACATTATAATGAAAGTCTAGCATTTTGTACTATTTCTGGTTGCTATTAACAGGAAGGAAACAACATGTTTTAATTTGTCGTAATAAATAGGTTTACACCTATAATTTTTAAAATATAGACACTAGAATTTCAGTTCAATAATTGACATGTATGAGCAAGAAAGTCATTTACTCAGTTCAATCATCGCTTCGCAACTCTTTTTTGGTTTAATATTAGAATCATCCTCCATTCTTATCTGAATAACTAAGAATAGTCCCTAACGATAGCATTTCCTTCTCGTATGGATCACTTAGCCGAGATCATGTTTCTCTATGAACATATTCGTTCGATTGTCAATCTCAAACATAACGCGAAAATTTTGCATACAGTGCCAAGCCTTAGTTACACTCTCCTTCATAGGAATGTGTAAGTACCAGCCGACAAATGAAAGAGGATATTCTATTTTTAAAACTATGAAAACAAAATTTTCTGCGTTTGTTGAAATCTCGCGTAAACTAAGGGACATTGCATAGTTGAAGTGTTTCTTTTCTTACCAAGTATAGTTTGTGCACAAGAAGTGCTGTAAATTCACCAAAGTACTTTCTTTCTTATTTCACTCAAGAGCACGTCTTCACAATAGTCTCTTTAAAATTAAACGACTTTTCCGCATCGGTAAATGTAACAAGCATAAAACGTTTATTTTCTGCAAATAAAACTAACATATCTGAAAGCCATGGTTTTACTGCGGTCAACCAAATCGCATGATGAAATGAACGATAGAGAAGTGTTCTATTTAATTATAAAGATCATGCTTATTCTACTCACATTACTTGGCATTATCTTTTCGGCAACAGTTATTTTAACAATAGTTTTACATTGGAGAGCGCATTGTCGATCAGTTGTCAACCTTTTGATCTGTAATTCCTGCTTGACTCTCCTTTTTCTTGGATTAACAGTCATTTTTCAAGTATCTCATATGAACAAGTACGAGGAAAATACAATTTTCTGCCGATTTCGCGCTGCTCTTTACCTTAGTGCATGTATGTGTGCGTCTTTATCATACCTCATTCAAGCAATTTCACGTTACTTCATAACGATTCTCTACAAATACAGATTTCTCGCGACATTCCGTACGAATATAATCTTAATTCTACTTATCTGGGTATACAGTTTCATCTTACCAGCTCTGGTTTTTATTTCACCGAGTGCTTATCAGCATGAGTCGGAATCTCGAATGTGTGTTCTAACAACTAAATTGTTTTACACATCATTTCTTGTTGTTACTCTCGTATTCATTGTACCTATCAGTATCATTATTACTCTCTATTTTGTCATACTTCGTCAATCAACAGGGCAAAGTCGCACGTATTTCAGTCAACTCGCTACACCGCGAATGAAACGAACTTTAAAAGTCTTTCGGAATGTCATGATTTCAGTGATTGTTCTTGCTATTGGTGGCACACCCTACGTTTTCTGTGTTATCATGAACACATTCATCGAAATACCCTGGCAATTGTATTCAACAGCATTCTTATTTATATCGCTTTCTGCCACATTGAACTCATTAGCACTTTTCTTCATTAATCGACAGATTCGACTGTTGGTTTACAAAAACCTTCACTTTCAGCAGACTGAATATGAAGATACAACTACAGACGACGACCAAGCCATGCCACAAACGATACGAATGCCACCGACAATCATATGATCATATACTGCCATTGTCTTTCTATGTACTATTTCTAAATGTTTTCAATTCAAATAAAATCCGAATGGGATATAACGTCATTTGAACTTTGTAAATAATTATCTCTCATTGATGTACAAATAGAATGTAGACATGACAGTTCGATACTTTGAATTACATCACAATTGAATGTGTTAATGCGCATTATGTCATATGTATTATCGAGTAGCAATTACCGATTGAAATCAAACGAACATTTTGCACAATCTATTCTTCTTCTATACCCATATAAACACTAATAAGCAAATCGGACACATCTCTCGGTAAAGCAAAGTAGGTTCTATTTCTAAAATATTTAAACAATAGGTTTATTGATTTGCAAAAGAGATAAATAGTCTACAAAGTGTGCTGAAACGTAATGATATTCTAACCCATTAGAAGTTCTCGAACGTAGCCACATTTGACAAACTCACAGAATTCTATAATGAATAGCTGTTTTCAGAAAAGTTTGTTTGGAAAGAAATGCTTTCATTACCTTGAAATGAAATATGGTTATTTCGATGCGCAAATGTTTGTCGAAGTGTTTCGTAGAGATAGAAATTCCTTTCTAAATCATTTTGGTTACGATTGAATGCTTTGAGTAGTTTCAAAAGCGAGTGAAATTCTTCTTGATCAACAGTACCATTCGACTTTTGATCAAACAATCGGTCGTAAGTTGAACGCAATATGAAGTCGTTAATGTCCGCGGCATTATGAGCAAAGACAGGAGCGATTAAATCAGTAAATTGCTCGAATTTCATATTTAGTAATTCTGAAAAGGGTCCACACTCTGTTATGGGTGTGTTTTAGACAAGAAAATCATACTTTTCGAATGAATGTGCTTTTGGGCTTCGAGAAATTGTTTTTCGGTCATTCGCAGGCGAAAACTTTGACATGGATTAGCTTGAAACCAACAAAACTCCACTAGAACAAAGAAGTGGACGATTACGTTTCGACGTTCAACGGTATCCGTTCGAGAACAAACCTTCAACAACCCGTTTACCAATCGTTTTTACATATTTCGAATACTTATTGATCAATTCAGCATTGAACAACGGTGTTGTTTGCCGCAATTGTTGTTGTTCAGCAAGTACTTCTAAGCTCATATTTTCTTCCAATAACAATCTTCACGTATTGCCTTCCCTTGCACACCTACTTCACTCGATCAATCTACAACACAAAAAGAAACGTTAAATACTCACATCAATGTGTCATACGATTATGAAGAAAGAGAGAAAACGGTAAATGTCAAAAAGCTTAAACAATATACGGATAGAATGCTTATACTGAAATAAGTCTATCAAAACAAGAGATCATATTTTCACTCATTGAAAATAGAAACATCCAGTTCACGATACTTTATGACGATAAATACATGTTCAGATTGATTCGTTGACTCTTCTAGTTCAGTAGCCTTTGTCCACAAGCAAAAAATGGTGACTTTCTTTCTCTCTCTCTCTAGCTTAATTGCCCAAACGTTTAGTTACATGTCGAATGTTCGCACTCATGAATGTGTATTGTATTCAAATAGTCGAAATACAAAATCAATCAATATTCCTTTGTTAATAAGAAAAAAAAGTAATTGAAAAAAAATTGGCTGTCTGAACGGTTAGTCAGATGACGAATGCAATTTTTCTTTTTCTCTACTAGTCCCTCTTTGTATGTCGGCGTACGTTCAAATTCCTAGTCAACGTCCCTATCGAATAGAATAGCTTGAAACGATTATTTGCTCTTATGAATTAATTCGTAAAACTAACAAACGCATCGTTTGCAATCGAGTTGTTTTGCATTTATTTCGTAACAGAACACTTGAGAGATGTCAATACAACATATTACGATCACAGAATTGAAGAACTGTCTCATCATGCATCGTTGAGTTCGAACGAATATTTTGTCTTTGATCTTTGATGAGTAAGAAATCAAATGAACGAATTTTATTCTGATTTTTCTTTGTTGTTGAATATCCTCATACAAACAACAACAAGAACAACAACACATAAGCAGAGGAAAGAAAACAAAGTAAAGAAAAACTAACACATATATAAAGACAAATGTATGTTTTTATTTGGATTCACTTGAACTCGATCGTGAATATCGACGTTCTTTTTTCTTTGGTGACTCCGCTGCACTTCCACCTGCACCAGTACGTCGACCAGATGTCGGAGGTGATTGGCCACGTCGATAATTTCTTGATCGGGGTGAGTAACCACCGCCTCGCCGATCATTGTATCTTCCACGATCACGGTCACGATCTCGATCACCTCGTCTTGGCGGTGGATAATGACGTGATGGGGGTAATGGAGAACGTCGACGTCTTCCATGATAGGGTGATCGTTCTCGACGATTTCGATCCGAAGATAAATGTGGTGGTTGTCCATGAACAAGAGCGCAAACAATTTCTTTCCCATCAATTTGTCCGCCTTCCATATATTTACATGCTTGTTCAGCACCATTTGCAGTCACATATTCGATATGTGCATAGCCACGATGAAGATGCGGATGGATCCGATGGAACGGNGGTGATCGTTCTCGACGACTTCGATCCGAAGATAAATGTGGTGGTTGTCCATGAACAAGAGCGCAAACAATTTCTTTCCCATCAATTTGTCCGCCTTCCATATATTTACATGCTTGTTCAGCACCATTTGCAGTCACATATTCGATATGTGCATAGCCACGATGAAGATGCGGATGGATCCGATGAAACGGTAAATCAATCTCTTTGATTTCTCCGAATGTTCCAAAGATTTCAGCCAGATGGTCTTTGTTTACATTGGTAGACAACTTACCAATGTAAATCTTGGTGGCTTCTTTTTCTTGTCGACGTGACGATGGACTAGCACTACGACGTGTTTGATTGTTCGACTGAGCATTTCGCTTATCATCAGTTAGATCGCGTTCAACCGACGATTTCTTAACAGTTGCCTTATTATTGCTAGGTTTAGCTGAGCCGTGATCTTTCTTCTTTTCGGGTGATGACGCAGCTGACGATGAACGGCTACTGGATGATGACGAATTTGAAGATGACGATGAAGTTGAGCGACTCGACGCTGACGAAGAACTAGTCGAACCTGATGAACTAGAACCACTGGAACTGGAACGCGATGCGCGTTTACGTTTTATTTTTGATGGGGATTCTCGTGAGTTTTTGACTGTATCCGTTTCAACTGTCATTCTTGCTAGAAGAATTCAAATCATCAGTTTTAGAATGAACGGAATATTTCTCGTTACCTTTTCAATTGATTGAAACGTGAACAATTATCTGAAACGATAGATGAAGAATAGCGCGATAAAAACAATTTTCGATCAATGATGAATTCAGTATTTACGAAATTTCAGTCTCGGATAGTCGAGAACGGGAGAGAGAGAGTATCAATTATATGTCTTATGGCAACAGCCATCTTTGTCTTAATGAAGGTTTTGAATGACCAATCAAATAAAGAATGAAATCCTCTTCACAACGAGCTTTGCAAAAAAAACAACGTCGCTCGAAACTGGAAGGAAATAATTCACAAATAAATTATAATTACATATGAACAATACCGTGTCTATAGATGTCGCCAGTGAGCAGATGTTATCGTGTGATAACTTTCGTGCAGATGAATGATGATTATTGTGATACGACTGAATGATCGGAAAAACATGACGGTTCATCTTCATTTTTATTATGAAAAAAAAAAACAAATATAAATTAGCGATCATGTATTACCTGAACTATATTCATTGATACTTTTACATACAGCATTACCTTCAAAATGATGATTAATTTATTAACTATCCGGTGTAAGAAAATAATAAAATAGTGTTTTTAGGGGATTAGCAAGATATTATGGAGAATTATTCAATTGTCATGGCGCATACGATTCGCTTGTTTTAATTCGATTTTCGTTTTAACGAACGCGTAGTTGGAGAATCAGTGCTCGTCTCATCGTCACTGGCACTATCTTCACTATCCTGCTTTGGCTGAGTTTGGAAGTGGTGGCCGCACCGTGGGCAAGCATGCTCAATACGCTTGACCGGCTTACGTTTGGAATTTCGTGTGTGAACCTCTACAAAACAAGATCATATGAGTATTCGTGGTAAAATTTTATGTTTATGTTTAACATACCATGTAGAATAGAGGAGAAAACGGTTGTGTCCCATTCCGGAATACGAGTTTTGCCATCGGCAGCTATCGAACAATACGTAAACGCTAGTTGAGATTTCTCCAGTTGGTATGTTTGAATTAATTCTTTAGGATTTAATGGAGCATATCCTTGAACATTTGTGCTGATTGCGGGATCAATGGCGTTGCGATACGGTTCAAATGGTACCAACGGTTGAAGGTGTTTTAGATGATCTTGCTTAGCTTTTATCAAGACCAAATATAGTCTGAAACGAATATATACGTGTAAGTTCTTTTCTAAGAAACTACAAGGAATTTACTTACTTCATTATTCCATTTTTGACCTCTTTAATTTTCAGCTGAAGGGGATTGACGTCCGGTACGTTCACATTATCGTTATCTTCTTGAAATTTGTATGGCATCCTGTATCGCCGACCATATTTATCAACGACTGTCAGCCAATCAACTTGAATGTAACCTTGAAGCCCATCGGCAATCTATAATTTGAATTGAAAAGGTTTAGAGAATATATCTTATTATCCTCTTACTTCAAGTGCTACAAAATGGTTGTTTAATTCATCCGCTACGTATCTTGGTTTTCGCTTCCTCCCGTATAGGGAGAAATAATCACTTTTATACCGCAGACGAAAACGATCTTCTAGTTTGTGAACAATGGCTATTTTGCGAGACGAGATGTTTGCACCATGTATTTTTTCAAAATCGATCGTTGGTGGAACGACAGCTGGGTTCTCATTAGATTGATTTTCGTACTCGCCTGATTTAAAAAGTAACAAAATCAACGTTACTATCTTTTTGGAGATCATAAAATCGATTACTTACTATTTTTTAAGCCGTAGATATTGCTCAACGACGCATTGGTATCGCTCAGATAACGATAGATGTCTAGAAAGTTAAAAGTAAACTTTTATCAAAAGGATGCGACTTGGTTTTAAATGAACTACTTTGATGATTGGCCACAACGACATTTGTATGTAATACTGGTAGCTCAGTAGGTTTTTCATGTGGATCTGTAGAAATACAGTTGAATGGACGTTCCAAATAATAGCCTACTTTATATTGTACCGTACCTGTATATGCGTCTAGAAAATCTAGTTCTTCCTTCTCGTCAAGATCGCTAAAAGGAGGTTTGTCGACTCGTTCACCACGATATTGTTCTGAAAGTGGCTGAAGACTGTCTACGATATCTTCACCAAATGGGTAGTCGTGTAGAAAATCAAGGATCTCAGAATTTAGATTGTACATGAGTCGACTGTTTCACTCGGCTTATTTGTCAATAGTAAGGCCGGCGGCTTACAGATGACGTACGGATACGGAGAACACCACTTGAGGGGCTTACTTTGAATATGTATCTATGCCTAGCTTTGTGAGTATTTATAAGTAGGAAGAGCCAAAATACGTCACCTGGGTTTTTCCATGCATGATTTTAAAGGAAGAAAAAGGAAAGAAAAACAAAACGAAACGTAACCATGACGTCAGTAAAAGTGTGCAAGACTTTGAAATATCATACAAAATATAAACTTTAGTGAGAGAAAATGAGATTGATATCTGGTATGAATAATGATAATCTGATTTCATGATGATACAATGTCTGATTAGTTTTTTTATGCAGTAATAACTGTGTTGAGATGTTATTTTTTCCATTATAAAACGGAAAAAGTACAAGTACTGAAAATGTTCGTGCGTTTCTATAGAAACTGGAATATGTAGATGGATATCAAGATTTATTTACAACGAAGAATAATTGCGTTTTCTACTATAGAGAATTCCATATCAAATATATAATGAGGGACTATGATGCACCGCCTTTGTAGGCAATGATTTCATCGTATGATGTAATAACTGTCTTCTGATGTAATTCAGAGTCACCCACCCACCCCGCACTCTTTTTTCGAGTCGAAATAAACCGTTTGAAAGATTTAAGATTTTCTTTGCTATATAAGTGGGTACATGAAAAGTTCAATTTATACAAATTCGATTAAACAAAGAAACACAAGTAAATATGTTTATGAAACAGAATATAAAAGCCAGTAAAACGGTGACGGTTGTTTTTTTTTATCGTCTAAAGCGAAGGTAAACGTACATGTTGGATATAACCAGCATAGAAAGAGCAAATTTTTACTTGTTTTTTTTTACGATGAATTATTTTTTTCGTTTCTTCGCTGCCTTTCCATGACTAATGTCATCTATTGGTTCATTTGTTGGTTCAAACGAATGTGAACATTTTGGACAAGTAACTGTCGTTTTTTTTGAACTGTCACATGATTGTTCTGCAAACAAAATCAAAGACACGAGAAAGTCACGAGAAATTCGTTCATTTAGTTCTTACCGGTCATAATTGTGGAATAAACAGTTGTTTCCCAATTAGGTGTACACGGTTTCCCGCTTGGATCGGGCAAACAGAGTGTGAATGCTAACTGAGATTTGTCCAACTGAAGGCACCGAATCAAGTTTTTCGGCGACATTGGGGTAAATTCTATAAAACTTTCCGATCCTTCCCTCGGTGGAAACAACTGCAATTGATTGAGGCCTTTCAATTCGTCTTGTTTTGACTTTATCAATACCAGTTGTAACCTAAATTGAAAATATCAGTCATAAACACCAAGATTCAAATGAAAGAACTTTACATCATATGACCTGATTGATCGGTTTCGATAGGAATATATACCGGGTTACAATATTGCCGTCCATTGTGTTTGTCCTCGGTTTGAAATAGGTAGGACATTAAGCAGCGTGTGTTATTACTGTGCCCGATTGTAACCCAGTCGGCACGTATGAAACCTTCTGTACCGGGGGTAATCTGAGAACAAAAATATATGGAATACGTAGTGCAAAATAAAGTTTTAATTAATAAATATTACCTCTAATAACACATAGTGGTTGCCAAGTGCATCAGTGACATATCGTGGGAAACGATTTTTGCCATTTTGAGGATTATAATCGCTTTTATATCGGGCTTTATAGTCTTCCTCCAGAGGATGAACAATTCTCAGTTTAGGAGTGAAATCTTTTGGTTTATGCAAAGCTTCAGTCGTAACTGATTTGGAAAGTAGAACAGGTCTGGACGGTAGCGGTTCTTGATCCACTAAATAAACAAGAGTGGTTATGGCATACATTTCATATACGTAAGATGAATATCACTCTTACCAGTAGGTCGCTCGTGCCAGAGTGTGGCTCGATCATCAATAACTTGTTGGGTGATGTATTCATCAGTGTTATCTGTATGAAACAACGAGCAGTCAGTAATAAGATCGTGCTCATATCTAGAGTCGTTACTTTTTGATTGAACACCTTCTGGGAAATATTGATCCCATTCGCTTCTGTCGTCATCTTCAATTGATATTCCTATAAGAGGACAAACGAATAATCAATTGTGAGGTGTAACGGTTCGAACATCTTATGTCTTACCTAGCTGCTTGTTTTTTTTGTTTATGTCGTTATTGAGTATATCGAGAGGATTAGGCGTTGAACGAAACGCGTCTGATGTCCCAATCAAATTTCGAATAGTGTCATCAAGTGGACACGAACGGAAAAGTTCTTCCACTGATGATGGCTCCATTGTTGGATTAGCCGTAGAAAGAAAATGTTTTAATCTGGAGTGTATATTCGATTACACGTATATATAATCACAATTATTATTGCAGAGAAAGCAAAAAATTTATGCTTGGTTTTTTCCTATCTATTCTTACTATACGACATAGTTTACCGGTGAGTCATGTAAAGAAAAAAGAAAAACGATTAGCGAAAACACTTGTCCAAATGAGATGTGTTTCAGTAGCTGATTTCCAAATTGATATAATGGATAATGTGAATATATCAAGTGGGATATCTTCCAACGAAAAAAATAACTTACTTATCGAAACAATGGACTTCGAGAGTATATGATATAAAACTCTAGTCACCTTTTTACACTCCAATACGATTTCGAAATACTCGCTTATTCGTTGAAAGCAAAAATTTTTTTCCGAGAATCAGTGCGCCATTCGAGGCAATGAAATTTTTGATACCAATATGACTCATCATATTGACTCTGTAATAATATCACGAACATGACGTGTGGGTTCGCGTAGACAACTTATATACCTAACTTCATTCATAAGTCTTCTGTTTTCATGTTTGACTTAGATTATGGTGACATCGAAGGTAGATTTAAGAATAATCTATTTTGTACTGTTTTTTTGATAATTAATTGTGAGTAATATGAAGAAAAATATTGAAGAGAGAATTCGAACAGATATAGGACAGTGACAACGATAGAAAAATGAAGTTCATTGATTATTGAATGTGCATTTGTACGTGGAAAAGCAACACAAACATCATCGACATGAACCAATAGTTAGACTTGTAATTTTTACGTTGTTTTTCTCTTTTTGGCCATGCAACGGGCCTTCGATCGCTAGAAAGAATTGAAAAAGATTATTTTGAAAGCAATAGAATAAATTTTGTTTGACAATACTTCTGTAGTAGTGCGCGATGAATGACCCACAGGCGCTTTTCGTTTCCTTTCTGTCTTTACGGCAGGAACATCGTTGGGATTGAAACAATGCTTACAATTTGGGCAACTGATGCTTTTTACTTGGTCCTTTGCCGCCTGCTCTAAAAATCGAACAGATTTGTGTCCATACGTTTAATATGACTACTAATCTATACTTGGCTTGGTACTTGCTGAGGCTGGTGTTTTTGCTGCGGTTTCAGTAATCATCGAGGAGATAACCGTTGTTTCAGGATGAATATCGTACAAACCATTGGGTAGTTTCGTACATAAAGTGAAAGCTATATGGGATTTGTCCAGTTGATATTTAGTAATTAATTCTTTCGCTGATAATTTCTCGTTGCTGATCAGATCTAAAATCAGGTGAAATACATTTTTTGCATGAAAGTCAACCACAGACTTACTTCCGACAGTAACAGTCGTATCCGAGAACGGTTTTAATGGTTGGGCGTCATAAAGTTGATCTAACTTTGACTTGATCAAAACAAGCTGAAGTCTAGATAAAAAGAGAGAACCATAACAGTTATGCGGTTGTCCATACGCACAGCCAATGTGTTTACTTCATGGAATTACTATTATTGATTGTTTGAACAGGTAAATAGATAGGATTCTGGTCAGGCACTTTCATATCGTTGTGATTCGTTTGAAATTTATATGGACTGTAATAATGTTCGTGGTTACCCACTGCTGTTGTGATCAAAGCAATACGGACATATTCTGTTTTTAAATCACGGTTATATTCATGCGGCATCTGAAATAAAAACGAGAATGATGCAGAAACAGTAACACTTGACACTATTCTTCGCATACAATTAATGTAACATAATGATTTTCGTGGTCGTCAGTGACGTAACGTGGTCGCCGGACAATACCATTTTGCGGGAAATAGTCACTTTTATATCGTGGTCGATAGGTTGATTCCAGTGGATGAAGAAGTTTTAACGGATTTGATGCTAAATCTGTCACTGCGACCGAATTTGATAATGAGATGGCTTGACCCAGTGACGCGTTTGTTGCTAATAAAAAAGAAAAGCTTCATATGATTTAGTTAATTTTCCTTGTCGAACGAACATTTTTCGACAGTTGAACGAGGAATAGGTAACACTGAGTTACTTGTTTTGATAATCGTCGAACATTCGTCTGTACTTTGTATTGCTGAAACAAACAGCTCAGAATGAGAAAATGATTTTCTGCGTAGCGAAGTTTTACTTTTGGTCATATCATTTGATTCTGTCGCACTGAATATATCGGTGCTATTTTCCAAACATCTCGACAAGAAAGGACTAGCTGCTGTTAAAAACAAAAAGACTGTTTATAAATTAGCCCGTAATAGTGTACTCACATGAATATTCTTCGCCATCGGAATCTAAGAGGTCGAGCAAATCTTCGAATGCATCAGGTCCTAATGCAAAATCTACATCTAGAAATATACCACACGCATGATTATGAAGCTTTTCCCTTCTACGATGTGTTCGCCAACCTGTGTGCGAGATGTTCTGAAATGACTCATTGATGTCATTTTCACATAGATCCAGCCAACCTGCACGAAAAGAGAATAATTTACCATAAAAACGATTTCGAATGAGTTACGAATTTCTGCACTTGGCAATGATGGTTGAACCGGGCCTTGGATAGAAGAGAAATCGTAATTTATCAATAGAATCAGTTTGCATACATACAGTTTGAAACAAGAGTACTCAAGCCATCTATTGTCTGACCATCAGTCTTGGCGTCTGAAATAGATTCTTCAAGGACATCTTGCAAAATGGACACTCACACTTACTAGACTCGGCCATAAGTCTTCTTTTCTTCTAGGAATAATATCTTCAATTAAAACATGCTGTACACCACGGTAAGTGGTGTCGGTCGAAGCAAAATAATCTATAAATATGATAAAATCTTCACTTATGCATAAACGTTGTTGCGCACCAAAATCAAATAGCAACCATATCCCATCCTACCATGTGATGCATTCGAATTTCGCGTTTAGATAAAAAGAGAACAGCCCTCACCCTCAAAAACTCTTTCGCGTCCTGAAGTATACACTGAAAAATACCGTCAAGAAAGCATGTTATTTTTTTTCTTTTCTTGTCGGATTTTTCCGGCCTATACGCCTATATGTGTCTGTCGTTATTCGGATTTGTTCTCTTTTCCTCTATGGTTCTTTACTTTTTTGTTATTTTTTTCCTTGCATGAATATCATGTGACGTCATTGGGACAGAAAGAGAAAAAAATTCCGATTGCAAATCGAAAGACACAGAAAATGAGCATATCTGAAAGAGAAAAATAAATACTTTTATTTGACTGAAAAATAAAAAAAAGACGCTTGAATCGTCATGAATAGTCATGATTAGGAAGGTATTTATGTAAATGAAGACTAGTAAATACTCAAATAGTAAGAAAACAACACCATGTGTTTGTTAGTTATTTAAAAAAACAAAATGATCCATGTGTTTTCAACACCATGAAGAATGTATATTAGCGCGGATAAGGCCCTTCCGCAAGGATAGATAATGGACTATCCATGCACGGTCCTTGGACTTGTTTTGATATACCACTCGTTGTACGAGTTACCTAAAATGAGCCGATTTTAGTACGATACAAACTATTCATGTCTGTAGTGCGGAATTGTTTTTTCTCTGACAATTTCGGTAAAACATCAGCTTAAAAATTTTAGATATGGAATAAAGAGTACCGATAATTTGGCTTTTTTAGCTGGCCTAATCATTGACGTATCCATTGTATCGGCTGGCGAACTTTTTCGTTTGACACCTTTTGTTGCTGTTTTTTCTAAAAGAAATGAGATACACATACACACAGCTGGACGTACGCATTATTGTTGATTGATACTCACGCTCATTAATAAGATCGGTTTCACATGTCACTGGCAAACTACAAATGCAGTTCCCCTGTTTCACTGCTAGTTGAAAGACAATTTTGTAGCAATGTAGGTCGTAATCGGACGAAAATTGCTTCCCTTTAGCCACTTTACTCATACGATCTTCATTGGGTACGGTATCTAAAACCAGTAGTCCACAAAAGCAACGGCACAAGATTTAAGATGGACATACATTGCTTAATATGCCGATCGGATGCTGATGTATCAAACGATGCTAATGCGAAGGTATATTCATCGAATTTTTTGCACGTAATCGATGAGCGTGGAAATCTGAGTAAGAAATATCGAAGTTCTTCGATTTAGTATCGTGAAAAGTCTCGTTGGACTTACGATTTCTCGCATGAATTAATATCCGATTTCGTTAATGGAACAAACACACTCCCATAATCCAAATCAATAGCATCATCCGTGTGGTATTTGATACTATTGACATGTACGAATGTTTGATTGTCCGGATTATTTGTCGAAGTTACCATCGTCATAATGACACCGAATGTTCCGTTTATTAATGACGTAACAGTTGATAAATCCAAAAACTATCGAATGAAAATATTTACAAAAAACGTGATTTCCTGCTAAGTGTGATTATGACTAACTTGAATCGTCATGGGATGTTTTCTCGAATTAGGCAGAAATCGTTTCCCATCACTTTGATAACGTACACGATGAGCAGGGTGAGGGTGTTCTTTAACGACCATGGCAACATTAGACAATATAGCGTCATTCGTAATAGTTTCAAAATATGCCGGTTCCAGTGCTTCGTTTACCGTATCAGAATACGTGATCTTGTATGACACAAAACACGCTGGTCATCATGAAACGATAAACGACTTACGATTTCTTCACGTAGATCATAGTCGAGGTTTTGACATAATTCATCTTCTACCAGATGTTGATCATTTATAATGTTATCATTCTCCGTCAATACATCTATGATACTATCCAAAAATCAGTGCGAAATACATGAAAATAACTTTACTAGATGTGGCATTCGATGGGGTTGATAATAGTAGTAAATCTTTATCTATATGGCAAAGAAAATGTTAGAAGAAAAAGTGGAAACTCAAGACCTACGTTGAGATACATCCAGTGAACTATGTTCATCAGGAATATTCAACACTGTGTCCGATAACCATGATAGATCTACGCTTCTATCGTTCCAGAAGTCAGCGAAGTTTATTATGCTCTCTCTATTATCTTTAAAGACAGTTGATATATTTTCTTCTTGAGACGAATCATTTAAATACAATGAAAAATCATCATCAAGACTATTTGTTTGCAAAACTAGAATTTATCAAAGAGAGAAACTTAAACTGTCCTTGGCTTGATTATTTCGAATTCACTCTTCAACATACATTCATCATTTTCCCACAGCATCGTAGCTTTGTCGTACAGGAAAACCGGTAAATAGATTTCTTTACTCAGTATGATGTTTAAAGGTGAAAGATACAGTCGGAAAAAATCGGATATATATTTGCCTGCATTTTACATTTTTACCCAGTGTGGACGAAAAAAAATAATGACACATGACGGCCTTTGTCGATATGAGTCAAAGTGAAAAGAACTCATTGGTGGTAAGAAGAAACGATAAGAGAACAGCATTGAGGTAAGGATAGATGACGACAGAGTACTCAAACAGTACTTGATTAAACTATACTATTTTCATGGGAAATTTTTTCCCATAATGGGAAAATTGATAACGTACGAATTGAATGTCATGAGTAAATTGAAAGTTTTATTTCTTATTTAAAGATTAAGAACAAAAAATAGAAGAATTAAAAATATTTTGCGGATGAGGGCCTTAGCAAGAATTTAGTCGTTTTAACCTCATTCATAGCTGATCCCATGGATCTTTAGCTCTTGTTAAATAAAAAGTCAAATTGGAAAGAAAGAGAAAATTATTTGTCCGTGACAACGTGCGTTTGACAATATACACCGGTTGAATGCCAACGATTGCGTTGTTTCACCATCAATTCGCATACAATACGATATTCGTTTGTATGAAATTCGCGGTCAAACCGTTTGGCCCTTTTCATTTTCGACAGATTCGCGTCATCTGGAATCGTGTCTAGAGAGAAATAAATAAAATCGACTTATAACAATCACAAGCGTTAGTGAACCTACATGGAAAAATATGGTCGACGTTCATTAAAGGGTCGAAGGGAGTTAAGCCGTAAATGTAGTCATTGCGCAATGTCTTAATCACAGAAAAATGTCGAAATCTAAATTAAAGTAGAAGGTCAGTTATGTTTGACATTATACATGATTTTCTTTTACATCTTTCTGCGATGGAGAATATCATCTGCTGTCAATGGAATACGGAACGAATGGAGTCCATTTTCTATAGCACCTTGACCTCTGTATGAAATTTCATGTTGATGCACAAAAACTCGTCGTTGAGGATTGTTCTGAGTCGTAACAATTGTGCATTGAATCCAAAAGGATTGATAGACTTCTTTTAAACAGCCGGTCAAATTCGGTAACTAAAAAAGAAAACGAAGGAAAAAGTTAGAAATATAACTTATTCGTAAGGATTTCTAACCCCGATCGTCATTGGATGCGTTCGTGATTCTTCTAGGTAGCGAATATTGTCTGAACGGTAGCGAAAACGGTGGTGCGCGTTCGGTTGACGGGCCATGTGCATGAGCGGCTGACCGTTACGTTGCATGGCGTCCATCGTCGTTTGAAGAATAGCCTCCTCAGAAACTTCGTTCATAGCATTCTGCAACTGCAACAAAAATGTATCAATACTTTCTAGATCAGAAAGTCTGCCGTCAATTAACTTACGAAGTTAGCGATGGAAGCTATTGCTTGATTCGCAGTCGGATCGCTTTGTACCGGGATAGTACCGTTATTATTATGCTCCACTTCTTGTGTATCTAGATGAAACAAATTTATCATCAAATTCAACTCATATAGCGAACAAACCCGATGCTGGATCTTGCAAAATTTCATTGAAATCTTCGTAGGACATCGGCTCTTCTAAACATGAAGAGTAACAATGCATATCGTGTCAAAAATATTTAAAGAGCTTTGTGAATAATCAACTATGTCAGTGATACCAACTTCAGTTTCAGGAAACTCTTTCATTAGAAAGAACATACCCAAAAGCTCCGCTATTGATTGGCACTCTGATAACGTTGTTCCAGACGTATCTAAATACAATCATTGACGAATCGAAGTTTCTCCACAAAGAAATATTTACCAACTGTGTCTTGATACTCAGTCTGCGCCTCTGGTATCGTGGCGTACATATCATTTGGTAACAGTGGTGATGTATCCAGTTGTTCATGCCCTAAACATATTCAATTTTGTTATTATAAATCTTTTCAGATACTGTTATCGACCTGCGCCAAATGATAATTGTTCAATTGCGCTGTTACCATTGGTAAAAGGTAAGAGAGCTTCATCCAAGTCTATCAGACTTGGATCACTTGTTGGTTCGTTGTTTGGAGCTAGTTTGGAAAGAAAATATGCGAAATATTCGAAAACATCACAATGAATGGCTCAGCTTACAACTCGATGAATCCGAATTCATACTGCTTGGATATGAATGAGTATTTTATGTGAAATCTATAATACGAAGTGAACTCATATCAGTTTAGCTCTTAAATAATACGCGAAATCCCAATACGCAAAGCTTGTATAAACTGCATTCTGTTTGCCCAAATGCTTCAGGTAGGAAGTAGAAAATTTTAACGAAAGAAATATTTTTCAATTCTTCTGTAGAGAGGATTGGTGGAATAGATGTCTCTTTGTTTTTCTATTATAAAACATAATTATGCAATAAATGTAACTGACGACGAAATCGTCTTAATCTCGAAAACAATCTGTGCGACATCAGAAGTGACAAATTACAGAAAGATTTTCTTTTAAAAAATATCGCAATCTGAAACATCTTCTTGTGAAACAAAACAATAAAATGGAAAGAGTACTCTCGTCTAGTATGATAAAAAAAAACAAGCATTTATTGGCGAATTGCTCATAGCAACAAAGCATTGTTAAACCATTAAGTTATAATAGGATTTTAGATCGGTTTCGAATTCTCTAGAATAACAAACGATTTAACCAGTGAAATTGAACAAATTAACTTGCTACTTGTTTCTTTGATGATTTTCGGTGATGTACTTGATCTTCGTCGTCGTCTACCATTACCGAGCGCTTCGACGCTTTGTTTGAACTACGTTGCCCGTTTTCTAGGATAGCAGCGATACTCGACATAATCTACTCATTTGAATGACTTACTCTCTTCCATTAGATCTGTGACACAAACTATGTTAGTCGTATGCCATGTGTTATCATATTTGATGAGCAACTGGCAAGCAATTTGGCTCGATTTGAGGTGATACTCATCCCGAAACGCTTTCGCTGTGGCCACGACGCTCTTTTTACTTGTGTTTTTATCTAATAAACAAAAATTAAATTCTATATATATATTTAAGATGTAGATTACAAGTCTCCAATTGATTATTTCCGAAAATGGGAACAAATGGTTTCAGTTCGAATGTATAGGCATCAAGCTTTGACTTAATGATTGAGATACGAGCCAATCTGAATTTAAAAGGAAAACATAAACGAGAGAAAACGTAGACATTTTCGTACTCTTTCACTCTTGACTGAATATCTGATGCGGTTAACGGTACACGAACAAATCCGTGATCGTATTCCGACGAATTATCATCATGGTATTCCAGTTTATCTGGGTGAATATAGACTTTGCCCTTTGGGTTATTGTCTGATGTTATTAAAACCAACTGTAACCAGAATGATTGATTCGAACCTAGTTGACACGTTTCCAAATTGGGCAACTATGAAAAATAGAATAAACAAAGATAAATGCAAACTAGTATGATGAGTCTAGCATTACTTTGATTGCCATTGGTTTTGATCGGGAATTTTCAATTTGCCGTTTGCCATCACTTTGATATCGTCGACGAATATCCTTGGGTGGTTGGATTTGTACGAACATTATTCGATCAGAAATTGTTCGATCGATATTTTCCAGAACACTTTTGTTTAATTCTTCTTTGATCCATTCTTTTGTTGCATCGAATGACTTTAAAGTCAAATCTGTTTCTATCACTTCTGAATTAAACTCATTACTATGCAGCAATCGATTCACATTATTTTCGATATCTGAGAGAAGATTATTTTAGTTCATTGAAAACTGTATGAGTATTGAACAGACCTGCAGAAATTGAGAGACTTTCTTGACTATCGACAGAATCTATTTTCGAAGAAGAAAAAGAAATGATATGCCTAAGAATAGAACATAGCTCTACCTTCATTTAATAATGAAAATTCATCGATCGGTAACGGCAATGTCGAGCAATCATTTTCAAAGACATCTGTTACGTAGAAAGAACGTTGAACGTAATAAATTGGTGTTAATTATATATGAAGACATTTACTTGAACTGAATGAAAGTCGTGTTGTAGGAAACAGAGGTATATTCAGAAATTCTTCAACAGTTATCTGACTGATACGAGATTCGTCATTGTACAAATGATCTTCATCTAAGTAAAGGATTTATTAGATATTAAGGAAAAAGTATGGATTAAATATACCATCAAATGGTTGACAATTCATATCGCAGCAATTCTTGATTAAATTATGCGGTGAACAGTGTGAAAATTGTTGATATGTTCTAATATGTCTCCAGATGAGAAATTTTGAAACATGGCCGTACGGTTGGGTTTTTTAAACAGTAAGGAAGCAAAGAGATCTGATTGGTAAATAGCAATCTTATACGCTTTTGCCAGAAGGTTGAGTATAGGTGTCTCGTTGATCTAACCTACGAAGTGCTCAGAGATTTTATCATGTAGGTATACATCATATGACAACATAATGTATTTGTCTGTTTTTCAAATAAAAAAGAAGCAAGCGGTCAAATTTTTCCAGTTGGAAAAGCCAATCTGAGGAAAAACTATTTTTAGTTCGAAACATCCAGCGATGAATCATATATTTAGCCTGCTCGTCATCGCTGTATATAGCAATTCTGAAAGATTGATTCATGAAAGTTTCGAATCACTTTTCGTTCTCGTTATGATCATCCATAATCAAATTCAAACTTAACGAAAGTATTCAAAGTGGCTCGTATTGGTGAAATAACCACAAGCAAATATTTGACGAAGTGCACAATCGTCGATAAATGGATCTTGTTTTCCACATGGAACAGACATCAATAAAAATATCCTTTCATTTCAATTTTTGTCCTTAAACTTCATCCTTATAATCTCTTTTTTCTTTCTTTCTCTTCACACTTACAAAACACTCCAGACGGTCTGCTAATATTTTACAGTGAGGCAAAACAATCAACATCATAACAACTCATGATAAGTCCAGACAACTTGCACTTACTATAAAACAAGTGACATCACGTATTTATTGTTTTCAAGCGCGCCGTCATAACAAATAAATAACTTTTGCGTCTAATATTGCCGGCATATAGTAATATCAAATTCAAAATATCGTTCCGTCTCAGTACTTCAATTCGAATTGGCGATATCTTCTTAATTCGTCTGTGTGATCTCCAGGTTAGTGATCCGTGAGAAAGAAAGAAACATCGATGACTTTCACAAGATTCATTGTGACACATGTTTGATATTCAAGGTCATTCTCAAGGGGAGACACTTGTTTGCTCTGGAGATAAAGAAAGGATTTTTATAAACTTGAGTATTTATTTCATTCAAAAAACGTATTAAAATAGAAAAATATACACATCGTTGACTATGAAGTGTCCAAAGAGTTGTCAGTTGAGGGCTTATGATGATAATAAACTGATACATTGTTCATTGTTGTGATATGCGGCGACTTGCTTTGGTGTTTGGTGTTCGGCATTGATTTGTTCCAGGAGAGACTTTTTTGTGTCAGGTTGCAATTTTTTTAGAACAAATTCAATTGTGTTCGCTGCAGTAGCATCAGCCGTTCGAGCAATGTTATGAAATATGTTATTACCTAATTTATCAGTTTGCTTGACAAGTTCTGGACGTTTGTGTAGGATTCGTTTGATCAGTTCGATCTGATTAAATTTTGCTGCGACTAGCAGTGGTGCTTCTCCTTGTAAATTTGTTTGTTCGAGAAAACCATTCGTGTTTTCGATCAGGTCGAACAGTACTTGTGGATTCCTTTGTTTCATATGATTTGCCAATACGGAAAATGGATCTTCTGATTCAGTTAATGTCCATAGTTCTCTGATCAGAGTTGAATTTTCATGATCTTTATTTGTTTGATTGGATGGTATTTCAAGAAATGGATCATCATCATCATCATCATCTGTGTTCTCTTCAAAATCGCCATGTGGCCGTTTTCGAGTGGTGGAGGGTGTTATATTGGAAGACGCTAGATCGAAATCACACATGAGACATTTTGATACTAAAAATAGCGAAGAACGCACATAGAAATAGTTTACAATAAAGAAGCACGAACATGATATATACGTAAAGTGAACTCGATTGATTTCAACGTCATTGATATTGATAACAATCGGAATCGTCAGTGTTGGTTTGTCTCTTGTTAATCGTTCTGGACATGGTGGCGTTAAAAACGCGATTGTTTTTTCATCAACAAACTCTCGCTGAACTAATGCTCGTTGATCAATGGCAGGATGTTCGAATCGAATGTGTAATCCTAAATGAATGCAAAACTATAATCCCATTACGCTCAATTCTTGTTTGCAAATTCTTGAATCTTGAAAACAAAAAAGAAATAACATGCGCGCTCGAGACGATGCCCTCCTATCATCTTTTTATAGCAAAGACTGCGTCGGATACAAATTCTCTATTTGAGTTATTTCACCTGAAAAACTGATTCATCCAGCATGATGCAGCATCTTCAAGTACAAGGTCTGTCTAGTGTAAAAAATGCTGTTGTACTCTCTATATTTTACTTGTTTATGTCAGTTAGATAAGATATATGACATGGTAGACAGCTATATGGCTCGAAGACAACACTCCAGCTCGGTATATATCTGCGACCTCATAGTCGAACGAGTGATCGAATTGAAAACTAAAAAAACGTGAAAATTCGGCAGATTACTCACTCTTTCTTCTGTCAAGTTGTGGAATGAACATCAATATTTCATCGCCGCCTTGACAATCACCTTTTTGTGGTGAATATCGAAAACAGGCATCGTTATCATTCGTCGATATTTTCGTACCAGTTATTACGTGTGAATAAACAGTTGAGATATTGTATGTTACTGGAAAGGCAGTAGGACATTCAGGTTCAAAAGCAGCTAAAGAAAAAAACAGGCGTGACTGTGATAATTGATAATATTCGATAATTTTCTTTGCATCCATGCAGTAGTTTGCATCCAATGTATGGAAGTTTTCTATGGAATAGTGAGATAAGAAGGAAATTGTATTGACTTGAAAGTCTTTTACCAGAATTGTGAATTCTCAGTGCTCCATGTTCCACTATTTCATGATGAGTCAGCTTTTGTATACAAAATTGAAAACTGAGAAAAAGTCCGATCATTTATCTCTTTCATTCTAAATTCTACCTTTTTCGACCAGTTTGGAATTCTCCGTCTGATAGTGGAAAATACAATGAGTTTGTTGCTTTATCAGAAATGATAGCAGGATCGTCCGAAGCGATCTTGTAAGGATGTACGCATACATTATGCACCTGTTCACTAGGAACAGTAACAAGTCCGACACGAATGAAGTATTTTAATGATCTTTTTTGAAGCCATTCGTGCGGAATCTGTAAGATACGTTCGATACAAGAAAAATGCTTTTCTTTTTAAACGCTGTTTACCTCAATTGTTGGATAAACCAAACCATTTGTATTTACTTCGCCATGGATAAAACGTTGGGCTCGGTTTTGTCGAGGATTGGTTTCACGTTTGTATCGTTCGCGATAGAATGGTCGAGGTTGTAACAAGATCCGAAGTGATGGCATGGCTTTAGCCATTTGGAAGAATATTTTCTAAATGAAGTTATACGCGTCGCAAGTCAAATGAGATATATATCAAAGTAGTTGTTGTTTATGAACTCACTTTCTTCCTGATATGAGACAATTGGTTTTTTCTTCTAAGTTTCGAAAGTAAAAAGCGCAAAATGAAAGGTAAAAACCGGTCGATGAGTATTTATTCTCATGTATTTGTTTTTTCCTTCCTTTTCTTTCACTCAAGTAATAGCAGTGAGAAAAACAATGATATTTGAAGGAAAATTTTTATCAAAACTCATTCATCAATATTCATATTGGATTTGTGCACAAAATTCATACAGATAAATGATCCCATATGAAATTCGATGTTTATATGAAATTCATCCGTAAGCCTTGACTTACTTTTTACAACTCTGCACTTTTTCGAATGACACAGTTATAAGATAAAACTGTCTGTCCGCCAGTCAACATAGTTCTTTTTCTCTCTTCTTATACTGACTACGTAATACGATGAGAGGCAAAATGATCTTCCATTCTAAATTTTTACTCATAAAAAAAACTTTCGAAAACACATGACTCATGGTTGAACATACAAGGAAAAATCCTTTCAATACACAATTTCCGTAATCTATCAACATCGCGTCATTTCTCTATAATTTCCATCGAAGAATTTCTATGCAATCACGCATTTCTTTCACCAATTTTTTCCCGAGACCATCTCTTACCAGTATAACGCCATATGGAACCCTATATTACAGTGCTAAGGATGTTAAATGGCTTTCTCATGGTACAGAAATCATGTATTATTGATCTTCTGTTGACACTCAGGAACATTGAACAGTGTATAACTAAAATATGTACCTAAACAACAGTCTTATACTTTTTAGCACGTTGAACGAATTCTATTTCAAAAGTCACTAATTAACAAAACGATTGATAGCAGAGCTAATCTAATTATTTTCTCATTATGATATATCTTCCCTAGTACCACAAATGCGACACTGTCTGAACACGTATTTGCTTACGCAATAGTGATTGCTACTTACTTTGACGTACAATCGACAGTGTGTGTATGTCTGAGGTGCTATTTCGTTCCCCGAAAATTTATACTCGCTGTCAAGGTGCACATTCATGTAAATATTCGTCGAATTATTACGACATATTTTTGTCTGCCTTTTTTGTTTGTTCATGTTAAATTAATAGTAACCAATTCACTTCTAAACGTCTTACATGTGCACCAGACGTTTTTCGGCGATTTTATTCTAGACTCCGCCTTCAAGGTCGCTCTCTACTTTTTATCATATTCATTTGTTTGTGAAGTATGTTCAATGCTCTTGGCTTATATGCCATTGGATTCAAGTGATTTGTTGTGAGTTTATGGATCAAGTTTGATTCACTGCAGAGTATATCAGTTTTGCTGGTGTCTGGATTAAGACCATTGTTTAGTTTTTGAACGATTTCGTATTTCGATTCTTCGAAAAATTCTTTTGCACAGTTGTTATTTCAACACAAAATGAGGAGAAGGCATCGAGAAATACTTTTTCACAGTAGATGAGACCGCTTCAGTACGACAAACCTTTTTTTCTCGGCTTTAAAATTTTTCTTAACTTATTCACAAAACAATGGTAAGTATGATCATATGTCTGTTTAATCATGTCTGGAGCGAGACTACGCACAGTTTCTTTTGCTTTTCGCTTATCTTTCATTGAAAACATGTAATTGCAATAAGTGGCACTGGATTCTCTTCGAATGCACACTCGATGAAATAATAGATTCGCAGCACCCTTATATAGATGACGGTGCGTACATATTTTCAAATGGACTTGGAAGCGAAAGTTGTCTTCTGTAAATTTTTTCATTTGTAGATGAACGTGTTTCATTTAGTTTAGCAGATACATCTTACTCGAGGCGCCGTTGTTCGTATTATTCCGGAGATGACGGCCGGATGTTGAAGTTGAATTTGAGCGATTCATAGCTCGCACTATCGCCCAAACCAAGAACTAAATATCCATGGTTAGCAAAAGGCAAATAATGGCGCTCCAACAACCATTGTTCAAAAGATTGGCCCTGAGAAAACTAAAGATCGAAATAGTTTTTTCGTTCAAATTCTCCGTATTCAATCGGGTAAAGTCTAGTGAATCTTTTAGAACGAAATTTATACGTTTCCTGATTTTTCTTTTACCGATCTTCAAAACATGTGTGATTATGCAAATACACCACAGGGAGTACAATAAAGTAAAAATAACAATGATATGAACTCTTATTAAACAGGTTTTTAATTACGAGATAATAATTCAAAACAGCATGTGTTTTCATGTAATTCTGCTGTTCTCGCTGGAGTCTCACCATTTTTATTCATTTGCATCAATAGATTCGTCTTCACTTCTTCAGACATGATATTAAAGAGATTCTTAATTGTTTCAGCACCCGCATCATCCTTCACACTTCCGACTTTGTGCAACAAGTTATTACCGTCATTGTCCACTCTTTCAATCACATCTTTTCGCATCTTCACCAACATCTCAATCACTTTCCATGCATTACATCGACCTCCGACTAACAGCACGTTTTCCCCACTTTCGTTTCTTCTCTCCAGTATGTCGTTTTCTTCGCGCATACTAGCCACTTGTTCAATGATCGTCAGCGCCAACGAAATGTGTCCTCGTTCGATAGCAACATGCAGTGGTGGTGGACTATCTACACATTTCGACAACAACACGCGAGTTCGACGAAACAGTCGAGAAGGATCGTTGGTTTGAACAAACTGGACTAGTGCTTCTTGTAGTTGATCGAGATATTTGTCGAGTTTAGCAGCATGATCTAGACATAGAACGTCGAAAAGAAATAGACACGATGCTCGATGAGCGACATACCATCTCGTGCCGCTGCTGTAGTTACTTTAGTCGTTGTTGTTTTTGTAGCTGCTGTAGTTGTCGTTGTTGCTGTAGCACTTGGCATTGATTCCGACGATGATGATGATGATGATGACGACGATGATGACGATGCTTCGCTGTCCTTCTATTCATACACACAAAACGTACAATCGAACGGTGTCAATCATATCCATGCAACACCCTACCCGTTCAAGTCCCATCCTTGCTATTCCCGATGTCAGATCACCCACGAACTTAACATCGTCCAACTCTTCTCGTCCACGCTGTCGTTTGTTACTTGCCGTGTTTCCTTGATTGACGAATGTAGTTTGACTACAAGCTGGGCACAGGCTCAATGTCATGCTGATGGCTAAAGACACACGAAGAAGAACAATGGAGAACACAAGGTGAGCATGAGAGAGTGTCGTTTGCTGAGAGACATACGTGGTACATAGGTGAAATTGACCAAGGCTATGACTACATTGTTTTCTCTGATAGTCATTGGAAAATTACGAGGCTGGTCAGTGAATGGCAGTGGACATTGTGGTGCCATGAATGAAAAGACTCTTTTGTCAATGTGTGTGACATTGTTAAGTACCACTAATGGATGTGGTGTGAAATCAAAGGTAATGGTATAGTCTAAAATGGGCAAATGTTTTCAGTGAGAAGGAGAGAAGTGAAGTTTGGCGAGTACTTTTCTGTCTGTTGGGTTGTTGTGGTAAGATGATAACGATTTCTTCGTTTCCTCTCCAATCAACTTTTTGTGGTATACATTTAATAAGGGGTGATGCGCGTGTATCATTGAATTGCCGCGCTGGTGATCCTGACAAAAAGAATCAAATCTAGTAACAATAAATTGTATTAATAATACTAACTTGAGCCACTTGTAGTCGTGTCAATCATAGATGTAGAGAAAATAAGGGTTTCCCATTGAAAAACGGGCACTGATATGGCATCAGTCCGATGAGCGATCATGAATGCAAGTTTGGACGCTCCCAGCTGGTAAAATTCGATGGTTTGCTTTACATTTTGTATGGTCTCATCATGCGACTGACACGATGGTTCGAAGCCTAGGAAAGCATTTGAGAAGTCTGTGAGGATATGAAGTGTTGTTATTACTATTACCAAATGGTATGAGAGCACCATGTGCTTTCAATTCCTCTTGTTTTTTCTTCGTGACAATCAGTCGAAAACTGAAATAGTAGGTAGCTTCGGTCAATATTGAACTGAACAGATGTGGTACTAAACTATTACCTTTTTTCGCCTGTTAACATTTCCTTTTCATTCACAGGAAAGTAAAGAGAATTATTTTGAGATGGATCTTGAAAAACATCACCATCCACCGCAGTAAGTTCATATGGATGAATATAATAATTACTTCCTGTTCCACTCCTTTCGGTGACAAGAGTCACTCGAATATACAGTCTTTGCCATGGATTCCAAGAACGCCATTGCTTAGGAATCTATTAGTTATAGATTAGAAAGAAAAAAATCTTTACAACATTGTTGATTCAGCAAAACAAGAGTAGTAGATTAATGTAGAGTTATCGAATTTTGTGAAAATATAGGCTTTTGAACACATGTGCATACCTTAATAGTCGGATATTGATACGGGCTTTTTTCTGGGTCAGTACGTATAAAACGATTCGCTGGACTGTTCTCGCATTTATAACGTCCGCGGTACTCTTCGTTCGGTTGTGCTATTATTTCGAGGGGTTCGCTCTGCTGCAGCTCAGAATAAAGTGACAAAGGCGAATTATTGAGGGGGTCGTTCGTTCCAGTAGATTCGTAAGCGATCACACCTTCACTGGTAGATCCTGATAAGTTTGAAGAATTGGGACTGTTTGCTCCGGTCAATTCACCAGAACTAAGGATTTCAGTAAGAGCTGCAAAATCTGTGTAGAAAAAAAAGGTCGGCCGTTACGTTGCATTTTTAAATCAATCTATACCTATTTGCGATAATTCCGTTATTACGAACTCCGGTGGATTGGGATTGGGGCTCCAAGGTTCATCTACCATAGATAAATATCCAATCATACAACAAATTGCTTCTCTATGAATGTACACATACCTAAATCGGTAAAGGCGCTCATTCTTTTTTGTATAAAGATCCGACAAGGTCGTAATAGTTACTGAATAAAGATAAGCGACGCTATTGGCGAGTGTATATATAGCGAGTATGCTATCGATAGGCGCAGAATGTAAGACGTATCTTGGTAGCCTATGACACATAAAACATTTCCCTGTAACTGGGAGGAAGAAAACAAGCGTAAGACATGTAGGAAAAAAATGGCAAAATACTATTTTCTGCCAACAAGATAAGAACACTACCAACCGAAAAAAGAACGTCTGACAAGCATACGGAACAACCTAAATATGCATGCATCGTTTCAAGATGACTCTAGTTTAGAATAATATTATTTTCTTATGAACTTATGTTGTTTTCGACATGACGTGTCAACATCTAAGATTTTGTACGGAACTCTCGTAATAACTGATGTTTTTCGTCGATATAAGTTTCATATCAAATCTGTGTTTCGCATGTTAATCGAGGAGTTATGGGTTCTGAAAATTCAATATCTAATGACTCTCCTCATAAAACATTGACGACTTGAGAAGACAGAACTTATGCTTTACTATTGTCGGACGAAACTATTTACATATCGAGGTTTAATCCAGACAACGAAGGTACGCGACGTATTGTATTTCTTCCCTTTATGTTTTTACTTTTTCAATTAGTTAGGAGTCAAGTTCTTCATGACATATAATATTGCTTTCGTTTTCTCGATTAAAATACCAATCTAAATGTTATATTGTTGTTTCATTGTATATAGTCATGATGCGTACAAAGAAAAAAAAGTTGCACAAAGAAAAAGTCGGTATTTTCCTGGTTAAAAGATATTAACTACAAAACTGATAAAAATAAGTCTTTTCCAACAGAAGCGAAAAGATCGTTTGACGTAATTCGTTGCAAACGTCGAATAATTCAATCATCCTCGTCATCGGATGATGGACTCGAGTCTTCGGATATTTGGTGTGGAGGATTGATCTTTCGTAAATATGTCGTAATATCATCGCGATGGAGTGATTGAGCTAATTCAATTGGTGTCATAGCCAGGTTACTGTGATTTAGCAGCTGACCTAACTTGCCATCTTCGATCAAATACTCAACCATATCTAAATCACCATAGCGAACAGCAAGATGTAGAAGATTGTCACCGATGTGATTTTGAACTTCATGGATGCTTGTGTTGGAATATTGAAGGATTTTTTTCGTTACTAAGAGATTATTTTTTGCGACACTCAATTGCAATGGAGTTCGAGATTCATGATTTCGATGATCGAATGTTTCCTGAATAGGAAAGGATTTTTCCAAAAGATAATCAATCATTGAATCAAGTATCTCAACAGATGTTGTATAACATGCCATGATATGAAAAATATTGTTCTGCATATTGTCTGTTTCTTTCATTAACGCTTGTGCTCCTGTTTTGTGCAATAAACTTTTAACTATTTCAATACGATTGAGTCGAAGAGCATGTAAAAGTGTATTTTCGCCCAACGACTCATTTTTTAGTTGAAGAATTTCGATGGAAGCTGCAGGAATAAATTTGGATAGAACATCACAATGGTTTCTGCTGATCGCATCGTGCATAGTTTGAGGATGCTTTCGAATAAACGAACGACCAATACGAAGTAATGAAGTATAATCGTTTTCCAAAAATAAGCTCTCGAAACTAGTGAACAACGCTTTAATTATTTCATCAGAGGAATCTTTGTTTTTTCCACCAGTTTGCTTGGACGACGATGGCTCCGGTATCTATCAGAAGTAGGTAGTCCTCAGTGTGTTAAAACAGAATGTAACTTACGGGTTTAGCGGATGCTTCTGGCAACTTCTGGGAATCGTTAGCAGTAGACACCACAATATCATACTCATACGCTCCATGGTCAAATACCTGAGAAGCCATACGTTTACTTGGTACGTTTGGTATTTCATTGCTTTGGCTATTCATAGTATGTAGGTGACAATTCGAACATTGAGTGGCTAAAATAATAATTGAAATCGTGAGTATTCAGTGCGGTGAAAAATGTCATTTAGTTACATGTTGGTAGGTAAAAATATGTTAGTGTGTCTACATCACGACTACTCTGCCGAAGTATAACATTCACCTGAACAGCTTGATCAAATTCGTAAGGAAATTTCGGTGTTTTAAAAGAAACAATTCGATCCGTGATAGTTAAGTTGTCAATTTCATGCGACCAATGTTGATTCAGAGAATTAAATTCGAAGACTACTTTTAATTCTAGATAAAATACCGAAAAGTGATTATAGAAAATCCAAATCGAGCCTGTTCCACTTACGGCCATATTTTCTCACTTCAAGTTTCTTACTCGTCAGAATAATTATCATGTCTTCGCTATTCGTGTTGACAGTGTATCGCGGTGCATACTTATACACACGACAGGATGGTTCAGGAGAAGTCGTGCTCTGTTCATCCACTGATTGACTATCATTTTCAGGTTCTCCTGATCCCGAGTCGCCTTCTATCATAGGTTCCGAAAATGCAGTGGTTTGCGGATATGGAGTCATATAAATATCATCAGAATTAACTGTCTTTTGAACGATTGTAAACGCTAATTGACTCTGACCAAGGCTATATTCTTTCTTCAATTGTTTTGCAGTAGTGGATGCATTCGCGCCGGTATCATTTTGCAAATTTGAACCTAAGTTTCAGCAGGAAACAAATCTTACTCTATTTTGTTTCATTAAATTATCATATTCGCTCACCAACGCCATCGAATACTTGTAGACATCCATAGTTTTTCAATTCGCCTTCTCGTTCTTTCACGATTCGAATTGTCGGAAAACTAAAACATCGATGGAGCTAACAACGAAAAGAACTATTGTATCTCCTATACCTTTTAGTGCCAGTCCTATAATCTTCTTCTTGGAGAGGAAAATAAATTGAATTAGTCTCCTCGTTATACAGTTGATTATTTGTTGTATTTTCAACTCTATAAGGATGAATATAACGCAGGCACGTTCTATCGTTGACCACTGTAACGAGACACACACGAACATAATACCCTCCATTGGGATCAAGATATTGTTGTGGAATCTAATGAAAGAATGTTGAGATTCAGTTCACTAATGCATTAAATGAAACATACACGAATGGCTGGTCCCGTGTAACTGGAGTTTTTCGTGCGATTTTTTAATACACCCTGCCGTTGATCGTTTTTGCTATAGTCACTTCTGTAGCGTAATTTTGTTCCATAATATGGCTGAGCAATAATTTCTATTTGATCAGGGAATGTCTGCATATCCGATGGCAAAGCAACAGCTTGATACACAGCTAAATGGAAAGGAAGTTTTATTACGATGAATTTATCCATCGTACATACGATTTGTCACTTCCTGTTGCTGTATATTCGAGTTGTTATCTGGAGAAAAGCCTGATGGAGTCTGTGCAGAGGTTGGATTATTCAATTCAGACATTATCGAATTAATATCGATATCTGGCAGGAATTCTAAAAAAAGCCGATGCGAGAAATTTCATTGTTGCAGATTTCTAACCGTTGTTCACATTTAAATTGAGATCTCCTGTAAAATATTAATGGATTTCATAAAACCTTTTATTTTAATTCGCTTGATACGGATCTCACCTGTTAGATTGTCAATATCGAGCAATAGAGTTGGAGAATTGAGAAGAGTGTCATAGACTATAATGAGAAAAGAAAAGCAAATACAACATGTATTTATACATCACCCTGGTCATTACGTGTATCATCATTGCTTTGGTTGTTCAACTGTGACATGAGAAGAATTAACTCAATGTAATCTGCAAGAGAAAAAGTCTCTGAATAATTCTGCACACAGCTCTTTCGAGAATTTCGGCAAAGATTTATCATATATGTACATTGCTTCTTTGCTCAAAACCGGGAAAAAATTCGATGAAAAATGTCATAGTGAGTCACTGAAAAAACATGTTTCTCTATAGGTTTGAAAATATCGAATCATTTTATTTGCAAGAAAATGAAGATAGTACAAAACACTACTTAGTAACTATTACACAAAGATACAATTATATTACGAACAGGCTGGTTGTTCGTTTACTTCGTTAGATTTAATTGATTCATTTAATAAAATTGCGCACCGAATGTTGCCTTGCGATTGCGCAATTTCCGCTGCACTTTGATTCATTTTATTCCTTGCATTTAAAAGCCGCGTTTTAACGTCACTGGGTAAAATTTCCAAGAGATTTTTAATTGTTTCAGCACCCGCATCATCCTTCACACTTCCAACTTTGTGCAACAAGTTATTACCGCCATTGTCCACTCTTTCAATCACATCTTTTCGCATCTTCACCAACATCTCAATCACTTTCCATGCATTACATCGACCTCCGACTAACAGCACGTTTTCCCCACTTTCGTTTCTTCTCTCCAGTATGTCGTTTTCTTCGCGCATACTAGCCACTTGTTCAATGATCGTCAGCGCCAACGAAATGTGTCCTCGTTCGATAGCAACATGCAGTGGTGGTGGACTATCTACACATTTCGACAACAACACGCGAGTTCGACGAAACAGTCGAGAAGGATCGTTGGTTTGAACAAATTGGACTAGTGCTTCTTGTAGTTGATCGAGATATTTATCGAGTTTAGCAGCATGATCTAGACATAGAACGTCGAAAAGAAATAGACACGATGCTCGATCAACGACATACCATCTCGTGCCGCTGCTGTAGTTACTTTAATCGTTGTTGTTTTTGTAGCTGTTGTTGTTGCTGTAGCCGCTGTAGCTGTTGTAGCTGTTGCTGTAGCTGTTGTTGTTGCTGTAGCTGCTGTAGCTGCTGTAGCTGTTGTTGTTGCTGTAGCCGCTGTAGCTGCTGTTGTTGTTACTGTAGCCGCTGTAGCTGCTGTAGCTGTTGTTGTTGCTGTAGCCGCTGTAGCTGCTGTAGCTATTGTTGTTGCTGTAGCACTTGGTATTGATTCCGACGATGATGATGCTTCGCTGTCCTTCTATTCATACACACAAAACATACAATCAAACGGTGTCAATCATTTCCATGCAACACCCTACCTGTTCAAGTCCCATCCTTGCTATTCCCGATGTCAGAGCATTCACGAACTTAACATCGTCCACATCTTCTCGTCCACGCTGTCGTTTGTTACTTGCCGTGTTTCCTTGATTGACGAATGTAGTTTGACTACAAGCTGGACACAGGCTCAACATCATGCTGATGGCTAAAGACACACGAAGAAGAACAATGGAGAACACAAGGTGAGCATGAGAGAGTGTCGTTTGCTGAGAGACATACGTGGTACATAGGTGAAATTGACCAAGGCTATGACTACATTGTTTTCTCTGATAGTCATTGGAAAATTACGAGGCTGGTCAGTGAATGGCAATGGACATTGTGGTGCCATGAATGAAAAGACTCTTTTGTCAATGTGTGTGATATTGTTAAGTACCACTAATGGATGTGGTGTGAAATCAAAGGTAATGGTATAGTCTAAAATGGGCAAATGTTTTCGGTGAGAAGGAGAAAAGTGAAGTTTGGCGAGTACTTTTCTGTCTGTTGGGTTGTTGTGGTAAGATGATAACGATTTCTTCGTTTCCTCTCCAATCAACTTTTTGTGGTATACATTTAATTTGTGTCAGCAATGTTTGCTGAATATAGTTGGTTGTTGTTTCTGGAAAAGATCAAAAGTAGTTGGTACAATCTTTTAAATGTATACGAACGTCGATCTCCCGTTTCGACATCAGTCATAGTATCTGATAGGACCGCTGTTTGCATGATCGGATGTGGTAGAGAATGTTGATTGAATCGTTCGGCAATGACAAACATAAGCTGACAGTCCCACAGTTGGTATGCAGTAATAGTTTGTTTTGGTTTTTGGGAGTATATGACTTGTTGATTATCTAGCTGATCTAAATTATATAGATATGTGCCAACACAGACGAGTTAAAGCGTGGACAGAAGATCAGAAAATCTCATGCCATCGGGTGGGAAATCCCTTCTGGGTGATCCCCGTGAAAGCAAATGGGATATTGTGAGTCAACTCTTTTGTATCCCATTGTTCGTTATACGTGTCTATTTGTAGAGCAGCAAGAGAAAAGGCCGATGATTGTATTTCATTTGGATAGTTTTACATTTTAGAAGTCAGATGGCTAAAAAGTATGACAACAAAAAAAAAGCTTGGCTCATATTTGACACATGGTGCGCAGTGAAATGTGAAAGATAAAGTAATCGAGTCTACTGTTATATAAGACATTTGACGATTTTCATCTAATCAAATCTGTTTAGTCTTCTATACGGACTCAATCTACTCTTTTCTTACCTGTTCCATAGATCCGTAACATTCCATACTCTTTTAAATCACTTTGAATCATTTTCGTTCGGCTGATTAAAAATCTAGATAAACAAGTGCATCGTACAACAAGCTACCATGAATTGCTAGTCACATACCGTTTTTGGCAACTAGCAAATTCTTCTGGATGAATACGAAAATACAGCGAATTATTCTTTTCTTCGTAATCTTTAATGAGACCAATTTCATCCGCATCAATTCGGTATGGATGTACACAATGATACTGTCTAGTATCCGTTTTGACTGTCACTGGTGTAACTTGAATATACAACTCACGTGTCGGATCACACCATTTCCGTGAAAACTATTCAGACGAACATTTCATGTGTGAAGAGGGCTCAATGAGAGGCCGGGTGTCGCATACCTGAACAGTTGGATATTCGAAACCGTTTTTATTTCCAGTTCGAATGAAACGATGAGCTCGATTTCTGTTTGAATCTGTTTCGCAATGATACCGCTCACGGTAACGTGATTTGGGCTGTGCGATTATTCGAAGTTTGTCGTCATCAGCTCCATCTAGCTGATTGGATGGTGTATTGTTGTCAGAAAGAGGCATTTCTTGAGAATTATACGAAGGTACGGTATCTAAACTATCTGGTTGAGGATAAGTATCTCCAAGATAATTTTGCAGAAAGTCCTCATCATTCAAAAGAAACTGAGACTCCAAAAATGGTGCAATGTCTGTTGGTGATGGATCTTGTAATGGAGAATTTGAATTACTACCATTACTTGTACGAATACCAGGAGGAGTTGGTGTTGAACCTAGACAAGAAAATATTCTTACGGAAAATCCGACATGTGATATACTTGTGCATACTCGGTGAGGCTAAACAGAGAAATTAAATCATGAAAAATAATTAACTAAGTTTGTGAGTTGTAACTTACTCAGAAGCTGATTGATTGCTTCTGTTGACGGTGAAGGAAGTACATCATTGAAGTCTAAAGGCGAGAAAATAACGAATAGCTTAAGAAGGATGTTAGGAAGTGAAATTTACTGTAGTCGCCGAAGCTAAACATTGATGTGAGGAATTTACAGTCCTTTGTAAAGTGAAATACTATAATACAGAATATTTTATTAATGATTTTAAGTAAATTCAAGCTTTGACAAGATAAACACGGTCAGTAGATAGTTATAATGTGATAAAAGTACTGTATGATGTCGATAGAAGGAAAGCAAAAGAGAAAAACAGCGTCTAGATGGTGAAAATAGTCGAAAGAACGAAGAAAAACAGAACGAACAGACAAAATGCTATTTTGGTCGACATAAATACATCATGGATCATGTATGAAGATAGAAAAACATGGTCCTGTTAGGAACAGGTATTCTCTATAACTTTATAAAGACGATGAATCTACGATAAAAACGCAAATGCCTATGTATGTTGGTCATCGTGTGGTATTTTGGTTGAAATGTTTCGAATGAAAAGAACATGCTTACCTGTTTTATACAGTCGATTTGTCAACAATTATTAGTCACACTATATTTTGACAGAAAAGATCCCAAGTATTAGTCACTATGCAGATTTCAATTTATTTACATTCGTTCGTCTCGATTTTCGACGTCTATGATTCATTCTGCCCAAACTTATATCAACACATGTCTATACTACTCATTGAAAAGTAAATGTAATAGGACACTAGTTCCGTTACTGTATTATACTGACTCACATCAGCCTGGCATATGTTTATATATGGGAGACATGGTATAGTCGTGGGTAATTCCCTTATCCTTGTCCCCGAGAGTCAAAGATTGCCTCTAGAACATGACTGATAGGATTATTTTATGAAAACTCAAGATGAGCTGTTAATCACGATATCAAGAAATCATTTTCACGTGAAATATCTTTCAGACATTTTTCATAAATAACATAGTGACATCTCGAATAAAATGATTGGTACCAACGAAAAGAATAGTTTATTAGCGTTCACTCCATTCTTATAGCCGTGACATGCCGTATCATATAGTGCATCTCACCTGTTTTTTTCGAGAAATTCATTTTCAAGTGTAACTATTCAGAAAATGAACCTAAGTCATATTCAACAGGAGAATATGCGTCTATGAATGTTCTCTTTCAACTGCATACTTGACATTAGTCTGAGTGGGAAAAATAATATATTTTTATTCCCACCTGTAATACTGATAACAGGTTTTTTTTTATAGAAACATAATGTATCGAGAGAAAAACGACGTAAAACTCAATTGTACCCTGTATTTCCTGTGTACTAAGTAGAGTATCAAGTACGAATCGAGAAGAATTCTGCGTACACGTTCGTTTACTTACCTTTTCGGATTGATTTATCGATCGCACTTAGCGAAGAAAAGTAACAATTGTAATATGTAGTTTGATGGAACTTGACGATGTTTTTGGTTACATAAATCTACCTGAAGAACAAAATAAACGGATGCTTTGAGATATAAACGAGACAAGAGCAAACATATAAATCAGTGTAACTTTACTCAAAAATAAACATACCAATGCGTTTTGAGTAAACAGTTATAATCAAAAACAAATAGGAAAATCAAGATGATCAAGTGCAATGAAAAATGGAAAAGTCTTAGGAAACACACACACACATCTGTTCGACTAGTCACATCACAGAATGTTAATAATACGGCTTTACATCAGACAACAGTCGGCATCGCTCGGTCCGGTTTTATTGGCATCTGGTAAACTTTCATCGAAGAGATTTTGTTCACCACCAAAACCTGGTAAACCTGGAAAAAACGCAAGTTCTTTCGGTGGATCGCCAAACGTTTGCAACTGTTGAAATTTTTGTAAAACACGTTGAATCTGTTGACCTCCGCTAGATGTACCCTCGTATTCACGACATATTTCTTTAACACATTGATGTTGTTTGGTATATCGCTGAAATTCTTCATCAGTTAGACTTTCTTTATTCTTAATCAACCATTCTTCGTAAGATTCATCAACAGCTTGACATGCAGGTAACATGACATCTTTTGATAAAATACTTGACATAAACAAGTTTAATTGTTCGACATGTGGTTCATTAGTTGCCGATGCCGAAGCTGAATTTGTTGTGTTCGACGCGGCTGTTGGATCTGGTTGATCAGCGAGTTTTTCCAGCGCTTTTTCAATATCTTCATCTTTAATTTGTTGTAATAGATCAGCATGTTTACCCAATTGAGAAAATAAGTTGAATATACCGGCACTATCAGCGTCAGTTTCATTCGTCGCTTCTCCTAGGCCAAATGGAAAATTCGAGAGAAAATTCGGCAAGGACTCGAGTTCATTGAGGAATTTTTCATCATTGAAACACATCGCTTCGAATGTCGTTTGTAAGGGATCTGATGGGGGTGGGGCAGTTTCAGATGAGCTTACAACGGACTCTTTCTTTACTGCTGACGGTGATGTTGAAGTTGCTGATGTCTCTTTAAAATCTGTTAAAGCATCATCTAACAGATTGTCAAGTGCTTTCGGGTCATCATTCGATGCTGTTGATGTTGGTAACGGTAAATCCGACATATCTACAAAATCATACGTGTTTCTATCATTTTGCTTGTCAATTATTATTATCATTATTATTATTATTATCATAAACAAAGAAAAACATTATTGACTGTTGTCTTTTGTCGATCAGGAGGAAAAAACAAGGCTGTCATTTGATTTCTTTTGTACAGTAGAAAAAGAAAAAGAAAACGAAGAGATTCGTTAAACACAGATGAGTGGTGCTGGGGAATAAAAGCATAAATCATCGTTTTGTGTTGTTTCGTGTGAAAGACAGACAAACAAAACACAAAAAACTGTCTGATTATTTCCAAATGAAGCACATTTAATTAAATAAAACATGTACAGAAAAGAGAAAACAATATTTTGAGAAGACACCGGCGCAGGAGTGGGCAAATTAAAAAAAACGAAGCGAAAGAGATAAATTGATACGTAGGCGAATGCCATTCAATGAGAATAATGAAAAATAAATTAGTTTTGTCCAGCACCAAGTACTTCAGCACGTTCTTCTTCATTTAAACCAAGATGTAGTGTCCGGCGTACTATAATCAACAAAGGAAACTCAATGATCTGATTCTACAAATATCGAAGAAGAATAACAGAACATACGCGAACGTCGTTGAGCACCATATCGTGCGGTTTTACGCTGTTTAAGAGCATCTCTCGATGCGGTTAGCGTTGCATTTTTAACAAGATCATCAAGCAGTTCATCACTTGTATCAAATGCATCAGTTTCATTCGGGTTAGCCGATTGTTTTACACTTAATGTCGATGGAGATTGTACAGCAGGTTTTTTCAATGGATTACCTAAATAGACAAAAGTATTGACCGTATACACACATGAAAATAGTTCTGTGCATTGTTAGTAACAATTTAGGAATTGACCTTGTATATAGATTACACTATCTTTACACATGGAAGCATACATCTTATTTATGTTTCCGACCTTGACTTTGTTTGTATAAACTTCAAGCTTCATTGTCTGATAAACACAATCTCAAGAGCAAGCGTAAATGTTAGTTTCAATCCTGGTCGGATGTAAATTTCTAGGTTTAGTCTAGGAAGATTAGATGCTCAACAACAATAATAAACATCAATTCGAGGTTATTTATATTTCATTTGTCTTCTTAACATACGTACCAGTAGCTTTTTCTCGTAATCGATGGCCAGGCATCATTGTTTCTTGTCTCGACGCACTGTTGACTGCAGCTGCTAAGCCACCTGCTACACTCGGTTGATTTCCTTGTGGCTTCGTTCCCGTCGATGGTCGACGAGCTGATAGATCGTTGTTCATGCGATTATTGGTGGGATTGGTCTTCTCGGCAGCACGTTGATAAATAAATTCAGCTTCGTCATCTGTTCGAGAATCATTAGGTATAGCATGTTTGAGTAAACCACTCTTCTCTGGAATAATCTATTGAAAAAAGAAACAAGTCAAACATCGAATGATCCTCAGATGCGACCTACTTCTGTGATCAATTTGCCACTTGTTTTATTTCGTTCAGCTCGTGTTTGTTTCTTTTGTTTTTGCGTAGTTATACGATCACGTGTTGTGCGATATTCAAGTGCAAATTCACTGAGTATTTTACAAAATGGTGTTATTTTTGTATTTGGAATCAATCCGCGAGGATAACCGAGCCAAACGAGAAACTTTTGGAAACGATTTATGACACGACGATGGATAAGTTTCAGTAGACAGATGCGTTCGGCACAATCAGTCAAGAATTCCGCCATTCTACATTGAAAAATAGCAGATTTAGATAACTTATCAATCGAATCTATTTCGAAAAATAAGCAAGAATTATTTTTTTCATTGTGAAGCAATATTCCACCGATCGAAGTGTGTCGTTATGATTGTCAAAGAGAAAAGCATGTGAATCAATGTATATACATACGTGACATATAATATTTTACCATGTACTTCTCTGAAAATGGGTTTTTCTTACTATTAATATATATTTTTATAAGAATTCGATGTTTCTATATGTCAATCGACTGTCGAAGTTCGATTCAAACTACTGATATTGCCTACGTACTTTGTTTTCACTTGTGGTGTTTCATGTTTACTGATTGCTCGTAGATGATCGAACGCAGCTCGACAATCGTTTTCGACTTTAGTTAATTTTTGTTCAAGTTCATCAAAATCCACCTGAAAGCAATGATTTCGAAAATAAAAGGAAAGTTTCGCCATGACAAAATTTACTTTTGAACATCGCGTGATTTGTCCCATGTCAGAATAGAGATCACTTGTTTCTGGATATCTTTCACAAACGATATTGCAGACATGATAGAGTAACGAATGTTTGTGAGTGGTGTCTTTCACTTCGACAACTTTGGAAAGATAATCAAGTTGAAAACCAAACGACTGTAAAATTAATATAATGAGAAACGAAACTTCTTTGTGAGAATGATTTACTTCGGTGCCATTGAGATAATTGCCAACAGCAAGAAGAACCTCCAATATACGTCGAAGTGTAACATTTTCCTTCAGACTTTTGATTCCAACTTTCAAATCCATCAATGGTTCAGCAATTTCCTGCAAAATATCGTATGGTGAATGCTGCAATCTCAATTCATTTCTGTTTATTCGAACGAACCAGTTCAACGTTATCAAAATCGAGTTTAAACAGCCAGAGTTTAAGTCGAGCTTCGAGTTCAACGATAGATGCGAGTGTTAGTAGAAATTGTTCAGCATTGCCTAGTGGAATATCTGTATTAGCCATTTGAGCTTCGATGATTTGATTCTTCTCTTCTTCAGTTGGAAGCATTGTCAATATTTTCTGAGCGAAACAAGAAGATCGTTAATGAACAGAAATCATCGATATTGTTTTCGTGTAAACTTACTTCAATGCCCTCTTTGTTAATAACACTGCTGTCCATTTTTAGAATAGCAGCTTTGATTGTTCGTGGTGTGGGTAATACGGTTAAACCAATATTGATTGCATTTGAACGTTTTGTATCCAGCACGGTAATTTCTTTTTTCACATCGTTACCTTTCTACAGATTGGGAAAAACAAAAGAGGAAGTATAGACTAATGTGTCACAAATCTTGTGAACAGATGTATGTCCCGAAGAAGTACAAGAAGGGCGTACACATCAACACAAGGAAAATAACAGATTTATAATTATAAACATATGTACTGTGTGAAAGCAGGACCCAGTGTTAGTTATTTATATCGATAGATAGATATACTAAGAAAGAAAGTAAGGCTATTCCTAAGAGATAATGGAGTTCTTTAGAGTATAGGGCACAATATGAATTATATATAGAACATCAAACAATATTTGCGAAGTATTAATATCACATGACGAACATCAAGAAGTAGTAAAGTTGTCAACAGAGATATATATGGATAAAGAGTTGGCACTTACTGTTTCCTGTTCCGAAGAAAGAAAAATAGAAATTAGTCATATGCAGTCGCTATAGATCTTTGTTTTTTTTTCCTTTTCGACAATGGCAAGAGTATTTCATAAGAAGTGCGATGATTACCTTAATTTTGACTTCAGTTTGTTTGACTTCGAATAATTGCGCTAATTTATCCGTATCTAATTTAATGTGAGTCATTGATGTCCATAGAGTATCATCACCAACCGATGGATTAGGTGTTGGGTTCGGAACTGTTTCACGCCAGTGTAAACGTATAGTTTTGACAGATTTATTGATTATTGGTGCCTTGGGTGGCGGTGGTGCTGGAGTGGCGCCGTTGCTCATACCCATTGGTGGTGGTGGTGGTGGTGGTGCCATACCTCTGGGCATGAATGGAGGTGGAGGTGGTGGACCACCCATTGGAGGAGGTGGCGGCGGCGGCGGCGGTGGACCACCACCTCCCATCATCGGTGGAGGAGGCGGCGGCGGAGGTGGACCACCACCTCCCATCATTGGTGGTGGTGGAGGGAGAGGAGGACCTCCACCGCTATTCATCATTGGCGGCGCAGGAGGAAAGCCTGGCCGAGCACCAATTGTAAAACCCATGATATTTGCATCATCTCGTTCATCTAATTCTTCAAAATTGAGATCTTGAACAATTAGTTTTCGCGAGAGGACTCTGCCAACAATAGTTTCCCATTGAAGGTCATTATCAGTACGAGGTTTCGATAGTAGAGCGTCAGGCATTTGAGCAGACAAGCCAACACCAGGTATTCCAGGTATTGGAGGTTTTGTTGTTGCTTGCTGCAGACCTATTGAAATATCACATGTCGGATTACACATAAAAGTGCCTTTGCACGCAAAACTCACTATCTTTAGCACGTGTCACAGCACCCATAAGTTCTGATGATGGTGTTACTTTGGTGTCTTTGACTGCAACCGTTGGCTGAGCATTGATTGTTGATGCATCATTTCCAGTCATGGAAGACAAACTCATTTGTCGTGTTACTGCTTCGATGCCACTGCTGCTAGTCGAACTTTTCTGATGTGCTAATGGCGGTCGTGAAAATACTTTGGGTTCATTAGCATGGGGACTTTGTGGTGGCTGCTGTTGCTGAGAAGATGACGATGAAAGAGAAGGAGTCACATCAACAGGAGCTGGTGGACGCGTAAAGCGGCTGGACGGAACAGTATGACTATCACCAGTTGATGGTGGTGGCGGTTTAACTTCTATAATGGATTTCCATTCAAAGCAAACGATCAAGAAAATGGTTGTTTATTTACGTGGCTGCTGTTGACTTGATCGGTTTGTGTCAGTGGATGGCACTGCCTGAGCATCATTAGTTGTTGCTGCTGCTCCCCAACGATCGCGACCGGCACGTCCTGCTGCAGTAGCTTTTGGTACTTGAGCTTTAGCTGCGGCGGCTTCACGTTGTTGGGTCTCTGCTTCCCAACGATTTTGCATTCGGCGAATAGCGCTGCTATCTGGCGGTGGAGCTGCTACTTTTGGACTACGTAAAATAATGGACTTTCAACAAAACTGTGATTCTCGTATAACTTACGCTTCTGGTTCTTTCTTTTGAGGTGGTGGAGGTGCACCCAGTGAACTGCGTCGCATACTCTGTCGGTCATTTGTCGCACTTTTCACACGTGCTTTCCTTCTATGATAAATGCGTAATGTTCAAATGAAAAAGTGAGAACAAAGTAGCAGAAGCGATATCCGTACAACAAAAAAAACACACAAAAATTCTGTGCTAGGGGAAATGATAAGAGTGTGTTGTAGAAATAAAGCAAAGCATACTCATCACTATTATCTTCATCATCGAGTAGTATGGATACAGCATCGCATCCATTCGATGAAACAGTCATCTCGTCATCGTCATCATAATCTGTTTGTAAGAGCACCATTGGGATTGAATTGAAATGCTTTTCGCGATGATTTCCGTTGCGATGATTGTCAATAATTAAACTGTCTTGTGAAGCGTCGTAGTAACCATTGGAATCACAATCAAAAGAAGAATACCGACGCGATGATGTTCGTTCGAAAGTTGACTTTGTGCGTGGTACACGTCTATTTAAAGCGATAAGCATGGGGCTTTCTGTGTAAGGAATACAAACATGCTGGATTCAAATGATCACAAATTCTGTGAAGCTGCTGTAGCACAGTTTAAGAAGGGAATGGCTGAACTGTTCATCTCAAGGCAAAAACTGACTTTGCAAAACGAAAGCTCTCAGAGGATTCCATTTTATTTGAAGCTATCGCCATCATATTCGCATGCATGATAAATAAGCAAATAAATGTCAATGATCATACCGTATCGATTGAACAACTATTGCCTCGTCATCACCATCTTCATGTCGAAGAGCAGCCTAGACAAAGATCCCCATTCTTGAAACTCGAAATCAAGCTGGTCGATACACTTACATCGTATATATTAAACTGTTCAACAAGATCGGGTTCTGCTGGTTTGCGATTAAGAAAAAATTGTGTACACCGTTGCATTCCTTGCTTTTCCAATGCATCTGTCATGTCATAAAATGTATCTTGGTCGGGTATAGCCGATAGCACTGTATTAAACAATGTAATGATTAATAGAACAACTTCTGATGCTGAATTGTCCATTTCATTCAGAATCTTCATCGTATTTGACCACAATAACCGTTTGGCTGCTCGGTCCACATGCGTTACAGCTGATAAGATCAGTAGCGCATTTGTTTCGGTGTATTCGGCGAAAACGATCAAAAGTTTTAAACTTGTTTTAACCACCAATCGAAACTAGAATGATAACAGAACATCAGATCAAACATCGTCTCATCTTTCATCTCGTACACTTGATTCAACTAATGAATAAAGCCATTGAACGACTTCATTTTGATTCATCACAGCGTTCATTCCATCAACATAAAGCATCAATTGACCAAGAGCTGTAAAATGAAAATGAAAATATTCGGTTCAATGAAACACGGATCCAATTACCTCGTAAAATGTAATTTTGATAGTTCTGATCAGCTGCTCCGCCTATTTTCACCAGACATTGTAAACCTTGATTATTAACAAATTCATGTACAAGATCTTTATCATCCTTAACAAAACAAAAAAAAAACAAGACAATATGGCGAAACATTCGCTTCCTTCGAGTTTACTTGAAAGATTTGTTTCAATGAAAATAATGATCGTCGCAACTCTCGTCCATCAGAATTTAATAATTTATCTAATGAAAGAACACGAAATCGAGTTACACTGAATGCAACTACTGATTTTGTTTTCAATCTTACCTATACAGGCATGAACACGTACGCTTAATTGAGTTCGAAGAACAATTGACCATTTGCGTCTGAAATTTGAAAGAATAGAAGAAATGCAATCTGGTGATTAACACAGTCAGACAAGAAAAACGAAAGGGCATATATTATGATTGATTGATAATAATAATAATGTAGGCAGAGAGAGAGAAAGATCTAATGAACTCATGTGGACCAATATAAACATGAAACAGAACAAACCCTTCTGTGAAAGCTTCAATATCTTCACGTTGTTCGTCAAGTGCTTGATCAAGATCAAGATAAGGGCCGAGTTCAGTTCGACTTCCATCTTGACGGCACAATTGAAGTGTACAATCAGCGACCTAGAAAAAAACATCTCGACATGTGTCAGTTGATAATTGATTTTTCATAAATTCAAGCTTTACTTTATGAGGTGCATTGAGAACTTTATGTATGCTACTTAGTTGATTACTTAAAACAGTCGATGTTAGAAATGTAAATGACGGCGGTCGAGCTGGTTCCGGTAGGTTTACACTCGAAAATGGATCAGTATCGTCAAGATATTGTACACGGCATTGCAACGTGGATGAATTACCATTTAATCCATTACTTTCACTATAAGTATTCGTTGTTGATGAAGCTAATGACGAATTCGACATTATGTTCGATATTCGAACAGATTCATTTCAATTGATATCGTTTGAAATTACTTGTCCTACATTATCTAAAAGAAAAATAGTCTTTCGCGCATTGTTCTCTCTTTAGTCTTATGTCTAAGTAGATTAATTCTTTCGTGCTATTTTTTCCTGGAAAGGTCAAGTAGGAGAAAACAAGTTGAGTAAAACATAGATATATGAAATGAAAATTATTCATCGGAAATATCTTTCGTCAGAAGTATATTCTTTTGCCTTTTTTTTATGAAACTCGAAGGACTTTTTCTCTCTGTTGTATGCATCAAAATGGACGTCAACATAAATATATATCAACGAGGGAAAGGCAAAAAAATGTTCTCCTAAGCGGACGTAAACAGTCTATCTTGATGATCAAATGGAGATCAGCAGTATAACAACAAACTAGAAGAGAAAAACCAGTAGGTATCCCGATAATTTCCTCTTTTCTCTTTTTCCCGTTCTGTGTTCTTCCCGTACAAAAAAAAATACGAGAAAATTATGCAATGAAAGTACATAGAAGATTCTTCGTTATATACATACATGTATATGTATATGTATACGTATATAACACTCGACAGAACAATAGAATCCAAGAAGAAGAAAAGAAAAATGACGGCGTTTTGTACACATTTGCTACTGAGTATAGAAGGGGAAGAGAGAAAGAAAAGCTTATCTTTCTCCATGCTTCCACTCTACTAACATCTCTCATCTTACCTCCTCCTCCTCCACACATACATACATGTATGTACACGTACAGTGAAGCATAGAAGAACTTGCTTTCTTTTCTCCTTCTCTCTTTCTTTCTCGCTCTAATAACAGTAGTAAAGAGGCGAGAAAGATGTTGTTGTCTGCGTATTATTAGTAGAGAGGAGTATAAGAAGCATCAAACAATATCAGTTTCTGACTTTTTCGTCTAACACGACGATTGATATTAATGAACAACGAGGCGAATAGAGTCATCGAGTCAAATATAGAACTAGTGTTGACGACAAAATGTCTTTACACATCAAAAATAATACTACCAAAAAACAAATATTCGTATAACAGATTAGAACAAAAACAAAATCTCTGTCCGCACTGTATTGCAAGCACGGGAAACTGAAGGCAGAAGAAGAAAATAGCAGACGATGTCAAACAGTGTTCATATGTAAATGACTCTTCATCAATCGGGTATAATTGCCTTTGTCTAATAATAGTCTGTCGTATAATCTCTCTTACCATCGACCGATGATCACCTTTTGAACAAAGGAATTCAATTGTTGAATTTATACATATTTATATATGTCTCAGAATGAGTTCGGTCATCGGGAGTGAATTCTTTCTTCTTCTCGATTTAATAACGAACTTGACATATTTTCTTTCTGAACCTAGATAAGATTTCTGATAATAAACTGATTGAACGAGATCGATACCTCTATCCCTAGAAAAGAATATCAACAAATATCCAGGATTGATATAAGCAAATGATGTGCTAGTACATCTCTAGAGACGACATCTGATATAACTGATGACATATATTGCGCCATATTTGTACTAACTGATACTCTACAAATAGTATGAAATCAAGGTTTTCTTTTTCCCCTTCTCTCTCGCTCTCATTCCCTTCAATAATATCTCCTCGAAATCGATCAATATTGATTATACAATCAATAGACCTCGGTTTTTTTTATTTGCTTTTAACACTTACATCATCATCATCACACTTTTTCAACGGATATCATTCGAAAGATAAATAAGTTTTCTTCATAATAATCGAAATTAATTAACTACTACTTTTCCTTTCGAAGATAGATGTTATTGTCGTTGTTAGAAGAATAGATAATAAGTACATACCAGCATGCTGTGATCAATCGATTATTGACATTAGTGAACAATCATGTTGTACTGCTCAAATACAACACGATGGATTTTTCACAATGAAAATATCAAAATATACGATTGATGAGCACCTACAATCCGTTAAAAGCTCATTTAACGTGTCTCTAAGACAATTAACGATGCATGAAGAACGTTTGATTTTATCATCTATTGAATTGATGTCGACTATCAAGGATATGATGAAAGAAAATGTTACATATATATCATCAAAGACATGCTATTTTTTTGTTTAGATGTTATTCATTCAAAAAGACTTGTTTTTTATTTTCAGTCTTTATTCCAATGTCAACGATATCAATCAATTTCTTGATAACTTATCTTAGAGAATCAAAGCAAATAATTTTCATTTCCGGGTAATTGCACGAGAGAATTCATTTTCAAACATCGATGCTCGGATGTTAAAGTTCAATAACGATCTATGTGTACACAAAAGAAGTCCTTTCGATTTCTCAATGACTCCGCTCTGGCGACAGGAGTAAAGGGCGACTCAAGTATATGTAACAAAAGATAATAAGATAAATAAACCATGTGCTTATTCTTTCACCACTAGTTGACTTTATTTTAACTGAGCAAAGAATAACAATAACGAAGATTCACATTTCAGCATATCAATGATTTCTGTTTATTTATCTTATGAAATAAATATACTCCTAGGTTCTTAAATATTGGTCAAGAAGTCATTTACAGGATCAGATAGCCATATCCTATACGCGTAACACATTCTTAGAAACAATTCAACTCTCTTGGAAAAACGAAAGTTCATTTAGCTAAGATGTAATGATTCTAATCTTCAAACTGATCAATAGTTCAAATCTCATCAGGACCTGTTGATCATTCTCGCTTGTGTGTGGGTTACGATCTCATAACATATCTCTATAAAAATAAGTCCAAAGTATACTTACAAGCAATTTTGATTGGTATCAAATGGCGAAATGAATCATTAATCGTCGATCCATGTGTCACTGCTGTTGTTTGTCTTATTTCATCTAGATGAGAAAAAAACAACGAATTTTTTGTACGTCATTATTTCTCTTTAACTCTATTTACATATATTATATATGTATAGACGATCCGAAAAGAGGCAGAGAAAAAAGGCACATAGGAAATAGTGAAACATCAACTATACAAAAAAAGAACATTAACACAAGAATAAATCAATCTGTATATATTTGTTTTCTGTTTCTCAGTTTATTGATATTGATTCAATGGTCGTAACTTTTTTATACGCTTCCATTCGCCAGTCGTGGTATTCATTTGAAAGAATGTTTCAGCAAAATATTGCTGCGGCTGACCGGTATTTTGATCAAGAACTGTTTCACCTTTCTCATTTAATTTTATTGTAACAACTGGATTATCGGGGACGTTAGCATCTGCTGAACTATCTATTCGAATAGAAAATGGAAGAACACAAAGTATTGAGTAATGCTGTGATATTATCTATACATACCGCGAACACCAGCGATAAATGAAAGAATTCGACTTTTGTCAGTTCGTGTTAAACATGTGCTCGAACGAAATAGGTCACGCGCAAATTCGATTTGTTCGTTCTACACAGAAGATATTTATTAAATGATTGCACATTATTTCGATGTATTTACTGTTAATTTGAAATCCGTTCGTGTTGGCGAAGTATTCAGAAGTAAATCTAAATCAGATCTGTTGGAATTCATATTATTGTTATTATTATTGTTGCTATTTGATGAATAGCTTCTTTCGAAACGTTGATGATGAAGACCATAGAAAAGATCATTCGATGCATCTAATTGAACAGATTGATTTTTTGTCATTGAAACAAGTTACTACGTACTAAGCATAACAGGGTTCGGCGTTGCCGGCATTTCGTTGAGACTCAACGGTGCATAGGTCGCTGGCTACAAATACAAAGTAAACAAATGTTTAAAAATAATATCAAAACCGAAGCGCACCGAAATATAAGGAACGTATGGTTCAGGTTGTGTCGGAGTAGATGATTCTTGTGGTTCGTGATTCGCTGTTACCGTTGTTGATGAAGTGTGAAGTGTATCATCAATGGTGCTGTCTAACCGGTCGACGCTTGGTTGCTGTGCAGTCGCTTTCTTACTACGGGTAGATTTCTTCTCATTGGTATTATCCTCATCATCGACTATATAAAGGCAAACGATAAATCTCACCGTGATCCACCCTGATATTGTTTTGAGAAAATGACTTGCCTGATGGTTTCTTCCGTTTTTTGTCGTTTAACGCTTGTTCCTCTTCCAATGAGAGTAGCTAAAATGAACGATTTAACGAACTGATGCTACAGCAGGAACAGCATTTTACTTTAACATTTCCTTCGCGCCGACTGTGTAATCGTGACGTGCCAATAATACCTGATGTAGCGCTAATAGGCGTGGATTTGAGAAAGCCAACGTTGGACGGTTTTGGTGTGGAACTTGATGCAGAATAAAATGAAGCTAAATAAACAGAAGATTAATTCTGATAATTTAAGTATAGCTGAGCTATTGTTTTACAATATTCATCAACTGATCGTCGGGATCCAGTGATAGCCGCATAATCTGATGTTTTCTTTGTTTTGGATGTTTGAGCGCCTACAAAACCTCGAAGATTTACCGAATGAAACAAAAGGTTATCATTTTGAGACTTTTTTCTAATAGTTCTTGTCTGATTCGAGCTGATTTAGCTTTACGTATAAGACTAAAGCACTTTGGAGGATTTGGAATATCACCAGTTAACATTTTTAATGCACTTCTTCCTAAATAACACGATTCCAATGGGAGATGTGTAGTATCATTATTTTTCTTGACTAAAATAAATCCGTATTGTCGAAATGATATGAGAAGAATCTGACGAAACAAACCAGTTTTCCGTAGTTCCTGTATGCCGCTGGTAAAACCTTCGCATTCTTGATCGGTTAAATCAAGATTAAACAATGATTTATCTGGAAATGTTTTCATTATTTCACTAATTACTGCAACCCATTGATCGCCTACACTATCTTTTCGACTTAATTCGATGATATCATTTAAGAGAGTTTCCCACTGAAAAGAACATCATAGATGCTTATCGTGTTTGGAAAGGAAATTTTTCACTTACTTCACTAATATTTCGTTTCGGTATATGAATGAAGGAGAGCAATAGCTTGATTTTTACTAGTGTATCTAAACTCCATAGAATCGATTTAATCGACAACAAATGCTCTTGTGTGAGCGTTGAACTGATGCTGAATGATGACCATAGATCAGCATGCGAGCCAAGTTTATTATGAAGCCAAAAGGCAACGTCTTCATCTTTTGAACTTGTGTTATTTGTAGTGGTTAATGCAGACGTCATTGCAATATGTCTAGTCTAGTAAAAGAGAAATAGCTCACATAAGAAGAAAAGGGCGCTTTGAACTATATATTTTCTGTTATTTAAAACAAATTATCAATCACAATCACATATGAATGAAGGGAAATAAGTTGTCGAACGGTATTAACCAATCAGCGTGGGTCACACTATACGTACTAAATCTAGCGACATCTTTAATCAAAATTAAACAAATTTCAAGGAAAATGCAGCACGTACTATACGTTTTTAACATTTCTTATTGAAATGAGCATTCTATATTCTTTAGATATTCTCTTTTTCTCAGTTGCTATAGGAACTAATATGGCATCTATTGTAAGAAATATTCATTTGAAATCGCTGATCACTTCTAAGATGGACAAGATTCGACTCGGAAATATTGCTACGAATTCGTCGTCAAATGACATGATGGATAAAGCTAAGCGTGTATGGGATATGCTCGATGAATTAGCATCAAGTGATCCAACAGCTTATAAGTAAGTTTCGTGGGTAAGTAAGGGACTTTGTTTAGTCTCTAGTACGATTTCTTTTGCATGAATTCTTCATGTAGAAGTTATATTCAAAAAACGCTTAAAGAAGGCAAAGAATGGATGACACCGCCAACACCGTGTTTTGCAGTTCGATCCGTCTTATATGTAAGTTTCGATGTTTACATCGAAAAATTCAGTATGTTTTGTCCAATTTAGAATAAACCAAATTTCGAAATATTCTATTTAAATGTATTTACTTGGAATCGATTGCCAGCTCCGAACAAAACTGACGAGGCGATCAAAATGTATCCAATCACACCGACGGAAACCTCATTCGATAATGGTAAGCACGATGAGATATTTGGAAACTACTGATCTACTGCATAGGGTTGTATATTTAGAATCTTGCGTTATTTTTAATGTGGCCGTTCATCCAAATACGATGGAGACGGCTCCACAAGAGCATCTAATTCAATCTATACTAAATTTAGTCATATCTGAATATAAGTTACATGTTGATCACGAGCAATATTGTTTCCTCCAGGAGAAAACAGCAGGAAATCTAAAAGAAATTCAACGACAATTCCTTAAGCCAGTTTCAAAAACTGATCAAAACGACGATAATAATGTCGAAGCTTTTGCCGATAAAGATCTAAGTCCTTCGTTAATCAAACAACTATCATCTATAACATTAACGAATCAACCATCATCATCTAATCAACAAGAATCACATCAACCGAAGAAAAGTGTCAAACCGCCCGTGCTGATTGAAGAATTATGGACTACTCCTGTATTTACCGAAGAAATTTCAACCAACAACAAATCACTAATTATTCGCGTTTCACTACCTGATTGTGAGAGTGTAGTTGATTGTGATGTGCTATTTCTACCAGAAGAAGAAACTATACAAGTGGAATGTTCGAAACTTCATATGCGTCTCAAGCTTGATATGAAGAAACGCAAGAAACCAGACGTAGCAGATTCCACTAGTATATTCGCTATCAAAAGTTCATCGGCGAAATTTGTACGTAAAACACAACAACTGGTTCTTACTATTCCCATCATTGTAGAATCGAGGACAAACGTTGAAAATACGTGACGTTTATTGTTTCAGATTATTTTTGTGTTGAAAATAAACTGATACAGGATTAAATTAAAGGCATATCTTAACTTTCGAAAAAGTTATTAGTCATCAAATAATTTATTTGAGATATTCCAATCAAATTGAACGTTACTACTAGACTTCCAAATAAATGTTCGTTCATTTTACTAAATTGAGATTAATTTTCTATTTATTCAGGAGAAAGTACATCTAATATATCGCTAACGATACGAAGAGAAGCATTGTGAGAAGAAGAGGAAAACTAGTTTTCTTTTCTCGATAAAAAAAGAAGAATTATTCATATAAACTATCATCGTCCAAATCACTTTGATTTGAATGGCGTGCATGTTCGGTTGAATAAGACATGGCGTCGTTGTCCTCGTCTCTTCGCATAGTTTCTTCTCTGAACGTAACCAAACTCGCTTGAATGGCTCTTTCCATAGCATCATCATCATGGTTTTCTTCTGTGTTTCGTTCATTAATACCATTAACATACGTGGAAAGACTATCGTTTGTTGTCCATTGTCTTGGTATTGTTTCTGTTTGCCGTCTTCGTTGTCGTTCATATCGTTTGAATCGGATGTGTTTAATTAAACGATAAGTTCCATAGGTTGGAAGAGCAATTGTTGTTCCAACAGCTAAAATTGTCATCGCACCAACAATGGCAACAGGTACGGCTAATGTTGCAACACCAGTAACCAATCCACGCACTGTATGACGCAGAATGGGTTTATTTGGATATAAATTATATTTACATCCCAATGGCGAATATCGACTGTCGTGTGAACCGAAAAATTTTACGCCTAATCTTCTTCGGCCGCAGCTATAACAAAAATCACATTGACATTTTGAACAAATCATGTGTGGACAGCCACCATTTCGCGAAATATAAACCTAAAGATAATTCGAAATGTAATTAACTAAATGTGTCCACATCTTCAACTTACTTTACAACGCGGGCATTTTTGTGCATTGTGTTGATTTTGATCGATTTGGGAAGCCCATAGTCGAAACATTTTTTCTCCTTTTTGATATTCTTTACACGACATCTTCTCATGCCAGGGTGCATGACAGAAGAAACACCATTCGAACTGGCATTCTTCACAAATAACCTGTCGCGGAATGGTTTTTTTCCATCGAATACCTTCAACTAAACGTTTATCAATTTCCTTGATTGAGCAACATTTCGGACACGTTTTTATGTGCAATTCACCATTCATATCCGCATAAAACTGTTTGTAACGTTCACTCATCTTTCCATTCGGATCGTTTTTAGTCAATAATAATAAAATTTCTTCGTGCGTGAATATATGTGAACATGACGGACATAAGATCCGAATTCGACCTTCATTGATGTTTGTTGACAAATGAAGTTGAACACAATTTGAACATATCGAGGATGAACAACACGGTAACTGATCATCAGTTGAAGTATCTTCAAAACATATTTCACATTCAACTAGATTTTCTTCAGGATATAAATCATGTAGGACTAAAGATAATCACAAATTAACTCACAATAATTTTCAATTAACTTACTCAATTGCTCCGACTGATTTATTTCATCATAACTACTTCTATCATCATCGTCATCATTGTTTGGAATATCCGATGGTATAGATTCCAATGAATCATCATTGGATGAGAAACTTTTCAATTTGTCGAATGATTGCTTCACAGAATAATAAGAATTTTTTCGAAGTTTCTTCAAAGAATCAACTGAATATGATAAATTCCTATGAATATGAATTTGCTCATTTGAAATCATCGAATTTGAAATAATATCCATTGGAATTCGACGGATAGGCGGAGTCGTCGATATTTCTGTCCATGATGATAAATACTCATCTGACATGATTTGCTGCTTGTTGACAAACTAAAATGAAAGCATCAAGTAAGTCGATATTGCATATTTAATCATTGAGTTTGCTCGACACTTCTAAGGATAAAGAAGAAGATTTATTCATTCAAACACCGAGAAAGAGTAAAAAAATCCTTCGCTCACCTAATAGATGATGAAAAAAAGCCCCAATGAATGTCTCACTTTGATCTTACTTTAACACAAAGAACTGAAGTTTAAACTAAACTTGTCTATCGATAATGTTAAAAGAAAGAGAATGGTTCATATTCAGAATGTGTCTGTTTTTATTTGAAGGTAGAAGAAAACGAAAAAGTTGAGCAAACAGAAATGTTCACCGATGCGAAACATTAAAAAGACTTTTTAAAAGACAACTGAACAGGAAAAGTTTGAGCAGCACTTTTCTTGAAGGTCATTCGACACTTTTTTTGTGTTCAATGATAATTAATTGATTTTATCTGAACAATTAATTTCATATAATTGATAGAAATCATTTAGCCTTTTCTTTATGCTCAGTTGGATTCGAACAACAATCGATCGATGAAGTCTAATAGTTATAAGAGGCAACAAATGCGTCTCAAATATGCAGAAAACTATATCAATCGATAAGTACGAGTCACTCTCCTTTAGTGGGAATGATTTTTAGATGCTTACATTTCATCAGCTGCAGATAGTAGAAGTGTAGAGACAATGCTTTTTCTGCATGATTTTCTTGCTAAAATTCAATTGTTCTTTCTGTAGATGTACAAATTACCTAGAATTTAAAATGAGTTTTCTGATGCTAACTATAATATGTAAGTAAACAATGAACGCTGGCTAGTTTTTGACTTCTTCATGGTTAGTTGCGTGAGTGTAAGAAGGAAAAGTTCATACATATGTCATCATTGGTTGAATCGAGTATTACACTCGATCTCAAACAACCTCAGAATCAGGGAATTAAATAAAAGAAAGATAAGAATGCTTGTTCGAGACAATGCATTGACTTGAAGGATAACTTCGATTTGTTATTCAATCCTCTTGAAGGTGAAATAATCCGAATAGGAAGACATCGTTCTTGGAACCTGTGATTTCAAGTAGTTTCAATAGTTCTAAAAGAACATAATTATAAGATTAACAAAGAGAAATTTCAGAGAATTCGTTTGCATAACGTACTGTTTGACTGTAGTTGAAGGAAAAGTTATGATTGGGAGTAGAGTGTAAAACTACTGAAAAATCAGGAAGAGACTTGAGGGTGGGTGTGAGGGTGCGACTGAGAGTAGACACCTTTACTCCCATCTTCTAGTTTAGACACCAGTAAAAGTGTTCGTTAGTTTTGCATCAACCTAATACATTACCGTTACTCATAATCATAATGAAGTTTAACGAAAGAGAACGAGAAATAAAAAAGAACGTACACTACGGTTGATGCTTACGAAATGTGTGAACTTTATTTGTTTCATCTAATTCATATTTTTCATATAATTCGAGAATCAGTACTTTATAATTAGACTTTGATGAATAAGATATTTGAAAAAGAAACTGTAGGTGAGCTTTCAGTTGTCTGTTTTTTTCCATGGTTGTGTCAATCTTTGAATTCGTCTGCATCTGTTTATCATGTTATCTCGCATGCTTCTATTGAATTCCTTGTCGATTTCTTTCAGTATCTCGGTATATACCGCTGAATTCATCACATTTTCATGAAAAGCTGGTACTAGAACAGCTATTGGCATGACTCACTATTTGAATTTCGTCCAGTTCGATTGCTTTTCCCAAGCCAAATCAAGATCGGACATGAACTTCTTTTTGCAGGTGGTGAATCTCGATGCGCAAGAGACGATCGTCGACAATGAGTTTGTACATGTCCATCTGCAGGAAATCTCGAGCATTCTCGACGGCGTTTAATCTTATTTTTTTCAACAACGAAAGTGTCACATGCTGGAGATGTTTCAGCTCAAGATGATTCCGATGAAGAGAGTCAAAATGGGTCCATTTGATATACTGTCATTGTGATATTACTAAATATCAACGAGAATAAATGCTATACGAATTGATCTTCTCTTTAATTACACCCTTTCGTCCACACTCAAGTTTCAATTAAAAAATATGCTGTAACTTTCGATTATTGATGGTTTACCTCGTCAAGCAGAACCAGTTTATTTTTACAAGACGATGTGAAAACAAAGAGAATCTTTTCTACAGAAATCTATGTTCACTACCAATTGGATCGTTGTCTCCTTAATCGATTGTACATCCTATTAGATTCACCTGGTACATGATTAGCTCCTTCTATTATTAATGAAAGTTATCTTTTTTTTATTGAAGGTACAGCATTAACATGAACAAATAGTCCAATAGTTGGTCGTTGATGGTTTTTTTTCTTTTCTGACTCGTTAAAACTCTCATTTTCTTTTTCAATGAATACCAAATAAATATTTGAGACAATATATGATAATTACAAACGAAGCAACACTTCTCGTGGTTAAAACTGCAATACAAGTAAATGATTTTGAGATTATTTTATAAATAAAAATTCTTCTTGTTGACCGGAGTGAGCATGTGGGTACAAGCATCTACTCTTAATCACCCTCACTCTACTGAAAAATGGACAGCTTGAGGATAAGCTTGTAACAAAAAGGACTCTACAAGATCTGTTAGGAAAAAATTTTTGAGAAACTCTTTTTTAGGGGAGACACTATGGAATCACCCTGCTGTATATCACGATGTAACTGAATTCGAGACTTTGTACACAAAGATAGAAAAAACATGTCCTCATTCGGAGAAAACTGATGTTCTTTATTTTTCTTTGCGATCACAGACGCATTTAAAGTTCAATGTTTAATATTTACTTCTAACTCTCTGTAGCAAAAAAAAACGATATCAAATGACAATGTGTATCTATAAACTTTTTCTATGATTGTTTTGAATATGAATGACGTCTTTTCTTGTTTTAGTAAGAGAGACTTGATCATATTTATGACACTCTTTATATTTTTATTTCCGAAGTTTTCATTTGAAGAATCAAACAAGAGCGATTTTTACACAGGCATTCACTACCAGGGCAATGTGTTTAGAGAATAGCTGTGACGAAATTATTTGTTGCATTTGTGCATCGGTGGGTGCTCTACTTTGTTGTAAGTCATAATTAGCTTCATACGATTTCGGTAGTCATCATTCCATTTTTATTTTAGGCAAATTCTGTGTAAGTTTTCTTGCTTGTTTCCAATCACCTAACTCGTTTCTTTCTGTGATCTGTTAGAAAGATCGAGAAAATCGTACGAGCGTTCATTACTCTTCATCACCTCCGTAAGTGTTTTCGAAATCGTCGATCGGTACTGAAAATGCGTCAATTATCTTTTTCACAGCCTCTACCGTCAACCTACTGGTCGTTTACCTGAAGAACATATATATGGTCAACGTTTATATCATCAAACACCATTGCATCCTGAACATTATCCTCAACCGCATCACATACCCTACGATTATCCTATGCGAGGAAATCGTATACCACCATCTCATCAAGGCTATACTCGTCACGATCTACCTTCACTGCACGCTAAACAACAGGCTGTACTGTATAAATGAATGTACGAAAACGGCCAATAAATATAACATGTCTTTGCTTTTTGAATATTGTTGCGCATTCAACTGAATTATATTCGAATATTTTGAGCAAAGATAAAAGATAGAAAGAAAATGTGAACTTTTCAATAATGATAGTTTTGTTCCGGTTGGAATGAACAGTCCATTGATGCATTGGTATTCGTTATCCAAGGTACAGGTTGGCTTGATGAATTATTTGCATGTTTTGCTCGAAGACGCGCTTGTCGGCGGCGAAAATCACCTCGTAGAAATGCATCGAGTGAGGCCGGATGAATGCTCCAGTAATAACCACGACCGCTTTCTGCTTTTCTCTGTCGAATAAAACATTCATTGAGAGATAAATTGTGTCGAATAGAGTTTCGCCAGGCTTTACTATGTAATGTTGCAAAGTAAGGATATCGATGAATAATCCAATCATAAATATCCACAAGTAACATTTGATACGTCGACGATGATAAAATAGCTTGAGCAATAAGAGCTACATAAGATTCTTCGGGTTTAGCAAGCGCCTTTTTCTGCTTTGAACACCCGTAAGAATAGATCGTATCCAGAGGCGGACTGGAACTCAGATATCCACTATCTTGCGGATTCATAGTGTAAGTTCAAATAGACGGAAGAAAAACAGTATAGCACAATTGTGGTTTATTTTGTCAGATCGTTTCTCTTATATATAAGTAACGTTCTTCTCTATTCTTGTTCAAAACAAAGAGAAAATTGTCGTTACAGTGATGAACTATCACTGCTGTGTATAGGATTGATTAATCGCATCGGTATTAAGGTGGCAGATTATTCATCAATTTGTGTTGCTCTCACGTCAATAGAAGAAAAAAAGTGTCATCAACATATCGATCGCTGATCAGCTCGATAGAGTGATCACATGCAAGCTGCCGCACAATCATCTACTATGCTATCGATCCCACCGTTGATAGATAAAAATTTCCATATCAAAAGTCCAACATTAATATTCGATTACTAATTTGATTTCATATGATTTTTCTTCCATGTTGCCATGAAAGGACAAAATGAATGAAAGCGTACTCGTCATTGACTCAGCTGTACAGGAACACTGCCAGATATAGATCAACAGTACTAGACGATAGTATTTGTGGTAAGTAACCGAAAAGGAAATGAGCTCTTTCATATAATGATATAAATACTTGTACGTCTATGAATGCATAGAAGGAAAAGCAGATATGCTATTATTGTTGTTTATGTTCGTGAAATAAAGATAAATATTGACAGTATTCTAGCGTCTACATTGCATCTAAATGATGCAGAAGAGACACTTTTGTAGTATAGTTTTCGGAAGTCAATAGTACTCTCTGAAGACTTTGCTGTAAAGTACATATTCCGTTCATGAAAGTCGAATTTATTGAAAAGAACAAAACAAAATCAATGACATTCGATTATGGATATTCTGGTCGATATTGAACGTATTGACTCAAACGGTACGGAAGTTCACGCGTGATATCTTCAATATTTCCGTTGAATATGCGTAAGTAATGGATAATCAATCGCCGACAAATTGATTTAAGATTCAACTGATTTGGTAGAACGACGATGGATATTTGTAATTCTTTTCCGCCGTTATTTTTTGTCGTACAAAATGCCATTCGATTTGCAGAGTGAGAAAAAATCGGCGTTAAAAGGTTTCGACACATATGCAATGAACAGACATGAGAAATTAGTTGAGTATGAATACGTTTCAAGCGCTGTAATGTATTAGCATCGCACACATCAAAATAACTCAACGGTAATGTCTCTTCACAGTGACATCGTGTGTCGGCGAATGTTAAGATTATATAAATACCATCCGGTGTATAAATCATTGAAAGGAAACGAAAACCTTGATCGACAAAAATCTGTTCGTACGTATATGTTGACCATGTATGAATATTCTTCAATGTTAGATACGAACCAGTTGATTGACGTTGTTGAGCAATGATTTGTCGTTGGATTTTATTTGAACTACTAGGAGTTAATCGTGTGGTATTATAATTGATAGTTGTACTTCGGTTGTATGTCGTATGTGTATAAATAAGCATATGAGATGACCAATAGTTTGGTGTAAATTGAAACTGAGTACGACTATCAATCGGAAGTATTCGTCGATAGATTTTCGCTTCTTTCTTTACAACTAAATAGAAACAAAAAATGCCGGATACTTAACAAATTTTGAATGTAAAAGGGTACTTTTATAGAAATCCAATGCGGTTGAATCTTCGAGGATCGGTACACGTACGATGACTTGTGTTCTATCTATCGACCATGATGCATGGACTTTACTAGCATTGACGAGTCCGTAATAATCATTATCTAATGCGCAGACATATCGATTTAATTTCAAGTCTACAATGATGAACTGTGTTTTATTGAGAATAGATGAATAAACAGATAACATGATTGTATCCCCATGATTAAGACCTGACTTCGAACAACCATTGACAATTCCATGGACCGAGTAATTCTGCAATGAACTAATCATTGCTGGAACGTGATTATATTCGAAATGTTGACGTAATTTTTCACTTTTGACTGATGAGGTTGATAATGATGGAAGGATCGATCGTGATGTGGAAAATGGACTTTTTGGTGAGCACCGGGTAAAGTTGAGATGAAGTTTCCGAGACAACGATTCGGAACAAAAGCCGGGTGCACAAACACTATGAAGTTCTGAATTACACGTGAACGTATGTTGCACAAAACCAAATAACTCTTCGAATAAAAAATTTCAATTCAAACAAAATCTACTTTGACCTACGAAATTTATTCACCAGAAACTCCATGTATCCATTCAGCATGTGAACATCGATAGATTTCTTGCCAGCCATTATAGTCTGTTTGTTGGTTCACTTTGATTGTCAAAGGAATGAATGTCTGCTGGGGATCAGTATCAGTCCGAGAAGATTTTATTTGATGATTTTCTTTGGAATTATGTGTACCCATAATTATTGAAGGTATCCTTGCAATGTCGTTTTGAGTACTTCGAAGAAAATTTGATCTATTGCAGATAAGAAAAAAGAAGAAATTGAATCTAATTTTCAAGAGTACTCAAATCTACAGTTAGAACTAATGCAATTTCTGTCAATAGAATTGTTAATATTGCCGAAAGAGAAGAGAAATGTCGATGGTTTTCTCTCGACGAGCATGTAGGTATTGGCAAGAAAGAAGAAAACAAAGAATACAATAAAAAAAAAGATCACAGAAGAAAATCTCTAAAGAGAAGATTTATGTTTCAATCTAGCAGACATAACTTTTGATTATTAACAATAAAAGAAACACAAAGACAGATGGACGGACTGGCGTTTTTTTTCAATCGAGAGGATTATTAAGTTAGATGAAATTATTCGATTGATGTATGCATGATTTCAATCAATCTATTGGGATGATTCGTTGAATGACGAGATAAACCGTATCAATGCAACTACGAAAACAACATATGTAATGTTGTCGATTAGATCGAGTTTCTTTTCCGTCGGTTTCTCTGTTAGAGACAGACGCAATTATTGTTTAATTGATCTGCTTTGCAAAATTTATCAAATATGATAATTCTCTATTAGTTCTTTGAAATCTAAACAATAGGAAACGAAGAAGAAAACTTTCCAGTGTAAGGAAACATTTTTGACGCGCGAAGAAATAGAAAAAATGCTTGTGATACTGTTGATAAAATACCAAAAGAAAATCTCATGATAATTTCAACCTAGTTTTTGTCTCTCTTTCTATCTATTGAACATACATCATTAACCATGCATAAGGTTTTTCTTCCATTTGAACTAATGATGATAAATGAAACCCAAGAGATAAGCGAGGCAAATAAATTCACTCAAGTCAAAAGTTATTTTTGTTAATTAGACTTTTCTCATAGACAATCGTCGTTGAGAGTTAATAGCGATTAAAAACCGCAGTTAACGTCACACAAAAGTTAGCATTCTATCGAGATTGATCTGGAAGATGGACGTAAACATTCTGTCAGACTGCTTCGAGTCTTAACGAGCATGACAAAAGGATTTGATCGATATCGGAACGATGATTTCTCTTACTTTTATTTACTGACTAACACTTGCCTGTGTAACTATTCTAAATGTACTGAATCGACCATAATCATATCTTTCGTGGACTTGGATGTAACAAAATGTTCTTTTTGTTGCTAGTTTTCCTTCTCAGTTTGACATAATACTCTTCCTTCGACAGCATTGCTTTTCTCTTTTGTCGTCGTGCGTTCTATTATCTTCGAATAGATGAGTCAGCTGCTGCTTATATACAAACTCGATATTTTTCCCCTAGTCATTCCGAACAAAACAAATATAATAATAGGATTGCTACTGACGTCAAAGTTTTCCTCTGACTCCCATGAATGTTTCTTACACCATTAATGGTAAAATTCAATTGAAGGAACATATATGTATGCACGTGAAAAGTTCACCAATGATCGGAACATATTCGGTATAACTATAGAAGACACAGATCAGATACAATAAATGTCAGAGATGGTATTCAGTATTGCATGAGTTAACTGCTGATGAAACACCTAATTGGGAATGTATATACTGGGATGTTAAAATTATCTTTCAAGTAGTAATTTCTTTCCGAGATCTGAATAATTAAAAGCACGTGAAATATAAATAGCAGTCGGAATGTTTTATTTGAACGCTCGCGTTTGAAGTCAGTTTTGTCTTTAAATGAAGGAGAGTAATGCAATATCAGAGTTGCTAATTTCATCTACAATAGTGTCTCGGACGACATGATTCTTGATGAAATTTCTTTTCAGAAGTAGACTAAAACAAGGCAGTGACCCGATATAATCAATACGAAGATTGCAGGTGTAATTAGGCTATGTTCACACTATCACTGTCTTCCACACAGGGTTCTCTGGACTAACAAAAGTACTGAACTCAATATTTCGTTTACATAATACTCGGAACGAATGCATTGTCTTGCTCTCGTATGTTCGAGATTATTTGAAGTATACTTCAATTTATCAGTGACAATAGTTGTTAAATGTGCCAGGTGTACATACAATAAATGTTTGTCGCTTACCAACTCTCTTTTACACCTTATGTTGTTTAGCTTTCTCTTCGATGACTCATTCTGTATTTTTATTGGTTTGTTCAGCAATTATTAATAAAGATCCTAATTAAAACAGAATATGAAAATGAATTTTCTTGAACAATCATTACACGCAAGATGTTGATTATGGTGAAAATCATTTTCCGACGACGAGAAATCTTTGTTTCTGATTACGCCATAGCAACCTACATTGCAATGACAAACCTGATTTAATCCTCATGCAGATTTGAAATAATTCCACTTGTTTTTCTTTCTGTTTAAGTTTGCAGTTCAAACTGCGTTCTCTATGGCGACAATTCCAAAGAATCGAGCTTCATTTTCTGCAGCACCCGGTGCTCTGCTTTCTATTCCATATTCAGCAACACCAGGTGAAGTGAAAAACTTCGATCTTAGTCTCTCATCCCTTGACACAACAGCAATCACTCCTGAAGATCCACCGTATCTATCGAGCCAAGTAATGCAACTCAAAGTTTATGCATCAAGAAAAAGAGATTATCGAGGTTTTTCTTTTCTATAGTTGACCAGTGCAGAGTGGATTCAACGATATGGATTGAAATCGCAGAAATTGACATTCGATCAAATTCTACAACAAATCGGATACAAACGACTTGAAAGTGCGTTGCTTTTCTTATCTTTCTATTCCGTGATAAAAGATCTAAAACGATGATAATTACCGCAATAGTGAAAGCCAACAAAGTAACATTTGTAAGGCTTATTGAAATTTTCATTTTATCAAGGCATTCATTTTTGTCATTGTTTATTTACGAAAGAATCACTATGATCAATCGTAAGGCATGTACAATAGTACTGTAAGGTTTCCTACTGTTAACTATGTCGTTTTTCCGATTTGAGTGATTTTCTTTTCCCAAAAATTTATTGAGTGTATCCAAGTGGTTGTGAACATGAACTTGAAATCACATTGAGTAATAGGATTCTTTCAAGTATAAATTGTCATTCATTACCTGAATTGACTAAGAAAGAAAGTTTGAGATTTAGTGTAAAGAAATTCTTTCAAGGTTAAAATCACATGAGAAGTAAAGAATAGAAACTAACGTCTGTGATTGAACTGTCCGCCATTTCAGGTTTTATTCCATCGATTGGTAAGAGTGTCGGTGCCAAATATACCGGTAACGAATATCGTGAAGTACAACAGGATAATGGTGATCATTATATCGTACGATTGAACTTTTTTGACATGGATTTTCTCTGAAAGGGATTATTTTGTTTTGTTAGTTGACATGTCGTCCGGAGAAATTACGCGAATTTAAGAATCACCTGGTACGAATGTTGAGTCTATTACGAAAACGCTTAGCATTCATCACCAGTGGATCACGCCGTGTGTTTGGGATGATTGGAGAGCCGAGTGTATGTTTTGTATGCGATTGTAAAACAACAGATCATAAACGATTTAATCAATTTCAATCGACTGTAACGAGTTTACTTAAAGAACAAGTGTCCAAAATCAAACGATTCAACATTATTTGGTAAGAATTAACTTCAAGAACGTGATCTACATTCCATTTGATCTTTTTTTTCTCATCCAAGGGTTTCAAATGATAAGGAAGATTTTCAAGAACGACCTGCTGATGTCACTTCCACCACGATTGATCAAGCTGTAAGTTCGTAACAGATACATTTACATAATAAAAGAATACTGTTGTATTCAGATTGATTGGATTACTGCTCGGAGTTGTGCTCGAAACAAGATCTCCATCAGTGCAACATGTGAGGCTATGCTGCGCGCTTTCGCAAATTCTGTACATATTCATCCATCTCGTTCGTTCACAATTGAGTTCTCTTCTCCTTTTAGGTGCATAGTATATACCTGATTACCGAAGGCGAATCATCTGATTCTGCTCGTGAAATTCTACGTGATAATATTGTCAAAGCACGTCTGTCACTAAACACGCCGATACCTGTTCATGTCGTTTCGTTATTCTGTAACAACAATGATACTGAAACCTTTCTGCGTTCTATTGCTAAAACGACCAATGGCAAGTGTGTACATTGATCAGTCATTTCTTCTAGTGTAAAAGATTTCTTTTTAAGTTTTATATCATACAAAATTCATCATGAAAGAACCGATTTAAGACTATCGACGAATGTCAGTGATCCAACTGGAATTAAATTTCAAAATAATACTTTATTGATTGGCACAAATACCGCTGCATCGCAGCCTGAACAACCAATTGATTTATCATTGATGTATAAAGAAATCAATCAATGCCATAGCGTCATTGATCGGATAGACAAAATTCTTCAATTTGTTCAAAATGATGATGAAAAGGCCCTTCAAAAATACGACGGTACCGCAGCGCATAAGAATGAGAGAATTTTCCACTGATTTCTTAATTTTTGGTTTTCAGCAACAAAATTATCAAGTAGAGCGAGCGCAAATACTGGTGGTAACAATCAACAGCGTAGTCTCGTTATTCAATCGTCGGCTTTGTTCAACTCGGATGAAAATGAACTGTCATCGAGTGAATGGCTGAAAGCCTATGGAATCGATGCACAGAAGTTAGATGTTGCTTCTGTGCTTCAACCTGCAGCTTTTCGACATTGTGACGGCGTTATTACTACACTAAATCCGCCACCGGATGCCGTTGGAAAGTATGATAAAACACCTGCGGTGAGTATAGAACTCTCCATCGAGAAGTCAAATGTTTTAGTAAAAGTTTCATCGACGAAATGATGTCCATTTAGAATGCAAAATCTAAATTGATCAACGCGAAATACTGTGATCAATTTGCCCATATAACTTATCCTGATGGTACTATTCGGCATGTTTTCGTGACAACAGATATGCATCGGTATGCAAATTCAGTGTTGCATTTGAATTCTTACGGTTGATTGATTTTTTTCCAGAGATTACGAACGACGAATCCAAGCTTTGCTCGAAAAGATCAAAGCGCGGTAATAGACGACGGAAGGCGAAACGATAAAAATCATCTTTTGGTTTCAGGTTATCTTGGCTGAGAAAAGGCAGTCGCGATCTTTTCGGTACAATTGTTGAGAAGAATATCTATATTTTAATCGACACATCAGTTAGTATGAAAAATCATTTAGAATTTGTCAAAGATAAACTTCGTTTATTAATCAAAGTGAGATTTCGTTCTACCATCTCTCGAACTCGATTCAATTGATTATATATTTAGGATCAATTGTTCTCGAAAGAACGTATCAACATGGTGGCATTTAACAGTGTGACAAACCCTTGGCGTGATCGTTTAACGAAAATTACTGATTCGAAAACAACCACTCAACTTCAGACATGGATCGATGAACTGTATGCTGAAGGTTCAACAAATACTTTAGCTGCACTTCGTTTTGCACTTGCTGATACAGTCACAGAAGCGATCTATCTGTTAACCGATGGACGACCTGATCAGGTAAAGTTGCATTTGACATATAACTTGTCTGAACGATTCGTCCTTCAGAGCGAACGGCATATTCTTTCCCAAGTTCAATACCGTCAGAAAGTACCGATACATACCATTGCATTCAATTGTCAAGATCAAATTGCAAACCAATTTCTAATTGATTTATCTAAACAAACAGGTGGCCGATTTCATTCATTCAATTACGGATTGGGCGATGAACCATCACGTGAAATACCGGAAGTAATTGACTTTCTTTTTCTTAATCTCTGTCATATTTTAACTATATGTTTTTGCGCAAAACAGAGTGAAGATGTTATTAAATTGAAACAAGAATTAGCACGTGGTGAAAAAGAACTGAAACATGTAGCCGATTTACGGGATGAATGTACCGGTCGTGCATGGTCGTTGACTTCCATCGAAGCTAAATATAAAATTCCACAACTGAGTGCACGTCCCGTTTCGTTACCGATGCGAACACAGAGCTCTTTAGATACGGCGTCTCGATCGAAGATTGTTTGTGAGTGAAGATTTTATCTTTCAAATGCCTTTTTTCGTACAACACTTGCAATTGAAGAAACCGAATGAAAAAAAGAAAATGAATTCTTCTTTCCTTCAGTCAGTCTCTCTTGAAACCTTTTCCTCCTCCTGTTCACATGTGTTGCTATGCGACTTGCGTATGCAAGTCTTGTAGTTGTTTTTCATTTCTTCTAAAAATACTTATCATTGCTTAGCGTCAATGCCACATCGTCTAGATCGGAGAAAATGTTCTTCCGCATTGTCGAGTCGTAAACAAAAGCCAAAACCAGGTAGAAAATACAAAATACCGTCATATTTTTCTCAGCACTTTCCTCTTATAGGAGCAAAAGTTATCGATCGAACAAGTAGAGTTTATTATACACCCGATCAGTGGCTTTTGCCAGAGACAGAAGAATACCTAAGAAGAAATGATAAACAACACCATCACGCGCCTATTGTCGAACACTACGAAACACAACTAGACAAAGACAATTTATCCCCTTCCGAACCAACCGAAAAGATGCCGTAAGTTGTGTACTATCAAAAACCTATTAAAATATAGTTGTTATCGTTGATAGAACACCTTATGATGAAGTGAAAGCTTATTTGAAAAAGAACAGTCTGGTCAACAGAGGTTTAACCATACTCGATGTTCTCTATCCAACGTCCATCACAATAAGACAGCCAACATATGTACAAGTGATTGATCGTCATGTTTTGGCTAAAGTTTGGGACGATGTAAACGTCCTCATCTATGAATATTCTTGAGCTCAAATCATTCGTTCTGTTTTTAGATTTTACCATTCACATATGGATCACATGTTAACAAACTTCGATTAGTGAATTGTTACGCTGTTGATTTGGAAAAGTACGAATCGAATTTGAAAGAGCAAATCGGTGATTATTATAAGTGAGTTGGAAATTTGTTTCAATCATATCATTTGTTGAATGGTTTCTCTCAAGATTTACTTCGAGATTTATTTGGGATCATTTAAGTGATGATGACAAGAGAACGTAAGTATTTAGTCACATAAGTCTTTCTCATCGATTATATTGAATATATTTGCAATTTTGCAATTCGATTAAGACTTGCTCCAAGTGTTTATTGGATAACTTTAACAGATGAAGATCAAAAGGGGTAAGTAGACCAGAGACATTCGGTATTGATCATACTCATTTTAATATATAGATTTGCTCAACAAATAACTGCTGATGAATACGCCAGCCAAACGTAATAGATTTGTATAGTTTTAATCATCTGTACATCAAAATATTTTCATTTTAGGGCTTTGGAATTATTCGCTTGGCGTCAGTTGAGTGATGATAAACAAAATAGGTTTGCATTGACTAAGACATGTTTCTGTTAACGATCTGATTTATTAACTTGTTGTGCATTTCAGCTTCCTGCAAAAAACACCGAGCTATGGTGATAAGACTCAAGTTATCCTAAAGAATGCACTAAAAAATACCAACGATGAGTCAGCTCTTGAAGGAGTTGCACGCATGGATACTGAAATAAAACGAGCAGTCAAGTTCTTACAGATTTCAACAGATCTACGTCAACATCAAAAGCGAGCTGAAGTAAAATCCTGTTCTTGTCTTTTTAAATATCGATTACCTGACCGCATTATCGTCTTTAGATTGAATCGAAATCAGTGGTTGAACAACATCCAGTTGTTAAGACAAAACCAGCCAACCATCGACATATTGGTCAACGTGTTCTCTGTCGTTATGATCCAGATGGTTATTTCTACAGCGGTACATTACGTGCAGGTTTAGACGGTCGATTGATGGTTTTATTTGATATGGACATTGAACAAGAAGCTATTGGACATATTCTCTGGCCAAAAAATCATTCCAATAACTATTCAACTCTATTTTTGAATGATTGCGTACTTGTTCATCAAATGAGAGGTGATGAAGAGTATTGGACACCCGGTTTAGTCATGGGTCTTCCGGGTGCTTTTGCTCTACCATCGAATACCTATATGATTCAAGCACACGATCCAATGTCCAAACATGTGAGAATAAAATACGAAACTTGGTACAATGTACGAAAAGAGAAAAATAATCGTTTTAGATCTACGCGCACCGAAAGGATCTGGTTCGGATAACCGTAGCATTATATCAACGAAGCGTTCTCTATCTTGAACATATGTAGTAAGCGTTTTTTCTAGTCGGTGCCGCTCAAATCTCTTATTTTTATTTTAGCCGAAGAACAGGGAGACGACCTGCACCAGTAGAACCAGATACACCACCAGTTCAAACGCCAACTGATTCTCAAACTCAAGGTATAGTATTCGTTCAGACATTCTATTTCGAAACAAACATTTCTATTTTTCTTTCAGAGACTCCTGGAGATCTTCTTAGCAAACTAGAAGAAAAAATCGAACGTTATAATGAAACATATCGTACTCAATATGAACAATTGTTAATGGTAAATATTCAGACAACAAAAATCACGACTACGATATTTTCCTTAATTAGATGCAAGAAGATCATACGGGAGCGATCCGAATTTTACAAGAAGACGTGAAAAAGCGACCACAGTCGGCACTAGTCCCAGCGGCGAAACCAAAAGTTGAGCGTGTAGTAGATCCGTCACCACCACCACGACCATCAAAATCGAGGACGAGCCTAAAGTCGAAACCAAAACCAGAACCTGTAGTAGTTTCGCCATCACCACCACCAAAATCACCACGCATTGAAAATGGTACAGAAGTCTTTGCAGTGTGGTCTGAAGATGATGGATTGGTTTATAAAGTACGTACAACGAAATCACGATTGATTGAGATATATGAAAGAAAGAAGGAAGGAAAGAAAGAAAGAATTGTCAATTGAGATACAATTACATTTGATCAAAAACAAAACTTCCTTCCGTTTAATGAAAACCTAAGTGAGCGTATAAGATTGAATTACATTGCAATTAAGCTTGACGATAGCAGAATCTTTTCTTCTATTCTTAGTTCTTCTCGATCGTTTTATCCTCCAGCTAAGCTTTAAGATCGATAAAAAGTCATTGTAGTCAATATTCAATGCTCAAAATTAGATCGGGTTTCCTTTGATTGAACGAACAAATTATTGTTTGTTCAGTTCTTTTGTATTATATGTAAGAAAATCAATGAATGAAAAGCTTCTGTATAAGAGAACAAATCACAAGAGATTTAGACTATTTGTGATTAGAAAAAACATATTTTTCTTTGAGATTTATTATAATCAACGGAGCGCGTAAACTGTTGCTTAAAGCAAGCACATGAATCTATCACTTGTAAATCCGACGCTTTTCTTTCATGCTAGATACAACTTATAATCGAAGTTATAGAGCGTGCTTTTATGTTTAATTTTAGAGCATTGTGGAACAATCGGTTGATGAGGATCATTACCATGCTGTTCGTGACGATTTAGACGGAATCGATGGTACTATCGCACGTAATGACATATTTCTCCGAGAAGATCGTGTTCTTCTCAAAGACAGGCCTGTAAGAAAATCAATCATAATTATCCTTTGTTTTTAACATGATTTATTGTATTCAAGGAGAAATCATTTGCATTTATTCAATACCCTGATGATAGTCGTCACTGTTTCTGTCCAGCCGTGATCCGTCATCAAAAAGGAAGCGAAACAACCGTTCGCTTTTATGATTGTCTCGAAACAGATCTGGATAGTAAAACAAAAGTCATACCGATCAACGAAAGTCAATTTGAACATTATTCAAAACTACGTATCGGAAAAGAAATATCTCTCTTGAATCAAGTTACTGTCGCTTTCAATAACAAAACTAACACATTCATGTTAGGTAGAAACATCAAATATTTCCTTTTCTCAGTTCGAATTAAGTCATATCTCCATTAGGTACAATTAAAGAACGTATTGGACTTGGTCATACATATACTATTGAATGGCATGATGGGCGTGAGGGTAAACAAGACGATGAATTTTTGTTTACAGGAACATTTTCACGGCCTGATAAACACAAGAAGGGAGATTATGTTTTGGCTGTGAATGAAACTAATTATGTATACGAGCCAGCTAGAGTGATTTCGGTTTCGCCCGATCATAAAACTGTAACAGTTAAATACATCGATGTACAGAATGAAAAAGAGGATAGTTCAAGAGCAGAGTAAGTAATTTGCTTATAGGAAAGAAAGCCAAACCTAACTTTGTTTATATTTCTAGAACACACATCTCGGCAACGGCGACATTTATAATCAGTAAAGACCATTATAATAGAATTTTGAAGCTTTATCGTAAGAAATGACATTATTTTTCTGTATTTGAGGAAAAAAGTGACCCTTTATTATTATACACAAAATATCCGCTTTTCTACTGAAATAAACATGTCTATTGACAGATGAATGTCTTTTCTTTTCATTTGTGCATATCTATCTGTTTATTCGTAGAGTGAAGACATAGAAGATTCGTAAAAAGCGTCTATAAAGAAGCATTCTCGATCATTTACACATACCATTCTCGAGAATCAACACCATTTTGTTCATTCGTGGTTAGCAGTTTCTGCCGGTGATGATTGGATGAGGTTATTTTACCACCACAACCGGCGCTTTCATGATTATCCAAATGCGTATTGATAACAAAGTTTTTACTTTCATCTATTTTATATGAACCTTCATCACGATTGCGATATTTAACGAAAGCATAAATAATGATGATGATTAAAATCACACTAGCACTGACGCATCCGACCAGTAATGCTATATTAAATGTTCGACTTGTACCCCGTTGTGTCGTTTCGAAAAGACTAACATTTGAAAATAATGATGTTGTTGTTGTTGAATTATTGTAATCGGTATCAACGGGAAGATTATTTTCATTCGATGACATTAGTGTAGTAATAGTTGAAGATAATGATTGATCGACAACGGAAAGAACAGCATTTTGATGACGAAATGATGAAGTTTGTTGTGGACTGACACAACGTTAGGAAGAAGAAGAGAGCGAAGAATAGCAAAACCACTTGATGAGTCGTAAGTAGTTTGTTGATGTTCACAATAAGATAAAAACAAGAACTACTGATTGGAAAAGTAAGAATCGTTTAAATATCTTCAAGTTAGAGGAGCAAATCGAGAAGAAATGCCGTCTCTGTGTCACAGCAGGACTGCAGATACCTAATGTCAGAAAAAAATGAATAATGTGTTTTTTTTGGTATGTGAAATCTTATTATTATAACAGAAAATATTGAAAGGAGGGAGAGGGAGAGAGAGCGAATAGATCTTAGTGTTGGCAATTGGATAGAACGACAGCAAAGGCACAGCTAGTGGAAAAGATCCTTTCACACACACGCACTCTCTCTCTCTCTCTTTTTCTTTCTTTTCTCTATCTGATATTTTTTTTTGTCTGCATGTAAAAAGCAAACGACAATGCTCGCGCATGGCCCACTGTTCCTATTACTCAAGAAGATGACGAGAAAGCAAGGACGACGATGTAGAGGAATTATAATAATTTTTTGTGACGCGAACAAGAAAAGAGGAAGACACACGCACACCACATATACACGCAAGCGTCACTACAGAGAAATAGAATTCTATCACATCCCCACTGTAACAAAAAAAGAGAGAATGCACATTCACTAACATACAACTCGTGTTTTATGCCGCTATTTGACTTTTCCGTAAATAAATGCTAGTTTCCAGTGCATAAAGTGATAGAAGAAGGAAAAATCTCAACGGCGGCAAAGTTGTATTGAAATGGCGAAACGTTTAACAATAGCATACAGACGACTGTTAGGAAAAACAAAACTTAATTCATCTGTTTGCGGCAAGGTTTAGTCTTGAAGTTTTTCCGCATATTCTCTTTCTTTTTCAATCTTGAACATATTCATTGGCACTCGTGTAGATGAAGTGTTTCCATTTTATTCAAGATGACAAAGATAACTACAAATAAGAACAGACAGCTTTGGATAAATCTGCTAATTAAATCAGTCCTATCTAACACTTAGTTGACTCTAATTCATCCGTGTTTATTTGACAAGAAACAATTTCGACGAAGTTTTTCGATGACGAAGTTCCTTTTTGGAATGGTCATTCAATCAAATGAATTCATCCAAATGCGTATATAGAATGTAATCGAAGATAATGCTGTTTCGACTAAGACTGAATCGTAACAGCATTAGACTTACTCGTTCGTGTGCTTTTTTCCATGCTGAGTACGCCTTCCGATCAGTGGTAATGCTTTGATTCCCAAGATGAACTAGACATTGATTAATTGAAATCTGTTTGGATAGATAAGATTTTATCATCTGACAAAAAACCCTTTTGCTTAGAGCGATTTTTTCCTCAATTTTTCTAACTTGATGTATCAACAAATATCCGTCGGTCGATGCGAACTCCGACGATGAATATTGATATCTCATGTGAAGTAAAAGTGATAATTAGAGTACGCAGGTGCAAACAATTAGATTTCATTTAGGGAAATATTAGAAGCCGACGACACATGTAGGACACAGATGGTGAAGGATAAGGGAAACAGAATATCATTTCATTAATGGAGTCTGTCTGTGGAAGGTCATACATGAAATATTCTTTAGAGAGCAGATTATTTTAAGAAACAAGCACTTTCCTTTGTTACAATGGTTATGTAAATGTCTAATGAATTTGGTTCCAGCAGGACGAACGAAGAATAGCTAAATGCGACGTTTGAATCGATCTATTCTTTACTGAATTGCTTCATCCTATAGAGCATGTGATAGAATACTATTCACAGGATTAGTTATTAGGCGAGAAAATTAGATCTAAATTAAATAAGACGAATGTAACTATGATAGATAATATAAAAGTACGCGATACTTGTCATACGTCATTACTTTTTGCTGTCTTCTAATTAATCTATCTAAAAGAGCATTCATTTGGTTTTGGGAATTTGCTGGGAAAATGAGAAGTAATCGGAGGAAGAATATTCAGTCGAACGATGAAGTATTGATTTTGTCTGGAATGTGATGATCAATTGTTTCGTCAATATTTTCTGAGTCAAGTATGTCGTGACAAAAATAATTACTGAAATGATGTGCTCAAATTGACAGATGTCGGAGATTTAATTAGGTTTATGAATATGGGTAATTGAGCGATTAAATTTAAAGAGAGATATTGCCTGAAGAGTACTTTTGAAAAAAGTGAAATTGTAAGTAAACAACGAGTAAACTGTTTGCACAGATGTTTCTCATGTACAGGCTGATAAAGAAAACAATCTTGAAGAGACTGACGAGACAATTGATTGCCTCTATTGATAAGCTTCCATGCATCGTGTCTATCGACAAAAAATGCGGAAAATGTCAACCGAAAAAGCAAGACACATTAATGTGAACAATAAAGCGAATATTATATTCTCATGTGTCTTATGTATATCGGTGGAGACAAGATGGATACATGAGGCTTTTACACGCTTATTGATTTGATCAAACATGACTGTAATGAACGAAACACGTAAAAAAAGGATGTGTCATTGGATCAACTAAAGGCAGATTTGAACGGTGCGTCTCTTATGATCCGCTTCTACCACTGGAAGAAGCACGTCAATCATTAGTGGAAATTGTATCTTGACTATCCACAAGACGCGGAAGCAACGTGCTGGGTTTTTTTTTCAACATATGCAACTTTGTTAAGTGTCCTCGAGTCCGACTTATATCTCGGTAATGTTGGTACATGCACACTTTTTCGCCATTGAAACATTTAATGCCTGTACAATACGTTCTCATTCACATTTTCAAGTTGAAGATGAAATCTTATTCTTACCAGACACTCATTTCGAAATAAAATCTCAACTAAATCCAGTACCAGATCTACAACATCGTTCACTTGTACTAAAAAACGACTGCTACACGATCTACTTGAATCATCATTTGAAGGTATGAGAAATTTGGACAAAACGAGTCAAGCATCATTTTGTCATTTTTGAAAAGAATGCTCAATTATGTCTGCCAGCCGATAGGATAAGAGAGAGAGTATGTTTCACTCAGCTATTCAGTAGTCCGCTAGATTTGAAAAGCTACCGCTTTTAACATGCGTTTCATGCTGTTGGCAACGGACTGATTTCCTTTGAAGTGATGAATGATAAACTTTGCTAGAGAATGTTAAGCGTGCAAAGGAAATAGAGTAAATGCGTCACGCTACATGATGATCTAAAGAATAAGGGCAAAGATAATCATCGTACTCACATTTCATGTTATGTGCTGCTGAAAAAACTTATTTTATTCTACTGTATATCAACAAGATCCTCTGAAACTTCCACTATCAAAATAAAGTGCTAATCAGTAAATATTCACTAACAACCTCATGCATCAATCGATATCTATGTTACAATCCACCCTTTGGCTATCTTTAGCCATTAGTACAAATAAAAGACAGCATTTGCAGTGTTTATCTCTGCACTTATCCTAGTCAATGCATTCATCGTTTTAGCTGTCATATTGAGTTCGCGAAATAGAATTCCTCTATCTGAAATGATTATTGCAACAACTACTGTTGGTAACCATTTCTTCCTCGAACAACTCTAGCATATCTTGATTGCGTGCGTACTTAGTTCCCACACGAGTTGATCCCCATGGACAAACTCCTGATCCGATATCAACCGCAGACACGTGCAGATTCTACTCAATGGTGTTCTAAATCCGTTATTAGAAAGTGACGTTAATGCCCAAGGTACACAGGTAGTCTCTACAAGTGGATGGCATCATTTCGATTTTGTTTGCGATGCGAAAGGAAACGAAGCAATAATATATATTGTTGGACAAATTGAGGCAAAAATAGCCTCTATCAAACATCATGATATGTTCTTCCAAAATAATAATTCACTATTTATAGTTGGTGCTGGATTTCAAGATTACATTGACCATCTATCGATATCATTTCAAGCTACAGCTGAAGAAGTGATTATATGGGACGCAACAACTGTAGGCTATTATCCTATTTATGTCAGAAATGTATGATGCTTTCTATCGAGTCTATGACTTTTTCTTACTATCACAAATCGGTTTCATTGTGTCCTTAACATGAGCCTTGCAAATGCCGACAGTAGCCTTGTCGCTCACCTACCGGATGCAACTTGGACCGGCCACAGGGAAACTATTCGCGTTATTGCAATGCCAGCAGAACAATGATTCCATGTTACATTTACATGGAATATTGTTAATCGAGTGAATCTTTATCAATCGGAAGACTATTAGGACATTTATGAAACAATGGAAACTGTGGTGAAATTTAATACTGATGTTCATAATATGAGCTTGCTAACAATGATAATGACGTTAGGAAAATATATGGGTCCAATTAAATGTGAAACTCCGGATGGCAGAGATTCGACAAAGAAATTTAATGAATCATTAGTTGAACTGCATGTCGTTTCACGTGAATTGACTTACGACGAAGAAGTTTAATCACTGTCTACTCCAGTCTCTTTGCAAAATGAGAAAAGTTAATTATTTACTGTATTCGTACAAATATAATTGAGATGATGTTGTAAGAAGTTGTACGGATCTTTTTTCAAACGCAAAAGAGCTTGACTGACTTCGACACGTACATATATAATTCTATTCCAATTAACTAATTGGCGCTATTTAAATGAAAACTAGACCATCAAATGCGTAAATTGTCTCTCGATCGAGTATATGGGTGTTCAACGGCACACCGTCATAGTATCGTTGCTCTACCGGAAAATCGTGTTGCCTTCCTTGCTGGTTGCTACTTGGTTATTCTCGATTGTCTAACTAATGAGCGACGTTATCTGACTTTTTCTGCTATTAAATTTCTTGCCACATCACCTAGTGCCCACTTAATGAGTATAATTGATCAGATTGATGAAGATAGCAATTCACGCATACATATTTATTCGACGAAACCAATTGATTTATTGCTCACGATTGAACCTGATCGTTTTGGCAGTTTCATTGGCTTATCAATCGATACAAATGATAGTCTTCTAATGATATTGCATAGCGAACCAGCATACATGATAACTATTCGTAAATAAGCATACTGGATGAATTGATTACCGTGATACTTTTCTTCTTGTTCTTTTTTTTCTAGAAGAAATTTATCATAACGATGATGAATCGAAACGAATGACCATGGTTGATTTGGCTTCAGTCAGAGTCGTTCATGGGCCAGTTGTTAATCGAATGAATAAGAAAGAGATCATTCCACATGTGGCATTTATTAGCTTTTGTTCATTCTCATCGAAAGTGTTCTGTGCGACAGGTTTAGCTTTGTTTAAACTCTACGAACTTGATCAGGAAATAATCCATCAACGGATCATCCATTTTCGCGCAGAATTTTATGCATTTACGTGCCATTGTTGGCTGGCTATCAACAGTATTCTTGTACGATCAATTCGCTTCGAATATTTGGAAATAAGTTTGCGTTTGATTCAAAGGCAGCAACAGAGCATGGACATGTATTTTGGATACAAGATGGATCGATTCGTTCGGATATCAGTCTGGAAGAATCGATTACTGTAGATTTACATCTATCTATTCAAGAAACAAATGAAGGAAGGATACTTTTTCGTTACTATCTCATATTTTCACATCTTTGTTCTGTTTAGATTCAACAGAATTATCTAAAAATGACCATGCGTTATCCGTTGATTTGGAATCTCCATTGACGAATGAAGAAGAAAAAGAAGCACTTACCGAGACCAAGCTATATCTTGATCTTTTCGCAGCAAGAGAAATGTCTCCGAATGTTATTGTTTCATTTCGTGAACACTTATTTGTGGTACGATCCTGTGAATGCAAAAACATCCTTCGAGTTCCATATTTAGTTCGCTCCAATCATGACTGAACCATTCTTTCAAGTCACCACCCGCTATTGTTTGGAGAAGTCATCTGAACATCATACCAATATGGACAAACATCAAATTCATAAAATGTCTTATGTTTTCGATAACCATTCTTCCATGATCTATGTTCTAACCGATCGTAATCAAATCTTTCGCTATACAATCCACCAGACGGAAAACAAAACTGAGCTCGAAGAACAGCATATCTACAGTTTTCATGCCTACCGCATCCGATCTATTGCTCTATGTATGCATAAACCATGGCTGATTACTCTTGGCGATGATAATTGGATACGAGTTATCGATTATGAGGATAATAATCGAGAAGTTGTCTCAAAATACCTTCCCGATGGTGCACAGGCAATCACCGGTAAAATTAGCCAATCTATAGGAACTATGATTTTTCTTTGGATAGGATGAATTCAAGGTTCGGATCCGTATGGTTTTCATCTATGTTTAGCAATGTCCAATCATTTTCAATTATATCTCATAACAAATTACGAATTACGTATGATACATCAATATGAGACACGCAATGTACGCGAAGTAGAAATGAGTCAATCAGGACATTTAATAGCCGTCGTCACAAATAATTTGATAAAAATTTATTCTACAATACATTTTAACTTAATCAGCCAATTACGTGGTCATGTAGGCAAAATAAAACAAATCGTCTGGTGTAAATACGATTCGATTCTTATCAGTTGTAGTACGGATGGTATGATCTATATATTTAATATTTATACCGGTAACCAATTTCAAAGCAAAACTCATCCAATTCACATTAATTGAATTATAGGTATGCGAGAAGGTGAGATCATCACCAAACAGTTTCGTTATGTCGGAATAGCTGTCACTCACGACTGCAATCGTATCTATGGAATCACATCTGATTCGAGTATTAAATTATTTAACAATACACATTTAGAGCAGGAATGCTCAATTGAGAACAATTTCATTCCATCAGCGATATGTTTATCAAAATCAGAACGATTGCTTTTCGTTGGCATGACGAATGGTACAATTCGAATTTTTACAACTCCGTTAACAGCGAACACGTATATGGATTTACCTGCACATTGTTCGACTATACGACGATTCCTAGTGTCGTCCAACGATGAATATTTAATATCGATTGCTGAATCAGCATATGTCTTATTGTTTAAACAGACACTTAATACATTGAGTTCAGTTTCTAATCAATTTTCTGAACTGCTATTAGAAAATCTAGATGTAATCAATCAATCAAAACGCGTGCGCACAACGTTTGAATACATTCTTGTGACGAAATCCGAATTTGATGAACAACAACAGAAAATCAAAGAAATCCAAGAAAGAATCAAGTAGATTCTACGCAAAGAAAGTATCATCTCCTTCATTAACTAGTCGTTCCCTTTTGTAGTGAATTTGATACTGAAAATAATTTAAAGCTACGCACAAAACAGATCGCTTTCTCCAACGAGCTCACTGCTCATTCTACCCAATTTCAAACAGCAATGAAACAACTTCTTGACGAATACCAACAACTAAAATTAGACATTAGCAATGAACATGCCGAATTTGCTAAACGAAAAAACGATATCGATGAAAAATACGATATACTTCAAACGCATTCAGAAGTCATCTACGAAAACCAAATGATTGACCTGGTATTTCATAAACCGTAATGCCACATATCCAAGATCTTCGAGCGATGAGAGTCCAAAATCATGGATATGTGGTTTACGTACGATGGGATCTAATCTTCTTGTTATTTTTAGCTTACCCGCATTAACAATGCTCAAGAGGAATTGACTAAACTGCAAACTATTTACGAAAATAAAGACTCCTCCTCGAAAGATCAAGAACATACTGATCTGAATGAAATCATCAATCAAGTCAATTTGAAATTACAATCGAAATGGCGAACTGCTGTTCACAATCATGAACAGATTCAAGAACAAGAACGGCAAATGAACGAATATATTCGACAAATCGAAATCGATATTGACGACGAAATCGAAAGTATAAAGATCAATTCTGAAAGAGAATTGAAATCTCTCACTAACCATATCAAACGTTTAACTATTAACGTACGTTAACTGTCGACAATGTTCTTCGCTAAATGTCTACAACTCGTTAGGTTAGTGCACTTCGTAAACGATACAATTCTATCGTTGAACGTATGGGCACGCGCGATACTGAACGAAGTAATATTGAGAAAGAAGTGAAAGAACTACAGAATCGGAAGTTTGAACTCATCGAAAAACTAGAACATTTCCGTTCAAGTATAAACTACAGAGACTTTCGCAAGATAATGTATATGAATTTCAGTTATCAAAAAGAAAGAAGATCGTATTGGTATCTACGATATCAAGATTCATCGTTTGCAACAGCATATCTTACACGTTGAAAAACGTAAATATGTTCTTGATTACAAAACGAAATCTCTATTAGAACGCATCGAACCCATGGATCAAGAAATCGCTCGATTGAAAACGAATAACCAGAACCTTGAACAACAGTTAACGATTTTAAAACAACAACAAAATGATTTGATCGTTAAACAAAAGAATTACGAATTCAAACTGGAACGATCGACTAAGCAATTAAATCTAGCGAAAATTAGTTACCAAAACATTTGGAAAACAGTAAAACAACGAAAAGGTTGCAAAGCTCAATGAAAGTATCGTTGATCGGAGATAGTTTTTCTATTTAGATGCACTTAAAAAAGCATTTGAGTACACAGAAATCAGTTGCACATCCGAAACAACTATTCATTCGAAAGAACAGTTAAAAGCATTCATACAGAATATGTGTCATTCAATACAAAACGAACAGCAAACAGAAAATCAATTAGAAATACAAGATTCAATCAAAGAATGGAATAATCAACGAAATTGGTTACTTCATCACGTACGTATTATACCAATCATATCGACTCAATGTTTCGTTTCTTTGATAGTTACATAATTTAACAACGCATACGGAAAACAACAAACAAACATTTGCAAATGTTCAACGTGAACATCGTAAAGGTATAGAAGAAATATTTAGCCTGTCAAAAAAGAAATTCAAATGTCTATCGTTTAGCTATCGTACCATTCATTAATCAACTTCGTCAACTACACAATTTACATGATGATATCCAAAAGAAAATTCAAAAGCATTTTGCCTTGTTAAAGATCAAAGCCAGTGAACAGAATGATTTCTTGCAATCAATATCGAGCATCTTGCATGTCAATGAAAATCTTCATTTAACAATCGATCAATTATCACAAAAAGAATTGCATATTGAAATTCAAGATAAAGAAATTGATCGTTTAGCAGCAATTACATTCCGTTCACAATATGCGGCACCATGCTTAGAATCGAATCAGTCTAATGAAAAGGCTGTCATATTGCCAACGGTATCGACTGGATTATCGACCAAATGAATAGCACGGATCTTTCTTCGTGACTCTTGTCCAAGGTTTGTTGAGAGCAGAATACACCTTTCATCTCTTATTCGTTCTGCTATACTGTCTGTCTATGTCGATTTTCGTTTTGAATAAACAAAGAGAAATAAGAAGACAAGGCCTCGAGTATACTTAACAGTATATTTTGTAGGAGATCATCGACCGACAACAGGTGGTCAACATATTGTAGGACGCAAAGCACATTTGTGTATGAGTGCTATTCAATACTTTTACTCTCTGTTTCAAACGTTTTCGTGTACACTCTCGTGGCAATCAATACCATCTTATTTTCGTTCCCCTGTACACGTCTGTCGAACAGTAACATTGGTGCGAATACAAACTTTATCGATTTGTTCTTTATGTTCTTATAGATTTTATTTCAAAGAGAAGAAGAAAGTCAGAAGCGAAAGAAATTGACACGTACAACATTTGACCTCTGCTCTTTCTTTCATTTATATCTGATGATATGAACATAGTCGTAAGTATCGTCACATCGATCGTTCCTCCTCATATAGCAGATCATTGTCGGAAGACGAGACACGAATGAATGTTAGTTTTTCTACTGCTTAAGAAGCAAATTTTTGATATCAACAAGTTGTAGTTCTTTTTTTTGCGGGAGACGTAAGTTATCGTTAGATGTGAACTTGAAGTTTTTATATATATATATCTCGACTAGTTGTATATGCGAGACTTTCGTATGATAACAATGTGTGAAAACACAACGACAAAAAAAAGAGTGGGGAGAAAGAGACTTTTTCAGCTTCTTTCTTCTTCTTTTATATTCTTAAATATCTTATCTGGGTTAGGTTGATAAACGTTTCACTCCTCACAAGTAACACAATTTCATCGATGGCCGATGTAGCAAAAGATAATTCGTTCGGATTTATACCACCAAATACTTCAGCATCACAGTCAACATGTGACATATGTAAACGGTTGCTCTACCCGTTCGAAGAAGTTCGACGTTGTTAGTATGATTTTTCTATCCAATCGATCGCTAACCGAAAGTTTTCATATGTAAATTCAGGCCAGAGTTGTCACAGTACAAGCCATTGGCGTTGCATTGAACCTAAGACAATTTCTCAGTATGGTAATAACGAAAATTACATATGTAATACATGTAGCACTGGTGCTACGGCTGATTTACCACAAAAACCGACAAATAGTGGCAGTTTTCGATTGAAAGCAACTGATTCGCCAAGTCGAACTAATCGATCCAATGAAACGAATGTCGGTAGTACTATTCGATATTTTGAAGAAAAACAACAACAGAAAAACGCGCAAGTGTCCAAAATGACACAATTATCTGAACTTGATCGGTATCTTCCACCTCATGTAAATCACGTTGAATATCATCATACTGGTGAGTTTCTCACTCGGAAAGGTAAGCGTGATGACGAACGAAGAGAGAAAGAAAGAAAGAAAGAAAGAAATGAAAATATTTTCGTACTTGTTTGTTGTTGAATCAGTTAATCTGACTCGAAGAACTTCGAACGAAGAAAAATTTGTTTTACGCTTGTGAATTAACGTTACAGCATCTCAATCGAATCGATAATCAACTGTATTGAAGTTCATACACGTTTAGTACGTTAGCATCATAATCATTAACATAAACGTGCTCAGTGTATAGAAAGATATATAAATCCTCTCTAAATGTTCATTCATTTCTCGTTTCTCGTTTCTTCATCGAACATCATCTCAAATACACACATTCTCAATTTTTTTTAATCAATTTCATGATTCTGTTAAAGCATCCTATTTTTCTTATCATTTTACATTTGTCGCCGTCTCTATTTGTTTAGGTCAGGATCGCAACGGCAGACGAACACCTCAACGGACTCAAGAACGTTATCACAATGGATTAGATAGTGACGACGAACACGAAACATCAGCCATGTTTGAAGCCAATTACATATATACGCCACTGAAAGATTTTGCAGCAACGAGAAGTAATCGAACTACAAGTGAAAATGATATCAAGGGTGACTCGAGTAAGTAGATGCAGATTTACTTTTGGTTTGTTTGGGCATATTTTTGTGAAACGGAGGAGAAATCATGTTTTAGAGAAGGTGAATGAGCATCAAAAATATCCTTTTAAACGACGAATCATTGCGGATATGATTATTTTTAGTCTTTCGAATCGTGAGTTTCATTCTATCGACCGTTTTTAATAATAGAGGGGAATATTCTAATGATCTTATTTTACTAACTTGGGGTATTGATATTATCATTCGAATAGGAACAAGTAGCTTCTGGAATGTCTCCTAAGGCTTCATCGATGAATAATTCTCCTTCTAATTAAAGTATCAAGTTTAAATTTCAATCTCAAGTCAAATATCGATCGATGTGCACGATGATTAGTTATAAATGTCGTTGAAATCGAATACAGTTTCATCTTGTCTTTCTTGTTTTATTCAGGCACTTCTCTCAATCAACAGCCAGTATCACGCTATGGTGGCGGTTTACATTATTCGAACCATGGTTATGATCCGACAGTTTCACGCCTCGTCGAGGCTCCTGTAACTAGTTCAGCACATATCGTATCTCCATCGTTGAACATCCGTCCGAGTCATTTCATCAGTACAACGAATTTGACGATCAATGAAAAGCCTTCTCGGCCCCCTCAGCAACGATCGATGTCTCCTGTTCGATCAACTCCACACTTATCTCGCACGCATGAGCCCGATTTAGCACCCATGAGATCATCACCTCGTGTCAACGATCGTCCGCCGATAAATGGCAACGATTCTGGCATTCTGATGATTAATTCCCAAACTGATCAAACAGTACATGGAAATCAAGGCGCGGACAAGAAGATCAATGATCTTGTTCAACAGTTGGGCAAACAACTGGGAACAGATGCACAGAAAGTCAACGAAAAATTAGAATTAAAATTGAAAAATCTTGAAAATATGATTCATCAACAAACCTCAGTTATTCAACGACAGGATGAAGTAATCGAACGGCTAAAAAGCAAAATAGCCATGCTCGAAGCTAAAAATGAATCTAAACGTGAACAGAGCCAGACAGATACTATTGTACCGAATACAACAAAACCAATTCCACAGCAACAGCAACTTGCTAAACGCAATAATTACGTCGATCGAAAACCGTCTGAGTCGTCGACGATTGCTACAGAAAGTGGCAGAGAATCGACGAAAAAGGTGAGGAGAGACAGAGAGTAGGATACCATACGGAATCTTTTACATACGACGAAGAGTTAGGACTTCCGCTCACTCAGTTGATTATAGATTGCTAAACTTCAGCATGTTGTTTTCAGACCCCTGCACCACGTGTTGGCCCCCAATGGTCACCACCGGCAACAAGAAACGATAACAACAAGCCAACACTCGCTAAACTTGTAAGCACTACCTCAACGACACGAGATCGGCAAACATCTGACTCTTCGTCGATGCCATCGATGGCTGGTATACTAGCTAGTACATCTGTATCTGGAACAGAACCGCAGACTGCTTCCAGCCGTCTGAATCATATTATTCACCAGGAGAGCATAGACGTCGAAAAAAAATCCACATCAAATTATAATTTAGCTCCTGTTCGTCATCAAGATCGATTGCATGCTGTCGGACCGATTTCACTAGTAGAAGAACAAATCACTACAAGTGTTCATCGTGATATGAACGAGATCAAACCAAAAGCATCAGCCAAACGTTCAAATTCATCATCATTGTCATCGAATTCGTCAAGCGAACCTGAACGAGGATCCACTATGAAAGCAAACAATCGTCAGGCAAATATGCATCGAAGCTTCGAATCTATACCAAACACACAAACACAAGAACAATCATCGAGATCATCCGGCCGAGCGACTTCGCTCGAACTTACTAACAGACCAGTACAACGTGAAGATTCAAGTTAATTCACAATCTTTCTACTTTATCTATTCTATGTGAATATCTCTATTTAGCATCAATCTATATAACACCTGTCGAAGGAAGTCAGCCGGCGTTTCAAGCGAATAGTATCGTTAAGGGATGGCTTCGAAAACAAAATCGTGAATCGTTCCTAAAACGAATCGAACGTTACTATTGTATTCTCGCAGACAATGCACTTCTCATGCATCGAAGCGAGCAGGACAGAACACCTGTTAAAGCAGTTACTCTGAAAGGTTTCGATTGTTTTCTTTGTCACTAAGTTTACAATTGAGAAGAAATGTTTTGTACGATTATTTAGGAGCGAAAGTACTCTATTACGATGACCCGAAACACGGCCCATCACTTGAATTGACTTGGTCAACTCGATCCAGTGAAACGAAACATTATCACGTACGTAAAACACCGAGTTTCACTTTGCAGACAATCCTGTTTTTGGATAAACATGTGATTCTTTCGTTTTCAGCTCTATGCACCAAATCCACAAGAAGCTACCAAATGGGTTACTGCAATTCAAACTACGATCCATAATCTAGACACTAGTATGTCCTATCTCGTTCATTTTTTCTAAATGAAATTAATCTTGAATTCTACAGGACATTCTCAAATGAGAAAATAATGGTAGTGTAAAAAAGTAAACGCTCGAACTTTCCCGCATTCTACTTTCGCTTCATGATAATGATGAGCTGATTATATTTTCTTCTATTTAGAGAGCCGATGGCATAAATATCATTCGGATCTATGAAGACATCGCTGAGCAACATCATCAAATTTTGCTTCCATTTTCTACGATTGTTCCCGTCCATTTTATGACTTCATGTTATCTGTGTGTTGTTTGTTGTCTTGTCCGCTTGAATACGCTAAATTTTGTTTTGTTTTGTTTTTTATTTTCTACATATGCACACATAATTATTTATACTTTTGCTCTTTTCTACGAATAGAATAAAACAGGGAAAGCTTTTTTTTGCGCGTCGAAATCTTTGTTCATTATGTTAAATATGTGAATCGGTTTTCGAATTTCTCGTCATAATGAAGAACGATGTGTTAATAGTTTTCAATCGATATGGATCTCTATAATCATAATGCCACGAAAAAAAGAAAACTCAATCAACCGAACGCACATGAGGATGAGTCGAAAAGGAAGACATCGAAATCAACTGGGTGCTTTGGACGTTGTTGTAGTCGAAAACGTCAAGATACTCCTTTTGAAACGAAAGAAAAACCAGTCAAACAGGTTAACAACAAAGTTGCATTAGCAACTGAGAACGGCCATCTACCAGTGCAAACATCAGCAGGTGCAGGTGATAAGGAATCATCCACACAGGTCACACATTTATCACAATCACCATTGGAGTACAAATCGGGGACTAATCTAAATGATCTGGACAATTCAAACACGAAACTCTTTTATGAAAATCAGGTAGAATATGATTGAATTGTGGAAACACTCGCTTCAACGTCCGTTCGATTTCGGATTCATTTCTTCGTTCTTAGTATGCCTCGATTGAACAAGCGGATACAGCTACAAAGGAGAAAACCACTAATGGCACGCTGGATGAATCGTTCAATCCTTTTCAAAATACAGTAAATTCGTTCGTAAACGATATTATCGGCGATGGAATCGGTCAATTGTCAGAACTACTTGCAGCTACGAACGCATACGTAAATACATTAATAATGAATTCTGCATCGGCTAGAGAAGACAATGAACTCGCCTTTCAAAAACAAGGTAATTGAGTTTCCTTTGTATACACAAAATACATGCTTTTTTGTTTCAGATATGGAACTGTCCACAGATCAAACACTAGCACAACCCATTTCAGATAATTACGGTACTGCAATGAGAGAGAGAGACATAGACAAGAATATTTGCATAATTGGCTTTTCATTCTTGTCTAACAGATTGGAATATTGAATCCAACAAAACAAACTTTGACCAAGATAATCTGTCAATAGGCGACAAATCATCTCAAAATCAAGAACCCTATCGTAAATTGTTTTCAGGTATTTAGTAAAAAACGAAATAAACATTTATCATAGATTGGGAAGACCAATACTATTCGTGGTCTCATCGTTCTGAACAAACATTTTTGTCAGACAACGACATTATTAATTCGACATACAGTGTTGGCACCAGGTTACCATCGAATCAAAAAGCGAACGTACAATCACAGATAGCCGATATAGAAAAAGAGACTACTGGTTTACTAACGATGAGTTCAACATCTGTTAGTGAACTCTTCAAGCATATGACTCGTATAAGGCAAGAAAAAGAGCTTGATTTAGATTCGATTAGTACTGCATATTCCGTTCCTATTTCCATGCGTCATTCAATACTATCAGAAGTAAGCAATGTTCCCTCTCAAACACAACCGATGTTAGCAAAACATGCAACTAATCGGCTTCTATCGATTTTCAATTCGAACGATATGTAGGCTGAAAAATTTCTTTTCTTGACGTTTAATTCAGTTAGGCAGATCTTCTTTTTCAGAATGCGCTTTTGGCAGTCTTTTCTTGAACGTTTATCAAATTTTCTATTGCCTTCAAGCCACAATATGACTAATGATGATGTAAATTTCAACAAATATTCATGGACAACATTGACGTGTACAGACATCATTTCATCTGATGAATTTGGGCCGAGATGGAGTCGACGTGATATAGATGATCGTAGTCCAGCAACGTTTGTGTTTGTGAACGATCCGTTAAGCACGTGGTATTCGCTTGAAACGTGTCCAAGCAATAAACAGAGGTGTACTTCAATTCATTATCGACCGTGCTGTCCTAAATAATATGACTACTCAAGCACATATCTCATTATTATTATATGTTTCAATGAACCAGTCAAACGAGAACGAAATATCATTAATAATAAACTAGTAACTAATATATAATTGTACTATTTTAGTGTTCGTTTGGTAAAGAAAACATTTGCATAAATAGAGATAATCAGGTATACTAAAAATTCTTTGATCTCACTAGGACTTTACTCCCTTTGATCAAAGAAAGGGTTATATAGTGATCAGATACTGGTATCACACGCTGAGATTTTATTCGAGCAAATCTATCAGAGATCAGCACTCGAGAAAACACGAAGAACTCAGCACCAACCAACTGACAGCATTGCTTAAAGAGTTTTCAGTTTGCAATTGGTAGCTTTTGAGCAGAATAGCAATGCATGACGATATAGTATTACTTCGTAGAATAAGTTTGTATGGAAAGGTTGCCACTAATATAAGCGAACCAATTCCTTATGGTCTTCCTGGTGTTACGAACGAGGATGTGTTCAATCGATCGAACAGCGTTCAGTAACAGAACAAGGTGATATTCTAATCTTTTCTTTACATATACGTTTTGAAGACTGAAAGGTTTTGTCTCAAACAATTGAATTCCACCATTTCGAAAGATCTATTATCTGTACTGTTTTGTTTGTGCAAATAAGTACTTAAACCTGTGCCGAGGTGTCAGAACGGAAGTAAACAATCTCATCGAGCGCATTTGTATGCATTCAATCAATATTGATCGACTAGTTGACGGCTGAGCACTAGACGCGAAAAGTACATTCATCGTTAATTGTGACTTAACGAAACGCGATGTCATTACGGCAGACATCATTGCATAATTCATATAAAAAATGATACAATACTCGTAATCTTAAGGGTGTTCTATTGACTTTGGATGTACGTAGATCGTTCCGATGCTTGTTTACATACAAACTGATGCCAAATCAGCCCTACCATTGACAAAATATTTTGGGTAAAATTTCTTCTGTACTTTGTTGGCTCGATATGAAATGACATAATCGATCTCATCTCCTTTCATAAGGGCATGATTTGATTGAAATCGACTTATGCATTGTTTGATATGAGAACAAAGACGTATGACATGCATGTCGGTGGCCAGACATGTTAATCAATTTTTATTTGACACTTCAAAGTGACTAATTATTATTGTAGTACTATTTACGAGTCGCATCTGTATGACAAAAAGTCTCTTGAATGCAAAATAATGAACTTCGACGTTTTGATGTTAGATGAACGGATAAAAAGATAAAAGACGAAGGAAAAAAAGCGATTGTTTCGTTGTCATTGTTGTCTTCTCTTTTCGTACTCTCCTACTTTGTTATACAATGTGTCGTCGTATCAATCGACATTTTTCTTTTCTTTACTCTCGTGAACAGATAGATAATCCTTCCTACACTTTCTTTCCTTCGTGAAGAGTTAACTTATGACGCCGATTTAAGTCAGACGATATCGTTTTGTTTCTCCTATGGATACTGATCTTGCTGAAAAACTCCATCGACAGATTTGTCTTATTGAATCGAGCGAATCGTCTTTGAAAGAATCGATTTTAACAAACGACAAACATCAACGTTCAGTTGGATATGAACTGTCCCATAAGCAAATGCAGAGTTTGAAGAAGACATTCGAAAAGTACGATTCTGAGAGACAAATGATGAAATTCTCTGATATGTTTGCTTTTATTCTTGATACAGATACGATACGGATAAAGACAAATCCGTTAATTTTGATGAACTGAAATTTATGTTGGAAAAACTTGGTCTTCCTCAAACTCATCTACATTTAAAGCAGATGATCAAGCAAGTTGATGAAGATCATGATGGCAAAATATCATTTCGAGAAGTTCGTAGCTTGTTTCAACTTCTTTTCATTCTTCTTTTTGATTATTTATAGTTCCTAGTGCTTTTCCGTAAAGCACTTGCACATAACATGGAATTCGATCAAGAAAAATCGGCACTTTTATATCGGTTTTACGCCATGTTGTTAGAAATTGATGTGGCCAAAGAAGGCGTCATCATGGCTAAGAACTTTTTTGAAGCAAAAGTAGATCTCACATTATATTCTATGACAATTCGGTTTCTCATTTTGTTTTCTATATAGATAGCTGCGATTAAGGATAGTGAAAAATTTTATCGAGAAATCCTCGAAGAGCAAAACCATCGACGTCGTTTGGAAGAAGAAAAGACTCGTCGTAAACTAGAATTTCGAAATCGTTTAGCTTTATTTCAATCAACATAGATTTCAAGAATCCTTAGCATGCATTCTGTGATAAACCTTGTACCATAACATGTGAATTTTCATTGTTTAATACATATAACAACATCGATTATCTTCTTTCTACTGAAAGCTGACGAAAAAAGTGACTTTATCTTTTCTCGGTATGCGATAGAATACTATCGCGCATATAGTATTGAAGCGAAGGTCCTTTTTTTTGTAGATAAGTCTATGTCAGTACAAATCATTTTAAAAAATCTGACATGCTACTGTTGACTGATTGTTCGGAAAAAAACATCCTTTTTTTGAATTCAAACGCGTATTTTAATATACAAAAAACAAAAACTCGTTTCCATGATGTTTAGATTAATTAAAAAACATTATTCAGTAAAAAAAACACGTGTCAGATTACATCGGGCGAAATAAACATACGAAAAAAAGTCACGCATGTATTCCAATATGTTTATCAGTCAGAAAAAACATTCACCGTTCAGTCATATTATTCGCACACACACAAAAGCATAAAAAAAGTCATTTTGCTGTGAGATTATCAAAAGATACAATACTTATCTGTTCTCATCGAGAATGAAATGAGAGAAGGAAGTTCTTTCTTCTAAAAAAGAATGGCTGCAGAAAACAATAGATGAAAATATAGATTCAACTTCAATCATTCTCAAGAAAACTAGTATAGAAAACTTAGTTAACAATGAGAAATCATTTCTAGCACACAATTCACTCACATTGTTCATATAGACCGGGTTTTAGTAACGATATTCATCTCTAGCACTGTAGTGATGAATTAAATTGTCAAGCATAGTACCTACAGCACAAAAAAGGCTTTTGACTCTCTGTTGAAAAGAAACGAATGAATGCTTACCATCTAATAATCGTGAACGAGTGTCATCATAATCTACAGTTGAATCAGTTTGATTTATATATCTTTGTATTAAATTATCTAAACATATTGTATCCATTAGATTATTTCCTGCGTAGTTTTCTATTGTCTTATATTGACCTTCATCTCGGAGACGTTTTGGTGTTTCGCGTCTGGTTTCTTGTGGTATTATCGGTTGATAATAAATATCATCATTCAATACGGGAACATCGTTTGCCTACGCACATAAACCATCGGTATATAAAACATACATCGTCTATAATAATGAACCTACTCTATCAGCAATGATATTTCGACTTAAATCTCGTAATAAATCGTCTAATTCGTAATCGATTAGTTCTTGATTAAGAGTTGTTATCAGATGATTTTGAGCATCAGGCATCATTTCATGAAAGCGTAATGGTGTATGTGTTCGTATTGGAGGAGCTTCTTTGAATTCTATTCTTCGTCCCGATGGAGCATGCGATTCATAATTCGAAGCCGGTGTTGGCAATCGTGGACGGGATTTTAGACCTAGTTCACGTACCCAATCATCGGAATACAAACTAAACATTCGATTATCATCATATGAAGAAATGAAGAAGAGGAATCGTAAACATACTGTGTTCTATTTCTCTCATCATCAATATCTTTATCTGTATCGATGCGAAACGGATCGACAACATGTCTGTGGATTTCAGGACTTCGTCTCTTTGCCTAGAAAAAGAAGATGATGAGGATGAGGATGTCATGTTTCTTAGATAATTTTTGAATACACTGGCTGCTTCGAGACCAAGTTCATTGATAGTCTCATGTAAAATATCAGGTACGAATTGATCCTCAATGCAATGACCAATGAAATTTTCAACATAATGATTTGTGAATGCTTCGTGTGGCACAAAATCCAGATTTGATGGTTCCTTGAAGTAGAACACATTAGTTTATTATATCGAATTGTAATTGAATACGTACTTGTCGTAGGCCAGGTGCAATGAATGTATCAAGTCGATCAAAATCGGGATAGCGAGAATGTGGAGCATTTATTAATGTTAATCGCTGCGACGGTGATGTGAATACACTATTACCGCCCGTACTCATCGATAACGGCGGAAGATTCATATGAGTCTGCATCCCGAATGTCTACATTGGTTGAAACGTGACTCGGTTAGAGAAAAACAATCTTTTGGCATTCATTACCTGGGTTGGTCTATAGAATTCACTGGTATATTTGATATTCGATAGTGGTGATGGTTTTCGCCCATACGATCTAAGATTATCAGCATAGCGATAGTCAGGTGGATCAAGACCGAATGTATCGACACCCTCAGTAGGACTTGAGTAAAAAGAGAAATAAAATCTTCGTTTCAATCCAACAAAACTTACAATAAAGTAGAAGGCAGTGCTGGTAATGTGCTTGAACCTTGTCGTAAATTATGCCGATTTTGATATGTTACAAGACTGGGCGGCGTTCCTATCCTATAGAAAAAACTATATGATATGAATGTCACAAGGAACGACACGTTTTTCTCTCTTGACCAGTTCATAAAATTCTTCAGTATACATTTTAATTAGATAATACAATTCAGCAGACATCATGGCCTAATGGTACCTGGAGAAAGGTTGATTTGAGAGTAGCGATACCGTTTGAAAATGTGTAAATAATTTTCTTTCGTCCTTCTTCGCATGAATGGGTGAAAAGATTACGCTATTTTGATGATCAACTAATGGTGTTTATTTAGTATACAAATATAGTCTGATCATAATTGAGGTAGTCTTTGGAGCGACAGCTACTTTATGATACGGAAAAGAGCCTATCGACCGAAATTTTTCAGCTGGTCTACTGCACACCAGTATATTTCAATGACCTTGCTATTTTTTCTTTAATGAAATGCAAAGAAAGGAATCTGAATGCATTCAGCAAATAAAATCTTGTTTTTCATTTTCATCTTAACATTTTTTTTTAAATGAAAAATATTTATTTTAGATGACGAACTATGACGAAAGAGAATCAAATAAACTAACAATTTTGTGTTTTTTTTAATGAATAAACTTTCCTATGAAAGAACATCTCAAAGATAGTTGTGGTTTCTAATATTGTAAGGGAATACGTACGGTCGTAATCTTGGTGACAGCCGACCAGCATTAGAAAATCGTGGCGATTTGATAGGTTCAAGATTGATCGGTTCTTTCCAGTCAACAACATAATCATTTAAGTAATCGAGATATGGCTTTTCTGTAGCGTCTTTTGCTGTTGTCGTGGTTGTTGTTGTTATTGTCGTTGTTTTCTCTGTTGTATGTTGCACTGGTGGTGCTGCTGGTGCCGGTGGTTGATGTTGTTGTTGTTGTTGAGGGTGTCCATTTCTACAGTGTTCGATATTTTCATATACTAAACAGTGAAAGAAGATGAAGTGTACCCTGTTTTAACATCAGTAGGATGATGTATGACTGGTGTCGATGGAATAGATACAGGGGCTGGTCCAGGAGTCGGTGCCGCCGGTCGAGATACCGGTGGGCGGGTTTGTGCAGGGCGAGCTGGTGCTTGTCGAGGAGTCGATTGTTGTGAAGCAGGCTTTCGTGTTTGCGTCTGTGTTGGTGGTTTTTGAACGGTTGATTGTTTAACCGGTCGCGTTTGATTGGATTGTCTGGTTGCCATTGAACTTTATAACGATTACGTTTCGAAATTCAATTAGATTCTATTATATATACACGTCAACGCAAACATGACAATTATTTTCGATACCATAGAAACCAATTTGCTCCCTCTTTCGATCTGCAATCGAATTTTTCTGTTTCTGATCTACTTTTCAAGCAATACTTTACTTCTAACGATTGTAGTTAAGTTAAATTTTATTGGATCAAGTCTGTAACCAATGCTTTTCGTTTGAATGTGAATGAATGAATGAATCACGATAAGAATAGGCTTTCACACTTAAAGCAGTTTTATGTTCTGTTATCATTTGCTTGGCACATATTAATTATATTCAATACTGTCGATTTCAGGTAAACATTCTCTGTTTTTGTCGTACAAAAATTAAAGCATTAAAATATTTTTCTGTTTTTTTGATTTTTCAGATAAATTGGTAAGTAGAGTAGAAGAAGACGAAGAAAAATGTGGAAAAGAAAATTTTTTATTTTCTCCTAAAGTAAATAACGCAACACATCTATATGTACCTTGACTTCCTTTTGTTCTTTCAAGTAATTTTGTTTGTGTAACTAGTCGTCAGATATACGTTTTGATTTTCTTCCTTTCGCTTTTCACATCATCTAACGTGTATGTCTTCATGTTATATGATTTCAATTTCAGCCTTCGTTCTTTTTCTCTTGTGTGCTTCAAATACACTTTCTACCTGAGAGTGAAAGAGAAAAACGAGGCGGTAGTTGTAGTAGAGAAAAAACCTCATTTGTAATGTCGCCGTTCGTCGAATACTTGTCACCTGTTGACAGTGATGTCGTTTTCTCTTCTGTATGTCTTTCTCTCTCCCTCTCTCTCTCTCTTCTCTCTATATTCTATGAGTAATAACAAGTGTTTCATTGCATTTCTTTTTTCATTTCGTTTTTACACAAGTGAGCAAAGCAGAAGAGAAGGAAAAAGAAAAAAAGTTGATTAGAATATAAAAAAACAAAATATTATGAATGATATTTATTGGCACGATAAACGAAGCATGTCCTCAAAACAACTTTCATCACCTCCGCCAACTCAACCTAGACGATCCTATGATAATACCTTACGAGCAAATCAACATCAACAAATGAATACTCGGCACAATAATCAATCAACAACTGATCGAACAGTCACATCATCCTATCGGCAATATCCGACAGTACCTAGTCGTGCACATTACAATCACACAGATACGGCATTTACTTCGAGTCTCTACGGAGTGAACCGACAATCATCGCCGACTATTATAACGACTGCTTCTCTATTACCTTCAGCTGCAACTAGACCGTTAGACTCGGGCATTCGATCCTATCGTCCTCTACCACGAAACTTATCTCGTAGTGTCAGTGATGATTACTCACTGACAAGATATCAAGAATTAAATCATTATACTGGTGATACCTTTGGTCGTAATGAGCACAATTCCGATGATGATGATCAGTGTTCAGAAATCTTCAATTACACCTTTCACGACGTAGGTTTAAGTTATATCTTGATAGAAAGAAAGTAGAAAATGTCCTTTTCCCGTTCGAGTACTTGCATCCATTCACTCGAACGAATCATTGTTACAAACAACAAGTCAGATAGATTTGCTTTCGTTCTTCGTTTACATCATTGAGTTATATATTAATCAACTTAAGATTGTGAACTTTTTGTATGAAACAAATTATTCGTTTTCTTTCTTTCGCTTTCTCCTTCTCGACATAATTTTATTCAAATCTTTCAATACACATATTTTAATACCGATTACTTCCACAAAAAAACATTTTGGAGTAGATCAAAAGTAATGACGAACAGATTTTTTATATCCGCAATACCATAGAGATAGATCGATAAAGAGGAAATCTCATTCATTTATGACCAGAGTCAATTCTCCTATTTGAATTTCTTCTCCAATACTTAACAAATCTTTCTCTTCTTCATCGTTTTTTTCTGCTCCATGTCGAGATCGATCATTATTCGTTTGCCGAGTATATAACAAAATAAAGTAATGCATATATTGACATTATAGCATCATCTCTGTTGTTTTCGGCATTGCCTTTATTCTTCTTTTTCCTTTTCCCCAATGATTGTTTTAGGATTTAGCTAGAAAAAGAAGTTTTTTTTTCTTCATCCCATATTCCGTACTCGATCTCTACGTCGAAACGATGAGCTCTAGACTATTTATTATAGCGGCGTTAGATCGTTATTATTATTGTTTTCTCTCTGTTGCTGCTGTGTTCTCATTTTCGGACAGGGACGAGTAAATACGATCATGAACATCGATTGTCAATGACACAGACAGAAAGGACCAAAACGGTATATGATATGCGACGAGTCAGTTGATGAGTTACCAATTGATAAAGGAAGGTCAAAATGTTATTTTATTTTTGTATTGATATGCGGAGATACAAATAGAAGAGCGAGCAATATACGAATAGGTTTAACGACCTTCGTCTATGATTACGCATACTCACGTCCGTTCGTTTTTCTTCGCTCGGTCAGACATGAAATGAAGAAGAACAAACGGAAAGAAAACTTATACTGTAGATCGAAACAAAGAGAGTGAAGAGAAGGAGAAACAAAACGAAAAATTATCATTTACATTGAGACAAAATGAGAGCACAATCGAAGAGAACCGAGAAGAAGACGAAGACGTAGAACCAGTGATTGCACTCTTTTGTATTCATTTTTGCGCTGAAGAAGATAAAGGAATGGGTTTAACGAATTCCCGACGATGGTGGTTAGCAGAAGAGATGTCTGTAGTACATCCATCATCTTCCAAATCGATTGTTAATGATAAAAAGAAGAACTTAAAAGATACGACAAACGAGAAAAGGGAGGAGGAAGAGGAGGAAGAAGAAGACAACGGCGAGAAAAGTAATGAGGTATGTTTTTAATTGATTTATGAATATACAACAATAGTTAAGAGAGAACTATTGACATTTGTGAATCGTTTTTTACACATCATATATGCATGCATATGATTGAATCTACAAGTACCTTCTCAACCTTGAAAGACATGGTTCACTTCAATTGTTCATTTATTCCTTTACTCCTCATTTCCTTTCTCTATTTCTTACAAGTACTTATTCTTTCGCATTAACTGATAAGAATGTAAAAGAAAAAAGAAAGAAAAAAAAGAAAAGAAAGCATCTGAACTGATCACGACTATATAAATATATGTATACTTAAATTTCCTTTCCTTTACCTTTCTTTTCTTCTTATTTATTTCAAAGGATGTCGACTCGCCAGTGGCCTCACCTATGGCATCATATCGTAACACAGGAGCTTTAAATTCTTCCAATATAAATAACAATAATAACAGTACACGTCTTCATTCATCAGCACTAAATCGTGAGCCATATGATTATTCCACAACAAGATATAGTCAAACACAGAACTATAAAACGTTGACTATGCCAAAGACTCATTATCAAAATATAACTACAGCAGCGGCGACGCCGACGAGAGATCTTTTTTCAAAAGAAAACGGAACAAGTTATCTAACGGCTTCATCTTTTGATGCAGAAACGAACTCGAGCGTCAATGAAGCATCCAAGCGCTTAAATAATCCCAATGGAAAATTTTCTATACAAAAAATCATTCGACATGGTTTTTCATCGTGGCGTACACGTAAGAAACCTTCGTCATCATCATCGTCACCACCATTACACCCTCAACCGCCACATCCGGCACCACCTCCACCAAAATCGGCCTCATCGTCAACATCGAATGGAATCTATGCAAATACATCAAGTTCACCGTCATCACCACCTTACTTACCGACAGGACGGTTTACACCATATAACGATGAACTTGCCAAGAACCCACCAACTACGGCTGCACGGTCAATATCAGTGGACTCTATAACTAATCGATCATCACCACCACAGAAACTAGCCACTACGACTGAATCAACGAACCATCCAACTCCGAGAGTGAACAGTGCCAATAGCGTCACAGTTGAATTTGAGCGACCGGCAACAGTGGCTCGAGTTCTTGTTCCAACGCCATGGGCTACATCAGCAACAGCTACAGCGACCACGAATACATCAACGACAACAACTGCTGTAAATGATCTCATGTATCGCGCGACACCAGTGCCCATTGCTCGAGCACTACCTGTACAGTTTGCTGAACTTAATCGACCGCCGACATCCCGGTCTTCCCCACCTGCATCATCCTCATTGTCATCATCTTCGTCAACAGCGGCAGCAGCATTAGCAACAACTACAACGTCGGCAACAACAACAGCACCACCTACAGCGTCACCACTTCTTTCCAGTGCACCACCAACGACAGTACGAACTACTGAAACCAATAGTAGTACAACTCCTTCGACCAGTACCATTTCTCACGCACCAAAAATCCCACCTCCTGGTAAATGTTTGTTTCTTGATTTTGTCTTTGAAATTTTCTTCTTTCCCTAGTGGCGCCAAAACCTGATGTGAATCGTTTAACACCTATGCGTTCGAATTATTTGAATAACAATAATAATTCTTCATCCAATCCAGTTGCCACACCACCACACCCGACACCCCCTCCACCGCCGCCGTCGGCTGCTCACTCATCAACGGCTACTATTACATTAAGCACACCATCATATCCACTTGTATCTAGTCCATCTACTAATAATGAACAGCGCCGTCCTGTTTTGCCTGAAAAATTAGCAGCCAATCAATTTAAACCTATCAGCGACACGAATAACGCCGCACATTCCAATGCTACGCCTACTCCGACAGTGCGTTCTGCTGCTAGCAGTACCATATCAGCATTGCAGGAAAAACTTCAGATGCGTTCATCACCTGTAGCGACGACAAATTCAGCACCATTGTCAGTGACGATAACTACTACAAACGCCAGTACTATTGCAACACCTACAGTGAACACTGCATCGCCTTTCGCCAACTCCTCATCCACACCGGCGGCAACCGTGATACAAACAAGTAAACAAATCATCATTCAAGATATAGATACCACCAAATATGAAGAAATTCCCGCTAAAGAACCTGATCTAACTCGACAACCTGAAAAGAGTGCATTGAAAAAGCCGAATGGTCTGAAACGTCGTGTCATACCAGTTCTTCGAGAGAATCAACGTCCGTCACCACGGCCTAGTCCAAAAACTAAACCAGTTGTCTTTCTCACCTCTCCTCCATCATCTTCCACAGCCAACAATGACGAACATAATTCAGAAAACGAACGAAATGAAAATCCCGATTCTGCACCCGAGGATGACGATGACGACGATGGAAATAACGAAACAACGAAACGTTTCGCTAATGTGAAGCGTAATGATTCATTGGCACGTTTCCTCAAAGATCGCCCGTTACCTAATGAATTATTTGATAAACACATTCTTGTAAAACCAGTAGATGAGCGGAAGAACGAGCGCGATAATATCGAAACGAAATTAGAGCGAAAACTATCGTTACGACCGACCTCAGAAGAATTAGAGGCAAGAAATATTCTCCGTGCAAAAACCCAAGCTGAATTAATAGCAGAAAAAGAAGAAAAGAAACGTTATCTTATACGAAAACTCAGTTTCCGACCAAGTATTCAAGGTAAAAGAAACAGATGCCTTCTACCTACTATTCGAAGATATTTCTGACACAAATCCTATCTATTTTAGAACTTCGTGAACGTAAAATAATCCGTTTTTGTGATTATATTGAAGTATCCGAATGTGATGACGTTGATCGACGTGCTGATAAACCATGGACACGCTTAACACCGCGTGATAAACAAATGATACGAAAAGAACTCAATGATTACAAGAGTTTGGAAATGGAAATTCATCCCGAAAGTGCAAAATACACTCGATTTCATCCTCCTTAGTATTTTCCCCAACCTCTATCTGCTGCCTACTTGAATTTCAGTAACAGAACAGATAATTTTCTTCTTCCTTCCGGCTGTGATTTCTATCTCTCATGTGTTCTCTTTTGTCGATCGGCCTACAAATACTTCTATGTATGCATACATATATATTTTTGTTCGAATCTGTTTTTCTCTTTTATTAATTTTCAATTGAGCAGTGTGTATTGATCAAAGATTACAAAATGTATACTTTTTTTTATCGTACACTCACACCGGTTCTTCGTTCTTCATATTTTATATTTCTCCTTGTTGTCATGATTGATGAGGAACGCTCGATTTTTCTTTTGTATTTTATACACACTCAAAACAAAACCACAAATTAACTTGCATATGCATCGCTTATCTATTTTTTTCCTTCATTCTTTCTTGTACACAGACGCTCTTCTTTTTTTGTCTATATCTAATGATCAAATGATGAAGTCGAGAAGATAAAATGAGACTTCAAATGAAACCTATATTTTTCTAATTCCTACGAATATTTTTCCAGATTTCGACTCATGACGGAGTCAAGTTCGACAGAACAATTCTATCCGAACACGTTGATCGTAAAGGAAATTTCAAGTTTTATCGATAATGAACAATACGACCAAGCTTACAACTATCTCATCGCTTTAACCGATCAACAAATCTATGATGGCACATGGGATTTATGCACCTATTTATTCTATTTAGGAGAGAAATCAACGGATAAACTGTGTAATGAGAATGAAATCTACGCGCAAGACGCATTGAAATATGTTGCTGAACATGGAAATCCAAGAGAAATGTTGATTATTATGTTAGAGCAATCGGATAAATTTATAACTGATGACGCCTTTTTATTTCATATGAAGTTGTTTTTATTAATTCTTAAACGTTTACCCATTAAGCCTAGTTTAATCAATTCTCTACAGGATATTCTTACGCTACTGCAGTGCCATCTGCATACACTTGAAATACCAGCGATAAGTCATGATTTTGCAGGTAAAATGCGCATTACTCGGATCAAATTGTTTATGAATTCGCTTGTTTCAAAGGGAAAGATCTGTTGGTGTTCAATCACGATCATCGAATCAATCGTCTTCTGAAACTAACGCAAGCGTGTGTCGAGTTTTTCTGTGAACTTCGTGATTATTTTTCCACCACGACAGTTATCGACATTCGATCAATGTTAACGAAATCTCTGATAACACTTCTACAAGATCCACTGATCGCCTTAAGTTATGAACCAATAAACTCTCAAGAAAGTTCGTCGTATACATCTATTCGTCCACTGTTAGATTGTTTGTTTACGCTGACACCAAATCCAATTCGAATAATCGATAAAGACGAACAACAATCGACGTTAGTCTATTTATTATTAACAAAAGATGATAATTTTAATCGATTGCCTTGTGTTTATTCACCGAGTTACTATTTATTCCTAAGTATTCCATTTATTCTACAATTGAGTCAAGATCACGAGCGTGTCATGCTGACAGAGAAAGCTTGTACACTTACTTCAAGTGTTTGCTCACGTTTAGTACCCGGAAAAGAATTCGATCAATCGATACTAGACAACAATCAACTTCATGAACTTATTGATGCATTGAAAATCTTACTAGTTCGGTCACCTGCTCGACAGTATGCATCGTTAACAATCGGAGCCTACCGTTCGTTATTTCAAGCATTTACTCCACTTGGTCGGTATGACTTTCTCCGACAACAGCTAGCAAAAACATCATACCGAGAAGATTCTTATCGAACATTTCTCTGTACATTATTCAAAGATGAATTTTTGTCCGATTATCGGTCTGGGTCAAGTGAGATCTATAAAGGCGCATTGCTCTTTCAACTATTAGACTATTTATGTCGTTTACCGAATGGCGTTGAATCAGACCTACTGGAAATTTATGACTGTCTTTGTTCGTCATTGAATCTCATTCGTTTTATTGGTTTAGTCGATAAACAAAGCGTGAATCGAACTTTATTTTGGAGTGAACGGTTAACAGCTCTCAATGAAACATTCATGAAACCTTTGAGAAAATCAATTCAGTTAGCACGCGCACATTATAAATTGGAGATACGCAACAAAAACGATGACAACAATCAGCAAGTACAGCAACCGGTGAATACTGAAATTTTAGTCGATAATATGCCATTAGCAATGCCAAATAAACAAGAACAACTGGAAACATTACATACAGCAGTGACCAAATTTGATGTTCTGGATTGTATACTGAGTAGTTTAAGTGACACGTTCGCCGGTGAACTTTAATTTCTTTTTGCCGACAAGAGAGTAGTGTTTCGTTTTGAACATGGCTATAGGATTATTTTCAATAAAAGATAATCATGATAAAGTGAATTCCATTTCATTACATTCTATCGAGGCTTGTGCGTATGCGTATACTTATATGTTATACGTGCGAAGCTGCGGTTTCGCTGTGGAAGTGGTTGTTGCAATGCGCAGCATTGTAAAACACATAGTATTCTCTGCATATGAGTGATTATGACGCGGAAGCGTTGCTCGCATTCTCACACTAATTTTACTACAGTTGGCGTTAACTGTCGCCGTAGTATTCGAAAAAACTATCGAGATTATAGAGGTCGCTAATTTATGTTGACTATAGTCTCTCATTCATTTACCAATGGTTTTACAGTGACCATTAAAAACTTTTTAAACCTTATTTCCACCAAATATTGGCTGTTCGATATTCCAATGTCGTCCTCCTTCATTCCATTTTAATTGTTTACTTTTTAAAATTTCCCCATGCTTCGATTTGTCTTGGGAGAACATGTCAAACAGAAGTGGAAAAGATCTTCTATCCTCGTTCTTGATTTCCTTTCTATTTCAGATAGGCAGTCATGCCACCACCAGTTCAATCCACCCAACCACCTGGTCAGCAATTACCAACACGAGAAAACAGTCAATTTAAAAAACTCCTCGTAAGTTTTCAAAATCAACCTTTCTGACATTATTAGATTTCTTCAAATTCTTTGAAATAGCGTTTCTATGAACAAAAGCAGTATAAGAAAGGTTTAACAGCTGCCAGAGAAATCTTGAAAAAGTTTCCCAATCATGGTGGTAAGTACACTGACCTCTCGCCTATGTTCAATGCAAAAGGATAACTCGTTTTAAGAAACATTGGCTATGAAAGGTTTGATATTGAACTCAATGGGTAAAAAAGAGGAAGCTTTAGAAAATATTCGTAGCGGAATTAAGAATAATATTACTAGTCATGTCGTTTGGCATGTTTACGGTTTATATCAACGATCGGATCGTAAATATGATGAAGCAATCAAAGCTTACAAACGAGCTTTACAATGTGAAAAGGATAGCTTAACTATTCTCCGTGATTTATCGCTATTACAAATTCAAATGCGCGATCTCGAAGGTTACAAAGTATGATGAAATTGCAAACGAGGATTATTTCACCGGTATACTTCTAGGAAACACGTCACCAATTATTCAATCTAAAACCTGGTCAACGTCAGTCGTGGATTGGCTTTGCTATGTCTTACCACTTGTTGGGCGATTATGATATGGCACAAAGTGTACTCGAAGAATTCCGAAAGACTCAACAGGATCGTCCAGCACCATCACCTGACAAGGCATATGATAGCGAACATTCGGAGTTTTTGCTATACCAAAATTCGGTTCTTCGCGAAAGTGGACAGTATGAAGAGGCTTTACGCCATATACAAATTCACGAGAAAGATATTTATAACAAACTAACAATAGCAGAAATCAAATATGATTTGTATATGCGATTGAATTCAAATGATCGTGCTGAAACAATTCTGCGTGATTTAATTGAACGTAATAATGAAAATAAGAAGTATTATTATATGTTGGAGAAATGTTTACATCTGACAAACACTGACGACAAGACGAAACTATATGAAAATCTCATGGAAAAATATCCGAAAGCAGATGCGCCGAAGCAAATTACTTTACATTTTCTAACCGGTAAGTCTATCGACTAGGATGAGGAGATTGAATTAGTTTCGATATTTTTTATCATATAGGTGATCCATTTGCCAAAGCTGTTGGATCGTATTTACAACGCGGATTTCAAAAAGGTGTACCATCATTATTTCAGTCCGTGAAATTCTTATACGCAGCATCAGAAAAAGTCAGAGCAATCATCTTCTTTTTGACGTAAACTTTCTAATCGTATATTTCCTTTTTATATAGGTTCAAATCATAGATTCACTTCTACGCACTTACTACACCAATCTAACTAAATACGGAACATTTGAAACGCCTGCAGGTACGGATTATTTTTCTCTTTATTGAATGCTTTCTTCACTCTCGACGCTTCAGATAAAGCAAATTGCGTAGAAGAAAGCGAACCAACAACAAGTCTCCTCTGGCTTCAATACTATCTGGCGCAACACTATGATTATTTAGGTGATATTAATAAAGCTTTTGAGTACATCAACCAAGCTATATGTGATACACCAACTTTGGTCGAACTCTACATGTTTAAAGCGAAAATTCACAAGGTTGTTTTGTTCGTTTTTTCTGTTTCGAACTCATTTTTTCATCTGTTTGATTGAATAGCACGCGGGTGATTTTCAAACGGCTGCTTCTTGGATGGATGAAGCTCAATCACTTGACACAGCTGATCGATTTGTGAATTGTAAATGTACGAAATATTTACTACGTGCTAATCGAATAGAGACAGCACTGGAAATCGCTGGCAAATTCACTCGGGTAATTCGTGATGAACATTGTGAGTTTTGAATGAAATGTTTCTTTTTTTAATAGGAAAATTCTTCACCTGGCGAATATCTTCGTGAAATGCAATGCATGTGGTTCGAGTTGGAAATTGCGCGAGCTTATCGTCGACTAAAAAAGTATGGTGACGCATTGAAGAAGTGTCACGAAATCGATCGAGTAGGTTCTAAAATCTGTTTCCGAATGTCGAATTTGTTTTTCAATTGTCCTACAGCATTTTCAAGAATTTGTTGATGATCAATTCGATTTTCATTCATATTGTCTGAGAAAAATGGTACTCTGTGCTTATGTTGACATGCTCAATTTAGAAGATCACATCAAAGGCCATCGATTCTTTCGTCAAGCTGCTGAAATCGCTATTGAAGTAAAACAATCGTCTCCTTTTTCCTGATAAATACACGTTCTTCTTCAGATTTACATTCGTCTGTACGATCATCCACCTTCGGAAGAAGACAACGACAACAATGACAATCTCGGTAAGCGAACTAATTTAATAAGACTTCAACTTTCCTTCTTTTTTCCAGCCAATATGTCTGCCAGTGAAGCAAAGAAACTGAAGAATAAATTACGTAAACAAAAGATGCGCGAAGAACAAGAAAAACAGAAACAAATCGAAGCTGAACGGCGTAAGAAAGAATCTCAACGGCAACGAAATAAAGAAGATGGCGAGGAAGAGAAAATCAAAGAAGATGAACTCGTTCCGGAAAAACTTGAACATGTAAAAAAAATCGATAGTGTCTATCCTCGTCTTGTCCTGACGGTATTTCATTTAGTGCGAAAAACCATTGGAAGAAGCCATGCGATTCTTACAACCATTGGAAGATTTTTCGGGCAATTCTCTGCAAACACATTATCTAGGTTTTGAAGTTTATTATCGTCGCAGTACGTAAATATGAGTTGAATGAGACAAAGTCATTGGTGACTGTTTTTCTTTTTCAGAGAAATACTTATTGATGTTACGTTGCTTGAAACGAATGAAAAAACTCGATGAAAACAATGCGAAATTCCATTCGTGTTTAATGAAGTTCCTTAAACTAAGTTCGTATGATTGATTGTTAACATAAATATCGAGTTCGTTCTTTTTACTGCAGTGGAAGATGAACCGATTGGTGAAGAACGTATACGAAAATTGATTGATGAGGAATTGAACGATTTCGGAGTTAAACAAGGAGATTCGATCAAGAAAGTCGAAGAACTTAACGCAGATTTCGTTAAGAACCATTCGAATTCATTACCTCATCGTGCTGAAGGTAACTTCTGATGAAAGTCTCTCGACATCAATTCTATGAATGCTTATATATTCAGCTGCGAAGATCATGCTTTTGATCAGCCCAACGAACAGTCAAAAAGCAATCGAATACTTGACAACACTGGATTCAAAATTTGTCGATCAAAACCTAAAAGTTTGCATCCAATTCGATTTTCGCCTTATGACGTTCATATTCCACCTGTTTAGACGTGTTCATCGATCTATGAAAGTATGCAATCAGGTGGTTATGGCTCTATTGACTCTTCAATTGTTGAAAACTATCGTCTTCAATGTAATCGTCTCTGGCCGCAAGCAAATCTGTTTCAGCTGAATCCGACATCTACTTTTGATCCAAACTTACAATTAACTGGTGACAATCAAGCTAACCTTAGTGAAATGAAGCCGCCTAAATAATCTTTGCCCACTCATTCTCTCTCAACATCGTTTCTTCGTTTCATGTATTACTATTGTGTTCTTTTGATTAGTTTTCATAGACAAGAAAAAGAAACCGTTTATCCTCTTCAAGCATCTGTTGTTGTGATCGTCAGAAATGAAAAACTCGTTTGTTTTTCAAAGCCATATATCCGTGTTGTAAGGTTTTATATTGGTTTTCATATGTTTCAATAAAAGCAGAGAAAATATCAACCATCCTGACCAGTTTGCTTTTGTGTCATTGTTTATTTATTTCGTAGATCAAATGTCAGAAGTTTTAACGAAAAAAATCTTGGTATTGGGTAGTCGATGGAGCGGCAAAAGTTTCCTAATCAAACGTTTCGAAGATCTTTGCTCCACATCGAAGATTTCTACTGACGAATTCGTATGTACGACAGCAACTCTCGGAAAGACAGTGACTCCGATTAAATACAAACGAAATCATACATTCGAATTGCATGAACTTGGCGGAACAATGAGTTGTTTGTGGAAATCAATTTATACAAGTACAGATTTTGACAAGATCCTCTATGTTATCGATTCGACTCAACCATGGTCCATTGCTTTTTCATTAGAACAATTAAAAGAAATCACCGAACAAATACCGATCAAACACAAGAACGTTTTGTTAATTTTTAATAAAACGAATGAAATCAATTCGTTAACGAAAGCAGCATTAATGGAATTACTCGATATCGATACAGTTTGGAATGGCGACATTGACATAATCGAAACGAATGCACGTCTTGGAACAAATCTAACAGCCGTGTTGGATTGGTTAACGCGATAGATTCTCTACACTTGTAGAAAAAAAATCTCCTGCACAGAAAAATAATCTTTTTTTTGTTTGTTTTTTAGATGGCAGAAACACTATCACCAATGAATGAAGATGAACAATCGATATTCTCCTCACTTCATTGTACTCTCTCACCGATTTCAAAGGCGACCGGTTCAGCAACATTTACTTTGAATGATTCATTATGTACATGTTTACTCAACGGTCCGAGTGAACTTCGTCAACAGCAAGATGCAACTAACCGCTTGCAGGTCGATGTCACCTTTCAAGCTCGTCCCGGTACAAGCCACACGAATTCAACGGCGACAAAAGATAAACTTATCGAACAATGGTTGGAAACGTTAGTGCATTCCACTGTTTTAGCTGAAAAATATCCGCGTTCGCAGATCAATATTGTCATGTATGAAGAACAAAATCTTTCAGGTGAAGCGACTATCCTGGCATGTTTATGTAATACACTTTGTTTAACTATGCTCGATGCAAATTTACCGATGAAATACGCTTTCGCAGCTGTACCGATCGTGCAACATCCAACAAAAGGTCTTTTGTCATTACCGAAAACCAAAGATGAATTAATCTGTACAACCTACTTTGTTTTTGTCTTCGAAATTACCTCAAATGAAATACTAGCCATGCATGCCAGTGGGGAGTTCGATATGAAGTTGATGGAACAAGCGATTTCGATTGCAAAACCTGCAGCGGGTCAAATCTTTCAGTTTTATAGACAAGAACTTGAAAAACGATTATCATAATAATAAATCTTTTGTTTGTTATTACGTGTTTTGATACACCTGATTACCTGTGTTTTTTTCCTGCCTGTTCTCTCCTTCTTTTCACGAACAGGATTTGTTTCTTCGATGACAACGTACAGATAAGGTCACGTGATGCGAATGCAGGTCGGTTTTTCTGAGGAGTGATTTGTCTCTTTCGTTACAATGAAAATAGTCGGTTTCTTTGTAAGAAATACTTGTATTCTTTGAAGACGTTATTAATGAATGTTGACAAGTGTCTTGCTTCTCTTCTAGATAATGCACATCCTTCAGATATAAGAAAGAAACAGAGTAGAACATGTTCAAAGCCTACGCTTCATCCGATTCGACGGCACAGGATGAGGAGGACAAAAAGCCGATCGTCACATCATCGAATAGTAATACTATAAATGGTAAGTTAAGGAGGATTTGGATATTGACAGCAATATTATTATTTTACGATAGAAAAGACTTGGCTCGAAAATCGATCGTTTACCGCCGATCTGCCGATCGTTTCTTTCCATCAGCCAGTAACAACATCTCGTCCTGTTGTTGACACTAAACCAAAAACGGAAGAAAAGAAGCCAATCCAACCTATTGTTACTAAGAAAGCTGAGACACAAGAGTAAGAATATGATTTTTATCTATTCTTGTAATCGGATTTAATTTCTAGTGAAGTATTCTACGTTGATCGGCGTCGTGATCGTGCGAATATCACTGTTCAATACACTAAAGGTGTTCCTCGTTATGGAAATAAATTCTGTAATCAACGTCCGTTGGGCTCTCGTATAGCTAAAACCAATCGTAAACAACGAATGGTTCGTTATTTCCATCAGAAAATTGAAGATCCTGATTCTCATTCGGTGGACACATTTCTCAATGTTGACAGTCATTTAAAACAATTGAACATTACCGTTCGTGAGCAGCCACATTCATTCGATGCATGGAAAGAACTAATCGATTATCAATGTTTTCTTCTAAAAAGCAACGGTCAACAAGAGAGACTGAACGCATTGTACAGTAAACAATTAGCAATTGCTGAACGAGCACTAGAACAGAATTCCAATCGTCTACAATATCGTCTGCTGCTATTAAATCTTCGCACTCAATCCCATTTATTCAGTCATGAAATACTCTTGAACGACTGGAAAACGTTGATAAAAGATTGTCAAAAATCGAGCGATGATCGAACAATTAATGAAACCTGGTCTTCTTATGTACAATTCTTACTTAATCGAATCGAAATCTTTTCAATTGAAGCGCTGGATCAAGCATTCGTTGAATATTTCTCGATCTATTCGTATCATATACAGACACGCAGTGAAAAAGACCGAAAATTTTTAATTAATCATATGCTAGGTAAATAAAACGGTAATCTTCGCTGTGCTCTTTGATTGAATTTTCGAATAGATATGTTTCAGATCTGGACAAATGTATTGCACAATGCCGGTTATTATCAACGAGCAATTGGTCTCTATCAAACTATGATTGAGTTACATCTAGATTTTACGACAGAAGCGAAAACAGAGTTTTCTAAACGTTTGGAGTCTTTAGAAAAAACATGGAATACAAATAAAGCTCGGTAAGAATGAGCGGAATTTCCCTGAAACGATGAGACGCCATTCCTCAGCATACGTGCAATAGGATAGAGATCTGTTCTGATTCGCAAATCAAATTATTCGATCACTTCTTTCCACTACAACATTCATAGTACGATTCATATCGCCAATCCTCCTAGATAATTCTTTTTGACCACGATATCAATGAAATTTCGGTCGAATTTGATTAACAAAAAAGTCATTATTATTCAGAATGTTTCTAAGAGCGAACGTCCGCACTTGATTTACTCTGTGTACAACCTCTCTCGAATAAATGAATAGAATCAATATATTGCCTTTTTATGTAGTTTTGGAGAACATATTGATATTGAAAATACAACTTCATACATCGACAATGAACTTTCGACACTATCTGCTGAAGAAAATCGTTTATTCGACTCGACATACCAATCTTGGATACCCATCGAACGACTACGAATGGATTTTTATCAACAAAAACTTCTCAATCACGGTATTCACTTTCATTCTCAACTTATTCAATCGTTAACAGATTCGAGTCAAATTGACACTGAACTCTGTAACATATCGTTTCAACAATCGATTCGGCCATTTCTTTTTGAATTGAATGATCAGCGACAGTTTCTTCTGTTGATTATTTACTATCTCCGATTTCTCAATGCGCTTCCACATTTGACAATTTTACAAGAAATCTTGGTACGACTAAAAATTTCGTTATCAATCCATTTGCAAAACCATTTATTCCTCGAAAATGAATTTCTTTCACTCTATCCACTGATTCATCCAATCACAATCGTCCACACAGAAGAATACTTTTCATATGAATATATCTCGAAAGTCTACGAACAAATTACTTCAATTCCATCGTTGAAGTCCTACAAAATCGAATTTATTCTTCTCTATTGGTATTATCTGGCAAGAAATATAGTCGAAGTGAAACAACAAAGTAAATATTTAACTTGTAAAAAACGAAAGTACATCTGTCGTGTTCGCCTGAGAAAGAGAATGTACGATAAAAAACAAAACCAAAGGGCGATGTACCTGCATGAGAATATGTGTGATAAAGACACTCCGTACCGAGCCTTCGTACCCTCGGACAGTGACGCGTGATTTTTCTTTTATTACCTTGTTCTAAAAGACCACGTGTTTCGATTTATTCCGTCTATAAATAGCTTTTACAAAAAAAAAACACTCTTCTATCCAGCGCGCATTCGTACCGACTAATGTTCGAGGAATGCCGTTGTGTCTAACGTGATGCGTTTTTTATACAGTAAAAAAAACAAAAGACATTCGTGTATTTAGATCTTTCATTATCAAAAACTCGACTGAAGTCGTTGCAGACAATCATCAAGAAATATTTATCATTGGAAGAATATCGAACATGTCTTCGTTTGTATACGCACTATGGTCATCTAGAATATGATTATTTTCAACGTGTAAATGACAGTCGTCGAATATTTGATTTATGTTTTCAAACAATTCGAACAAATCCGACGAATTTCGTTTCGTATGAATCTTATCTCGATCTTTGTCATTGGCTTTCAACGTGGTTGGCTTGCGAATTCAATTTAAACCATTTGTTTGATCAAATGCTGAAAATAGTCTTAGAAAATGCTAAATACAATTCGTTCAATAAACAAATCAGCAAAGATAAACTTTGTTCATCGATTCAATTTGTTTTGAAAAAACTATTTCCGAATCTTGAATTCAACAACATAATCACACTCGTCATTGAATGTTTAAAAAACCGAAAGAAAGTTTCGAAATGGGATCAAACGAATGAACAAGATTGGTCCACTTATTTACGTCAACATCATTCGTTAGCATTTGAACTTTTATTCATCTTTCTCAATTATTCGTACTTACTCAACGATCCATTCGAGAAAATTCATCATATCATCTTGAATTCGGTTATACCATTGATCAATGAACAATACAATAAAACAAATCAAACGATGATCGATTCGATTCTTCTCTTCTACGTGACAATTCTCTGGAATGAATTATTTACTGAACATCTCCTGTTTAATCAATGCACACAGTATTTAAAAGAGATTATCGAGTCTCTGCGATACCCATCGACTATTCTATGGAAGTTCGTTTCGATTTACACATGTCTATTGCCCTTGTATGGAAGTTATGTCAATGAATTCGAGCAGATGCTAACAAATTACAAATCGAATAAAAAAAGCGAAGATCGGCTCATGACGAAAATGTTCGTTGTCGAAATGAATTTAATTCGACATATCAAAATCCAACGAGCCAATGTTGTTAATAAAATGTTCAATTCCGGTTATGAACATCGTGTTCGACATAGTATTCGTCAGTTCATTCAAGAATATCCGTACTTTGTTCATTTGTGGCTGTTTTACGAATATTTCGAGAAATACTCACCTGATAAAACTCGAGTTAAAGCTGTTTTATACGACTCCATGCAGAATTGCCCCTGGAATAAAGTAAGTACCGACATCTGAATTTCTTTTTCGGAAGAGCACACACATTAATCAACGGAATATCCTCAGGCAGTCAATCATGATGAATGAAGCTGAAAAACAACCACTTTGTTTTCCTTCTGTTTTAGACTTTATACATGAAATCCATGTCCAATGCGATTAGTGAAACTGAATGGAAACTATTTTTGAACGTAATGTTAAAAAGCAATGTACACATTCTATTTTCTCTAGAAGAATTCGATATGCTGAAAGAATTGGTTGAAATGAAGAATTAATAAACATGTCGTTCTTGTTTATTCTAGATATGAATTAATTCATATTCAGTTTATATAGTGATCTGAAATCGAAAGCAGAATGTATAAAGTGAATAACTTATTACAAACATCGTTTTGTATTCGGTCGACTTTAGCTTCGACAAAGCGTTTTCTGTCGGTGAAAAAACCTGAACAATCTCAATCACGGAAAACGTATGATTTCAGAAAAATCAACAAACTTCTCGTTGCCAATCGCGGTGAAATAGCTATTCGAGTATTTCGTGCATGCACGGAAAATAACATCCGTACGGTAGCTATTTATTCAGCCGAAGACGAAGGTCAATTGCATCGTATCAAAGCAGATGAATCATTTAAAATCGGCAAAGGTCTAGCGCCCATCGCTGCTTATTTGAACATTCCGGAAATCATTAAAGTTGCTTTGAAAAATGACGTCGATGCTATTCATCCAGGTTATGGTTTCCTCTCCGAAAACGGAGATTTTGCTAAAGCATGTATGGAAGCTGGAATTATGTTTGTTGGTCCAACGCCAGATGTTATTTATCGGATGGGAAACAAATTAAATGCTCGACAAGCAGGTAATCATCAAAACAAAAATGTTCATGTTACCATAGGTTGTCAATGTTTTCTTTTGCAGCTATTGATGCTAAAGTACCGATTATACCTGGTACAGTGGACGCCGTGGATAATCTTGATGCGGTACGTGAATTTGTCAAAGAGCATGGCTATCCGATAATGCTCAAAGCAGCACGTGGCGGCGGCGGTCGCGGTATGCGTGTAGCAAGAAAAGAAAGTGAACTTGAAGAAGCTTTTCAACGTGCATCATCAGAAGCCATGGCAGCCGTTGGCGATGGTCGTCTATTCGTTGAACGTCTCGTGACAAATGCAAGACACATCGAAGTACAAGTTATTGGTGATCATCATGGCAATGTTGTGCATTTATACGAACGAGATTGTTCAGTGCAACGACGTCATCAAAAGGTTATCGAAGTCGCACCAGCAACGAATCTCGATCCTAAACTTCGCGAACGTATCACATCTGACGCTGTGCGTTTATCTAAGCATGTTGGCTATCAAAATGCGGGCACGGTTGAATTCCTCCTAGATGACCAAGGAAGACACTACTTCATTGAAGTTAATTGCCGTTTACAAGTCGAACACACATGTTCAGAAGAAATTACTGGTATCGATATCGTGCAATCGCAGATAAAGATCGCCGAAGGTGCCAAATTACCTGAGCTTGGTCTCGAACAGGACAAAATAAAAATCATGGGTGCAGCTGTACAATGTCGTATGACAACTGAAGATCCTGCCAATAATTTCACACCAGATGTTGGTCGAATTGATGTGTTCCGTTCAGCTGAAGGATTTGGTTCGTATTTGAATTCTAACTGGACAAAAATCAATTTGTTTCCTTTATAGGTATTCGTATTGATAGTGCATCTGCTTATACTGATGCTGTGATCAGTCCATTCTATGATTCACTGTTAGTAAAAGTTATTGCTCATTCACGTAATCATCAAGAAGCATGTGCCAAAATGGTTCGGGCATTAACTGAATTCCGTATTCGAGGTATTCACTATCTATGAGGATTCGATAAATGATGAAACGTAAGTTTTTTTTCTCTTTTCAGGTGTCAAAACTAACATTCCATTCTTGCTCAATGTCCTCCAACATAAGCAGTTTCTCGAAGGTTCAATTACAACGAGCTTTCTTGATGAAAATCCTCTCCTATTCAAATTCGTTCCATCACAAAATCGTGCTCAGAAGTTGCTTCACTATCTATCCGAAGTCTTAGTTAACGGCCCATTGACACCTTTGGGTACAGATATCAAGCCAATGGCGATCAAGCCTGAATTACCTCATATAAAAAAGAAAGAAATTCCCAATGGCTGGCGACAGGTCCTCTTAAAAGAAGGGCCACAAGGTTTCGCGAAAGCCGTTCGCAAACATCCAAAGTAAAATCATTAACACCAATGTTCTTTTCTTCATCACTGTATTCCAATTAGAGCTCTACTGATGGATACAACAATGCGTGATGCGCACCAGAGTTTATTGGCTACACGAGTTCGAACACGTGATTTGAAAAAATGTGCTCCATTTGTAGCCAAGAATTTCTCTCAATTCTTCAGTGTAGAGAATTGGGGAGGTGAGCAATGATGTGTTTCCTTTTACTTATTTAACTAATTCCAAAATTCCTAGGTGCCACATTTGATGTTGCACTTCGCTTTCTTCACGAATGTCCTTGGGATCGTCTTACGGAATTACGTGAATTGATGCCGAACATTCCTTTTCAAATGTTATTACGTGGTGCCAATGCTGTTGGCTATTCCAATTACCCAGATAATGTGATCAATGCGTTTTGTCAAATGGCTGTCGATCACGGAATGGATATCTTCCGTGTGTTTGATTCGTTGAACTATTTACCAAATATGAAAGTTGGTATTGATGCTGTGGGAAAGGCCAATGGTGTTATATCAGCAGCTGTTTGCTATACCGGTGATGTAGCAGATACGACAAGACAAAAATATAATTTGGATTATTATACCAAATTCGTCGACGAGTTGGTCAAAATGGGTATACATATTTTATCGATCAAAGGTAATCAGTTCTGGTTTTTCGAGTTCTATCAGCAGACAAACATTGATCTGTTCTAGATATGGCTGGTCTTTTGAAACCACGTGCCACTAAAATGTTGATTGACGCTATTCGACAAAAACATCCAGATTTACCCATCCACTTACATACACAGTAAGATGATCTTTTGTTGTCCTTCGTAGAATATGAGATCTAAGTAACTAAATTCAACGTAGTGATACAGCCGGCACGGGTATTGCTAATTATATTGCTGCATTCGAAGCTGGAGCTGATATTGTCGATGTTGCTGTGGACTCGATGAGTGGTATGACATCTCAACCGACCATGGGTGGCATTGTTGCTGCACTACAGAATACGAAGCACGATACAGGAATCGATATGGAAAAAGTTAACGAATATTCAGCCTTTTGGGAACAAACACGTTTACTCTATGCTCCATTTGAATGTACAACAACAATGAAGAGCGGCAACGCCGATGTTTATAAAAACGAAATTCCTGGTGGTCAATACACAAATCTTCAAGTAGAGATAGCGACAGTTTCTCATCCATACATGCGAGTCATTCGAAATTTCTATTTAGTTTCAAGCATTCAGTCTCGGTCTTGGTTCACAATTTGAAAATGTCAAGAAATCTTACATTGAAGCCAATCAACTTCTAGGCGACATCATCAAAGTGACACCCTCGTCGAAAGTTGTCGGTGATCTTGCTCAGTTTATGGTACAAAATAATCTAACCGCTAAAGATGTCCGTGAAAGAGCCGAAGAACTTTCATTTCCATCAAGCGTTGTCGAATTCATGCAAGGTCAACTTGGTCAAGTAAGGATCTCGTCATTACTTGTTATCTTGAACAGATAGATTGTCTTTAGCCACATGGTGGATTTCCTGAACCACTTCGTACTCAAATGTTAAAAGGAAAGAAGAAAATCGACGGTCGTCCAGGTGCCGATGCTAAACCGTTAGATTTCGATAAGATCGAGAAAGAATTACAGAAAAAATTTGGTGAAGACATCATTCGTAAATGTGATGTGATGTCTTATGTAATGTTTCCCAAAGTACTTGAAGAATATATTGACTTCAAACAGCAATATGGTCCTGTTGATCTCTATCCAACGCGAGTCTTCTTTGTTGGACCAAAACTAAACGAAATGATGGAGTAAGTGAAACGTTTCAAACAAACAACGTTACATAAAGTTTGGCTATTTAGTATTGAAATCGAACATGGCAAAGTTCTTCACATTGTTGTATTAGCTATCAGCGAGCTGATGACGGAAACAGGTGAACGAGAAGTATTCTTTCAAGTGAACGGACAGTTGCGTTCGATGAAAGTTAAAGATAAAGCTGCTATTAAAGATCAAAAAGTACATCCTAAAGTCGATAAAAGTAACAAGAACCAAGTTGGTAGGTCAAATGTGTACAAATGTTAAACTTCGAAACATGCGAGTTGTCTTTGTGTTTCGTAGGCGCACCAATGCCAGGTCAAGTTTTGGATGTCAAAGCAAAGGAAGGTGATTTGATTAAGAAGGGTGATACTGTTGTTGTCTTAAGTGCCATGAAGGTGAGAGAAAAAAAAAGGGAAATGAACATTGTTTTCATTACATTCTGTATTTAGATGGAAACAGTCGTTAAAAGTACTGTTGATGGTAAAGTTAAGAAAGTACATGTTAAAGTTGGCCAACAAGTTCAAGGTGATGATCTGGTTATTGAACTTGAATAGATAACAGTGCAATAAATCGTTTCCTTTATTTTCAACTGTCTCTGAGCTCATTGCGATCCTAGTGACATTTATTCAACTATTCCCAGTGTTTTCTCCAGTTGTTTCGTGTATTTTATTTTTCATCTATTTTTCTGTCTTTTCATAACATATGGCTGCAGTAGAAAGTAGTAACATAAACAGTTTGTTTGTTTTTCGTTTAGTCTCATAGGTTAGTAGTCTATTGATTTAGCCTTTGGTATTGCTCATAATAAAAGCACACATTTATTCTTTCTTAAGATTTCTTATGATTTTTTTCTACTACTGAAATCACCGAACATTATGTCAGCAGCAGCAGCATCAACAGAGAATCTAGAAAGTGAACAAGTGGATATTGAAGCGAAGAAATTGCAGGTAGAGAAAGTAAATGATATCAGATTAAGGTGTATTTCATATATATATAGAAAGCTGTTCGTAACACGGCTATTCAAATGGGCTGTTGGACAGCTGTAGATGACTATCTATTGATAACAAGCATCTTACATCTGTGTGATTTGGAACGAGTTCATGAACGAGTGAAGTTTTCCATGCCATTTACACTAGAGAATATTCAAGATCGGTGGCGATGTTTATTATATGATTCATCCATATCGAAGTAAACTCTTCCCCTTTCTTTTCTTTCTCGAACTAGAAAAATGTATATTTAGTATGATTATCAAGAAGATTCAACATCTTTCCATGTCACAAATTGCCAATTTACATGTCCCATTGAGTGAGGAAGAAGAACGATTGGTAGCATCGATTCCATCGCATGTGAGTGAGATAAATATTGAGACTGTTGTTTTTCAAGAAAGGCTTTCTTTCAGATTATTCCAATTGCACTTGACGACGAACTTGATCGATGTCTAAGTAAATATTCGAAACGTTTTTGGTCAAATCGTACAATTGACGAATTACGTGAATGCTGGTTCCATTTGCGACAGCAAGGTCGCCTTACCGACCAACCCAATGCATGTATGTGTATTCAATAGTGTTCATTGGTAACCTTGATTCGTCTAATTTTCTAGTTGATTCCAAACGAGTCGAAACCATTCAAGGTTTGTACAATCAAGCAGATGTTCTCTTAATAGAATATGCTAATTACATATTTGAATAGAGAGTCGAGCGGCGAACAAATTAAGTGAATTATTAATACCGGTAGAATTTGAATTATTAACTCGTAAGTCTTTCGGAGAGAAGTTATTTCTCAATCGTTTCTGCTTTCTAATTAGGTAACAAAGAGGAATTTCTTGACAAAACCGACTTTCCTCATGCTTTGTTTCAAGTTAATGATCGTCTCTATTGCATGTATTCTGAGCAGGTATGGTAAATCGATGAAAAAATCATCTCTTCCACGGAATTTCATGTTCAGCTAACATTCGGGACCAGTTTTCCCAATGAGAAATTCGATATCTCAGTCGTCAATTCTACCACAATCCATATCAAAGGCTTTATTCTTCGCAGATCCGGTGCGTTCTATATTATCAACAATGGTGATAATCCTTTTCGTGTCAACGACGCTCTACTCAATCCAAATGAAGCAAGTCCATTAGGTACTCGAGCTATTATCAATGTAAGTTCTATATAATGAGACTATGTGTATCGATACAATATTTACATGTATATTATATCTAGATACTTGAACACGTCTTAGTCTTCCAAGCCATGGATCTGTCGTAAATCTGTTTATCTTTTCTGTTCGATCGCGTTTGTAAACATTGTATAGAGAACAAAGTACAAAATAAACTTCGAAATATATTGCGTATGGAACCTTGTCGTGATCTCTAGTCAACGATATTTGTAGGAGAGAAGTGTTGCAACGCGAGAAACAACAAGTATATGCATCTCGTTTCAGAACATGACTGAAAAACGTGCACTGTCACCACCACCTCTACCAACATTTGTTCTTCGATCATTCTCATCTGGAGTTTGTTGTGTCAAATACGATTTAGCCGATTCTTTACGTCTCTATACAGGTGAACAGCAAGGTTCCATTCATTTGTACGATCTTCGTACACGTCTTCCAATTCTTTCATTAACCAACGCACATTCATCGACGGTTCTTAGTTTAAGTCAACTCAGTGAAGATAATCAATTGATTAGCTCGGGTAAAGATGGTTTTATCAAGATCTGGAATGCCAATGGTCAATGTCAATGGGATTATCAAACGTATCATTGTTCATTTTCTAACTGTGATACCATTTCACCAAATCTGATTGTCACTCCGATTGGCAGTGATGATTCTCTCGTTGGCGCACTTGATTGTCGTTGTACAGATCCTGTTATCAAGAAATTTCAACCAATATCTCCAGATATAAACAACGGTATGGTCATGAAATTACGTGTCTTTGATAATCGTTGGCTATTTGTTGCTTATGAAAACGGTTCAGTGAAAGTTTTCGACATTGCATCGACAAAACAAATCGATTCCTATCAAGTGACATCGGATCATGAGCCGATAACAGCTTTGGATGTTGCTTGCAATACATGTCTATGCGGAACGACGAAATCAGATTTGATTTCATTGGATTTTGCATCGTTGAAATTAGAGAAAACATCGACATTCCGTCAGGTAGAACTGCCTAATGCTGGTACAAGTTCTTTACGTTGTCGACCGAATGATGGAAAACTGATCGCGGTTGCTGGTTGGGATTCTCGATTACGACTGTTTCGAAGAGAAACTGGAAAACAATTAGCAATGCTGGATCACCATCGGCAACAAATCAATTCGATTGATTTCGATTTTCATACTAGACAAATGGCTTGTGCAAGTGAAGATCGAACTGTTTCTATTTGGGATATTTATAACAATAAAACATGAGGCTAACTCATAGACAACAATCGAAATCTTTGTATTTGTATGCTCGTGTAGATGTCACTGACGAGAAACGAAGGCTTTTCGAAAGTATTTCGCTGTCATCATGTGTACTTGGTTGTTTTATTATCCCACGCATGACTAATGACGGGCCGAAAAGAAAAGATCGAATGTACTACTATAATCCTACTATAAAGAAAAAAATTTTTGTGGATACTTGTATTGACGCATTTGTTATTACCTATTAATGTCGCAATATTTATTTCCTTCATTTTCAAAGATATATAAACAACGTGTTTTTTTTTTCATCAAAGTTGAAAAGACAAGACCGCTGAATTGTCAAAGATTCGTTCTACTAGTGTTCTAAACTCTGTGTAATATGGCATCGAGCAATCCAAGATTAACAACTTCGACCTACACTCCATCAGAACTCGAACTTATCGAACGTGTTCATTCACATTTTCCTAACAACGAGCCTAATCAATTTCATTATTTCTATGAGACAGCTTCCCCTTTCAGTAATTTCCATCCGTGCCATTTCGTCGAAGGTGGCATCGAGTTCGACACCAGTGAAAAGTACATGATGTATCACAAAGCGAGTAAGAGAAAGCATAAAACTTGTTTACCTCTATTTCACTCATCTTTTCACAAGAGTTATTCAATGATAATGAAACTGCTGAGCAAATTCTTGAGGCCACAACTCCAGCAGACTGCAAAGACTTAGGGCGACGTGTGAAGGGCTTCGATGAGGTGATTTGGACAAACAATCGAACGCAAATCGTCTCTAATGCACTTCTATTGAAAGTATGTTTTTCGTTCTTACTAAAACTCGACAGTAAACAATAACACATTCGTTTAGTTTACTCAAGATCAACAAATGAAAGAGTCTCTGTTAAAACAACATGGGAATTTACTTGTCGAAGCAGCCGCCAACGATGGTATCTGGGGAGTTGGTCTCAGAAAAGATAATCCATTGATTAAAAATCGCTCGAAATGGAGAGGATTGAATTTATTAGGTTACATATTAACTGATGTTTTATACAAAATCCACGATTAGAACTTCAGTATCGATTCCGTATCTATGTGTCTACTAATATCTGACAATATAAACATAAAAATAAAAACGAATCAAATACATCAATGAAACGGATTGACCGTATTCCTATATATGCCTTCTTTCATTAGAAAATGAATAAATTCGTCTTTAGTTACACGTCCATCTCTGCTTGTGTCTAGTTTTTTCATCAATTCTTTGGCTACAGCATCTGGAGGATAATCTTGAACATGTTTGATTCCTAATAGCGTATACATTCCTCGCAAGACTGGTTCGATTTCATCTAAAAGAATGATTAATACGTGTAACTGTGAAAACAAGCCAAACATTTGAATGTTCCTACCTTCAGTAATGTACCCATTTGAATCTAAATCATAACATTCAAATGCATAATCTAAGCGTGATCGAAGATCACCACGTGAACATATAGCAAAACCAAGAAGGAATTCTCCAAATTCGACATAACCGTTGCCATCAACATCAAATGCACGAAAAACATGATCACAGATATTTTCTAAGCGTTCAGGAGGTTCCTGACGAAGAAGACGAAATAATCGACGAAATTCGGTTTTATCCAAACGACCGTCAGGATTATCGTAAAAAAATTTCTCGTGCCAGGTGCGAATTTCATCAGGTGTCAAACCTAATGATAAACGAAAAGGATAGTTTTCAATCATCATGCACTGAGATTAGTCATGGTGTTTGAATCCAGACAAGTTTGAAGGCAAAAACGAGCACTATTTACTTTCATTTTTATTACTATTTGAATTTAAATAAGACGACATGTGTGTCAAACAGAAACAGAGGCGTATCTGTGCACTTAAGCAAGATAGAAACAATAGAATTTTACTGAATATTTGTTGCAGCTCTAACAAACGATTTTTAAAAGATACGCAAATAAGTCTTCGTCACAAACTGCGAACAGAATAAATCAAGAACTTTTCTCTTTTTGGATTTTAAATCAGGCGTTTTTCAACGATCGGATAGCAACTGATTTAATCAACGAGGAAAACGAAGACAATGTAAATTTCAGTGATAAATGTTATTACATACCAGTTTGTGAACAGAGAAAAGAGATGTCTCGTTCGGACAAAATCCATTTACTTTGGCTTTCTCCATCACCAGCTGGATTTACATAGGGACTAATACTGCGCTGAGATCGTTTGCTACTAATCGCAGCGATACCAGTCATCGTCGGCATGCTTTTCCTATTACCCATGATCTCTTATCTAAAAAAAGAATTTTCGTAGAGGAAAAAAACATTTTGCTTCGTTTTTGAAAAAAAAACAAAGGCACAAACAAAACATTCTCTCTTCAATCTTTCTTATCAAATAATAAGAACAAAAAAGAGAGAGCAATGTATATATACTCGATCAATATATAGCTGAATAAGTTACCTTTCTTGTTGGAAATATACGTATATATGCACGTGTATGTATGAATGTATTTGCTTTCTTGCAAGGTTATTAAAAGGATTTTGCTTCGTTTCTCTCTCTCTCTCGCTCTGCTATGTGGGAAGTGTTTATGTCTCCTACGTCTTACTGTTGTCTTCTGTTAATCAGGTATCCATATAAAAATCGACAGCAGGTTAAAATAATAGAGATGGCAAGTTTAACTGATGGCTTTTTTTTATTATGCACGTGCTATTCTCTTCCCGTCAACTATGTTATTTATGTGCACATTGAATTTTTTTTCTCCTCTTCTATCTGAGCTTAATAGCTTGAAATAATCATCATTAACTTACCTCCAAACAGAGCTCTTCGCTCACTTTAAAACTATAAGAATGATATAATTACGTCTCCGGTGAAAACTTGATAGCAAGTTTTATAGTCGCATACTTTTGTTATCTATATCGTTGAAGATGTCGCTCGAAAACGTCGACTCATTTGATGTTCTCAGATTGGCTGAGAAATATGATGCATTTTCATCTCCTTGACGAATTTCTGTCATTGAAGTTGTATTTGTGATCAGTCGAATCGATAGGAGAAAAGCAGCAAAGATGAGATCGCAATTAATAGATAATCAACAACAGCAGTTAGCAACAATGATACCTGTGCGATATCGGATCTTACTCTATCTAAATATTTTCTTAGTCGCGGTCGATTTGGGTATAAATACATTTAGTGAATTTCTCGCACCAAATGCTATTGGACAATTGATCATTTTCATGTATGTACATTAACGACAAAGTTTTTCCAAACATCTCTATTTGTTTGTTTTGTTAAAGTATTCAAGATATATGCATTGTACTTTCAATTACTTTGATTATTGTTATGGTTTTAACAACTTATGTGGCACAAGCTGGTTTACTCTGCCTTCTTTTACGCATGTTTCGCTTCTCTATTCTTATTGCCTTTATTTATCTTGCATTGTGCGCTGTTGTTCAAGGATTGATAGTTGTGAGTTCAAACATCATTTATATTTTGTTCAAATCTTATGTGAAATTTCAGAGTGGACGAATCGGCCAAACTACACTCAGCCAAGCTGCTTTTGTAAAACCTCAAGTGTTGGCCTTCTATGTTATTCAACGTACATGTATGCGATGAAGATTTGTTTGCTATTCTTAATGATTTTGTTGTGCAATTTTAGTCTCTGTTTTGTATTATTATGGAATGAAACGTGCTGCTTATCGTTTGAGTGATCCTCATTTTTACCAATCGTCTAAATGGTTACAGAATCTCTGGTATGATCATTAATGCTCGTTTGTCAGATCGAAACTTTATTTTCGTTTTTAGGGAAAAACGTCGTATGGCTGCCACAGGTGCTACCATGCATGTCCCATCAGGTGTTGGAGCTGTACCAGCTACAACACGATGTGTTTGTTGTACAATTTTATAGAATCGATTTCGCTCTGATTTTTTTATAGTATATCTAATCCGTCCATGAATGCTGTATCTCTTTGTTGTGTTCTCTTGACATTCTTAGTTCTGATGTATCAGATTTGTGTTTTTGGCGTAGCAGTCACGAATTTCAATTAACTAATATATAATAGATGATGGAGCTGTATGACTGTTGACTGAATGAAATCGAATGTTGATGCAGAGAGAAAAACGAACCTTGTAGAACGATGAGTCATGAGCAAAAATATGACACGGTTCGACGTAGATGAATGAGTACGATTGGTTGTGTATGTAAACTGACATTTTTCTCTTTTAGATTTTTTATTCAGTCTATGTCAGAATCAAATCTCGATAAATTAATACCAACGAAACATGGCTGGCATGTAGGTTTTAATAAGCAGTTCGACGGACGATGGAAACCATTCGGACGACCAAGAGCAAGACAATTAGTCGAATATGTGCCATTATTTATGAGGTACATTACATGAAATTGAAAAGGAAAAGGAAACTCTCAAAAAAGTAACTAGGTATCTTCGAGTATGGTACAGGTTAAAACGTGCAAAGCGACGGGCTCATATGGACTTTCTTAATCCAGTACCGCTTCAACAAATCTATGGTATGTAATATGAAAAGAAGATTACTATCATGTTCTATTTGTTTAATACGTAGGTGCACCGATCGGTGGATTAGGTTGTGGAACAATTGGTCGAGGTTTTCGAGGAGAGTTTTGTCGCTATCAACTTGTACCCGGTCTCTACGAATTTCAAGTTGTCGAAGCTAATACAGTTCGTGTTTCGAAGGAGACAATCTTGTTTCTCTAGACAGAGATTTTCTTTTAATTTGATTAGTTTACCGTTTGTGTACGGCGTCGAAATATGACAACCTATTGTCAAGTATTAACACCGCATCGTCTGAGAAAAAAAGGTTTCCGCTCATGGAATGCCGCATTTCCAGCTGAGAACGGTCGATATCAAGCTCTATATCCTCAGTCATGGACGACATACGATTTGCCTGGTCAAAATATTCGATTATTGTGCAAACAATTATCACCAGTTATTCCGCACAACTACAAAGTAAATTATAGAGGCCAGCAGACAGTCTTGATTATCTATTTTCTTTGTTTTGTTCAGGATTCGTCGTTTCCGGTGGCTTCATTTCTTTGGTATATCGAAAACTTGAACGATGAACCTGTAGAAGTTAGTCTGATGTTCACATGGCAAGCTGGTTCTGGTAAAGAATTTTTACTTTGAATACTTTGAGCTATGCACTTGTTTTCATCGTAGCTTCACAAGAATTTGTATGTCGAGATATTTCACATCAAACAATCAATGCTTCTCAAGATGATATCACCGCTGTTGGTGTAACAATTCAACAAGTGCTACGTGAAATGAATCTGGAATATTGCATCATGGGCAAAAAAGAAGTTCGTATTGGCTATTAGTGAATGATCTAGCAAGCGAGTTTTCGGATTTGTAATACATTGTAGATCGATAATACGATTACAACACGAACGAATTTCAATGTCGATTCAGATACTGCTGGACGTGACATATGGACGGATTTGACTGAAGACGGTCGATTAACAGGTAGGATTGTGAAATGATCCAGAGAGTTTGTTTGATTGATACGAAATCTTTCTACTTTCTACTAGAACCTAATACAACAATACGATCGGCAGGACTTCATTCAGCTAGTTGTGTTTGTATTACAGCTACCATTGCACCGAAATCTATCAAAACATCTGAGTTTGCTCTGGCTTGGCACATGCCACGAATCAAATTTGGTCTTGGACAAAAGTTATACTCGAAGTTCGTTATTAATGTCGAAATGAATATTGATTCTATAACATAAAGCTTTCTTCAGATGGTATACAAAATTCTTCGAGAAAGAAGAACTGACTGGTTCTACGCTTTGCATTTATACGATGCAACATCGCACGACATGGGAAGAAGATATTGCCAAATGGCAACAACCGATTCTAAATGACCAGTATGACAATTTCGATCTATATTCTAATGAACATATTAGATAAATTATCTATTTAGATCCTTGCCAGACTGGTACAAGAGTGCTATATTTAATGAATCATATTTCATTGCTGATGGCGGAACAGTTTGGTTGGATGTCAGTGATGATCATACTCTACCTGAACATATCAGAAAGTGGGGCCGATTTGGTTATTTAGAAGGTAGATCAATACTTCTTCGTATGTACATCTATTCAAAGAAAGCTGCGTCTAGGTCACGAATATCGCATGCTCAATACATATGATGTCCATTTCTATGCATCATTTGCGCTAATTCAACTTTGGCCAGAGTTGGAATTAAGCATTCAATATGATTTTAGTTTGTTGATTTGATTTCAATAACAAACGCATCAATGAATGTGTTCATTTTAGCTAATACAATTACTTATGAAAAACTTGAATCCCGCGTATATTTGTATCACGGCCGAGCATCTCACTGGAAAACCTTACATTCTGTTCCACATGATCTTGGTGATCCAGGTTTGATATACAAGTGCTACTTGAACTTGTTTGTTTTCTCATTCGGATTTGTTCAGATGAAGAGCCGTGGTTACTTATTAACGCATATATATCTCATGACACAGCAGATTGGAAAGATCTTGGATTGAAATATCTTCTTCAAGTTTATCGAGATTACATCTATACGAAAAATACGGCATTTCTCAATCATGTATGGCCAACAATCAAAGTAAATAACTATGACCTGAAACAATGTTTTTCTTGCAACTCATTTTTCTGTAAAGCATGTTACTGATCGAATCAAAACACAGGATGTCGATGGAGATGGATTAATTGATAACGGTGGATTTGCTGACCAGACATACGATGCTTGGACAGTGGTTGGAGCAAGGTATGTTCGACTGTCAGACATTTCTGAGTGGATATATGTCATCCTCGTTTCTAGTGCTTATTGTGGTGGACTCCATGTCGCTGCTCTTCGTGCTTGTGTGGAGATGGCGCGAATCATGGGAGATACCAATGCTGTCAATGAATACGAAGCATGGCTTACCCAAGCCAAAAAATCCTATTCAGAAAAGCTCTGGAATGGCAAATATTATAATTACGATTCAAGTGCATCACGTCATCATGATAGTATTATGTCTGATCAGTTAGCCGGCTTTTGGTATCTACGCTTATCCGGTCATAAGTATGAGGTAAAATTCGACTTTGACTTTTGCTTGAACCTCATTGCTACCCGTTGTTTATCCGTAGGATTTCGAAAAAGAACGAGTCGAAAGTGCGTTGAATACGATCTTCAATACGAATGTGATGACATTTGGAGGCGGTAAACTCGGCGCTGTAAACGGAATGACTAGTTCAGGACAATTGGAAATTGTCAGCATGCAATCCGAGGAAATCTGGACTGGTGTGACATATGGCTTATCATCGACGATGATTATGGAAGTAATAACTGAATTATGTACGATTAAATAAATTCATGTCGATTCCTATCCTTTTCTAGAACTTCAAAACGCAAGCATTTCTCACTTCTGAAGGGATCTATAATACGTGTTATAACGTAGCTGGATTAGCTTTTCAAACTCCTGAAGCATTGATGCGAGATTGTCGATTTCGATCGGTAGATATTTCTCTAGAGATACTTGCGACAATAAAAACGATGTTTTCACGTTTAGGTTGGATACATGCGTGCATTATGTATCTGGTCGATTCAAAAAGCACTTGCACTATCGCGTCTCGAACAAGAAAACGGTCAACAGGCCAACCTGGATGACTCTCAATAGTATTGTCAATCAAAAATTTTCTCAGTTGTGATTATTTATTCAGTCGAGCTTTCCCACTGTTTACGAATCAAATTATATTTCTTTCATATTTATTTTGTCATGATTATACTGGTTAATTGAAAAGTACCTATGTACAAGGAACAGATCTTTTTTCGGTGTTCATTCTAATGTAGTGTGCTAGTTAGAATACTGTTTCGACGTTTTATTCTTGTATTTAAACTATTTATTGCAATGTTATAGGCTAATCTTGCGTATGATTGAATAAAAGAAGTTGCACGATTGAATTCGATAATAAGAAAATTCGCGCGTAGAATCAAACCTAATATCCTTTGACTTATAGGCAAGTGTGATAATGAAGACTTTGCGGGATACGAATAATAATAACAGTTCGACAGCTTCAACGCACTTTCCATCGAATTCTAGTCGACAGAATCTAGGCGCAATGAATGCAATGCTGCCACAGGATGTGAACATGACACCAATCAATTCGAATATTCAACAACAAGGAACGTCTTCATCTCCATTAAATCCATTTGCATCTACATTTCATGTTGATGTCAATCAATTATCATCAACGATTCAATCGTATCTTTCAAAAGTCAACAGAACTCAACTACCCCAACTCGATCCTGTGTTCTATTTGCAATGCGTTCAAAGTAATCCCATGCTGATGCAACAATTAACTTCGATGCAAAATATGATTTTATCAACACAAAATGATTTGACTCAACAACAATCAACAAATTCCAATCCTGATGCATCAACTGAAGCTATGAATGTAGGAAAATATCCTCATAGTCTTCAAGGAAGTGCACAAGTTTTTGTTCCGAAAATACCTTCGATGAGTCAAGACGATATAGCAGAGCACACACGATTAGTTTATCAACGAGCGGTACAACGAAATCAATTGCAACAAAATAATGATTTAATGAAACATTTCTATGAAACATTAAATACTAAAGTTGCACCGAAACAATCTTCACCAATGCGATCAACAAATCTCCAAGAAGTACCAGGTGTGCCTAACGTCAGTAATATCGGTACGATATCTCAAGTATAGATTCATTTGCAAAATCCATCCATTTAGCATCCATTGGAACTTTTGATGCTGTTGATACAATGATCACATCGTCGTCGTCGTGTTTCTTGACTCAAGAATCTGATATAAATGCTGCATTATCATCTGTATCACTCCTATCGGCTGATGATACAAAATTGCATAGTAACGCTAGTTCCATACTTGATCCAGGTGCGCCGATCTTCATTCCACGACAAAGTCGTTTAAATCTAGATGAAGACAATGAAACAGTAAATCATTGTATTTTCTATTGTTTGCTTTTTGTTTTGCCACGACTTCGATTTTTAGTCTTCGTCATCATCAGATTCTGATTTCAATGATTTCCATTACGTTGACCAATTTCTTAGAGAATTCTATAACTCAGCTAACGAACATGACAATCATATAGTTCTTCCGAAAGTCTCATCCATTGATCTCATGCCAGATAAATACCCCATGCCTCCTAATTCTCATGGTCAAGGTGATGTTATTGATGAATCAACTGCTGCCGATAAGCAGGACTGTCAATATTCAATTCATGATCTACTCAATAGGTATGAAAATTTATTCCGAAGAGAAAATTTGGAGTTCTTCCACTCATTTTATATGTCCATAGATATCGAAACCCTCGTTCTCATTTGGTTTTACCCGAATGGTCACGTTTATCGTTAATACTTCCAAATGTGTGTACTATGCGTGCACATACATACAAAATAAAACGTTATTTTGCTTATCGTCGTCGATTATATGAAGATAGAAATGTTACCAAAACTTCTGACGACCCAGTCTCCGTTCAAGCATAGACCATACCAAGATTGATCGATAAATAAATGTCTACATATATATACATTTAAGTATCTGTTTTTTTTTTATTTGAAATTCATTCACTGAAAATAAGCATATGACAAAGTTCAAAATAAATAAATCAAATTCAATTTATTGCAGAACGCAAACGGAGCTCCTGGGCATTGCCGTTCGTCGTTTACCATTGAGATGTAAACCTACACCGAGAGAATGATGACGTTCGCGTTGTTTACAACCTGGTCATAGACAAAAACGAACATAGAAGAGATACTTCAAAGGAAAAGTCATTAAATATCATACCACGCTTATAAACTTCATGGTTAAATTTACCGTAGGAAAGATTTCCACTGAAATAAATTCAATTAGCTAGCTAGATGTTGGAGAAATAACACAGTTAATAGCATACGTATGTAAACCGGGCTTAAGCTTAATTCGGAAATGAGCAAGAACAGGCTTATGATCAGAATGCTTCACACCATCAACTGACTTGTATTGTGTGCATTCGATAGGTGATGCTGGTTTATCACGATAAAGAATACGATCCTAAAAAGTAAACAAAAATTCAATCACTCATTACGCTGACGAAGATGATTCAAATGTCGAATAAAACCAAGAGTGAAAGAGAAAGTGTTATTTAGACTATAAACATCTATCTCGTGATTAAGTTACACATTGTTATTGAGTTAGGAATAAAGCAGTATACCTCGTCGCTCGATACAATATCCGTCTTTTCTCCGCTATCAAATCTAGTTTGAATGAGATAATCTTCTTTTTTTATTCGAGATTTTTGCTTCATTCTTTCCGAATGCTGTTCTTACTGTGTAAGAAGGTGTTCTGTGTTTTGCGTAACTATCATCACAACGTAAATCGTATTTGTATGTTGGTGGAAAATCAATAGTAGCTTCTTTGAAATTTGTGTACAATTCGTCTAGAGGATGAGAAAAAAATGAATAAGATAGTGTCATGATTATATTTTGAAATAGTTTTCCTCTCACCGTTCTTTCGAGCTTGGCAAAATTCGTCTTTCTCTAGAACCGCATGATAGAGCTTTTCTTTGCAATGGTCTAACACTTCCTGATGTGTCATATTGATTCGGAAATTCATATCACCAACCCAGAAAACAAAATCACATGACTTTGTTATATCTGTATACGAAAAATACGCTACATTTCATACGAAAGGATTTCTTTGAAGTTGTCTACCTATACTCGTACTGGATTCAATTGATGATGATGTTTCTAGTTTTTGTGAGACGTTAGGCACGACTAATGATGTTATACGTTTTGCCGGCATTATTGTTCTTTGAATAAACTCATGTGGAATCGATAATTTAGTTGTTGTGTTGTAAAAATTTGATCGTCTGTTCATACAACCTTCAGCACCATGGCCAGCTAGAAATCATAGGTTGACGAAAAAATCAAAAGACTACAATGAATTTCACCTTCGAAATGTGAATTTATGAACATAAACGAGGATCCAAAGAGATTGAATGTAATTACTAGTGAACCTTTTGTTCGAACAGGACCTACTGCTCGAAACTTGATGATATCTTCTTCGGGTTCTAAGTAGAAACAAGTATCCCATACAAAGATCAAGTTTTGTTTCTCATCTACCTGTACAAAACCAAATCAAATCGCGTCGTATAAATATACACAATGAGAGTGTTCCAAAATGAATCGAATGAAAGAGAACATGTGTTGGTCCGATTACTTCTTGAAGTAAGATTTCCCAATCAATTCTAAACAAAAGATGCTTATGATTAAAAATAGAACATTCATGTATAGGCACCTCTTCTTAGAAACGGACATTTCTTGAGTACCAACGATGATAAGATCAGATACATAATCAATAAACGTAGGCAATAATATGTCTGACATGTCATCGAGCATTCGTTCTTTTGGCTGTGCAGTTTCTCGAGCGGTAGGTGTATAATTTTGTTCATAGATTTTCGATGCTTCACCGGTGTTCCAAGTAACCATCATTACAGTTAATGCGCGTCCATCGGAAAAATACGTATTGATATCGTTCGCTGTAGATTCAGGTGATTGTCGTGCGCTACCCACAAGAAAATTCCTAGGAGAACAAAGCAAAAGCGTCACACTCAATCACGAACGCCCATTACTCTATCTACCTTCTTCGAGCGTCATTTGTTGATAGTAGATGACTCGTGTTGACAAGCGCCTGAATTATTGATACACTACTGCGACGACGTGGACGTTGTTGACTTTCATCGGTAGAAGTGTCTTGCAATTTCGTTTCATAGAGAGGATTGGTATTCATTAGAGCAGTAAGGGTGTCATTTGTTTGAGCTTCAATAGCGATTCCCGGATCATCAACAGAACTTTCCGGGGTAGTTGGCAAGCTGTGTTCACCATGATTTGTCATCGTTGACTGGATAGATAAGAAACAAGGATCTCAACAAGTCTTACATATTTTGATGCTTTTTGCATTCATTAACACGTTTGGCTTTCTAGGATAAATTATAGCTATTATTATACATTTGTTTTTTCTTCTTTAATTTAAGTTAATAGACACGATTAGTCATGAACCATTGTGTTACCATAGGAACTGTGTTTTTCAATGTCTACAATACTCAAAAAATCTCCAAACTTCTCTTTCGCATTATTCGTTATTTGCTGCACAGGCCAGACTGAAATTAATTTCGAGATATTAATGTAATATACATAAACTCTTATCAATGTTAAATAGCGCCCTCTGTCTGCGCATGAATGAAAGAATTTTCTATATGTCATTTACAACAGAAAGTATATCAACGGTAAAATCTATGAAAAAATGTCAATTATTAAATGATTGATTGATTCAGTTTTTCTCCTTCTTTTCACAAATGTAATGTTAACGATGTTTATGTTGCTGCAAGGCTTTGCAACATTTTTCTCTTTTAGCTTGTATTTTTATAAGAAGTAATTAGTGAAGTGTTGGAAGAAAGAAAAAGCCACCTCATAGTATGATTTTGTCAATCGATAGAAATGTATGTATGATCGTCAAGGTACTATAGTTAATTCAATGCAATCCAATCGAAGATCTCGTTTCCACAATCGATTGTTCCAGTTGCGTATCGCGATTAAAACAATCGATGGTTCATAGATAATCGTTTGGGTCATATTGACTGTAAACCAGTTGTCACCGTATTGATGTAGCAAATTTTGAAAATCTTCATCGATCATTTTATAATTTAGTAGTCTGCCATGCTGTGGTACTAAAATAAACTCTGTTTCTCCTGGCATTTGTGTCTTATTAGCAACACCTTTCATTCGCCAACTAACTTGATATTTGCCCGGCATAATTTTATGTTGAAAACGTCCGGTCATATCCAAGCGTACGATTTCTTTTACATAGGTAACTTGGCCGGTTAAACTATCTGCATCGAGCACTTTATAAACATGTTGACTATCATAAATCGGCATGTCCATATCCACACTTGCACATCGTTTTCGATCGATTAGATAGAAATAAATTAACTTCATCAATGGAATACTTTCATGATCGCTTGGTTTACTGTATTGAAAATATTCTAAGTCATTTAGAAAGTCTTTTTCAGACACATACATTTTTGCGTGTCGTCGTTCGATAGCATCATCATTGTAATGGGTACTTGAGGTAATAGCAACATTATCTAAGAAATTATCAGTTCGAACATGAGCAAAGCCGGTCGGTTGAATATCATTGGAGGTCGAGATACACTCGGGCTGTTTAAACATATCGTTCGTATAGAGTTGAGCGACCGATTGTGGAAAATGGTGGCGTATTCGATGTAACCAGAATTCTTCATTATGAAAGATTCTGTAAAGCTTCCGGCAAGTTCTACTCAACGATTGCAAATCTTTTGCATTCAGAAAATCAGCAATTATTTGTAATAATTCATGTGGAAAATGGCAGAGTGGCAATTGAGTTGAATTAGACATGTTTTCTGAAAATATACCAAAGCGTATTTCTCTTGACATCCACTTATTCATTCAATTTATTCTACTTCGTATAAGACAAATAAAAAATTTCGAGCACAGAACGAAAAACAAAACGTACACACTGTCATTTTCAACATTGGCCATTCTAAACCGTCTCACTATCTCTCTGTGTTTAACAAACAGCATCGTTCGAACACATACAAAATGTTTTTGTGTTTCAAATTATCACAACTAAAGCAACACTAAATATCACTATTGCGAGCATATACGATATAAAGAGAAACGACTATCGTTGATAATATAAATAAGCAAATGTATCTTCGTGAATATTGAGTTTTTCTATAATTGCGCGTTTGTAAGATGGAAGAATAGTTTTAATCATAAGACGGCATTTCTCTTTCAATAGAAATGGATTACGTGCGCGCCATGACAGATACATATCGATCGGTTGCATACGTTGAACGTGCTCACATTCGAGTAGTTTAAGTATAACCGAATTGTTTGTTAGAATCAGATGGCCCATCAAAATCAGATTTTCATAGAAACGAACGATATACTCGTAGATCTGATTGACACCCTCACCTAAAGAAGACAACAAACAATATGAAAACCAATCTCCAAGCAACTCCTTACCTGCATTCTCGACACTGTCATAGATCGCACGGAAATATGAATCTAAGAGTTCTAAATATTTGGTAAAATCAACGGTTTCGTGATATTTCAGTATGGTGAATAACAACGATGTACGCAGATAAAGTATTTGGATTCTATCATCATTGATCGTAATGAATTGTGCTTGTAAAATGTATAAAAACCGTTTAAGTAAATCACCGATATCGTACATTTTCAGTTTTGCAGATGGTATTGCTTCCAAGATCGTTTCAAGAACGTCAAATGCTTTATCGGATTGTATTTTATTCTTTAACATTAAATTATTCAAAACAGTGAACATAAAATCACTGTTTAGTTCTTCCCAAATGTTTGGCACGAATATGCGTAATGCATCAACTTGATCGTTAATTAAACATTGACGAAGAATATCGCCTTTCTTTTGTGACAATAATGTTTCGTTCATGTTCGGAAGTTTTGTTCGTTTCAATTTATTGATGAAAACTTCAAATATTCGTGTGCGATTCAGCCGAATTGAATCTTGCAGAGGAGACTTTTCGAAATCATTGTTTTCATTCAAGATTTCACTGCCATGTTCGACAAGTTCAATCGCTATATCTTCGAACCCATATTTAACTGCTAGGGAAAGTGGACTATCGCCATAGGTTAAATTCGCTCGCGATAGTCGATGATTACCACGTGTAGATAATAGATTCAATTCACGTTTGACATGTACATCAGCACCATGTGCTAATAAATAACGAACAACTTCACTGTGACCTTTGTGACTAAAAAGGTTGAACGAAACAGAGTGAATACTTATATAATAAGAAAGTAACTACTGAGAGACTTACCAAGCAATGCACAATGGATAATCATTATTGAATGGTTCGTTGATATTAGCACGTTTTTCGTCAACACATCGTTTAACAAGATCGACATGATTATATTTGCATGCATTATAGAACAGTTCCAAGATGTTTTCGGTTGAATTAATTGCATCATCGATACTTAAACCAAAGAAAAATGCTTGTTCGAAAGTTGATGCTCGCGGTGCAGCTGATGTCGATGTTTCATCGGTAGACGTCTCGAGAGGTGTTGATTCAGTAGTTGATGCTGATAATGACATGATGTCACTACTTCGAGCAGTACCGTTTTGTTTTGACGATGTGGGTACCTTCTTTTCTCTTAATCTGACTTCACCAGTACCGTTTGCTGCCGTTTGTGTTGCCATTAATTGATCCCTTGACAAAACAGAGCGAAAACCAAGTAAATAAAAATAATAATACTATTATTATTATTATTATTTATTCTATCGAGGTTTGAATAACTACTGTGGCTGGTAGTTGATGTCAAGTGGCAGACGAAGAAAGTAGGGACGAACGAATCAAACAGAATCGTAGTCAAAAGAAACAACACCTATCAACCGTCTATAAGAAAAAAAAGTGAAGAAAAAAGAAAAAAGAAGAAGAAGACGAAGAAAAAGCGAGAAGAGAAAATGCGATGAGTAATGTGCCACAGTATGGGATTAGACAGCATACCACAACGCAATAGAGAGCGAAAAAGAACATGAGAATGGTAATTGAATGTCTTTGATAATAGCAAAGAGAAAGACGTTGCTTTCTTTTTCTTTTACTCTTTGTCCAGACGTCGCATACATGTACAATCGAAACAGCTGTACTCGACAAAGGGGGAGAGAGAGAGAAACTTCAATATAAGACAAAGAAAGCAAGTGGAGATTTGTATGTACATGTAGACGTACGGTGACTATTTGCACAAATAGAAGGCTCGTTTTACTTATTTGAAAGAAAGAACAGCGTAAGGTATAGGGAATAACTGAAAGATCAAATATAATTTTCTTTCATTGAAAAACCCGTTTCAGGTGAAAAGAAAAAAGAGAACAGAAGTTTTCTTTTCATCGACACATCACTTCAATCATCATTATTGAATGCAGTTCGGCAGTTGTTTTCATTTGATAACTCCGATATGGCATCCTTTAGTCGTACACTTACTTTCCTCCGAAGAATAACACGTATGAAGAGATGAAACTCAACTAATAGACATTTCTAGTGCTTTTTTAAAACGTCGAACGCAGGCAGATAAATACAGAGCAAACTAAATGAACTTTAGCTATGCACACACTCCGATCTAATTGTCGTAGACAAATGGTTCCGATAAACAAAAATGCCTATATGCTTTAAAGAATATAATCGAATAAACAGACATGACCCTCCCTTCTCTGTTTTTTCGTTCCCATTATACATCTATGTATACATATACATGTATAAATGCCATCAGGCAACCACAATAACAACTACTGACTCGTTACTGCTGCCAGCTATTATCAATCATCGGGCAGGGAATCGATATGGTGGAAAATGTAATAATCATGTTAATATATGTACCATTTTCATATCGACAACGCATAGTAATCATTGGAATATTGTTTAGCATATTTAAACTTCCAAGTGAACAAGCCGATCGTCATTTTTAATATTTTATTCATATTATTCGGTTTTTTGCATCGCTTTTATTAGCTCGCCATATGAAATGAAAGAGAGAGAAAAAAAGACGTTTCAAAGTTCTTCAATCGTTCGAAACAATAAATACATTCGTTCGTGAAAATTCTTAGTATAGATCATTGGTATTGTTGTCATTGTATGAAAAAGAGCTATGAAATATAAATGGGAGATGTAGTGTGCTAAGACTAGAAACTGTTCAAAATAGCTGCAGAAGAAAAAAAATAATGGAAAGAAAAGGAAAAATATATGAGAAGGTTCACTACGAAAATATATAGAGAAAAAAATCTATTGTATTTGATCGATTTCGTCGACACCTGCTTCACCTAAGTCGGTAATATAAACAGTTTCATGTTTGGCTAATATACGGAGTAACGGGCGAAGTTTTAACCACCATTGTTCCAATGGCATTCGATGTCTAAAAGACAAAGTGTTAGTTGAAGAGGGAGAGCAATCGCGACGGATAGGTAGAATACGAACTCAGTATCAGTTTTCAATTTCAAAGCTTCCACTGGTGTAAACTCATTCTGGCGTTTAATTAAGCCTAAAACAACAGCACTTTCGGGTGTTTTGCAAAACACTTTTCCATCTTGTGTCGCCGATTTTTCAATAAGTGATACCGCATATGTAACGGCTTTACAGCCCAATTTGGTAGCGAATGCTCGATCGAACGGTGAAGGTAATCCGCCCTAATGATTAGAAAGTATGCTGACATGTTCTTTCAATTATCGATCTTATTCGACTTACTTGTTGCATATGTCCAAGAACATTACATCGAGCACTGAATATACCTTTACCTTCTTCTTGTAATAATTTTGTAATAAATTCTGTTGTATAGTGTTCATTAGCTCTTTCATTTCGAAGTAGAAGACCACGTTTCAAATGGCCTTCCATTTTCCTACGTAGATGATCGACGTCCTCAATTAAATCTTTGACTGTAAATGGTTCTTCATAGATATATGCTTGATCAGCTCCACTGGCAAGTCCGGCCATAGTTGCTAAATAGCCACAATAGCCACCCATTGTTTCAATGACGAATATTCGTCGTTTAGAACCTTGTGCCGATTGTTTGATTTTGTCGCATATCTTCAAGAAGAATTCTGAATTATATTTAAGAAACACGTCTAATACACACTTTGACGATTTCGTTTAGTGCTGTATCAGCACCAATACTAAATTCTGTGCCCGGAACGTTATTTGCTATAGTCGCTGGGATACATATGAGTGGAATTTGAAATGCTGGATATTGATTTCGTGCTTCGTACATTTGCGAGATTGACATGTATGCCTAAAAAGGAACACATCGTGAATTTCGAATACCATAAATCTGTTTTCGTTTTACTTCATATCCTCCAATGATCAATAGAGCGTGGAAATTAAATTCGCGTATCTTCTCGGCTATCTTAGCCAAACCAACTTTTGCTGCGAGAGTCCTAAATCAAACCGCACATGCATTTCAAATTTTAGTTGTTAATCAAATCACTTTTGACAGCCAAGCAGCGATCCACCAACACTACTCCAGCCATTGACAGACATCCAATTTAAACTTTTAACCTAGAGAATTTAATATTGTTATTGCTTCTCAAATAAAAAACAAGATTAGTTATTTGTTTTCTTACTTGATTATTAATTAAACCTTCAAGACCGTCAAATATCGCAAACATGTTATGTCCTTCGCATAAACCATAGCGAATAATTGATCGAACAGCAGCGTTCACACCACAAGCAGGTGAACCAACATGAACCACAGCCAAATTGAAAGAGTGCTAAATAAAAGAAATTTCCGTCTAACGTGAAATCACAGCTGACTCAGATGATCGTACTTGTTTTGTAGAAAATAGTTTTGGTCGTAATTTGCTGAGTCGAATATATGTTTCAAGATTGCCTCGAAAACTCTGACCGCGTAAATCTTGAGCGTCTTTAAATCGTTTCGTGTTCATGGCTTGAGCAACAGCCAGTGTCTTTTCCACACATTGCATTAGTGGCACACGAACAGTTTGATTACCAGTAATGGCGATTACAACAGGCTGTGAAGTTGGAGTTGCTTCCATCAATGCAAGAACAGCTTCTGTACCCATTCGAGTACCCTAAATATAGAAATAGAACATGATATTAGAAGTACAGATGAGTTTTAGCAAGCCTACGAGAAGACGATCGAATGCCGATGGACATCCACCACGTTGTACGTGACCAAGAATAGTCACACGAGTATCATATTTCAACCGTGTAGAAATAAGCTAAAAGATACGAAATCGAATAGAAAATTTGTTTGATAGAACTTCAATGGTATTTTACATTTCGAACACCTTCACTGGTTATCGGTCGACCTTCGGAATCAATGGCACCTTCGGCAAGAACAATAATATTCAAACGTTGACCCATTTCGCGTGTCTATCATGGAGAAAAATTTACAATGAAGAATGTTACAATTTAAACATCTACATTTTTCAGCTTGTTGCATAATTGATCTTCCCATTCTGGTCCAGGAGGCGACTCAGGAATAAATACCCAATCAGCATCAGATCCTAGAGCAGTAACTAATGCTAAGTAGCCACAATGGCGACCCATAACTTCCATGACGAAACAACGTTGGTGGCTATTTTTAAAAGTTCGCTCGTTAGTTGAATACAGTTCATCATTTTTTCTTTACCTCGATGCTGTAGTTGTAATACAATCAATTGCTTCCATAACACGATGTAAAGCTGAATCAGCTCCAATTGTCATATCCGTACCACAGAAATCATTATCAATCGACCCAACCAAGCCAACAATATTCAATGATTTGTATTTTTCCGCATTTTCTTGCGTTATTTGTTCTATTCAAAGCCTCGATAAAAACAACCACATGATAGTTCGAAATAGTAGTCTTACGTGTATCAACAAGCTCTTTCAAAAGACTATCCCACTCCTTGCGAAACAGATTTGCTCCAGTCAATGAACCATCACCGCCAATACAAACGATATTGTTAATACCATGATCGATAAGATTCTTTGCCGCACGTAAACGGCCAGGTCTTTCACGAAAATCTTTACAACGTGCACTACCAATAATCGTACCACCCTAGTAAATCAAACAGGAATAACTACACATATCTCAACTACCGAATCATACTTACATCATCTAGAATTCCTGATACAGATGACCAAGTTGCTTGACGAATACTGTTGCCTCCATCTACTAGGCCTTGGTAGCCCTACAAAGAAACCATATGCATACATACGTGATTCAATCGAAATGAAACTGATTTATTTACCTCGTGTATGAAGTAAACTTTGCAACCAAGATATATTCCCATGCGAACAATAGCTCGAACCGCAGGATTCATTCCTAAACGAAAAATAGAATATTCACATGAAACATACTTTGAAACAGCAAACGCGAATACAAAACGAAAAACAAAATAGTTTGTTATACACCATGCAACTCTCCATCATTAAGTTGTTGTAAATTGGTTAGTAAATTAATGATTAGTGGAACACTTCTATATTAAAGGTGGAGGATACAACGTGCAAAGCATTCTATATGAAAGCAACACAGCGCAACGCTGGAGAATGTTAGGTCACAGTACCTTGAGCATCACCACCGCTAGTAAATACACCCATAGCTCGACCGGCATATTGATCTTTGGCTAGAACATGAAGATTTTTTTCAAAACCTTCTGTCCAGCAAATTGAACCACGAAATTTAGTTGATGGGGAATTAATTGGTGGCGATGTCAAATCAGCATTGATACTGCTGAGATCGGCTCGAAGTGCACTAACTGTATCATTCTATTAATAGATAAAACAAATACATTAATCATCACAGCAGCAGTTTACAGCAATGTTTCGTCTCGGAAATCAATAACAACATGATGTGTCATTTTTTATGTAAATAAAAAAACCGCACTCAGAGTACAAATATATTCTTTGATTTAGTTTTTTCAACTCGTCACATGTATTATTTATCCCATTTACACAATAAATACATGTTTACAACATATACACAGACAGCTTGTTCGATCACATAGAACTTACGTCATCAATCACTTCGGTACCATTCTATATAGGATAAAATGACCAATATACTTTCATCTCAAGCTCTATCTCGAAATTAAAGCTTAATTCTATTAATTATTTACCTCTTCGCCATGTTCAGCTGACTTCTCCAGTTCTGGACGGGTTTGCACCCCGTTTCCTATTTGTGCCATAAATAACTGCCAATAAATACAATCTGAAATAAACAAAAAAAACGCATCTAGGCTTTCTCTGGTAGCTGTAACTTTTCTGTACTGCGGCAAATGTTTATATACCAATGTGCATATGAATCACTGCGAAAGTGCACTCTTCATGTACCCATACCTTCACAACGTATCATAAGTAAACACATGAGTATTTTTACATCGACAGAAAACAAAAGAGTAAACAACTAGTAGGAAAGTAGAATAAAACGTTCTGTGCTTGTTTCCATATCGTTGTATATCTGTTTGTGATATTCGGAGATGTTTTAGAAAGCTAATGTGCATTTATATATGATAATTGTAAGAAAAAAACTTATTTATCTGAACGTGTAAATATGAGTTTTTTATGGCAGACATCTCGCATGCGATTGGGTACTTTGTAGGTCACACTCGTTTTTCTTTCTTTGCAACTGGCATTCTCTTACAAGATTTTTCGTCTACAATCATTTTCCCGATGTATAGCGACTTCTAATAGGAAGTTTTTTTTCTTGTTCTGTTCGCTATAAAGACATCCAGACGCGTGCAAGTTGCACTTCCATTTCGCGTGAGAAAAACAATTTTGTACTTGTTATCATTTTTTTCTCTGTTGATAATAACCGTTTATGGGTGATAATTAATCCGAACTTAACGCATCTCATATTAACATTATGATCAATTTTGTACGTGTGTTTGAAACATATACTATGGAAAATAATTTAGCTACTTTTAATCGTGTCGATTGTGTTCATTTCCGACGAGGAAGTATGTTCTTCAAAAAAATCAGTATGCTATTTATCTTGTTCGTTGAGATTCTTGAAAGCTCAAAATTCTCTACATGTCAAGAGACATGCACTTTCTTTCCTCCTGTTTATTTCTTGTTCGATTGTCTTTTAGACAATATGAAGCTAATTTTTATGTAGAATCACATCATTCAGAAAGATTTTGTTACTTTTTTTCCCTATACATTATCCACAAATCATATACAAAAAATTGGATCACATATGTTTATCGTTCACGAATTCGTTTTTCGGCGACAGCCGTTGAAATATCACGTACACTAATACCGAATGTTTCCACTGCCTGACGAAACATTGCTACACTTTGTTCGTCCCAACCAGCAGCTGCTTGATTTTGCTCGTTAGCGGACAAAATATTTTGATAGTTCGCATCTAAATCACGTAACAAAACACTAAACTTTGAGAAAACTTCTCCAACTGTTGTGCACAAATCGATGATAATTTCCTTCGGCGATGGCTGATTCGATGTTGCTATCGATGCAGATGCTGTTGTAGTCGTCGTTGACATCATTGTCAAGCGTTTGAATACCATCCAGTTTGCAATCTCCTCTATTCAGTAAACAATATCGAAATCAACCAATGAAAAACGTTCGATAAACCTCTATACGATAGATGGCTCAGGACAAATTGTTGAAGATGTTTTTCTCTTTCTTTCTCTTTCGTTTCAATCAATAAAATAACGATGAACTTCTACGACGACGTGTTACTTTCTAACAAAGTTGCGAGCGGAATAAACTCACTGAATTTTCCTTCGACATTTTAGATTTTTACTTTACTTCATTCAAAGACGAGTCAATACAAAATGGATATTCCTTATGAAAAAATGCCAGCATTTGAACGTAAATTTCAGCTGAGAAAACCAAGAGAAAAACAAAACCTTTTCTTTCTTTTTTTAGAACCATCATCAACCGATTCTACGAACGATGGTATTATTCGTACACAAGTTGCCGCACCACGTGTCCGGCATTATTTTGTATTTTCACTCTTTTCGGCTCTCTGCTTATGTCCAGCAACCGGTAGGTGAAAAAAGTGCGTTGAAACTATTTTTACTCTCTTGTTTTTCTCTCTTTGTTCAAGGTCTTATTGCTTTGGCTTATTCATTAAAGAGCTCAGCTAAAGCTGACGTTCAATTCCATGATAAAGCTCGGCTTTATTCCCGTCGGGCTTTAATTTGGAACTTATGTTCAGTCGTTTTCGCTTTCCTATCAGTCGTCGCGGTTTTAATCGTCTGCTATTATTTTAATGAAGCGGTCAATAATTACAGCAGCTCGTTTGATAGTATGTTCCGCCAACAGCGTCGCAATGAAATCAATAGTGAAATCAACCGAATGATTCAATCGTTCAACAATGAAAAATGAAAAAATTATAATCAAATCGGACACGTCCAAAAAAAATATATATTCTCTTCTATGTTGTATTTCCGTTGATCTAATTAGATGTTTGCGAGAGGGATTGCTAAGTAGGGTGAAAACAAGATGGATGATGATTTGAGATAGTAGTTCGTTTATCTTTATGGAAGTGATCTCATTTTTTTTTCTTATTGTATACAAGCCTCATTCAAATAAATCTTGAAACCATCGTTGTACAGAACATTTTTCCAGCGAAATGCTATTAATAGTAGAAATTCTTGGCTCGGGTAGGCGTAACTATTAGTCTAAATATCAAGAATCTCCTTTTATCAACGGAATAGATTTCACGCGCTTCGATGATCACATAATTGGAAGTTTTCTGTCGGCCCTTTGCCATTTATAAATTTATTGTCTGTATATTACAATTAGTGAATGTAGACAGTCTCTGATCGAACTTGCTTTCAAGTCGCACGCTTCGGAGCTGACATCTAAAAGGTGTTTTACGCCATTCAGGTGAAAACAGAAGTATGAAAATACTCTTTCTTCTTTGTATTTGTCGGTATTTTTTTTAACTTTCCTCCGTTTTCAAAGTACGAGCGCGTCGTACGGGAGGAAAAGAGAGAAAGTGCAGTTATAATGCAAACCTAACATCAATATTGGTCGACGGTTTTGTAGACGAACGCTATGATTGCTCAAGCTTTACTTTACATTTTAGCAATTGTTGTTCTACTCGTTGCTTTTGTTTATTTCAAATTGGTTCGTAGACAAAAACAATTGTACGATGCATTCCGCGTGCAAGGTATCAAAGGTGAACCATTCGTACCGTTAGTTGGTCAGATTCTTGAGTTGAGTAAACAGCGTGACAATGATACATCCGTAGTTTATTTTCAAGAACTAGCTAAAAAACATGGAGACGTCTTTTTGTTCGGTTTTGGTCCATTGACACGATTGATGTGCAACGATCCTGATCTACTTGCAGATGTATTAAGTCGAACTAATTCGGTAAATTATGAAAAACCATTGGATTTCAAATTGGTCTTCGAAACGCTGATGGGTTCACATAGTCTGTTGGTAGCTGAAGGCAACGAACATGAACGTGCACGTCGAATGATCAATCCTGCATTCCATCACGTCAATCTGAAGTCGATGATTTCGATAATTACAGATCAAACAGCAAAAGCAATAGCATCACTGACTACTAATAAAGAACACGAATCGAAACCTGTTGATTTACAAATTGAGTTCAACGCGCTAACACTATCGATTATCGTCTCCAGTGCATTTGGTGCAGATTTTGAAACTAACACGAATGCGAAAGAAATCTTTTGCGGGATATTGGCTGAGCTACTTGACGCTATTGAATATCGGTCTATGCGAATGATAAATCAGATACCTTTTCTTTCCAAATTACCGTTTTGGCGGAAAAACCTTATAGATTCGGGTGTTCGAACAATCGGTGCTTATGTTGACCAAATCATCGCTGATCGTCGACAGGGACGTTCAGCTAGCTTGTGTTGCGGTGCTGATCTGTTAGATTTGTTACTTTCAGCTGTCGATGACGACGGACAAACACTGACTGATCAAGAAATCAAAGAGCAATCTCTTACTTTCGTTCTCGCCGGTAGTGAAACAACAGCGACTCTAATGGTATGGATACTGTACGTTCTAATGACACATGAAGATGTACAGCAAGCGTGTCGCGAAGAAGTGGATCGAATCTTACCAAATGGCATCCAACCTACAGATGAACATCTGTCACAATTGATGGTATGTGAAGCCGTGATCAATGAAACACTTCGGCTCTATCCAGCAGCACCATTTTTTGTGCGCCAGGCCGTACACGATCATGTTATCGGTACTGAACGTCAATTACATATTCAAACTGGTTCAACTATTGTTATCAATACAAATGTTCTTCATCGTCGTGATGATCTTTGGCCCCGACCAAATCAATTTGACTATACTCGATGGATGCGCGATCCGAAAACTGGCTTGAAACCAAAACTGTCACATCCTTACGCTTATCTTCCGTTTGCAGCTGGTCCACGAAACTGTATTGGACAAAATTTTGCATTACTCGAAGCAAAACTTATCTTGGCAATGTTAGTCCAGCGTTGTACTTTTCAAATGACGTCAGGACAGAAGATTGCACCTGATGTAAAAATAACAATGCGTGCAAAATATGGATTATGGGCGAAAGTTAGTCAACGTCAAATATAAACATTCGATGTTACTGAAATAGCTTTTTTTTTTTGGAAAGCCAAAGTATTTTTATTTTAAGCCTATAGTATAAACGTAATATACCAGCAGTTCTTGACTTCTCTTTCTGATTACGAAAATATTGTTCACGGCGGTAAATGGCGCCGAGAATTCAATTTTCATATGAATGAGCATTAGACACATCGATGGTTTCATCACAAGCACAACCATCTGCAACGTCTCTTACTCAAGAAGCTAACAGTTTTCAGAGTCTATCAGTTTCTGATCTAAATACTCAAAATTCTCTAGCCGATAAATTTCGATCCGGAATAAAATGGATCATCAGTCCACTTCGACAGTGTTGTTCATCATCTACGTCAACTAATCGTTCGTCGCTGAAACCAATTACTGATTCTCGATGTTTAAAACCTGAATTCAATCGAGTAAATGGTTTTTTGAAATATTTCTCTTTCGGTGTTATGTTTACCAATGGCATGTATGTCTTCGTTCATACAGTAGTCATATTTTATCGATGTGATATGAAATGTTTTAGATTAGGCTTCATTCTATTTTTCATTGGTCTATGGAGTTCATTCGAACATCGTAAAATTAGTCATATGCCAACAATTAATCAACGGCAGTCGAGGTCATATAGCTCTTTCAACTTCGTCGGCATCATTATTTGTATATTCGGGTTACTATTTTTTCTGTTGTGTATTGTTAGTTGTTTGGGCATCAATCGAGAGAATTTAAATCTACTTCGCATATCGATTGTTGGTCAATTTTTGACATTGGTCATTTTTTTATCATCGGCAACAATCATATTAGTATGGGGTGGACGGATTCATCATAAGATCGGTGAAACCATGATGACTGGATTGAAAATGCATTATCATATCGATGAAGGATGGGCAGCGTTTTTCGATAAACTTCAAAAAAGTTATTTTTGTTGTGGTATGAAAAATGAACGCTTTTGGAATATCTAGATACTCATCATTGATTGTCTTAGGTGTATACTCATTCGATGATTGGAACAATAATCCAAACTATGCATGTACACAATCGAATCTTCATCAAAACATTGGTAAAATCTCCTTATCGAACATTGATTCGTATTTATAGATTGTTTTCTAATTAGATGCTTGTTCAGTACCTCTTACCTGCTGTAAAACTCCTTCAAAAGTAAATATTTTCTCTCTGTCGATTTCGATAGATCTATTCAATATGATGTAAAACTAGAATGATCGACACGCCAATTCGCAGCTGTTGACGTTTGATTGTGGTATGGTTGAACAATGTTACAAATAATAACATTCTACATGTGATTGTTAGGTCAAAATGTCTCGTCTATAAACAATACACCAGTGGATATGAATGAAATTCAAGAACGCATCAATATCAATGGATGTTTCGATGAAATCTTACCCGTCATTCAACAATTAATCATTACAACTGGTGTATTCCTGCTATTGATCTGTATTATCATATTTGTTACGATCTTTCTGACTTATTTACTGGCATTTGAAATTCGTCTAACGAAATCCGACGTGCAACGGTATTGTCAGAAGCAGAGACGTAGTTACACAGACGATGACACATTCTAATGTTTAAATAACTAGGTGCAACAAATTCTTTTCATAGATTGTATTATTTCAACAAAGAAGAACAGTATGCTTTACACATATTTTTCTCATGAGATTAAATTACAAAAAGAAATATATCACATATGTTCGTATTTTTGTCATTCTCGATGATAAAAAGTTTCGCGCAAATATGTTACTCAATAAGGGAGTTGAAGCAAAAGAAAATAGATCGTGTTTTAACCGTGAAAAGTCTGGTGGAAAGTGAAATTATTTGATTTGCGGATATAAACTAGATGACACCGCTTCGTCATACGATGGAGGAGGTGGTGCAGATGGTTGCACTCCTGGCATTGAAGATTGAGGTGGCAAATATGGATTTGCACTGTTGTGAAGTTGACCACCGTATGGATTCATATTGTATTGTTGATACGGTTGTACTTGTTGTGGAAATACCGGTGGTTGATGAACTGGCTGTAAAGATACAATTAGGGATGAAATAAAACTAAATTATTCGACTTACTACGGATAGAATAGAGAATTGTGCATCAATATTTTTCTCTTTAATATGCGTCGTTTTCAGATGACCATCTCCTAAGATCGAGATGAAACAATTCTTGTATGCACATGATTCAAAAGCGACTAGTTCACTACTGCCAATAATATCATGTACTCGGAAATCAATGTTAACATTGTTCTTCGGACCAGGCGGCTAAAACAAGATAACGAACAGTCATTGAGTAGTAAGGAAACTGAAACTATCCATACGAGCGATATAATACTTGGTTGTTTGTCTTCGAATGCTAAGTAGTTATAATTGTTATGTAAACGTAGTCGACCTGTTGTGCCTTCTTCAACAGTGAAATAAGCTAAGAATTAGAAAAATGAATGCGTTATTATAGTATAGTTTTCTTCACAAATATAGGTTTTTCCAAAGGAAAACGTCTACTGATAGCAAAAATCCGGTTGAACGCTTACTGTTGAATGAACCTGCTAAACCATTACCATCAAAGATCAGAGTGCCATTGGAAGACATGACGATTTGCAAAAGATGGCCGGAATGTTTTGATACTAATTGAACAATAGCACCGTTCCGAAGAAGTTCCTTTGATGAGAAAAAATTTTCCATTTTCGAAATCAAATTCTTCGATGATCTTACTCGTGCATTTCGTCCAATTGTCACAGCACCATTGAATTTATTCGTTACATTTACAAATGCATCTTCAACCATATTTCCCAGATTTGTTTTAGTAGATTCGATTTTTCCAATCAATGACTAAAAATTCATCGAAAGATGATAAAAACGAAGCAAGAAAAAAACAAAGAACAAACTTGTCTCTCCCGATGCTGGTGTTGATGTTCCGTAGGTAACGATGGATAAGTGCCCGTTTGTGAATATCCAGCTGTTGAACTCGCTGTATGGGAATATGAATCAGTCGTCGAAGTTGCTGAAGCTGGACAATGATAGAATGTTGGTTGAGTTTCTTGATTAGGTTTTGTATCGGTATTCTTCTTTCGAAGATCGCTAACTTCATCACGTACCATACGTACGATCTGATTATTAAAAATACTCTTCATTATTCAATCTATAACTTCGAACATTTTATTTAAAAAAGAATTTTATGACATAGATGTCGCCTGTAACGCTAATACCTTTGCTCATTAAGGTATTATTTCTATTCTCTATTAATTAAAGTTTTTCCCTCCCTCTCTCTCTCTCTCTCTCTGTAGATTGGAAAGTTTTCTCAGACCGCGAATCTTTCTTTTCTCTTCTTCTATCGCTTAGCGCGGTCGTTCTCTTTCTCTCTCTCTTCCGTATTCTTCTCCTCATTCGCTCGATATTATCTTCATTGCATAGAAATGTATATTTATGAACAATCGAAAACAATTAACTAAATAATCACAACTGTAATAATTTATGTCTGGCAAAAGTCTTTTCAAAGGAATTATTTCTTCGGGTTCGAACTAATCGCGACATATCCGCATTGATAAGGTTCATGTGTAACTTCTCCGATTCTGTTCTCTTTCTGATTATCTCTTACAGAACGCAAAAGCGACAATGAACGGCCTTATTGTTTTCCTCGAAATCACCTTTCGTCTCTCTCTCTCTCTTTTGTTTGACATCTCGAAGCTTCTCTATCTTCATCTTACCGCCATCAGTTTGTCCGCCACAGCTAGAAATAAATAAATCAGTATATATCATCATCGTCATCCACCATTTTCTCAACAGTCGAGCCTCACAAACTTCTTACACATAAATTCATTGGTGGAGGAGAGGCTCGAGCTTGTATGTCTGTTGTACTATATATACCCACTGCAAAACGCTCATTCTCATTGCATTATCCTTCTTGACGAGTAAGACACACACATATCCTACCGACGACAACTCGATCAGTAAGTAGTCAACTTTCCATACTTAATCGAACGTGTAGATGCAGAAAATGACGAAGAAGTTAGCAGTTCGTGAAAGTCAATAAAAAATTTAGAACATAAAAAAAAGCTTTGTTTATTCAACTCGATAGAACTTGTTTTTTTTTTCTTTCTCAGGCTGAATAAACAAATAGAGCTTAATCGATTTCAACTTGCGTCATAGTTTCATATTTGTGTTGAGAAATAAGTCATAAGAAGTATCCTCTAGAAATAATTATTCCACACCCTCTCACATCATATATAGGTAGTTTATTTCTCAACTGAAATTTAAGAAAAACAACATTCGCTAAATAAAGAATAATAATTCTTTCGTTCTGTCAATTGTTGCTCGATTGGCGATGAAAAAGGAAAGAAGAAAGGAATGTCAAAATGTATGGCCGAAAAGAAAAGATGGCGCTGTGCGTCAAAGTGTGTCGTGCGTATATGTGTATAATATCTGTTTTCTTTTTTAAGATATAATTAACATTCAATGGCACGCACAAAACAAACAGCACGTAAATCGACTGGTGGTAAAGCACCTCGTAAACAATTAGCTACTAAGGCCGCACGTAAATCGGCCCCATCAACTGGTGGCATCAAGAAACCCCATCGTTTTCGACCAGGTACAGTCGCTTTACGTGAAATTCGTCGTTATCAAAAGTCAACCGAATTACTCATTCGTAAATTACCATTTCAACGGCTTGTTCGTGAAATCGCCCAAGATTTCAAAACCGATCTACGTTTTCAATCGGCAGCTATCGGCGCACTTCAAGAAGCAAGTGAAGCTTATTTAGTTTCACTTTTCGAGGACACAAATCTATGCGCTATCCATGCTAAACGGGTTACGGTAAGCAACCATTTATTTTTCATTTCGATTGAATCCTAAGTTCTTTTACATTTTACTCTAGATCATGCCAAAAGACATTCAGCTGGCACGACGAATTCGTGGCGAACGAGCTTAAATCATTACCAAAAACAAATAATTCGCAGCAAAATGACTGTCCCTTTGTACATGTGTGGTGTATACTTTAGATTTCTTTGTCGTTGTTTCTTTCTTCGGTATCTATAATTGAATCAGTATTGATTCAAACTATTCAATAAACTACTTACTATATCTACCCATGAATGATCTTATCTATTATATGGGAAAGAAATGAATCGAAGTCGTTCTCTGCATTCGAAAGAGAGGAATCTTGCTGAATTAAATATTCCATCATGTTTTTTTTGCAAAGGTAAATATCCCATGTTGAAATAATCCAATAATATAACACGTTTATAATGTTCTTGTTGCAAGATAAAGAAACACAGAGAAAACAAACAAACAAACGGATAAACACGTACAGCGAATCCAAACGAATAAAATAAAGATAAATAAGTCTTCTTTTTTTCTTTAAGAATCAAAAACAACAATAAGAAGAAGAAGAAGAGGAAGTGAACAGAAAGAAAAACAAATAATCATACACATAAATATACGGAAAAATAAGCAACAAATATCTAAAGACACTCTCACGCACACATACGATAAAGAATAAATAGGATAAAAGGAAATAAACAACAAACAACTGTACACAATCAGTTCTTCGTTCTTCCCCTTTTCTTTTCAAATTCACATACTTATTCATTAACTGTACGATGAGATAATTTCAACGTGTCATTGCCAATTGCCGGTGTTGTACGTTCGACCCGGATGATTTTTAATGGTTTACTTTCAAATATGTTTGAATCATGCTCAAGTTTATCATTCGTATTTTCAATGACAACGACTTTTTCATTAATACGATAGTTTGATGTATGATTCAATCGAATTGTTTTATAATCATTTGAAAGTATTATTGATGGAGTTGATTCAGTTTGTAACGGTCGTTTTAAACATCCCGATGATGAACGTTGCGATGAACAAGCTGATAGGGAGAAAGTTTCAATTAGTTTCTCTCTAGGTGTAGTTGATACAAAGTCTTACTTGTTTCTTCTTCGGCCTGTGCTGATTTGAACTTCTTATTCATGTATCTTTCAACTGAATTCGAATAAGTATATCCTGGTGCAGATGTTTGCTGTTGAGATGACGATTTAAATTTATTATTCGACGGTAAATAAGGCCCATGATGATGTTCATGCTCATCGTACGAGAGCAGAACACGTGATTTGTAATTATTTGGAATATAGTTTGAATAGGTTGGTTCTTGTTTGATGATATCTTGTTGATCCATTAAGGACTTTGTTGCACTGTTTGTTGAACGTATAGTGCTCGATGAATCAGGACTATTGGATGATGTTAAAGACTTTTGTTGAGTTGACGACGAACCATCATTCGATGAACGCATAAAATCATCGACCGACTGTTTATTTACTATAGGTGACCAAATACCAAATAAAACAGCAAAGAATAAGCAAAGAACCTGGAATAAACGAAAAATTTGAATTACTATTAGTAATCAGAAAGGAATTTACCATTAAAACTTTGCCTGTTGTTGGTGTACCTTTGCCAACCATTGATCGAAGTGATTGAAGTTCTTGCATCAACGACCTGAAACGAAGTGTGTGAGGTGATCTTCAGTGTAAACTTAACATAGTTCGAATAATAAGCGTTCGACATGTAAATATTTATGATATTTAAAAATGGAATTTTATTCTTAAAATTAGCCAAATAAACAAAAATGACTTTTGTCTGCAAATTCAAAGTTAAATTTTTCTCTCAACGTCCTTCAGATGGGTATTGTACGTTGGACGAGTCGCTCTATTTGCTGTTGGGAAAATATCGCTTAAATCTTTCCCAATCTTATCGAGTACTTGATGACAAGTTGACCCTTTATCTCTTCTAGTTGTCGTCTAATAGTGATATCAATTTCGCCGATCTCCTTATCAAATAATTCGTGTTGATTTGATCAAAAGGAAGAAAGACTCATAACCTATAACTTCATTTCGTTTAATATTTCTTTCGGAAAAAACGAAATTAGTTTCGATGAGGTTTCATCTAGTAGATCAATTGAAGTCTCTCCAGTATTTACCTTTGGTTTTTTTCCATTGTTGACACACGCTCTTTAAGTGCGCCGTTTTCATCAATATATTTAGCAATTTGTCGTTCGAGTGTATCGACATACTCCTTCTTCTTTCGGCGACTTTCTTGTGCTGAAATCTAAATGAAAACGAAAGATCAAGTGGATGAATGTGAATTAATTGCTTTCGCTTCGCTTACTTTATTCTTTATTTTTCGTCGGATTTTTTTCAAGACTTTCTCCTCGGTTTTATTCAATGGAAGTTTTGTTGGGATTTGATAGCCTTCTTGTTTGATTAACTTCAACTCTTCATCAGTTAATAACAACGGACCTGAGGATGGCAATTTCTAGAATAACAAAAGCAACATATGAAGTTGAATGGAGAAAAGAAGCGAATCTCACATCAAGATTAGTTAGTAGTGACGATGAGCCTTTGCTTAGACCATAAGGATGATGACGATGTAGACGATTTTTCATATAGTTATTCTCATGAGTTATATCCGGTGATGTTGTGTTTCGTTCATCGGGTGATTCACTGCCTGATGATGGTGTCATTGGGAGATGATCAATATCAGGATCTGAAGGAGAAAGTTCAAAGAATAACAAGTCTAACGAAAGATCAACTCAATTGTATATGTACATTCATTATCATCGAGAGGAAAATCTTCAATTGTAGTTGATGTTGGTTTGGCTGATTCTTCACTGACTGTCGGAGTTTGTAACGTATTAATCAAGATTGTTGGTAAACAATTGGTTAGTTGAATAAAATTTGTTTGAGATTTATTCGAATTATTCGGTGCTTGAATGTAGACGACATTGCCTTTGGTTAATTGAACTACTTTTGGCAGATGTTGATTTGCTATTTTAGTTGTGTTGATAATAACCGGTAATTTCTGAGGTTGAGCTGGTGCTGGTGGAGGTGGTAATGTTGGATCGAATTTCTCATTCGTCGTTTCCGTTTCGAACGGTGAAAATGGAAAATCGTCTAGGATGTCAATGGTTGATGTATGATTCGATGATGAAGACGAATCAGGCGATGGAAAGTTATCGAAGAATTTCTTTAGTTCATGTTCGAATTCTAAAGACGAATGTCACATTAACCTTTCAGGCATTTGAGTCGACTTCTTACCAGGATTATCGGTCATACTTGATATGGTTTCTTGTTCAAATTTAATCGGACTTGAAAGGGGTAAATCTAGATCGATTCCACTAAGATTTTCGTCGTTGGAAAACAATAAACTATCTGGTATGGAGGAAATTTGTCCGTCATTGAAATTAAGAAATGGATCAGTGATAGGATCCATCATCATTTTTGATCACCTGAAATGAAAATAATCGAAATGAAATGGATCTGTCTATGACATAAAAAGAGATAGCACTTCCTCTTCTATCTTTGTTTTTTTTCTATCTATGACTCATGAATAAAACAACACTTTCTTTATCCAATAGTAAACCAAGCGAGAGGACGCTCGATAGATAAACAAATGTAAACATACGGAGAATTCTTTCTTCGATCTACCATACTTCCCAGATGAAAATGAGAAAACGTAAGAAATCTAACCAATAAATTTGTCGAAGGCAGACTTTGATACCAAAATAAATATTCGTTTCTTTTTCGTTTTTCATTCAAAGAAAAGAAAGACATGCCCTTGAGAAAAACTATGCTATCATCATCGGCAATAACAAGAAAAAAAGCATCTGTGACGCGCTCAGTAATATACTCTGCATTCTCCTTCCGTTGCTAGTCTTAAGATATAGTTTCGAATAGCCTTCATTACATCTGACGATTGTTTTTCATGATATCAAATCGCTGATGATTTGTTCGTGTTGTTTTTTTTTCATACGACGAAATACTCACCTTTCGCGTTTAAGAGAAAAGAAAATACTCGCAGCTGGGGTAGGCAGTCAAATATGCAAGACGTCGTCAAGTAATGACGCCGTTTTTTGTGATACGGACTCTCGTTTTTTTTTTGTTTCCTGCCACGTTGGCGACTACTCAGGAAAAAAAGAAAGGAATAGATGATTCAAATTATTCTATTGTTGAATTCATCCTCATTCACTTTTTGGTGTAGGAACGACGAAACACGACTTTGTAGTCGTGTTGTAGAAGAGAAAAGAAAATTGCAGCTTCTTCCGATCCAAACGAACGTCTGAATGCTCTGTAATTATTTTCTTTTTCTTACGGTTTTTCGCCTATTGATATTGTAAGTAAACATGCGAAAAGAAAAAAAAGAGAAATGAAAAACCTGACGAAAAAGCGAAAAAAAATAACGCGTCCGTGATAATCACGATATAAATAGAATGATTTGATGTTATCGAATGACTGTCTAGAAGGAGTAGGAAAATCATAAGTAGAATAATGTCAAGTTTCTCTAGCGATATAGACATCCGATACGTATTGTGTAGATGACTGTTTGTATGATCATTCTTTTGGATTGTACGATTGAAACTATTTGATTAAGCTCACTCATATTGCGTTGGTTGAACGTGACTTGATCAGCCTTGTTCAACACAACGTGTCTAAAACAAACATAACCTTTACATTCAATGTGATCTGTCTCTGTTTAGATTTTCTTTTCTTAGTTTCTTTCATCGACGACGTCTTCTTCTTCTCCTTCTTCCTACTGTGCAAATGGCCTTCTGGGATTTAAGTGATAGTCAACGTATGGGTGCTGGGTTGATCGGTTTTGCCTTTTTTTTTATTCTGCTCGGATTTTCTCTCTTCTTTGACCGAGCTCTTTTAGCACTTGGTAATATTTTTCTTATTGTTGGTGTCATTCTTCTCTTGGTAAGTTGAATGAATTTTTAAGAATTATGTTTTATTGCATTTGTCTTTATAGGGACTTGGTCGAGCACGGACGTTTTTCGTTCAACCAGATCGTTTAACTGGTTCGGCATGTTTTTTCGTTGGTATTGCATTACTTCTTCTTCGTTGGCCTATCGTCGGTGTTATTCTGGAAATCATCGGGTTTTATAAACTCTTCGGTGGATTTTTTCCCGTGATTATATCGGTTCTTCGATCGATTCCTGGCTTCGGTTTAGTTTTATCCCTGCCATATATCTCAACATTGATTAATAAATTAGAAGGTACGAATACAAGAAAGTCAACACTAAAGAAACCAACTGTGACAACGATTCCGCCCGCTCCATCTCGTTCTGTAAATATTGGTCAAGAACTTAGTAATCGAAATGTGAAATAAACCTTCTTATTGTTAACATTTTGTTTGTATGTTTAATGAAAACAGATATTTTTAGTTCAGCAGACAGATAAGAACATTAAGCTTTAAATAAAACTTACGATGATTCAATCATCGATTTTAATCTGTTTGCCATTTCTTATGAACCAATCGAGACAAAACGCGTTTATGTGAATGAAATGACTCATTCAATAGACAACAATTCAAAAGGAAAATAGAGCAACATTTGCAACTCATAAATGTACTCGTCGAAACATAATCGATAGTCAATTATATGCTCAAATAAAGTAAAAAGTACACATTTCATACTTAAAATGAGACGTGCCTACGTGCTTGTTAAAAAAGAGAGAATTGCATGATATTGTCCTATGAAAATGATTCAATATGGTTAACGTAAAACATTCGAAACGGAACTTTCTCGATTTCCGGTTTAAGTGCAAGTGTGAATCCTGTTGATAGTTTTGTTTTTCGCGATGTTTTTGGAAGAGACGCAAAAATACGAGATATGGAAGATATACAAGCAATGATTAGAGATTGTTTATCCCGAGTAGATGAACGAGAAACAACGTATAATCGAGAGCTTTATTTAGTTTAATTGTTGTTAAAGAAGTTTACGCACAATGCAGCTATTCATGATTTTATTTGACAACAGTTTAACTGCAACTAAAAAGCAGTCTTTTGCTACCAAATTTTCCTTCATCATAATGAGTTTGTCAAATTTTTTCATTTTATCTTTTGAATAGATATCTTGTTTTTCATTGTCCTACTGACGTTATTAAAACTTTGCGATACGACATTTCTATATAAACACTATCGCACTCAGGACTCTTAACGCAATTAAACGAAACATGGATAAACAAGATGATGCTGAAACACCTCTTTTACGGCCACGCCTTCCAGCTTGGTGGCGTGTACTACCGTCACTGATGCTTTTAATGATGATCAGCACAATTGATAGTTTAATTCTAAATGATTTTATTGAATATCGTTATACAAATTTATATAAATTGAATTCATCAACATCAGAAAATACACGAGAATTATGTTTGAATGCAACGCGAACAATTCATAATTCAAGTGCTGCTATATCGACAACAACATCGATATATCCCATATCGACAACCATGTCATGGAACACTATCATTCAATCGGCAACAGCACGCTTAAATGTCTACATATCACTTGCAGCGACCATACCTACTATTTTGACGTCCATTTTATTCGGTTCCAATTGTGATCAGATTGGACGAAAACCTTTAATTGTTTTGCCATACGTTGGAAAGATCATTCGGTATATTATCTTAACAGCTGTTGCTTATTATGATCTTTCCAATCTTTGGATTATTTTATCTGTTATGTTTGATGGACTTTTTGGTACAGCAGCTTTGAATATATTGAGTGCGTTTGCCTATGTCACAGATTGCACGACAGAAAAAACGCGTACAGCTGGTATTATCATTACTGATGTGTCTATTGGCTGTAGTCGTTTTATTCCATTGCTTACTATCGGAATTTATCTGCAACAACCAAAATTCATTCAATCGATGACCATCACATTGATCTTGAGTCTGATTGGTTTGATCTTTTCTGTTGTTTTACAGCCGGAATCGAATTTAGATGTTCAACACTTGAATTTCTTTCAACAATTAAAGCGTGTTAAACTCAATCTGATCAAAAATGTCTTTCGCGTGTTTTTCGTTAAACGCTCCGAACATCAACAAAGATCATTATTATTTTTAGTCGTCATACACCTTTTGATCGTCGTTATGGTCATGGGCAATATGTCTGTGATCTATCTTTTTCTATACGGTGCACCATTCTGTTTGGATTCATTCGGTGTCAGTTTAAACAGCGTTGCACAAACTGTTTCTGTCGTTCTCTTAACAATTCCATTCACATTAACGATCGCTAAACGTTCAGATCACTTAATTCTTCCTGCACTGGGTTGTCTCGCTTACATGATCCAGTTGGTTTTATTCGGTATTGCACAAAGAATATGGATCCTGTATGTTGCTGTATGTATCGGTGCATGGTACAGTGTTCTAGTACCGGTTGTTCGTTCACGTATAACAAAATTAGTTGAGCCAACCGAGTATGCCGTGGTATTTATACTTGCCAGCGTCTTTGAGTCAGGTGGTTACTATGCAATTAGCGCTCTGGCAAATGAAATTTATCGGGAATCATTAACATTTTATCCAGGTCTTGTTTACTTTGTATTCGCAACTGTTGGCGTTGTGGCAATTCTTTTGATACTGTATGTTAAAGAATATTTTTCTAGTTATAAGATATGCGTGAAACTATATTTGTTGTTTTTTGTTCTTTAGAATTTTATATATCCTGGAGTATCAAGCAGCACCGAAACGCAAGCTTTTAAATTTGAATGACTGATTGTTAAACGTTATATTTATATATATATATATATATAAAAGTTCATAATAACCGTTACTGTTGAACTAGATTTGTTGGCAATGTCCGATTTCGTTAATCTGGATCTTAATCAAGTGATTTAAAGGAAAACATTCGAAACTTTTCATCCGTGCATTAGTTATGTACGTCATCATTCTCATAATAACATCATTTGTCAGTTATGTAGTATTACGACAAGCTAATCGGTTGATTCCTTGTGAAAAGAAAAAGAGATTTCGCGTTAGAATATCATTTTCTAACTGAACATCTCCCAAGAAATATCCTTCCGAGAGAACTTTCATGAATAGATATGAAAAATATTTCATTAGAAAAGCAAACATCAATGAAATAACAATTGACAAAGTAAAGAATGCAGAATAATGATTTGTGAATATTCTCCTTTGTGAAACGTACAAATGAGATGATAGAAAGTTAATAAAGCAAAAGAAGAGCCTTTGTGCGTCATTTTTGTTCTTCACATATTACTGACGATTGAAGCATTCTATTACTTTTTTTCTCATTGTCATATATATAGTTGACGATAATGACAAAGTTTGAGAATCATGTCTTTCTTTTTCTTATATTTTCTATATATATATTCACACATCGATTGTTGTTATTTTTATATGTGAAAAGAAAAATGACGTGGAATATATGAGCAATCGTTTTTTCCTTCTTGTTGAGTAGAAAATAATAATGTCGGATCTGATTTCCGTGAGAAAAAGTTTTATTTCAATCAATACGAAGACAAGAGCAGCAACAACAACAACAACAACATCAGCGGGAAAGTAAGAAAACGTTGTTTTCGCCTACTGAGACCGAAATTTTGATATAGGAAGTCGCTTGTCTCGCTTATTTCAGCGTAAATATGTTTACAAGAGAATGATCATCAATCATTTTTTCTTACGTTTCGGCGACGTTCATTAGTTTTTCAATTTCTGTCTAGGTAAATAATTCTCGGCAATGTGCAAAAAAATATTTCTCTCTCTCTCTCCTTCAACTAGAGCGTCTTTTTTTACTTATGTCAAAAGCATTGAATAGAAACAAAGATAAGTTGTGCTTGATAGAGCAAGAAAATTATTTAGTCAAATCATTCCTACTGACAATTGATAGAGGTATCTGTTCTAAGCATCTTAATAGTGTGAGATCTTAGAATAAATAATCAGAAAAGACAAAGACAAGGAAGGAGAAGAATTTGCTTCTGTTCATTTCATGCTCGTGTGAAGTTTTTCTTTTCGCACTTATCTGGTGAAGTATCAGTGCTAGCGCAAGCGAAGATATGTGCGTGTATTGACACGAGATCTAATTGCTTTAGCTTGTGTGTGTGTGTGTGTATTTATTATGAACAAAAGCACATTTCATCATCTTCATCATCATTATCACCAGCATTCGGCTTCTTTTGTCGTTTTAATGCATCCTTCGTCTAACTACTGCCTGAAGCAGATTTCAAAGAAAATCTATGGATTTCTATTACTCACTAATACATCTTCTCAAACATTTCAGTCTAGCTTCTCCTGGGCCATCTTTATTAGACGTTCTTTCTTTTTTCATATTTTCATTTCTCTAATGAACCACAATTCCCGTTTGTAACGAATGAATGCATTAGATCATTCTAATAGATGTGAGTGTGGTGAACGACGCACAGTTTTCTTTAGCATATGGTCTCGAATGTCCTCGACGCGCACGACTTTGATCTTGTCAATATTTGTAATGAAATTGAATAAAATTTTAAAATTGAAAAGTAGGTTTTGAAAGAGAAAGAGAAAGAGAGCGGCACAGGAAAAGAAATGAGTCGTCAAAGTTCTTCCATAGCAGAACGAGCGTTTGCCTATTCGCCAACGTTCTGTCCCGCTCAATTATGCGCAGCATAACACACAGATGTGTATATAGTAAAGAGAAAGAAAAATTCACAGAACTTTTCTCTGTTTTTCTCTCATTTTTTTTCCTTAACACTAATTATTAATGTAGAGGACAGACGGCAGACCCGGAACAATCGCTACGCAGTAGTAAAGTAGACACAGAAGAAAGAAAAGAAGAAGAAAGAGGAGGAGAAGAAGAAGAAGAATGTGCAGTAGATTCTTTGCGAGCAAACGAACAAGGAAAATCTCGTCGAAGGCGAATAGTAATAGAATGATAGTAATGATGATCTCATCCATTGCATGCGTGGGCTATTTAGGCGATCTGCGATGATGTATAGAATGGAAAGCGAAGAGAAGAAAGCGACCATATGGGAAAGAACGGCTATTGCTTTCTCTGTCTGCCTTGGTCGCATCTCTCTCATTCTAACCGGTTCTGATCTGATATAGACAATGTTATGATGAATCTCTTTTCTGTATTTGTGTTCGGCGCGTGCGTCCTCATTGTCCATACGCAATTTGTACCTACGCATCTTCTTTGCATTCTCCTTTTTGCTTTCTCTCTCTCTCCCTCTTTTCTATCTTCCTACATCTGTGCGCCGTTGTCAGAGACGTATCTCGTTCTATTGTGTCTATTTTCTATACACATAGCAACTATCTATCTTGGAATATTTTTCTCTTTTTCTACTATTGCATCGAGTTCGATATATTAATATTGATATCTAGATATGCATATGAACTGAACTTGTTACTTCCAATGACTGAATGGCTACGAGCTCATCGTACAATAGCAGTATTCAAAGGTATTAAAATTCATAGATTGAGTATTTGTGTATTAGTACAGAAATGATCCAAAAATTCGATCATTCCTTTCGCATTAACTTCTCTTATTTCTATTTTTGTTCGCTGTCTTCCTCTCTCTCTCTCTCCTTCGGTCTCCTTAATAACATCTAAAAAATCATTTGCTTATGATAGTACTATTGATACATGTCAACCTTCGACTACATATCTGTCTTATTAGAAAGATCAAACGAAGTGGAAAAGAGAAAAAAAAAGAAAAAAACACAATTACGTATTATATGCCGATTTTCATCCATCACTCAATTCAATGTCTAGATATGACAGTCTTTCCGTTTTCCATCTTTATCTCTGTTTCGATTTTTAATCTAGTCAATGAATACGACCAGTTGTCAAAACATTCCTAGATCTTCTTTCATTCATTCTTTTTTCTTCTTTTTTATGTCAATTTTAGTAGCATCACACATGAGCCACAAATAATGGCATCAACAACGTCCACAGTCACAAAAAAAGACTCCTCAGCATCGACATCGACAGCAAATACGCATGTTCGATGTCTGCCATCACCGCCCACATATCGTCTAACGATCGCTGATTTATTTGATACTTCAACTGGTGGTGGTAAGCCGCGACTTGAACGTCTTCGCGAGCATCTTTTCGCCGAAGGACGTCTCGAAGAAGATGCAGCCTTAATGATCATTGAGCGTGGTGAAAATTTATTACGTTCAGAAAACACATTAGTCGATTTAGAAGCTCCAATAACTGGTAAATATTGTTCTAATGAATAGCGAATCCTCCGACATAAGTCATCATTTTAGTATGTGGTGATATACATGGACAATTTTATGATCTCATGAAACTAATTGAAGTTGGCGGTACGTGCACTATTTTTAGCGTAATATCACTTTAGTTAGAGGAAAAATGAATGATTTTTTCCGACTGAAACTCAACTGTCAAAAATGATTAAGCTAAGACACTTCACTCTCTAAATACGATTACTCTTTATTCAGGTTCACCTGCCACAACACGATACTTATTCATGGGTGATTATGTTGATCGAGGATACTTCTCAATTGAATGTGTTCTGTATTTATGGGCACTTAAAATTCATTATTCCAACACGTTTTTTCTTCTACGTGGCAATCATGAATGTCGACATTTAACTGAATACTTCACATTTAAAACTGAATGTAAGTTTCACAATTGAATTGACAACTCATTCTTTGCTTCTAATATTTATCTTTCTTCTCTACATCCAGGTAAAATCAAATACACTGAACGAGTTTATGATGCATGTATGCGTGCATTCGATTGTTTGCCATTAGCTGCCCTAATCGACAAACAATTCTTTTGTGTACACGGTAAGAAAAACAAAATGAGTCACCGCTAAATAGAACATTGTTTTCCCAGGTGGTCTTTCGCCCGAAATTCATACGTTAGATGATATCAAAAAGTTAGATCGATTCAAAGAGCCTCCACCTTATGGTCCTATGTGTGATTTACTATGGAGTGATCCTGTCGAAGATTATGGTCATGAAAAATCTCATGATGAAAAATATTTATTTAACGCTACACGTGGTTGTTCATATTTTTATACGTTTAAAGCTGTGAATGATTTTCTTGTTCGAAATAATCTTTTAACTGTTATCCGTGCTCATGAAGCTCAAGATGTTGGCTATCGTATGTATCGTAAATGTCCATCAAGTGGTTTTCCATCGTTAATGACGATATTCTCTGCGCCGAATTATCTTGATGTCTATCAGAATAAAGCTGCGATACTTAAATATGATACAAATATCGTTAATATCAGGCAGTTCAATTCGTCTCCTCATCCGTACTGGCTACCGAACTTCATGAATGTCTTTACATGGTCATTGCCGTTCGTCGGAGAGAAAGTGACTGAAATGTTAATCAATATACTGAATATTTGCAGCGAAGAAGAACTTGTACACGATTTATCCAGCGAGCAACAAAATGATAATGATAATCAGTTCCGTCGCGATGCTATTCGTTCGAAAATACGTGCTGTAGGAAAAATGGCCAAAGTGTACGCCTCGTTACGTGAAGCAAGTGAAAATGTTATTAATTTGAAAGGTCTAACACCTGTTTCGCCATCGTCATCATCAACAAATTTGAATGAACTTATCGACGATGAAGGAGATACTTCTGAACATCCAAAAGTACCAACGGATTTTTCATTTTCAACAGCGAAAACATTTGATCAGATTAATGAACGTATGCCACCGTGGTCCGATGCTGAACGTAAACAACGTTTTGCCAACAAGAATTCAACGGGCAAAGATGATTCAAATCTTTCGCATACTGATAGTGATAATGAACGAATTGAATCAACAAATGCCGAGAGAGATTCAACATCTCATACACCCATTCTTGTTATACAAAAGGAAGACGAAAAAATCCTCAATGGAAGCGATAAGTAATAAAAACTTTTCATTTTTCGCAAGAGAAAGCAGATCGTTGCAGAATAAATAATTGTTTCTTGAATAAAAATCATATGTTTCGTAGCAAAATCATCTCTTTTATTCGTTGACAAAAGGACAGAAAGATGAAGTCCGATTATAATTTCTTTTGCATGTTTTTGTCCTTGTCCATTCACCAGATGTGTAATTAAATGATAACAGAAGGAGAAATATTGGGAAAAAGAAACTTATTCCGTTATCGAACATCTTTTTTATCCATATTCATTACACTTAACCGAAGAAGACTCGTCTGTTTTTCAACTATCTTGATGAGACAAAAGATAAATGTAAAACAGATTTTTTTTGCATTTTGTGACCAAACATATTTTAATAATAACAGTAATTGATTTTTTTCTTCTTTCGTGTTTAGATCTCCAGTCATTAAATCAACTCCGTTGTCTACGACTTCTCCATCAACTTCGAAACCTGTTTCAACTTCAGCCGGTGATTGCCATACTGATCTTGATCAGATAGATATCCGATTCGAGAAAAACCATCATGATTCTCTACCAAACTCGAAACATTCCACCAATAACTCGACGAGTTCGACGACCACGACGAGCACTAATAGTGGGAGTAGCAGTTTTTCACTTAAAAACCCTGTGAGCTCATTTCGTTCATGGGTATCGAATAAGAAGATGTCACGTGAAGAATCAGGAACCGCATCGATGAATCATTCGATTACAACCTATGGTAAAATCGATACATCTCCGACTCCACGTAAGTCTTCAGTAAGTTCAAGTGCCACGCGACGAAATCGTACGAATTCGGCATCAGCGACTACGACAACATCTGTTCTCAATCATCATCAACAGCAAAATCAAACAAATTCTTCCTCGCCATCATCATCAACAACAACAACAACAACCGGATCAACACGTGTAAAAAAGAAATCATCGTTTGCATTACGTAATACCAATCCCATTTCATTACTTAAGCGAACATCAGATACGAGTCATAATCAAACAGATGTATCTTCAACTGAACAAGCAGGAACAGGCGGGGGTGGAGGAAATGGACCATTTGGTTATTTCAAAAATCTTGTACGAGGCGATAGTAGTAGCAGTGAAAAAAAGCAGTAGTTCGCCTTGTATGTGTGAGTGTGAGCGTGTGATTTTGTTTTTCAGTTTTTCTTTCTTTCTTTCTTTCTCTTTTTAAATTTCTTTCGTTGTTGTTCGTTCTTTCTTTTTCTGTATATAAGAAACATTCGTGGTTAAAACTAAAAGAGAATCTTTAATGATTGAACCACAAATACACATAAACAGCTGCTAAAAATCTTCTACACTTGTGTTCATTTAACCTTTCATCTCAATGATCATTAACCTTTCACAAATCAGCTGTTCATATAAACATCTAGCTGACAGGATCATGATAATAATTATTAACATTTCGTCTTGTCAGATGTTTACACTTAAATATTAGAATACTTATTTTATTGTTTGATCGTACGCGACAATTTCCATTTTATATCTAGTAGAAAGAAGAAAACAGAAAAACAATCGTTTAAAAAATTAATCAACACTCTTGATTCGATTTTCACTGATCAATCGAATCATCTTCTTCGAACGACTTTCGTCAATAATTCATTTTCGTTCTTGCTTTGATTTCGGCATTAGCAATGTCATCGATTAATTGAACAATTTTATCCTGATAACGTTCTTCGGCAAGTTGTCGACCGTTACGTTGATAGCTAACGTGTACATTAATATGCTTATAACCGCGATCGACCAGCCATTTCAATCGTTTATAATTTCCTTCATTTATTAAACGTACAATATAAGCGTCAAGTTCTGTTTTCGCCTGAACACGATTAGTCAACACACAATATTCTCGTAGTGTCAACTTCTCGTAATTGGGATGTCGTGCAGTTAGATCAACATTCTTATCGAGTAATAAGCGTATCAAATAATTTTTGGACTGATACTGCAATGCGGTCACAAGAGCATTGTCATATTCACCCTTGATACTCGGATCCGCACCACGAAATAGAAGAAATTTAGCTGCATCATTTTGTTGGTGTGTTATAGCGGTCAATAGTGCTGTCGTTGCAAAGTTTTTCGCAGAGATCTGTCCAATGTTAATATCGATTTTCCATTGACTCAAGAAGTAATCTAATAAACGTACTGAACCGAGTTGAGAGGCATGGAAAAACCCATCTCTTGCCAATGTTTGCTGTCGATTCTCATTACAGAGATTTCGAATAAATTTGTCACAACGACGAACGTCATTCAGTTTTAAAACGGACAGAAATCGTTGTTGAAATGATGGAAGATCTAGACGACGATGAATTAAATCAGCTAATGGATGGTGATTCAGTTCGTAAGCGTATTCATACGCAGTCAACGTTTTTTGAATAAATTGATCAGCTTTTGGTATCATGATCCAAAAAAGAAAAGACAAAATATTCTTCACTTTATATTTAGATACTGTTTTAAGTTACACTAAGATCTGCTTTCCAATTAGAAAGTGTGTATGATGTTGCAGTGTCAGATTTAGTTCTATTCGAGACTCGATACGTAATTAGAATCGACTTGTTTTACAAAATCTGCGTATTAGACTTCTTTAATTTCAGCTAATCAAATAAACGACATTAACTTCGGCTGGCATAAACAAAAACATCGATATCTGATCTATTCATACTTGAAGATGAATTCTTTTACAAAAATAATAGATCGATGATCTTTTTACTATATCAACTTTATCGTATTTACTTACTGTATAAGATTTATTCAATGGAATTTCCATTTGAAGTAAAAATTTCACAAATGGATCATTGTTACGTTCGATAGCATAGAAAATCAATGGTTTCGTTGCTTTGTCGTCTGATTCATATTGAACAACATCAAAATATTTCACAAGATTTTCAAACCGTCGAAGATGACCACCTTCCACTAGGCGTATACACTCAATATATTGCGCATCATCATCATCTTGCTTAGCATTGTTCTTATCCACTATTGATTTCTCATTCTCAATTCCATCCTCCATTGTAAAATTGAAACTAAACACAATAATATATTTTTTCTTGGCTTTCAACAGTTTCCTTCTAAACTCTTACAAGTATCTTTGATTTGATTTGCTAAGCAACTTGACTTTTAGAGTTTCTTTCGTTATATATTTTTTTCGATCTCCTAACAAAGCAGTATCTGATATACTATGTCAATAATAACAGAATGAAACAAAAAACCTTCACTATTTTGCCATACCTTGTATCAATACTTAGCTTTCGAAATTGACTTTTCATTCATAAATTTTAAAGCGCGTTCATATCTTGTTTTGTCGACTATTTGACTTATGGGTTCGTGTTTTTCCCATGACGAATCTCGAATATCTCTTCAACAAGATTTGTCTCAATCATCCATCAATCCATATGTAAATCAAATGCATGAAATAACTACAAAGGATGAATTCAAACGATTAACTACTAGTCCAGAGACTCAGAATATGTTGATTTTATGTGATTTCTATGCTGTTTGGTGCAGACCATGTTCACAGTGTGCACCGACACTACATAAATGGGCATTGAATGAATATAAAACCAATGTTATTTTCATGAAAGTTGATGTCGATCAAAATAGCGATTTAGCGAATGAATTCTCCATCAGCATTTTACCAACATTTGTTTTATTTAAACAGGGAAAAGAAGTCTTTCGTTTGTCAGGAACGAATTTAGATAAGCTTAAAAAAGAAATCGATAGATTGCGAAACTAGACGGCAACCTGTGCTCAGTCATTCGTTGACGATTTACGAATAAGCATTACAATTTATAATTAAGAAAAGAAATTTTAATAAAAAATACCTATTGATTTCGAATGATAAAGCAACAGTAAATTTTTCAATATCTTGAGAGAGCGTATGTGAGAGTAATGCTAATAAAAAGCAGTACTTATTAATCGGATTTTTCTTTCTACGTCCGTCCAGTGTAGATTAGTTGACCAGATTTCATTTGCAAACGACACAAAAATAGAGAAATCATGCTGAATGTCTGAATATTAGTCATGTCTCATTGGGATAAAATCACACTCACACACTTGAAAGTGTGTATCTCATTTCACGAGAGAATACTTTGTAAAAAAATTGTCTATTTGAAGTTATAACTATTTATAATACTTACTATTCCCCATAAGTCAAAATAAAAGAACTCATTTGGTAATGTCTAGCGCTTAATACACTAGTTACAGATATTCATGAATGAAAAGGTATTGATATCTTTCATTATCATTGATTGGCGAATTGTAAAAGCATCATACTGCTTTCTTTGTCCTACGTGTTCCACTTGACCGTTCGACGTAAGTGATTCTTTAAAATGATAGGAAAAAGTTTGGGAGAACTTCACTTCAGTTACGCTTTTAAGTTCGACTAACTCATTTCACACAAATCGACATGATGGTGTGGAGGAGAATGTGACTTAGGAGTAGTTCTACCGGAAAAATCTTCTTCTAGTTTACAAATCATGCATCAATAGAAGAATTATTTTGTTTAGAAAGTTTCGATCAATGTCTGAAAGGGCATTACTGTTCGAGGTAGCTCAAAAATCAACAAAGAGACATTGAGTACTTTCTAGAATTAAAAAATAAAGCTTGTTGTTTTATGCTGTCAAAACTATTGTTTTTCATGAGAAATGTAAACAGTTACTCTCTGTTTTCTTTTCAATTTCTCATGTGCTAATAAAAAGTGACGATTCGAACACAAACTTCTACTTATAATATATCCATAATATGATTGAATTTTCTTTTATTTATATCGTCATAAACATCACTCTAGTTTCTACATTGCGAAACACACACACACACACACGTCTATCAATTTGGATGGTTCGTCATACGATTTTGACTTTACAGCGATCTCGTTGTCATGAATTGACTCTTCAATTAAGTGAGAAAAACGATTGCATCAACATGTCAATGTATATCTCTCTACAATTTGAGTCTGCTTCGAAATCAGTACAAGCATTTCATTAGAAAACTAGGAGCAATCGTAGCAGTATAGTAAACAAACAAGAAAAAACACACGTAAATATATGTGGCAAGAACCTTGAAGAGATCTGATGAATAAAAAGAAACAAAGTGAAAAGAAAGGAGAACAAAAAGGTTGCCGGTATAGAAAAAAAATCAATCAGAAGATGATACTACAAAAGGGAAAATATGTTAAAGATCACCACTTGTTTGACGATTTTGAAAATAATCAGTCTGAGAAGAGAAGAGAAGAGGAATGATTCGTATCGATAAAACAAGTTTTTCCTACTCACATAAAGTTGTTGCACATCGTTGCCATTATCAGCATTTCCTTCACTGTTATCTTTGCTAATCAATTTGTCATAGGAACGTCGATAGTTTTTATCAATTGACTTCAGGTAAATATCACCTGACTTTAGAATTTCCATCGGCTGTTTTGGCACGAAAGATACTAAAAATATCGCGTATGCGGAAGAATCATACATGAATGAGTCTTACCTTTATGCTGATTCTCTTCACGTTCTAACAGGATTTTGTCCATAATCTCCGGTGAAATTTCTATTCTCTCGTTGTCAAGGCGTTCGCGAGCACGTTGAATACTTCGCTGTAATTGTGCTAATGTAAATCGACATTCATGAACTTTACGACAAACTACACTATACATGGACGATGCTAATCCAGAGCCATAGGAAAAAAGTAAAATACGTCGTCCATACAATTGTTCCTCATTTGGTTGACTAAACAAATGATTGCATTTTTAGTTTGGGGATGGGACTGGCAATATTCGTTAATAAATTTTACCTGATTAAAAACGAAAAGAGACTGTAATAAACTGATGATGTATACATATTGCCCATGTTTTGTGCAAAATAAACACCCGGCAAAGTTTTCTGTTCATATAACTCTCTACTTTGTTCAATCATTTCCCGTTCAAGTTCTTTATCATTGATTAATGTACGAATATCGAGATTTCTAAATAAGCAAAGGCAAGTATTTCTATGTAATTCTGATGAACATCTTACTTATATTTTTCTGAGATTGCACTTGGTATATAGGGACAAGCTCGAATGAGATCATTTAAATATAATCTAGCTAGAGACTTTTGTGCAAGTTTCACATAGGGTGTGTGAAATAGAACGGCGGCAAATGTCGATAAATTGACTTCGCGTGACGTCAATGTACTCGTATGTGTGTGTGAATGAGATTCATGATTCATTTGCGATTTTGTACAAAACTGCGTATAGCATGTATCAAGTGCCGAAATCACGCATTGAACACTTAATTGGCCATCGACAATTGGATATAGTGAATTTAAATTAGGTTTATAGAAATCATACACATGCGCCATATGTGTTGCACGACAACCTGAACAAAGGAGTATGAGAAAAAGACTAGAAAATATCGTTTAGACAGTTGTACCGGATTCAAAAACAACTGGAGCATTTGGACCGATAAGAAGAGCACAAGCACCAGCACCACCTGTTGGACGGGCATTACCTTTGGGATAGACAGCTATATCACCCATAACTACAACAGCCTAGAGAGATAGATTACATTCAAAATGTAGTTAGAATCAGCGACTTTTCAGTTCTCCATACGTATCGTCCATCCCAAAAGCTTGATTCAATCCAATGAATAGCATTGAATATAGCCGCAGTACCACCATAGCAAGCATTTACATTATCTACACCTTCGACAGCTGTATTATCATGATCAACAAATAATTGCATAAGAACTGTTTTTATCGATTTTGCTTTATCGATCAACGTTTCTGTTCCAACATCTAGTCGACCAATTTGTTGAGGATGTACACCGGTTTCATCAAGTAAACGTGATAAAACAGTTAAACATAACGAACATATATCTTCATGATCGGAACATATGGACATACGTTGTTGTCCTAGTCCGATTGTGTATTTGCCTTTTGAGATATTTTCATGCACTTCCAGTTTCGATTGTTCAACATAAAGTGGCGGAATGTAAAGTTCACAAGCAAGAATACCAACCGATGATGGACGATGTAAATAACCTGCGCCGTTCATGATAATATTCTCTGAAACGAAACAATCTATATGAAAATCCTTCTCTAGTAAAGATAACTATAAACCATCAATAAGAAATAATAAACAATGGAATGTATATGTGTTATGTTGAATGGTTGATTGTTGGATACCAATTTTAGACAGATGCAACATATATGACTCATGCGAATATGGAAAAGAAGGAAGGAAGGAAAGAAAGAATGAATGACATTAATGGCACAGAATGCATCTAATAAATGAACTTTAGGGTAGTTGGCACTAGTCTACTGTCGCTTTCATCAAATTAATTTTTATCGAGCTTTTTCACCTTCTCATGTGTTATTCCGACGAAAAATTCATATCTGCAGTTAGTTTTAGTAAACATTCAGCAATGATTCGGGAACAACGTGAATGACAGGCGAATTTTCATTCTTCATTGTGAAAACAGAAAAATACGTACTGAATTGTATATGCATATTAGTCTCTACTAGCATTTCATCTCTGACGCATTTAAATATTGATCTGGAGGATTTTATCTGTTACCAAACACAAGAGTTGACTGATCAATATATTCTTTGTATTTACATGTGTATCATATTCCAAAGTAAGTTGATAAGTAGTTTTAGGTACGAAGAGGTAGTTTATATATTTAGCTAAGATAAAAAGCCGAATATTAAAGGATTTCTTTTTGTTTTTGATATGATGAGAATTGACTTGATTCGTTTCTGGCTCTTATTGAATCTAAATGTAGTATGTCGAGCAGCTAGTTATGCGTGTGAAAAGAAAGCAGTGTCGTGTGGTTGTGGACAAGCAGCTGTAGCAATCAATGCGCGGATCGTCAATGGTGAAGAAGCTGTGCCCTATAGTTGGCCGATGATGGTATCATTGAGATATAAGTGTAAAACTAATGGCGACTCAACAACACATTGTTGTGGTGGAACGATTCTTAGTGAATCGTATATATTAACAGCAGCTCATTGTGTCGATACTTTACCTGAGAACGTGAAAGATCAGAATGTAACAATTGCTGCTGGCATGCATGATCAATCGAAGCAAAATCGAATCATTCGTAACGTTGATAAAATCATATTTCATCCGTTATGGAAAACATTCCATACTGAATATCAATACGATATCGCTTTACTTCGTTTATCGAAGCCACTTGATCTGCAAACGAACTCATCTTTGGCTCGAACGTGTCTTCCACCCCGTTTTGATACGTTGGAGAAGATGCTCGATTATTCTTCAAATGCGACTGGTTTAGTAGTGATCGGATGGGGAAAATTAGGAACAGATGGAAATTTTCCTGATCTTCTTCAACAGGTATCTGTTAATTCAATACCGTACCTCGATAGACGATGTACAAAAGTCATGTCATATCCAAGTGTGCAAATGTGTGCCGGAGTTGACGACGATATCAGTGGTAAGATAGTTCATTTTTTTAGAAAAAAATCGTTCTTTAATATGCATATTATCATCGAATTGTCTCAGATGCTTGCCAAGGTATAATAGTTATAATCGAGTTATTTATTTTGATTTTCTCTTTTTTCTCTTCATGAACAGGTGATTCAGGTGGCCCTATTCTGCAATGGATTGGTGATCGTTGGGAGCAACTAGGACTTGTCTCTTATGGCGTAACAGGCTGTGGAATAAAAGGTTTTCCGACAGTTTACACTCGACTGACTTATTTTCATGATTGGATCGTATCACATATTCAACAAGATAACCATACAAATATAGTGGAAAATATAACTGCAGCCAATCCTGTCATTTACCGTTGTCGCGTTGGGTTTCATCAATGTGGCTGTAGTAAGAAGAACGTTGTTTTATCTTCAACAGCATTGGTTCCAAGTGAAAACGCATTGCCATTCACATGGTCAATGATTGTTTCGATACGTGTTGCTTCGAACAACGAGCATATCTGCACGGGAACAATTGTAGAAAACTATCTTATTCTAACAGCAGCTCATTGTGTGATCAATCGAATATTAGAGGAGATTTTCATTGAAGCGGGCATGTATTCCCAAGATGAACCTGATGCAATCATTCGGCACGTAGATCACATGTATATACATCCTAATTATAGTAGAACAGCTGATTCTTATATCAATGATGTTGCTATTCTTCACTTGTCAAAATCGCTGTTTTCAGAAAATAACGCATATCTCACACCGATATGTCAACCCTCGCCAGTAGGTTATTGGATAAATACTAGGACTCAGTTGGTTATTAGCGGTTGGAATATCACCAATAGCTCTCGTGTATCGAATACAAAGATATTACAACAGACTGAAATTTATCTTATTGAAGGCGATGATCATCAACGCTCGATACCAATGGATCAGCGTGAGAATCAATTCTATGCTGGTCGCCGTGTGACAGATTCTTCTTTCACAGATCTATGTTATGCAGGTAGGTGAAGTTTCTTTAAGAGAGAAATGCAGCTATCGAGACATTGATTTTTTCATACAGCCGATCCAGGAAGTCCCGTTTTTTATTGGACTGACAATCACTGGATACAAGTAGGTTTTGCATCCCATTGTAGTATGCATGACAATCATGGCATTTTTACAAACTTGAGTAATTATGCTAATTGGATAGAAAGCATCTTCAAACTGACTGAAATGAGACCATCGAATACATATCACTGTGATAGAAATGCATCATGTGGCTGTGGGCCAACAGATGTGACCTTGACATCATTACGTGTTATTGGAGGTGAAGTCACGATTGATCATAGTTGGCCAATGATAATATCGATTCAACTCTACGGAGAGTGGCATGTATGCAGTGGAACGATTCTATCTGATTTATTCGTATTAACTGCTGCTCAATGCGTGGCTGGTTGGGGAATCACAGAGACTGCGACTGTCATAGCTGGTGCTCCTAATCTTTCGAGTCCAGACAAGATTTCCCGGAGAATTGATCAAGTCTATATCCATCCAAATTACTCAAACATCGAACCTAATTTACATAACATTGCGATTATTCGAATAAATCAGCCACTTCCATTGAAAGATGAATCATCTACAATACGAAAAACATGTCTATCATCAAACACCGAAGTGCCATTCAATGAATATCCAGCGCCCAATTCGAAACTAGTAGTTCTTGGATGGAGTAATTTCGATGTTGAAAATGGAACATCGTCGAGACTTCGACAAATACCAGTTCGGTTCATTGATGCTAAACATAAGTCATGTGCAAATGCTATCATCAATGAAACCTATCAATTCTGTGCTGCACTGTCAAATGATGATCATAGTATTGGTCTAAATTACTTATTGAGTTGTAAGAAAATCGAAAGGAATTTTCCTTTACACTTCATTTGTATATTCAGATGATGCAGGCGGACCGATTATGATGTTCAAGAATAATCATTGGGAACAAGTAAATGATTGACGATAGTACATATAATTCTTTTATTGACTTATTTATCTAGATTGGAATTATTACAAAACCACACGGAATCGAGACGATTAGTAAACCTGAGCTATACATACGGATATCACCATACAAAGAATGGATCCAAAGTACTATTGGTTTCCCCTTGCCCGTCTATCCAACACTTAATAATGGTATTCATTACTCAAGATATAATACTTTCAATTTGAGTACATTTTTCTTGACGAATATCATGTATTTATTTATTCATTCAGTTTATATAACATAAGTGCATAGAACTAGACTTGTTATAAACTTCATGATACTGTCTAAACGAAAGATTATCAACAAATAACAATTTATTGTTATTAGCCATAAAAAAAGAATTATTATTACTTTGTATGTCGTCACTAATCAAATGCAAGATAACAGATGTATTTTCGCAATAGTTTAAACTCTAACATTTCAAAGGAAACAAAAGAAGTTGTCTTATTTTCGAAAATATAGATAAGAAAGAGAAATTACAGAACAAAACACGAAAGATTTTCTTCTACTATCACAATGCATTTATCAGGTTTTCGCATCACGCTTCAAACGTCAAATTTAGGGGCGAAATATTCATATGATGAATACTGCGCTGCAAAGATATGTATTTTTACTATTAACCATTGCTGTGTTATGTTCTACAGTGGACTACAAACAAAATCATCAAATCGATCCATTACCGTATACATCATCTATGATAGTTTCAATTAGACACAAGAATGATATAAATACACATCGGTATACTGGAACAATTCTAACTGATTCGTATATCTTAACAGCTGCACATTATGTTGATAGTTCATCAGATGATTTAATCATTTCGTATAAATCAGAAGAAAATCTTGGAAAAATCAATCGAGTTTATATTCATCCAGAATGGAAGGATTACCATCGCTACAGAAAAGATAATGTCGCTCTTCTACGTTTATCAAATCGGTTGAACTTCACTGTACATAGACAACTCTCTCGAGCGCGTCTTTCACCTCGTGTTCATCTGTTGGAGAATACAATGCTACAAATTATCGATTGGCAACGAAATACCAGAGTATTCTTGATAGCTAACAATGATTCCTTATGCAACAGCTTCATCGATGGCGATGAACAACAGTTCTGTGTAAGATTCTACGAAAGTAGCCAAGGTTAGTAGGCGTTTTTCTGACCATTCACGAACACATTAGTTTATTCTAGAAGATGCGGTAGGAAAACCGATATTTCAATGGATGAATCATCGTTGGGTACAAGTAAGACATAAAATCTTATATTAAAACTTCACAATGTACAAGTGTCAATATAGATTGGCATCGTTCATTTAGCTACAAAATATACAGACGATAGCTATATAGGTGTTGTCACCAGCTTACATCACTATTATAACTGGCTAGAGTCCATTGTCAATACACCAAACTTCAGAACTCTCAGTATTGGAGTGACAGCAAATGTCGCAAGAAACGTACCAACAACCTACGAGTGTAGTGTTCATAGCACATCTTGTGGTTGTAGCGGAGAAAATGTAAAATTATCATCGACAAGAATTTTTGGAGGCGAAGAAGCTGTTCCATACAGCTGGTCTATGGTCGTTTCGATTCATTTTAATGATTCCGATGAACCATCTTGTACGGGTTCCATTCTCACCGGATCTTACGTGTTAACTTCAGCAGGCTGTGTAGATGGTGCATCAGAAATGGATTTGCACATTGTCGCCGGTGTGCACAATCGATTGGAAGATTTTCCTACGATCCGCTATGTACAAAAAATTCATATACATCCAGACTGGAACAGAAGTGACCATACCTACGGAAATGATATTGCGTTGCTCTATGTTTTCCCACCGTTACCAATTAATGGTCGGGGAAATCCTGCTCTAACATGTGTACCACATATTAATTCATTGACTGAATCAGTAAATTATCCATTACAAGGTAGTCAGTTAGTAATGGTTGGTTGGGGTTCAGCTGGAGACGATAGTCACGCCATGTCTGAGACACTTCAACAAGTCAGTATCGATGTGAGCAATAAAAACGATCCAAACTGTATAAAAAACGTTCGCGATGCCGATAAACAATTTTGTGCTGGAAGATCAAATCGAAGTAAGGAAAATATTTTCTTCTCCTCAACTGTTTATTTTTCTTTTTCGTACGTTCACCTAGGCCCGTGTCGTGGTAAGCTTGAATGTCCGAATGTCTCCTTTTATATCTGAAATCGATGAATTTTAGGTGATTTAGGCGGTCCAATATTTCAATGGAAAGGAACATATTGGGATCAGGTAAAACCTTTTATATTCAGTACCATGTTTTCCTGAATATCATTTGACTTGAAATAGGTGGGAATCACTAGTTACGGAGGACAATGTGATCAGGTTGATTCACCAGCTGTGTTCACACGTTTGGCGGTATACTTCAATTGGATGGAGTCTGTTGTCAATAGTTCTCTGACAACTACAACGCCTTCGCCACCTCCTGTGCCTATTGTACATGAATGTAACAAAGCATCAACGTGTGGTTGTGGTCAAACAGATGTAGCTCTGACACCCTCGCGAATTGTCGGTGGTGAGGACGCACTTGACGATAGTTGGCCGATGATCGTGTCACTTCGTTTAAATGGATCTATTGATCATTTGTGTGGCGGAACAATTTTGTCTGCATCCTTTATTCTAACTGCTGCTCATTGTCTTCGTAATCTATCCGAAACATATCCTACAGATTTGTCTATTGCAGCAGGTATGACGAATCGTTCAGATCCAGGACGAATTCTACGTAATATTGATCGAATTCACGTCCATCCATATTATCTTGGTGGATCAGATGACAAACGACATGATATAGCTTTACTACACGTAGACCAACCGTTCGTGTTTGAATCTGATTTGAAATTGACGAAAACATGCGTTCATCGCCTGGATTCATCGCTGCCAGTTGATCAATATCCTAAAAATGGAACACGTCTTGTCATCATTGGATGGGGCGTGATGCAATTTGGTACAAAGTATATTCCTGAAATTCTTCAACAAGCACAAGTTTTCAGTATTGACAATGACCATTCCATATGCAAAAAATCGATTCAAGACAGTGAATTGCAATTTTGTGCTGGATTATACGAAGGTGGAAAAGGTATGTTGCACTGGATTTAACCTTACTCGTAATATTTCAATATATTGTTTTTTTTTAGATTCATGTGAAGGTAAATATAACGAATAAAAGCAGTTCTAGTATTTTTCATTGAGAACAAATAATAATTTTAAGGAGATTCCGGTGGACCTATATTTCAGTGGACAGGACAATATTGGGAACAAGTCGGTGTTGTTTCTTATGGAACAGGTTGTGCAGATGCGTATTTTCCTGGTGTATACACTCGACTATCATTCTATTACGATTGGATTCAAAATATTCTGATTCGAAATGGTGAACATCTGGAATCAGGCACTTTGTCTAGTTCAACCATGACTCGATTCACCACATCTGCTGACCTCATACCTCATTCGAATACAATCAGCATGTATCATTTCTATAAATATCATTTTCATGTAGTCATCTATGGATTAAGTTTAATTTTATTTTCGCTATGTTATCAATAAACATGAACGATGCAGTTTGAGAAACATCATTATTATTTGCATACTTTCATCTACTTCTCAGCTCATAAGATTCGTACGTATATCCACGTTAATTAATTTTCATCTCCTTGACGAATTTCTTGTTTTTCTTTCCTCTTCGGAGTCATGCTAGTTAAGTGTAAACATAGTTGACTAGGTAAGTTGTAACTATTTTTATATTTCACATTGTTTATTTAAAGAGGAATTCTTCATCTTTTCTAAAGTATCAATAAATAAAACAATACATTGGTAATAAATTTCTTTTCTCTTTTTTTTTTCAATTTTTTCTTGTCTCTTACCGATCTTGTCTCTTTCATGTTTCTCTTTTTATACATCATAGACAAAGGAAAACAAAATCAAACACAACACAACAATAGTAAAACCGATGATGAAGACGGAAGAAAAAAAAGAAAAGAAAATTTTTCTATATACAAACAATGTGACCAAACACGACCGACGAAAAACGAAAAGAGAAAACCATAAATACATTCATACGTACTACAGACAACAAACAAAGCAGTAGGTGCCATCGTTAACAAGCACAAAAGGAGAAAAGAAATATGAAGAGGAAAAGGAAAACCAAAACCGATAGAGAGGAGCAATATGCCCAATAGAAGAATTTGAATAAGTCAACGTTTAATTAACCACAAGAAGAGAAAATGAAAAAAAAAACTATATACATTGTATATAGACTAAGGCAAAGAAAAAGAAGAAATGAGTGGAGAGAGCGAAAAGACCAATCTACTGTTATATATGTGCGTGCGTTTGATAAAGAGAATGGATATCTGACATGATGTCTGTGTTGGAAAGAATTTTTATTTTATTCATCAACTTGTTCATCATCTCCATGTGTTAAACTAAAAGAAAAATCGTATATGCTAAACTTCCGTTCGATCTGCTCAAATAAATAACCTCATATCATTTTGTACATCGTCATCATCTTCAGTATGATCGTATTGATTATGATTCATACCTCTTGATTGATCATTGTGCGAACCATTATTATCATTGACACTATTGGAATTGTTATCGTCATCATCATCATCATCTTCAACATGATGTGAATGTAAGAGACCCTTGAAAATAGAACAATAACAATCGTATGTTCGCATTTGTATTTCAGAATTTTTCTTTTACTTTAAAATCCTTGTAATCATCGTCCACACTAAATGGATAAGAATACAGCGCTTGATCGTCACCAGTAGATGTATTATGACTGAAAAATGAATTGTAGAGTATTTTCAATTCAATGTGAAGAAGGATTTCTCTTACCCATAGGAAGACGACGATTCATTATGGCTATTTCCTTTTTCTGCTCCACGCGTCAAACGTCGCTTACAAAATTCATTTTCGTCGACAGTCCACACTGCGCCTTTGATATTTTCTACGCGCATGAAACATTTATGTAATGATAAATTATGTCGTACAGCATTCTATTTTTTAAATAACAAGTCAGTTGGATTGAAAATTCATGCATGAATGTAGATTATTACCTTCCATGTTTGAGCATTTTTGCGAAAATAAAGAAATTGTGCTTCGAACCATTTGTAAACTTCATTTAACGTTAACTGATTATCTGGAGATTCAATAATTGCCTACGATAGACATAATTATATACGAGATAGTTGCATTTTTTTTTCATGTTGAAATACCTGACGAATTAGCGTGGCATATGTAAATGGTGGACGTACATCGTGCGTCATATAATAATCACGATTTTTCAATTCTAGAAATAGAAATGAGCCAATTTCCTTCTCTTGACTTCTCATTTACATTTTACAAAACCAACCTTTGCCTTTTCCTGCGCGTTTACCACCTAGGGCTAGCATCGCTTTCGTTTTTTTACTCATTTGATGTTTGCCAACTGAGCCCATGGATACAATAGATAAATTATTTCCATTCGATCTCGAAGGTGTCGATGTATTACCATTCGTCACCATCATATCATCATCATCGTCCTCATCGTCTTCATCTTCTTGGGTGTCATCTCCAACTTCTTCTTCGACAGTATGAACAGGTGGTGGAGAGCTTGATACACTAGCGCGTAGAATGGCAGATGTTGTGGCATTATTCGCGCAGGATAGATCTTGCGGTGTTGCCGTTGATTTCACTAAACCAGCTGATGTTAAAAAGGCGTTTTCTAATTTCACAATAGGTAGATGATGCATCGATGACGTTGGAGATGATAACTGATTTGAACGATTGTTATGATACGATGCTAAGGTACGTGATGGTTGGTGTGTGATAATATGTGCTGTTGTCGTCGTTGGATTCGATGTCGATGCACCATTCGAAATGATCTGTTGGTTTCCGCCATGCAAATGTTTCATCATTGATTGAAGAATTTCACGTTCACGTGCCAATAACGCCTCCAGTTGTTGAACGACATGTTGTTGTACGCGTGCTTGAGCAACAGATCGATCATCAAGCGAATGTTCGTCACTAAGATGTCGATTGAAATTAACCAATGACGAACACAATGTATCACAACTTGGCCAACGACAATGATTTCGTTGATATAACGGATTATTAGATAACTCCTGTTGGGTCGAACGATTTATCGTTGTTGTTGTTGCTGTCGGCATGATAATACGTGTTTCGGTTGAAGTATTTGAATTCGTTCCGAGAAGGTTCAAACCTATGCAGAGCAAAATCAACTACGTTCTCAAATCTGTGTATGTAGAACAATCCAATGAAATAAACGTGCAAAATATTCGAGCAATAAAAAGAAATTCTCGGTCCATTGCACGCACAAATCACTCAGAATAAAAGTAGAACACTATGCTGTATTAGCTTTTATTACGAACCGGTTGAGGTTCGACCTGTAGCTAACAGATCAGTTATATTCATCGTGTTCGCCGGCTGGTATGGATGTGTTGAAATCGAAATAATCGATGGCGATTCTGCTGTCACTTACAAACACAGAAATAGTTTATAAGAAGAAAAATGTTAGTCTTTTTTTTCTCAGAGAAAAAATAAACAATGAAAAAGAACAAAAACAGTATGCGTACCAGTAGTCGAAGAGTTGGTAGGCGTAGTCGTTGTTAAATATTGAACAGTAGCTGTTGTTGGTTGATTCGAGTTAGTTGAATTTGTAATACTGAATAAACTTGGAATCTGTTGTTGTTGTTGCTGCTGCTGCTGCTTAGAAGATACTTGTTGAAGAAGCAATTGCTGGCTCGCTAATTGAGTCTAATACGCATGTGCAGTGAAGAGAAATTTCGAATACGAATATCATTATTTACTTGAATCTGTTTGATTACTTCTGAATTCGATGGAGTTGTACTCGGTGCTGGTGTTGTTTGAACAAGATTAAGTTGAATTTGTTCACTTAGTTGTTGATTTATCTTTTCAACAAGTAGCCGTTGCTAGATAAAGTAAAAGAAGAACTATGAGATGAGATGAGATGTAACAATAACGTATGTGTTTTCTTGAAATCAATATTTATTCATCAACGCTCGTTACAGATGCCATAGCTTACATGAAACAACATACAAATAGGAGAGATAGTCTCGTTGGTTGTTGTTGTTTTTTGTTGTGCGTATGTGTTTTGTGTATGTGTATGTGTGTGTGTTGCTTTCTCTCTTTCTTTTCTTCGTTTTTTTTTACTCTATTATTAATTTTCTTTCCTTCTCGTTCTTATTCTCCATATATGTTGTTTTTTTGGCCGTCCTCACAAGCGAACACTATAAGCAACATCCTGTGCGTGCGATGTTTGTCGTGCAACGAATGGGATGTCAAAGAAAGATGGAGAGTCGAAGAAAGAAAGGGAGAGGAGAAGAAGAGAAAAAAAAATGAGAAAGCAAATCATATTGTTCATAGTCTATGTATGAAAAGACACATATTGTAGGCTTCATAAATGACCATAGACGTTTGATAAATAGAGACAGAGAGGGATATGTGTATATATGTATATACACAAGTTGACCTGTTACATCACATGAATTATATACCTGTTCCGGGCTTGTTAGTATTTGTTGAATAAGCATATTTTGTATTGCATTCGATGATGGTTGTAAATATTGAAGCATAGTTGATGTTGTGACCGGCTGTTGTTGTTGTTGCGGGGATACTGAAGTTGATATATAGTCACTTGAATCGATTAAGCGTAATGTACCCTAATAGAGAGACAGAAGAAACTGGGTATTAGGCACTGAGTTCAATGTATTTTCTCGAGAATACGATTACATTATTCGATGATGTTGGAGAAACGATAGTTGTACCATTCTGTAAATGACCTGTCTGCTCATTAAGAATGGTAGTTGATGATGTTTTCGCTCTTGTTGCTGCCTGTAATTTAGATGTTCGATTTGTTGTTGTTACTCTCATCTCAGATTTTAAGAGAAAAAAGAATTCATTCAACGACAATCTACAATAAAATATCAATAATGAGTTTAACCTTCTATTTTTTTTCCGTTCTCTCGGTCAACAATTCTTGTTTGTCCATTTTCCATTCCCTCTTTCTCTCTGAATTTTTTGCTACGAGGAAAAAATCGCAAGACACAGCGAAAGAGAGAGAGAGGTCAAAATTTAATTGTCTCAGTAGACAAATATGAAAAAAAGTATAACCCATATATGTATATACATATGTATGTCTACATTGTTTATCTTAACTCGTTCGAATGTTGCCATGTAGTTGCTTTGATAGAAGGGAGTAGGGCGAAGAGGAAAAGAAAAAAATGCAAAGAATAGCAAAATGTTGTTGTTGTTCTGTTGTGTATGTGTTCGACGCACGACCTCAACATATATAATAACAATATTCCTCCCTTTAATCAACAAAATACGAAGGAAATCTTTGATTCATCTATCCAATGAAAAAAAATCTTTACTTTCCGACTATAGAACTCGTGCTCATTAAGACCTGAATTCTTCTAAGTTTCCAGCAAAGAAGGTTATCCTAAGAGTAAATGATCTATTTTGGAAAATGCTTCGGAGTACTTATTGATAGAAAACAGATGATTAATCATTTACCTTACTGTCTAATATTTTGCTCAAGTCTTACTCATTATTACGTGTTTGAAAAACTCGATCGAATGCTTTCACCGAGTTCGATAATTACGTACGCATTTTATTGGCTGCATTTATCAGCATAAAAAACTTCATGTTTGATAACAACTACTGAAATACCTTCGATAAACTAGGTAACGTATTTACCATCAACAGCAAAAATGATAAAACCGATACCGTCAACAGCGAATGGCTGATTCTTTCCCTTATATTCGAGTGGTAATGCGTATATTGATTTGGATAGATTAATGAATAATATCTATCATCGATAAAATTCGGAACTGTCAAGAGAGAGTAACAAATAAATAAAAAATCCTTAATGAAACGAAAAAATAAGGAAGAAAAAGAATGCTTGCTTATTATTGGTTTGTTACACTATTAGAAAAAAAAGAGCACAAAAGAAAATAAATAACCTCTTATTACTATGAATTATGATAAAGATATACAACCATTCTTGATGCTTTTTACTATAGATTTTACTGTGGTTTCGAATCTAAAGATGGCGCTAGTTGATAGAGCACGTCTCTGCGATGAAATCAAAACGAAAAAGTGAAGAAAAATCCATGAATGAAAATAGTTTAATTCTAGTATTGAACATCTACAAGATATAAAACAAAAGAAGAACAAAAACAAACAATAGCAATAACAAAACAGAAACGAAGAGAAAAATAGATATGAAATAAATGTGTATGTGTGTAGATTTCACTCATTTTATCTGTATTAGAAAAAGAAATAGCAAAAATCAGAAGAAAATCGTGTGTGTTATAGATCTAGGTGGGAACTGGAAGAAGTTCAAAAAGTAGTCTTGTCTCTAATGAGGGAGTGTGACAATGATTAACTTACAATTTTCTCTCTAAAGTGATCAATTAGATTATGTTTTGGTAAAAACGAAGATCGTATACAAAACACTGATATAAGTGTGTCTTCGTGTGGAAAGAAAGAAGAATAAATGGACAGCTGTTAAACGTAATACACATTTTTTTTGTTATTTGAGATAATTCTACTGTGAGGATTGTTTTCCATTCATTGTTTTATTCTCGTTTGTCAGATGAACACGTCTTGTCATCGATGATGTCGAATACTTATTGGAATTCGTTTCTGTTGAAGAGCGATAGTCGTCAGGATATCGACGATATCGAGTTGACGACGACAAAGAACGATGCTCTAGAATTATCATCAGTACATGGCTATTTGCGCTGGCAAATTTATGTTTACCTCTCGTGGAACTAGTTGATCGTGGCCGTTTATTACTATCGGTTGTTGGTTCAGATTTGATTTTTGGTGATCCGCATGATGACGATGATGTAACTAGAACTTTATGCAGTAGTCTTTCTGCTTGATGACGTTCCAGTTCGACTTGACCGGACTGAATTAGATCGACGAATGTAGAGAAGTACGGTTGAATATGCGCAACATCTAAATCGCCAGTTAGAACAGCATCAAGCATTCGTTTTGCAATTGCGGGCGACACGACTCTTTCCGATTTTTTCTTCAACTCTTCCCTTGTTTTATTCGATGACGAATGCAGCCTATCCATATTATATTCATCTTCTTCATCAGATTGTAAAAGACCACTGGCTGCTAAGATGGCACGTGCTGATTGTTCATTAAGTACAGCACTAGTACCATTGGTTTTCTTTTGTTGCTCATTTAATAAAGTATAGCCATCGAAGTTGGGCCGAGGTTTTGTCGGAGATATTCGTAGTGTTCCAGTATTGGTCAATGTCGGGGTTCGATTTGTATCAAGTATCACACGGCGATTAGACGGTTGACTAGTATTTCGGCGTATAGTTTGTCCATTTTCCAATGTTGCACAGTTTTCATTCATATTGATTGGCACGGGAGAGGTACGTGTATTTTCCTAAGACAAAGATTTAAATACGAAAATGCCGACCTTGTAAGAATGATGTTGTTCAACATACTGTTATATTTAGGAATGGTGGTATTTTATTCGTGTCAGATCTTAAGGTAAATGGAAACAAAACATAATCGTTTTGCTATAATATTATATAGAAGAGGAGAACATACATTACTTCTTGGTAAGTAACTGAATGTGGGTCGATGGGCCGAGATTCGAGCAGATCTTTATAGTTTTGATACCAAAACTGTCGATCAAACGGATAGAGTAGATCTTCTGGCGATAGACCACGTTGAATCGAATCTACAGACATTTACATTTGATTATAGAAACAGTAATACAACAGAATTACACTAACCTTGACAAGTCGTTTCCGTTAATCTGAATGAGAAGACGAGTCAAGTTCATCAACTTTATTATGGAATGAAAAGATTATTAACTCACTCAGATGTTCTTGTCGCTTCATATTCTATCTTTGCAGCATTAACACGACTACCGTCTAGTTCATTTTCATATCGATAATCGAATTCTTCAAATGTTTTTGATGCCAACTGTATGACAGGTTTTTGTTGTACTTTAGTATATTGATCTGTGGACGATTTGTATATCACTGCAAGAACAACTGGCCTTTGTCCAACAAATGAATTCAATTGAACATGTAATTGAATCGTTCCCGGCCCGCCATATCTTGATTGTATCTGTTTTGCATAATTCTCAATCAAACGTTGTTGTTCAGAACGGATCGTTGACGCTGTTAGGACTCGCTCATACATGTCTGGGTGATGAATTTTCTGCAAAAGAAATTCTGATGATTCGATATCAGAACATAAATGCTGAAATTCGTACTAAAAATTTTCGTTGATGTTGAATGTTTGTTATGTGTGGAAGAATGGATTGAAATGAACATTTACAACGACATAGATCACAAATATATTGAGCAGAATTCGGCGTATTTTCAAATTGAAATTCGATAATGTAGTTTAATCCTGCAATGACACGAGAATTCATAGAAAATCAAGAAGAGCTTATTTCATACCCAACAGAGGTTCTCTTGTTTGCTTGATTTGTTCTTCACAAAGTAATTCACGATTGAATACCTTTTTGTTCAACATTTCAGGCGAAAACATTGCTTTGTATGCAGAACGATATTCTGGCGCGACTAGTTTGCATGAAGATTTCTTTTCAAAAGCATCTTTCGCAGAAACAAAATAACCGTTACCTGATTGTAAAACATCATGGATACTTTGAGCCTGTAAAAGAAACGGAATATTATATCTACTATCATCAATGATTGTAGAAGAAGATTTACTTGTTGATGTTGCTGACTGTTCAAATGCGAATTAAAAAGTTTTTGATTAGATAGTTCAATATTACAAATAGTACAAGAAAAATATCGATTTGATTTCGTCGTTAATTGATCAACAGTACTGTTACTCGATGCACGGATTACGTTTGATGTATCGGGCAATGCTGAGTAGATATTGTTAACTCTTGAAGACGAAGTTTCGACTGAATCAGATGAAGCTGAATTCATATTCTAACATAAACAGATGAATAACGATCGGATAGATATCTTTAGCTTTTAGTTGTATCATGAATTTGATACTTTAAATCATCATCTGATGCTGATGAACTGAAAAAAAGTATTCATTCCTTATAGGAAGTTGCTGATTGGTTCAACGAAATCTACCAATTAGATATTCACCATTCTCATGTTATATAAATAGATTCGATGAACAATATTTTTCTTCGTAAGATTGTCATAAAAAATTCTTAAAAACAAAACAACCTTTTCATCTATTACAGACTTTGTTCAATGATTGCACTGCCCTCTCTAACCGACGATTAACCATTCAATTCAATAGACGTGCATATGAGTTTGCATATGTACTAATGAATGCAGTTCCAGATCAATCTGGAATGAAAAATAAACCGCCCAATTAATCACGTCCACATTCGATATGAATCGCACTAGCATGATTTATGATTTGCAAACAACAAAAGAGAGTAGAGTAGAAATCGTTAACTCGATTCGAGTATTAAAACTTTTGTTCGAATTCTTAACTGAAAGATTTAGAAGTTGAGTAGTTTAAAACTCGAGGTTAAAAGTTTAATACTCGAGTGGAGTTTTCGATTTATACATGTATGCTGTTCTGTTAACATATGATGACGTTGTTGGTACATTTCATCATCTTCTGTCTGCTCACCGCATATCATCACTTTTTTCCTGATTCATTTTTAGGTCATCACCTTTGATCTTTGTGATGTTTCATCATATCTGTGTCTTTGTTCTGTGTAGTATTTATACCTATGATTTATTTTCAATAAATCCTTAGTTCCACTCACCCACTCTTCACTTTTCTTTCATCTGCTTCGAGCATTACGCTTACAAATATCGTTGGTTTTGTCAAATACAATAAATATTCATTGGAGAACAGAATATCCAACAGAATCTTTGTTTCGCTATATCACACCAATCGACTCAATAGATATCATCATAAATCGAATATAATTGAGACTTATTTGCGATACCTTTTATTGCACGTGTTGAACTTTCGTGTCGACAATGTTCTCCAAAGGAGGCTATTCCCTGATTTCAAGTGTAGAAAAAGTAAGATTCAAAGAATAAATTAATAAATATATCAATGCAACTTTGTAGTTTGCTAATGCTACACAAACAATCCTACCTTTACGACGTCTTTGCTTAACTCGTACAGTTTATGCTTCGTCAACTGATAAAAAATCGCAAGTAAACGAATGAATAAACTCTTGAATCGGTTCTTATTTCGATTTCTATCTGCAGTCGGTTGCACTCTCTCGGTTTGAACCAAATAAATACATAAACTATGAAAAACAAGCATCTGTTTTGGAAGTCGTCAGAAAACGGTAGAATGCTTTCCGATTCAAAAAAGTTAAAGTCGAATAACATCGTATACTTTTACATATTTAGATTGAATCAACCATTGACTCTTTCAGAAAAAATCCTCTATTCACATGCTGATGATCCTCATAATCAAGTGAGACCAAGTGACTTTCCAAGAAAGTCTCTAGCAATCTATTTTCTATAGAAATTTGAACGTGGTAAATCATATCTGAATTTACGTCCTGACCGTGTTGCTATGCAAGATGCAACAGCACAAATGGCGGTATTACAATTTATTTCATCTGGTTTACCAAGTGTATTGTGTCCTACAACCATACATTGTGATCATTTAATCGAAGCACAAGTTGGTGGTGAGCAAGATCTGAAACGAGCAAAAGTCAGATATGAAAAACGTATTGGCTGTATAGAATCTGTAGTTTTAGGATTTGAATAAAGAGGTGTATAATTTTCTGGCCATCGCTAGCGCTAAGTATGATATTGGCTTTTGGAAACCAGGCAGTGGTATTATTCACCAAGTAGGAGAATGAATAGTGCTAAGAAAAACAGGAAAATCCTCTTTTCCATAGATTATCCTGGAAAATTATGCTTATCCTGGTTTATTATTAATCGGAACTGATAGTCATACACCAAATGGTGGTGGCTTAGGTGGACTTTGCATTGGTGTTGGTGGTGCTGATGCAGTTGATGTGATGGCAAACATGCCTTGGGAAGTGAAATGTCCAAAGGTAAGCTAAACAGAAGAATTGTCAATTTAAACAGCATCGAGACTTTATTGCGCCTATTTTCAAGGTTATTGGTGTTCGATTAACTGGTCACTTAAGTGGATGGACAGCACCAAAAGATGTAATTCTTAAATTAGCTGGTATTTTAACGGTCAAAGGTGGTACAGGCGCAATTATCGAATACTTTGGTCCTGGCGTTGAGTCGATCTCATGCACAGGTAAAAGATCATCCCTTCGGTCCGAAAAAAAACATAACATCTATCTGATTTATTCCGCTAGGAATGGGCACTATCTGTAACATGGGCGCAGAGATTGGCGCAACAACATCGGTATTTCCTTACAATAAACGTATGGCTGAATATTTGAAAGCCACTAAACGTGAAGGTAGATAGAGAGATGAATGTGGGAATATTCAGATAGCAATTATTCCACCTACTAGAAATCGCTAATTTTGCAAATGAATATAAGGATGTTCTATTAACTGCTGACGAAGGTGCCAAATATGATCGCGTTATTGATATTAATCTTTCTGAGGTAATATAGAACTTCATACTTAGAACTACTTGTATTTCTCATGACAATCTCTAGCTTGAACCACATGTCAATGGCCCATTCACACCTGATCTTGCTCATCCAATTGGTAAATTAGGTAAAGAGGCAGAAAAGAATAAATGGCCACTTGATATTCGTGTTGGTAAGTATTAACAACATGTAATTCAACTGATCATTGATGTCTTCCTTCAATTTCGTCATGTCTAGGTCTTATTGGTAGTTGCACTAACAGCTCCTATGAAGATATGACACGATCAGCAAGTATTGCTCAACAAGCTATTGATAAAGGAATCAAAGCCAAATCAACATTTACTGTGACGCCTGGCTCGGAACAAGTACGAGCCACAATTGAACGGGATGGAATTGTGAGTCTTACCTTACTACCTATCGAAATGAAAGACTATAGCTCATTTGTTAAAAGGCTGAAAAACTTCGTGCGATTGGTGGCATTGTTCTAGCCAATGCTTGCGGTCCATGCATTGGTCAATGGGATCGAAAAGATATAAGGAAAGGTGAAAAAAATACCATTGTTTCCTCGTATAATCGTAACTTCACTGGTCGCAATGATGCTAATCCTCAAACGCATGCCTTCGTTACATCGCCAGATCTGGTGACAGCGATGGTACTCAGTGGTGATCTTCGTTTTAATCCTTTAACTGATTCCCTGACTGCTGCTGATGGCAGTGAATTTCAATTGAAACCACCCTCTGGTGATAATTTACCAGCACGTGGTTTCGATCCAGGTGTAGATACTTATCAAGAGCCACCTCAAGATGGCAGTTCACTCAAAGTTGACGTCGATCCGAAAAGTACACGTCTTCAATTACTTGAACCGTTTCAACCATGGGATGGCAAAGATTTTATTGATTTTCCCATCCTCATCAAAATCAAAGGCAAATGCACAACTGATCATATAAGTGCAGCTGGTCCTTGGCTGAAATATCGTGGACATTTAGATAACATTTCCAATAATATGTTTATCGCGTACGTAAATTTTGAATGATCGAAAGGAAACTATCGTTTCGAAGTCATTGGACCTCTTTTTAATATATGAATATATTTCTTTGAAGTGCGGTGAATGAAGAGAATAACGAAGCGAATAACGTCAAGAATCGATTAACAAATGAATGGGGTAAAGTACCAGATACTGCTCGTTACTATAAAGTAAAATGTGATATAAAAAATTTATATGACTTTTTCTGTCTATTCATTGTTTAGAGTAAAAATACGCCGTGGATTGCCATCGGTGATGAAAACTATGGCGAAGGTAGCAGCCGAGAACATGCTGCGTTGGAACCACGACATTTAGGCGGTCGAGCAATCATTGTAAAAAGTTTCGCACGTATACATGGTAGGTCAACTGGTTCATCTATTGAATGGTTGAGAAATGTATTTGATTTGCATTATAGAAACGAATTTGAAGAAACAAGGTTTACTCGCATTGACTTTTGATAATCCAGCCGATTATGATAAAATAAAGCCTGATGATCGAATTTCATTAATTGGCCTCAATAAACTGGCACCCAATGAAGTATAATCGATATGGGTTGTCAATTTGATTTCTTTATTTCTTTGCCTTCTCTTCTTCTAGCAAGTGGAATGTCGGATAAAACATTCTGATGGTAAAACGGAAACGATCAAATTGAATCACACTTTCAATGAATCACAGATTGAATGGTTCAAAGCTGGATCGGCACTCAATGCTATGCGCACATTTTTCGCTTCAAAAAAGGGACAAAAGATGATAGATAAAGCAACTGATTAAACAACATTCCTCGATATTTCCTTCTTTTTCTTCGTCTTCAATATCCACATTTCCATTCGACATCTGCTTATATTTATTAATATTACCTACATTTTAAAGGTTATATCTAACTTCATTCTGTTTTACTTCATACGTTATGAGTCATCATTTACTTACTCACAGCTCTACTAACATACGGATTAAATACATGTTTCTCTTCTAACTCTTTCTCCTCTGATTCTGAATTTTCTAATAGACAATCTTTCGGAACATACTATTGTATAAGATCAATAAACAATAGGATATTTCTTTAGTTGCTTCGAAGTAATACACATTTCAACAAGTAAATAATGAACGCAATTACATGACAATAAATATCATTATTTATAATTACATTCTTTATTAGATGATTAAAATGCACATTGTTTACAAGTAATTGTATGAGCAGTGAATACAAATCATTTATGTTGAATTCTCCTCAACCAAATTTCTACTAATGTTTTCTCTTTGCTGTATAAACTATATGCATCTTCATAGATATCTAAACATCTGTATCAGATTCTTCATGACAGATTGGCCACTATCTCTTCCTTGATTAATTTCTGTCTGATATAAACAACATCAAACTACGTTTTCCTTTCCTTAATTGATGTCGGATGTTTCAAAAAAATTTCAAATCGTTTTCTGACGTTTCCATCTCAATTGCGAGAACTATTTTTGTATCTTTTACTATTAAATATCGAATGACAAAAACCCCGGTAGACAACTCTAATAAAGCCATAGGAATCGATCGTAAACATATCATATATCCTGATCTTAGACGAAAGATCTAATATGTATTATTTATACACATACACACGCGTACATCTAACTTTTTTTTATCTTATTCTAATCAGATTAATGTCAAGAATTAATAACTAATGTCTCTTGTGAAATGATTGTTTCTTGGAAAGTGATATTCTGGACAATCTTGGTGACAATTAAAATCAGACATCCGCACTCTTCATTCTATACACCTAGTGATGACATTTTTTGTGACCGTAACTTTTATACATTTCTAAGATGATCAATGACAATTCTCATAATGATATTGGCATTTAAGGTAATAAAATGTCAAGAGTTTATATTCTCTGTGTGTATGTATAGAAAAACTCTTTTTTTTCTTCATCTGGTAATTATATGGGCACAGATAGAGTGAATCAACCACGAGAAGGAAAAACACTAATCGCTTGATCGACAAATAGGAGGACTTTTTGGTACGAAACAAGTGTCGTTTATGCATGATAGAGCATAGAATACTTGATCAAAAACAAGTAGACTTACTCTCTTCAGAAAAGAGAAAATAGCGAAATGCACGATCTCTTCAGGCGTATTATAATTCAATTGAAAGATCGTAAAATGACGATAATCTAATCTTGTCCAAGAGAGAACGAAAGATTGGTAATTTGAGGAAAATAACAAAACGACTCGTGTAAATTCGAGAAATCAGGTGACCTGCTTTTGCCCCCTTTCCTTCGGATAATTAGGATATTTCTCAGCTACCAGGCAAAACAAAAAAAAAACTAATTAGGTTAAAATATCAGCTAAGCAATGCTTTATTGTTTTTCATGAGACATTGTCGTCTATTAATTGCTATTTTATTTCTCCAATGTCATAATCAGGTAATTCATTTTTGCCTATATGTGTTAATAGATTGATTTCTGTTGATGTCAGTCAAAAGGGAATAGAAATCGTTTGTATAGTTTTCGGTGTTGTTCTCACCATTTATCTCTTGATCGATCAATTGACCTTGTTAAGCTTCATAAAAGAAAACAAAAGTGTTATTATAATAACTAATAGGTTATTAAATGAAAGAAATTGGTATTTCACTGTTGGAAAGAACAAGAAAGAAAGAAAGAAAGAAAGAAAAGGCGAATGACAACTTTGTTGTTCGTCGTTTTTCTTTCTCCTACGTTTGCCATTTTGGCATAGTTATCCAGCGGCTTTAATTTCAAAATGTTAAATCAGATTATTGATAGCGCATCTCGCGTAACACAATTAATAAAGAATATACGAGCAAACAAGGCGCGTCGACGTTGATAGGAATCAAAAAAACCAAAATAGCATGTCTGTTTTTTTTTCTCTCCTACTGATGGAATTAGTTAGAAGAGATATGTGAATATACATGCCATGTATATCTGACTCAGCAAGACTTCTTTCTTTTTTCTTCTTGACTGCTTGATTGTAGATAGATGTGATATATTAACCAGGAAGTTTGCTCGTGGAGAATAATGTTATTTTAAGATGTAGCAGTGAACAAGTGAGCAAAAACGGATGTTGTCAGTTTCTTCTTTACCGTCTCTATGGATAGCCGGGGAATGTGCGCACACTGTCATGATAGTATTAGATTTTGACATAGATTAACGATAATAATTGACTGAAGACTTTGTTCAATAAATGCACTGCAATAGTCTCCTGTCTTCTTCATCTATTTTGGTTCGTTGTTCTTTATATTACTTGAGGATCAGCTTATGTTTTTCTTTTCCTTTTTCTTTTCTCATTCTCGCAATGTGCGGTAAACACAGAAAGGCATATATGTCTGTAACTATGTTTTCCTAGTATCACCATCGGCACATTCTCAGGACGATAGCTAAGTATACACAGTCGGTCAGATGGTAGAACGCGTCAGAAGCGAGCCTTAGCTACAGATAAATTATATATCCATTGTTATTTCTGAGAATAAACGTGAGGGAGCTGTTCTACGTATCATGTCTATTTAGGTCGTATACTCAATGTAGAAGTTTTTTTGCCTGCCTTCTCATTGTGTCTCCTTCTTCTCCTCTTCCTTCTGGTGCAATAGAAAAAGAAACATCATATAATTGTAATAGCCAATACTACTGTTATTAGAAAAAAAAGAAGAAGAAAATAGAAGTGCGAGACATCACACACACACACACACACGTTTTCTTTTCTCTTGTGTTGAAAAAGAAAAATATTATGTCTAGAACTATCGACCACTTGGCATATGTCATGAGAGTTAATCAAGAGCATATAATCAATTCATTTTTGTTTCCTATAGTAAGTGTTGCAGAAAACTCAAGGACTTATTATTGTTATCGCTATTATTGTTCTTTGTCAATAAAGTGATGAAACAACGAGGACGAACATTAGAATATTAGAAAATGTTTTGGCCTTACGTGTTTATTAATAATTCATAACAGGAAACACATCTATAGATATAGACATTTTTTTCTGTTTGCTATCAATGGCCATGCGACAAGAACAAACGAATACCTTTTGCTCCATCAATCTCTTATCAATCATCAGGAAGACGAAGAAGAGGCAGAAGAAGACGAAAGAGCGAGCAGGAGGAGGAGGAGAAGGAGAAGCAGAAGAAGAGAAAAAAACGGCAGAGAAGAAAAGGAACAGATCGATTCTTTCTTTTTTTTTCTTCTTTTGTTCTATCATACTTGTTACATGCACACTATATACTCGTTATTTAGAAGGGCCTATCATCTATTAAGAAAAAAACCGTTCGTTTTTTTTCTTCTATTGTATTTATTTACTGTAGGTAAGCAACTAGACGTCAGTTGATGCTAGTATGGAGTCAAGTTTGACGTCGAGTTTCCTGAAAATTGGTGATACAGTAGCTTTATATGCCGAAGGAACAGTTTGTGGATTCATCAGTACATTGGGGTAAGTCGAACTTCGTTTTCGTGCAATTATGTTCTATTCGTTCTTCAATAGACTTGTCGATGATCGATGCGTGGTACAACCTGATGCCGGTGATTTACAAAAACCGCCAAAAAAATTCCGAGGTATGTGACGAAAAGGCTGGTTTACTAGAATATATGCTATATGTACATTTAGATTGTCTATTTCGTATATGTCCGAGTCATCGATACAGTGCCCAGACGCAATATTGGAACGCTTTGAAAAGTCCAAGTGCAGTTCGCGATTTGAAGAAATTACAATTAGCAGCTGATACAGAAAAACGTCAGAATGAAGAGGAAAGTCGAAAGCAAACGGGTACAATCATAAAATACGGCGATACCGTTGTACAATTGCTTCATATTAAAAGTAATAAATATTTAACTGTGAATAAACGTCTACCAGCATTTTTGGAAAAAAATGCCATGCGTGTTTCTCTGGATGTGAGCGGTACGGAAGGTTCGTGGTTTCAAATCGAACCTTATTATAAACTGCGAGCAAAAGGTGAACGTGTAAGTGTTTTCAATCACCAGTGAGCTCTCAAAGGAAATCAATATGTTTTTTGTAGGTAGTGGTAGGTGATAAAGTTGTGTTAATGCCCTACAGTGGTGGTCAACCGCTACATGTCAGCGAATTAGAACTACCAGATCATCCTGGTTCCAAAGAGGTACGTAGAGATCTTTCGTTGTCCGACTATTCGAAGCTCAATTTCGACCTTCTAAACGATTAAATTCGGAGAGAATCAAACATAACTTACTTCTAGTGCTGCAGTGTGATTAATCTTCATACGGTATTGAATCGAAAGGATGAAAACGAATGAGATTTGATTTGTTTTGAAATGCAGTGCATACTTTCTTTATGCATGTGTTATGTGATTGGTTTTTTTTCTTATTTTCTCTGTCATTTAGATCAATTGTCATTCATATACTTCCGTATGTTTGATGTGCATTCGTAGACACACACACACACACACACGCATTAGCACATAGATAAGAAAACAAAAACTTGCCATTTTTTGCCTGTCTAATGAGACAAATTTGCTTTTCCATTCATATTTCCGGACATGATGTAAACGTTTTATCTAAAGGTGGAAGGTTTTCACAATCGAGATAAGCATACCACAGCGCATGTCAGATTTTGTAATCGTTCGTGTCATTGATTAAAGGTATTGAATCCTAAATGGATTTTCGTTCGGAGCTGTTTGAAGATCTAAAGATTTCATGACTAACTGAATCAGTCGAATGTCTATAATCTATTTTTGTCCGAAAGATTTTTTTTGCATGCATTGCACCGTTATGCTTTTAATATGAATATTGTTGTTCGGTGAAGTTATGTTGTAATTAACAAACTAATTGACGTTTTCATTTAACATTTATTGAGTAATTTCTTTTATAAATAGGTAAACTCGCACCTACAAACCAGTTGGAAAATCGTATTATTTATGTCGTGTTATGAGGGAACTAATGAAGTCTTGAAAAGTGTAAGTTACAAGATGATTTATGACGTGAAAACTTAATTGAATTCGATGGTTAAGGGTGATATTGTTCGTTTGTTTCATGCCGAGCAAGAAAAATTTCTGACATGTGATAATTATCGCAAGAAAAGTGTGGTGTTTCTCCGCGCTACTGGTCGTGCATCAGCAACATCGGCAACTTCTTCCAATGCACTATGGGAAATAGAAGTTGTTCAACAAGATCCATGCCGTGGTGGTGTTGGACAATGGAATTCCTTATTTCGTTTTAAACATCTAGCCACCGGACAATATCTTGCTGCTGAAGTTGATAATGATCAAACGTTCGATGCAACGCGTCAGAAACTTCGCGGACCTCCAGGTACACCTGTGTTTGCTCTTGTACCTATTCCGCACGGCTACGATATCTCATCCATATTCGAACTTGACCCTACGACTATCACACGTAATGAAGAAGCTGTACCTTGGGGTTCTTACGTACGGTTGCAACACATCTGTACGAATACTTGGGTACATTCGACTAATATCAAATTGGATCCGGACGATGATAATGTTCGATTTAAAATTGGATGTGCACTAACCAAAGAAGACCGAGAAGCATTTCAAATTGTACATGTATCACCTGATGAAGTACGAGATTTAGATTTCGCTAACGATGCTGCCCAACATTTCGACATGACTGTGTCCAAATGGGAAAAAATTGGTGTAATGAATGTTCATGCAAACGATAGAAAGTAAGCTGAATCGCGCGCGCATTAGACAAAATCTCTTGAAGGTCATCTCCAGACTGACAAAAGATAAACTAATATATCAAGGATTATTAAGATAGATAAAACTAGTTGACAACTAACGAACGAGATAGATGATGATAAAAATAATTCCTTATTAGATACAAGTACAAGTGCGAAATGATAATAAATTGTATTTGGTGTCGATTAACATTGCGAAAGTTATTGATTTTTCTTTAGACAAGTGATATTACTTTTAACTGATATTATGTACTTTCTTGCTTGTCAAGAAAATAATGGTAGTGATCCGTTTGATGTTCAAATTTTGAAGCCAAATCGCGAACGTCAAAAATTGATTCGGGAACAAAATATCCTCAAACAGGTAAAATGCTCTTTTCTTCTAATCGTTGCGAAACACTCGGTTACTTTTTATCACTTAGTTATTTCGTATTCTTCGTGTGTTAAAATCACGATTAGAACAAGAACGTTCGAATGTTCATGCAACTAACAATGCGTCGTCGACAACAGCACGAACAGATCCTTATTTCAATCAATATCAAAGTACAGCAATGACCAATAATGATTCCTATGGCTCATCTCAACAGCAAGATGCAGATGTACGTTTTTCAACTACATTTTATCAAATGAAAACCATCTGTCGCCTTTGTTATCGAATTCTCAAACACTGCCAACAAGAATATCGAAAAAATCAAGTACGAAAGAAGAAATGTTTTTCTTCTGCCTACTTATCAGGAATTTTACTTCAATAGGAAACGATTGCTAAAGAATTCTCTTTCATGCAATCACAAATCGGCTATGACATACTTGCTGAAGATACAATCACGGCGTTATTGCATAACAATAAGAAATTATTGGAAAAGCATATTACCGAAAAGGAAATTGATACATTCGTTAAATTGTTACGCGAAAAACGCGATTGCAAGTAATGAGAAAACGAAAAAGTTTCATTGTTACACTTTCTAAAACGAAAAATTTTCTTTTCTTACATAGATTTCTTGAATATCTGTCAGATCTATGCGTGTCAAGCAATCAAGCTATCGCCAGAACACAAGAAATGATCTGTAAATCTGTTCTGGAGAAAAATTCGGATATTTTAATACGAACAAAGTTTGCTATGAAGGAATAAATCGTTTGCGAGCATCGACATTTTTCTTATTCTTAGATTGGAAGTCAAAGGATGTGTTGAAGATATGATCTTAGATGATAACATGAGTCCGCCAACTGGTTTCTCAAATCAAAATGTTCTACGTGAAGTTATACTAACATGGGATGGAAAATCCGAATCCATTGAATTCATGGCTGGAGTTGTTCGGGATCAATTAGCGCATCCGAGACGCGACGAATTTCGAAGTATCTTAGAGTATTATCGGTAAGGACGGATTCCAAGGATAAGCAGAGGCACGATTCAATGCTTTAATTCATGTCTATTTCCCAAGACGCATTTCCTTTCCGATACATTAGTTATATTAAAGTGACTACGTCGTGTTTTGACATTTCTTTGATATTGTGAAATAGATTTGGACTTAGAAAATCATTAGCATTGAGAGAATTTGCAATTTTAATTTTTTCCGAATTGATATTTTATTCGCCGGTGATTTAGATATCAACTCAATTTATTCTCGCACATGTGCTTTGATCGACAATATTTGGCCATTGATAATCTATCCTTAGAACTATCGATCGAATTGATCTTAGCGTGAGTTTTTCATGGTGATTATTTCCCAATGTGAAAAACGTGCTTTTTTGGTTCAGATGTACGAAAAGTGAGAATCTTCCAGCAGACTTGCGTGCTGCCTTCTGTCGTTTGATGGTTCATATGCATGTCAACCGTGATCCACAAGAAGAAGTGACACGAATAAAATACGCTCGTTTATGGAATCAAGTTAAACCAGCCATTTCTTTGAATGAGTACGTATAGATCTACGGTGACGATTGAATTGAATATTGTACAATGTTTTGTTTAGTTACGATCAAACTATTAGCGGTTCTCTTGAACCGACGGAGAAGAATGAAAATCGACCGAAGTTTGAATCAACAATGAAGTTTGTCGAAGATTATCTGAAAACTGTTGTCGAACAGCCAAATTCATTTTCGGATCGAGAACAAAATAAATTAACGCACGAAGTAAAGAACGAACAAAAAACTGAAACTAAATGTGTTTAAACATTTTGATATTTATTTAGGTGGTTAATTTAGCTCGTCGGTTAATATTCTTCGGTTTTTACAGTTTCGAAGATTTACTGAAACTAACCCAAACATTACTGGGCATTCTGGATACAAGTAAAGTCTTATCTAGCAATCTTCATCCATTATCAATAGATCAAGGTGAACATACAGCAACTTACCATTTTCTACCAGCATTTTCTTGTATTGTTTAGTTGGTGCACTCAGTACTAATTCCAAAGCGACGAAATACGATCATGTCATACCGACGACAACGTCGTATACCGTTGCCGAAGGTGTAGTTGAGCCTTCAGCTGATGTTCTCGATGATTTAGCGTACGAAACCAAGATGAATGTGATTGCAATTCTCGAATTCATTCTCGATATTCGTCTTGATTTTCGTATATCTCGGCTAATTTCGATATTCAAACAGAAATACGATCGTCTCGGTAGGTTGTCTCGTTGTTTGATTGATTGCTCTGTGGAAAACGAATTATTCTAGATCTACCAAACAATCTAACCGGTATGGATTTACAAGTCGCCGATATAGAATGCATTTTTGATTCGAATTCAAACTCTGCTAATGAACCGAATCTCGATTTGGACGATGCGAAGGGAAAGATTTTTCTCAAAGTTTTGTTGAATTTAATCATGCACGACTATCAACCGTTAGTATCACGTGCACTGTCACTATTATTTCGACATTTCAATCAACGAAAAGAGACGCTACAGCATTTGAACCAAGTCCAGTTACTTGTCAGTGAGACCGATATTAAAAATTATAAACAAATCAAACGCGATCTCGATCAATTGCGATTGTTTGTCGAAAAATCCGAGTTATGGGTTTATAAAAAAAGTAAAGATGGTGGATCGATAGCAGCAGGTGGTAATGAAACAAATGCAGATCAGGATGATCGAAAAGACGATGAATTCGAAATCAAAGTAAACTCAATCGAAACGATCTCTTCAGTAATCATACCTTCGTTTGTTTAGAAATTAGCTACATCATCTGGTTTATCTGATCCCGACTTAGATATGACTGGTCCTACTGTCAGCGAAGAGTCAGCTTATCGATATACATCGATCTTCCAGGTTTGTAATCCATCAGCAAAGTTTCTCTTTATTTCTGAACGCAACTCTCATAAAACCAGATCATTTCTGTTTTGAATTAATCAATTCTCTCTTGGTGATTTGGAATTTATTTGAATAACTCGTTCGAGTCATCCACATCTCTGTGTATCTCTCTATCTATCTATTTTCGTAGGGCATACATAAATTTATTGACACGGTAATTCGAATATATACTTCTGTACACATATACACGTCTATTCATACTGTCATTTGATTCTATTGCACCATTAGTCTTCCCTTTCTTTGATTCTCATTCTGGGTCGAACTTGCTTTTTTTCGGCAATCTGAACGAAAAGAATATCTATCAGAAAAGAAGTTTGATTGCTGCATGATTAAGAACAAGAAGAAAACATATTAGCATGATTCACTTGTCTTTTTTTTATTCGAGAAAAATTCATCGTTTCTTATGTAACAATAAGCGCATGTTGGTATTGATTGGCTTGTAGGACTAATAATCATCATCATCATTATCATCATTTGTTTGAATCTAACACATACGCACAGCTCGTAGATTGTGAATGTTTCATGATCGATTCTGCATTTAGATCCTTCGACGAATGATGAAATTATGCGTTGTCGAAGGTCCTGATGGAAATCTATATGCGCGAGAAAATGAACAACGTTTACTGAGAAATATGGATGTTCATGTCGTAGTACTCGATTTGTTGAAGATTCCCTACGATAAAGTAAGAGAATAATATACATTTAATAAACAACTCACTTCTGGCTTTTCTAGGCTGAAGACACTCGAATGAATCATATTATGAAATTAGCTCACAATCTTTTACAATATTTCTGCTATAACAATCCGACGAATCAAGCTAAACTCTATGAACTGTACTTTAGTGATTACCAACAAATATCTGAGGTAAGAAGAGAGCAGAGTGAATAGTGATCGAAAGTGTGACTTTTCGTAGGAACAAGAAGTTGAAACTTGTTGTTACATATTTATGAATAACGTTCAGTTATGTAAAACCATAACCGAGAAACATATTCAACATTTTGTCCATCTGATCGAATTACATGGACGGAAAGTTTTGTACATCAAATTTCTTCAAACGATCGTCAAAGCGGAGAATCAATATATAAAAAACTGTCAAGATGTGGTCATGTCCGAGGTAAGGAATTCTTTGCAGAGTATCAGACGAAAGCAGAAAAGAAAAATTTTTTTGACGATGTTTCCAGTTGGTCAGTTCGGATGAAGTGTTAATGTTCTACGAAAAAGGAAACCTAGCCGATCTTGTTGAACGCATGCAATCAGAACATGAGCGTACAGATCCAAATTCGTTGTTAAATTATCATATTCAACTCGTACATTTACTGGCCATGTGTACCGAAGGAAAAAATGCATCGACAGAAATCAAATGTCATTCGCTAATTGGACTAGATGATATTGTTTTAATTGTGACACATCCAGACTCGATTCCAGAAGTTTGTATCTAAAAAGAAACGATGTCTCTTCATCTAACCTTCGGTTGTTTAGGTTAAAAATGCGTATATCACATTTCTCAATCATTGTTATATTGATACCGAAGTTGAAATGAAAGAAATTTACAACAGTCAGCATATTTATACACTGATTGAGAACTCATTTTGTCCCGATATTGAAAAAGTATGCTTCGTTTTCGAGTACAAAAGAACACAAAGATTTGATATGTTTATTTAGCTGATTACAAAGCCGATGGAACGACGAAATTTAGAGAAGTACATCTTGGACACGGTCACCGATCTGATCAATCAATTCTTCAATTCGCCCTTTTTTGAACAATCGTCAGCACCACAGGTAATACAAGAGAAACTGACACTAATTCATCGAAGATCTATTCTACGAAACGAATTCTTTGATTACGATGTAACATTTGCTAAATGAGATGAGATTTACTCGTAGGATCCATACTTACACGATGATAATCGATCATCTGATATCGCTCCATCAATCATTCTAATTGCTTCGTGGGAGGTACTTTCGATCTCTAGTCAGTTAAAAACCGATAGTCTTAGTTCATCTACCATTTTGCACGTTTATACATCAACTGCATGTGTTTCACTTATTCTTTATATTTTACACTCTTCTTACAGCTTGTAGATAGCGATGAAATAAAGGTAAGCACCTGGAAAGAATATAGTTATGTCAAGCGAACTTTTGACCCATAAGCTTCGTTCCTACAGTTCGGTTTTTGATATTATTGTTTGGTATCGCAAGAGAATATAAGCCTCACGCATTTCATAAAGCTGCACGTTCGAATCATACATGTACATATTTAGTTCTTTTTTTGATCTTGGCCGATTGCGATTCTATTAAATAGGAGGCGTATAACTCTTCTGTTGATTTTTAGCACCGCAATACAATCTTAATATCCTTACATAGTCATCTTGCTCGACTGTTGAATGTATCATGGTTATCTCCTGCCCAACGTGAACGAGTCGATCGATGTATTCATATTTTATCATTGATTGGTAATGGAGAGGGATCGTAGTAGAAGAACTTCTTGATCATTATAAATTTTAGCTGACCGCCGTGGTTTGAGTCATTTCTTACGTTCAAACCATTCGTCGATAGCAGAACTTACCAGTCGCTCGCGACGAACAAGCCGTAGTGCAACTGCCGACCGTATGCATAGTGTCGAGCATATCTACACAGGAGGACATAAGCTCGATACTCTGGAAGATGTTGAACACAAACGTGTAATCGACAGTTTTGTGGTATGAAACAACAATCGAATCTTTTGCAGTCATTTGATTATTTTCTTGTCTCACATAGGACTTTCTCTCCCAAGTTAGCATGAGATTACATCCACTTGTTCAAGCTGAATGTAGCGTGTTGGTGGATGTCATTCGAGCACCATATGCGTTGTTTCCGGAAACAAATGAATGCCGTTTGAAATTTCTCTATGGCACATTCGTTCACAAGTACGTATATTTTTCTCTGTGATTCTCACACGAATAATCTTTTCACTTATGAAATTTTGCTTAACAAAAAAATGAAGAACACGGCACATCGTTCGTTCTAAATCTATACATATTCTATTGATATGAATCGCTCTGAAACATTCTTTAGACTAATAAATCATACAACGAAGCTGTTAATAAAACATCGTGAAAAACAACTCAGTTTTTACGTGCTCAATCTCTTAGCCGATTATGCTCGGACGATGCAGCATAAACAGATTCTTCACTGGGCATCTAATCACGAGGTAGATGCTGCTAAGAAAAAGCACATGTGTATTGTTTTGATTTCCGAAAAAGAAAGAAGAAAAACACGATCAATGATTTTTTTCCTTCTTGTCTCGAATAAAGTAGTAGTTTAAGTGATTAAACGCGTATGCTACTGCTCTATTGTTCGAGATGTCAAGCTGTGTAGTTGACAATTTCTCCCTGATTTGTTCTCGCTTTCATCTCCGATTTTGTGTCATTTAGATTGATACAGCATGCCAAATATTTGCTTACACAAACTGATGAAAGTCTATGTTTGCGCATCATGCATGCACTCAAATCAATGGTCAAAAGCAGTTATGAATTCGATACAAGGGTATAAACAAGGCTTCGCTTAGCTTGTATTTTTCTTTTTCTCCACTCTTGTGATTAGAACAAAATTGAAAATAGATTTCGAGATTCACCGAATAGAATATTTTCTTTCTTCTAGGGACACGGTTTGAGACTAAAACTGTTACGACGATATTTCGCGGATGATAAACAATATTTGAAATCGTTGCATCAACCATTAAAAGGTTTGTCGAAGGAAAACAAGGTTCACGCTGTGAATGTTTGTTTGTTTTTTTAGAAGAAGATGCATTGGAAAGATTACGAATAACACAAAATGAATTAAATAAACAAGGAGCTAGCGATCTTGTTGTCGAACTATTTATGAGTGAATCGCCAATCAATATACTAGAAGAAAGTGTCAATCTAGCCATTGCATTGCTAGAAGGTGGTAACACTGAAGTTCAAGTTCGTAGTCGTTCATTGTGCTCGATGTTGAAATAAAGTAGCATACCATTTAGATAAGTATTTATCGTCATTTACATGGATCTGAGACAGCATCGGAGAAGTTCTTTCAAGTATTTTACGATAAAATGTGCATTGCACAGAAAACACTGAAAAGTATGCCGTCAACAACGCCAGAACTAAGTCAGAATGCAGACGATTTGGAAGAGACAATCTATTCGCCAAAATCTGGTGCTATGTCGCCAGTATTGAGTCCGACACTCGCAGAACGACAACCATCACTGATACCAATGCCCGACGAAAGCTTCAATTTTGAACAACAGCCACTCGTTGTACAAACACTTAACGTTCATGAACATAGTTCGTTTTCTGAATGATCATCATCTTCTATTCTATAGGAATCTATGTTCGATTTGCTTAGATGTGGTCACGATTAATCAAGCAGACGAAGAACCACAAGCATTCGTTGCCAAACTAACGACATATCAAGAACCTGAACCAGTCGAAACTGCAAAATCTCCCACGAATGGAACATTCGACATTCTTGATATACAGTAAGATATTTCCCATAAAATGTATGCGAAAATAACTTCATTGATTTAGTTCTCAAAATCGTCGTTTTAAACTCCCTTTTGAAATCCGTATTATGCAACCAATCTTACGTTTTCTGCAACTTCTTTGTGAAAATCATAATCCAGAATTCCAAGTATGTTCTTTAACCTCTTCTCTTTCATCCTAAACTCGATACATTCGTTCAGAATTATCTTCGACTACAAGATAATAATAAAACCAATTATAATCTCGTTTGTGAAACATTGAAATTTCTTGATGCAATCTGTGGTTCTCAAACTGGTCTACTAGGCCTCTTAGGAAATTACATTAATGAAGACAATGTCGAATTAATCAATCAAGCTTTAAATACACTGACTGAATACTGTCAGGGACCTTGCCGAGATAATCAAGATGCCATAGTTAATCACGAGTCAAATGGTATTGATATAATTATCGCTATTGTTTTGAATGATATAACGCCTTTAAATCAAAAGAATTATGATCTCGTTTTGGAATTAAAGGTTTGAGATTAGTCGAAGTGAATTATGTGCATTTGAATGAGAATCGAATCTATCCTGTAGGACAATGCATCAAAATTACTTCTAGCTGTGATGGAAAGTCGGGACGACAGCACCAATGCCGAACGTATTCTTCGAAATATTGTACCAGTTTCTCAACTAGTAAACGAAATATTTTTCCAATGCAGACAGTGAACATATCTTCTTGTATTCGTTGTGTTTTTTAGCTGGATGTTGGTTGTGATATATATGCTCGCGGTAAACAACAAGAAATGGAAGGCAAGGGTGACCAAGATGCCGAATATGAAGAAATTCTACATGACGAAGACACGAATGAAAATTCTGATAATGTTGCTCAAACTGTGGGTCATAATATGTATATTCTTGCATACCAGGTACAGATCTTGACAAAATCTAGACCTTTTTTCGTTCATTGATATAAGAGAGAATGTTGTCAATTACATCGTATATTTGTTTTTTCATATTGTACGACAAATCGAAAGATATTCTCAGGTATATCGAGGGGACAAACACAGGAGAGTAGCGAGAACACAGAAACTATTTTTTCCTATCTTGCAATACCTCCCGGCTTATTTACGGATAATGGGAACATATTCATATCTTTCTTGGATATATTTGTTAAATGATGGAAATTTTCGATCTGATTTTCATTCTGTATGGTCTTTCAGCTTGCTCGGCATAATCGTGAACTTGAAATATTGATGAAACATAGAACATTGAATGATGAAGCGTTGTCATATTATCATAAACATACGGCGGAGATTGAAATCATTCGACATGATCGTTCGATTGAACCGAGTAAGAAGTTTTGAAAGCGAGAACAAAAGGTTGAAATCGAAATGTTTTTCTTTTCAGTTGTTTTTCCCGTTCCACAATTGTGCGAATTTTTAACTGTGGAAAAAAAGCAAAAAGTCTTTCTTACATGCGAGCAAGATGAGCAAGGTTCCAAAGTGAAAGATTTCTTCGAAAAATTTCCGGAAATCTTCGAAGAAATGAAATGGCAAAGAAAATTACGACACCAACCAACATTGTACTGGTTTTCATCACATATGTCACTCTGGAGTGATATTTCATTCAATTTTGCTGTTTTTATCAATATCCTTGTTGCCGTTTTCTATCCATTCAACAAAGGCTTAAAAGGTAAGAAAAGAAAAAGACGATGTTCGAGTCGATCGATATATTGATCATTTGGAATAGATCTTGATCCACGTGCCTCCGCTGCTATATGGAGTGCATTGTTTGTGACGTTGATAGCGATTTTGATGAAACCAAATGTCACATCTATGCGTATGTTTTTCGTTGCGGGAATTCTACGATCGATTTATTCAGTTGGACTTGGACCCACGCTATGGTTAATGGGAGCGATACAAGTAAGGACTATTTCATGAACGAATAGAACTTTGCTGACTTTTTACTCGTCTATACCTAGGTTCTAAACAAAGGCATCTTCTTAGTCAGTTTCATGGGTAACAATGGAACATTCTCGAAATCACGTTATGAAAATCTAACTAACTTCGAACTTGTTTACCATGTCGGATATTTATTTTTGTGTGTGCTTGGCCTGTGTGTACATGAATTCTTCTATAGTTTACTGGTAAGTCTACTCGAAATGCGTATTAGTAACTGTATTGTAAACGTGTACCTAAATGTTGTATTGTATTCGTTACCTTAGTTACTCGATGTTGTCTATCGTGAAGATACGTTATGGAATGTTATTCAATGTGTTGTACGCAATGCCAAATCAGTCATTTTAACAGCTGTTTTTGCTGTTATAATCATCTATCTCTTTGCTATATGCGGTTATCTATTCATCCAAGATGATTTTCTTATGGAAGTGAACACTAAATCACTCGCAATAGCTCATGAAAATCAGACAAATATATTGAGTAAGTTCAAATGTAGGTATTTCAATATGCTTTCGTTATTCGTCCTAGTATATTTTCCTTTCGACAAATTCGAGGTATCAAAGAAATGTATTGCCATTTTTCTGTTTCCAGTTGCTAGATATCGTTTTTCGAGATGCAACTTTATTACAAGTAACTCAATCAGTAACACGTAATGGCAAATCTATCATGTTAACAATGATGCTTGCACTTGTTCTAATCTATCTTTTCTCTGTCATGGGTTTTGTCTTCTTTCGTGATGACTTTCTAACACATGTTCAAACAAGTCTATATTCATCACATCCACAACATCGACATCGATGGACAAGTAACTTAGCCAAAGCCACGACATTGACACGTATGTCAATTCGTCGTTGTATCGTCTCGTTCTCGTCAACACTAGTCGTTTTGTCATTTATCCTTCTACGAAAAAGAATAGACTTGCTAAACAGCTTTGCTTTTCTATTTCTAGCGGCTACCATTCCAAGCACTGTCGATAACGGATACTGTACTAAGGACAATTGTACAAATGACACGCTAACAGGACATATTCGACACGCTACGCAAGCATCGACTATTTTGCCAGAAGAAGCAGCAGATGAAGAAGTTGAACGATCTTGTGACACGTTATTCATGTGTATTGTAACAACTCTTAACAAAGGCTTGAGAAATGGTGGTGGTATAGGCGATGTACTAAGGCAGCCATCTAGTCAAGTGAGTACTTGGAAAACATTGAGTCGATTGGAAACTAATAATGCTGACTAATCTCTATTGCTTCTAGGAGCCACTCTACTTCTTCCGTGTTATCTATGACATGATGTTCTTCTTCATTGTTATTATTATAACTCTTAATTTGATTTTTGGTGTCATCATCGACAATTTTGCTGACCTTCGTACAGAAAAACAACGTAACGATGAAATTCTCCGAAATACATGTTTCATTTGCGGTAATATCATCATCTTCTGCTTTGTTTTTTTCATTCTTAGTTTCCTCTCTATTCTACAGGGCTCGATCGTAAATCATTCGATAATAAACATGTGACATTTGAAGACCATATCCGTAAAGTTCATAATATGTGGAATTATGTTTATTTTATGGTTTTAATCAACGTTAAAGATCCAACTGAATATACAGGCCCTGAAAGTTACGTTCACGAAATGATCGAAGTTCGTAGATTAATTTTTCTCTAAAAAACACACAAACATTTATTGACTTTATTTTAGCAACGTAATCTCGATTGGTTTCCACGAATGCGCACAAGTAGTTTGGATATTCAAGAGGATAAAAACAAAGAAGATCTCGACAATCGAATATTAAAACTGCAAATGGACGATGCAAACAAAGCGATCAAATCTCTGACGATGGAATTATCGGAATTGCAAAAATTAGTATGTCAAAAAATGTTTAACTGTAAGAATATTATAACAATCATTCATGTTTCAGGTAACCGATTCTCGAGCACAAAAACATCGAATGAATTTTCTGCAAAATCCATCAATACCAACACCATTGAATTCATAAAATCTAAACGGTGCTAATCCTTGACAAAAATCAAACAAAAAAAACAGACTTGTATCTCTTTCTTTCTCTTTCGTTCTTATTGTTAATTATCTAAACTTGGTTTTTCTTTCGCTTTTTCTTCTACAACAAATACTCTGTTCTTTTCTTTCGTTATGTACACAAACTTTACAGTCTTGCCAAAGACATCATTGACTTGTGAGAAAAATGAAAGTTTGTAATCTCTCTTTAAATTCTGTTTCTGCATTCTCTATGTCTATGTGTGTGCGAGTGAATGTTGTATTTTTAGACAAAAAAGAAAATAAAACTAACTGAAACTTTTTTTGAAAAAGAACATCGAATTTCCTTGTCAGAAGTCGAATAAGTAATGTGATTTTCATTGGTCAAGTATTCGAAAGAAGGTAAGTGGTCCGTAGTGAACAGACGGACGATTGAAATTCCTTATTCGGAAAACGTGCAGGAATGAAAGGGAATATTCGACTGAGGTGTATCAAAAGTTCTAGATGAAATATTCCCTTTTCTTCGTTCTGATTTTCTATATTGTATGTCCACTTGAGGCAACGATCGGTCCTGGTGGCCGTAGGTCTACTACATATACTCCGGCAACAGTTGACTTCTCCGAATCGTCTTCGGCCGAAGAAAAGCCAACGACATCACTGCGGTCTACTCGCGAAAATCCCTTACCGCCAACGGATACAAATGTTCTTCAACGTGATCTAATACAAGAAGATATCAGCCCTCGAACGATTCTCGAGAACCATCTATCTTATTGTGATAGTTGTAGTGACATTCGACAGTTTTACAATCCAACGCTTATCTACATCACCCCATGGAATAATCACGGTTATGATCTAGCGAAAATCTTTACCAAAAAATTTGATTATGTTTCTCCTGTATGGTTTCGTATCAAACGGCAAGGTTATCAAATGTATGTCGTCGAAGGCAAACAGGATATCGACTCATTATGGATTGAAACCCTGAAAACGAAGAATTCGGACGTACGTATTGTACCACGTGTTAGTTTTGAACATTGGTCTGCTACCGATCTTCATGCTTTATTCGAATCTGAAGATGAAAAGCAACATTTAGCTTCAACATTAAAGGACCTATTAGTTGACAATACGCATTTATTTGATGGTTTTGTTCTTGAGATACTTTCACAGTTCCACGGAGCATCAAAAGCTACAACTCATCATCTCCTCTCCGACATTGCGGAGCATATTCATGCGATAGAAAAGACTGCATATCGAAAAGAAGTTATTTTAGCTGTCCCACCTTTAGAAGAATATTTCGATCGAAATGATTTCAATGTTTTATCCAAGCATCTGGATGGATTTCATGTCATGACATATGACTTTCCAACAAAAGAGCCTGGACCTGTATCTCCTTTTCGTAAGTTCATCATTATCTTCGTTTGCTCGAAGTTTTTCTTGTTTTCAATAGCATGGATCAAAGAAGTGATGCGCAAATTTCCTAAAACTAGAAGTGATTCATCCGTCAAATTATTTCTCGGCATAAACTTCTATGGCTACCGCTTTGATTATATCATCCCACCGCCTCCGAAAGATAGACCTCAGTATCACATGAAACATATCATCGGTCGCGATTACATCGATTTTCTTAAACAGTACTATCCCACAGCTAAAATTCATTTCGATGCTCGTGCACACGAACATGTCACGGTGGTCTATACTCGTTCCGAAGTTAATGTCAATCGTCAAGCTCATTATCTACCACAAATAGTAATCTTCTACCCGAGTTTGAAATCGATCCATGATCGCTTGCAATTAGCCATGGAACTTAACATTGGAGTCGCTATTTGGGATGGTGGACAAGGTTTTGATTACTTCTTTGACTTATTCTAGTTTTCGTTTACATGACATATTCATTCGCCATTTTACATATCATTAACAGATAATAAAAGAACTTCCGCACCGAACATGAAACCTTTTTCTTCTGACACTCCAGGCATCAAGCACTCATTTTCAATTGATCAATAGAATTATTATTTCATACGCAGTGACTTCATAACTGAAATATTGCTAATGCTATAAAACATAACATTTTGACAACTATAAACTTGCAAAATATTGACTAAATGTTTATGTATCAACTGGTATTTAAGTTGACTCATCGAGTAAATATTCGCATTTTGTTGCGGTTCACACGACGCAATAATTAATTTTGTGGAACACTGGAAGGCTTATCGTAAGTCAGTTTTAATAAGAGATTATCCAGGGGATGTACTCAGGATTCAGAAAACATGACAAGTCAACATAGTAATGATAGAACATAAAAGGAATATTTCTTGCGATTCGATATCCTAAGGATGAGTTTTATTGATGCAGAATTTTTATTTTTCGTTCAATACATCCAACAAAGAGCGATACACACTTCACACAAATACAATATATACGATACGTCAATTACGGCTGCATTTGATCATGTCAACTTGTATAACTATCAATGGTACTCGATTAGATGTGAAATCTGACGGAGCAGACAGTATTTATATAGAAGATGTTTCGCCATTTTTGAAAAAATATCTGCGACATATCCTTCTATATATATACAGAAAAGGCCAAGTAAAATACGTAATCATCGACGATGACGGCCGAAGCGAGTCGATGGGATGTAATGCTTCAACTTCGGCTTCCAGCCAAGGTCAACCGCTTTTTGTAAAATATCGATCAATGCCTGCCGAGTTTGAGCAGAGATGTAATGAACCGGTCGTTGTGTACTGAACAATGATCTGTCGTGAAATTTCCTCTCTTCATATGAATCAAATTCATTATTATCATTGTTATCATCACTGTTGTAGTCTTCGTATAGTATATCTGCAAGCCTGAATTTACTATTTTTGTTGACTAAAAACACAAAACGAAAAGATTAGAAAGTTAAAAAGAATTATCGGTATTTTATCTTACTGTTTTCATCTTCCTCCGTCGGAACTGGTTTAGTACTGTCTTCCTCGACTATTTCGTCATAGTAAACTGTTCTGCAGTAGCTCAACGCAATGAACAGGGAAAAATAGATGTAAATTTGAAATGTGGTATGGTGATGCATATTGTACGATAGATGTGAAATCTGCAACCACAAATGCTTTTATATAAAGTTGCTATGAAAATATTTGTAGCGTTCCCTATGAGAAAAAAACCTATCTCATAGTGGATTTCTCCCATGACAAAAAAAAAATAGAAAAAAAAACCTAGTACGATAAGGAACGTTAAATAAGTGCAGAACGAAAGTCACTAATCATACCTGTGAAGATGAAACATGAGAATGATGTAAATACTCATTGATGCAATATCCACCACGCGAATTTATTCATGTTCGGCGAAAGTGAAGTGGAACTCTCAAGATCTCATCAGTCATTTTCGATGTGCCGATATTGCAAAAATTGCAATTGACTCATGTGAAATGCATAAAAACAAGCAACTATTCATTTTTACGACCTAAGTGTATGTGTAAAAGTAATAGACGAGAGTTTTCGAGAAAAAATCAATTGATATTATCTGTCAAGATAAAATTATTTATTACTCCCAACAAATTTTATTGACTAGCAACTCAAAATGCTACGCGTGCATTGAAACACTGAGACAGATCTTCGATACTTACATAATTTACGATCTCATCTATTTTGTCGGAAGATAACGACACTGACGAAATAGGAAAGAAGAAAACAAAGAGAAATCTTTTTCATATCAAGCGATTCGCATTGATCTATTCTGTTAATATTGTTGAATTAAAAGAATGTTGTTATCGTAATGATATAGCTTGTTTTCCTCACTATTTAATCAGACAAAAGTCCTGACTTAAATCAGAAAATATCTCATTAGCTGTGATGAAATCTCAAATACGATACACTCTAACTGAGCTAATTGACGTCAAATATCGATTTATGTTTTGTAAAAGAACTCCGTATTTATTGAACTTGCTTTGCATTCTATTTAAACTACGTGTTTAGTAGGGGAAAAAAGTCGTGAGTAATAACGCATCGAAGGACGAATCGAACAAGCTATGCTTGTAACATATCTATATCATGTTTTCTTCTGGTAATATTCCATCGTAATTACGTTTACGGATAAGAAACTTTGTCGAAGAGGGATCGTCTATGTTGCTTGAAATAAATAAGAATTCGTTACGTACTGTTTGCTTTGTGTGGGCAGAGAAAAACTTTGATTGTATTTTGAATATTAATGTGACAACGTATACGAAGAACCAAAAGAAATAACGTGACAAAAGTCAATAACTAGAAGGAAATATGGTCATATATGATGTGCTGATGAAATCGAGCGTCAATCTCAGTGAGTTGTAAAAGAAAAACAAAGTCCAGAGAATAAATTCTTCCTATTTTTTTATGAGCTCAATAAATACAGTTAGAAGTAGTTTTGAGAATATGTCGACTACATTTTTTTGTGAATTAATCATACTCCCTCCCCACGCAAACACATCTTGGATGGGTATAACCACATTATATGAAAAAGATCTTGTGAGATTCCCAAGATGATTTTGAGTTATTTTTTACCTCTGTCTAGTGCAACTGTCTAAGCGTATTGAAATGATTAACTTGATTGCATGCAACGAATTGACTGATGTCAGAAATTATTCTTTTATACGCGAAGATTAATATCCAACGTGTCACATGCGTCAAAAGATATGCGCTTATCGGCGAAATCCTGAGATTTCGAAAGTTTTGTCATACTGTACACAATCAAGGAGAAGATTATTTGTCAGTTGACGTAAATTTTAAAACGAACAGTCAATAAAATCTCAACAGTGAAATGTTCTTCATCATCATGATGATTGCATTCGAAAGAATAAGTGTAGCATGGAGCGAGATCGGAAACAACTGCTTGTAAATTTGTGCTACACGCATATCTTGTGCAACTATGCCACTTGTCAAAGCGTGCTCAGTGACATGAGTCTAATTTGGTTGTTATATTAATTCAGATTTGATGTAAATATTCTATTTTAGTGTGCGTAGTCTCATCAGTTATCATTGCCCGATTGCGACACAAGACTTCATGATAAGCTTTCTGATATTTCTCCCTCACCACCCACATTTTCATTGCTGATAAGACAAATAGCTAGGAATTAGCTATGTTTTGTTCTATACTAATGCACCTGAAGATGGATGCTGGAATAAAGATTGCTAGTGCTGTAGTCAGTTGATTTGAAGTTGAAATTTTAGCTCAATGCTTCCTTTGGTACATGTCGATGAGTTCAAATCTTCCCGACGGAACACTGTTCGAATCAGACAACGATGAAGAGAACCTTTCTAGTCTCGTTCGTATGAACCAATTTTGATTATAACCCATATCGAAAGCCGACTGAGTTGTCTGATATTTGAATGTGTTTTCTTTTTTTACTGTCCATAATTCAAGTCGATACTGTGCTTCTCATTTGAAGAAATTCAAAAATATAGTTTGATCCACAGAGACCATTCGGATATGAATTGTTAAAATCATTGAAGCACAAATAAATAACTCAGCGTAAATAAATAAATAAATAAGAACTAAAACAATCGATCTCCTCTCGTTTTATTTGAATTTCTTCTTCTAAGTTGCATTACCAAGCAAGGTTTTACAACGAAAACAAGGTAAAATTTTTCTTGATCTATTTGGTGGTAGCTGGTGCGGTTGTCGCTGCACCGGCGGCTACTTGTCGATGGGATTTGCGAGATTTAGCTAATGTACCTTCACGGAAACCATTGCGAAATCGACGAAAGACTACCTTCAAATGTCTCATTCGACCAGTGCCAGTTGTTTTTCGACGACGAGCTTTTTCACTCCATTGATATTTACGTGTTTTAGCTGATGGAAAGCCGCAAGCAGCGCAGCGTTGTCGTTGTAAATGGTATGATGAACGACCACATCGACGACATAATGTGTGGGTCTTGCAGTTACGCTTGCCGAATGATTGTGTACCCTTCGTCATTGTTTCGACGAAGAAATTCTATGATCTGAAAAATGAATCGGATGGGCTTAGAAAACCAATGGAAAAGTTGAACAGATGAATTTTCACTATTGTAAAAAACAACGATTCGACTCCATTCCATCCATATTTGATTGTATCGTTTGGACATACAATGATTGGATATGATCATGTTTCCACTGATTATAAATTAAAGTGTGAGAAATAAATAGAAATTAGTTGAAAGCATTGGATTCCTTCGTGAAATAAATAACAATTTTCGTTTCTAATTAATGAAAAGCAAAAATGCGTTTTTGAACGATAGCGACATCTTTTATTGCAAAAATTAATACTTCTCGAATATCGCGAACCGACTAGAGTTTTGTTTCGTTGGTTTGATCGATAAGATTTAGATTATTGTTCATATGACGAATTGAAGGATGAACGTGAATGCAGTCATTGTAAACATTCAAGATTGTATCGATTATTTCTGTGGGTACTATTTGCTCAGTTCCATGTGTAGCAGCATTTTGCTCAGTCCTACAAGATGATTGTAGATAATCATTGTTCAAAATGCAATCACTTACAATACTATTTGAGGTGTAAGCGAATCTAACTCATGTAAATTAGTTGTTCGAAACTGTCTGTTTTTGTGTGTATTGGTTAGAAGTGATAATTGTTCGGTATTTCGGTGATCTAATCGCCAACTGATGGTTGTATCATCTATATAATCGTGATGAACTCCACCCTTTTGGTAGACTCGTTTTGTTGGTAATAATTGTTGTACACGACTCTCAATAGTCGCTAGATAAGCAAGAATATTTCGATCGTAGATCGTTTTTGACGAAGAGAAGATGAAATTCCGATCGCAATTCAGTTCAATGAAGAAGTCGTATATCAATTCATATGCGGCATCTAACAGACTTCGAAGATTTTCTTTCGCTATGTCGAATGACTGAACATTCAAATGTGCTTGATTGACGGAATACTACAAAGTTGTACATTGCAAACGACTTGAGAAAGCAAATGTCGAACTACGAACTTCAAGTTTTGCAAAGATATCCTTCATAGCGAATGAATCGATGTTATCTGAAGAGAATAAATTGGAAATATAATTTCGTTTCTTATCGAGTTCGTCATGCAGATGATCAAGCTATGCAAAGATGGAAATGAAGTCAGATTTGCTAAAAGCTCGAAATACTTCATTGATTAATTCAACAACATATTCAAAAAGTGTAAATGATCGTTCTTGTTCATTGAGAAAATTTTCAACGGTCCGATTGAGAATTTTTTCTTTGTGAAAATCCTGATTGAAACCATATCGAAATAGCCGATGGAACTCATCAGCTGTATAAGCACTTTGCGCTCCTTTCGAGCCTACGATTAAATCGTTTGTCAACGAAATAAGAATACCTTTACCAATACTTACGTTTGCCTGCAAACAATTCATTCAATCGAACATATTCTTGTCGCATGTTCGACTTTTTCAAAATGAAACTTTTCGACGCATGATTTCTTTCCAATAAACGATCAAGTTCACGAATATCATCTAATAATTTCTTCTCATCACGATCATGCTGGTCACGCATAGCTCGCATGCGTGCAACTAAATTCCGTCTGTAAGAAATCACTTGTCAATACGATTTCTTTTTTTTGCAAAAAGAAAAGCTTCATCATACCGATTAGCGAAACTTTCCGAACACTCAGATGTTAATCTTCGAGATTCATCCGTTGCATTTTGCATGACAATACTAAGTCGATTATATTCATCAGTCATTTTGCGACGTTTATCTAACATACGTTTAATCTCTGTGCGTAACTGGACATTATCTGCACAAATCTTGCTTAATTTAAGATTCATCTACAGAAAATGAAATTTATCAGAGTTTTTTTCTTGATTTTCAATGCCAATCGATCGCAATTACAAACACGATGTAATTGATTTTCTTTTTGAACAGACAGATATTGCTGATCATTATTCGATTGATGATTACAATTTTGTTTCTTTTGTTCGAGATCTTTTTCCATTAATTTTATCTAAGATAGACAACCAATTTCGGGATCGAGTGACCTCATCTTTCTCAAACTTACTTTATTACATAGAACAGCAATGTTTTCTTTCAGTTTAATATTTTTCGCTTCGACTTGTTGTGTTCTATTCGATAATGTGTTATACTTCTGTAATGATTGACCATGATCGTCGGGAATCTGACGTAGAATCAATTCTTTATGGGACCGTTTTTCTATTTCAAGTAGTTTTCTGCAATTAATTATGATTATCTTTCGAAACTGCAAACGAAATATTCGTTATTTACTCCTCCAGAAGAATCGAATTTCGTGTGTGATGTAAGAAACGTTTTATACGCATTTCTAAACGACGGTGAAGACTTTTCAGTTTTGTTTCTTCGTTAATTAAGGCAGCTGTTTGATTTGAACGTTCTATTAGTTTCATTCGATCGACATCCTAAATGACAAATTCTATACGTATTTGTGTTTCATGATGAAAGTCGATTGAAAAATAGAGTAACTGATTTGATCGTACTTCTGATCTTCGGCAAGTGTAGCATTCGTTTGTTGAATTATTTGCATTTATCGGAATGAATTCTAATTGAAATGAAAAGTAGACGAATGACGAAATGAGTTACGCATTTTACCTTCGACATTGGTCGATTCTTTGATAACTTCCATAGATAGACGAAAAAAGAAATGTGCAACTTTTTATTTCATTTCCCGCTTTAGATTAAATAGAATATTCTTTATTATATAAACGAATATTAAAGTACAATAAGAAAGGAAAAGAAATAAGAAATCTTCAAATTGATCGATGATTATTTTCTTGCCAAAGATTGAGTGCTATGCTGTTGTGGTGTTTGTTCCATATCATCTTCTAAATATAAAGAGAGTCTTTTCAATATATTTATGAAAGTGACATACTTTTCGATTTTTTCGTCTTTTGCTTTTGCCGTTTCACTTTTGACTTTTTCTCTTCGTTGATATCGTTGGTTGATGATTTGGTGCTTTTATGTTTAGTTGCAGTTTTTTCATTTTCGCTTTCTGACTGTACGGTGGATTCTTTAGCATTCTTGATTTTCTTTCTAGTTGATTGATGTTCATTTTCATTTGATTTTTCTGGTTGATCTTTAACTTGTTTCGACTTGCTTTGTTTTCGAGCTCTTCGTCTCTTGTTAACTTGAATGTTATTATTGTTATCGTCATCTTCGTCGGAATCATCACGATGACGAGGATCACTTTTGGATTTTTTACGTCGTTTTGTTTTTCTTTTAGTATCCCCGTCGCGAGTAGAACTGGAGCGTCGCTGTTCGTTTTCATCGTCGGATGATTTTGCTGGACGATCATTTGACTTTGATTGTTTACGTTTTCTCGTCTTTCGTTTGTTCTCAGTTGATTTATCTCGACTCGGTTTTGCTGTTGTTGCTGCCGATACTACTGCAGCTGTTGCTTCACGTTCAGCGAGAACTTTCGTAGCACTTCGAGTCTTTCTAGCACTAACAATCACCGATTTGGTTTTCGTTTTAGTCGTGGCACGTGTTCGACTTTTCACTGGTACTGTTTCTTGAACAGTAGAAGATTGTCTAAAGAATCACTGCCAATTTATTCGGTCATTTCGCAGAAAATATTTACGGTTGGTTTTCAGAAGATCCGTTAGCAATCTGCGTATCATTAGTTGGATCTGAAGACATGAAATTTCCGTTGATGTTTTCTTTGACTAATAGAAAAGCATACGTGATATGGGTTCTGCTGTAGATTTAAATTGTTTAGTGGCATTGATAATCATGACATCATCATCAGGTATCGTCGGTCGAATATATTCACGTTGAATATGATCGAATTGTTGTTCTGTTTTGACAACATCGAGTAAGAATGTTTGACCAACACGACGAGTATCTTCTATATATTGTTTAACATCTAAGAAAAAGCAAAATTGTCAATAAATTACCATTGCGTGTATTCGTTCTCAATTCATACGCGTTCGATTTTGATCAATAGGTAAGAGTAATGTCTTGATTGTTCCTCTATGATGTTCACTCTCAGAATAGTTTGATGATGGTGATAATGATCGTTCATGTACATTATCATCGGACGATTGAGTCGCTTCTTGTAGCATGGTTGGCGAAAAACATAAACGTGTAGGGATATTCGGTTGAGAATCAATTAATAATGTTTCAGGCTGATTGACATAGAGATGCGAACAAAAATTTTGATTTCCAGCTCGATACGTTCCATTTGGTTCATCGTCATCATGTTGCATTTCGCCTTCGAACATGGTTTCTTCGGGTTTTACAACGAATGTCGTGTCAACAATTTGTAATGGTTGACGAGTAGTACTAAGTGGAATGATGTGCATACTGACTCGTTCTTCTTTTCGTGGTACCGAATATCCTTGTTCCAAAGGAACATTCGCTTTAGTTGATGGGACTAATGTAAGACGCTTTGATTGTATTCGTGATTCTAAAAGAAAGTGAAAATCTCGAAGAGCGACTTCGAAAACATCGATTCAGGTTGTACTTCGAATCATTTGAGTCAATAATGGTGTCAGCGTTTTACCATTCTTGAATGAAATCCAAGTGAAGGATATAGTAGTTTGGGAAAACAATAAGCTTACCACTAAAAGTTCATTTGTTTCTTCATCGATGGTATCAATGTTCGATCCTGGACTTTTTTGCACTACTCGTGGATAATTATTATTTCGAGAACGTAGATCACCTGGATGAAGTAAATTCCTATTGATTGAAAAACAAAACAACTAGTTTTGAGAAATGAACATCTATGGATCAGACTGATTCATAACTGCATGAATCTCTTTCCAGTGCTCGGCTTCTTCACCAATAATTTGTTGGATGATATCACAATGTTCTTTGACGATCGCTCGTACATGATCCATTCTCTAAATCAAAGACGTATTTTTCATTCGGAAGAGTTCAAACAAATATTTATCTTACGCGATCGAAATAGATTCGAAGTGACTGAGAAGCTAATTCAATCATATTGTCAAGTAGAAGTAATTTATCGTGACATTTCGATAATCGCTGATTAATTTCGTTGATATTCTCATCAATTTCAATATTGCGAGAGAATATACCTCGCATTTGCTTTTCATATTGTGCTAAAGCAAACGTCGCACATTCTGATTTGGCAAGTCTAAATATTTGAACTTACCATTGATGCTTGTTTCAATAAGTTTACGAGCAATTCGACATTGATTACGTGTAGATTCAAATCTCGAACGATTCCACGTTAATGGAATATCAAATACTGTCCGATTCAGAACAGTCATTTAGTATTTTCAAAAAAAAAACGAAAGAATCATACATAGATGGTACATATTTGAAAAGGAGGGAGTTATTTGTCACAAGCCAAGCAAATCATAATAACATTTCGGAATGATGTCACTAGAGAGCGCGAAATAACTGGACTTTATCCGATGATCTCGAATCTGTACGGTTCCATTTAATGTGCAAAAGTATGTGCATCAGAAGTAACAAAATTTCTATTGGTTCTATTACTCGTCTTTTTTGCAGTTGACTCACATGATCAAAGGTTTTTGGATAATAATCGTTTCCAAAAGTGGCTATCAACAAAAGAACTGGTCATCCATGTCTTATGACTTCGGAAATGACATAATCACTTTAAGAGATCGATGGTTTCGAATTGTTAGCCGAAACAACCTTTTTGTAGCATATTTCCATTCCACATTGATAATCTTGAAGGTAGATATAAACTTGATCTAATTTATGCAGAAGTATCATTCAATCTTCTATTCTCACGTAGTTGTTGATAACATATGACAAAATAATGGATAGTACAATAACTTCACGAGTGATACTAGCTAGATATTGTCCGTCATATCTGGTTTTTAGAGACACCGTCGCATTTTCATCGCAATAGAAAACCGACAATAAACTTATGCAGAAAATAATTCGATGGAATGATCAATTGAGAGAAAGAACTATCATTTTACTCTATACAAAACGCTCTCACTCGCGCTCCAAAATAACTTATAAATAAATCAAGAACGGCTCGATGAATTAATCTCTTATTACTTTACTCGATAAATGATTTTCGATGACAGATGCCACGAGTGTGAACAAGTCTCTGGCAAGAAATAATTATTAACAAGAAATCGTTCTTTGATTAGATTTCATTATGATCATTGATTTGATATTTTTTATTATTATTATAAAAAAATGTCTTTTATCTAATAGAAATCAATATGTAACGCTTGTTTATATATATCAATAATAAAAACAATAAACATAATAGAACGGGCCCAAGACTTATTTGTTGTATTGAAAAAAAGTTAATTAGAGCCTTGAACTCCTTGTTGATTTCTTCTGAAAATTATGTCAAATTATAAACTATTTTCTCTTTGCCAAGGTAAACATCAGAAGAACATATTAATAAATTATTATTCGATATTTGAGATAATCAAGTATACTTAGTTAGCTTTCAATTTCGTATAACTGTTTTTATTCACTGATAAGACTAATGATTATTGAAAACTATGATATAAAAAGAAATATATCAGTGTCAATAGACATAAAGAAAAAGCAAAATCTCAGCTGCTTATTACTGACTAATAGTAATAAGAAGCAACGAAAATGTCATCTGTTCAATTAATATACCGTATATCCATGTCGATAATAGTGCGGATTATATTGATACCGAGCGTCACCAACACGATCGGAGAGTACCAATTGACGAACAGTAGGTAGAGTTTTTGAACGACGTACAACATCAGGAATAGCCCAGACACCGTCTGCAACGTTGACAAGATTATTTTCCAACATGTATTGATATGGGACATAAAAATAACCGTTTTGGCCCTAGAACAAAAAAAAAGAAAGTGTCTTTCAATATTTACTCGAGATGAACAAGCGAATGATAGTCACCCAATCTTCTCCCCAGGAGTTTCGCACTATAAAGTGACCTGTTCGATCATCATAGCCAACAACGAGAACAGCATGGGTAGGAACAGATAATATGTTGGCATCGTTCGGATTCGGCATTGTTATGAAACCACGATTGTATTTGGCTTCATTGGTTGCTTGAGGTAATAGACGAATTCCGATGAGAAACGGTACTTCATTACTTAAACAGGCTTTCAGAGCTGCTAAAGTTCGTGGAACCGATAAAACTACAACTGATATTTGACTTGCGGCTTCATAAACATGAGCTGGAGGCGTTTGATCAATATAAGCACGTTCGTAAGGCCAAACAAATTCAGCACACACACCAAATTTTCGTAAACCTAATGCAATCGTTCGTTTTGATGCTCCGCCATCAGTCACTTCAAAACTACGTTGTTGGATCATTCGACCATTATAATAAATAAATAACCTTGAAACATTAACATTATGACCGGCTCGACGTTTAATGATATACTCAATGGCGCCAGCAAAAGCATTAGCAGCACTAAAGAAAACAATGTTTAATGAGGAAAAACAAGCCAATATCTTCCTACCATGCGTCGGTTTGCGCTTGATTTTTAACTGGTGTTAGCCAACGACGAAGATCGACTGAAGATAGAATTTTTTGAACTGGTACTTTAAATGGTCGCATTGTAAGACGACGGGTGTCCATGGAAGCATCGAGAGTTGGCGCATACCATTGATATGGATTTCGATACATATTTTTTTCGCACCTAGTTTCTCGAAATGCGCCTGGACACCGTTCGGAATGCAGCTAGGCAGCAGAGCAATAACACAACATTCATGCTCTATATATATCGGAATTTTCTAAAATTGTAAATAATAGATGGCGGAAAAATCGAGAATTATTCGGGCATGACTATGTAAAAGCAGAACTCAGTTGTCATTACTATACTATCAAAGTTATTTTGCTGTTTTCCCTCTGTCTCATTTGATCACCGAAAATATTTTTCACGGTCTTGTACAGCAGAAATAAGAGAACTTCTCTATATGTAGTAGTAGCAGAACAGTATATCGTTTTGAGTTATATGATTGATTGATCGTATGAAGAAAGAACCACGATCTTCTGTTCTCGTCAATACAAATCACTTTTATTTATGAAGAAAGAATCAATAGATCATCAATTAAAATGTAAAATGGAATTAAATAAGTCAAAGTTTATCACGGCGGAAACTCTTTCTTATCTAACTCGTATGTGACATTATTCCTGAGAGAAATTACGAGCAAGTAGATTTTTTATGATTAGTCCAGAAGTAATTGCGTTACACGTTCTATGTTACACCAGTGATCGCAAATGGAAATGTCGTTAGGTAGATAAATAGCGGGCGAAACTATCAATCGCATACATGTGACGATTTCGAGAGCCCATCAGCAGATTTTTTTGACATATCATCATGATGTGTTCGATTTCTAATCAGTATAAAAGCAGGCATACCTTTTCGAAAAGAAAATTCATTAGTTTTATCGTGACAATTCATCGCATTCGTACAGAAATATTCCAAGCAGTAGAAGAAATTTTCGCGAATAGATGCGTAGATCAAAAGAAATGCCTCGATCATCTACTATCGAGTAGTTCTCTTTAAAAATCCCAAAACTGATGTGTAAATGCCTTTCTTGAAAGAAAAACAAGTTTTTTTTGCACCAAAGAGCTGATAAAAAAAAAGTATTGTACGGACATAGAAATTATATTTTTCTTCATATCAAGCGTAAGAAGATAATTTTAATAACCTAAAACGTGCTTTGCATGCTGACTTTGACGTCAATGGTGGACATCTGTCTCTTAATAAACATATGACAAAATACGCTTAGCCAATAGAAATTTTTTTTGTTCTGTTAGATACATAAGTGTGTTTGTCCGTTAAAATTTTTCTTCGGAGTCTTTTTGATTGTGTTCTGTCATGTGTGCTCGAGCGAACTTGTAGTGCGTTCGATTAAAATACTTGTCAATATGTGTTATTAAGAAGTATGCATTTGTTTCTTCGTTTTCAATTTTTGTCAAACACATTTTAACTCGCATTCTTACTTGAAAAGATTTTTCAAACCAATCTCCTTTTATGTCTGATACAAGCATTGTAAAATTCTCCTCTTTACCAACTGCATCTATTCATTCAATAACACCGAACCCATCCACGTCCTATGATCTACACGACTATGAAATCAAAGCGGAATCGAATTCGGATTTGCCGTTTCTTTCGAAAAAGAAATTGATTCAGTTCAAGCCCACACATCGTGATATTTTTCATTCCAGTCATTTCAATGGGCCATCATTCAAACAGATTATTTTCTTTTTCATTATGTTTGTGTTGATTACATCATTATGCTCATATTTATACAAAGATTCTTTAATCAATATTTTACTTATCTTGGAAACATTACCATGGTGGTGGACGTCGTTGTTTTTTTGCATTCTTTTCACTCTCGTTTCCCTACCATTTGCTTGGGGTAAAACAAGCACTCATTGCAAATAATTCTTCGTTTTAATCTTGAATTTTTCTAATTCTAGGATACATTTTATTGAATATTGCATGTGGATTTTTGTATGGATTTGTTTATGGTGTTATGTTCATCATAATCTATGCTGGAATTGGACTATCCATCTCGTTTTTCGCATGTCGATTCATATTGTCACATAATTATTGTGTGATTAAAAATGTCAAGACGACATTTGAAAATAGTGAAATTATTCAAACAATGATCAAAGTTTTAAATAGTGCAGATGGTTACAAAATTATTTTTCTAAGTCGATTAACTCCGGTAAAGAAAAACGAGAGGAAAAGTAAAGAGACTTTCGATTTATGTTTAGATTCCTCTTGGTTTACAAAATGGCTTTTACTCGATTAGTAACATCCCGTTTCGCATTTATCTTTTCTGGTCATTATGTGGATTAATTCCAACACAAGTTATCTATTGTTCACTTGGTTCGCGTCTTCATTCGATGACTGATTTGATCTTAATTGACAAACGTACGAAAACAGTTGGGATTATCGTTGGCTTATGCGAATGTTTCATGACTGTTCTATTGACGTATTATGTATTTCGGACAGCTAAGAAAGTCTTAAATAAGTTGCTGCTTGAAACAGCTGAATCGAGCGAAAATCTCATAGCTGTTAAAGAATAACTCAAAGTTGAACGTGTGCGGTTTTTTGTTTTCGTTCTCGAATGTTGAGAAAAGAAGTTCTTTTCATTTTTGTATTATTTGATGTAATAATAAAACGACATATGATAATAATACAATCAAACGAACGTGTTTGAGTAAAATACAAATGATTCGAGCGAAAACTTGAATAAGTCGTTTCTAGCTATCTTTAGATGAGTTTATGATGCGATAAGTATCGTCCGAAGACACTCGATTATCAAATAGAACGAGCCCATCGACTGAAAACGATTGTAATTCAAATATTTATATTTGCTCTGGCATTCGCTAAGTGTTTAGACCAATAATGGTGATTTTCCTCACTTAGTAATCTTTGGTCCCGATGGTTCCGGTAAGAAAACTCGCATTATGTGTTTACGCCATGAACTTTACGGCGAGGATGTTCATTCGGTTCGACTTGAAAATCATCAATACGAAACTTCGTCACATAAAAAATTCGAATTAACCACCATCGGGAGTCATTCTCATACGCAAGTCAATCCAAGGTAAACCTCAATACGAACTATAAAAGTACATTTCTCTTTGTAACAGTGGTGTAGGAATATATGATCGAGTCGTTGTGCAAGAGTTAATAAAAACAATTGCACAAACAAAACAAATCATCAGCAATGAACAACAATCATTTAAAGGTAGGTTGTGGATAAATATTGATTGATTACAATTTTAATATTGATTTATGTCAGTTATTGTTATTGTCGAAGTGGATAAATTAACACGTGATGCACAGTATAGTCTGCGACGAACTATGGAGAAGTATATAAATTCATGTCGATTGATTCTTTGCTGTAATTCAACCTCTCGAATTCTACCTGCTATTCGTAGTCAATGTTTAGCTGTACGAGTATCTGCTCCAACTGACGATGAGGTTGATTGATTGAGTCGTTTATTGAAAACGATTTCCTTGTTGCTTTTGTTGTTGTTGTATTAATTAGATCAATATTGTTCTACAGAAAGTAGCACGTTGGGAAGGTGTTCAATTGCCGATTGCTTTGGCGAAACGTCTTGCCGAGAAAAGTGAAAGAAATCTTCAGCGAGCTCTATTGATGTTTCAAACATGTGCTATAAAAAAGTAAAAGTGTATTGGCTAAGATAGACACAACGAAAGACTTGTTCAATTAGAGTTCCGCTGACAAAAGATCAAAAGATACTTGTGCCAGATTGGGAGGTGTATCTTCGCGAGACGGGTCGAATGGTTGTCGAACAACAAACACCAGAACGGTGAATAGAGTTTTTTGTTTCCACTGGTTTATTGAATACGTTCTTATCTTCCTATTTAATAGACTCTTAGAAGTTCGCGAACGTCTGTATGAATTGATTGCACATGGTATTCCAGCTGAAGTTATTTTCAAAGTAAAATATCTGCTCTCTACTTCATTGAAGTCATTGATTCAAATTACTTTTCAGGGTTTATTGTTCGAGTTAATAGTAAATTGTGATGAAGTAATTAAGAGCCAAGTGACAAGCCTAGCAGCTGAATATGAACATCGCATTCGACAAGGTTCAAAACATATCTTTCATCTCGAAGTATTTCTAGCTAAATTCATGTATATTTACAAACAACACGTTGAACGCACTGCAGCACTCGTTATGGATGAAACCTACTGAATGAATTTGTTTTGTTATTTTAATATTTAAGAAATAATAATAAAAATTCAAAAATTTCGTTTATCAACTAAAAAACGTTATTTTCGCCCGATCACACCATCAATATCATTTTTTTATGATAATACGTGTGAAAATCGAACATATGTTATAAACTACTTCACATCTTCCTATATAAACCTTTTAGCGATATTCGACTGTGTTGCTCCCCTACTTTTTATTTCAAAGAACTTTCGAGATATTCACATGTTCCTTCCATATCTGAGTTTGATCCTAGCCTGCGGTAAGATTGACAATCATTGATCTCAATGTTACTCAACGATCTGTACTGTAGGTTTTGCAGCAGCACAGTATAATCGAGTGCACACTACAGCCGAACGAATGAGACTTCTGGTAGAATATAAATAAAGTCAAATGAATATGTCAACTGTCTCTTTGCAATTTTATTAACTAGGGACCTCTGGCGTTTCCTGAATCTCGATTAACATTCAATTGTCCAGCTTTAACGCCATCACCAACAACTCCAACATCAGGTGCTCGATATTCGCATAGATTTTGAAAAATTTTCAGTCATTCTTGTGTTTCAGTTCATGCACTACGACCAGCTGATATTAAACATGTCGCATCAATGGGCGATAGTTTAACGGTGAGTTTGAACTGTAAAGAAGTCTTTTCATATCATCGTATACTAGGCTGCTAACGGTGCCAAAGCACATTCTATTGTTGCTGTCATTGTCGAATACCGTGGTGTTTCATGGAGGTGAGAAATGAATACATATGGTCTGATATCTGAATGACATGAGTATCTTGTAGTATCGGTGGTGATGATGACTTGAAATCAGTCGTTACTTTACCAAGTAAAAGTTTGCGAATGCGGAGGAATATGATTCATTGTTTATATTTTAGATATTTTACGACAATTTAACAGTAAATTAGATGGTTATTCACGAGGTACTGGTGATCGAAACAATTCTAAAGCTGGTTTCAATGTTGCCAAAGCAGGTGCCATCTCTTCGTAAGTTGAATGTTTTCGTATATCTTGGGATAATGTTCTATATGATAAACTCATCAAGTGACATGCCAACTCAAGCAAATCTTCTTGTTGATCGAATGATTCGAGCATTAGGTGCTGCTAAATTTGCTGCTGATTGGAAATTAGTGACATTCTTCATTGGCGGCAACGATCTCTGCGGTTATTGCAAAGATCATGTAAGTCTGTTCGTTTTTGTCTAAAATTTCTATGGTTTATGTCTGAATGTTAGGATCGATTTAGTGCAGCTACATATACAAACAATATTAAACGAGCATTGGATATTCTGAAAGCTCGAATGCCTCGTACATTGGTCAATTTTGTTACCGTTCTCAATGTTGCTGAACTGGAAGATTTACACGAAGGTATTCGATGCCAATCCTTACAAAAGTAGGCTTTAATTTAGAGCTTAAACACAATAGTGGTTTATTAGTTTTATGTGCGATTGTGCTGTGAATAAAAAGACACGCGAAGAAGTTCGTGTCGCAAACTTGGAATATCAAAAAGCAACATCTGAATTAATTGACTCCGGTATTTATGATACATCCGATGATTTTACTATCGTTCGACAACCATTCATGGAACATATGAAAGTGCCATTGACGGTAGAGAAAAGTTCGAATGAGATGATTACTTTTATACACTTTGTTTTGGTTTGAACAGGGCGATGGTTTATCGGATTTCTCATACTTTGCTCCTGATTGTTTTCATTTCAGTCAAAAAGGTCACGAAGCCGCTGCTATTGAACTCTGGAATAATATGGTAAAAATCTAATTCATGAACAGTACCAGCAATAACATTCTTTTCTGTAATTATAGATGCAAAAAGTTGGCGAAAAGACATCATTATGGAATCTGTTGGACACTCTCAGTTGCCCCGCAGCAGTTCGTTATCATTTCGTTTTGATTCGACGAATTGTTAACAGAATTTTTCGTATTTTTAGGGTAACGGCTATATCTATACAGCAAAGAATAGTGCTTGAATCGGCAAATGATCTTTTATTGATCATTTGAATTTTCCTTTTTTTGTGCTATGTCAATAAAGGGATGCTAAAGAAAAAGAACGAAAAAAAACAACAACACTGACTTGACCGATCAGTGTACTATTTGATATCTCAGATGAAAATTGCTCAAGGTCAAGCGTTCGAGTTGGATGAGTTGAGAGAAAAGAGAGCGAGAGAAAAATATAATTTTCTCGGAGGGTGAACTTCAGTTCATTCATTTGAATAGCTGAAACGGGAAAAGATGCAACACTACCTTGTGCTTACTATCTTAATCATTTGCTATGTCTCTGTAAATTCGCAAACCGATCACACTTCAACTACAACAGCTACTACAGGTTCTGTTACCGTTCATACTACCGTTGTTGAACACACAACAGTTGTACCGGTTGTGGTTGCTGTCGAAAAAGAAGCAACTGTTCAAACTACAGTAACAACTACTACTGTCGTTCCATTCTCAACAACAACCGGCAACAGATTTACATCTATAAATCGAGCACTTGTGACATCATGGCCTGAGCCACCACCACATCCTCTTGGTTATTGTATTCGTGGTCGCTTGCGTTGCTCGAAAATCCGTCGTTGCTGCACAGGACCATGTAATTTCAATACAATGAAATGTCCATCACCATAGACCATTCAACACTGAAAATAAACTTCACTTCATTTTTGCTTTCGTGCTTAAAAGTAGTTATCCTTCAATATTTAGACATATTCACATTGTGTATTTGTTCGAATAAAAGTAAAACCGATGACTTCGATTCTTCTGTTAAACACTTACAGCCAAACCTCTCTTTACAACAGGGAACGAAAAGAAGAGAGACGATAGATCTAACATATCCAGCTTGTATCGTACCGAACACTTCAAAAGAAGTAGAGGATGTATGAAAGTAGAGTTACGAATGTGTATATAAAAGTCAAGCAGCGCTAATATGTAGTCTTTCTGAGTGTTAATCAAGGAATTGCGATTTTGAGCCAGGAAAGAGAACTTATTACATCGCGCGATGACTAGCGCCCTCTATGTTAAATGAATTCGATTCACGTATTTTTATACCAGTATACTACAAAACTACAAACAAAGAAGAACAATATTGATTTAATTTATTAACACACAAGATAGTTTCTCGGAAATAATGGCAACTCGAACATCGACACGTTCGACAAAAGCTGTCAAATTCATTGATTCTGCTGATTCGGATGACGATGAAGATATAAATAAAGCGAATTCTTCGGAAATCAAAGCTGAAGGCAAGAAGCCTCGAGGTCGACCACCCAATTCACGTCGAAATCAAACAAATGATGATGACGATTGGGATGCTGGAAATGAACAAAATATTGATGAAGATGAAGACGATGACATTGGTGATGATGACGATGATGGAATGATTGATCGTAATTCAGGACAAGATGCTACGAAAAAATTTCCTGCCAATCGATCTGACAATTCAGTTTACGACTTTAGGTAAAAACAAAACATGCACCTTTACTATATTCATAAAAACGTCTACATTATTCTAGTGAGGCACCAAGAAAATGGACAAAATCCCCACAACAAAGACCTACATCATTACCTAAAGCAGCTACTGCTGACAGTGGAAAATCTCTGGAAAAACTAATGTGTTCCTATTGGTAAAATTTGTTAATAAACAAAAGTGATCGATTGATTTCTATTATGTTACTTGTAGTAATTATACAACAACGAAAAAGTATCTTCTGCAGCGACATTTAAAATCTCATTCAACTGAACGGCCGCATAAATGTATAAAAGTCCCTACTAAACAGCTGACATTCATTTTCACATAAATGTGTTTTAGGTGCGTACTGTGAACGGTCGTTTAAAACAACAATTCAATTAACAAATCATGTCAATACACATCTTGGTGTCAAACCATTTCAAGTAAAGCATTGACTTCTAGAAGAGGATATTTTTAATCATGTTGTTCTTAGTGCAAATTCTGCCCGTTTTCCTTTACAACTAGTGGAGAATTAATTCGTCATGTTCGATACAAGTAATTACCACAAATCTTCATTTTATATTGATTATCATTTGCATTGATCTCTTCTAGACATACTCTTGAGAAACCACATCGCTGTGATGAATGTGGGTATGCAACAGTTGAATTAAGCAAATTACGACGGCATATTCGTACACATACGGGAGTACGTTACTAGATTTACGAATGATCTTCAGTTGCATTTATATACTTTTATAGGAAAAACCGTATGCTTGTCCGCACTGCAGTTATTGTAGTCCAGATACGTTTAAACTTAAAAGACATCTGCGTGTACATACAGGTAATAACAATAGAAGAAGAACCGTTGTGATCTATAGACTTGTTTCTCTAGGTGAAAGACCGTATCAATGTACTATCTGTAGTTTTCGATTTACTCAAAGCAATAGGTAAATTTCTTTAAGAATGGTTCTTCGGTAACATCGATTGCCTGTCTTTCATTTTAGTTTGAAAGCTCATATGTTAACTCATCAAGCTGAAAAGCCATCTTATCCATGTTCTTATTGTCCATCAGTTATGGCTCGCAAATCGGATCTTCGTTATCATATTAACAAACAACATGCACGACAAACAGAACCATTGCCATGCAACAAATGCGACGAAGATTTTCCTGACAAGTATGTCGATTGCTCTTGCTTTCCAAAGAATTTACTTGATAAAAATTATATTTTAGATATACGTTACGTATGCATGGAAAAACTCATAAAGGTCAAACCATTCATTCGTGTACACAATGCGAATTTTCTGCTAATACCAGTCAACAATTGGATGATCATATGAATAAACATCGTGGCACACAACCGTTCCAATGCAGTGAATGTGGTCTAATGTTTGCTGCTCGCGCTGATTTACGTGCACATGTGACACGTACGCATCGAAACTCATCGACAGTCGTTAATCGTCGTCCACAACGACGTGCCGCATCATTAAATCATCGTTTTATTGGCGTGGAAGATGGACATATCGAGCAAAATGATGAAGAAGAAGATCAACATCGTTGTTCGATATGTCAACGACAATTTACATCGGCGAGATTACTAGATCGACATATGTATGCTGTGCATGAAGCACATCATGATGTGTACGATGAAAGAACTTATCGAACAAACGAAATCGATCGCAGAAATCATGCTGTTGACGACGATGATGATGTTCATGATTATGCCGACGATGAACTGGAAGAAAAAAATCAAAAAGTTGATGTTAAAACCGAGACTGTGCTTGAAAGAAATGACGATGAAAACGAAGGAGACGAAGAAGAAGACGATTTGGCACCGCATGTTGAAGATATTCTTGATGGCGACGATGATTTTGAAGTTCTACCAACAATCAAATCTGTTTCATCGGCTAATAAAAAACGCAATGGTCCCGCGGATCGATATAGTTCAAATCGAAAGAAAACAATGATGAATCAAGGTATGTCAACCTTTGTAGACCGTAGAAATGATTAAAACTGTATTTCATTGTTAAGATTCGTTCGTATCCAACGATGATGAAAAGCCCGACTTGGATGTGTTTGGTTTCAATGATTGATTCCTATTTATTCTCTTCATGGATTGATATTTTTTGTTCTGTTCATATTTATTTTCACTGATTAGTATTTTGTTTCTCGTCTGTCTTGTTTCTTAGATATTCGTCTCATCTTATTTGTTTTTATAACGCATATTATCTAAATGCGTGTAGAATTTCTGTTCTTCTTCTTTCTTGTTTCTGTTTTAGAGATAATATACATATATATATTCTATTGTATCCGAGAGTGGCAATTTGTGTTTTGTTTTCTTTTAGTATGAACATCCATTGAGAATGAATTTATTGATGGATTAGTATGTTTATATTGTAGATTCGATCGTTTTTCTTCGGAAGATCATTATTCAGGATTGATCCTGATCCATAGAACCATCAACGCGATTCTCTTTATGTTTTAGATGGCTGGTATGAAACTATTGAGTATCACTAACATTACCGTTGTGATCTTCATTATTTATCTTGCTTATACTGCTAACACATTCTATTCGATGTTCCGCCCGCCTACATGTAAAACTAATAATTGTCTGTCGCCATATTTTAAATCAACGGAGAACAAAAGACTCAAAGTAAAATGCAGAATTATTTATCTGGAGAAAAAGAATGTTGGTTTCGTAGGTGTATAGTTGTTTATCAACAAGTGCAAGTCAACCCCGTTCAATGTCCGATTCCAAGTGTGTGACAATATTGAACTTAGATAATTTTACAATTAATCAATCCTTTGATGAGTAGGAGATTTGTTTCGAATCGGTATTCGTAATTTATTGTGTTTTTATCAATAGAACTATACGTGTACCTCTAATCAAACAATTCCGACAAAATACAACGTTTTATATTCATTTTTACGTTTATCATGGGTTTGATCCGTTTCAAGAACGAGTGTATATCTACCGAAATCGATTAGTGTCAAAATATTTGGTACCACAACAAAATTTTATGAACCTTTTACAAGAAAAACTAGGTTCAACATTAACGAGTACTACTGAACAAGATCAAGTATTTACATCTCGAAGCTAGTGATTACCAAATAGGAAATTACTTTTTTTTTCAGAAAAAATCTACGAATAATTCCTCAAGTACACCAATAACTCATGTTTTAAAAACAATTCGATTCCATGGTGTCAGCCAAGATATTCAATTAGATCGAACAGAGATTCCTCATGAACTTTATCACTTGATAACGTAGGATATCTGACGATATATTCTTACTACTCAATACTTGTATTTTTAGTTTGTATACTCAAACAACCTACGGACCTTTGATAGCTTCTGATGAATTAACTACTCGTCTACGAGATTATCAAGTAAGTGAGCTCATTCAGTGACGTTAACATAATCAATAGTAACAGATTGAACGTACTGGAGATAGGCAAAACGGGCGTTATCCCATGTTCATTTTTTTTCCTGTTTTTCTTATTTAGCCTGTCAACACATCTGACGATACTCTTGAATTGAAACTAACTTATAAGCCAATATCTATTGGTCGAATGCGATTGTGGCTGAATTTTGAACGTGCATTGGAATCGACACGAGCATATGGATTTGCCGATAAAGAAATTGATGAAATCAAAGGTGTTTTTGCAGATAATAATTTACCAGTACTAGCACTGACGTTCGTCGTGGCTGCTTTTCATGTAGGATTGTCGCTCATGGATTGAACTAAAGCTAAAAAATCATGTTTCGTTTTATTAGACTTTATTTGACTTTTTGGCTTTTAAAAATGACATCAACTATTGGAGACATCGAAAAACAATGGTCGGATTATCACTACGAACAGGTTTGTTAAATTGAGAAGAATGCAACCGGCAATATTATTTCTTGTTTTATAGTGCTATGGCGTTCGATTAGTAATTTTATCATTTTTCTTTATCTGCTCGATTCTGGTGCTAGTCTATTAGTTTTAATTCCAACTGGAATTGCTTCTTTGATTGAAGTAGATATTAACTTACTTGAAAGATCTTTTCAGTTTGACTTCTGATCTAGATTTGGAAAGTAACTAAAGCATTAAAGATTAAAGTTCGATTCAATGGCTATAAACCGATAATCACTGTTCGTTAAAATCTTTTGTATACTTGTGGAAAATACCGAGTTTGATTTAGTTTGGCGAAGTATCACAAGCAGAGGCAAACACAATGATGCACGACTCGACAGTAAGGACGATTTGTTCACAACAAAATTGCATTTCTCTCTTTTAATTCTCAGGCGATGCGCTATCTATCCTATCTGTTGTATCCATTGTGCGTTGGTTTGGCGATCTATTCGCTTATCTACAATACTCATAAAAGGTAAGAACCACAGCACAATTCGATGAGAAAGTGAACGAGAGTGAAAATTTAGTTGGTATTCGTGGATAATCAATTCACTTGTGAATGGAGTTTATGCTTTCGGATTTTTATTTATGATGCCTCAACTGTTCTTAAACTATAAACTGAAGTCCGTCGCTCACTTACCATGGCGCGCTTTCATGTATAAAGTAAGTTGAACAAATAATAAAATCAACTTTAGTCTATCGAGTGTTTATATTTAACAGGCATTCAATACGTTTATCGATGATCTATTTGCGTTTATCATCACAATGCCAACGGCCCATCGATTAGCGTGTTTCCGTGATGATTTTGTTTTTCTCATTTATCTTTATCAGAAATGGCTCTACCCTGTTGATAGAACTCGAGTAAATGAATACGGTGAAGCATTCGAAGAAGATGAGAAATCCAAGACTGATTAAATGTTGCTCTACTGATTGTGCAAATCGTTCTCGACTACAAAATTCATGTTCTGTTTTCATTCCTTATTGTTATTCTCTTTTCTGAATGATTCATTAAAAACGACTCTCGAATGCTATTGTTAGGAATCTATGCAATCAAATTCATTTATTTGTTTAGATATTTTATTTCCTTTATTTTAATTCAACAATGCTAGTGTTACCGCTAGGATGAGCTCAGCAAATTCTTTTCTTCCATCAACAGCCTATCATGCATCAAACACGCGTTATTCGACTTCACAGACAGCAACAACAACAGTCTCGTCTTCATCATTCAATATTCTTTCAAATAATGTACAGCAACAACTGAATGATTTAAATTCGACACGCTCGTCCACATCTTCGTGTTCGACATCTCATTGTCTAAGTAATCAGTGTTTGGAATGCACAACTATTCTCTCAACACGACCATCACAGTCAAGATGTATTCTCAATTCTTACATTGATTCCTCATCGAATTCAGCTCAGTATGTAGTGTTCATGCATTCAGGGTGAAAACTCGTTTTGACATCTTCTTCTAGTTTTGTACAAAATTGTTCGTATGTCGCCAGTTCAACATTAGATAGTCATCCACAGATTTCGACGCTTGACGATCAACAGACGACAAGAATTCTGTCGATGAATATTCCGGTTGATAATAGTAATAATCATATCAATGAAGTTCCTACGAGTTCTTCGACATTAAACATTGAAATCGAAGAAGATGATGACGATGATGAACAACAAACGCCAATGTGCAATGAACATTCCGATGAGAACGAACAATTGGAAGTTTTCGTTGGATTTTATCGACCGGGAGAATATCAGCGTGAAACAATGGAGGAGGAGGAAGAAGAGGACGATGACGACGACGACGACGACGATGAACAGAGAAGTGATACAAGTTTGAAATCGGATGCACAGAAAAAAGAAGAACAGGTAAAGACAAAGATTGTTCATGTCAATCTTTCACTTTTATGTTTAGTCAATTCGAGAATTAATTAGCGATGATGATGAAGGTAATGAAGATCAAGATTTCATTGATGAAGACTTCGGTCCTAATCAAGATGAAGATACCGATCAAATCCAACCGGATAATGAAAATATCAGTGAAGAAACATTAAATCCAAATATTCTTGATCATGATCAGCAACAACAACAACAACAACAACAGCAACAGCAGCATATCGAAGCCAATGAACCAATTCTATTTCCTATTGTTATTGTACAGATTGATGAAGATGAAGATCAAGGTTTTGGTGCCCAATTCAATGATGATTGTCAATCAAGTGACGATGAAAATAATCATGTCTCAACACTTTCACTAAATAATCAGATCAATGAAAATGAGTTGGTATGCTCGAAAAAGCAATCCTTACCTCAACGCTCACAATCAGATACGAATTTATATCGGAGACACTGGACTAGATTTCATTCCCTTCCAACGCTATCGAGACACTTGGAGAATCATTTTGACAAAGTTGAGCATATTATTATCGATGATCAGCAGCCATTAACAACGATGTCGAATTTCTTAATCAAGAAAAAGCCAGACAATGAGGAGGATTATTCGACTCTACGCAAGAAACAGCTTCTAAGAAAATCTTCCGAGGAAATTATTGAAATATCCAATCATGAGTCCCCATTACAGGTAAGATGTTTTTTACTACATGCAAATTAAGTTGATGTTTGTTGTGAAGACAATGGTTGTCGAAGCTGTTCGTGATGTTGAACGTCATGTTATGTTGTGGGATGATGAACATGCTCGACAAATCGATGATCAATCATCTGTACAGCAAATAGTGGTGAGATGATGGATATAGATCAGACGAGCACTCTTTGCAATTTCTTACGTTTTAGCAATATTTTCAATTGAATATTGATATAAATCAAAATCAACAGTCACGAATAGTATCGGTTCGAAGAGAATTATTGCTTGATTATCTTCAATACCGAAGTGAAGCTAGTAAAAGACTTCAACTGATATCCTATTTATTCGTGATTATTCTTTTGTGAATGTAGACATATCTGCAAGTGATTTGTGTGAAAATCTTTTACAATATCCGGAATTTGCTTCTCATATCCACTGTCGATTCTTTCCTTTTTGGCCACCGCGTGATGTTGACCTGTTACAATGGCTTTCTCATTGGCTTAAACAAGGTATAAAGAGAAAAACCAAAGCTCGATTTCCTCTTTTTCAAACGTTCTTTCGTTCTTTTCAGGTGCTCTGCCTGTCGCTATAATGAACATGGATCATTTCCACTCTCAGAAACAAATTCTAAATCTTAATTCAATCTCATCGTGGCAACATCGTATGGTCTATGGCGTTGACCCTCGTGGTATTTATCTGATGAACCCTATGCAAATTCAATCACCTCAGCAGGTTTACGAACAGCTCACTGCTGATTCTATAACTTATATATCATGTTACGAAATCGTTCAACGGTATAATCAATCACCGACATCGTTGACTCCTTTAGCCAAATCGAATAATCCATCGAAGCTGTTTGCGGATACGAGGTGGCGTACAATGAATGTGCTTGGACAAGTTGTTAATGTTCTACGTGAAGACCGTCAATTGCATGAAAATGAAACACGTAATATTCCATATCGTCCAACGGTTACGCATGTTCGAATACCTTCAACATGTTCATCCGGTATGTTAATATTCTCAAAAGATTATAATCAATTATTAAATGCGATGGATTTACCATTGAGACAATGAATCTATTTTTTAACTTCACTGTACATATGATCTTGCCGTTCTCTTCATCATCATCATCTTCTTCTTTTTTATTTTGCTAGTTTAACAACCGGTTGTCTGTATGTTTGAGCAAAGTTTGTTTTCTTTTTGTTTTTCAAGATAGAAATTCAATGTTATGATTTCGGAAACCATCGCGTTTTCATTTTCTATATGAGAATAACATACTATTAATAAGATTTCAATACAATGAACATGATCAAACATTCTTTCTCTACAATTACGCAATCGTGAGCACTGATCGATTAATCACATAGACAAACATTTGCCTTCATCCATCACAACGAACGCTCGATGTTCAACTTGATCCCTTCTCTGCATATGTAAAACTAAAATGTGATCAGTTGAAGCAATAGATTGATAGAACTGATGTGTAATGAAGCTATCCTGTTTGGGAATCTGATCGTATTTATCTTGCATTACGTGTATGATTAGTCGGAGAAAGAGAAACAAAGGTTTTGTTATACAAATGTTCATGAAATGTATATCCAAGATTTTTTTGTAGAAGTTTATGTAAAAAAAAGAGGAGAAGAAGACAACAGAAAAACTAATTATGTAGATCATTATGCGATATCTCCAAAAACAAGTTTCTCCTTTTTTTACCAGAAATCTCTTCAGTCATCAGAAAATATGTCCAATTGTTATTAATCGTTTCCGACATGGCAAAACATCGTTCTAAACTGCAAATAGTTGATGGTAAATTATCATAAATAAAAACACATTCTTGCCGTCGTCCTCCGATAGATCATCAGTTTCAATCACATTTAGATCTGCTCAATAGTGAATCGTTTAGTTGATCTTAATAGTTTCGATAGACGAAAAGCATATCGAACAGCAAAAATCTGAAAATATCACAAAGAATCTTCTATTCGAGTAAGAAATAACCTTTCAATCATACCTGAAGTAATGAAGCGGCCAGACAAATAACAATGAATATGACACCAACCAGGATTCCTTTCACAAATCCTAAATGTGACGTTGTAATGATCACTCCAATTAGAATAACGATTACAACAGCCAGCATTAATAGAAGTGAGACGAAACCAAGCCATGCAAACTGAAGATAGGGAAAAAAACGCACTGACTTTGTTTTCAAAGACATACATTCTTAGGAGCACATACGGCAAGTAAACCTGTTTGATAGTAACGATATGTCACTAGTACACCGAATCCATAGTAGACAAAAGCAATCAATATGGATACTAATTGTGAACTACTATTAGGAGGTTGATCTTTATTTGAACTGCTCGTTGCCAATGAATGAATAACAAACATGAAATTGATAAAACACAGAACCTAAGGACAAAATGATGCAGAATTAATTGATGAGATGGTGTTTGACTTACAAATAAAATACCGATGAAAATAAGCAGAGTTTTCCGTGTTCGAACAACTTCAGGTTGTTGTTCTAAGGACGGAGGTTTCTGTGGAACAGTGATCTTCACTGCTGAAGATTCGTTTCTCAGTTCCATTTGACACAAATGTTCCTTCTTTGACAATATATCTGTATATGAGAATCGATTACTTTGTGTGGTCACAAATGACAGAAAAGAAGCAGGAAAAATCGGAGAGGAAATCAAGCTGTTGCTGTGCCACTGTCGGTGAGAAGATAAATAGGACAGAACAGAAAAGGCATTGATTCATTCGACTGACATAATAATAATATGGAAATAGAGAGAAAGAAGAAAAGCAAGCAAGCAGGAGACCTTCTTCGTTAATCATGTTAAAAGAAAGGAATGTATTTTTGTGACTTCTACGAATTATACGCGTTGTTTTGCCCGAAAGATTACTGAATCGATTTCCTCCCATTGGCGGATTATGTGTAAACAATAAACAATGAGATTTCTCTTGGGAAAACGAAAAGTTGTCATGAGTCTCAGTTAGATTATTCATCAAATGGAAATTCTCTCAAGTCATGTCTACGTGCGAAAGTTACATCTACAAATTGATTTCTTATACTTGATCAGATCTAAGAATGAATCTGTCTTCATTTCTTTCATAATTTTAATCAACTAATCATATTTTTATCTATGATGAAAAACATATGAAGGAAATAATGTTATTCAAGAAACTGATTGTTTTGTATGGGACGAACAACTTCGTCGATGAGTGTCTTGTACCTCACATTCGAGTAGCAAAGGTTTTTCAGTAGAAATACTCGAGCAGCTGCTAGATAATTACTGGAAATGAGATGAGAATCTCTTGTTTTGATTCAACAAAGATGTTGATCATTTTATTATATTTCGTCAGCTATCAATGAATCAGAGTTATGTGTTTTTCGTTAACTGTCATATTGACTTCTCCTATATCATTCAACGGTTGTTTGCTCTAAAAATAGTTTATCTTCTCCTGTGGAAAGAGACTCTAGGTATGTGTGCATATGCGTGTTTGTTTTGTATTTTCTATGTAAGATATTTCTGCTTCAATACATCAGTTAACATCCTGATGACATATTGAGTATAATTAATCACATGGACAGAATAGCAAAGCATCGATCATCGAAGACATCTTGTTTTCTGATATGAATAAAACAAGAGACTACTTCTCTCATAACTAGTCAGTAGCTAATGGATAGAAGTCAGAAGAAAAAGCAATGGGAAGATAATCAATTCATCAATAACGGACAAACACAACTGTGCGTTCTCGCATCGAGACGACCGACTCAACTTTGATGATCGTCTTAGCTTTGATTGTAATTCTACATCTAGCTTTCTCGAGTAATTGATCTTGAAAATGCCGATGAAACCTGGCTTTCAAGTACATACTTGAATACGATGCGGAAAAACAGACGACGACCACTGTATTTGATGACATAACGAACTACATCGAAATTACATTTGACATTCGAACGAAGAGAAAGAAAAACGGTAGTCAATTGTATTAATTATAAAATAATCAAGAAGATTTCATTGATTTTCTGACAGTCATTCGATTCTGTATGACATTTATTACTATGCTCTATTTTCAACGAATAATCGCGAGTGTTTTTTCATCACTGAAGAATTTTCTATCCTTTTGTCTTTTAGACTATTCTGCACGTAAATCAAGCTTTGGTATTAACTAGACAATAGTCGTAACGAATGATTGCAATCATAAAGCACAACATTTGACTTATCTTTTTCAGTTTTTGCTTTCATGACATTTGTCAAATGAAAATCCTGATTCGAAAATGAAAAGTTCCACTCATCCGAAAATATCTTGTTACTGACAATAAGTAAAACACGTACGGAAGTTAATCTTATAAATACATAGGAGAACAGTGAGGTTTAGTACTCAAAATCGTTTTCATCATCGTCATTTCAGGTAAGAGATAGTTTAATTCGTCTGTTTTTTTTTACAGTTTTATTTCATCCTTTGAAAATACTAACGAAATTTGTTCTACTATTCACTGATAAAATGATAAATTAAACAGAAAATACTCTATAGACGAAAAGAAGGGAAAATATTCATTGAATTTCGATTAAAGCAATATTAACATGGTTGTGTTTGCGATTGTTGTTCAAGAAGAACGGTTTGAAAATCATCGATAAGTAAAGTTTCGAGACATTTCAAAGAATCGTTGCCATCTTCAATTTGCCATTCATGACTTGAGTTCGAATCGGTCTCATCATCATCACCATGGCCGCTATCAGATTTGGTTGAATCGGTAGTAAGGCTCTGTTGTTTCATATAGGAAAAGTTGCAAGCCTAAAATAGATATTCTAGCTGGATATATCATTGAGGATTTCGTTACTTCTTCGGGCAGTGTTGCTTGTTGTGAGAGAAAACTTAATTCGTTTAGCAATTCTTCGATTGATTTCGATGGAATTTCACTTTGATGTTCCTCATTCGTTATTAAATGTTCGCGATAGTTTTCCAAGACGCGATCCTAAATATTGTCTATATCAATGGTACGATATCTACTCGAAAGGAACTTACGTGACGGTATTCGAGAAATGTAATAATTTTATCTAATGAAAAATCTTTTCTTCCAGGAAAATAGACAGTTGTTAAAGCTCCTTGTAGGAAAGTCCATTTTTGTCGGAGATTTATTAATTCATCATAGTAGCGATAATCTTTGAAGAACTCTTCATTTTTATGTTGATGATCATCACATTTCGATTTTGTTGTTGTTGTTAATGGGGATCTATCGAACATGTTATAAGCATATTTGCGACGCAATTCTAACGTTTGACTAGCTGGTAAGAAGATTTGTCGACTTAATTTGGAATTGAGCATTTCGGCATCTTTATCAAACTTGGCTAAACATTCTTCTAAACGGCTGAGCTAAATGTGAACAGACAAAAAGAAGCGTTTGAAGGTGAAATAATCCGTTGAAAGTCATCCTACTTTAGCTAATCGACGATTTTCAATGTATGTATTGATGTTTTGACTGGCTTTCAAGATGCGATCGATAACATCGTCGATCAGTTTTTTCGCTTGGTCATGTGCATCTTTGGCTTGTTTATTGATGAATGAAACAACCTCTAGAATACCTTGTCGACGGTTCAAAGACATTTGTTCCGAGATGGTTTGCATATCATCTAAGAGGGATTTTCGATGGCACATGAAGCACATGTAACAATAGTGTTCATGACAATGACGACAGATGACTTCACTTGGTAGATGACATCCTGATGCATTGCAAAGATTTGTTTGTAATTGAATCGAACGTTTTGTGGGAGAAGACATGGTGATTTAGTTGTCTCTATCGCAATGAATACGAAGAATATGTACGTGTAAATAGTTAACAAGGAGTATATATACACAGATGCAACACGTTTACAATCGAGATGACGACTAAGATTTAATCGTCTTTGTACTTTGTCTAGCTTGTTATATCTGTATTTCTATTCGATGATGATAATGAAGATAAACGAAACGAAACTATAAAAAGAAAAGAAGGGATTGTCGTCGCGACGTTTTCGATCATATACACACATGAACAAGAGACAGAGAAGAAAGAAAAGAGTGAATTATATCGACTGTTTTACCGATAACTATAACGAAAAAGTAAAGACGATTCTCAGAATGAAATTTATGCACAATAGTAAAATGTGACTAAACGAAAAAAGTCATCGGACATCTGTCGAGATGACCAAACATGATAGTCTTTCCGAATTCTTTCAGGTTATTTATAAAATCGAAATCATGGTACTTGGCAACATGCGCTTTGATGTAGTTGATTACATCATTTTTGCATTGTTATTGATTTTTTCGGCAGCAATCGGTTTATTCTATGGTTTTATTGATAAACGGAGGAGAAGGAAACAAGACGAGGCTAGTGGTGATGCAGTGGAACAAACAAAAAGCTCCGCTAAAGAATATCTCTTAGCAAATAAATCGATGGGTGTAGGTTATGCATAGAAATCTTATTTCGATATATGATTCTAAAACGAGCAATTTAGATCTTTCCAACAGGAATGAGTTTATTAGCTAGTTTCATGTCTGCAATAACAATTCTGGGTACTCCAGCTGAAATCTATGTCTACGGAACACAGTATTGGGTGATTGGTAAAAGAAGAAAAGAATCGGCCTCTTCCGAATAAATGTATGTTCGTTGATTCTATCTAGGAATTAGTTATATATTTACAGTTTATCTTACTGCAACGTTATTTATGCCCATGTTCGTTAAACTTGAAGTAACAAGTGCATACGAAGTAAATGAAATTAATGAGTTTACTACCTTTGGCTACTTTGATGAATACAGTATTTAGAAAAACGATTTGATAAATATGTACGATTGGTTGCTTCACTTATTTTCTCTATCCAAATGGTAAAACAGCTCATTTTTTTTCAATCAAAATCATCTCATTCTTGAGTTATATCAGATAATCTATATGGCGATAGTTCTATATGCACCCGCTTTGGCATTGAGTCAAGTAACCGGTCTAAATGTTTGGATTAGTGTCGTTTCTATTGGAGTTATTTGCACAATGTACACAACGGTGGTCAGTGCTTAGAGAATCTGTGCCTTTTTGTTCATTATCATTGAATAGGGTGGTATGAAAGCAGTTATGTGGACTGATGTTTTTCAAACGATTATCATGTTTGTTGGATTGCTTGCCTCCGTTATTCAAGGTAAAGAGTATTATCATCGAAGAGAAGTGTTACGTTCTACGTTTCAGGTATTATTGATGCCGGTGGAGGCAAAGCTGTTTGGAAAAGAGCTTTAGACGGTGGTAGAGTAGAATTTTTCAAGTATGAATTTTATTGCTTATTTACGACGCAGAATACATCGAAATTATCGACGACACTCTTTTGTCTAGCTTCGATCCTGATCCGACGACGCGTCACACAATATGGAGCATATTAATCGGTGCGACGTTCACCTGGCTTGCTATTTATGGTATGTACTTAGGAAGACAAAAATAGTCTAAATCCTGAATTAGGCTTCAATCAGGCGCAAGTTCAACGTTATCTTTGTGTTCCTACTGTTCGCCATGCCAAGTTGTACGTAGAAACGTTTAAGTCCATTGATCATGATCAAACGGTTCTATTTTAGAGCATTGTTGTTCAATTTAGTCGGCTTAATATTAATCCTTTCATTATGTTGTGGTGTTGGTCTTGTAATGTTTGCAAAATACTATGCCTGTGATCCATTACAGCGCGGTTTGATCAAACAAACTGATCAGGCAATATATTACATTCCCAAGAAATAAATATCAAAATCTTTTCTTTAGCTTTACCCATTATTTGTTATGGAAACATTAAGACGATTCAAGGGTTTGCCAGGTATTTTTTTGGCGTGTGTATTCAGCGGTGCATTAAGGTAGATGTTTCCGTCATATTGATTATTCTATCGTCACAATGTCTTGTAGCACATTATCATCGGGATTGAACAGTTTGGCTGCAGTTGTTCTTTCGGATATCATCAAATTCTTCTATCGCAAACCAATGACGGATGCTCAGGATCTATTGTACTCAAAAATATTATGTAATATTCATCGTACAAATAGGGAAACCCTAATTTATCTCACCGTTTTTGCATTTAGCACTTGTTTTTGGAGTTATCTGCATCTTAATCACTTATCTTGTTTCATTACTTGGTAATCTTCTCCAAGCCTCTTTATCGTTATTCGGTGTCTTGTCAGGACCTATAAGCGCAATTTTTATGATAGGATTTTTGCTTCCATGGGTGAATTCATTGGTAATGATTGTTAGTAGTTCAGGTAGAGAAATCCTACTTTGAATTTAGGGTGCTTTGATCGGGTTGATTGTCAGTGTGATTGTACAAATCTGGATCTTTCTTGGTTCTCAATTCCTTCGAACTCAAATGCGTTCATTTCGATTGCCCACGCGGATCGACGGGTGCCATCTGATGCGAGATAACATCACGAGTTTGTTCAACACGACTATGAATTCATCAATACTGTCGACTACAAGTTTATCTGCAACGATGATCAAGTTTATTTGTGTGAATGACGAGATTCCTTGTAGTTTAGATTGATGTTTATTTTAGGAAAAGTCCATTAGCTCGATTTTATGGTATGAGTTACTTTTGGTACACACTAATGTCAATTTTTACCGCGTTAACTGTTAGTTTGGTGGTTAGCTATTTTACAGGTAAACTCTCCAAGAGAATTTGCCTAAAACTACTCGTTTCGATTAGGTTTTCGAAAACCCGAAGATATCGATCCACAATTAATGCTACCAGCCTTTGATATTCTATTCCCATTTTTACCAGAAAGAATATTATCTAGACTGCGATGTGGTGTCCGGTATCAACGAGATTCTGATCAGGTGAATTACATGAGTAATCAATTCTGTACTCATCTTTTTCATTCATTTAGATGAAAGCCGAAGAAGAACAACAACAAGCATCACCGCCGTACGTACCAATGGATACTCCCAAACATCGTATTAAAATGGGCGATGAATGTCAAATCAACCCAGCCTATTTAAGCAATGACTACGATGATGAAACCATGGATGAAGAACGGATGACACGAACGAAACTCTAAGGATATTGTTTTTAATCGAACACTTGGCAAACGCGTTCTTCCAATAGAGAATAGATAGAAGATTTCTTTCATTTTACCATCATATCTCATTCAATATACAATGGTAACAATACCCGTTCAGCATGTGCTTCCGTAATAAGGATACCTAAGCAAATAAACATGCTGTGAATGTAATGAGTTCGTCATTGTTTATATATCAATACGAGTTCAACTTATACGTTCTTTCATACTAGCAGGGGGTGAATCTGTAAATTTCCAATCATGTCCTTTGACATAACTCGAAAGCAAAAGCCAAGTTGATAGGTAATCGTATCATTATCTTCTATTGAAAACAATTGAAGGACACATTGTGTATATACTAGCGTTTAATTGGAAGAATATACTTGATCATTTTGCTTAGTAATTCATCATGCGCATTGATTGGGCAAACTTTCGTCTCCATTTACCTTTCTTTCCTTCAATCGTTAAAAATAGTATTGTCTTATAAAACTACAATATCCTTATTAAATCCACTTCAATTCATCTTAATTATCGATAAATGGTTGAATGTACGGAAACTGAGCCAATATTCTAGCATGATTAAAGTATAATAATCTATCGACAATGAAAGCATTAACATAAAGCTCGACTGATTTTCAAGTGATTTTTTTACTTCATATAATCAAAGGAATCGGATTTGATCGGTAGCGCTGCACGCATTGAATCTATTTTGCTTTCAACATCTGGTCTTATTGTTCGAAGTCGGATTAACTTGATATGTTATTCTAAGACAATCGATTGGCAAGAAGAAACGTTCTTTTCAAGTTGCTCTGTACGAGAAAAAACAAAGGCAAGTGTAGAAAGAACAATATTTTTTGGCGAACTTTACAGAAAAAAAGAAAAAGAAAGAAACCAATTAAAGCGAACCTTTGCTCAAGTGCCTTCTAACAACATCGATCATCTTGAAAAGAAATTAATACGATCGTTTGTATACTCATCTTGAGAATGAATACAAAATTACACCGACGGCGTTCCTGTTATTTGACTTCGCCCTCTAATCATCTACATTTATTCGTTAGATCTTATCTAATGAGAAATAGGGTACTGGCTGAATTCATTTTTCAAACAGCATTACTCGAATAACGACAGAACATTTACGTGATGTGGTTATGCTAATACGGCATGAATAAATACAAAACACGAATTTGTCCAGTGTGACATATAATCAGAATAAAAAACAAAGTACACACCAAATATAATCGAATCGATTACAGACGAACGCTTGTCAAAATAAACTCGATACAATCAGCTATTTCTGTTCTATTTATCATAAATTACATCGAACAAAATTTCAGCGCACTTCATAAATAAAACTTTGATGTTATGCAGCATATAGAATAGTGACGTGCGCATGAACAGTCGATAGAGGTCGTTAGTTCAGACAAAAATTTCATGTTAAAATCATAATTTTCCGAAAGAAGTGTGTAGACAATTTGTGGAAGGATATTCGTTAAATAAATTTTTTATTGGTTATTTGTGATTCAAGTTTTGGCAGGCAGAAATGCAATGAAGCATCATAATCATCATCATTCAAGAAAAAAGACAAGGAAGAAAGAAATAAAAGAACGAACGAACGACGAGAAATAGCCGGAACAAGTTTTGTTTGTTTGTTTTCATCGATCGATCAATTATTGATTGAGTTCTTTCTCTTCTTCTTCTTCTTCTTCTTCTCTGACTAACCATAAGCAAACTCCGATGAACCCTGTATCTTTTTTCTCTCTAGATCTTGATCTCAGTTTGTTGAGTCATACGCATACATCTACTGTCGACTGTTCAGAACGTCAACAAGGTACGTAATTATGATCTCGCCTACGGATAACGACGAATCGATCCAATTACTCATCTAGTTAATGTAAACGTAGTTGATTTCATCTATAGTTTCTTGACCTGGAACAATGGATTGTTGATGGTCTATAGACATTGAAGAGTAGCAACACATTCATTTTTTCCTCTATCTCTCTCTCTCTCTCTCGGCTTATGTGTGTGTGTGCGCTCCGATCGATACACAATCAGATTATCTGAGTTTTTCCAAGTTAACCAGAATCAATGAATGAATGTGATAAAAGATATGAAATGAAAATTAATCTATCTATCATGATAGATATAAAGTCAATTAATGATCAAAGTCCTATTGATCTAATGAATACACACAAGAAGTAGAAGAAGAAATTCGAGATTAAGATAGAAAGTTATATGCAATTTGATTATATGTAATTAGAAATTGCAAGTTAGAATGACTGAACTCAGTCAACATTAACAAATTCCAGTTTTGCGGTCGTCTTCTCGTCTCTCTTCCTTCAGTTGTTATTCGTATGAGAGGCTGCGTTACGCCGAGCGAACGACGCATAGTGTGTGGAAAGAGAAAAAAAAGGAGAAACCGCGAGCCCGCTCTATATGAAAAAATATATATGTCGTAGGGCACAACTGCAGCGACAGTAGTCATCACAGGAACAATAGTGGTACCATTTTAGTATTCCTCTCAAATGAGGAGAACGAGTAGACGATGGAGGAAAAAAAGGAGGAAAAGAAGAAGAAGAGAAACGGAACACAGAGTTGACGAACGAGAAAAAGAAAAAAGCCAATACTTGCATTTTTACTATAACCACCATCAGTCTCACCACTGCGACCACCTTTGAACGGAAAGAGAATAAGAGAGAGAGAGAATAGAAGCGCTCTGAACGCAAATGATTACTAACACTATCGCCATCACTGCCTCTCCCAGTAGAAATAAGGATAGATAAAACATGAACGATATTGCTTTTTTTTATTCTTTTTCTCACTCCCTAAGATAACCGACTGACCGTTGAACAAAATGAAAACTACTAGCTTATGAGAATAGAAACGAAGATATCCATCATTTTAGCATGTATATATAAACAAATAATGCCCTGTTAGATGTCTCACTATAATAAACACAGTCAAAATGATCGATACAGTATCTCATCATCAACATCAAGCTTAGTAAGAAAGCGTCTATTCATAGTGAACGAAAAAAAGAAAAATAAATTGAAGGACTAAAATGTCAATTCATTCAATAGTTGGGTAACGAGTAGATGAGTATATTTGTCAAGTTGGCATAGAATTTCTTCGTTTTTTTTTGCTTCTATATACATATGAAAACATACTGACACAATTAATCTTCTTCCTTCTTTCGGCACGATTGTAGTCTTAGTGCTTATGCAAAAAAAAAGGAGAAGCAATAGCTGGTGCCTTACTCTTTTCATTCGTAAAGAATGATTGTTTTCATATTAGTCAGTGAGAGAGTGAGGGAAGGAAACAAGAGATCTAAAAAGAATCATTCTTGCAACAGTTGCGATTTCTCGCGAGAATTGATTTTTTCCTACTAGGTTTGTGTGTATGTATGCAATTCTTTCTCTCTTTTCGTCTTATTTATATACATAATCGAGAAAAAAAAACTTTTCTGCTTCAGTTTGGACATGTCGTCAGCGGCTGCGAACGGTGTTCATCATTCACAGACGAATGGTCATAATACTCAACAAGATTCCAACAACTTAAATATCGATCAATTAGCTGCAGATGTCGATTTAGCTGGACAAGATGAATGTAATTCGTCGGCACGGATGTTCGAACGAACACGCATTCAAGTTCTAGCTGATGAACGTGGCCATGTACAGAAGAAAACGTTTACCAAATGGGTTAACTCGCATTTATCTCGTGTCGGCTGTCGAATTACTGATCTATACACCGATCTTGGCGATGGCCGAATGTTGATTCGTTTATTGGAAATATTAAGCGGCGAACGTCTACCCAAAGCCACACGAGGCAAAATGCGTATTCATTGTTTAGAAAATGTTGATAAAGCTATCATGTTTTTACAAGAGCAACATGTTCATTTGGAAAATATTGGGTATGTAATACAAGTTTTTTCTTTCTTTGTTATGCTAGAAATCAAATGAATTAGATGGTTAGCTACTACCCGGAAGTTCCGTTTCTCTCGTGACGACGAATTTTGAATGGGAAAGGGAGACAGAAAAAAGTGACAAATATGCCCGAAGAAGTATGAAATACAACGTAATGATTTCTAAGTATTTGGATAAGACTTTGATTGGGATAAAGAGCGAGACGATATGCAGAGATTTCCGTGATGATTAATGAACAAAGAGAAGTCGTTGTATATATTATCCTTGGCAAGAAGGGAAAAGTCTTGACTATAGATCGAGATTGCTCAAAGACAAATAATAGTTTTTCTAATTCATTGAACCCGAATTATTGGTAATAGTTAATTATTTCATCCTAATGAAGTACACACAAGCACATCATCTATAATAAAAAAAAAGTTATCTAAATAGATCTCATTGCCATTGTTGTAGAAGTGAATCGTGTAGATGTGAAAAGATCAAGGAGAACTCGTTAGTTTTTCGCTAATCATAAGGCCATAAATGATCATGGAACATTTTACGAATAAAATTTGCATGGATTTTCTAGCGCACATGATATTGTTGATGGTAATTCTTCATTAATTCTCGGTCTGATGTGGACAATTATTCTTCGCTTTCAAATTCAAGACATCACAATCGAAGAATACGAATCAACAGAGACGAAATCTGCCAAAGACGCACTTTTACTGTGGTGTCAAATGAAAACAGCTGATTATTCAAATGTCAATGTACGAAACTTCACATCATCGTGGAAAGATGGTTTAGCATTTTGTGCATTGATACACAAACATCGTCCTGATTTAATTCCTCAATTTAAAACTTTAACTAAAGAAAATGCGAATCACAATCTGCAATTAGCATTTGATATATGTGAAAAACGTTTAGGTATCAGTCGATTACTTGATCCCGAAGACGTTAATGTTGAATATGTTGACGAGAAATCGATCATCACATATATTGTTACTCTATATCATTACTTTTCGAAAATGAAAAATGATAGCGTTCAAGGCCGACGTTTAGCCAAAGTTGTTGGCTCAGCACTTGAATCAGAAAAAATGGCACATGAATATGAACGTTTAGTGTCAGATCTCCTCGCATGGATTGATCAAACAATACGAACATTGAATGATCGACAGTTTCCAAATTCCTTGGCACGTGTACAAGAAAAACTGTTGGAATTCAATCGTTATCGTGTCATCGACAAACCGCCACGCTTTGCTGAAAAAGGAAATTTAGAAGTTTTACTATTCACATTGCAAAGTAAAGAACGTGCCAATCAACAAATTCCATACCAACCTCGTGAAGGCAAAATGATCTCCGATATCAATCGTGCCTGGGAAAATTTGGAACGTGCAGAGCACGAACGCGAGTTAGCACTACGAGAAGAGGTGCTTCGACAAGAACGTCTCGAGCAATTGGCAACTAAATTCAATCGCAAGGCTGGCCTGAGAGAGAAATGGCTGACTGACAGTGAAAAACTCGTGGCGAGGTAAATTAGAAAGAAGCGAATATATACAGATATTTACCTCTGTTTTTTTTAAGTGATCAATTTGGCACTGATTTAACTTCGGTTGAGGCTGCATTCAAAAAACAAGAAGCTATTCAGACGGATATAGCCGCGTTTGAAGAACGCCTTCAGAATATCATGGCTATTGCCAATGAACTTAAAACCGAAGACTATCATGATTTTGCGACTATTGAAGCACGGAAGAAGAACGTGGAAATGCATTGGGAATATTTAGTTAGTTTAGTTACTAAACGACGTCAATGTCTAGAACTTGCTTACAACTTACAACGTGTTTTTCAAGTAAGGTTTTCGCTACATCCAACCATTGCCAATGAAATGAATGTCTTTGCTGTAGGAAATGCAATATATCTATGAATGGATTACTGATTTGAAATGGCGATTGAAGTCCGACGATATTGAGAAAAATGTTATGTCTGCCGATGATCTCCTTCAACGACATTCATTAATTGAAGCTGATATATACATTATCGATGAACGTTTAAAACGTGCCATAAGTGATGCGGATGAATATCTCAATCCGGATGTGAATATCGATGGTTATCGTCCAGCTACACCTGAAGAAATCGAAATCCGCATACATAATTTACAGAAAGCGTATGAAGAATTAATTGAATTAGCACGTAAACGTCGAGATTTACTTGAACAAGCAAAAATTTTATCGAGATTCTATTCCGATATTGGTGATGCCGAACTATGGATTGATGAAAAGCAACAAGCAATGACATCACCTGACATGGGTCATGACGTGAATTCGACGGATAGTTTAGTCGCTAAACATAAATTAGTCGAAACAGATATGACTACGAGGTAAGAATTTCCAACAAATCGGAGCAGAAAGTTTAGTAAGATACGTTGATAAGAATCAAATAATTACACTCGAGCTTATCGGATTATATTTGAGCAAACCTTTCAATAGTCTGATGGGATGCGAAAATATGTTGTCTAATTACACATCTTTCATGCTTTCAGGTATGGTCAATTGGAAACTCTGACCAGTCAGGGCGATACAATGATCAGCCAAGGTCATTTTGCATCTAAGAAGATTAACGAACGTCTCGATACGTTAAAATCGAAATGGGATTCTTTAATTGGCATGTCATCGAATCGTTCAAAGAATCTGAATCAAACACATGACTATTATCAATTCTTTTCCGATGCGGATGATATTGACACATGGATGCTTGATATGTTAAAACTCGTTTCAAGCGAAGACATTGGTCGCGACGAATCATCTGCTCAAACATTACTGAAAAAGCACAAGGACACACAAGATCTATTGGATAACTACCGCAAAACTATTGACGGCTTTAAACAAACCAATCTTCAAACACTATCACCGGAAAAACAAGCTCTACCTGATGTTCAACAACGTCTGCAATCAATCGAACGTCGTTATGTTGAATTACTTGAATTATCGAAGTTACGTAAACAAAAATTGCACGATGCCATTTCGCTATTTCGTCTGTTAGCTGATGCCGACAATGTCGAAGCATGGATTGAAGAGAAAGAACGATTTTTGGCTACGTTAGATCCAACACAAGTCAATGATATCGAAGAATTAGAAGTGATTAAACATCGTTTCGACGGCTTTGAACGCGATATGAATTCAACTGCATCGAAAGTTGCCATTGTCGGCCATCAAGCACGAACATTAGTACAAAATGACCATCCTAATTCTCAAGAAATCCTAGACCGCATCAATAAATTGAACCATAATTGGGCACAGTTACGTCGATTAGTCGACAAGAAACGCGAAGATTTGAGTTCCACATTTGGCGTTCAGACTTTCCATATCGAATGCAATGAAACAATCTCGTGGATTCAAGATAAAATTCGTATTATTCAATCGACTGAAGATTTAGGTGAGTAGGTTAAATGTAAACGATTCGATGTTCGAATCTACCTGACTGCATTTTATCTTCCTATCAAATCAAATAATCTGATTATTTGTTTTCGAATAACTAAAATGCAAAAATTATCACTAGGAAGTTAGTCACTGAACAAAGACGATTGATCCCAAGTTTTGTTCAACAGAATACTACCCTACATAGAATTCTGAATTTCACCTTTTTTCTTACTGTTTAGGTCGCGATCTTGGTGGTGTTATGACCATGCAACGTCGTTTAAGTGGTTTAGAACGAGATATGGCTGCTATTCAATCGAAACTCGATCAATTAGAATCGGAAGCAACCAAATTAGAAAAAGATCATCCAGATGAAGCGCAAGACATTCGTCATAAAGTTAGTCAAATCAATTCAGTCTGGTATGAATTAAAGGAAATCTTGCGTCGTCGAGAAGAATCTATGGGCGAAGCAGCTGAATTACAGAAATTTCTTCGTGATCTCGATCATTTCTCAGCCTGGTTGACACGTACGCAAACTTTAGTAGCTAGCGAAGACATCCCCAATACATTGAACGAAGCCGAACAATTGCTAAACCAACATCAAACAATCAAAGAAGAAATCGATCGTTATGGTCCCGACTACGGCCAAATGAAAGATTATGGTCATCGGGTGATTCGCGATGCCGATACAACTGATCCTCAATACGTATTTTTACGCGAACGCTTGAATGCGCTAGACGATGGTTGGAACGAACTTGACCAAATGTGGCATCAGAAGAAGAATATGTTAACAGAAGCTATGCAATTCCAAATGTTTGTTCGTGATGCCAATCAAGCCGAAATTTTGTTAAATCATCAAGAAGCTTACCTAACACGAGAACGTGAACAACAACCAAAATCGTTCGATGAAGTTGAAGCTCTCATTAAGAAACACGAAGATTTCGTTACGACAATGACAGCCAATGAAGATAAGGTCCAAGGCGTTTGCTCATTCGCACAAAGATTATGCCAAGAAAATCATTATCTAGGCGATCGTATTCTTTCTCGTGCATCGGTGATCAATGATCGTTACGTTGCTAATCGTCAAACAGCACTGGAAATGCATGATAAACTTCATGAATCTCTGAAATACTTTCAATTTATTCAAGATTGTGAAGATCTGAAGGAATGGGTTGATATGAAGTCTCTCCAAGCTCAAGATGATACGTACCGTGACACGGCGAATATTCATACGAAATATCTTCGCCATCAAGCATTTCAAGCTGAAATCACTTCGAATAAGGAGCGTCTTCTCGCTTTGAAACGTCATGCTGATCAATTAAAAGAGGAGCATCGTCAACAAATCGATCCAAATTCAATCGACCAACGCATTACTGAACTCGATGAACTCTGGCTGAAACTTGAAGATATCACACGAGAAAAAGGCGAACGATTATTCGATGCGAATCGCTCGAAATTATTTCAGCAATCGATTACTAATCTCGATGAATTCATGTTAAATATTGAAAAACATCTTTATGCTGGTGAACAAACAACCACTCCATCCGATCAAATCGATGGACAAGTGCAAGTCGTATCAACCACGACGACGACGCTCGAACCGTTGGAAAACAATCTAACGGCAACTAATCTACTACTGCTCAAACAAACAACAATCGAAGAAGAATTATTGAAACGTCAGCAACAAGTTGATGAATTACGTGTTCAAGCCGAAAAATTGAAACAATTAGAACCGGAAAAGGCCGAAGAAATCGATTCGAAACGTTTACAAGTCGAAGAGAAATTCTCTAAACTTCTCCTTCCACTTGAACAGAAGAAATTACGCTTAGAACAGCAGAAACATCTTCATCAATACTTTCGCGATATTGAAGATGAACAAATCTGGCTAAGTGAAAAACGTCACTTATTGCAAACATACGCTGACTTGATTTTCAATAATAAACAGCAAACCTTAATGAATGTACAACTATTGAAGCGAAAAAATGAATCTCTACTGAAAGAAATCGAAAATCATGAACAACGTCTTTTAGAACATTTAGAAACTGAAAAAACGCGTATTACTCAAGATTATCCGTCACGTGCCGAAGAATTCCAAGAACGTCTCGAACAACTATCAGATAATTACATTCAATTGAAAGAAACAATTAAGCAACGCCGTGAACATATCGAACTATTAGAAAATGTCTATCAATACTATTACGATTTAAGCGAAGCTGAAGCATGGCTTGGCGAACAAGAACTATACATGATGAGCGAAGAACGTGGTAAGGACGAATTAGCAACTCAAGCCTTTATTCGTAAACAGCAAGCGACGGAACAGACCATTGAAAATTATAGTGATATTTTGCGAGAACTAGGTGAAAAGGCGAAGAATTTGATACAAGATGTGGAACAATCGAATCTTTCACGTGATCTTATTAATGAACATCATGAATTGATCAATAAACGACAAACACAATTAGATAAATTATATGCTAGTTTGAAAGACCTGTCGGTTGAACGACGACAACGCCTTGAAGAAACTCTGAAACTTTACCGTCTCCATCGCGAAATCGATGACTTAGAACAATGGATATCTGACCGAGAATTGATTGCTGGTTCGCATGAACTTGGTCAAGATTTCGAGCATGTTTCAATGCTACTCGATCGGTTTGCCGCATTCGCTCAAGAAACCGAACAGATCGGCAATGAACGTTTACAACATGCCAATGAAATGATCGATGTCTTAATCGCCAATGGACACGTTGATTCCGCTCAAATAGCTGAATTGAAAGATACACTGAATGAATCCTATCAAGATCTATTAGAAATGATTGAAACACGTTTACAATCATTGAAAGCATCATGGGAACTGCAGAAATTCTTACATGACTGCAAAGAAATTCTATTGGCCATGCAGGAACGTAAAAATACGATACCAGATGAGATTGGCCGCGATCAACAAAGTGTTCAACAATTGTTACGTAAACATCAACAATTTGAAACGGAACTGGTTTTATTAGCTCAAGATATTCAACGTATCCAGCAGGAAGCTAAACGCTTGAATGGTAGATATGCTGGTGAGAAAGAAGCAGAAATTCGACAAAAAGAAACAGACGTATTAACTCAATGGAGACTATTACAACAATTCGTGGATCAACGAAAACGTCTACTCAATGATTATGAAGATCTTCATCGATTCTTCAATCTGACAAGAGATTTACATATGTGGATGGATGGCATGATCCGTCAGATGACCAATAGTGCTAGACCACATGACGTTAGTGGTGTAGATTTACTGATGAATAATCACCAAAGTTTAAAAGCAGAAATTGATGCAAGACAAGAGAATTTCACCATGTGCATCAATTTAGGTAAAGATTTAATTAACCGACGACATGCTCGATCGAACGAAGTTAAAGAGAAATGCGTGCAATTATCGATGTTACGTGATCGTCTTGAGGATACATGGCACGAACGTTGGGAGTACTTACAGCTGATCCTTGAAGTTTATCAATTCGCACGTGATGCAGCTATTGCTGAAACATGGTTAATTGCTCAAGAATCTTATTTAGCCAACGAAGAACTTGGTGAAACATTGGATCAAGTCGAAAATCTCATTAAACGCCATGAACAATTTGAAAAGTCTCTCATGGCACAAGAAGATCGCTTCAATGCTTTACGCAATCTGACTACATTGGAAAAGAAACGACAATTGCCACCGGTCGAGCCACGGCAAAGTCGTTTACCAATCTACCTAGAAGAATTCAAAACCTGGGAAGAACGCGATGCCGAACGGACAACAACATCAGGCGATCGATCGAAATACAAGTCGACAACTACCGAAGCTAAAACAGTTACAGATAGCAGTGGTCGTCCGACAACATTACCTGGCAAACAACGTTCTAGTCAAGATTATGAATCTATGAGTGGTAAACAACATCGATCGGAATCAGCCACACGTGCACCAGCGCTCAAGGAAGGTTTTCTCTCACGCAAACATGAATGGGAAGGACTCGAACGTAAAGCAACACATCGTGCTTGGGAGAAATACTACTGTGGTTTGACAAACAATCGTTTATCATTTTATAAAGATGCTAAACATTTGAAATCAGGACGAACAGTAAGCGATGATCTTCATCTCGATTCATCGACTGGTGTTTCACCGGCCACGGATTATCGTAAAAAACCCAATGTTTTCCGCTTGAAACTTCATGGTGGTAATGAATATTTATTCCATGCAAAAGACGACCAAGAAATGAATGAATGGATCTCCTCGATTAACAATTGTATTTCTTCACTATCATCTATTATCAGCACAGGACCAGCAGCAGGAGGTGCGAGTGCAGCAGCACAGATACCCTCTGTAGCCTTAACATCACCACCGATTGGAATCGGTTCATCCTCATCGTCAAGCTCGCCGCGACATCAAACTCAAGTACCGACAATGACAACAAGTTCATCAGGTAAAAATCTCGACTTATGTTCTCAATGATTTCCCAATGGAAATCTGTTCTATTAAGGTATTGAAATGGCGCAGAGTTCTACAAGCGCCGAACAGAAATCTCGAACATTACCATCTCAATCTACTACCACAGTTGAACAAAGTTCAACTCAACAAGCCTCGAGTGGAAAGAAGAAATCAGGCGGATTTTTTTCCATGAAAAAGAAATGAACAGAGAATGATATTCTGGTGTCCAAAACAATGATTTCTATTCTTCGTTTTCTCCAAACAAATCATAATCCATTCTTTGCCAGAAATAAAATCAGATCACACCATAGATTTCCTAGTCAGTATTGATCTCTCATTTATGGGACGATTTTTTTCTGGATTTCTCTCGTTTTTTTTTATATCTTCCGTTCTATTCACCAACACAATATATTGCTGTGCTCAGATTTTTCTTTCTCATTGCTTCTGTTTCTTTTCTCTCCTCATGCGCATAAACATATATACATATATATATACATAGTTGTTCCTAAACCCTCATGTAATTCTTAGTAGTTTTGAAATAATAAGAATAAAAGTTCAAATTCCCTGTTGTTGTTTGTTTGTTGTTGTGTGTGCTGTTTAATGGTGATTTTGTTTATCTTAATTTCGTTGTTTTTTTTTACATTATTTTTTTCTCTCTTAATGCTCATATATGGGTGTATTCGTTGTTTCGCTTTTGCGTTCGTCTATATTTCAACTATCTTCTTTTCTTTTTCTTGCTGAAATTACATCATCAATACTTTCTACTAAGACAAAAAAAAAGCACACACATTCATGTACAATTAGATTCTCTTCGACATTGATCAACATGTCTTGACACAAGTCGACAAACAAATGAAATTAGTGTCATTAGGATGACATGTATTTGACCTTCATTAAACAACAATACTAGCTTTGTTAAGAATAAATATATGCATAGCTACTAGCCTGCCATTATTTGATGATGAAGATCGATCTAGATACGATAGAACAAATGCCAAAATATCATGTAACGTGTTGCATATGAATACGTATCAATTTACACATCATTCTCATTCTATGTGAAGGTCGATACTTAACAATTGCCATTATCTTATTGAGTTCTTCGTTTCTGATTATCTGTTTGATCATCGTATTGACACTTCCACTGCGATTTGATTATGGGTGAGAGAGAGAGAGAAAGAGAAAATAAAGGATTTGTCTTCTTGTTGGAATATAATACTTGGAATAAATTTCTTTTGTCCTTCACTATCGATCCAAACATAATAATCGTTATTAATTTATAATGATGCTAAACAGTTGATTTGTAAAGTCACGCAAAGTGGAGAGAAGAAGAAGACGATGATGATGATGACAAGAAAAACAGAAACGGTTAGAATTGACAAGTGATGTAGTACAAACGAAAGCACGACCATGCTCGACATCTTAGATTCCGCTAGCGACATCATCTGAAAGAGGTCGATTCGAGCACGATGATTCGAGGAAATTTATCACCCGATTATTATTTATCTGTCTGCTATTTGATGTCTCATACAACAATCTGGCGACATAACATTCTCTCATACATTAACCATTTCGTTTTTGTTCTTTTCTTTTTCTAGTATTTATTATTTTCTCCTTGTTAAACTTCGAAGAAAAAAAAGGAAGAAGACCGACTCTTGTGTGAACATCTTTCAATGACTATTCAACTGTATGTTTTTGAATGGAACATGCGCCACTAGTTAATGAAGATGACGAAGCGAATGAATGTTGTTCCGCAGACGAATTCGAATTGAAACCTCGAAGTCATTGGAAAAATTCAATTGAATCGAAATCGAAAACTAAAGTCAAAGCAGCGAAAAAAATGGGTCTGTCCTGTTCATCGATTTTATCATTATGTCGCAACAAAGCGCACAAAACTCAGCCACGTAATGTTATGATCGGCCGACGTGATCTTAATTCCATATGGTATCCAAAAAATGTTATCCGTAATCAAAAATACAATATCTTAACATTTATTCCACTTGTTCTATTCGAACAATTTCGTTTTTTCCTTAACCTTTATTTTCTTATTATGGCCTGTACACAATTTATTCCTATGTTTCGTGTTGGTTATCTGTATACATATTGGGGTCCCTTAGCATTTGTGTTATTCGTAACAATGTTACGTGAAGCTTACGATGATATTAAACGAGCCTATCGAGACAAAGAATTGAATTCACAGATGTATACTTTGCTCTGTAGTAACGGACGAAGGAAGAAAGTTCCTAGTTCACAATTACAAGTATCCGATGTAGTTATTATACAGAAAAATCAACGCGTACCAGCAGATGTTGTACTACTACAAACATCGGACAAGTCAGGTAAATTATTTTAATTTGTGTGCAATGTAATAATTGTCGAGGTGATCGTTTCCGTGTGAGTCTACTAAAGGAAGCAGCAACCTCCGTAAGCCATTGGAAAGGATTCATTTCAATATTGACTTGAGCAGATAGAACAATCTCGAATATGCCAGGTCAACAATATTGAGATTAAAAAAATGACAGATGTTATTAGTGTTTCCTGTAAAATCTCTAGGGAATATTTGGATCATAATTGTATTCATTTTAGGTACCTGTTTCATTCGTACCGATCAATTAGATGGTGAAACCGATTGGAAATTGCGTATTGCCGCTCCACTTACTCAGTCCCTTGAAGACATCTCTCTTCTTATCTCCGAAACAAGTGCAACGGGAAAAATTCATGCTGAACCGCCTAGTCTAAGTATCCATGAATTTAACGGTGTCGTCTCGTGGAAACAAGATGAACCGCTGACGGTGGAAAACGTTCTCTGGTCAGGCACGGTCCTTGCTACTGGTGAAGCTGTATGCTGTGTTATCTATACCGGCTCGGATACACGTATGGTGATGAACACAAGTAAACCACGCTCGAAAGTTGGTCTACTCGATAATGAAATAAATACATTAACAAAATTACTATTTATTGCTCTGGTCCTTCTATCTATTGTTATGCTTGTATTGAAAGGTTTTCGTGGACCATGGTATCGATATTTAGTTCGATTCTTTCTTTTGTTTTCCTACATGATACCAATCAGTCTCCGTGTTAATCTTGACATGGGTAAAACAGTTTATGCTTGGTTTATTCAACGAGATAAAAATATTCCTGGTACCGTTGTACGCACGAGTACAATTCCCGAAGAACTAGGACGCATTGGTTATCTTCTTTCGGACAAAACGGGAACACTAACACAAAATCTAATGATTTTCAAACGTATTCATTTGGGTACCGTTTCCTATACAAATGAAAATCAAAACGAAATATCGAATCTACTCAAACAACAAATGAAAACGATCACCACGCCCATACATGAGAATCAGCAGCCAATTACATCGACATCGAGCAAAGCACGTAGTGTCGTGAAGAAAACGGAAGCAACGAAAGTGCCCGAAGCAGTCAAAGCATTAGCTCTATGTCACAACGTTACACCGGTGTTTGAAGAAAAATCTTCTTCGTCGTTGGACACATCAGCGCGTTCAACCGACGATAAAAACACAACCACGACATTAATTAATCGCATGTCAACTGCAGGACGTATCGTGGATCCTAGTTCCTTACCAGATACACCATTAACCGGTGCAACTTCACTGAATACTACCGATGCATCAGATTTAACACAACTATTACCACCTACAGGTATGTAAAACCAGCTTTCTATTTATATACATGTATATTTATAGTTGACTTCATTTGCCTTTCTTTTCATACTACAAAGAAAGCATATAATAATGATGATTATAATCTGCCATCTTTTAGAAATATCCAAAGGTGGGCTACACGTACCTAGCTATGATCTACTAGTAGTTACGCTTTGACATTATTCATATTTTTATGCTCTAGCTGAATACAACATGAACTATTATGTCAGCAGAAGAAAAAAAGCAAACTAGATAGAAATTCATTGAATTCACTACTACTCAGTTTTCTTTCCGTAGTCATAACCGGATGTAGAAGAGACCAAAGAAAGAAAAAGGAATGAATGATTGTGCATGTAAAATAAACAAAAATGCATCGGCTTCCGCATGAAAATAATAGATAATATAAACAGATGAGAGCTGATGTAGCTTCCTTAATTGATATTTTGATTTATTCTCAGTTCAATGAAGGATAATGGAAAAAAAATGAATTCGAGTTTTCTGCACGTGACATTGAATTGCTTATCTTTCCTTTTCTTAGATGTCACTTATCAAGCATCAAGTCCCGATGAAATAGCTCTTGTAGAATGGACTGAGCAAGTTGGATTGACACTTGTCCATCGTGATCTACAATCCATGACATTACAATTGAATTCAACCCAACAATTGTTACACTATCAAATTCTTCAGATGTTTCCATTTACATCTGAAACTAAACGAATGGGAATTATCGTTCGTGACGAACAGACAAATGAAATCATCTTTTATTTAAAAGGTGCTGATGTTGTCATGCAAACTATTGTTCAATACAATGATTGGCTACAAGAAGAATGCAGTAACATGGCACGTGAAGGTCTCCGTACGCTGGTTGTAGCAAAGAAACATCTCACCATTGAACACTATCAAGAATTTGAACAACGTCTAATGAGAGCACGTTTACAAACAATTGATCGAAATCGCCGTGTGAATGAAGTCATCGAAACTCTTGAACGTGACATGGAATTGCTTTGTGTAACAGGTGTTGAAGATAAGTTACAAGAGAATGTTCGACAAACGCTTGAAACATTACGAAATGCCGGAATTAAAATTTGGATGTTAACGGGTGATAAACTAGAAACAGCAACATGTATTGCTAAAAGTTCGAAACTAATCGGCCGAGATCATGATATATACACATTTAAACAAGTCACAACCAGAGAAGAATGTTTGCAAGAATTGAATATGTTTCGAAGAAAAGCAGATGCATGTTTAATTATCACAGGTGATACATTGCAAATTTGTTTGTCTTTTTATGAAAAAGATCTTATGGAATTAACCATTCAATGTCCAGCTGTCGTCGTGTGTCGATGTTCACCTACACAAAAAGCGAATGTTGTTGAATTGTTAAAAAAGTATGGTAACCATCGGGTACGCGTTTGTGCGATTGGCGATGGTGGAAACGATGTTAGTATGATTCAGAGTGCAGATGTTGGTGTTGGAATTGTTGGAAAAGAAGGTTCGATCATTAGTCTTTCGTAGACGCGGTTGATAATCAATCATGTTTTTCTTTTTCTAGGCAAGCAAGCATCATTAGCGGCCGATTTTTCAATTAATCAATTTTCATATTTGTCACGTTTACTCCTGGTCCATGGTCGAAACAGCTACAAACGTTCAGCTGCTCTTTCACAGTTCGTCATGCATCGCGGTTTGATTATCAGCGTCATGCAAGCGATCTTCTCTTCGATCTTCTACTTTGCATCGATATCCTTATATCAAGGCTTTCTATTAGTCGGTTATGGAACTGTTTATACAATGTTTCCTGTGTTTTCCTTGGTGTTGGATAAAGATGTACGATCCGAAATTGCCCTATTATATCCTGAATTGTATAAAGAACTATCGAAAGGAAGAAGTTTATCATTTAAAACATTCTTTCTCTGGGTGTTTATTTCAATCTATCAAGGTGGAGCAATCATGTATGGATCATTTCTTCTGTTCGACGATGATTTCATACATGTTGTTTCGATTACATTTACATCACTGATATTAACGGAACTATTGATGGTCGCACTTACGGTAAAAAACCTAATTTCTCAGTCTTAAGAATTGTTTCCTTAACAAAAGAAAGTCAGGAATATCTTTTGATCACATTTTCAATTTTAACTATATAATAGCGAGTAGAACTATTTCCTAAGCGGATGTTCACATCACGGATACTGAAATGACTTTCTCCTATACATTTCTTTCATCATTTGCATAGATTCGAACATGGCATCCAGTAATGATTCTTGCACAATTATTAAGTTTGGCTTGTTATGTTCTTTCGTTGATTGTTCTGAAGTCACATTTCGATCCTGAATTTCTTCAATCGTGGGATTTCATCTGGCGTGTCCTACTCGTTACATTGATATCATGTTTACCACTCTATATTCTAAAATTCGTTCAAGTCAAATGTAAACCTCCCATACAACAAAAACTCATGCAGTATGCAACATTGAAATAAATGAACGAACAATTGGTTCAGCAATAGAATATACCTTCTTTCTTCTTCATTTTGTTTGTTTGTTTTTTCTTTTTCTTCTTCTTCTTCTTCTTCTTTCCCAAGGGCTGTGTCGATTTTGTGCGACAGTATTTATTCTTTCTTTTTTTTTCTTCTCTTTTTCTTTGCTCTTTATCCCATCTATTCAAAAGCATGTGTGTTACAGTGAAGATAATATAAAATATATATATGATGATGATGGAGAAGTTTTAAAAAACAAATTGATCAATTATTGTTATTACTTCTATTCTAGATAAATGGACAATGCTTTACCCTTTGATTATCTTTCATCATTTTCAACTATTACTATTTGTTTAACATTTTCTATTGCTTATGTTCTTGGTCTATACATACTATCTCCATCATCACGTCGATACGAACGTAATCATTCACATGTGATCTGTCGAAGATTTCTTGCCGTCTTTGTTGTTTGTTTATTAATATATTTGTTTTTAAAGCACACATGTAATCCAAATATCAATATTAATTTCTGGTTAGGCTTTCGAACAAATATTCCATCAATATGGAAACTAGTTCTCTATCCTATTTTATTAACATTGATGTTATATCTGGGACCCATTATACAGTGGGTGGACTTATTTGATTGGAGATATTATCGATACAATTGGAAATATCATTTCCTATGTCGAAGTACAAATGAACAACTTATATTCACTCGAAATTATCTCGTAGCACCATTTACTGAAGGTAACAAGAGCTTTTTATACACAAAGAAATATCCATTTTTCTTTCTCTTCGATAGAGTTTGTCTTTCGTTCATCTATTTTATGTTTGCTCTATTCGCATGTGTCGTTATCATCGGCGATCTTTCTTTCTCCATTATTCTTTGGTCTTGCTCATCTTCATCATATGCTCGAACATTTCAAGCAAAATCATCATGAACAACATCATCGTTTATCAGCGATGACAATCATTCTTGTTCATCTATTTCAATTTTCTTATACCTATATCTTTGGTGTTTACTCATCGTTTCTATTCATCCGAACAGGCCATTTCATACCATCGTTCATTATTCACACATTGTGCAATGGACTTGGCATACCTGATGTCGTGAACTTAGTCGATATACAAAATGGACAAGGTTTAAGAAAGTTTTTTCATATGATATGCTATCTCATTGGCCTATGGTTATTTTCAACGAATTTATATTTTCTTACTCAGTCAAATTTTTATTACTCTGCCGATAATAATCTTGTTACCTATCGGCATTGGTCTAGTTAATCCAACTGTGATGTTTTGTTGTGCTCAATATAGGAAAAGAAAAAACAAAAGAAAAGCACGCGTCAAAAATTTAATGAATGTGAGAGAAATAAGATATGTTTATTTCTCCGTTTTCTTTTTGATTTGTTATACTCAATCTTTTTTTGTGCATGTCAGGTGCTCTATTCTATACGTACACGGTCGTAATAAGTGAACCTATTACCGTAACCGAAGAAATGAGACTTACTTCGTATAGGAAAATAAATAAATAATCAAATGAGATTTGCTAATTCAATATCAGCTATAGAGAAAATATACATAAAACATAGGTGTAGTTGAAACATCTACATCTTTATTAATATGATAGTTCATGGAAAAATACAATCGAACGAAGGAAAGAAAAACGAACATTGTCACACTATTAAACAGTGGTAGTCATGGTGTTACGTTTTAGATCCATGTGTTGTTTTTCAGAAAGCTGATCAGAAGGGCGATCAGGACTACTCGGATAGCGTAATGGTTCAACGCTGCGAAGGTGGCTAAAAAGTGTGCACGAAGAATTACTACGGTCGGATTGATTGGATAATATCAAAGACGTTGTGGATCTACTTTCAGTAGAGAAAGGTCGATCAGTCTGATAACTTTGACCAGGCGGTTGTAATTCGAGTACATTCATCTTTGAATTGCTTGCGAACGAGTTATGTTGCTCAGTACCTATCAAGTTTTTCTGTGTATCATTGTAAAGTCGTACAAGTAAACTTGATTCATTTTCATGGACCGAGCGGTTTCTAACGACACTTTCTTCGGTGGAAGATACAGTGTATATTTGATAGCTTTTACTCGGTCTTCGTATTGTGGGATCTGAATTGTTCTTCGACGATGCTTGTCCCATACTATCGGATCGAGACACTAGATGGCTGTATTGCCATTCATCGCTTTCTTGTTGTTCTGCTCGACGACGTTTTGCAGAAGGACTCCTAGCAAAATACAAAATTTAGTCAACTAAGCAATGACGTTGGCGTCTCTTCGAGACTGTTAGCGTATTCGCTTTGAGAAAATTTTTACTAACCATATCAATCGATACAAACAGCAGCAAGTGCATAATGCCAATGGTAAAGAAATCGACGCTATTCCAGCAATTAACCCCCAACTTACACGTTTGCCTATACAAATGAAACACGTTACTTATACAATCACCACTTCTTTTATTACAAAGAGTAGTTTTTAGTGATGTAATTGAGACACTCATATTTCCTTAACTAACATCTATCGTACTCACTGTCATCCGCTATTGTTGTTGCTGCCGTTCTAAAAAGAGAAAGAAATAAGAATCAACGTCCGATTGAACAATTGTAATGATGTCAGAGGCGTTTTCTATCCCACGGAAACGTAGTATATGCAATTGTTTTAGTATGACTTACGTTGTTGTAGTCGTAGCAGAGGTTGATGTTGTACTTGATGTTGAACTTGTGGAACTTGTTGTTGAAGTGGTAGATGTTGTCGATGTTGTTGTGGTTGTTGATGTAGTGGAAGTAGTTGATGTAGTGGATGTTGATGTGGTAGTTGTTGTAACACAAACTAACAATGGTGAAGACATCACCGAAAATGTTACACAATAGGTTTCTGATTGAAGCCGTTCTCTAATTTGCATAGAAATGTATGATCAGTATTTGAAAAAACTTTCTTTATAGGAGATCTTACTCGGTGTAAGCGATAACACACAACTGCTGTTCACCGATTTGATTTGGTTGTGGTGTCCATGTAAATTGTACGTAATTCACTGATGCATTATTTGATGAAGTGGTCAAATTATTTTTTGTTAAACCGTCAATCCCTTTCGAAAATATAAGGTCAGCAATATCGATGGTGGACGGGTCACATTGATTAATTATAGTCAAATTAAAAGCTTTGGTAACATTAACTGCCACATCCAAACAGCCTGTGAGAGGTTGAATAATCGGTTGAGATTGGCAAGTTGGCTCTGGCATGACGTATATAAGAAATTGCACTGGTATTGAACTCATTGCAATAGTACTGGATGTGTTGATGAAATCTTCAACCTAGAATACGACAGATATTTGTAATCATATAAAATGTGAAATGAAAGGAGATCATGAAGAAGATCAAGGTGAAAAAGTTGCGCTTATTTACTTGAATAGCGGCTGCATACCAGGTGCCAACTGACGAACTTTGGATCGATATGGTGCAGTTAGATAGTGTAGTGCCAGCAGGAACGGTACTGTTATAGCATATATCACCGCATTCATCAATAGATTGGCGTACGGGATAACTTGAAGTAGTTTTGAGTGTTCCTGGAGTATCAATAGTTGTTGGCCCAGCAGGACACCCACCTAGCGCTGAACACGCTAGTCCACTACAAGTGGTACCATAACATGCCGAACAGACGCAAAGGCATAACCAAGCACACTGCTTCGCACAGCCAAGGATGCATGGTACACTTCTTTTCCGTCGAGTAACTGCGTTTTCCTTGTCAGAAGTTAATGCCTTGCGTGTAGTCATGGGAGTTTCATCATCAGATAAGCCCGAATGGACCTCTCTTCGTCTACGATATCCGGAAGTGTATTTTGCCCAACGACAGCGTACATCATCACCTTCATTGGCATCCGATACGGGTATTTGAATATTACTCGTTTTGTTCACAATAATGTATTGTGGAGATATAAGTTCAGCAACTGGTGGTGTATTTATAATACCGTCTGGTCGCCTGCGAAGGTCAATAAAAGTACTAATTGACCATTGCAAGTTTTGAGTCGCTGGGTCACCGATTTCTGTCCAAGCACTGCCACGATATGTTAGATAGAAATGTGCGTCAGTAGACAATGTGATATTTCGGGCGCGTTCACTCGAGAGCATACCCATAGACGAGCTCACAGAAATGCAGTCTGTAAGAGTACTCATTATATTGCTCGAATAGCCTCCGTCTGTTGAACAATCAGCTAAACAGGTTAAATTCGAACCTTGATTTGATCGACCAGCAGTTGAAATTGGCACATTTTTTGCGCATGTAATTGTCGGATATGTCCACCAATACGATTGATCAATAGTTATTATGACCGAACTCAAGTTTGTTTGTGGATCTACTGGTTTCCATGTTATTGTACCACCATTGAAATGACTCGTTTGAACCAAAGTTAAGTATAACAAGAAAATGAAATAGTATATCATCGTGCTATGATACTTAGTTTTTTCTACACTTTAGATCTGAAAGATACTGGGAAATGAGAAAAAAACCTCCCTGAGCCAGACGCTTATGTAGACCGTGTCATTCGTTTCGAATGACAAGAAAAATTAGAAAAAGAAGGTTCGCGTCGCAAGATAATTTATACTCTTTCACCGAATTATGATATAAAAGTACATATAGTGTGTATTAGAAAGAAAATAAGCAAATTTATTTAACAGAATAGATTTTTGAATAACTGAGCCTGTCTGGTAATTAAAACGAAGCCTCGATTTTATTTTACAATACTTAGATTTGGCTCAAAAGAACACACCCTTTTGGGTTTGTTTACATCCCAATAATATATAGATTGGTATATTAATTTATTCAATTTCGTTGCATACTAACACGACGAAAACGTAGGAATATCAACTCTGTATTTATTTTGATTACCTACAATATCAATTATTCTTGTGTCTGAATGTTTTCTTCGAACGAGAACTTTCTTTTTGTGTACATCACACGGTGCTCAATATCTATAACAGATCTTTAGAGAACGTCGCGACCTTTTTTAAGACTTTCATCGATTAGCGACTATCAATAGAAGGATGGCCAGTGTGACAACATTTTATATCAGTATTCCATGCGATTTTCACGACTAGGCGCGTTATAATAATTCATCTTGTTAGAATCATTGTTTTGACAGACAGATTTACTTAGATACCACAGTGAATGATATATTGAATGAACTTTATCAAAACTTCCAAACAACGTATAATAATGAACAACAATCTGAATTCAACCATTTCTAACAAAAGTTTTTATTGTTTTCGCTTTGAAAATTTGATGACTAGGAATGATGTTTCTTGTCAAAATAATGACGCATCGCCATAGAAACAAAACATCATACATATCGTTCAACACAAGCTCTACGCCCGAATGATTCGCAATATATTTTTGTATATCTCGCATTCTACTCCCGTTTTCCGACTTCGTTCCACAATTACTGTCAGATATTTTGAAATGAATCATACGACTAGAAGTATTTTCCCCGATTAATTCTCAATAAATATTAAATACTAGACAATGCTTTCAATTTCATACAATATTAAAAAACGAGCTCTACTTCGAAGACTACGGCGGCTTCCTCTAACTACGATTCACATTTGTAGAAGAAAAAGTAAAAACAGTTTGTTTTTTTTTGTCATATTGTTGTTAAAGCAACCTGTGTGCATATTTACATAAAACGCCTGCTTTTCAATTCACAAGACGGCTTTTTTTATCTTGAGGAAGAATTTAAACGCGAACATTCGCCAATAAACATCTGGAAGAATATTCAAACTAACACAAATTGACATTACACATTCTTTCTTCCTTTTACTCTTTCTTATTGTGAAGTTTATATATACACACCATCGGTCTCTAATTTGCTTGAAACCTCTTAGCAACTATCAACAATTTTCTTCTGCATTCTCTGCTAAAAATCAACATTCGCTCAAATATCGAAGACAGAGAGAACATAGAAGAAGGAGAAGAAAGAAACCTTCTCGCGTTTGCGATAGTAAAAAGAAACGGGCGAGATTAAGACACGTGTATGTAACGATGATCTTTTCTTTCTTCTTTCAGGTGTGTTAATCTAATCTGGTCACGAATTGAAGATTTTTCAAAAGTCAAAATGGTAGAAAACGTTAATTGGAATAATTACGCATTTTCAATAAGTCTTTTTTTAGCCGCCCAAGAAGGACAAAGGAAAAGGTCCGAAGAAACCGGCCAAAACGGACAAACAGAAAAAGGCCGAAGCTGAAATGATGAAGAAAGTCATCGCTCAATATGTAAGTGAATATTTCTTCGTTTGTGAAGCGTGAAACGCTTGTACTTTAAATAGAGTGGAGTTCTCTCCGTAGAGGATATCAAAGGTAAGCTTTTGCTTCAAACGATAATGTTCATCGTCGGATTTTTCACTAGGAATGAAAGAAATCTTTGATACAAATGATCAGAGTAATGCAGGTTTTATTAAAGCAAGTACACTGGGATTTATTCTTCGCACATTGGGCTTTAATCCACGTGAAAGTGACCTTCAGCGAGTAGCAAAAGAATATGATCCAGAAAGTAAACAGATATACGTAGTCATAGAAAAGCAACACTCGGAGAATTATGTTTAGAAACGGATCAATTGAAGTTTCCCGATTTCGTCGGTTCTGTGTTAGGTATTCAAACATCTATTACGGACAAAGAAATTATTCCTGCCTTTCAAGTTTTCGATCCAGAAAAACGCGGTGTGATAGAAGCTGATGAAATTATGAAATGTTTAACAAATGTCGGTGACATGCTCGATGAAGTTGAAGCGAAAGCTTTCAAAGATAATCTTAAAATTGATGATCTCGGTTTATTCAGTTATGAAGGTAAATCGATTCGATTTGGTTTCAATTGATTCATAGATTGTTCTTGATCGTTTAGAATTTTTTAAGAAATTCACCGAACCAAAGAAGAAAAAAAAGAAAGGAAAGAAGAAAGGCAAAAAGAAGAAATAAACGTCGATATAAAACTGTTTTGGGAAATAGTTCGTTTTAATATTTGTTGTGTAAAGTAAAACGAATATACATATACATAAATTATTGAACTTTAACTCCTAAATTTTGTCAACAGTATCCTGAAAATTTTACTTGAATTCAAAGCTTCGCCGTTATTAAATGTCGACATTGAACGCGTAAGGAATTATGTGATTGAAAATTTTAGATACAACCTAGCGAATTCTATGTATTCGACTGTGGTAATTCTATAGTTGGGTATCTCCATAATCTCGTACTCAAGATGGCTCAGAAAAATGCTTTCTTTATAGTGCAAAGCTATAACCTACGCTAAAATTTAAATCGTGCCGACCTCGTACTTCATATGATATTGTTCATTTTGAAAAACACACTAAGAATATTGAACTTGAATAGTTGCTCATACCGAATGGTAATAATTAATTGTCTTGCTCACCTTGTTCATTTTTTCATTATCTATGAGACTTCATTTATGGACAAATGGGTCGGCAGAGACCGTATACACATTGACTCAGAGAATTGTGTCTACATATTCTCACTAGCAATTATGTGAATAGAACCGGAAGAGAAAAACGCGAAAGCTGCTTTTCTCTCAGAACTCTGTCACTACTAGCCAAATAGCTCCTTCGAAATTCGTATGAAACGGCTAGTTCGGATTGTTTGTGGCGACATCTATATACTTTTCCCAAAAACTCATCGATTTATACTTCAAATGAAAGTTCTTCATTGACAGCTGTTTTTAAATAATAATATAGACTTCGATCGGACGAACATGGTAAAATGAAATTAACCAATAAAATCGCGAAAATTGATGAAACAGACATGAAGTGAACGATCGAAGAGACGTCGTTTGTCCGCAGTAACATATGATTATTACTTCTTCTTAAGATAAAATGAAATCATCAGTAGCTTTACTCAGACGTTTTAATCTCCTAACTCATCGCCGCTTTGCTTCATCTTACATAGTTCAAGAAATTCAAGCAGATCAATACGGTGCACCTCTCGATGTACTCAAACTTAATCAAACAACGACTTTTGATTCAAGTCAGTTGAAGCCAAATGATGTTTTAATCAAACTATTGGCATCACCTATCAATCCGGCTGATATCAATATGGTCGAAGGCAAATATGCAATACTTCCTTCGTCATTACCAGCAACATTTGGTAATGAAGGTGTTTTTCAAGTTGTTGATCATCGTGCTTCAAATGAACAATTGAGTCCGGGCGATTGGGTTATTCCGAAAATACTCGAATGGGGTAAATGGCGTTCGCATGGAATTGTATCAATCAATGATTTAATCAAAATTCCATCGGATATAACAGTTGAAGCGGCAGCAACCTTATCAGTCAATCCTTGTACAGCCTATCGATTACTGAAAGATTTTGTCACACTAGAAGCAGGGGATACAATTATACAAAATGGTGGAAACTCAAGTGTGGGACAGGCTGTTATACAGTTAGGTAAACTGTGGAATATCAATGTAATTAACATAATTAGAAATCGAGATCAAGGAATGAAGGAATTAGTTGAATACTTAAAATCCATTGGTGCCGAACACATTTATCTTGAAGAAGATCTACGGAAAGGTATGTGTTTCTGAAGTTGAACTCGAATAATGAATACTAAGTTGAGTCGTTTAGAAACTCTTCGTACGTCTCTTTGGTCTACTATCCCTCGGCCTAAACTTGGCTTAAATTGTGTTGGTGGCAAAGCAACGAGCGATCTACTTCGTGTGCTTGATAAATCAGCAACTTTGGTTACCTATGGAGGAATGAGCAAACAGCCAGTCACTGTGCCAACAGCTGAGTTTATCTTTCGAGATCTAACTTGTCAAGGCTTTTGGATGAGTCGATGGAAAGCCGAAAATTACAAAGGAAGTGAATTTGCTAAGATGCTTCATGAACTAATTGATTTCATTCGTCGCGGACATTTGAAACCACCACAGTGCGAGAAATATTCACTAGCTGATTATAAAACAGCTATTGAACAAGCACAAAAGCCATTTAACACTAAAAAAGTCCTTTTTACATCTTAGAGATTTTGTCTATTTACCACTCAGTAGTTTGTTTTTTTAGCATACAATCATTTATTTTGATTTTCAATAAAAAAAAGAGACATACACACACACACATGAGAATCACTACGGTTTAAGATAATGATATTTGCAAAGATTTATTTGGAATACATGGAAATCAACAAACATTAACAGGCATTCTATTATTGCAAAAACAGAAAACTCAAAGAAATTTCTGAAATTTCAAAAAAAAAACGAAGAAAACAATTTTTCAATTAGAAATTCTATTTAATTGACATAATGATGACGAATTAGCTCGTTTCAGCGATTGGCGTTTGTTATAAAACCATACCTAGACAAACGAAAATTTTTCAATACAACGATCGCGTTCACATAGTTATGACGAACTTGAACAATGTAACGAGGATAAGCCAATTTTTCCGAAAGGATCGAGATGTCTGATCGTGATGGCATCGGATTTTTTTCAAAAAATAGATTCAAGATTTCTAGATCATCGTTCGAAAATTTAGTACGTTTTCGGCTGTGCCGCCCTTTGGCTTTATTGGTAAGAAATTTGCCGTTGGGACGAACTCTTTTCCAATGGGAATTGTATTCGTTGGAAGATATTGATACAGGCAATGCTGTCCATTGATAGTCAATATCACGGTTTGACTGATTTAAATATAACGCCGATTGTTCGTTATTGTGTAAGAAAAGATTTGGATCATCGAGTAGTGTGGATGAATACTCACCGGTTGAATCGTAAAACGACGGACTACAGAGGCGATTCAGAAAGAAAAGAGGAAGAATAGAACTCACCTTGAACGAAGGTTATATTCTGCGATCGGTTGAGCTGATGTTATTTCGTCAAACTCGTCGACGGATATCATCGATGTTGATTTATCAACATGACTTTGTAGAACCTATTGGTGTCGTTTCGTTACAGCTTTAGTTCGAGAATTATTACTTACCGGACAAGGTATGGAATATTCCGATAGGTTTTCCACGATATGAATGAAATTCTCGGATGTTAAATGATCGATCAAACCTTCCGATGATGATATAATATGATTCATTTGGGGTTGAACAGATTCATAATAATGAACTAGTACACAGAGAGAGTGTGTATGTGGTAGTTGAACTAAATTTCAAATTAATAGTTACACAATTCACTCGGACTTGGTGCAAGAATGTATTTTCCTGATGACAGCGGTATCTAAAATAGTCCCTAATATGGATGTTGATGTTCTTGACAGGAGACAACTAACTTCTAATGGACTACGTTGAATCGAAAATGTTTCGGGTAAACTGAGTATATGTGATGGTTCATCTAAAAGATATAGTGAAAGAGTGAATGTTGTCACTTGAGCTGCGTTACCCGAAGATAATGATGGGATTAAGAAATGAATACTTCGATCGACGGTCGGTTCTTGTTAGAAAAGAAAATCTCTTGTATAGGAAACACTCAATGAACAAGACAACAAGTTTTACTCATACCCATTGACGCTGACAATGAAATTCGTGAAATTGAAAACAATGCTCTTATATTTTATAAATATTGAAAAACATGAAAATTCGAATTTGATTGAAGAGAAAGAGCTGATCGTTAATTGTCCTGTCAAACAAATAGAGAACTGTTCTCGTAAACTCCGTCGACGCGCCGTTTTATTTTATTTTCTCTCTCTCTCTCTTTCGCCTTGTCTTCAGTTGGATTTTGTCAGATGTATTCTGATAAAGCACATGTGACAAAACAGAATGCAGACAGATGATGAGAAAACACGAACATTATCATACAAGAAAAAAATCATTATTTAATCGAATTATGTCGATAGAGATTTAGTCGTTTTTGAAAATCTTGTCTCAAGATTCGTTCAAACGGCGTTGCTGGTCCGCACATACGATGCATCATATCTAACGAATTCGGAATAGAAGTTTCGAGTACTTGATCATTCCATGACGCTGTCTTCCATGGTTGGATTAAAAGAGATTTCAATTCAATATGATGCTGTTGTCGTGTACGATCATTTTTTGCTTTCAACAAATGTACAGTTGAACGACTACTGTATGCACTCTTAGCACGTGGCCGTCTTAACGAAAATGGTAGCTCGTCATTGGACAGTTCATCGTTACTACAAATGGAATTGACTTCGTATTTCATCGGTAATTCTTGATACTGTTGTTGATGATAGTGACGACCGGAATGTGCACTAGTGTTATGTCGTTTGGGTGTGGGACTAGATACGGGAGTTGAAGGGCGTAGATCGTTTGTAGCTAAGAGTACATTTTGACGAGTAATAGCAGATTGGCGAAGTTGAGCGGCTAACGATGGCTGAGATTTCAGACCGAAATTCATTGGAGGAAACCTTTGAATTGAATGTGATGAAAACGAAACAGTCTAGAAGACACAGAATTTTGTAATAATGTGAAACTTATTTCTTAGAAATATGTACCTTGCTAGACGATAAAGGACGACTTTTACTAGTATTTTGTTGTTGTTGGTGGACAAATGATGGTTCAGTTTGCGTTTGTTTTAATCGTATTTCTGGTGGATTCAAGAGACTTGGTGTTTTTTGCCGGTCATCTGGTAGTTTTTCAGTTTGGGAATCTTTTAATCCCCGAGCAGCTTGTTTAGCTTTCGCAAGTAACGCAGATCCTCTTCGAATATCGTGAAGTTCATTTAGTAAAATTTCATCATCTAATTTCAAAGTATTCAAATCAACTTGATCGATCGTGTTCAGTTTGCCAGATGTCGGCCTAAAAGTCCGCTGCGCACCGTTCGCGGACATCTCTGCCCAGTCGACCGATGTCGCTGAATAAGTATCGATACGATGCCATTGCTCTTCGACAAATGGACTTAATTGTACGGTTGATATTGGATCATAATATTCATTGTGATAATTCATTACCAGATATTCATTTGAAAGAAAAACTAATCAAACATCATCGGTCGGCAACGACGTTGCTAATGCTACACTGACATTCAAACTTCATTTTCTCTTTCTCTTTCTCACTCTCTCTCTCGAAGCTAAACCACTTCAGTAGAAAAAATTTCTTTCACACTGTTGTCGACTTTTTCTCTTTCGCGCTTACAGATTTGATTTTTTTTAAGAATCCTTAATACAAATCAATCAGCAAGAGAACAAAAAGAAAACTAATTTTGCCGACTATACATTGATCGTTAAGTACCACTACGTTTTCACTAAATAATTACTTCCAAAAAGTCGTCCTGTATCGTGATAAACACTACAAAAATAAATCAAAACAAATAATATTTATATCAATAGAGGCATTCGACGAAGGGTTAAGAATGCAGTGTTTTCTCTTGTTACCAAGTTGCTGAGTCTGTGGAATGAGGACCGATCATTTTGACATCTGTTAACAAGCCTTGTTTCTGTCCTCATCATATTTCAATCGTGATCCATGTATAAAGAAAAAAAGCACAATAAATGTCACACATAAAACTACAAAAAAAAAACATCAAACATGTTACACACGACTGACAAACGAAAATTTTGAGAAGAGAAAAAAAACAATGAACAGTGATGATAACATTAGAAAATGGTAAAAAGAGGATCTATGATCAAATGAGTTTCAATCGAATGTTCACTGCGTGAAGATCAAATTAGCGTTTTTTATTGTCCTCCGGTTGTATTTGATGAGCTGACGTACTCCGACTACCTATTTTAAGAAGAAATGGCGCTGACTGATACTGCTGTACAGCCGTTCGTGGTGTTGGCAACTGTGCAGGAAAGTCGTCTTCATTCGTCGTCGATTCTTTTCGTCGCGATATGCTGGTTGCTGATGCATCCAAAGCACTATTGGTCGATGTTGCCATCGATTTACGTAACTCTCTTGCTTTATGTTTGTAAAAGAACAAGTCTCTTTCAAGCTCTTTGATTTGATTCGATGAATCATGCAGCTGACTAAGTAGTAGTTGTTTTTCTTCTTCGTGAGCTTGTTGAATAGATGTTAGGCGACGATCATGATCAAGTGTCGTGGATTGTAGACGTGATTGCAGTTCAGCTATGGTTTCATTTTGATCCTGAAGTCGAGACTAGAAAAGAAAACCAATATGAATTTCAATCCATCATGATTCAACTTAGTCGTACTTTGATTTCTTCGAATTCACGTTGAGTTTTGTTATCTCCTTCTTTCAAATCGATGACTTTCTCGAATAATTTACGGCAAAGTTCTTTCGATTCATTTTCACTCAATCGACCGATTTTGAAAAGTGGCGACTCTGGTCCTTGACTTGCACGTATCGATTGTTGCACATCACGTTCGCGTTTATTGATCACGTTGTTCTGATAATCGATGGCCAAGTCGATTGCTTCGATTGCTTCATCGATTTCAATTAAACGTCTCTCTTCGTTGGCTGTCAAGACAGCATCTTGCTGTTCTAGACGTTCTGTCAACAGCCGTCTTTGTTTGAGTAATTGTTCACGATTGATTTGATGATTCGGTTGTTGTTTATCAACTGCTTTCAGTTTTTCATTGACTAATTTTAAACTCTAAAATCAGAAACATTTCAAAGGATGAACCTCTCATCAAAATATCTTAGTAAAACCTTATTCAACACTTGACTTGTGCGCAGTTTCTTCGCTTCTAGTTCAGTACGTTCGTTGAGCAATAATTCTCTTTTCTCAACTAGTTCTTCACGTTTTTTAACATCATCTCTTAAGATTTCAATTTCTTTTCTTTCAGTAACCAATTTTTCCATTTCGACTTCGAACGTGTTCGTTGCGCCATCATTAGCGTTCGCATTCGGTGCTCCACGTAGTTTTCTTTGTGCCGCGACGAGACCTTCAGTCTTAAGCTTAAGAATTTTCTGTTGTTGTTCATTTTGTATCGTTAACTCCTGTATACGCTGTTGTTCACGCACGAGATCTTGTTCAAATTTGTTCTTCAACTCAGATTCTTCACGTATACGCCTTTGAGCAGTTTCATACTGTTGTTTCAAGCGAAAAAGTGCAGATTCAAGGTCACCAATTCTGAGCAAATAGATAGATATGTAAGCAATGTTGGAAGTGTTCTCAACATACCGCTTTTCGCTATTGCCTGATAGCTTTGACATAAGATCACGATATTGCTTCTCTTTTTGTTGCAAAGATTCAAGTCGGGTTTTGGCCATCTCACATTTTTTCCGATATTCACTAAGAGAAAAATAAATCTTGATTCAGATGATATGATTACACTCTCATCTTACGCTTCAAATTTCGATTTTTCGTTTGTATTTTTCGTCGCTATTTGTTGCATTGTCTTCTGTAAGTCGTGATACTCATGCTTGGCTTTTTCTACTTCCTAAACAATACCAAAAGCCCGAGATCATTTCTCATTCGATTGTATATAGAAAAGATGTACTTTTTCTAGTAACTTAATGTGTTGCTCGTACTGATCGTTTGTTTCTTTCGCCTCTTTCGTTGATGCGTAGACACTTTTGATCAACTGTTCTTTTAGTCTAAACAAAACATTCGTATCAGATTGATCGTCATAGAAATTCATTCAACTTACTGAATGTTAACGCTTAGTTCATGTGCTTTGTTTTCAGCTTCTTTCACATTTCGTGCTGCTTCTTCGATTAATTTTTGTTTATTGGTAGTCGATTGTGTTAAACTTTGTAATGCGTCATCTTGCTGTAAAATACCCGGTGTTAGACGGTTCTTACGAAGACGATATGTACCTCGACGAACAAATTTTCTAGAAGAAATCGAGCTTGGCTAAGTTATACCTTAGATGTCGACCTACTTCTCGTCATTTAATTTCTCATCACTATTTCTCAGATCTAATTCTTCGATTTCTTCTTGCGAATGAGCTAACGCAAGTGATCGACCGTGAAATCTTTCCACGACATATTCCATGTCGAAGGCAGCTGGACTAGAATGTATAGTACGCGGTTGAATCGATTGTTCCTACAGAATAAAATCAACAATAGCGAAATGTTGACTAATCATTATTCTTATTTACTCTTCTTTGAAGACCATTAAAATGTGGCGCTGATTTAGTTCGATCTGGGATTGACTTTGTTGTTGTTGTATGATTATGACGATGATGATGATCTGATTGATCCAAAACTGTACGCATTTGATTCAATTCATCTTCCTGAAAACAAACGAGAAATATATTCGTAACGATGCGAGTGCTTGCAATTACTTTTAGTTTCAGTTGTTCTTGTAATCGATCAACTGTTACATCACGTTTAGCACGCATCTGAGATTCCGATCTCAATTCATCTTTAGCCTAAAACATTCAGATGAAGATCAATAATCTACTAATGTTCGATCATTCCTTACCGAATGTAATGCACTTTCTAAATTCATCACACGAGATGTAAGTATGCCGCTATACAGCTCCTCGGAGTTCTCCTAGAAAATCAGATAGTTTTATATCATTTCTTAGTATGCCGGGAAAAGCGCACATTTGTAACTGCATCCATCCACGTTTGTATCCATTGCTTTTGTTCACTACTTAGATCTTCACATTCGTTTAGCTGTTGAAAACAAACGAATGCTGTTTGAATTAATCGACGCGAATGATCAGTACTACAAGATGATTTGCGACTATGCAATGATTGTCCATCATGTGAAATCGCCGTTCGTTGTCGAGCCAGCTCTTCTCGAAGATACTAGAACGATATTTGACATAGACTTACATTAACAATTTCAATGAAGAGAAATAATTTACAGTTATTTCACTTTGCATTTCGATAAAACGTTGGGCATTGGGATCGACATTTTTAATAGGTTTATTACGAATTTGACTAGCCTAGAATGAGTTCTCAATGTTGACAGGTTTTGTTCAAGGAACGGATGGAACACATACCCTGTGAGCATATTTAAGGGCATTGAGAGATTCATCAAGATCAGCAGTACACGGACTAACACCTAATGAAACAAAAAAGGCAAAGCATGAGATTGATAGAGGAAAGAAGAAATATTACATGTGATCATCAATGTTTTCGCATTACCACCGAGTGAATCTTTGAGTAAACGTGTTATTTTAGCATCACGATAAGGTATGTGACCACCGGTTCGTTTCTTCGGATCAGATAGTGCACTGACGACATTTCCAAGTGCCAATAGACCAGAATTAATACGTATGGATTCTTGAAAACGTTCGCCCGTGTTTTGTGTGCGTGCAACACGCTCTGAACCAGCCAAATCAACAAAATGAAGTTTGGCAGAGAGATAACTTTCTGCGAAAGCAAAGAAATCATTCTGTCAATCTGAAATCTATACCATTCATGATCGTTTACCATTAAATGTTGATTGCAATGGTTTGAGAAGGCCGTCAAACGAAGCTTGAACAGCATTGGAATTCGAATTCTTATCATGATGGCGTTGTTCTAAAAGTCATTCATTTTTATTTATTTCTCACGCTAGCTTTCATACCGATATAGAGAGTGAAAATCGCATGTGATCGCGATGATTCATCGTTCATTTGCGTTGCACCTGTGTGTCTAACATTAGAACCTTTTTTCAACAAACTGACAACATCATCCACCGATTGACATCGATGTTCACTTGCACCAATCACAACTGAAATTAGATTTTCCTACAGATGAAAAGCAATGTACGAACTGGATGTTATTACCTGTGTTACCAGCTGCATCATCTCGAACATCAAGGTCTTTATCATTAACATCGAGCAGATCAATAATATCATCTTTATACAGTTCTAAATATGATGCAGATATTGTGATCTGACGATCTTTGTGATTCTAGAACAAGAAACGTTTCATATCGTGTGTTTCTCTTCAAATAATCTACCCACTTGGATAGTATCGAATATAGTTTTAACTGCTCGTGGGACAATACCGTAGTCTTTTTCACCGATCGACAAGATATTTCCACCTGTCATTGTATACGTCTTTCCTGAACCCTAGTTGATATTCAAATCGTCGGCCAGATCGTCGAACAATTCGTGTCTTACCGTTTGTCCATAAGCGAATATTGTTACATTGTATCCGTCGAAAACATTCTGCAGCATAGGTTCCACACTTGATCGATACAATTCTTCCTAGAAATGAAAGACTTGAAAAGAACAATCATAATTTTCGAATTATACTTGTAGTGTTTTTGGTCCAAAGACGAAGTCATATTTAAATGTTCTTCGTTCACCAAGGATAATCTGATTGGTTTGTGGATGAATGGTCACACAACTCTTCTGGTCATGATTTTTTTCTCGTTGTAGAAATGGTCGAACCTAAATGAATAGTTGAGTGTTTTTTTTTGTTGAAATACACAATCAACTCTAAACAGAACTTACACGAACAGCTACTTTAACACGAAATTCCGATTCGTTAGCGAGCATTTTCGTTCATCTACAAGTTTATTGGAAAAAATTAAAGAAAAGAAAAATACGTTGAAGCAGTTCTTGTTCTTTCTTTATATATGTTTTGAGAGTAAAAAAACGAAATCAATAGAATTTCTAGTTTTATTGTCCGCCTTCATATTTTTGCAACTTTTCTTTTAACGTTTCATTTTCACGTAGCAATTCCTCGTATTTCTCACGTGTAACCATTAATTCGTTCTTGATTGTTTCCATTTCGGCTGTATCAGGTCCAGTAGCACCCATATAACGACGGACGAATTCAGACGCATTGTGCGGTTTTTCCGCTTCCTCATACAATGCAACCAATGCTCCTAAATGTGTCGAAAGATAAATTATTCAAAGCAGTTTCCTCGAACAGAAAAACAAACGTGTGATCGAATCGACAACGCCTCCCTTTTCGAGATAACGACGAAACTCTTCTCGTTTCGATTCATTCGGACGGTACGTCGATGTCATCGTTCACTTGTAACTTCGTTAGAATAAACACCTAGGCGAATGAAAAAGAAAAGCTCCATCCGATTGACAAGTATAGCGTTGCTAAGTTGCTTAGCAACTACATCTATATGACTCATTTGGTCAAATTATCACACTAATGCACTTGGCATATGTGAGACACTTCGCACTGAAAATTGTTCGATATCGAATTCAAATTGATTATTAAATCAAATCATAAGATCAAATTTTGGTTTTAAGAAAAGGTTTACAAAAATTTCATCCATAGTTTACCAGTACTAACCAATCATGAACTGCATTTTGAATATTACGAGAGAAACGGCATCCATGTGTGATTTTGAATTGAATTCTAATATATTTTCCTCTAGATCGATATTTATTTCCATCTCGATACTATTCGATCATGCGTCCCATCAAAGCTCGTGAACAACTCGCTATTCCAGACGATGGTAATGAGTAATTTTCGCTACGGTCGAGCCTAATTTTTATGCTCTTTTTTTTTCATTCTCGAATTTCAGTTAAAGTGTCTGTAAAAAGCCGTGTTGTTCAAGTCAGCGGCAAACGTGGTAAACTCGTCCGAAGTTTTCGTCATGCTCGTGTTGATATCTCTATGCCAAAAAAGAATTTGATCGTTGTCGAAAAATGGTTCGGTACCAACAAGGAAAATGCTGTTGTCCGTACCATTTGTTCGCATATTAACAATATGATTAAAGGTGTTACCAAGGTGAGTAGTTTCAGGTGAAACCATCGAACGTGCCGCTGAACCATCTACTTTTAGGGATATTGTTATAAAATGCGTTCAGTATATGCTCACTTTCCCATCAACACTGTCGTTACAGAAAACGGTCAAGCAGTTGAAATTCGTAACTTTTTAGGTGAAAAGTTCGTTCGTCGTGTTAAAATGCAACCTGGTGTTAAAATCACAGCCAGTACTAAACAAAAAGATGAACTTATCTTAGAAGGCAACGACATTGAACTCGTTTCCCGATCAGGTAAGAGTCGCACGTCGTGTTCGCTCGGTAGTAAACATCTCGAATTCTTCTAGCTGCACTTATTCAAATGTCGACAGCTGTTAAAAACAAAGATATCCGTAAATTTCTTGACGGTATTTACGTCAGCGAGAAAGTGAGCGCCGATGAAGCTTAAACAAAACGAAAATTCAAATCGTGCGTTTGTTTTTACTATCATTGTTTTTCTGTGTGTGTTTTGATACGCGCGTTAAACAATAAAAACCATCAAAAGAAATAAACAACTGAAAAACCACAAAAAGAATGACCTTTTTTTCTATTTTTCTTTTCACTTCAGACAATATACATCATGTCCATAGTCTAAGAAAGAAATTTATGTAATGAATGGTACTTCACCTGATCTGATAAAAGATGCAATTGCTCATCAGCAATTAAACGAAAGACATCTTTCTTATAGAGAACTTTTCCACCAACTTGACAAAGATCATGATGGTCGAATCGATGTGGATCAATTGATAAAACTATTAGAAAAAGGTGGCATTGAAACATCAGCGAAGAAACGATGGGACATTGTTCGCGTAAGTCGGTGTTTGATAAGAATGAAGAAGATTTATTTCGATACTTTTACAGCGTATTATTGCTCAAGCTGGTGGATCTCCTGATGCTTCATTTTTATCCTTTACAGAATTCGCTAAATATATACTACAGCAAGAAAACAAGCTTAGTCTAGCTTTTAGAAAATTAGATGCAAATAGTCACGGTAACGGTTCAAGCGAATGTTGATCGTATTTGTATGAAATGATATTTTTATTTTTTAGGAAAATTCGATGCAAAAGATTTAGTTTATTATTTTCGCAAGTTTCGTATTAAACTCGATTTGGAAGAAGCAGAGAAATTAGTAGAGAAGTAAAACGATTTTTTCACTGAGGAGTACTTGGAAAATAAGAGGCTATTTTTTCAGAATGAAACAAGACAATTCTCTAGAAATCACCTATGATGAATGGCGTTCTTTCTTCATGGTAAATCCAGCAATTCTTGAAAGCGTCACTGGTGATCCCAACGAAATGCTTCGATATTGGCGTCGAGCAACAGTAAGCAAGACATTCTATTGATAAAATATATCACCGATAGATTTCATTTGATACTTCAGCATCTAAAACTAGGTGAAACATCCTATGTCTTATCGGAGGATGACGGTATTCATACTAAACAATGGTGGGAGAATCTTGTCGCTGGTGGTTGTGCTGGTGCCGTATCTCGAACAGCAACTGCTCCTTTTGATCGATTGAAAATAATTATGCAGGTATATAAAGATGCCTTGATATGCACACATGCTTCCAGCAGATCTTTCCTGAACCTTTTCTTTCCTCACCTGCTAATATTCTAAAGAATCGATGAATATCATTAGGTTTCTTAGTATTTGGGTTCGAGACAACGGATGTCTATCATCAATGGTTATCGATACTTGATTAGAGAAGGTGGTGTGAAAAGTTTATGGCATGGAAATGGTATGAATGTGGCGAAAATCATACCTGAGACAGCGCTTCGATTCGCATTTTTCGACGAAGTAAGAACCTTTCATGGATATCCGTGTTGTTTTTATGACAATCTGTTGATCTATTCAGACTAAAAAATTGGTGAAAGTCATTCAAGGTAAAGATCTAAATACCGAAGCAACCGTGCTCGAACGATTCGTATCCGGCGCGATCGCGGGTTTCCTATCTCAAACTGTTGTGTATCCTCTAGACGTAAATACGATCTGTTTGCCTCTATAAAACTGAATATATGTCTTTTTTTCATTGTTTCTGGGAAATTTAGGTATTAAAAGTACGATTAGTGCTGAGAAGAAAAGGTGAAGTTTCCACATGGGCGGATGTTATTAGACAAATATACAGATGCGAAGGTTCTAAAGCTTTTTGGCGTGGCTACACACTTAATCAAATTGGTATAGTTCCATACGCAGGCTTTGATCTGGCATGTTACGAAGTAAGACTTTGAAAATACTATGAAAATAATCGATCATGTTACGTCGTTTATGTTTCAACAGAGTTTAAAGCGTCTTTACATAAAGTCCCATGGAAATCGCGAACCTCCTGTGTATATCTATCTTACTTGTGGTGCTATCTCATCATTTGCCGGTCAAATACTCACCTATCCTGTCACATTACTACGCATACGTCGACAAGGACAAATCGTTCCATTGCCGCATATGGATCAAAGTAAAGCGCATCCAGTTCTACCTATTCATGTGATGGTAAAAGAAATCTGGCACAAGGAAGGTTTAGTTGGCTTCTATCGTGGTCTTGTTCCGAACATGTTAAAAGTTGTTCCTGCTGTTTCGATTTCATATCTTGTTTATGAAACAATCATCAAAGCTCTTTCAACTGAAAAACAGTAATTCTTCGTTCCCGTTACGCTAGAGGTTAATTTGTTTGTAAACCAAATAGTGCTCTCTTTGTTTGTTTGTTTCTTTTTTTTGTGAAAAACATTTATTTATTTTTATAATAAGCTCACAAAGAAAACAAAATCATCCCGGATAAAACTAGTAATACACATTCTTTGCAGATGATCTACCGAACGAGTTTCTTTCATATACTCAAAAATCGCTACAATCAAATAAATCTATCTTTCGTACGTTATAGTAAACCGTTTAAAAAGAAATGGGTAGGTCGAATAAAGATCATCGTCGAGTATGTTCAACAAGATTTTATTTACTTAGATGTTTTCGTCACGTCATGGTTCGCATTCCAATGAACTTGCTTTGGAATATTTCGATTTCGCATATCCACTTATATTTCATCGGCATTGGCCATCGATACGACTTGCTCTACTTAGTTTACCGAAACCTGTCGCATTGATTAATCCGTATTCGTTATCAAAGAAAGCTGTTCAGGAAAAACTAATTCAAGAGGGCGCGGTTGATCTTTTGCGATTTGATAATGAACAAGTGCGTGAAGATTTCTCGCTCATTCAAGAACGGATTGCGAAGAGCGATGAAGAATATGGAATCAAAAAGTTATTAGAACAAAAAGAGAACCGAAGATTGCTTGGTACAAGTGATCTAACAAATGAACAAGAAGAAATCGACGATGGCGACGACGATGATGATGACGATGACGATGAAGATATTGAAAACAACAATGATATCAATTCTTTCAATCAACCACAACCCGTGAAAAGCCTTGATGATATTTATAAACAGGCGCTTGAACAGCAGGTACACTTCAGAGTAATCACGAAACTGGATTAAAAACAGATATAAGAGGATTGGATTCTCCAGGGAAATCTAGCTTATTAACTTCATCTTGTACGAGATAACCATTTGGTTTCTTTTGGTTAGGTACATTCAGTAGTTAAAGGCAATGCTGTACCTGTTGTCGACGATGATAAAGATCGAGATTACAAAAAAGTTCCTCCATCATGGCATGTGTATACATTTCCGCGTAGTAATATGTCAAGATTTGAACCAGCCAAAACAGATGATCTTAACCTATTGGGTAAACTTTGCTTTTCACAAAGAAAGATCTTCTTCTTATTCTATTTATTATAATAGAGTCT